CTGGCGCTCTTTTTTTTTTTTGTCTTTCTAGTCAGTCCCAATTGTCTCTTCTCTCAGTCCCTCGATCTCCTCTTTGTCACAGAACAACAGAAATGTTAAAACACAAGAAGGCGAGAGAAAGCGCAAGTGTGGCAAAAAAGAAAGTTTTTTTTTGCCTTTCAGGAGCTTTACAAAAGAGACCAGAACGACCAACGAACAAAAAAGTCCAACGGACACAACCACCTGACTGACGTCTTTTTGCTTGTCTGTTTGTCTGTTCGTCCGTTTGTCGGCCTCTTGGCCCCCTCTCGGTACATAGAAAAGAGTACTTCCCCCCTTTTTCCTTCCTCCTAGCCTTTGGCGTGGCACATCACACATGTTGTATCACACAACTGTACATCTCCCACGTAAACAACCTCCGCCGCGTCAGAGTAGAAAAAACGGAAAAAAAATAAAATAAATAACGGACGGTGACAGGAATAACAGCTATGATGATGCCGGCGGCGACAGACACGTTTTTTTTTGTATTCTTTTTTGGAACTCTTAAAATGGTTTCTGTTCTTTACAGAACGGAAGTAGTTGCTTTGGGCTACCTTCTTCCTATTCATTGAAGTAGAGGAATGAATTGTGAGGCTGGCGGAAGAGGAAAACTGAAGTATGTGGTATGTATGCGTGTATGCGTGTGAGTGTGGGTGATGTCTTTTGTCTTGCTTGCAACCTTAAAACAAATGACTATGCGAATCAGGCATGGGTGAATGAAAAGACGAAGTGTAGCTTGTGATGTGCGGTTGAGCAGAGCTGGAATCGACGGGACAGGCTACTATGGAGAGCACAGTTGAGAGGGAGAGATGAAAAGCGCGGAGGATAAAGGAGAGAGAGAGCGATAGAGAGAGAGAGAGAGAGAGAGAGAGAGAGAGAGAGAGCAGAGCACAAGTGAAGAGGAGGGAGAGAGCATGGTGGATCCCATGATCCTGTCGTTGGTAGTCGTTCCTAATCGTTCTTCTTCTCTTTCTACCTTTTCACCCCTAGCTATGGGCTTGTTTTGTGTTCCGTTCATCCTACCTACGTGTGCACTTGATCTGTCCTGCCCTGTCCTATCGGGTCTTCTGTTTACAGTACTTTTCTATGTGATTGTTTACAACAACAAAACAAACACCAATGCATGGTATGGACATGGATGTGTCTATTATTACCGAGTGCACTTCATGCTTTTCACCCCACCTTCCCACTTTTTGTTCCCATCCTCCTCCTCACTTTATCAATTGAAGATCCCTTCGTCATGGCATGTCAACATCGACATAGCCATCTCTCTTTTTTTTTTTGTTTCTGATTTTTCGCTCTGTTCGTTGTATGAACTGCATGGGTTGGTTGGTTGAGTACAGCACTGTGTGAGTTTACCCTTTTCATTCATTCACTCTTATCGAGTAGCATTCAAGACATACACCTTTCATTCATTGTACTGTAGTTCCATCCAAAGCCCAATGGTGGTGGTCGGTCATGTTATATACTCATCCAGGCTCTACACTTTGCTTATTGTTTTGTTATTTCTCGTATCGTCGTGTTTATCATAGACCATAACATGAACCCACCCCACTCGCTCGCATGTACTCTTCTTTATATGTTTTTTTAAGATGATGATGAATGAGCTGCAAGCATGTCAAGGTTTGCCTTTTGTTTTTATTTTCGAGCCCATTCATCATAAGTAAACCCACCCTCTGTCTCTCTCTCTCTCTCTCTCTCTCTGTGTGTGTGTGTGTGTCTGTCAGTCTGTACGCTAGGATGCGTACTGTTAGTTGTGATTTTGTTAGCCGACTTTTGTTTTCGATGAGCCATCTCGAAATGAAAAAAAAAAAAGGTCGAGAGCAGCAATGCTTAGCAATCCATTTCCGTCCGACCGCTCCGTCCGTCTGTCCGCTCCGTCCGTCCATCGTCTATTTTGCCCAGTCCCATCTGTCCGACTGTCTGTCCGTTCATTCTACCTGCAATTTGTCCCACTCAATCAATCGTTCGCAACCCTACCCACAGACAGCCAAAAGCATATGAGAATGTGAGATGATATGTGAACCCATCCATCACCATATTTTACTCTAAAAATAATGAAATGAAGTGTATGTGGAAGGTCGATGGACAGAAAACACATACGCGTACTCTTTTCACTTCGTACCGTACCTTTTTTTTTTTTTTTTTTTTTTTGTATGATGTGGTCCGTTCAAAGGAGGGGGAAAAAAAAGAGAGACTGCAGACTCGCATACATCCTCTCAAGAAGATCAAGAAAAACATTCAGTGAGAAAAAAGGGGTCGCAGGGGGGACGCAAGACAAAAAAAAAAGAAAAAAGATGGCTGGCCTCTTTTTTTTTTTGTTACTTATTCCTGCGCCAATGTTGTTGTTTGTTAGTGCTCAGTCAGATAGAAGTTAGCATGTCGCCAGCCTCTTTTTTTTTGGTTTCAGTGGTCCATTGGGTAAGTTCATGATTCGCTTTGTTGTTGGATGTACTCTCTCTCTCCAACTTGTGAACGATGATATGAACCATTGTCCTTAGAACAGAAACTCATAGAGATGCATCCCATTGCTGGATGGTACGGGTTACCTCTTTTTATCATTTTTATTTGTTTATTCTATCCCCTTTTATTTTGTATCCATCTTTCGGTCATTGAGTATCCACGTCCATCCAGGGGAGAGACAGGTATACAGAAGGAAGGCAGGAAGGAAGGAAGGGGAGATGGATGGAGAGTAGTAAGAAGAAGAAGAAGAAAGGAGAGGACTAGTGTGGTGCAGTGGGAGTGGAGGAGACAGTGAGAGAGAAAGAGAAGGAACGCGGCAGCGCCTTTGTCCTGCGCTTTTAGACGCGTCTATCTCACCTTGTCGACTGATTGACTGGCCGACTGAGTGAACAAAGGAATAGAGTTAAGCGATGGCTTGAACCCCATAGAGGAGTGGAAGGGGGGGGCTATGTTTTTGTTGACCTCAAGTTCCTTTCTTGTTTGTTGTTTTTTTTTTGTGGGTGAGTGAACAAAAAATAGGATGACCTTCCTACCTTTACAATTTCTCGTATTGTTTCTCTGAATGAAAATTCGTAACATAGGCATGATGGATCATGCCTCCATTGATGCAAGGAAAGGAGAAAAAAGGAAGAAGTAAAGAAGTAGGAGACGATAGAAAAGAGGAGGAAGGAGAGAAAGATGACAGTATCTCCTTGCCCTTGAACAACCACCCCTGTTTTCTCTTTTCTGCCTTCTTTTCATTCATTCATTCAACCATCGCTCTTTTCTTCATTTTAGTATCGATTCATATTCATTCATTTCTGATATTCATACTTTCCTTCATACTTAATCGTATTCATTCATTCATTTTGGAGCTGTGGCCGTCAATAATGAAATGCCCTTTTGAAGACAATAAAAGCAAAGCTCTGATGGAGGGATGGTGGATGAGGGGGATGACCATTTGTTTGTATGACTACTCGGCGTCTTCTCCCATTCCCTTTTTGTTTTGCTTTCCTTTTCTGTGTGTCCATTGTTCGTTGTTGTTCAAGGAAAAGAGGAAGGATAGGAAAGGAAGGGGAAGGAGAGAAAGGGGACGAAGAGAAAAGCGAATGAGAGAGAGAAGAGAACAATTTCTTATCCTTCGTTCCTTCCTTCCTTCCTTTGATGAGATCGTATCTATCTATCTATCAATCTATCTCTCTCTCCTGCTATGTAGGAGTCTAGCCGTCAGACGCAGGATGCCAACGATGACGGGAACAGAGAACAAAGGCCGAAAAGAAGAAGAAGCGAAGAACGAGCGATAGGAGGATATAAGAGATGAAGATCGTCTTCTCCGTTGTCGTGTGTTAAGAAGCAGGAGGAGGAGGAGGGGGAGGAGGAGAATGAAAAGTTGTTCAATGGTTTGCATAGTATGTTTTTGTGGGAGAGGTGTGGCCATGGTTCGTGTGTGTTCAGTCATCATTCATGGCGGAACCCTCTTTGTTGTTTTTATTGCTTATGTTGTTGTTGCTGTTGTTGCTGTTGTTGTTATTGTGTTGTTGTTATCGTTGTTGTTGCTGTTGTCAACAATATTTTCCGCTGCCTTTTCCTTTTTCCTTTTCCCTTTTCCCTTTTCCTTTTTCTCTTTCTTTCTTCTTCTTTTTTCCATTTTCTCCCCACTACCCCATCCATCCCATCCACACCTCCCTCTTTACACCTTCGCTCTCAACCTGTATCCTTTACATACGCCCTGTCTTTCTCTCTCTCTCTCTCTCTCTCTCTCTCTCTTACTCTCTTACTCTCTTACTCTCTCTCTTCTATTGCTCGAAGCAACTACAAGCCAGCCTTACTCCTCTCCCACCGTATCAACCAGAAACAGCTACTAGCAACAGGCAACAGCTACTAGCGACAAGCAGCAAGCGCCCTTTTGACTCTCAACAACAAAACAACAACAACAATAACAACAACAACAACAGCAGCAACAACAACAACAACAACAATAAGAGTCTCCTGCGCGCGCGCTCTCTTTTTTTTTTATTTCATTCATTTTTTGTATTCACTCTTAGCACTCACTTTGCAACTCTATTCCCCTCTTCTCTCGCCTTCTCTTTTGTCTGTCTGTCTGTACCTCTGTTGTCTCTTGACTCCCCCCCCTCTTTTCCCTCTTTTCCTTCTCCTCTTCTCTTCTCCTCCTCAATCCGATGGTCGCCATCCCCTCTTCCTCACCGACCCTCGTCTCCTCCGTCTCCATCTTCTCGGCCTCCTCTGCTTCCCCTTCCCCTCACTCTCGCCATTCTCAACCCTCTCAGCACTCTCACCACAACCATATTCAATACAACAACCACAACCACAACAACAACAAGAACAACAAGAACAACAACACCAACCAAGTCGCCCCATCATCCCCCGACTCCTCCTGCTCAAACTCCTGTGCCTCATCCCCTCGCTTCCCATGCCTCGATCCCATCTCCGGTCGCATTCTTAGCCATACTTCGTCTGGTCATATTTCTTCCTCTTTCCAACGCCCTATTATCTCTACTTCTATCTCTACCCCAAACAAGATGCAAAGGTCCTCTCCTTCCTCCTCCATCCCTTCTCCACCTGAGCACAACATCCACTACTACAACTCCTCCCTCCTCGTCAAGGGTCCCCACCCTTCCTCCACCTCCCTCGATCACGTCTTCCCCAACCCACGCACCAAGACCCTCGGCCCCGACGACCGTTCTTCCTCCGACTACTACAATCACCGTCGCATGCACTCCAACAACAACAACAATAACAACAGCGAAGACGACGACGCGTCATCCGTTGTTGTTGACCACCATAATAACAATAAGAACGGCAGCCACTCTCGCATAGATATCGCCAACTTGCTCTGCACCTCTGGTACAACTCCCTCTTCAAACGGACCCACCCGAAACACAACCACCAGCAACAACTCTCTCCCCCCTCCCCCTCCTCCACATACCACAAACGTCAACTCAAACGTCCACGGTCATCATCACGACCCAAAGTCTCTTTCACAACAACAACAACAACAACAACAACAGGGTCTGCGTGCCATCACCGAAGAGGCCGACGATCACGAAGTCTCCCCTCACCACCGTTACCGCCAGCTTCCCTCTTACCCCGACTCGAGAAACGGCAACCATACTAGCAACCACTACAATAACAGCAACGGCAACGCCAATACCAATGGGTCATATTCATCTACCTCGACCGGTCCCTCCCGCGAACCGTTGACCCAGCGCGTCGTTGCTGTCGATGCCCCTGGTGCAGCCCCTTCCTCCGCATCCTACTATAGACCTCCCACCTCCTCCTCTACTTCCTCGTCTGCCTCTCACGTCGGAGCTCGCCCAGCCTCATTTTCTGCCGGTTCCACATCCTCTTCGTCATCATCCGGACCATTGTATTCGTCTGGTGGCTCATCGTCTTCGTCGTCGTCGGCTGCTGTCTACACGTCGGCGCCCTCTCGCTCAAAGCTCCCCGGCCCGCAACAGAGGTCCGCCTCCTGGAACACAGACAGGTACCAAGATTACGGCCAAGGCCATTCGTCAACTACATCGTATGAGCAAGAGCAGCAGAGGCGTACAGATCGCTCGAAGAGCGATTATGCGCTCCATCAACAAAACTATGGTCCATATCTGGATTCGTCACCTCCCCTGAGCGCAGCGACCCTCCCCCGGTCCAATGGCACAACCACCTCCTCTTCTTCATCGTCGTTGAACTCTGCACCCCCTTCCTCCTCTAGTGTCAAGATGCCCGCCTCAGGGGCTGAACCACCGGCTTCCTTGTATTACCAGCAACCACAACAGCAACAGCAACAGCAATCACAACCACAAGCACCTCCTTCACAACAAGCACAGCACCAACAGCAACACTCGCAACAACAACCTTCGGCCTCCACACCAGCATTGTCCTCGTCCCCCTCTGCTTATTACTCGAATGTCCCATCGAACGGGGGTCATGGCACACCCAACAGTGTCCGCTCCCTATCGGCGGTTTCAATGGCTTCATCGTCCTCTCGGTCCATGCGGGACTATCCTCATGCACAAAGCTCAGACAACAGTGCAAACGAACAACTCAGACGGCCTACTCTTCCTCCGCCCTCTGTAAGTTTTTTTTTTCTCTTTTAATCTCCCTATTCTATTTACACTTCATTTTTTTTCCTCTTCTCCCCTCTCTCTTTCCCTCTCTGCCTGCCCTTTTTTATGCTTGCGTGTGTCATATGAACTGACCATGCTTACCCAATGCTGCTCAATGATCCATGCCGATTGCATAAATATTGTCCTTTTGTATTTTGTACTGTCTCTTACGCCGTGAGCACACATGCGGAATTAACACACGCGACTGCATTTTGGTCCATCTCCACCCCTTCCCCCTTTCTTCTTTCACCCACACTTACGCATGCCTTCCACTTTTTTTATATTACTCTTTTGTTCCGGATATGAAATTCCAATCATATAGGCACTGTTGTCAGGAGCAGATGTAAAGCCTGCACGGATCTACGGACGGGACTCAACAGCAGAAGACCTTTGGACACCTCACCCTCGCCCCAGCAGAGTTGTCCCTATCGACGCACCCAACGAGAAACGACCCTACTCTTTCGACAACTCTGCAATGCTCCCTCCAGTCCTGCCACCACCGACATCATCAGCCCCGTCGTCATCCTCGTCTTCATCGCTACTTCCATACTCATCTGGTTACTCAAACGGCTCAATGGAGCAAAAGCAAAGGCGGATATACGGAATCGACGCTGCCGATGTCCCATCACGTTTCGCAGTACCTCCTGCTCTGCCATCTTCATATGGATCGAACGGACATTACGCAAAGCGTCCCCAGGATTCTTCCGATGGAATTGAAGGTGGTGAATCTCGAAAGCGCGTGTTTGGACGTGACTCGGCGGATACGTACCAGCAGCGGCCCTATGGATCGAACACGACTGCTCCTTCCTCATCTGCACCTTCGTATAGCAGCGCTCCCTCCTATGGCTACAATACACCACCGCCTCCTCAGCCCTCCGTATCGCAAAGCCACCACTACTCCTCATCGGACATGGATCGGTCCTCTAGATATGAGGAGTACAAGCATCGTGGATGGTCGAATGGTCAGCCTCCATCATCATCCTCGTCGTCAATGGCACATGGAGGACCTGCCTATGGATCTTCCGCCCCGACGTCGTCATCTCGGGCCTATCCCCGTGCTCAGTCGCCAGATATTAAGCCTCCGTCATGGTACCAGGACTATGCCAACAGCGTTCTTCCCAAACCTCAGACTCAGCCTGCATACCAGCAACAGCGCTCGGATTCAGGCTATTATGGAGGCAGCAATCACCACTACCAGCAACAACAGCACCACCATCATTCGTCTTCGCATGGCTATGGAAAGTCGTCGTCCTTGGCTGAAATCCACGAGATGGAGGAGGACGAAGACGGCAACCTCCATCGTTCGTCAAAGTCTTCCAAGCGGTCCAAGACAGGAATGGGATCGTCACCTTCGGTTCACCCCTTCGACAATGCGGACCCCAACTCGACATCGTCCTCGTCGTCGAAATCCAAGAAGCCCAAGCGGATCAAGAATGCAGCTGGACAGGAGGACATGATTGTGATGGACGACGAGTTCTATGCAGTCAAGGCGAAGCGTAAGAGAGCGAATGCTAGTCAGCTCTCTGTCCTGAACGCGGCGTTTGAGCGGTCGTATTTCCCTTCGACCGAGGAGCGACTCCGGTTGTCGAAGCAGTGCCGTATGTGTCCCCGAACTGTCCAGATTTGGTTCCAGAACAAGCGTCAGAGTGTCAAGGCCCGTTCTGAGGCCATGGAGGCTGCCGTCAATGGAACTGCTATCACGGATGAGTTGCTTGAGTCGAGGCTGCAGATGCTGGAGGAGGAAAGCAACGGTAGCGCTGGTGATGGACAGAAGCGATCGACGGGCGATATGATTGAGGAGGATTTCGAAGGCGACGAGGAGAGTGGTCCTGGCGAACTCGCCGATCCCTCGGCCCACCGTCGTCACCACCACAGCAGCGGTAGTGCTAGCGGCAGCAGCGGCAGCAGCAGCAGCAAGCCGAGACGTTCTTCTGGTAACCCTGCTGGCGTTAGTAGCAACGGCAACGGACACTTGACGCCCTCGGATGCGGTGATGTCGGCTCTTCATATCCAGTTGGATGGTCGCAGTGTCGATTATTTCTCGCGGAAGCGTCGTGCGACGATTGCCAAGATGGAGCGGAACGAGCAGCAGAAGAAGGAGAAGGAGGAACTGCAGCGGAAGCGTGAGCAGGAGCAGCAGTTGATCATTCAGCAGTACCAGAAGCACCAGCAGGAGCAGCTTCAGCAGCAGCGTCTCCAACAGCAGCAACAGCAGGAAGGTCAGACTGTTGGGCACAACTGAGCATTCTTTGTCCGTCTTTACTAGACTCGCTTTTAAATGCATTTTTTTTTACAACTAGTCGCTCCTCAACAGCAACAACAACAACAACAACAACACACTCCCTCTTGTACCATATTAAAAAAATTACACCTTTTTGAACCTTTAAAACCTCTTGGCTGTGTCTAAATGTCTATTGCTTTTTTAACTGTTGTCTCTAATGGCGATTAAATGATAACATGAAAAACTACTACACGGCAAGGTTGTCCTTCAAGTCACGGATACGCTCATCATCATACCCGAGAACGTCCTTCAGAATCTCGTCCGTATGCTGGCCCAACAGAGGTGGTGGGATCCTGATACTAGGTTTCGTCTCCGAGTACTTTACAGCAGGACCTGTCAGTTTAATCTTTCCAGCCTTGGGGTGGTCAATCTCCTGGATCATGTCTCGAGCAATCACCTGTGGGTGTTCAAACGTCTGAGCGATATTGTTGATGGGTGCAAAGGGGATCCCGCGACCTTCTAGTTGTGATAACCAATATGCATTGTCCCTTGTTTGTAATCGGTCTGTAAGGATTGAGATGAGTTCTTTACGGTTCCGGACTCTATCCATATTGGTCTTGAAATCGGGCGATTCTGGCAAGTCGTTCAATTGCAAGACAGAGCATAGGATCTTGAATTGGCCGTCGTTTCCGGCACCGATCATGATGTGGGAGTCGCGGGAGGGGAGGACTTGGTAGGGGACGATGGAGGGGTGGGATGTGCCCATTCTTTTGGCTTCTTGGCCAGAGATGAGGTAAGACGAGGCGATGTTGGCGAGGGTAACGATTTGGGCGTCGAGGAGGGAACAGTCGATGTGTTGGCCGCGTCCCGTTTTGTGGCGTGCGAGTAAGGCGGCCATGATTGCTCCGTGGGCGTATAGACCTGTTGTCAGATCTAGGTAAAGGGCAAGGTGAGAGGGTCAAGGGTTAGCTATTGATGGGTCTGCAAGAAGGTTACGGAAAGAACAAGAAACTGGGAGTGGAAGGGAGGAGGAAAGGGGGGGGGGGTGTTACCAGTGACGGCGACACCGACTTTGACGGGGGTGCCGTTCTCTTCTCCAGTGATGTACATCAAGCCAGCCTCAGCCTCGATCATGACATCGTACCCAGGCTTCATCCTGTACGGTCCTGTCTGCCCATATCCTATTTCATGTTAACAGGAAAAATGTCAGCTTCATTACAACACATAAAGCAGAGAAACAAGGGACCAACACAACCGATCCAGAAAGAAAAACAACGAGAGGAACTAACCAGTGATAGAAGTATAGATGAGACGAGGATTCAACGCCCTCAACTGTTCATACCCCAACCCCATTTCATCCAACTTTCCCGGGACATAATTCTCCACCAGGACATCACACTTCTTGACGAGGTCATGGATCAAGTCGCGGCCCTGGGGAGTTCGGATGTTGACGGTGATGGATTTCTTGTTCCTGTTGACGCCCAAGAAGTATGCGCTTTCCTGGGTCGCGGAGGAGGACGGGTCGATGTTTTTGGCGAAGGGTGGGCCCCATGCGCGAGTGTCGTCTCCACCCCTTGGGTTCTCGATCTTGATCACCTCTGCCCTATTTGTGTTATGTAAAAAAAGAACAATTGATAGAAAGAGTGAGGAAATGCTTGTTCGCGGTATTCTTCCGTGAGTCTCGCTCGTCGTCTTCCTGTATTCCAGCAAATGATACGTACCCAAGGTCTCCAAGCAACTGTGTGCAGTAAGGTCCGGCTAAAAGAAAAATAAAGTACAAGAAGATCGATCGGTCAGTCGGGGATGGATTTAAAAAGTCCGTGACTTTGTGCACTTTGTGGAGAGGGTAAAAAAGTGACGCTCCCTCCATGTTAGAACAGTCAAGCAGGACAAACGGGCAAAAAAAAAAAAAAAAGTAAGAGACCCTTCCTTTTGGTTATTTTTTTTCAAGATCCGATGGGGGTTGATGGCTGGTGGGGTGGCAACGCCCAGATGCGCCTGTCCGTCGCGGGTGATTACTTTGAACCGAAAAGAAACAGCACAAACAAGAAAAAAAAAATTGGGGGATTGTCTGGCTCCTTACCGAGTACACGAGTGAGGTCCAGGACACGAATCCCATCCAACGGCCCCTGGGCTCCTCCCTCTGTTCCTGTAGATGCATCTGTCGTCTTGGTAGCAGATACAGGTGTTGGAGAATGGTCATGCCGCTCCTGATGAGTCTTTGACAAGAGTCCCTCCAGCGTCGTATTGCTGCCCTGGAGTATCGAAGTGGGGTCTACGCCGTCCTTGGTGTCACGTCTTTGGTCGTGTAATGGTCCAGTGAACGAGGAGAACAACGCCCTGCTTCCGGTTGCTGTGATGGCAGCAGGCCGAGGAATGGCGACGGAGGAATGCAACCGGGTCTTGAAGGAGGCTGTGACTAGAGTCCGGAGAGAGGACATGCGGTGGGGACGGGTCATTGCTGCTTGCATCTTGCTTCGGCGAGGTTGTTGATGCAAGAGGAGAAGGGGAAGTAGGTGTAAGAAAATGAAAAAGAGGAAAAGAAGAAGAAGCGAAGGGCGTAACGTTTTCAGGAACAACAACTTCTCACGGTTTTTGTACGAAGCAGTGGCGTGACTTTAAAGAGAAGCACCATCTGAGAAGGATAGATGCAATTGAAAGGCGTGTCGTCAGGGGGATTATGTTACTGTAGTTCATTATGGATGCGTCTTGTTTAATGCATACATGTATGTAATGTCTTGTCTCACAGCTGGGAGTACTCCAATACAAAGTCCTCAACCTCATTACTGGCAGGCAAAGTCGCGCTTGTGGGAAAAGACTCCTCCTCCTCCTCCTGTGTCTGAGCTGGGCGATACTCAGTCAGCGTAGGATTCAACCGTGTCACAGCCATCATCCGTACCCGCTCATGCTCTCCAGTGCTATGATGATACGAATATTTCGTGCGATGTCCTGCACTTGACGAAGTAGTATCGCCGAGTGAGTGGCTTCGCTTCCGGAGGGGCGAGATGCGGACGTGTGCAGGGGATCCTCCACCACCATTAGAGTTATTGTTAACGGTGGCACTTCCTTGACAGTAACTGTGGGGGTTGACGAGGAGTGAGCAGGATGACGTGCAGTATGGGGATAGCGCTATGTACGGTGCTGAAGAGAACTTCCATGGAGACGAGGATGACGACGTAGCTGCAGGCTGGGGAGGCGGTAGGTGTGGATGCGACCCTCCTCCTGTACTTTGCGAATGCTGTTGTTGATCAGTTGCTCCGTGTTCCTGGCTGTTGGATGAGTCGAGACCGATGCTCCAGTCCTCTCCATCACTACTGTCAATCCCTTCACTTGCGCTACCGCTACTCCCACTGCCGCCACTACTGCTGCCACTCGTGTGCTCCAGACTGTAGTACCCATCATCCATCCTCTCCTTCCCATACCGCACCGTCATATCCTGCACATGCCCTTGCGGAGGGGCTGCAGCACCGCCACCAAAAGCCCGATCCTCGCTCATATCGATTGCCAAACATGCGCTCTGCCACCCGGCCATGCCCACCTTGATCACAAACCGATTTCTCAACGGACCCTCAACAACAGTCGGGATCGCACATCCAGCCCGTAAGTCTCCATGCCCCAATGCCCCCTCACAGAAATCGCCCCAAGTCCGGAGTTGCCCGTCTTCGGTGAGGAGGCCTTGGTGATGATCGCCAAACTCGACTTGACAGGCGTTGGTGAGGAGGCGGTCGAGGACGATGGGACAGGTGGAGGATTGGACGTCGTGTTTCCCGAGGAGGACTTTTCCGGAGGAGTGGTGGAGGGCGAAGTTCTGGAAGTTGGCGGAGAGGGTTGTTGGGCGGGAGGACGAGGGTGCGATGAGAGATGAGGAGGTAGAGAGTTCTGAGAGGGAAGACACGGAGAATCGCTGTTGTTGTCGATTGCCGTTGGATTTCGTGGTCAAAATTGTATCTGTGGACATGGCGGAGGGGTGCCAGCTCTGTCCACGGTGATGTCGTTGTCGACGCTCCCATTGATCATGCTCCTCATAAGTCTCTGTCACTGTGTGGCCCAGTGCCTCAGAGAAAATGGGCAAGTACAGTCCAGCACCTACAAGCCGGCCCTTTATCTCGAGCACGCGCTCTTCCTTGCACCCCTCGACCTCGGGCTCAAACACGATCCGATCCTCAAATTCCATACTGTTCTGTAGTTGTCCGGAGGCGTCGATATGGTTGTGATGGTGGTGACCATGTTGATGATGATAATGGTGCCGCGAAGCACGATGACGATGATGCTGGCGATGCTGCTGGCTATGAGATGCATCTCTGGGGGTCGCCGAGGTCGACAGAATAGCGTCAGTATAGTTATAATGTGGCGAATCCCACCGCCGAAAGACATAAACCTTCTCCAACGACGTCACCGCAACGACATAATCCGTCCCAGCAGCAATCCCTACAAACTTGTCCCCATCAATCACCGAGGCCTCATACCCATCGGGGCCTTGCTCCTTCAGTTGAATCGAATGCTCAACATGGACTCGATGTTGATACCGCCCGTCGGCTGCCAGTGGTGGTTTCCAGGCATATATCTTTCCGGACCGAGTCAATACAGCACAAATATCCCACCCAGCTGTAATCTGCTCGACCGGATCGTAGTCCTTCTCCTCGGTGAGACTTGCTGCTAGTCCTTCTAGGATTCCTTCTGTAGATGATAATGATGTTGGGTAATACTGTTGAGTGTGGGATCCAAGAGTGACCTTGACAGCCTTGTTCTCACGGCACCACTGCCAGAGCTGTCCAGAGGCATCAACTGCCAAGACGACCTGTCGTCCTGCCGCGATCTGGACCACGTTTCGTGGACGCCTCAACATCCTCGGCATTGAATCCGATCGAATCGCATTCGACTCCATGATTCCTATATGTTCACGTTGTCGAAATGAACAAAAGAAAAAAAAAGAGATAACGCTAATTGTTTAGCGTGTAAAGTAACCATATGATAATATGATGGATAATGACGCAACGGTTGTATAAAAAAACAATGAAAGGAAGATGACCTACGACCCCAAGCCCAAACGTTGCCGTTCTTGTCGAGGGCATGACAGCCCCACCCAGTCGGCGCCAGCTCCAAAATCCCGACGCCATCCAGTTTCCGGATCCGTTTGGGTACACTCTCATAAATCTTTTTCGGTGTCCGTCCATAACCCAGTCGGCAGTCGCTGTTACTCCCTACATGAAAAAAAGAGAACGGGTATCGTGTGTCTCGGTTAGATCGTTCTAGTCCGTGCGATATGAAAAAATCGTTTCATTTCGTCATGAATACAATAAACCGCAAAAATGAACAGAAACGTTACATTACCCCAGGTGTAGACCTCCACACGGTCCATGGCCTGATAGATTCGCTTCCAGCTCCCAAGTTGCCTCAAAGTCCTGTTGGGTCGATGATGGAAATCATAAAAGAACTTGCGTTGCCAAAGGTAGTCCGCTTGACATAGTTGTTGCATGGCATTGGAGACAAGAGCTAGGCGTGCTAGGTCGGAGAGTTCGAGGATGACTAGGATTTGACCGACGAGGATCTCGAAAGGGAGTTGAAAGATATCTGTTGGGTTTCGTTGCTGTTGCTGTTGTTGCTGGGGTGTTGTCGAGTCGGAGGTTGTGGGTGCGAACCAGGTTGGTAAGGAGGATGTTGGTCCGAGCACGGAGAGTGAGGAGAAAGGAGGGTCGCCTGGGCTCTCCATCGTTAACAGCGTCGTGTCTGTGTCTTGCGTAGCTTCATCTTTGTTAGTGTTGGTTGTGTGAGAAGTTCTCCTGCGGAGGGTCATCGCCGTATGGTAGTGTTGAGGCTCCATATCTGAGTGTCTGTAGAAGAAGAGAGATGAAGACGGGAAAAGAAAGTGTGAAGTGTGTATAAAACGTTGAGCATTTGACGTGTTGTTTCAGTAGAGGAAAAAAATGCGCCCTCGCGTGACAGCGATCTCATTTGTCTTGAATCAGCCAGCCTTTTCGCAACAAAAGCCGACTCAGTTCGATTCGACTATCCGTGACTTCGTGCTGTACTCTACGAACCCCTTCACGTCCTGAATGAAAAAGAACGCGAATATAGTGATTATTTCCTACCCACTCTAGCATCGAAACGATGTATCAGGGTTTTCTAGCCGGCACTACCATACCAAACAACGTTGAATTGGAATGAGATATCTTTTCTCTCATGACCAGCTACTCATTCGTGTGCTTGTTATATTTTCTTTCATGTCGCGTACACACATAGGAGACTATCCCGCAATTCAGGAGAAGGATGTGTAAGAGAGCAATGAGGTACATACATGTATACCCTCTTTTTGTTTGTGTTGTTGTAGGTGCGACCAGACGCGTAAAATTGCAATTTCGATATAGAAGAAATGTGAGCACGTAGAGAAGGCACCGCATACAAACATTGATTGTTTGTTGATCGATCTCATTTCTCAGTTGCACCCACTCCACCTCCATCTTCTATTCCATCTAGTAGCCTCTTCATTCCGATTAGATGGAGCAATCGACAGCCTGATTGGCGCCTATCCATATCCTACCCTTACATTTTTATCTCCCCCCCCCCTGCATTGACCCGAAACCGAGTCAATTGTTCAAGGATTTCTGTTGTTTCTCTACCACGCCATCTATACTCTCCTTCCTCTCCTTCGTCCTCGTAAAAACAATTGAGCATACAAGAGTCGCCATTCTTTTCTCCTTCCCCTTGAATCTCACGGCGGTTAATACTCCCGATAGCTCGGAGAGAAAGGAATTCTTGGATGAGAAATGAAAGAGAAAAGGAGGGGAGAGGGGATCAATGGAAAGGGGTTTGTGTCGTGCCAATTGGGTGTCCGTAGTTTGTTCAATGCTCCCCTGCCCCTATTCATTGTAGACAACGCGACGAGGCATGGTGACTTTATTATTATTTTCCTTGTATGAAGCATACTCGTGATCTGATGCCATGTTTTTCTGGTGGTAGGTCAGGTTTCACTCAGAAAAATAAACGAGCAGATGACATCAACGGTCAGGGTATCAAGCATCTCTTGTGCACCCTACTCTCCATCAATTTTCCGGAGTTTTTCCTCCTTTCAAAGTCGCATCAAAACATGGTGGACGGAATGAATGTGGATGCTCTCTCAAGTTGTAACCGTTTTTTTTCCCTCTCTCCCATGCGTCTAACCCATCTCTCCCATGCGTCTAACCCATCTCTCCCACGATGTAAATCGCCCTCTTCCTTCCAGTCGAACCATTTATTCACTTTCATGTCTTGTAATTCTCTCAAATACAAACATGGATCATTACTGGGACCTGATGAACCCGTCGAAAAATGAAGGCAACAGAAAAATTGGGTCGGGGTCACCAACTTGACACACACACAGACATTTACCTGCGGACCAATCCGATACGCTGGGTTTTTGTGGTATTAATCCGTCCGTCCTGAACGGCTATTGTGTCGGCCATCGAAAAACGATGTTTGGATGTTTATTTTATTCCCTAGTTTTTGATCTCGTCCGCGATGGAGAGTGATCAGAAGGATATAGGAAGAGCATGCGATTAGAACAAGAGAAAAAGGACGACGAGTTTCGTACTTGCGAGCGGAATAGGAGCAATTGGCACGTCCCCTTGATTTCTTATGCATACGAAGATACATTTCGTTTGTTTGATATTAGGGTGTGGAGGTAGGTACTTTTCGTTCGGACCATGATAATGCGAGGAGACGATCGGTGCTAGCAAAAAGGAGCGATGGATAGAAAATGAACACCAGCGTAGGACAGGGTACAGTGGCCGGGATACAAAAGCCAAATTGGTACCTGCAGCCCATCTTAATGGCCCATACGCCCACGGTGGAGTGGGCTTGTGAGAAAACCTTAGTCCTTCTTCCTTCCTGTGAATGAGGAGCATAGACTCTGACTGAGCGAAACTTTACACTGCCAGAAAGCAATCATTTTTTCAGATCTCCGGCATAGCACAATCACTGGTGTACCTCAAGAAAGAAACGCATTCATTTCCATACCTCTTATGAACACTTTAGTTGCATGTTAAAACGAAGTGGATACCTCAATCTATGATCCCCTACTACGAAAACAAAGATGACCAGGAGGAGGGGGAAGGGAAAGGGGCAAGCTCTCATATCTGTCAGAGGTAGGTAGACAGAAACGACCTCATATAGGAAAATAACCTGAATGGCTCCCTCTTTTCCTACCACCTTTCCCCTATCGTGGCTCCCCCTCCTCCTACTGTTGCCTCATCCCTTTTTCTCCAACAACAAAAGAGAGATCATACAGCTGTATACCATAGTGACATTACGAAGTTTGATAGGGAGACATACACAAAAGGGATTGACAAAAATATTGATGTTTCTTTGTGTCAGTCACTGTGGTACGCTCACTGCACGTTTTTTTTGCCAACGGTTCCTTTTATTATTTGTCCTGTCGTTGTGGTTCACTTGCGATCATTGTTACCGCCTGCAGATACTCAATCAGAAAACGAGGGATCTAACAGTTTTGACGGCCTGGGGCTGTCCTCCCTACCTCCCTTCTTTCTCTACCGCTCTTACTTTTCCCTTTCCTTGACTCAATCCTTCCAAGGTCCCCCCTTCTCCCTTACTCCCGTGCATATGGAGGTCTAGGGCAAATCGATTTGTTTCCACATCCATCGTACGTTATTACTTTCGTCGCCCATTCTCTATTTCACTCAACTCGGCAATTATTTGCTTCTACATAAAAGCAAAGGACTTAAAGAGGGCTTCATGATACATGATCGATGGCTGACTAGCAATAAACGAGTTGCATGATCCAATGTAATAAACTCTCTAGATTTGCCAAATGAAAATTATGAAGAGAATGATCGTGCCAGAAGATAATAAGCCTTCTTTTCTTACCAAATAGCCTAAACCTTGTACCTGCGTATGTGTATCAGAGTGTGTGCGGTAGAAGGCAAGGTACAAGAAACACTAATGGCAGGGGAAGGAAAGGGAAGTATTGGGCCGTCCGTACCATAGGTACATTTTGTTTATTTGATGTCGAATGTGAATGTATGACCCAAATTGCTAATTTCCCGCTGCACACATGCCCATAGGTGCCTTTTTCCAAAACAAATAGCTAGGGGTTGGTTGTGTTACTTCATCAAAGCCTTTGTATGTGATGAAATTCATGTCGCTCCAAACCTCGCTCGATCATGGCATTCTTTTTTCCTTTTTCTTTTTCTTTTCTTTAGGTGGCGAGTAGAGATAGAGGGGGGAGGGACAAATGTTCACCGTCAAGAGTGAGGAGAATGAGAGTGAAGGACGAGAGTAAGAGTCAGAATGGGGGTGGAGATATGGCAAATGAGGGCCCCGTAACAAGCCCGTTCCACAGAATGGTCTCTCGGAAGTTCAAAACATAATTTTGAAAAAAAAAGGGTGCACCCTTGATCGGAGTTCATCCAAGTCTCAAGTGTTCGCATCAAACCTAGAAGTATTTCGTCACTTCAGGAAAAAAGGTCAGGGGTACATGGATCCAGCTTTGTATAAATACTAGACGGTTCGTCCACTTTTTTTTTCGACATCAACATCCTCTCTCTTCCCTTCCTTCAATTGACTTGAAATCTCCTCTCAACAAAAGGCTTTTGCTTCTCCATCACTTCAACAACACATCTCCATCCACCACACACTCACCAACACCACCAACGTTTTCACCAAAATGATGTTCAACACCACTTTTCTCGCTGCCGCCATGGTTGCTTTCTCTGCCTTGACCGTTCAGGCCCATGTCGGACTTTCGTACCCCTGTGGCCGTTACCAACCCGCTGCCGGATGCCCTGCTCCTCCACGTACGTGTTTCTATGGTTGTCTTTGTTCTTCTCTCAGGTTTATTCCATGCATGGGTGCTTTGGTTGTGGGATGATCGTGGCACTTCCGTGCCTTCTTTTTTAGGATTTCAGTTCCCCTGTCTTGCTTTCATGGGTTCTCTGGTCTCTCTCTTTGTTTCTCAGCAATCAACTAACCCATCCTTCAATTTTCTTTCGTGCGGTTAACAATAATATAATAGCTGGCCAGTCGATTGACTACGATGTCAACGCTCCCATTTCCACCTCGGACTCGATCAACGCCCCTCTCTGCAAGGTAATAACCCAGATCCAAAACCACGGGTGATTCAATAAGGGGATTCCATCACATTTCCCAATGCCCCTGTTCAAATTACGCTACACCGCCCCGCTATTTTTTTGTTGGTGCCCCCGGCTCTCTGGCTCTCGCCACTATTTGTGCTGTGCTGTGCCTGTTTGTGAGCATCAATAATGACATGGGAGCACAAGCCCCTGCTCATTTTTCATCTGTGATGCCCCTGGAAAATTACGGTTCCTGAATATTTTTTATCCCTCCTTCCTTGATCACTGATGTCTCACCACATGGCACTTTTATGGTATCCACTCCCACATTTCCACATCCTTTGTCTCTCTGTGTCTCAATAATATTAACCCCTCTTCTCCATCTTCTCCTTAACAGCATACGGTGCCATACACTACGCGCACGACCTTCAAAGCTGGACAGACCATTCAGACAAAGTACTCTGTCGGTGCCTCGCACGGCGGTGGACACTGTCAGTGGGCCTTGTCCTACGACAACGGCAAGTCCTGGGTCGTCGTCAAGACCATGATCCGTGACTGCCTCCGCGGCGCCCAGGGTTCGTACTCTGTCCCTGTCCAGATCCCTGCCAACGCTCCCTCTGGCAAGGCCACCTTCATGTGGCTTTGGTAAGCCCTCTTTTTTCCTTATTGCTTTGATTAACACAACGCCACAAATTTACTATTTCTTATGAGACACTGCAAGGGGAAACCGATCATAGGCTAACCTCATCTTCCTCTCCCTCCCAATTACCATAAATCCCCTCCGAATGAAATAGGAACAACGCCATTGGTAACCGTGAGTTGTACTCGAACTGTGCCGATATCGTGATTCAGGGCAAGAACGGAGGTCAGCTTAAGGGTGTTGCTCCCCTCATTGCCAACCACGGCAAGGGCTCGCCTATCATTCCCGAGTTCCCCCTCACCACCCAGTCCGATGGCAGCGACCTCTTTGCCAAGCGCAAGCCTATCACCATCACCGTCAAGGCCACGTAAATCCATGTCTCCCATTTCATGTCATGGTTCACAGTCATGAGAAGGGGTTACAGAGAAGAACCAAAGGAGCGCCCTTTTTTTTCTTTTACTCTTTGAAACCTTTACCTCTCTGCCTTGTTCTCTACCTCATTTTGTTCTCATTTATCATCCCTTTCTCAAAAAGCATATCCATCTTGTAACCTTTTCTCCTATTCATCGCATTGTACGATTATCTCTCTCACAAAAAAAAAAAAAAAAAAAAAAAAAAACTCAAAAAGCAGGACTTATGAACACAACTCTTTCAAGTAGATTAGAAAGCACAAAATTGGCGCTGGTTCGTCATTCACTTTAATTCTTACTCTGTTACCCCTCTTCGTCCATACTTCTCCTTTCCCCCTCTTTTGAAACACAATTCAGCCTGTATGAATAAAAAAAGTCGTTGTTTCCCCTTATTTTGCTTCTTTTGACAGTTGTGTTTGATTGATTGATTGTTTGATTTGATGAATGATTTGGTAATATTGCGAGGAAAGATTGCAAAGAGGAAGAGTGTGAGACAGAGTGAAAGGAATGAAAGGGCAAAGTGTGCAGAAGTGAGACAGAAGCAGGAAAGAAGAAGAGAGGAAGTGGTAAAAGAATAGAAGAGGATGAAAAAAAAAGGAAGGCCATGACTCTCTCCTCCAACCATCCCTCGATCTGGGTTTGTGTGTATCTGAAATGGTGGGATAAATGCTGATGCTTGTTACGTGCTCCTAACAAACAAGCGATATTGCCGGTGCACAATCAAGATTCCTCCTTCCATAGCCCTCGTACACAACCCTCACAAACACATGCAGCTGTCAATCTCTCTAACGCCCTCTCTTCTCTGCCTCTCATTTTCCAACCGAGAAAAGGATTCTCCATAGCACAGCAAAATGGCGCCTTTTTGACTCTCCGTTTACCCTCCAGCTCTCCAAGATGCATAGTACACAAAGGGCGGGTAAAAAGAAGGGCAAAAAGGATAAAATGATGGGCATCGCAGCACTATGATGAGAGGGTCATAAGAAATGGCGCGGTGTACAAAAGAAAAAAAAAAGGTTTAAGAGGGTTAACAGGATCGGATATGCAATGTGCCTGTAAGGTGAACAGAATCCGAGGGTAGAAAGGTGCGTATTGTAGAAGGGCGTACAACCCTGTGCCTTTCTGCGTTCGGACAAATGATTATTTTGAGCTAAAATATCGGTAGACGGGTGGGGTGAACGAGGGCGGAAATGTCGTGATTTGGTGCTACGCCTTGTATCATTTTTGGCTGCTGCTCGCACACTGCAGCGACGATATTCGCCATCCTACGCTTTAAGGTGTGTGGTGCGATATTGGTACAGGGAGGAGAAATGAAAGTAAGAGCGGGGAAAAGAAGGAAGGAGGTGTGAGAAAAAGATATGACTCTCTGTCTCTGTACAGGTGAAAGGGTTTCTACGTGCAGAGAAAGGGTCAATTGGAGCTAGAGAATTCGACTGCTCTTTGAGGGGAAGCAAAGCGCCATTTGGCCCCATCGCTTCGTATCGAACAACGATGAGTAACAAAGGGAACCTGTAGGCGCCGCCCATTGAGGTTTTCGCGATTAGCGGATTGCAAAGCAGCATGCTAATTATCGAATCGATTATCGATCGTCAAGTCAGGTGTTGGTATAAAAGGGTTCCTGAAAACGATCATGTTTTCCGACTCTTCATTGTTCACTTTCATTCTCTCCTCCACCATACCCGCTCTCTTTCACACAAACCTTCAACAAACCCTACACCCTTCACAACACACACATACAACAATGGGATCCCTCACCGCTGAAAACAACATTGTCCTCTCCGCCGACGACAAGGACACAACACTGGCTGACCGCAACACTCACGCCACCCGCGTCGCCGGCCTCGGCTCCGACCCTGAGAAAAAGGCCCTCTTTGCCAGCGTTACCAAGCGCATCGATTACACCCCCAAGTTTGGAACCGAGCTCCACGGTATCAAGCTTTCCCAGTTGACTGAGCAGCAGAGCGAGGAGTTGGCCGCGCTGATTGCTGAGCGTGGTGCGGTCTTTTTCAGAGACCAGGATGATTTGGATTATAAGGAGCATGTCAAGCTCGGCAAGCGCTGGGGTCCTCTTCATGTTCATCCTTTGGTCCCTCATACCCAGGATAACCCCGAGGTCATCGTTCTTGACTCTCGCCTCAGGTATGAACTGGTCGATTGACTTAGCAAGGCCGCTATGGAGGGCGCATGTGTCTTTATGCATTGGCTTTTAACACCTTTTTTTCTCTTTCACATCCTATCATACACTACATCTCTTAGCCCTCCAAGCAGATTCAACACGAACGACTCGTGGCACTCTGACGTCTCCTTCGAGCCCGCCCCAGCCTCATTCTCGATCCTCAAGTTTGAAGAGATCCCTGAAGCCGGCGGTGACACGATCTGGTCAAACGGCTACCAGCTCTACGATGACCTCTCCCAGCCTATTAAGACCCTTCTCGAGGGCCTCACCGCCACCCACTCCTCCGACATCTTCAAGATCCTGACCCAATCTTCCGGCCGCAAGACATTCGGAAAACTCAACGATTCCGTCCACCCCGTCATCCGGACCAACCCCGTCATCCGGACCAACCCCGTCACGGGCTGGAAGTCTGTCTACGTCAACCCTGTTTTCACCCGCGAGATCAATGATCTGAACCCAATCGAGTCCAAGTGGATCCTGGACTACCTTGCAGATCTGGTCTCCAAGAAGTTGCAGTACCAGATTCGGTTCCATTGGAAGAAGAATTCGGTCGCCATTTGGGATAACAGATCGACTTATCATACGGGTGTGCCTGATTTCAGACCTTACCACCGTCGTGGTGTTCGTGTCACTGTTTCGGGCGAGAAGCCTTTCTATGACCCCGCCTCGGGAACTCAGGCTAAGGCTTGGGAGGTTACTGCCAAGGCTATTGTTGCCAAGCAGGAGGCTACTGAGAAGGCCAACGTTGAGAAGGCCAACGTTGCGGCTCAAGACACTGCATCTGCTACCACCGCTTAAACTCCTCCCCCTTTCTCTCCTTCCATTTTTTGTATATAATAACTCCTCTTCTAACGTAATAAAGCTATGACCATGGTCAAGCTGTTTCCAAGTTTACTTTATTATTGTATCAAGTAAAAGTTGACCTCTAAGACCAGACCCACGAGGAACCATATCCACCAGTAACCCATCCTCCATGCTCAGAGGGCAACGAGCTAGGTCGATCTGGAAACTGCACCAGACGTGGCGTGGGCACATCCAGGAGGTCCTTGTTCCCAGTATTATCGACACCACCACCACAGTTACCGTGTTCGTTCCAACCCCAAGCATAGCAATCGCCCGACTGTGTCATGGCCAACGTGTGTTCGGATCCACAGCTGTACGAGACCAACGATTCAAACTCCAATCCCTTACGTTCTTCACCACTGCCCTCTTTCCGTCGAACAGGGATCCGGACCTGAACGATCCCCACCGGAACATCCCCCGCCCCTCTATTTAGATTAACAGCCACGGCACGATAAGGTAGACCACCGCCCAGTTGGCCATGATCGCTCCTACCCCAGAGATAGATAGTCGTCATGGCAGTCGGATCATCAACAAGCGGCCTCGTATCCATTGCGGCGTTATGGTTCCACCCACAAGAAATTGAGTCGACAAAGGGTAATCCAACGACCTGTTCAAATCCTATCCGGAAGTCCACCTTCTTTCCCTTATCCGTACCTTCCTCGCTGTTGCGTTCCACTGCCGCTGCTCGAGGTCCGAGTTGCCCATACTTGTCGAGTCCTGAGGAGTAGACGGCACCGTTTGAGAAGAGGACCAAAGTATGGTTCTGTCCGCACGCCATGTCTAGAATCTCCGGCTCCTCATCCTCGATCCTTGTACCTGCGTCTGCACCACTACCGCCGTGTTGTCGTCTTGTGGTAGCCGCCGAGATGACGATCCGAGTCGGTTCCATAAACTTGCCCCTCAACTCCTTCTCTGTGAACGGCATCGTCGTTGTAGAATCACCATCACTCGATCGCGTCAGCACTCCAAGCTGTCCCTGCCTGTTACTGCCCCAGCCCATCAGAACCGTAGTTATCGTTCCATTGTCCTGGCCAGCAATACTCCTGGTCTCCTTGGCCAACAACAGGACATGTCGCAATCCAGCCCTGACCTTGACCAAATCAAACCGCGTACCAGAGGATCCTCTTGTGCCGAGAAGGCCTGTCGTGATAGGAATAGCTTGTCCGCCAGTCTTGTAACGTCCGAGTCCGAGTCCGAGTTCTCCAAAGGAACCAGAGCCCCATGCATAAACCATTTGGTTGTTGTTGTTGGAGGCGGCGATGGTGTCGTGACTGTCGGGCGTTGGACGACAGGGTTCTGTGAGGCCGATGGTGAATGCCCAGCCGCACGCGACCGATCGCCACCGAATACTGCTGTTGCCGTCCTTGTTCGAGTCTGTAGATCGACCCCTACTCTCCTTGCCCTGGTCCTTGTTCAATTGCTGTTGCTGTGGCGGTTGGTGTTGAAGGCATCGAGACACTTCAGCAGGCTTGAAAACTTGAGAGGCCTCTCTCAAGAGCGTCTCGCCATCCTTGTTTGACCCCGTCATAAACAACTGTCGACCGCCGTGGGTAATGAGTGCAGTATGATTTCCTCCTGCCGCAAAGTCGTGGAACGGCTTGATGGCATTCACATGCGGCCTCGTTGTTGAATCCTTGTTGCTGTTGCCATGATGTTGAGGTGATGAAGAGAGCAAATTGTCGGTGAAGGCGATGTTGGTGGTGTTGATGGAAGAGGAGTGAACGGGTTGTGGGGTGGATGTGTCGTCGTCGGATGCGATTCCGAGCTGGCCATTTCCGTTGGACCCGAATGCGTAGAGGCCTGCTGGTCCTTGTCCTTTGTCCATGGGTTATCCTTCCTCCTTCCTACGGCGCTGAGTGGGGAAGAGAAGAAAGTCAAAATTCGATCGGCTTGTCCCAGGCTGCGATAATTCCACGTCACCCCATTTGCTCGGCGCTATCTTGTCTTTTTGTTTCACGAAACAGCTGCACCCATTCAAGCGCGCCTTCTCCTTTCGTCAAGGACTTGATGACGGTTGCTTTGTTTCCACGATCTTCTTTACTGTTCTAAAGGCTGGAAGTCTCTGTACAACAGCAACAACCAAATGAATCAAGGAAAGCAAGAACAACGGACTCGAAGACTAAAAAAAAAACTTTAATCGACACTGGTGTACGCAAAGGCGCACATCTTTCCCACCAATGTCCAAAACAAATTGTCTAAAGTTGCCCAACAAGTTTCTCTTTTCTTCCATTCCTTTGGCACACGGCTCCAGCACACAATTACCAGGAGCTCAAGTGTTATTCGCTGGCCTTCTTTATCATTCTGGACTGGAAGGATGAAGGTGTGCGAACATTTGAATTTGTTGTGCTCACAAAAAGAGAGGCGTGTTTGTGTGTGTGTGATAGTGTTGTTCTTCCAGAGACGAGGGATCGTGTTCCTATTGGCCCACATCAGCTGCAAACACACATGCGAGCAAAAAAAAAGAGAGAGAAGAACAAAGAGCAGCGTTCCCACCACCCACCATTGGACAAGCCATCCATCGACTCTTGAATGAAAAGAAGACGAAGGAAGGTCAAGGAACAGGAACAGGAATAAGAATGATCAAGTGGTGCCTGAGGGGAAGTCCCCTTCTGACTGATCACTCTTAATGGCTACTGATAAAAGAAGAGTGAGACGAAGAAGAATGGTGATTGATGATACTCCCTCCCTCCTTCAACCATCATTTGCCTCTTTTCGCACAAAGAACGAAAAAATTAGAGTATTTTCTCAGGTGAAATGTTCTCGAATTCAAGGGAAGAGTACAAAGATGAATGAAAAGGTGAGCGATCACTCTGTCAGCCAGCACATAATGCAATGAACCAATCACAAGAGCCTACATGGGCCAACGGACGGCCACCCCTTCCGAAGTCAAGGACTTGCCTTTGTCCTTTGCTCGCGCTTACTTCTTATCACAACACGCCCTTTTCTTTCCTCCTCTTCTCCTATTTCTCCTCCCTCCTTTCCTCTTCTTCTCTTTCCTCTTCTTCCCTCTTCTTCACACAACCTCATCTTTCTTCCCTTTTTATTCCTCATCATACAACAGAGATGAAGCTCTTCCAGTCATCCGTCGTCGCAATCTTCGGCGCCATCGCACTCATCGCCTCCCCCGTCACAGCTCAATACGGCGCCGAAGACCAAGCAGCCAACCAGGAGAACCCGGGCGGCCTCAAGGGTATCGTTTCCTTCGTCAAGGCCTACGTCACTGGAGGCCTCCCCTCTCAGAACATGTTCGAGTCCGAGCCTGTGATTACAAACATTACCGATGCCAACTATAAGGCCACCATCTTTGAGGACGAGTGGATCGTTTGTTTGTAAGTTTCTCTTTCTTTTGTTATTTGCTTTTTTTTCGTGTTGTGGAAGTGTACTGTATGTTTGTTATGTTCATGGACCGAAGGACGAGGCAGGAGCAAGGATGCGAAAGGATACAATGGACAATCAAGGACCAGCACAACACTCGGGAAGGAAAAAAAAGTAAAACTCAGGGGACATTGAAAACGAAAACCAAGAAAGAGAGCGCACTACTCGACGCACAGGAAGAAAAGACTGTATTCAAATCGCAATCTAGACCTAACTCACGACATAAAGCATACTCACGCATAACCCTCCTTCACTCGTTCTCTCTCTCAAAGCATTTCGCCTTTGTCGGCCCCCTCTGCAGATTACTACCCCACCTTCGTCGACGCAGCCAAGACCCTCCAGGGCGAGACCAGTACCAAGTTTGCCCAGGTCTGGGTCGAGGACAGTGCCCACATCTCTGCTCGCTTCTTGATCCCTGCCCGTCTCCCCTACCTTATCTATGCCAAGGATGGCGTCTGTAAGTCTCCTTTCTTTTTCTTCGCCGTTGCCAGTTTAATTTTGACCCGTGTCGAACAGCACCGAGAAGGGTCTTTTACTAAACTTTTCTTATTTTCTGTATGTTTCTTTACCCTAATAGTCCGTCAGATCCCCTATGTTAGAAACAACACCGAGTTTTTGGTCGAGTTCATTGAGGAGGAGAAGTACAAGTTCTACCCTGTCCTGGATGGTCCCATGGGCCCTTACTCCTTGTTGTAAGTTTTTGTTTTGTACTTTTTTGTCATTTTTTTCTCACGACGAATTTACATTTTTTTTTCCACACCAAACATCTTGTTTCTAACCGCCTTCCCTTCCCCTCGACAACTCTTATTTAATCAAATAGGTCGGGATTGATGGAGAAGTACGCTGACGGAATGGACTGGATCCACCAGTACACCTACTGGATGCCCAAGTGGGTCATCTACATCCTCGCCGGTTCCCTCTCCGGTGTCATCTTCTCTCTCTTCTCTGGTGGATCCAGCTACTCTTCTGACCCTTCCAAGTATGCCCACCTCAACCCCGATGGTACCCTCAAGAAGACTGTTACCGATGGCGAGTCGAACAAAACCCAGTCCAAGACCACCAAGAAATCTACTTCCTCTTCAACAAAGAAGCGTTCTTCCAAGAAGGCTCAGTAAAGGCTGGATTGAGCAAAAGGAAAAAATTCTTTTTTTTGTTAAATATTGTTCTCTCTTTTCGTTTCTCTCTTTTATTCACGCAACAACCATAATATTGTAATATTTTCTCCCCCCACCTCCATAATAAAATAACAAAAACTCATCATTAAAAAAAAAAAAAAAAAAAAAACCCACGCACGCACGCACACATGCATCCTTGTTCAAACAGAAGCGAAAAGTTGGGGGAGTAGATAGATCTGATATTTATATTTAGGAATTGGTTTGTTTTATTCAGTGTGTGCTGTTGAGTGAGCGTATCGTTTTTGTTTTGTTTTGTTTTTGAAGACTACAGAGAGATGTAAGAAAGCAAAAATATGGTCATGATAAAGGGCAAAAAGATGAGAGGAGCAGGTTCGTGAATGAGAGGATACTAAGGGATGTCATAAGGGGCTTGTTTTTCAGAAAGCAAAAAAAAAGAAAGATGCATTTGAAAAAGAACAAAAACTAAAAGGGTATAGAAAAAACAGAAAAAAGTAAACTACAAAGAGAGTGATCGACATGCTTTAGCGGTCGGTCAGGAGGGCATCGGGTCCGCGGTAAACGGCAATGGCAAGAGCAGTCGACAAGATCGAGATGAATCGGCACCAGCGCCAGACAAGACGGAAGAGCACAAACACGCTCTGGACCATGCCAAAAATACCACGACGCGACCGACGGCCAAGGTAGTAGCCATCCCGACGAGGGTTGTAGCCGAACGACGAGGCATCATAGTCCTCGAAATGGGCCCAGCCAACAACAGACTCTTCATCGTCCTCTTCATCGTATGACGAGTAGTCGCTGTAGTCATCGTACAGATGGCAGCAGCATTCGCCATCGGGGCTCGACGCACGGAGGTCATCGCCGCTGCCGTGGTGGTTACCATTAAGGTTGCTATCATGGTGGTGGTGGTGCATGGGATCCGAGCAGTCCGAAAGATCCTCATCATCGTCAGATCCGGATCTGGATCCGCCTTGGTGACGGCGCTTACGGAGCTGGTGGTGGTGATTCTCTTGACGACGGCGGTAGAGTTGGTACCGCTCGACATCGCTGTCCTCGCCGCCGTGGCTTTCAGTCGTCATGCCACCGGCATCAGTATCGGTGCCGACAGGTTGGAAGCGACTGCGACGGTGGTGCTTCTTGCGGATGCAGTTCGACGACTCACAGGCAGACTCTTCATCCATATCAATGTTGCGGATCCTCTGGCGCCAGCCCTTGACGCGTCCACCGGTATCATCCGAGAAGAACTCGGACTCGGAGTCGTGGCGATGGTTCTTGAGGGCCTTGGGGGACTTTGGAGCATGGATACCAGGGAGGTGGATTTGCTGCTGTTCCTGTTGATCGGCAACAACGCGAGGAGGGCCAAAGAAGGAGACATCGCGGAACCATTCCGACTCGAGTTCTGCCAGAAGAGTACGACGAGGGCGTTTGGGTCCAGTGGGTTGACCACGGAGGTTGGGCGATTTGACGACCATGGGTTGGGGGGTCGACCCATGGAGGATGGTCTTCAGGGCCTTGAAATCGGCATCGTCACGGCGCCAGAGACTCTGCATGGGCGACGAAGGCTCTGAAGGCGACATCAAAGGCGAGTTCATCTGTGAGAGCCTTGAACTCATCGTGCTGACGGTGTTCTGCAACTCTTGAATCGTGTTCTCCAACTCCCGGACGTGGGACGTCTGATTGTTGTAGGCGCTCTGGAGGTCAGAGAATCCACAGAGATTGGTCATTAGGTCCTCATGGTCCTTCTGCATATCGAGCAGATCCTGAGCAATCTGCGCAGTCTTCTTGTCAGCCTCGGACTTTTGCTGCACCAACGACAAGTTCATCCTCTCGAGCGACTTGAGACGGTCCCGAAGCTCCTCAAAGATGCGGTTATCCTCGGCAAGCATCTCCTGAATGGTCATGTCATCCCCCTGCATTTCAACCGCCATAGTCGCCATAGTCGATCCAGGAATAGATCCAGGGGCTGGGAGCTGGTTCTTGAGTTGGATCCTGCGCATGCGAATCATCCGACTGGCCTCAATCAACCGTCCGTTCTGTTCCTCGAGATCAATTGCCTTGGCCGTCGACCTCTCGAGCTCGCTCTTGACCGTCTTGATCTCCTGCTCAGCCTTGCGACTGCGCTTGAAAGCCTGTCGTCGTCCTTGCTTGAGCTCCTTTGTCAAAGCGTCAAACTTCATCTGAAGCTCAGTGTTGCGATTCTCTAAACTGGCCAGTTTCTCAATATCCTGGCGTGATCCCGACCGCATGTTGAATCCACCATTGTGGCTCTGATTCCGACGGAAGCCGTTGTTTCCTCCAGAAGAAGACAGTAGCGACGACGAGTGAGTCATGGATCGGTGCTGACCGGGTTCGAGATCATCGACCCAGTTATCGTCGTTGGTATCGACCTCGGCCCCCAATTCGTCAAGGCTAAATCCGACTCCCAAGCTGCCGCTAGTTGTTGAAGTCTCGGAGGGGGGCGAGATTTGGATGCTTCGAGGTTGCAGGAACTGTCTATGCTTGTTGTGTGCACGATGCTGTCGGATCTGCGTGAGGACCTTTTGGTATTTAGCCTCGAGGCTGTTGTTGGTTGTTGCAAGGTGGTTGTTGGTCTGTTCCAAATGGTTGTTCGTGGCCTCCAATTGGCTTTTTGCCGCCTCCAAATGGTTGTTGGTTACGATAAGATCTTGGCCCATCATTGCGGCCAGTCCAAGGTCTATACGGGGAGGATATGCAGATAGATGGATAGTAATAAGAAAATATGAGTACAAAAATACCCAACAACAAAAAGCAAAAATAAGTATAGATATGGAATGGGAGGGTAAGATATGGATGGGAGGGTAAGGGGTGACGAGTGGAAAGAGAAGAGAAAGAGAGCATGTGATGGAGGGAGAGGGAGTAAAATAGGGAAAGAAAGTGTGTGTGTGAGGGGGATGGGATGGGAAAGGAGGGAAAAGAAAGGAGAGGAAGGGATGCGGGATATGCATTATAGAGATACTCAAACGCATGAGTAGAAACACAGCATTGACAGGGCAAATGATGTGTTAGTTTCAAAGAGAACAGTAAAAACAAACTTTGTTATTCTTACCTCGATCCTTTTCTTGGATAGCCTCGTAAGCGTTCTGCAACAGCATGCGGAGATCCAGCTCGTCGAGCTTCTCGAGACCCATCTGCTCCAGAGTAGGAGTGGCAGCCTCGCGCTCAGCCCGACTGTAGTTGTTCTCAACCTCCAAATGATTGTGGTCATAGTGTTCTTGGTGGTGGTTGAGGCTGTGGTCGTAGTCCTGTTCTGGGAGTTGTTGTTGTTGCGGTGGAGGGGAGAGGAGAAGCTCGGGGGTCTGAGGGTCCAAGGGCGAAGCTGGGCGTTGTTCGCTATGGCTATGGCCGTGTGATGATAATGTAGTCGTTGTCGTTGTTGTTGCCGAGGCCAAGACCTTGTGTTGAGGGAGAGGAAGGGGATGGTCCGAGTCGTCCTCGCCATGACCACTACTGTAATAATCTGATGTCACTGCGGCGGCATCGTGCTTGCGAGAGAGGAGGACGGCATCGAGGGAGGCCATCATATCGGACTCGGTCGAGTCTGCGTTGGTGGTGTTGTGCTGTGCATCGTGGGGAATGGATGATTTTGTGAGGGAGAATGCGGGTGGCTGTTTGATGGTGGTGTTGTTGATATCGTTGTTGGCTGCTGGATTGCCGTTTGCGAGTGGACTGACGGGAGGTGAGACCATCGAAGCGGCGGCCGTTTCTGCACGCATCGCCATGGGGGTCGTAATTTGTATCTATTTGTTCGTTCGAGTCTTGTTTTTCGTCGTTATCGAGCTGTCGTTATTGAGGTGAGGTTGAAGGAGTGCAGGAAGAGGATGAGGAAGAAGACTGTGTGAGCAAGTGAAGGTTGAATGAATGAGAAGAGAGAGTTGTCACTTTGAAGGCTTTGTTTCTTTAGCGATGGGGAACTAACGAGTTGCTACAAGACTTGGCAAGGCAAGCAGGATATGGTAACAGTAAGAAGTGGGAAAAAGAGAGGAGAGTAGGAAGGAAGAGAGAGTGATTGTGTAAGAGAGAGAGAGAGAGAAGAGATAGTGAGAGAGAGAGTGAAGGTGAGAGTGAGAGTGAGAGAGTGAATCAAGAGAGAGCAAGGAGAAGGAGAGTGAATGGGATGTGTTTGAATGGCGAAATGGATGGAATGTGAAGAGAAAGAAGAAGAAAGAGAAAAAAGACGAGAAGTGATAAAGACCCTTTTTGGGGGAGCGAAGTGAGAGGTGATGTCTGATATTTTCCATGTGTGAAAATGTCTCCTCAGTCTCAGTCTACCAAGTGTCAAGAAGAATAGTGTTGAGTGATCGTGCCTGAGAATCAAGACCGACACGCTCACAGCCTCTTATTCTCTCATGTCAGTCAATCAATTCAAAAATGCTCTCTCTGTTTACTGTAATAATAATACCTTTGAGTTTGCATATGATCATACAATACATTACACGCGACTTGTCATTAGATATACCTCTCCTCTCACTCCCTTCTTACCTACCTTCTTGGCCCACCCGCCCGCACTCGTAATCATCATCCACCTTCTCTTGATTTACTTTTTCATTTTATGATACTGGAACCTCCTTCCTTAAAGAAATAGCAACGGTTGTTTTTGCCGCAACGCTGAACCTCCCATAGTCCAAGCGATAATAATAACCCCATCTGTCGTCTTCAATGGCAATAGAGAAAGGACTCTTTTGCAAAAAAAAAAAAGAAATCACGGAGGAAAGGCAAACGGAGAAGAGGGACGGCAGGAGAGAGACGGAGGGAGGTGGTCTGTTGTTTATCTACTTTCAGGTGAAAAATCACAGGGCAAAACCAAAACAAGAACACAAGCTCGACAAACAACCACGGGTGCATGGTCCACGCCCTATTTTTCGTTAGTTTCGTAATGCGTGCCGTGCGGGTCTGACCATGAGTATTTTTTTTATGTGCTCACAGTCAAATAGCACTCAAGCTCATTTCGTCGTTACCCCGACATCCAAAACACCTCTGCTCTCTGCAGCAAACATATACACTTACGACGAACAACAAACAAACGAACGAACGACAACAAGAGCAATGCCATACCAACCCATTGCTAAAGTGAAGGATAAAAAGGATAAAAAGGAGAACTTACTTTTTGGGGGGGGAAAGTCCTCGGTCTGGAATTTTCTCTCTCTTTCTCTTGCGAGCCGCCCGCCCACCTACATCCAACGTACACAAAACTCCTTCAAGAATTGATCCATGTCCACGAACCTACTAGCGTCTTTTTCATTGCCATCAATCTCACTTGCAGGTTATCTTCTTCCCGTCGCCAGTGTCCCGTTCATGCCTCGCCTTCATCATTTCTCTCGTTCTTGCCTGTCGCTTCCGTATCTCCCTCGTCTTCTCTTTATCTCTCTTTTTTTATAATCCCAGGCCATGTCCCAAGCCCAGAGAATGAACCCGAGCACATGTACACACGTTCCTGGAGACACATGAAGAGCCGCAAAGGCCCAAGTTCTTCCTCGATCCATCCTACCTACCCACATGTCAAATCTTCAAGAAAAATAATGATCCATCTCGCTTAATTCCAGTTCAATGATAGTAACAGGTTTATTTTCCTTTCACAGCAATCTTCGTTCTCTATCCTATTGAGATCCTGCGTCTGTTCGATATCATTACCAAAGAGAGTGCGAAAAGTGAAAAAAAAAATGAAGGGACAAGGAGCAGCTGCCCTATTTATCCCTCTATCAAAACAACAAAAAAATCTACGAACTGTTATTGTTCCACTCCCGAGATATCAACCAACTCTTCAACCCTTGTCTGATTCGGAACATGTCCAAGTCCATACAAAACGAAGCATTTCATTCTTGAGGAGTTCCGCAAGGATGGAACCGACCTATTTTGCTCTTTTTTTTTCCAGGGTTCAATATCTCCTTCCTACCTTTGCATCATCAAAAAATAAAACAAAAAAAAAGGTGAGTGACTGAATGATGGAGTGATTTTGTCCTACAAAGGACAGGGTGCATTCACGCATGGCCCAAGCTCCTTCCCGCTTATCCCCTTTCTCTTTCGCCCCTACCCTTTCGCCCTTTTTTCACTATTTTATTTCCCTCCGTCTTTCTCAGGCCTGGGCAGGCAGTGCAATTGATTGACACATGTCAAATTCTTGTCTCTGTCTGCTGCTCTTCGTCTGTCCGTCCCGCAGACGTACTACATGTTCAGGCCCTTATATATTTGCTTGGATTTAATGTTGAGACAAACCGAATGGCAGTATATTATGGGATCCGTAAATCCAAGCATAGATATGGCTGGGCTGAACATCCAGTTTAGTGGAAAAGATGCTTCGTAGTCTAGATTCTCGACACTCAAAAGTAACATGCGCCGCGACATCATAAATGGTCACAATCTCTGCAATGCCATTCGAGGACACTTGCTCGAGCAACAGCGGCCACTCCGCCTCCAGCCCCAGGACGGTGATGGAACTATCATTGGATGTAGGACAAGCTTAGTTCTAGGTCATGCCCCGGAAGGATATGGTAGGCAGAAGGGGCGATGACAAAGTCGACAACGATGTCATAGATCTGATACGCGATAAGGCCATATCATGGTTCTAGGAAACAAAGAGGATATCGGCATGCCTGAATTTTGCAAAGAATTTGGGTTTACACGCGAATAAGACGCACACGCGGCCTTCTCGAGCCTTTCTTTCAACAAATCTGCTGCCCCAGTCCTCTAGAGTGGCAGTTGGCGAAAAAGTACAAAAAACATCGCAACTCAATGGCGGTAGCGGCCTTTTTGGGCATCTCGGATGGCAGAGTACGAAATCGAAGTCTCGACAAATAAGACTGTAGGAGATCTTGTGGATAGAGGCTAATTCTTTTGCAAGCAGGCTTCTTCGGTCGCGTCCTCAAGATCTCAAAGGTTTAGTCGAACACGCAAACATATTCCATCTTTGTTTCAACCGGCGTTTTGCAGCATACAGTATCATTTAAAAATGAGGCACTCGGTCGCTGTATTTCTCGTCATGCCAATGCTGATTGTTCAACATTTGACGCTATCATAGAGTCATATACTCAATCATCGACAGCCTCATACGCGCAATTCGATGCGGAAGCCCCTGCTGACGAGTTCGAGCACGATCACGACACAAGTGCATCGATCAGCAAGTGCGACTGGCGCGGCCTCTTACGTGAGTGGGGGGGTCTCCCAGAGAAACTTCCGATAATAACCGACTCCGGTGGTACAGGTTATTCAACCCCTGGTAAGAGGACCAGGACCGTCGTTTCAAGACCGGACAATGGTTTAGGGTGAAAGTTCTGGCTACCACCCTTTGTTCACCTTGTGCTCACACACACGAGGCTGATATTTGAATAAAAATATTTGCGTCTATTTCATCACCCTGTTAATGGTTTACGTGAATGAGCCTTTTGCTACTCGAGCAACGATTCTGACGCGCTTCCTAGGATCTTTCCCACTGAATTGAAAATATAAGTGTTTTAAATTCAGTGGTAGTTCACACGCCCTAAATATGCCCTCGACCTAGCCTACCGGCCCCATACTATGACGCTTGATCAAGCGGTTCAAAACACACCCACAAACAACGAGGGTCTCGCTCATTCATTCGATGTAGATAAAAATAATAGGCTTTTTACGTGGACTGAGTTACGAGAGAAGAATGACATTTTTTTTTATTCATTTTGAGGTGAAAAGTGGAGAAAAGGGTTGAGGAAATGGAGGTGGAGGTTGGAGGTGGGAGAGAGAAAAAAAAAAGAAAAGGTTCGAGAGCAAACTAAATAGTTCGGCCCAAGCTAAAAACAAAAAGGCAAATGAAGGCCGATGCGACTACCTCGATCGATCGTTGCTATTGTTGAGCTTCGCGACTATTTAACAGCTGTTGAAGGAAAAAAAAAGAGAAAAAAAAGAGGGGGAGGGAAAAAAAAAGAAAAAAAAAGTATGAAGTATTGTGGTAGGTTGTGGGTTTGGTGGAAAGGTCAAATTGAGCAAAGCTACTTTTTTTTGAAAGAAATGGAAAGGCAAAAAAGGCCCTTTTGAAGGGTATAGAAAAGTAAAGGTATGAGCAATAGATGGAAAGAAAGACAGAGAGGCGAGAGATAATTACAAGGAAGGAAAAGGTCGACTCACACACACACCTCGACTTCGTTCTGCCATCTAGACAGTCAATGCCAGACTGCGCGAGGCCAAGCATGTGGAAAAGAGGAAGGGCTATAAGGAAAAGTGGTGCACAAGAACGAAAAGCTGCTTAGAGCTCAGAGGTCACGGCGGGCTTGAGACCGGCCTTGGTGACGATCGTGTCCAGGATATCCTGGCCCTTGATCGCGTCCAGGACCTCGCTCTCCCTAGGAACCAGTCCAATCTTGCGAAGGCGGTCCTCCTTGGCCTTGCCCAGAGTGATCAATCCGTTGGCCTCCAGCATGTTGATCAGATCCTGGTACTCGCCTCGGCTCAACGCTCCAATCTTGTTGCTCGATCGGCATGTGCTCGTAAAGTGATCAAACACCTTGCCCACCTCACAGTCGACAGTCTTACCGCCCTTGATCTTCATCACCAACACCGTCAGGATAATCTGTTGATGGACATTCAGTCCCTTCATCTTCTGCACCAAAGGCGACCCGAATGCGGACGCAAGTGCCTTTTGAACATGCGCTACCGTCACCTTGGGTGCATCCTGGAGTGTGATCGGACCAGAGCCATCTTGGGCACCCGTCAGCTCTGCCATCGAGCCCGTAGTTGAACGGCGTACAAGCGATGCACGGTCTGCACCTCCCGCGGCCCTGTTCTCCAAATCAGCAAGTCGAATCTCGCTCAACGGCGCGAGCGCCGAGGGCCGTCCTTGTTGCTGTTGCTGCTGGGCTCTCTCCTTCTTCTTGGTCTCAACCTCCACCATCTCGATCGTCTGACGACAGATATCAAGAGCCTTCCTCAAATCACCCGTAGCAGCGGCCACTTTACGCGCACAGAGTTCAATAGCGGGACGCTGCATCAACGGAGCAACACGAGGCTTTCCATTTTCGTCGCGTTCATCGGCCTTGTTGGAGTCCTCGACAGAGAACAGGCGGTCCATGATGATGTCACGGATCTCTGCAACCTGGTACGGATTAAAGTTCAGCAGCTGAGGCTCGCAGTTTCTAGCCTTGAGTCTAGGCAAGAATCGGTCCGTCATGTCCAACGCGTTGGCTATACCGACCAAGGTCAGCCGAGATCCTTCGGTGGTGGACCACTGGAATAGCTTGTAGAGCACCTCCTGGTCCTTGGTCAGCAGTTGGTCAATCTCATCAAGAATTGCAACGCTATGATCCACATTAGGCAGGAGAATAAGTCAGTCAGTTTTCAGTACTCACATCTCTTGTGATGTTGATGAATGGCGGGCAATTTGAGCAGGAAAGGCGTGACAGGAACAGTTCATGTGCACTTACAACATGACAGCCTTCTTCTTGTTGTCCAGAACCAAAGTCTCGAGAGTCTTGATGACAGTCTCCTTGTCCTTGGACTCAGCAACATAACCCATCTCCTCAAGCATCTTTGCGTAGACGAGTCGAGGATCCTTGATGGTCATACAGTTGATCATGATGGTTTTGATTTCATGATCAGCCGACTGCATCTCTCCCTCCATGTCACGCATGACCTCCTTCAAGAGCGCCGTCTTTCCAGTTCCAGGCTGACCAGAGATATAGAGGGAGCCCGCCTTGGCTGTCAGGATATGGTTCTGGCAAAAAGTCCTGATTGTCTCACGTTCAGCTACGCGTCCGACTAGGCGATGGGGCTCAGTGGTCCTTCTGAACAGTGCCTTGGCATCCTGGTAGTATCCGAGAGTTGTTGACTTGGGAGCAGTTGAAGTGGGAGCAGATCCAGTCGAGAGGCTGGGTGAAGTCGCACGAGAGGAAGCAGTCGAGTTGGCCTTTCCTTGGCTGAGGGGGAGAGTGACATTCTGGTGCGATGTAGTCCTCTGAAGGCGCTTCGGAGTCGAATAACCTTGTTGCGCCTTGCTGGGAATGGCATTCTCGTCGTTTGCGTTCTCGTCCTGTGCGCCCTTGCCTACCTTCCTTCCCTTTGTAGCCTTGCTGTTTGCATCCATCACGTCTAAATCAAAAAGTGGAATGCAAACAAATGAAGTGTGAGTGCGTGTTGATAGTGGGTTGCCAAGTATTCTAGCATCAGTATTCGCCTAAACTCAACGACTATGATAGTCGCGAGCGTATCTGGTTCAATTTTCTTTTAACTTACCTTTGGTGGGTTTCATCATCTTGTTCAAAGCAGGCGTCAATCCGGTAGTCTGGTTGTTGTTGCCCTTGGACGCGTTGAGCGCAGGAGAGGAGCTCGAGGGGGACGCATCAAGAGGGGTCAACAACCCAGACCGTCTTGACCTTCGGGGTGTACCAGTAGGAGCCAATGCCACAGGAGAGTCAGTGGTGTTGTGTGTGTTTTCAATATCATCGTTATCGCAGTAGACAACCAATTTTGAGGAAGAAGAAGTCCTAGTCGGCAACGAAGGACGGGAAGTCCTCTTTGTTGATGTTGCGCGAGTCGGTGTGCTGGGTGGCGTGATTGGTCCGTCTGATAGGCCCATTTTCATCTTCAACGGTGGCGTCGTCCCCTCCTTCTCGCTAGTGGCTGAGGACGATGATAATGTCGTGGAACAGGCAATTGGCGACAATTCAGTCGAGGCATTACTAGTCGACGAAGAGGGTGCCTGGGAGTCATCACTAGTGTCGCGCTCTTCCCTCTGGTCACTGCCCAGGTCAGCAGCAGCAGCAGAAGCAGCAAAAATATGGAAGTTGGGCGCTGCCACAGGCTTCAGGTCAAAGCTAGCCTGCTGCGAGGACATAACAAGGGTCGACCTGCGCTTCGACGGCGAAGGGGGGAATGCTAATTATACATAAAAAGCAACATTAGACACAATCTCCTTCGTTTGATCAATCTCTCATCTTTTGCGTGCTCCAGACTGGTTTACTAACCTCCGACATCCTCCTCCTCGTCCTCTGCAAAGATGAAAGTTCGCTTGCGGAGAAAAGTCGATGACATGATTGCAATAATACTGACAACACTCGGTCAAATATGAAAAAAGAGAGTGGGAGATGACTGGCTAATGACAACTTATTCGACGAGGACGATTGAGAATCGTGAGGGAGAAGGGGAAGAAGGACGAGAAGGAGTGTCGATCTTGTTTGTTATCCGTCGCGGTGTTCGATCCTTGAGGATGTATGGTTGTCGTTGTAGCTATGGTCGAGTCGAGTCGAGTGAGAGGAAAGAGGGGGTGTAAGAGAACACAAAAATCGGAAATCTTACACCCCCGTGCTGTGAGTACCGTAGAGAGCGTGTCTGCTAACGCAGCCCAGCCATCAGAAAAACACAATCACAAAAACAAAAGCGCCTTCATTTGCCCCTTTTTGGGGTACACATCTATTCCGCGCCTTCATCTATACGCGTTAAAACCATTACAACAAGCACCCAATAACGAACAGCTAACAACAACAACAATAATAACAACAATATAATAATGACGAACAGTGAACAAAGGCAGTGACCGAGCAAAAGATACCTAGCGAATGACTCGTAACGAGTACTGTTTGTATATTAGCTCTGGCGATAAGCTATTCTTCAATTGTTGTTTAATCCGATTTCTAACGCCCAACGTCTACGCTGTTGTTAGCTCTTCTGTCCCTCAACCACACCACGAAACATATACCACCTCTTTCTCTTCAACCGACTCCATCCCTTTTAGTGACGCTCAACAAGGCTCCGGATATTGCGGATCAACAACTCGATAAACGTATTCCTGGACGTATTGTCCCATCCAATCTTTTCTTGTGACTAGCATTATTAACATAGCAAAACAATAGCAAGGTCAGCACTCGTTTGTCCTGCATAATAAGGCAGAAACCAACAATAAAAAAAGCGTGAGAGCGAGGCAAAGAAAAGAAACTTACGAGGTCAAGTCCCATGATGTTGTCAAGTGTTGACAGAACAATGTTGCTCACATTACGCTTCAACTCTTGTGCTTCGGCTAAAGTCGGCTTGAAGTTCTTTGAAAGCTGGCTCTGACTCTGACTCTGGTTGAAGTCAGCGGCCGACGGTCCCACAGTCGACCTGAAAGTAGACTGCGCACCATTGCTTCCGTTCAGCGCACCGCTGCGACCAAACCGAGAGGCCCCCAGTCCAGGCTGCACACCACTAGCATCCAGCAGTCCTGGGTACTGGCCCAAGTAATACTCAAGGTGTCTCCAGAACAACACCAACGCCGTCTCCAAAACATCTATTCAATAGCAGTATGCAGCCAAAACAAACGTCAGAATGTTTGTCATCATTGGTTACCGGCATCAAACTACATCCTCAACGTCAGACTTACAAAGTGACGATGTGACTTCGTGGGTCGAGGTGAGCAACATCTTTTGCAAGACTTGCACAGCCAATTGGTCGCGCTGGATGGCCACAAGCGAGTCAAGGTAGTCCTCATCTGAAGCCTCCAGGATCTCCTGCTTCTCATCCGGCGTCAAAGACGAAAGTATACTGAGCTTGAGCAGCTGAGTCTGATGCCTCTGAATTCCTCCCTGCAACTCGGTGGTTGTCCGGTTCATCAAACCAACAAGCGTTGCTAACGAAGGTACCGAGCTTGAGTCGTATCCACTTGTGGTTGTCGAGACAGTCCATGTGAAAAGTGGCGTGAATGGCGCTGCCGTCGTCGTTGCTATTTTGTACACATGGTTGCATATTTGAGGTATTAGAAACTAATCGCGTGAATCAAAAAGCATTTGCTCCATCAAGCATTAATTTGCTCCGTCAACATTAATTTGCTCGCATCTCGTTGATGTACCTGTCCGGCTATTGCTGTCAGTGCGGATCTGGCAGTAGGACAAGAGGTTCTTGCAGATATCGCGCGCAAGGCTCTTGGCATCACGCTCGAACAGCGTGGTTCCTTTTCTGGCAGTCAACGAAGGAGCTTGCATGCTAGCCATCACCTTTTCAGAGTCAGAGACAGGCTGAAGAGACGCGGACCATTGCTCAACCGAGAAGTATTTAGGGATCAAGGCCACCAACAAGCTATGCAAAGGACCAAAAACCGATCCAGCAGACTGAATGTCATGAAGAAAGAACAGAAAAAATTATCAATGCGAATTCAAACCACGCCCGAGTTCAGTCGCAACAACAATTTATAACGAAGCATGGTACTTACAACTGTCCTAGTAGCAATGTGTCCAGCAAGCTGGTTCAAGAATGCCGTGATGGATCGGAGCTCACGGAGCGAGTTGATGGTGGTAGGGAAATCATCATCTCTGAGAATGGAGGCAATGGTATCCTGATGACTTGTCACAAACAACTCGGCCTATTCGTCAGAGTAATGAAATAAAGTTAGCAAGGCGACATGACATACACATTTCGGTAGCTTGGAAAGTAAAGACACGAAGGTTACCTTGTTCGCAGCAGTGCGATGGTTGCGTCCAAGGTTGGCCAAGATGGCAACACCGACCTGGAGCATTGGGTAGACAATATTGTGGTATCGGTTGCCCTCCGTTTGCTCGAATGGTCCAAAGTCTGTATGCCACCAAAAGAGATAAAAACGGGTGTTAGTTCAATTCAATTCTCACAAAAACAATAAGAAAGCATGTAATAGACTCAGAAAACTTACCGGTGGTGTTGAGGTTGGTGCGCATGTCAATGACGGCAGCAGAGGCGGTCAAGACATCGAAGTAACCGTACTCAAGAAGCTGCTCGGCACCATCTCTGCGCTGGGCAATGCGCAAGAACAAAGTCAGTCTGGTCTCGCTCACGATCGGCACCCTGCTCACACGACCCTTGATGCTGGCCTGCAAGTCCAAGTCTTCTCTTGTCATGATCTCGATAAAGTGCTTCAGGTAGTTGCGCTGGACCAAATGCACCAGGACCCGGTTGGTGTTGTCCTTCTCAAACAAGCCATAGAGCGTGTTCAGCAAGGTAAACGCGGCAATCTTACAAACCTGATCGATATCTGAGGCGTCTTTGCAAACGACCTCAAACAGACGGTCACCCGCTTCGGACACGAGAACCTGGTTGCCCAGCTCCAATGCTTCCCGAACGTCATTGTCTCCTCGACCGTTTTGCTGTCCGTCCAAGCGGTAGTGCTCTGCAGACTTCATGCTGCGATGAGCATCGCCCTCCGAACGAGTGTACTGGAAGTAGTTTACCAGAGTCGAGTACAAGTTGCAGCGAGACTGAGACGTGCCAGTCTTGAGGATACAGGCAATAATGTTCCTTGCGACGCGGTGGAGACGCTCGGCAGGAAGGCGCGCATCGATCTCGCGGGGGTCGGCCGAGGTCGCTTGGAAGATACACTGGCGGAAATGGTCGGTGCGAAGGCGCTGAAGAATGCAAAGGGCAGCCTTGCTGAGAATAGTCGCAACGTCGGCAGTGCAGTCTCCCTGGAGCTTGAACAGAATAGCCTCCAGGACGTCATAGAGCATACCCTCGCGCTGCTCAACCTTCAAGAAGTCAAAGCCGGGGCCCAAGCTGATCTCGATCAGTTCGCGCCATGCCTCAAACGCGCCCCTCCGGCCAGCCTCCAGCTCCCTGACGTGGTTCCTGGCCAAGCAGTTATCCAGGATGCTCCACATCTCAGCGTGAACAGCCGTCCGGTGCAAGGGGCTCGAGATCACATTGTCCTTCTCCAGGTGGGACTTGCGGATCCACAAAAGCGAGCAGATCTTGCGAATATTGATGACATCAACACCGTGCTCGTCCGTCTCAACACAAGCATCGACGGTGATATCCGCAAAATAGTGACGCTCCAACTCCTGAACCTTGACGTCGTCGTCCCAAGTAAAATCGAGGGAGTCCAAGAGCTCCAAGACCTTCATGCGGGGCTGGGTTAAGTGCCCGTTCTGGTTCTTTGTCAGCGAGTACATAAAGTCGTCGTCGTGGGCGGAGCGCCCGTTGTCGGTGCTGCTGAAAAGAAGCGAAAGAAGCCTGATGGCCTCGCGGCGTTGGTTGGTATCGCAGGCGACACGGAGCTCCAAGGCTGAGGTCCGCATGACCCATGACCGCTGGTAAAGCTGCGAGACCAAGTTGACGAAGTTGCCCCTGAAGCGCGATTTGTCCATCCTTGTAAAAGTGCCGTCATCTCCCTTCAGACCATCCTCAAAGCGGAAAGGAAGCGCGCGTAAGTGACGGTAGAAGAACGCCTCTTGCGTCCGGAGATAGCGCATTGTAGGCGCTGTCGTCTCGGCCTCCGAGCAAAGTCGGTAAATGAGCTCCTGGCACTTCTCGGCGAGCTGAGGATGAGTGATGTATAATGGAACGGACTCAGGCGCGTTATAGTCTACGTCCTGACCATCCATGCCTCGCCTCAACAGGTCCAAGATCACGTGTAGGACGGTGACAGAAGTAGGGTTGGAGAGGGCATCCTTGTTCTCGGAAGTGATAATCCTGGACTCTGTAGGGTAGCCGAGCAAAAAGTGGGCAATTGAAGGTGGGCTGCGAGACTCGTCCAGGTTGTCCAACAAAAGTCGCATGATTTGGAGACGGATCTTAGAGCCGGTGAAGCTGGGACCTCCCAAGACAGCTCGCCTCTGGGCAAGAGTGAGCGAGGAGTCTGGCCCGTCAACGGACATAGAGTTATCTGCCGATGCTGATCCTGCATCAGTCGACTGCTCCTCGTCCTCGGCTTCCAGCTTGTTAACAAAGCCGAACAGGATCTGGTTGGACTGGGGCGAGTTCTCCAACAGACGCACAAGTCGGTTGGTGACGATGCCACGGTGACCACCCACTCCGCTGCTGGTGAAGAGATGTGACGCAGACAGGCGATCCAGGATCTCGATCGAGAGGGAGCAGATCTCGTTGCTCACATCGCAGTTGATGTAGCAAGCGATGTCCACAATGGCCGAGTTGCTGTAGGTCAGATGCTGCTCCAGTGGGACCAATGATGACAACAGCGAGTTCCTTGAGGTCGACGTCGTCAGCAACACTGGGACAATGTACTCCACGAACACATCCTGAAGCTGCATGACCTTGCTGACAATCCTGAAACTCCGGACGATGGAAGACTTGAGGTAGGGTGTCGTCCGATCCTCCTTGTTGAGAACATCAACACCAGTCGAGATAATCCGGAAGATCTCCTGCAAGACATCCCCTCCGGCCAACAAGCGCGTCAGAATCTCAAAGGCGGGGTGAAGAGACGCGCGGAGAGCGTTGTTCCTCTGCGTTTCGATTGCTGTCTGATCCTGTTGAACGTGGGGCAAGTCGCCAAGAATAAACGATCCAATGTCGAAGGAGAGCAAGCACCGCTCCATAAAGTCCAGGCAAGCGTCGATCACTTTCCACTTCTCGTTGGCGACACGGTAAGAGCGACTGAGGGCCTTGACGAAAATCTTGTCGAGGATGAATCGCGCGTAGGGGATGACTCCAGGCTGGCGGTAGGTGGATCCAAGGTTATCGGGAATAGTAGGGGAGCCGCCAGAGAGAAGATCCTCGGGGTTCAGAGGCACCTGAACAAGACTACTGAGTAGCCGCGTGAAGGCAATGGTCTCTGGGAAGGTCTCGTTGCTCGTCTCGATCACGTCAATGTCAAATCCAATTCCAGAATCCATGTTCTCGTTCTCCTGGCGGGTGGCGGCGGCAGCTGGGACGGCAGCATTGTCGCCGACAGCAGCTTTTGGCTCTGGAAGGGCGGTGCTGTATGATTTGGGCAAGATCCTGGTTTGATCGAGGTATTCCCAGACAAGGTTGGCGTTTTCGGTTCCAGTAGAAGAGGGTGTGGCGAATGCGGCAATGCTGTCCAGGATGCAGGCCTTCAGATCGACCGAGATTGGGCAGATGAAGAACAGGAAGAGAGAATGGATCACCTGCGACTGCTTGGAATCGTTCATAGCTGCGCGGGCCACGGGCGAATATTGACCCACGGTGCACAGCAGGTTCAGGAACGACTTCAGGAGCGCCTCCTCGTCTGGGCGAATCTTCTCGATCTTTCTTCCCGAGGTAACTTCGCCATTCAATTCCTTGGTGTAAAAATCGATGGCCTCGAACAGCTTTCCCCATGAGCAGAGAGTATTGGGGGTCGCAGAGCTCTGAGTTCCATATCGACCGCCGTTGCTTTTCAGGAAATCGTACGCGTATTGGGCGCACTGGGGTCCGGTAGCGAGCGATCCCAGCATGTCGAAGAAGGATCGTGCCGTGTTCTTGCAATCCACTCCCCACTTGAGGAATCTGTAGAGTCGGTCGTCGTTGTTGGGCCAGAATCGAAGTCCTGCTTCAGGGCGATCCTTGTAGATGAGTGCGACGACGGTGAAAAGAGCCTCGAGATCGTTCCTGGGGGCTGCTGTGATAGCTGCTGACTGTGATTGCCGGAGGGATGACTGGTGGACAGCATTATCTTCCTCCCTATGCTTGATCTTCCTGAGGAGGGGTTGCATGGTGATAATAAAGTCGCGGACCGTAAACTCCAAGAGGGCAAGGACACCATCCTGCAAAGAAGGGTCGAAACGAACAGCCACTGGCTTTCCAACAGTTGTGTCGAATCCATCCGTGTTCTGATCAACGATGCCCAACAGCGCATTCGAGATCACGAAGGGGACCTCAAATGGCTTTCCAGTGACCACGACCTGCGACTTGAATCCGAGAACGTAGTTGGCGATAAACTGAAAGGTGCTCATCTCGATTGCCCTCTCGGCGACAGCCTGAAGATCGTCCTCCGTAAGTCCTGTTCCGTTGTTGCTGTTGCTCGAGATGTTTCCGACGCAAAGGCTGAGCTGGAAGAGAATGGTTGCCTGGATCGCAGGCACAGCCCAGTTGGTCGACGTGATGAATTGGGCGTACTCGGTCACAAAAGTATTCTTGGTCATGTACTCGGGGAACACTCCCTCGGCCTTTCCGCGGATCCGCATATGTTCTGGCGAGACCTCGAGTGCGGCCATGACGGTGGCGGTGAGGTAGATGGTGATGGGATCGGAGAGGTTCATCGTTTTCAGCGCTGTGATGGTCGCCTTGAGAACAGTGCTGGGGAGTTCGTGATAGAAGGCGATCGCAAAAAGGATCCTGGCAAGAAGGGTGCGCTCCTGTTGGATATAGTCAAGTCGGTCCTCGTTGATCGCCATACCGAGCTGCGCCACCAAGTTGGACGTCTCTGTCATGTCGTTCTTGAGCGATTTCGATTTTTTGTCGAGAGTCTCCAGTGCGACGAGAGCCTTGTTGGCGAGGTTACCGCTGGCTGCAGCCAAGAGCTCGTTCCTGAAGGGTACTATTGCTTTGCTGAACTCTGTGGGCGAATCGATGGTGCCAGCGGTGTCGAGGATGGCGTAGATGAGATAGAGAAGCGCGATCCTCTCGCGATGGAACAAGATGATCGATGTGTCTACTGGGTTCCTGTCATATCGAGTGTGTTGTTCAATTCCGTGCTGAAAGAGCGATGCGGCGGCGTACTCGTCCATTTCTAGCTGATCCGACAGAATAATGGCGCCTGCAATGAACTGCTCGTTCACCGAGCGCTCCTTGCCTCCAATCACAGGAGATCCTACAATCACATAGAACAGAAATACGGTGGTCTCATACTGTTAGTATCTTTGAGATCAATAGGACCCTTCGTCACGATAACCAACATAGAAGCCAGATAAAACTTAATCGCAAAAAGCGTACCGAGCTTTAACTGTGCTCTGTGTGCGGCGTTGGGTGCTTTGGAGCTCAAAAGGGCGAGAATCGACGACTTGTTGGCCTCCAGGTGGCTCAGCACAGTGTGAACATAGTCGTGTGAATCCGATCGCAGCGCGCTCTGAACGTTCCTTGCGAGCTCCTCAAAGACCGCTGTCCACTGTGGTTCCATGTTCGATCTGGGAGCGATGGTTTTGGCAAGGGATTAAAGAGAATGGGTGCTCAGTCCTAGGATGGTTTTCAACGCGTCTGTTGTTTGCTGACGAATCCTTCTTTTGGCTTTTTTTGTTGTCGATTGAAAAGTGTGGTGAGGAGGATCCACAAGGACACAAAAGGGTTCGCGAAATCTGTTCCTGCTGCTGATTTCCTTGGGGAGTCGAGGACGGAAGGCAGACGAGGAGGAGGGTGTAGAGTATGACGAAGGAAAAAGGAGGATGGATGAGGAAAGAAAAGAAAAGGGCGTGCAGGGTGCGATGGAGGGGAAGGAAGGTTAGAGCCACGGCAAGGTTGAATCAGTCCCTCAAGAAAAATGGTGCGCTTTCGTGTTTGTGTCTCTCTGTGTCGTTGTGGCTCGTCAAATTTAAGGGGTATGTGACTTTCAAACGCGACTCCTCTTGCTCCTTTACACCAACCAGACCGCGTGGCGCCGCCCTTTTCTCTGGCCTTTATTCTCACACCCCCAGCTCCACGACCTTCCTCACCCACCCAACTCATTTACTCACCAAGCAACCAACAGAACTATGTCCCGCATAGTTCTAATCCCAGGCAACGGAAACGACAATGTCGAGTCCTCAATGTGGTACCCATCCGTCATTAGCGCCCTCACCGAAGCTAAAAACCCCACCACCCAACACCTCCTCTTCCCCGGAGGAAACTTTCTCGAAACCTTTCCGGACCCTTTCGACGCCCGCGAAGAAATCTGGATCAAATATATGGAGGACGAGATTGAGATTGGAGAACAGGATGTGGTGATTGGTCATTCAAGTGGTGCGGCCGCCATTCTGAGATATGTTGAGACCAGGAAGGTCAAAGGTGTTGTCCTTGTCAGCGCTTATCAATCTGACCTCGATGACCCTTCAGAGGTAAGATAGAAGAAGACAAAATCGAGCGGAAAGAGAGTTGAAAGGAGGACAAAAAAAAGGAAGAAGCTAGATGAAGAGGTGAAAGAATTTACAACGTGTCGCTACCAGACTTACAGCTTCTATCGTTGCACATTCAAACTTTCTTCACAAGCGCGAGGCTGGATACTTCAATCGACCCTGGAACTGGGACGCCATCTCCAGGAACGTCGAATGGATCACCCAATTCTGTAAGCATCATTTCTATGTTTTTCTCTTCTTTTTTTTGCATTCTTTCATAGTTATATTGCAGTCAATGCTCAACACAGAGTTAGATTGCACACGAGTCGCTCTAATCTCCAAATGCATGTAAAAATAACCTTGCAGCTAGCCCAAGCGACCATCTGGTGCCAATCGACGAACAACGCTTTGTCGCCAGTAAAATTGTCGGGATCGACTATATTGAGCTCCCCAACCGTGGACATTTCATCCGCGATCGTGCGTTCCCGGAGCTGGTCGCCAACGTCATACAAAAGATGTCTTCCTAGTCTATGTAGCAATCGGCCCCTCGAGAATAAAAACGAAATCTCAACAAAGCATCCGTTTTCGCGATGATTGACTGTAAGCGACAATGACAATGCGTGAACGAAAATGAAAGGTATTCTGCTTTATTTGTAACTGGGTGCATATGTTTCTTTAACCATAATCCTGCAACGAATCGAAAACTGAAAGTCAAAAGTCATACAGCCATAAGAAAGAGGTAGCAAGGGGTTCCTTATGAGATGAGAACCATCCAGGCGATGACAAAGTAGAACAAGAATAATGGGTAAACACCAAGCGCACGACGGTTGGCCAGGTTGGAATCTGAAAGGAAGCCCAACGAGGCCCAAGACGCCCAAGCAAAGGCGATCCCAGAGAGAGGCAGACGGATATAGATGTTGGAAAGGAACATAGAGACGATACTGACGAGAACCAGTGGGAACAGGCAGTATCCAATCACACACACGCTCTGGAAGAACGACCTATAACATGTTACATAGAGACATGACAAGATGTTAGGACATCAAGAGTAAACTGGTCAGTCTCTTCTGTCATCCAAAAGTGATATCCGACATCCAATTGAGTCCTGCAAAAGACGTACACTCTTCCTCCGAGAAGCTTGGCATTCACAGTGACCACTGCGGATCCCAACCAGACAATGATGAAGATCCAGGTGAAGACAGTGATCTTTTGATCTGGCTGAGCCCTCATACTCAAGACGCTATTAAAAGTAATTTATGCAAAAAGTGAATTGCCATTAGTTTCCAAGCCTTGTTTCAAACTCGACCCCGCAATCGCGTCCTCTGGTTAAGTGGAGCCTAACGCAAGCATGATGTTTGTTCCTGAAAACCTACATGGACAAGGTCAAGCACATCAGGAGAGGCCCCCAAAGATCCCCTATAATAGAAGAGAGACGACATCCAGATTGATAGTCCATATGGTTAGTCTTCCTTGCTGGGCGCCTTTTGTTCTATGAAACTGAAAAGTATAACGATCTGAAGCGCCTGCCAAACTCTGCACATACAGTCCTTGAGAATATCCTTGCGTCCTTTGGGATATAACACCTGCTGCAGTTTTGCTCCAACATTGCGAAGATCACGGAGCTATTGGATCCATTGGAAGAAAGGCAACGATACAAAGAGTCAGACAAGGAGTGAAAAAAATGTGCCAAGCAGACCGAAGAAAACAAAACGTGTCGCGTGTCAAATCCTGAGTGGCTGTAGGCTCCACGGGCACCGTCAGGAATGACAGCGCACTCATTCGAATGTGTTTGCACCTGCTGCAATGCCTTCACAAACTTACAAGAGTCTCGGAGACGGGTTCGTCCAGGGTATCAATAGCGCTTCCAATACCACTGGCCTGTCCAACGCCAAGCCCAACACCGCCTCCAATGTTGCCGGTGGGTGCACTGTTACTGCTACTTCCATGACCACTGGAAGAAGAGCCGATGTTTCCAGTGACCTTGGGGAGGGGACTCTTGGTGGGGCTGAGAGGTTTTTGTCCAGGAAGGGGCACATCGTCGGGTTCGATGGAGGGCGAGTTCATGCGGTGGGGGATGTTGGTCTCGAAGGGGTTGTCGTAGGTGTCAGAGTAGGACGTTGCTTCGACGTAGCTTGGCGCTGCTGGCGACAAGAAGTCATCTGGCTCGACAGAGTTGTGTTGGTGGTTCATCCTGACAAGGGGTTATGCGTTGTTTTTCTTTTGCAGGTGTTGTCCTTTGGGGTTTCTTGGTGTGTCAGATGTGGTGCCGGTTGTTGGTTCCAAGAGGTCGATTGAGGATGAAGTTGAAAAAGAATGAGAGTAATAAAGTCTTGGAAAAGGGTCAAAAGAACAGAGTTTGGAAGGATAGGGCTGGTTTCCTTGGAGAATATCGATGTCACCGAAATGGAGCGAATCGCTTCCTGAACAAAAGACGAGATTCAGGGCTAAAGGACAATATTCGAACATGGGAGTGGAGATAATGCTTATAGTTTTATTTTTCTATCCAACAGACAATCACGCGAAGAATCAACTCGCCATGTCTCTTGGATATCGTCGTCCTCCCTTTGAATCCAATTCGCGTGTAAAGAGAATTTACTGCAACTTCTTGGACTTCTCCTTGGCAGCATCGGCCTTGGCCTGCTTGGCCAACTTGGCATTCTTTCTGTAAAAGTTGTAGAAGAGGCCGAGCATGGTCCACATGTAGACCCAGAGGAGGGCAGTGATGAAGAAGGGGTATCCGGGGCGGCCCAAGAACTTCATGGCAAACATGTCCCACGACGACTGAATAGACATCATGCAGAACTGGGTCATCTGCGAGCGGGTGATGTAGAACTTGACGAACGACACCTGCTTGAATCCCAAGGCAGACAAGAAGTAGTATCCGTACATGATAACGTGGATGAACGAGTTCAAGGCAGCCGAGAAGTAAGCTAATTGCATTGTTCATTCGAAGGAATATTGTTGTTAGTTGTGGTACGAGAAATAAATGTAACTGGCCATTGAACACATTTCGACAAAAAGAAGTGACATACCTTCACCGTTGGGAGCGACAAAGGTGACCAACCACCAGATGGTAAAGATCGAGGAGTGGTGGTAGACGTGCAAGAACGAGATCTGACGGTTGTTCTTCTTGAGCACCATGATCATGGTGTCAACGAACTCCATGATCTTGGAGAAGTAGAAGAGCCAGATCATCTTGGCCATCTATTCTCACGTTCACAAAGGTTGAGGGAGGAAAAGAACACATGTCAGTCAGCATAACAGGAAGCAGGAAGGTAGCATGAGTGCCTGTGTTTGTGCATGCGACATAGTTTGCTGAGGCAAAACCGAAAAAAGTTCCCCCGCTCAATTCAATGGCTCACTGGCCTAAGCATTCATATGAGATTGGTCGTGCCGTGCCACATTTTTGTTCCCTTCATCACACTATTCATCTTTCGCAGGTGGCAAAAGGGACGGGAACACAAAAAACTATTTTCCACCTTCTGAAAACTCCAACTCCTTCCCTCCTGCCCTGCCCTGCCCTGCCCCTGGGTCGGACAAACAGGCGCAAGCGCGTGCAATCTCCATTACACGAACAAAAATATCAAGTGCTGGATCAATTGGATTGGTCAATCGACCAAATAACCGTGTTTCCGTCCATTATCTTCACGTAATCCCAAAAAAACAAAATAACAACAAACACACGAACGCGAGAGTTCAAAAACAAAAAATGGGCGAGAAAAAAAGTATGTCGCCGAGAAAAAGTGTTGATGCTCCTGCAGGGGTGTCTTGAACCATGAATTCCTTTTGCTCCTGAAGAAAAAGTGACGTCTGCTGAAAAAGTAGAGAGCGATTCCCTTTCGTCAACCCTTGGGACAAAAAAAACGAGGTGAATTCTGTTGACGGTTGGCGGTTGGAAAGTTGGTTATTCCCGAGAGCCAAAGCTGGTGTAGGGGGAAGTAGTCCTGTTCCTGAATTCCGCTGTCTGTCCGTGTTCTGTTATCGTGTCCTTTCTTTTTCTCAATCAATTCAACATCAGCTTCAGTCCCTCTTCCTCCTCGTTGCCCCAATAAACACTAGGACAAACACAAAACAACGACGAGACCTTTCCATCGAGTTGACACCGACAAGAGGAGTACGATGGGAAACACAACCAGAAAAAGAAAACTCAAAAGAAAAAAAGAAAGAAAGAAAAGATGTGGGAAAAAAAACCGTAAAAAGACAAAGAAAAGGTACCATCAAGTCAAGAAAAGCAAATCAGCGTTAAAGTAATTCATCCTGCAGACAGATAACTTACAGGGAAACCGGTGGAGGTGTGATCAGCCATGTTCTCAAAGAGACCGTAATTGGATTGGTATGCTTCGTAGAGGACGCCGCCGCACATGTAGGCGCTGATAGAGACCAGGCAGAAGTTGTGGAAGAGCGAGAAGGTCTTGACCTCGAACCTGTCAAAGTTCTTCATGATCTGCATACCGACAAAGACGGTGGCGAGGTAGGCAATGACGATCAAGACGACGTGGAAGGGGTTCATCAGGGGCAACTGGGCAGCGAGGGGAGACTCAACAGCGGTCAAGAAGGCGCGGTAATGGTGAACGACGGCAGGGAAGAACTTCTCCATCTGGGCGGTCAGGGCATCTTCAAGGGGGTCGACATAGGGGGCAGCACGGACACCGAAAGCGGTGGCAAAATCAATAAACAGATCTTGAGGCAGCTTGTTGGGGATGAATTGCGAAATCGACTCCATGGCGAATCAACTTTTTTTTTCTTCTTGACTTCGGAAGAGGAAGGAGGAGAGGGGAGAGGAGGAGGAGTAAAGAAGAAGAGGGGAAGAAAAGAAAAAGGGAAAGGGAAAAAGGTAAAAAGAAAAGAAAAGAAAAGAAGAAAAGATAGAAAAAACAAGAGTCGGGACCTGTTCCTCTGTGCCTGAATAGATAAGCAACCCTGAACAAACAAACCACAAAAAACATATGCACACAGGTCTGAACGCAGAACAATACCTTCTTCCCGTTTACTTTCTTCAGCCGTGTCAATTGCGTTTAACGACAAGCGAGTCTAGTCCTTCTTCACAGGTGTTTACCTTCATTCATTTTTCTTCCTTCCACCATTGACTGTCTGTTACGATCAGTATGTTTTCTGTGTTTGGTGATTCTTTTTCCGCTCAAAAGGATTTTTGTTTTCGATCTCAGGGGGAAGGAAAAGAGGAAAGGAGGAAAGGAGGAAAGGAAGTGTCCGAGACCCCGGGAAAGAATCGCGGACACTCATTCGGCATTTGCTGGGGGCACTCTATCCTAATTATGCTGACTACACGGCTATGCCGTTTGACTCGCTCTTTTCAACAACAGAAATAAGTACTTGAAAAGAGAAGGGAGTGTGTGCGCGCCAATGGCTCTCTCTTTTAAAGTGAAAAAAAAGGAATAAGAAACCTTAGAAAAGTGTTTGGCCAAAGTACGTGCCGAACACTTCCCGTAATGCCATCATGCTTATGCATATTCTGTACCCTTCTTCCCGTCCATCTCCCAGGCTCTTCATACACTGCCTCCCTCTCCCACTCACCCACTCCAGACTAAGTCCCAAAGGATAGAACATATCGACAGAGCGAATAACATATGTCCGCTCCAACAGCACGTACTCACTGTCCGCCCTTTTCGGCATTTTATTGTTTCATGAAGAAATGCGGGGACACCACTGGTCAATTGACCTGGAATCGTCCATAATCAATTGGTGGGAATTGTGAGTATCCAAGAGGGCATGAGGAAAAAAATGAATGCTTGTATTCAAATGAGGACGTGGAAATATGCACATAGCCTTGTTAATTAACCTAAGGGAAAGGGAGGGAGAGAGAAAAAATACGACTTGACTTGAGAATGGTCCTCTTCAACCTTGAACTCCTGGCGTGTGTTCACTTGGTCTGAAAATATCCTTACGCTTCTTTGATCTTGTTGATGTTGCCTTGCTTCCATCTAGACCCAAGGAGGCGAGTGTAGGTTGATGTGCCTTCCATGTGAGCGGTTTTGGTTCGGCCTTGGTAACACTTGGCGTACCAGCTGCCGTGGCGACAGCGGGCTTGCCCGTTAGCGATTTTTGACTAGCATCGCCTTCTGGATCGACTGTGGTGTCTGTCTCAGCCTCCTCGTCCGCCTCCGCATCCGTGCCAGCATTTGCTCCCCTCTCGTCCACCTCTGAAGGGTCTCCGTCCGTGCGGACCTTCTTGCGCTTCTCGTACCACTGATGTTTCCGTTCCTTGTTCTTGAGCGAGCCGAGTTCCTTCGAAACACTCTGTCGATTCGTCTCGACTCGGGCCAGGTTCTCACGCAGCTCCTTGGCCTCGGTCTCATAGGTATCCGCGTGCGCGATCTTGTACTCGGCAGCCTCTAGGCGGAGCAATTGGGCAAGTAGTGCCTCCCGCTCGGCGGTCTTGCGATGCAACTGTTCCCCAAGGGATGCAATGCGTCGGAGACGGGCAGTCGCAGCATTCGACGCGTTCGCCTCTCGTTTTTGGATCAGACGTTCCTTGCTTGCCTTATGGTCCTTCTTCACGGCTGCCTCTGGCAACTTGGATCGCGACTTTCCGCGCTTGTAGTGATAGTCCTCCTCCAGCAACTTGGCCTTGGCCTTATTCCAGAGCAGTCCCTTGTTGGTCAACAGGCTCGAATCCTCCAGGGCAAGGTTTTGCGCCGCACAGTTGATGGCGTGCTCGTATTTGGTGAGCGAGCGCGACGAATGCTTTCCGTAAATCAACGCCTGATGCATAATTAATTCCCTCGTTGCTGGATCCAGTTCGGCCGACTGTGATGTCTGGTTGGGCGTGTTGCTCCATGATGACGACGAATTGGAGTTGAACGAGCTGGGTTCTGGGTGTGCCTGCGAGTTGTCTTCAGGTGTTGATGACCGCCTCCTTTTGGTTCCCTGTCCTGCCTCGAGCTATTGACATGGGAAGTAATAGGAGGCAGTGTTTAGTAATGGAGTGTGTACGCAGTATAAAAAAACAATATCAAACAAAGGCAGTGCAGAAAAAGCAAAGTTGGCAACGTACACTACTGGAAGCACGGCGCGCTTGAGGTGACTCCTGGGGTGCGACAGTATCCGAGTGCGACAGGTAATGACCTGTAGATCCACGAGGCGCCGGGCCAACGTACTGATAGATGCCTCCCGAAGACAGGACCTGTGAGGGAGTCGGAAGACCTTGGGTTGATGACTGCGCGTTGGTACGTTGGCTGCTGCTCTTGCCAGTGGTAGATGCCTGGTGATAGAGTCCTGGAGCCTGGAAGGAGCCTCCGTTGTATCCTCTAGACGACTGGGACAGGTTGAGAGGTTGTTGAGAGGACTGAGAGGACTGAGAATGCTGGGAAGGCTGAGAGTGCTGAGAGTGCTGCTGGAAGAACTGAGAGTGGGAATATTGCAGCATACTGTGGGGCTCTGGCTGCATGAAGGAGCTCTGAGGGTTGTCAAAGTGCATGGACCCTAGTCGACTGCGTTCCCGAAGATCCCGGATTCCCTTCCTGAAGGTCACGGCATGAAAGGGCTTCATTGGAATGGCGTCCATAATACTCTTGAGCTCGTCGTCGTCAAAGTCGATGATGAGGGGCATGGCGTCGTCTGAGGCACCTGCTTCGTTGAACGATTGCAAGTATTGCGAGAGATTGCAGTTGTTCAGGAAGGCGGGCAGGGACGGAATCTCTGAGAACGGGACAAAGGTACTGGTGTTCCTGCGGAGGGCAGCAGGGACGTGGAGGGTCCTGTTAGCGGGGCGGGTAGCCTGAGCATCGGCAGCGAGGGAGGAGGACGCGGTGGTGGCGGTTGCCAGGGCGGAGGTGGCGCCTAGACTGGGAGGTGGTGGCGAAGGGGTGGGCGAGCGTGTTGGAGGCTGCTGTTCCTGATTGGAGTCGAATTCGCTATCGGAGGCGAGGATGGGTGAATTGCTTTCGTTGATGGTCTGCTCGCGCTGGGAGTTGGCGGGAGCAGCGCCGACGGTTGGACTCTGGTTGGTTGCCATGGGTTGTTGATACTGTTGTTGTTATTGACTATTGACTGTTGGCGGCGCGAGTAAAATAGAAAAGTGAGAGTGGAAGTGAGTGGGGAACAAAGATTTTTTTTTTTGTGGCAGTTGATACTATTTCAGGGGGGGGGGGGGGGGGGGTGGGGAGAGAAGAGAGTTTGAAAGACCAGTGGCGGATGAGGGAGATCGAGGTCGACGGACACACACACGTTGCAAGGATGACAGACAGCCCAGCAAAAAATAATAAAAAAAAAATATATATATATATATGTATATAAATGGGTGCAATGGAAAATAAACAGACAATGAGGATGATGGAGGAAAAGTGGGAGAAGAGAGAAGGAGTGAAACCAAGGTGGAGACATGGACAGAAAAAGCAGGGTGCTTTTGGTGGCGGTGGCTCAGCGAGACTTTCTTTTCTTTCTTTCCACTGTGGAAAGATGTGACTCAATGCGTCCACTTTCGTTTGACACCATTCACATAAAAGGACAATGTGCGTTATTCTTGTGTACTTTGTTTTTTTTTTTTGTTTGTTCGTTTTTAGTATTACAGGTGGTGTATAGAACGGTCTAGCTCTCAGATCCTTCCTCCTCTCCAACAATATACGGACTTTCTATGACCTCCTTAAACGTCTTGTAGTTATGGTTCGCAGGCAGGTCGCTGTCCAGACTCGTGTAGTCCGTGATCGCAAACACAATCTCGCCAAAGGTACGCCCTTTCTTGACGCCTCCCATGTAGTTGGTATGGATCACCTCCTTGAAGATGTTGGCAACCGACTCGGCAGGATTGTGCAAGCGACCACAACCAAAAGCCGATAGCACGATAGCGTCGTGGCCTATAGAAAAATGCAAACAAGCAGAGGATATATCAATATGCTTGTTCGGGATAGAAGACAAATATGCCGATCGCTTGGATCAAAATAGCCAACTGACTTACCGTTGTCAAGGGCAATGCGGAACATATTTTGGATTTTTTTCTTGGTAATGATTGTTGCCCTGTCGCCGAGGATCATCTCATTCGCCTGGTTCGGAACCAGAGGGGGGTTACGAAGTGGAGCCATAGCCTACAAAAAAAAAGAGGCAAGACAAATATTAGATATATCTTTTCCAATTGTCAACGCGCCCATCGTTCGGGATATCCACTCGCGGCATCACAACTCACCAAAAAGCTCATCCATTCTGGACGATCCATGAACTCATTTTTGTCCTGGCTAGATTTTCTTAACACAACCATGTTAGGGCAATAGACTGCTCCTTGACTAGGCAACGGATAAAATTCGGAACGCCTGGGCTCGGTGTCTAAGCACTGATAGAGGTTCGTCCTGAGGAAGAGTCCTGCTTCCTGTGTTGTCCCGTCCGCCCGGTAGTCTACACAGTGTTGAAAGACAGGTAAGCAAGTAAGCAAGCAAGAAAATAATAAAGTCTGAGCCATGGGACGAACAAGCGAAACATTTTAATATTTCAGGTGAGCAGTTTACCCAGGAAACACAAACAAATAAAAATTGACGGAAAATACCGTACCTCCACCTGGGAACTCTCTGTTTGCCATGTCGAGGACGATGGGCTTGTATCCTTGACGCTTCAGGCGCAGGGCCTCGTCCAGGGAATCGGCATTGACGACCCTGATGATGGGGTCCTTTTGATTGTCCATGATTTGTCGTCTAATGCGTGATCCTTGGTATTGCTTCGATCTCCTAACTCCCGAAAACAACTTATCCTTGTCCAAGGTCACAACGGATCCAGTGCTGGAGACGTACGATAACGATTCGACCGCCTGGAGAGTCTCGGCCATCCGTGGTCCCAACCGGGAGCTCCTGGAGAAGCGGAAGGAGGTGATTGACGAGAAGAGTCGGGTGATGGCAAAGAAGGCGACCAGGATCAACAATGCCGCTGTGAGGCGGTACCAATTGCTCTCATATCCTCCACGCCGAGTCCGTATCCGGTGGTAGCGCTTGACCTTGTTGGCGAGCTGTTGTCCATATTGGAGTATCCGTGCAAAGCGAGACTGGGACCTGGGTTGAGAGAATCCGGGCAGGTTCATGGAGTTTGTCCTGATGGTGATGGGTTTGACGTTGTAGTGTTGGTGGAGCTGTTGCTGTTGAAGCAGCTTTTGTTGCATCGAAACAGGGCGCGATGGGGTAAAGTCCTGTCTCATCGTGGCGGACATGGCTTTTGAGCGTAAGTCCTGGTAGAGGTGATCAGATGAAGAGGTTCTTCCCGAGGTTGAGTCCTGTTACTGTTCTTGAGGAGGGATGGTATTGGGAAGAGAGAAGAGAGAGAGAGAGGGGCGAGAGGAGGAAGGAATGGGAAAGAGGGAAGGGAGAGGAAGAAAGAAATGATGGGGTGGACAAAAGGAAAACGAAGCAAATAAGAAAAAGAGTGGAGAGGAGTTGAGAGCACTGAAGCAAAAGGAAGAAAAAATGTCCCTCCACCAGAATCCAATCGAGCTGCAGGAGATGAGAGGGGAGTGCTTCTTGCCCGAGAACAACTGTCATCTCTATCATTGGTCAAAAGTATTTTGACCCTTCACTCAGTGCAGACAAAGTGATCAGTGATGGTGCCTGTATTGGGGTCGACCCTCTGCTATTGATCGTCGATCATCTTATGAATAGAGACCCCTCCATGGCCACATCTTTATTCTTGAATCTCGAGTGATAAAGAATCCTACCTATCATAAGAACTCCTCTATCCTTTGTGCATACCAGGTCCGCGAGACAGCGAGCTACATGATGTCGACGAAGAGCACAAGGCATGTTAATTTCCTAATGGTTTCGAACGCCACCATGTCTCATCTTTCTTTTGTCTTGCCAGCTGTACTCTCTTGTATCGATCTCATTCCTTTCCTCCCCTACTCTCTCTAATGAAGGCACTTTGTTACATTTCTCCTACTTCACTTACCACAAGAACCATTTGTCCATGCGTCCCGGATTTTGCTTCCTCACAGATTTTGGAAAAGGGCCTGTCCGTCCGTTGAGGAGGAGAGGGATGAGATAGAGACTCTAAATAAAGTCGACCCTTCCAACTGAACGCTTCATTCGATTCACTCCTCCTTCCTTCCGTCGACTCTAAAATAAACCGCCCAACTCCTGCAGATTACAGGCACTGAAGAAGGAGCAGAGAGAGACTCCTTGTATTTAGCTTCATTTGTTTCGTTGTGATCGGCGAATGAATTGTGTGTGCAAATTACCAACTCCACAATTGTGGCTATCTCACTTTAGAGTCTCTTTGAGTGAAAGGGGCTTTTGGCTTTTTGTTTCGTGATGATCACGGTCTATGCAGTTTTGTTCTTTTTACCTTGAGGAATGGTCGCCACGATTGTAAGCAATCGCCTAAGAGAAGAGGATGTGGCAGAGCCGCAACAACCTTTTTGCACAATTCCGCTCTTGATGATTTCAGCCAACCCGTTGTTCTCCGTTTGATATAAGGAGTATGATGGACAATGAAAGCATCAATTGGACCCTGGCAGAGTTACCAAGAGTACATGGCATCGTTGAATTGATGATAAAGGCCTCGCAGACCAAGTTGACCGAAGCAGTTGAAGCGACGTGGGTATCACTTTTAGATCAGTGACCTTGTTCGAATCGCCTTTTGCATGCCCCTGAACCAACGAAATAAACAACTTTCTTTGATCAGTGACAGTCACGCTTTGCGTTCAGCCAGGGCGACGCGGACCTTTTCTTTGTTGATTCACGAATCCTTCTTTTCAAAACTCACCGACCCGACACCATTCACATAGGACAGCAAAGATGAACATCCGCGAGGCCACCGTACGTCAACCTCCTTGTCTCTAACGGGAACACTTGGAAAACGCACTGGGGCTACCTTAGATCAACAATGAAGAAAAAAAACGACACTCATGTCAGCTCCCTTTGTTCTATTACGAAACGTAGCTGGATGACATGATCCCCATGCAGAACTGCAACCTGCACAACCTGCCCGAGAACTACCAAATGAAATACTGTAAGTCCAAACGCATTCTCTTTCGTATGTTTTGTCCACCATTCAAATCGAGGTAAAGGATACAATGTGAACCGAGGGTACGCTGAAACTGACATACCATGCCCTATTGTTTATGACCCTTTAGACTTCTACCACTCCCTGACCTGGCCTCAGCTTTCATACGTTGCAGAGGATGAGAAGGGCAGGATCATTGGATACGTTCTCGCCAAGTTGTAAGTTTTTACTTTTGCGCGCATTGGAAGCTCATGGGAGGAAAACATCACGCTCATGGTGTCAATCATACGCCAGGACGCCCTCAACAGGATCTTTAGTCATTCTGCACTGCTACCACATCGAGGAACAAAACAAATACGCGGCGGACCGAGCAAAAGCCGTACGAGATGGATATGCATCTTGGCTTTGACAAAATCTCGTTCACAATGAAGCTAACATGAATGTTGTCGATTTCGACTACTAGAGAGGAGGATCCCACTGCAGAGCCTCATGGACATATCACCTCGTTGTCAGTAATGCGTACCTACCGTCGTCTCGGAGTTGCAGAAAAGCTGATGACCCAGTCTCGTAAGTGTTCTCTTTGTGGACTATGCTCTTACCTATGCGTATGACAGGATCAGGCTATCAGGGCACACGCCCCCTTTGTGAAAGTCGTTTTCAGCAAGTCAGCGGAAAGAGATACAGCTCGTACTTGTCAGCATATTTCCACTACATCAACAACAACAACAGCCTTTGCTTCCATTTCGTCAGAGAACGGCGCCATTGCAGCAGGATTGTTTTCGTCGCACCTTGCGTTTTTGTTAGGACATCTGTCTCTTTCGAAAACCAAAGGGTGCCAATGAAACAATCGACTATCGTGTTTTTCTTTGTAACTAACAGAGTCGCCATACTGCAACATTTTTTCTTTTCTTTACACAGAAAACGCCATGCGGGATGTCTTCAACTGCAAATTCGTGTCACTCCATGTCCGCAAGAGTAACCGTGCCGCCCTTCAGCTCTACAGAGATACCCTCCAGTTCACGTAAGTCATCTTCTCTGTAGTGGTTTCTCTTTCTGAGCATTTGGACCAATGTTATTTACAACATACCTACTTTTGCAATCACTGGCATAGTGTTCAGGACATTGAGAAGAAGTACTATGCTGACGGTGAGGATGCATACGCCTGCCGCAAGACTTTGCAGTAATGCAGGGACGGGATATCAGGACTCGAGGAATGGTGTCACAACAGCGTGGACGAATGCAATAAACGGACGATGATGAGAACCCTACAACTTTGGCTGCCTCGTTACCCTTTCATACAGGTTCTCGGGATTCATTACCGCAATGGCTATGGTTGGTATAGTTGTTTGTTAAAAGGTATGGACTACATAATACTACCTGCGGATCGTTCTTCAACACTCGCTCGTCTTGCAAAAAAAAATTCGCGCCGCTAGTGACCTAACAAGCCTGCGAAGGTAGCGTTCATGAACATGCCCTTGGGATCATACTTCTTACGGATGGCATCAAACCGATCGTAGCGCTCACTGCCTTGCTTGCGGAGATATGGCACAATTCCAGGAACATGCTCCCACATCTTTGCCCAATGGGGTCTATGTTTTGTCGAATTCATGAAGTAGTGTACTGTTAGTAGGGACGAGATCAGGCGCCTTTTCTTTTGTTTTCCTGGAATTGGTTGTGTGTGGGATATATTTTTTCTTGCCTGGCGTGGAAGTTGTCCATCCAGAATTTGGCCATCTTGCTGGAGAACTCGTCAAAGCCAGGAGTGTTGTTGACTGAGAGAACTTCGACCATGCAGTAAATCGCTTCAGGGTCGGTGTCGTAGGCGGCAGACATGAGCATGGTCGAAGCTTTAACGAACCGCATCTCTAGCGTCAAATTGAATGGGTACTCGCCGCGGTTGGCGTACTCGTACAACTATGATTGACGGGAATCACCAGCAGGAAGATTAGATAATGAAAAATGAAGGGAACATACTGCAGGAAAGAAAACCAGAGGGTCAATGAAAGAAAAAAAAACCAGAAATGTTACCTGGTCGATAACATAGTTCCACGCAACAACAACATTCGAAAAATCCTCATTCGCCTTGAACGCCATCTCCAGATCGACACAAGGGAGATTATCGATCCCTGCCTGATAATGAATCGCATCCGGCGCTTCCAGCACTTCGTCTGAATCCTTCCCCCCAACAGCACTAAACATCAACCAATTCACAAACGGTGTGCTCTTCGGATTCGCCGCCATGAAATCATACAGGTGATCTCCAAACTGGGTCTGATACCCCTGGATGATTTGCTTGAAGGCTTCACATTCGGGGCTGACGCTGATGGGCTCAGTGGTCCGACGCCATTGCTTGATCCAGATCCGGTCGTTGGCGGCTTCGAGACCGGGGGTGTTGAAGGGCCAGTAAAAGATTTCGGTTTGGTCGTTCCCAAGGACCATTGCTTTTAGTTTGGCACCGTCTTGTTCTGGGGTGGAGAAGTAATCGCTCAATAGCGGGTATCTGTCTGTCTAAGCTCGTAAGAGAATGATGGAGTTTTTTGTTGGTTAGGAATGGGAGGAAATCCACACGTTCACATGGGCATTGACTACCGAAACGATCGACTGAAGGCAGGTGGATAGACATGTCAAAGATCATGAGGGGTTGTCAACACGTTTTGTTCTCTTTACCATGCGGAGTCTGAACATGGGTTCGACACGGAGGGTATAGGTGTAAATGATGCCGAGAAGACCAAGGTTGACGGTAGCGGCGGCAAACTCTTCAGGGTTTTTGATTTCTGAGAATGTGTTCAGGTTGCCATTGGCATCGATGATGGTGACTTCGGTTACAAGGTCCGGTAGCGTTCGAGTATGTGTCGCAGCGCCATGCTGGATAAGATGGAACGGAGAAGAGAAGCGTCGGCAGTAGAGAGGAACGAAAAGAATGAGGATCATTCATGCGTTAGTTGTGAGCCTTCTTCATCCCAGTCTTCATTTCATTTCGGTCAGTGCGAAAATGTCACTTACACATCCAAGGGACATGATACCGCCGTACCGTACCTAACAGCATACAATAGCAGAACATGTTGGCATCACCGCTCAATCCAATTGACAACTGTGCAAAAGAAAAAAAGAAAAAAAAAAGACATAGCATAGTGCTTACAGAATCAAGGACGACATTGGAAGGCAAAGTCAGCGGCGGATCATGTTTCCTCAGCGTATCATCTAAATCTTTGACCAACACCCCCGTCTCCATCGTCACTGTCCACGTTTTCTGCGCACCATCATAAACAGGCGCATGAATTTGTTGCATCCCATTCACATCCACCAGGTACCCATCCGTGACCGAACTCGACGACCATGTATGTCCAGAACCCGCACAACGGATCTTTTTTCCAGTAGCCTTTGCCTTGAGGACAATAGCTGTCAGGTCCTGGAGGGTCTTGGGGTGAAAGATCTCGGTGGGGTTGCAGAATTGGTTCTTGGCCCAATTGGTCCAGGCGGCATCCTTGGTGGATGGTTTGAAAATGGAGCGAAAGAATGCGCCGAGGTCCTTTGATTTTTTGGGAGTGATTGTTTTGGTGGGGGAGTTGTTGTTGATTTGGCGAACGGCCTTTTCCTTGGCGGCGCTGATTGTCATTGTTGTTTTGTTTGTTTTTCTTTTGTTTCTTGTGGTAGTGCTTTTTCGAAGTGAGGCTGTAAGAATGAAGAAACAAAGTTGGATGAAGAATGGAAGAAGTTGTATGCGTGTGATGTTTGGCGGGTGAACTTAAATGGTGATAAGCACAAGAAAGGGCGATCCATCCTTTATCAGCCCTGCAACTTTTTTTCCGCGACCCTTTATTCTACTTGAACTCCTCTTTCTCTCTCTTTCTCCCTCTTTCCCCCTATGACTCTGGGCCATGCACACTAGCTCACCTCATTGCCTCCTATATTTTTAGTTCCACAATGACCTCCTTTTCTCTTCCTCGTCTCAGCCCATGATTTTCTTTCAAGCACTATGGTCATGTTACCGCGCCATCCTCCTCCTACTATGCCCCCTCTCTGCAATGTACCACTTTGTCAGCAGGACTTGGTCTTGAGGAGACTTTTTTTTAAAAATTCCTAATCAAAGCGCGCACTATGATCCCTGTCGTTTTATTTTATATGTGTAGAAAAATAGGCCATTGACCATCACAGGAAGGGAGGAGGGATCTTATCTACCTGCCCGCGTGCATGCATGTTGTATACATAGTAGCATCCATGCATGTATTCGTGTCCATGTGGCGGACTGCGGTTGTGCATAGCCTACACAATTCCACACTCGCCACGGCCTACACTACAGCCAGTCGCCCTCGCGGTTCATTCATCACGTTTACCCATGTAGGGAGAAATATATGTTTTTTTCTACCTACCCCCGCCCTGCACCGCAGTGCTGCGTGCCTGTCTGCGCAAAAAAGCTAATGTCCTAAGACACTAGCAAAGGTGGCGTCCATGAATATGCCATTAGGATCATACTTCTTGCGGATGACCTCGAATCGATCGAAGGCAGGAGACAATACCGCAGACGAGCTCCCACATCTTCGCCCAGTGGGGGTGGGGGGGGGAGTCAAAAAAAAAAATTCGCGTTCTTGAAAAGTAAAAACCTGGGAGATGTTAGTAAATCTACGATGGACATTTCGTCTTTTTTTTTTTTTTTCTTTTGGATCTTTTGGCGTTATTTTTTTATCTTGCTTGTAAGTTTTCGCTCAATGGAGGGTATGTGTCCGTCTGTAAACAGAACACGCAAAGTGACACGTTAGTAAGACAGTAGTAGAAATATCTACATAGGCATCAAGGACAAGGGCGAGTGTGACCCGTGGGTGTAATGTACCACTTGGAGCTTGAACATGGGTTCAACACGAAGGGTGTAGGTGTACGTGTATATGACTCCAAGGATACCAAGGTTGACGGTAGCAGCGCCCAACTCTTCGGGGTACGACAGCCCTTTCTATACAAACTTGTCAAGGCAATGGCGAAGAAAACAAGGTAGCAGAGGCGTCGTCTTTCTTTGACCCCGCTTTCATTTTTTCGCCGCAGAAGAACAGCTTTGTGTCCAACAGACTAAATGAAAAAACGTGTAGCCAAGTCAATACTTTATCGTGGGCGTGAGTATATGGCAGTGGTGATGGGGCTGGCAGTGGTGATGGGGCTTTGTTCAAAGCTGCCGTCATGGGATAGTATTCGCCCAGCTGGTCATTGACTTTGCACTCTTGTCAAATTTGTACGGCTGTACACTAATGCTTATTTTTGTGGTGTTAGATTATCCTCTCCCGCCTAATAAAAAGCACGTCGATGATGATGTTGGGGCCGTACTATCCTCATTCGTACCAAACGCGCAATGCATTCCGAAATAGAAAAAACGCAGTAGATCGACTGATCGCGTTCTAATAGTGAATCCTAAACGAACAAGAGGTAGTAAAGTTCAGACTCTCCGCGGGAGGTAGGAGAAAGGATTTGCAGTGCGCGTACTGACTCAATGGCCCCCCCAAAAAAAATGACAGCAGCAACAACAACGATGTATCTTTAGAGAACAAAATAGTATAGTTGTTTATTTCCTCTATGACTCCGTTTTACATAGCCGGAGAGAATTGGTCATGGTTATTCGCTATTTTAATGAGTTTGTTGACTTCTTCCACTTTCCGTTGCATTTTTTTTGTCTAAATGTCTATTGAAGAAAACACTTTACATGTTGATATCGGGGTTGAAGAACAAAGAGTCATCACCCCAGGGGAAGGCCTATGAGAAAGATAGAAATGTGAAAATGGTGAGTGTTCATTCTATACTGTGTGTAATTGCACTGGCGAATGAGGTAACTAGAAGTGAGCAGATGATTACCCTGGCGCGCATGCGCATGTAGGGGTACTTGATGGCCTCGTGACCCTCGTGGCGCTCGTGCTCCAAGTGAGCCTGGTGCTTAGCCCAGAGGTTGTAGGCGTTGGCAGAGGCAGCGACGACGGCGGGGACGCAGACGTAGATGGAAACCTTGCGCCAGGTCTCGGCAGCGGCTATTGTATTAAGATAGTTGGTTGACGAGGGGGGAGAAAAAAAGCAATTAGGCCAGTGTATACGAGAAATGTCGTGTAAGAGTGGCCACAGAAAAAAGACGCGAGAAAAATAGTGGTCCGTTGGTGTTTTCTGTAAATATTCAAGGGCTGTCCGGGCATCCTTTGTTCACTGTTGATAGTGGTCCCAATGACAATGCCCGTGCATTAATGAAAGTACAGGGGAGAGAAAGTGAGTGGTGGACAAGAAAAAGGGGTAGAGAGAGAGGAGAGAGAGTCCAATGGACATAGGAAGGATAGAGGATGCACGTGCAGGAAGAACGCGTTATATTTTCGGAAGTTTGGCCGAATATTCGGAAGAAGCGATCCGGAGGTCTAATCCTGGAATGCGGTGTGGGATGTTCAAACCATGAATTACTCCTTCCGGCGATCCCGATGGTACATGGCGAGGGCGAGGGTTTAACTCTTTGTTCCCTTGTCATTACCGATCCTGATCTATGTTCTATAGGTTCTGTTCCTGAAATATGTTCCGTTCCTGAATTGTGCCTGTCGTTGTAGTTGTGTCGCGAATAGGAGAGGAGAAAAAAGGTGCACAGGAGAAAAAGGGGTTGTTGTTGTTGAGGAAGGGAAAAGACGTACGACCGGCGTGCTCCTTGATGGCGTTGCGCTCGGCCAACCAGGGGTTAGCGGCGGTAGCGGAGGAGGAGAAACGGATGCCCTTGGCGGCGTTGGCGATTCTGGAGGCCATTTTGTGAGTGATGTGGTTGATGTTTTATGAGAGGGGAGAGAAATAAGAAAGCGATGAAGAAGGCACTTGACATGGCACATAACAACGGAATCCACTCGAAAACAAGGTTCCCCCGGGTTTGTGAAACGTAGTAGGATGATAATTCATCGCGAGTGTTAATTGACCCAAGAAAAAGAATATCAATTGATGATTCAGCAGTCACCTAGAAAAAAAAAAAAGAAAAAAAAATCACAACAGACAAACAACAGAGGCTGCGAGAGTGATAAAACAAGGTCAGACATCAGCTCTTGCATCCTTCCCTTTTACCCCTCCTTTACTCATCACAATACACATCACACCGCCATGGGTCAACTGAAGAAGGAACACAACAGAGTCCAGGCTGCAGGCGGGTCAAACGGCCTCGGAAACGTCAAGGTCAAGGGAGAGAACTTCTACCGTGACGCCAAGGCCGCCAAGCAGGTCCAGCTCCTCAAGGGTGGTCGTGCTACCCGCAACGCCCAGGGCAAGGTCATCAAGGCCGCCTCCTTCCAGTCCAAGGTCGTCGAGCCCGGTCGTGTCGCCCCCAACCGCAAGTGGTTCGGAAACACCCGTGTCATCGGCCAGAAGGCCCTCGAGAGCTTCAGGGAGAACCTTGCCGCCAAGGTCAACGATCCCTTCCAGGTCCTCTTGAGACAGCACAAGCTCCCCATGTCCCTCCTCCAGGACCCCGTTCACGTAAGGATTTATTTTCTGAATTTACAATCATTGTCTCCTTGTACCTCCTCTTGTCCTGAATTTGTTCATGCAGCTAACCCTCTATTTCTTCACCACTTTACTACAACATAATAGGTCGGCAAGATGCATGTGTTGGAGACCGAGCCTTTTAACGACACTTTCGGAAACAAGGCTCAGCGCAAGCGCCCAAAGCTGGCTATGGGCAATTTGGAGGAATTGGCTGCCAAGGTCGAGTCGACTCTCGAGACCTACGATGAGAAGGCAGATAAGAACTTGACAGCAAACGTTATCACAGACTGGATCGAGGAGGCCAGAGACAGTGTCTTCCAGAAGGGTCAGTCGAAGCGTATTTGGGGAGAGTTGTACAAGGTTATCGATTCCTCGGACGTTGTCATTCATGTCTTGGATGCCCGTGATCCCCAGGGAACACGTTGCGCCAGTGTCGAGTACCACATCAAAAAGGAGGCTCGCCACAAGCAGCTGATCTTTGTTCTTAACAAGTGCGATCTCGTCCCCACCTGGGTCACCGTAAGTTTTCTTGATTGTTGAACTCCCATCATTGAGTACTCGCTTGTAATTACCTCATATTCTAACGACTCTGTTACTTTGCCCTCTTATAGGCCAAATGGGTCAGGACGCTTTCCAAGGAATATCCTACCCTCGCTTTCCACGCCTCGATCAACAACTCGTTCGGAAAGGGCTCATTGATTCAGCTCCTTCGCCAGTTCTCGACACTTCACGCGGACAAGAAGCAGATCTCGGTCGGTTTCGTCGGTTACCCCAACACTGGAAAGTCTAGCATCATCAACACCCTGCGCGGCAAGAAGGTCTGCAACGTCGCCCCTATCCCCGGAGAGACCAAAGTCTGGCAGTACATTACTTTGATGAAGCGTATCTACTTGATCGATTGCCCCGGAGTTGTCCACCCTTCGACCACCGATACCGAGACAGATATTGTCCTCAAGGGAGTTGTCCGTGTTGAGAACATCAAGCAGCCCGATGATTACATCCCTGAGCTCCTCAAGCGCGTCCGCCCCGAGTACATTCAGCGCACATACGAGTTGGACCACTGGGAGGACTCTGTCGACTTTTTAACCCAGCTCGCCAAGCGTACCGGAAAGTTGGTCAAGGGAGGTGAGGCCGATCTCGGAAGTGTTGCCAAGATGGTCTTGAACGACTGGTTGCGCGGCAAGATCCCATACTTCTGTCCTCCCCCTGAGGGTGACAAGCCCGGTGGAGAGTCGTTGTTCGAGGGAGAGGAGGATGTCCCCGTCTATAACAGCATCGACCCCTCGCTCCCCAACGTCGAGCAGATCTTCTCCAAGATCCCTGTCGTGCAAAAGTTCTTGCCTGATGATCTTGCCCAGAACGCCGCTTTGCTCGAGGAGGAGAGGAGCAAGAAGGAGAGCAACGCCCCCGAGGGTGTCCTTCCCGAGGAGATTGATGAGGACGATATCAACAAGACTGACGATGAGGATGAGGATGAGTCGAAGACCGACGCCAAGGTCCGCAAGAGCAAGGCTCAGCTTCGTCAGGAGAAGAAGGCCAAGAAGGATGCCAAGGCCAAGGCCTCGACTGTCCTCTCTGGCGAGAAGCTCGACTGGGACGATGTCTTTGCCAACGTTGTTGGTGAGACTGTGGACGCTATCCCCGGCCAGGCCGCCAAGGACGCCGAGGACGATGTCGACAGCGAGTTGGAGCTCTCGGACGAGGAGGCTGAGCGCAAGCAGAGGATCAAGACCCGTGCTGCTGCCAAGCGTACCGCTGCTGCTTCTGGTTTCGAGGTCAAGGGTGCTGCCAAGAAGAAGGCTGTCAACAACAAGAGGAAGCATGTCGAAGAGACCGAGGAGGTCAAGGAGGTCAAGGAGGTCAAGGAAGAGTCTGCCAAGCCCGTCAAGGAGGCCCGTATGACCACCAACAAGGGCAAGGTCGGTACCCACTACTACGAGACTGCCAACGTCAAGAACAAGAACCGTAACAAGGTCAAGCCCGAGGATCCCCACAAGTTGGCCACGAAACTCAGGGACCAGGGCAAGAAGCGTCGTCAGTAAAATATATTCTGTCGTTCGTTCTCTTCTTTTGTTTTTTGTTATTTGTTTCTTAGCATCTAGACAACCATCCATTTCCTTAGCATATTTCCATCTTCATTTTCTCTCTTCTCAAACGCTGATCTTGTACATTACTAAAAGATAATTACCCCCACGACTTGATATTCGCCGATTGCAGTGAAGAATGAATACCAAATGCCAAATGTTTTATTACTTTGTTGTTGTTTGTTCATCAGTCGTCGTGACCTTCGTGTGCGTTGGGGTCAGGGCCGGTGTTGACGGCGCTTATACTCTCAATCTCGAGTTCAAAAGGTCCCGAGGTCCTATCGATGATGGACACACCCACATTCTTGACCCTCTCCCTATAGATTTCGATCTGCTCCTCCTGAACGAAACCCTGGTTCGTCAAAATAAAATCCTTGAACGGGATCTAGTTTCATGTTTTTTACAAGTAGAGAGAAGGATAGGGGTTAGATGAGATTGCAGATTGTGTGGGCAACTGCAACCGCCTCTCACAGTTTCATCCATCCAGTTCCTGATCCGATGAAAGAGAAAACCGCTTATTTACCAGTACAGTCTCCCATTCGCCAGGAGTTTTGAGGAAGAGTCGGTGTTGGTAGAGATCGGTAGGGACGACGCCATCGGTCTGGAGATTGACAAAGTATTTCCGGTTGTCGCCCTTAACCTTCAACTGGAGGTATTCGAACAGACATGTATCCCAAACAGGCGTCCCGAATATCGACGATTCTTTTGTCTATTTCAACCCGGAACGTATGCGATAAGAAAGAAAAACAATGAGTTAGAACAAAGACGCGAAGTGGAGTGTGAGACCGGGAATTTAGGTTGGAGAAAAACGAGCGGGAAGGGACCTGTGGTCCCATGGATTAGGATGACCCCACCATGTCTTTCATATGTTCTTTTTCACTCCGCTGTCCATTGTCCGCAGTGTGCGCGCTATCCATTGTTCCCTTTGGAATTCCCACTCCTCCCATTCCTGGATACGCATGTCTGAGGTTCTGTCCGCATTCGTTTCGCTGTTTGCACACTTTCCAATCCTTATGCCGCTTAGCACGGTCTCATGCTCGCTCACCTTTGTTCTGCATCCTGCATATCCACTCTTTTCGACGCTTTCGTTCTCGGGAAGGTCCAACGACAACTGTCCAAAGAAACGACCTAAAAGTGATTCGCATAAATATGTTTGTAAAATGACACAAAAACAAAACCATCCTGGGGAATTAGTTATCAGAAACACACACCGTCTCACTCTCCTTCAGTCCATGGTCAAGTTTCTTGAACACTCCTTCAGCTCTTGTATTAGCGCGCACAAGCAAGTTTGTTGTAATCCTGCTTTGTTCTCCTGCTTTGATGATTTTTTTGATCCATTGCGTTGTTGTTCGGTTATTTTCTGCTCCTTGCTTGACTGGACTAAAATGTCGTGCTAGTGTTGCTTGACAGGACTCACCGGTGCCGTTCTTGGTGATTTCGAGGTTGGCTTCGGAGAAACCGCCAATGTCCTTGTCGCAGCCCACAAGCCAGCCCTTGAGATCCTCATCCACCTTCAGTGAAGCCATTGGTAGTTCTCTCTTCCAAGGTGAGTGGTCCATTCTAGCGACTGTTTTGTTTCCGATTATAGAAAGCAAATAAAAAAAAATGATGTTAGTTCCGCCCTATATTGCCTCAACATGAATAACCGAGAGAGAGGGAGTGTAGATTCCAATGTCCTGTTTCGCCTTTGTAGTTCCTCTTCTTTATCCTTCTCTAGGCATAAGCTCGATATTTTTTTCTTTGACGTGTTGAAACTCTGTTACTAGGCGTCGTTCCGTCTGATTTGTGTGGGTCTGTTCATCAGATCGCGCCTCCTGTTTTGAGTTGCATGGGTAGTGTGTGTTTGTAATTACCCTTGACGGTCTCTGCTCCGAGAGCTTTAAAGGAACGTCGTACGAAACCGAGCATCTTGTCCTATTCTTTTCTTTTTTGTGTCCTGGTGTCCTTGCGCGTTGTCTTGGTTCAGGTTCTGATGAGAAAGTCCAGCGTCCGTGATGCAAGCAAGATGGGCGATGCAAGAAGAATAAAAGATGGTGGCGACCTCGTCCGACCATTTTTTTTTCCTAAACTCGCATGTCTGCCTGTGGCTTTGAAAATGAACAAAATGCCAAAAAGTCCCATCCTTGCACTGCCCTGCCCTCCTCAAAATGGACGAACCATCCCTTTGGGTCGTCCCGCTCGCACGAACCACCTTTCTTTTTCTTTCCTTCCTCAAACGCAACGATTCATGCATTTCCTTGATTGCCTCTCCCTCTCCTCTCTTCTCTCTCCTCTCTCTCCTCTCTCTCGTCTCTCCTCTCTCTCGTCTCTCTCCTCTCATCCTTTCCCTCCCAAAAAAAAACAACCTGCGATGCACGGTGCATTATTTCTTTTCTCCGTTTTGTTTGCGTTGCTTTTTATTCACCGTCTCGCTGCTATTCGTCCGTTCTAGAAGAAAAAAAACATCAATTCAGGGCGTAAAGCGCCTTCATTCATTCATTCATTCATTCATGTTACACCGCACGCTGGGAAAAGAATGAATGCCAACAAAAAGAAAACGTTAATAGAAAAAGTCGCGAGTCATTATTGTAAGGTTATGTTGTTTCGTGCGCATGAGAGAGATAGTGTGTGTGTGGATGTGTAAAGGAGAGACTATATGGTTGAAAGGGAAGAGCTATCACTACATTGAATGAATGGTACCTATCCGTCTCATTGCTCCAATTGCTGCTCGCCATAAAGCACCTTCAAATAGGTCTCCGCCTCATCATATTCACGCCTCATCTGGATCAGGAGGATCCGAATCTGATTCTCAGCCTCTTCATTCGATATCGAAGAATGCTGACCCGCCGCGTCCATCCCCTGACCATAGTACTGTAGCTTTTCACACGACGCCTTGACCTTCAGAAGTCCCAATTGTGCAGACGAGCCCTTTAGGAAGTGACCTAGCCGTGATAATCCCAACAGGTCTGACGCCGACCTAAGCGTACAGTAGAACAAAAAAAAGGGGGTGAGTAGTCGTGGAGAGATAAAACGGAAAAGAAAGAAATGATCGGCGGTAAATTTGGATGGAAAGTAACAACAAAGACAAACAGTGCAGCGGAAAAAAACAAAGTTGCATTGAGAAACACATTGGACAAACAGGGCACAACAAACACAAGGACATAAAGACAGAGACGGTTGAAACCGATGGGGGGCAGGGCAAAGGAAGGATGGAAGAACGGTGCGCAGAAAAAGGAAGTCCGTGAACCATGGCGTGTACTCTATGCCCCATACAGTCCCACGCCCCTGGTTATGTGTTTTCTTCATCGTTCTTGTTGTCGCCATCTTTTTGTTACCACGGGTTCAGCTTTCTTTTGTGTTTCTGCTCTGTCTCCAAGCGGGAATAAGGAAGAAGGGACAATGTAGTTCTATCTTTGTTCCAACAACTATCCATCCCCCTTTCACCACACCACACTAAACACCACAATGCCACCACGCAGGCATGAATGAAATAAGCGCTTAGCGCGAAATTCTTGACCAAAACACAACCACAGACAAAGACAAAAATAAAGGGACTCTTGCTTGAACATATGGGACACATGAATACAATGCTAGGGTACTTTCTCTCTCCTCACTCTCTTTCGTTCTGGTCATTTGAATGCGTGTGAGGAGGGATGAATGAGTAGAAGGACGGTGGTAGGACCAATCGAAGCAATGACAGAGTACAGAACAGAATAGAACCGAAAAAAGGAGTAGGGCCACCGATTAGCCAATGCAATGCCTCATGCCTTGCGTGGCCCTTGTTTTGTCTTGTCTTATCCGCATTCACACACTCGCACATACACTTCTCCCGTCCTTGCCAATCGCGGAGTCAAACTCCCAGTCTTACTCTTTCTCACTACACCATACCTTTTCACTTATCACGCGCATGAACACCCGCTGCCTGCCCCCAAATAAGTGCAGAGAACAACGACCAAAATAAGAAAAGAACAAGAACTAGAAAAAGAAAGATAGCGCTAATTTTTGTGAGGAAGACTGACTGAACCGATGACCCGCTTTGTGTGCAAATCATACAGGGACCGCATGGCAAAGGTCAAGGGAACAAGTGAACAAATAGGCCCTCCCTGCCCCAACATCATCATTATTCATCCATCGCCGCCACTACTGTCTAAAAACAAAACATCCTCCTTCTCTTCCCAACAATCCCTTGCATAAATGCATAAAGCACAAAACAACAAAAAAATGTCTCCCAACTGTAAACTTACATGGCAGCGTCCATGTCACCAAAGGCTCGCTGCGCCTGCTCAAAGTAGTTGTGGACTAGCGTCCTCGAGAACTCGTCGTCATCCTCCATATCCAAATCGAGTAATTGGTTAAATGTCGAGTGGTCCACAATCCCTTCTCCATCATTGCTGGTCGTATTGCTGAGCGATGGTGTAGGCGAAGAAGGTGATGGGGACCCGGATCTGGACAGGTCGCTTCCATTATCAGAGTCGTCTCTCAGTTCCTACGGGGATGTATGGGGGTGAAAATGAATGAGCCTGTCTATAGTATGTGTGAATCCGAGATCAATGAAATGGTGGCGTGTATCTTGTCGTTGTACATGTCTCGCCCTTCCGAAGCAAGGCGTAGTTTTGCACCTTCATGTTTCTCCTTGTCTTCCTTCCCTTTCGTCATCGTCCTTCCCTCGTTGTCTCTCCACTCCATGTCCTCTCTCATTCCTCCGACTTTGCTTCTTGCTTCCTCATTCCGAGGAGTGTGGGTAAATGAATGAACAAGAGCCAGGAAGTCAATGTAGGAATGAGAGAGGGGAAGCCGTAGGTAGGGCGCCCCCCGTCCCCGAGTTTTCTAGATCCAGTGCACGTGATCCTTACGCTTACTTACCACTGCCATGATTATCGGTTGCGTGTGTCCAAGTTGGGTGTGGGTGCTCTTTTTGTTCGTTGGGGCGAGTAAGTGAAATCCACGAGAAAGAGCGAAAAGTAGGAGGTAGAGTTCTTGTTTTGAAAGGGGAAGGGAATTGAAGAAAGAGGGTGTAGGGTGAAGTGGTGTAAAAAGGGGGTTGAAGAAAGAAAAAAGAGAAAAGAGAAGAGAAAGGAGGGAAGAAGAAAGGAAAAGGGAAGAAAGGAAGGCAATGGAAACAAAAAAGGGACGGAACGCCCAACGGCAAACTCGTTTATGCAAAACAAACGACAAAAGGGTCAGGGCTTTCCTTCTTCTTGTGTTCATCGATTCATCCCGCGGGTCTTTTCTTCTTCCATCTCTCCCCTCCCTCTCTATCTCTTTCTTTCTCTGTCTCTCTGTGCCTCCTCTGCTGCATCAGGTCTGTTTGCCTGCCTTGTCTGTCTCTCCGTCGAGGCAGTACAACATTTTTTCTGCTCATCCTGATCCTGTGCTGCCGGTTTCTTTTGCTCGCTGACGACACTGGTAAAGAGGGAGCATAAACGTCAGGCGCTGCAAAAAAATGTAGAGGGAAGAGGGGATACAAAACTGTCTTCCCGATTGGATCGAAAAGAAGGTTGTGCTGTGGCCAACGGACATGCAACGAAAATGAAAACGATACATGAGTTTTATGTTCATTATTTTTCGCACAGTACACGAGACGCGTCTCCTTTGGATTTAAAGCTTGTCTAACGTGCACGCGTATCGTACAAAAATAAATGCACAAGGGTGGTTTCGTCGCAATTGGATTATATTGTTTTCTGTGGTTTTTGGGGGGATTTTTTTCTTCCGTTAGAAAAGAGAGACAGAATGTGTGTGTTCGTCAAAAGACAGAGGCTTTTTATTTTGTCGTTCAAAGTGCGATATAATACAGTGCGATGGAGTCCTAGAGTATGTACAAGTTGGTCGTGGGGGGAATTATCAAGCATGATAGATGATAGAAGTAAAGGAAGTAGAAGGTGGGGGGAGGGTGCGAAAGGCAAATGAAATAACCACAGAAAGATAGGCAATAATGACGAGGAGCAGAAAAAAGAGTCCGTCCAGCTTAGAATCGCTTGAAGTACGATTGGCCGGGAGGAGCCTGGACTCGAACGGATGGAACATTGAAGCTGCTCTGCACAAACTTCTGGATGACATCGCATCCGCAGTCGCGGTGGCACAGAATCATGTTCTTCAGAGTGCGGACCTCTTCCTGTAGCTCATCAAGAGTCTCGTGCAGGGCCTGATTGCGAGCAGTGATGACGTCGGCATCCCCGATGGTCTTGAGCGTCTGCAACCGCTTCTTCTCGCGGCACTTAGAAGCCGCCATGCGGTTGCGTTCCAAGAACTTTTGACGTTTGGCCTCGGGAGACTCCTCCTCAGAGGAAGAGTGCTTGCGCAGCTGGGACAGAGTCTTGGCGACACCGACATTCTTGGTTGACATGTCGGAGTTGTTAGTGGCCGTGGTGCTATAGACTTTGCCCTTGGACTTTGACGCAGTAGAAGCCCTCTTAGACTTTGTTGATGTCTTTGACGACGGCTTGGAGTCAGACTTTGACGAGATCGCAGAGGCAGCGGCGACAGCGGCAGCACGCTTAGAGGTTCGGGTTCGTGTCATCTTGGAAGTGGACGACTCGCTTGCAGCCGAAGGGTCTCGAGAGGATTGCGAGCTGGGTGAGGTAACAGTGTCTTGTTCGTCATGGCCGTCGTTGTACTTGTTTGAGTCGACATCCATGCCGTTGTTGTCGATGTCGCTCATATCTTGGTCGTCATCGTCGGAGCTGTCGTTGTCGTTGTTGTCGATGTCGGCTTGCTGAGCTGGGTAAGAATCGTGGGCTTGGTTGGGGTTGGCCATGGTGATGCTGTTGTTGCGGAAGATGCCTGTGGGAACGAGGGAATCGGGAGAAGGGGAATTGAAAGGAGAATCGGGCGAGAGCCGAGGGAGATCTTGATCACTGTGGTACGACTTTTTGGAGGGAACGAGTTTGTCATAGATGGCATGGTATTCGTGAGTAAGCGTGTGTGAGGCCTCGGGATGGGAGATGAGATGATCCGAAGTTATGGACATCATGCGTGGGTGGAAAGTTTGGATGGGGCTGGTGTTTGAAGAGGGATAGAACGATTGGGAGGTGGCTGCCGACGACGACGACGAAAAGGAAGAAGTAGAAGATGGGGGCGAGACACCGGGCGTCGTTGGACGCATGGGCAGATATGATTCATCAAAGACCATGTCGGACCAAGGGTGTTGAATGGGAGCAGAGCTGATGGCGTTCCTGTTGTTGTCCGAGTTGAAAAAGTCGACGTCGGTCTTGAAGGGATGGCTGTTGTTGTTGTTGTTGCTGTTGCTGTTGCTGTTGTTGCTGTTGTTGTTGTTGTTGCTGTTGGTGAGATATTTGCAGCTGGCGTCAAAGGGACTGTAAGAGTTTTCGAAGTTGAGACCAAAGCTGATATCATCACATTCCAAGAGGAAGCGAGTAGGAGTGAGATTGGCCGTGTCTTTTGAGGAAAAAAATGACAGAGAGAAAGGAAGGAGGGAAGGGAGGGAAGCGAAGAAGGCAAGAGAAGGATAAAATTGGTAAGATGTATAAGTATATCATCTCGTAATTGACATGGTAAATGTACTGTACAGACAGGCACACATTAGGAGGGCGTTTGAGGCTTTTTTAAAGTAAGGAATGGCTAATAGACAATGTATTCATTCATTCTACAGCACGGGTACTGCAATCCATCGCCCTTCTTTTTTCTTCTTTTATCTGGTTGGACGTGTCGCTGTATGCTGCAGGAGAAGAATACTCTGATATGACGGGCACATGCACCCATACAGGAGTAGAGATAGTAGAAAATCTATCTCAAAAAAAATGCGCGCCGCCATGGAGATACAGGTAAGAGCGCGAAAATTGGCTAAAGGGGTTGTTGATTACGTGTGTTGATGTTGTTATTGTATTGGTGTCTCTGTTAGATTGAAAGTGAGAGTGCGTGTATTTGAAAGCTTATCGGCTTGGGAGTGGGGGCGTGCGAATACACACGTGTGTATGGGTATGACAAGGGCAGGAAGAACCAGAAGACGAAGAAGACGAAGAAAAGGCAGGCTGTCTGTGTATATAACGTGTGCGTGCGCGCAAGAGAGCACAAGGGCGGGTTCTTACCTCGACGAATTTCGGCTTCCAAAGACATAGTATTGTGTGTAGGTGTTGTTGTTGTTGGTCGTTTTTTTTTGTGTAGACAGAAGAGTCAAAGAAAGCAGTCGAGTGTGTGAAGACAGTAAGAGTATATTATTTTTTCCTGCCTTGTGTGTGTCGTGGTTGTAGTTTGTTGATGTGGTTGTTGTTGTAGTTGGTTACTGTTCTGGTGGGAAAAGAAGAGAGAAAGGAGCGAAGAGGAGAGAGAGGATTTGAAGAATGAAGCGAGAGAGAAAGGTTTTATGAGTGAGTGGGAGTATTAGTTATTGTTGGTAGACGCGATAGTCAAAGTAGAGCGAGTGAGAGAGAGAGAGTAAGTGTGTGTGTGAGAGAGTGAGAGAGAAGAAGGAGAGGAGAGAAAAGGAAAGTGAGGTTCGTGGGTCCCCTTATATAGCCCACGGGCGAGAGAGGGTTGGTGATTGAATATTGAATAATCATGAAGAAATATTACCCCGCCCGCTTTGTAAAATTAGAGACGGCCACTCACACACACACGCTTCGGAGCCTTTCTTTCTTTTTCTCTTCCACTGCCCTCACCCGCACTAAAACAATTAAAACAGACTCACTCCTGGGCCCGGGCGCCCTTTCTTGCATTGTCGCATTGTCGCCCTTGACCTTCCTAATGTCTCTCCCTCCCTCCTTAGTCCGCTTTTCTGACTATGTTATTCTTCTTCTCCAACGTCTCTCTTTCTATGAAAAAAAAAACGAATGCCCTCCTTCGCACTGACACCGCTTTGCTAGTTCTTTTTGTCTCGTCTTTTCTGTGTTTTTACTTTTATTTCCCAATGCCAACAAGAGATATCTCCCCGCTCCCTTTCTCTCTCTTTATCTGCGACTCTCTTTTCTTCTACTTCCTTTTTTTTCACTGCCTTCATATAGACTGCGGACTATGTCTTTTTTTTTTCTTTTCTTTTTTTTTATCATTTCTTTTCTTTTCTTTTCTTTTTTTTTTTTGCGACAATAATGCATCGAATGCATGCAAATGGGGAAGATAAAGAGGTATCCCTTAATCCTGCTCCGGCCATCGTTTCCGCTCCTCTTTGACAACCCCGATCTGGCATCCTTCTGTTGTGGTTCTGGCGCTGAACTGTAAATTCGCGATTCATCGTGTTTTTTTTGTTTTTCTTTTCTGCTCACAAACATACCTTATTCAAGTGAGAATAACAGATACATAATACGCCCTTTTTCAAGCTCTAGTTTTTTTCTCATTTATAAGTTCTCTCCCTCCCTCTCTCTTTATCTCCCCTATTGTACTCCATCGTTGTCTCATTTCAGCTCCCTCTCAACACCAATATATATGGAGGGAGCAAAGATGGGGAACGAAACAACGGGCGAATGAATCCCATTTTGGTTACTGTTCGTAATTCTTTTCAGTCCTCTGCCCACTTTGACTTGCTTTTCTCAATACGGTGATTTTGGTGTCCGAGCGACTTGAAAGCGTTTTGGACTGCGTGTGTATGTTTCTCTTATCCATCGCCCATGAGAGCAACGGAGAAGGGAAAAAGAGAGCAAAGGGAAAGGCCCAAAAAAATTAACTTTACGGGGAATCAGGTATTGCCTCCCTATGCCATCATCGTCCACCCTTTTTGATCCACTAACGAGCAACGATGATCCCCTTTTGCTGAAAACAGTAAATAAATTAAAAAACAAAGATCAGTGCCTGGGATCCTAATTGGTCGCCTGTCCTGTGCCACATCCATTTCTTCAATTGAGTTCATACATATGTCAGTACTCTAAAATAATCAAACAGACGCTCTGCTCTTCCTTTGACCGAATCATACCCGAGGTTTGCTGCGTCATTTTCTCCGACCACTCTCGCTCTTCCCTTCAACGACTTTTTTTTTTTTGTTCGTACCTTTTTATCTCTTAACATGGCACCCTTGTCATCAGTCCAAAGGCTAGTGGTCTACTATAATCAGCACTATTCCTCTTCCCATGAGACTAAATGACCTACGACACTTTTTTCTATTCGCTACTTTGGGAGTCTTGATTACAGTAGACCGCTAGCCTTTGGACTGGTAACAAGGGTGTCATCCGTTGTTAATCAATAGGGTATCAAGAGTAACAAAAAAAAAAAAAAAAAAAAAAAAAATGTCTTTTACAATTGCTCACGAAGATAGAGCATGGTGGTGGTAGCGGTGGTGATGATCCTATCCCGCTGCCTTTTTAGGAGAGCAAAGGGAGTGATAGAGTGAAAAACGAGAGGGAGGATGAACGGGGCACAACTGGGCGGGCGGGTGACCCTGACTTTTTTAATGCAGCAAATCGGGCCGACGACGAGAGAAACCATATCGGAGGATTTAGGTTTGAAAAGAAAAAAAAGGATCAATGATGTCATGTCATATTTCGTTCCTGCAAGAGCATTGTAATACTGAATTAAACACGCCCTGCTGTGTCCTTCCCACTCTCAGTCCCTCTCTCTCCTTTCTCTCCTATCATCCAATGTGGCCACTTGTTCATCGTATGTGTGTGTGATTTTTAACGTTTTTTTCTTCTTCTCCTTCTTCTTTGGATCCCCCATTGGTGTAAGATGACGCAGAGAAAATGAAATGACGTCTTAATTGCCACTATTGTTTGCTTGTTTGATGGCACTCATATAGTCAACTAGATTTCGATCGGGGCTTTCAATCTCACTACCATGTCCAGGAGCCTTGCCTCTCTTTTGTTTTTTGTTCTTTGTTCCGTTTCCGAAAATAACAAAGTTCTCACGTTCTTCAAACATCTGTCGCTTTTTCTCTCTTTCTTCTTCATCAATGACACGCTGCACGAAGGTCTTCTTTTGCTCTCGCAAAATAGAAAACAACAAACACAACAACAACACCAGCAACAAAAATAAAGCTGGTAATTGAACCATTGTAAATACGTTTGCAACACACAGGAGAACAATAAAGAGAAAGCACACAAGGTAGAGCCCAATTGCTTTTTGCAGTGGTTTCTCCTTTTTTCCCACCATGTGTTAGATACTGCTTTCCTAACCTCCAAACTCATTGTTTATCTTTCCGTTTGACATGAAGAAGATTGCAGCACATCATGCTTGCTTCTATCTATCTAGTGTTCAATGTTCAATCCATGGTCGTTTCTCTGAATCGATAAAACTTTATCTTTGGTAAAAGTGCCCATATATCTTGGTTTTGTCGCGATTCTGAATTTTTTGAAATAGTGTGCTGCTTTGTTAATTTTACGATTCGGGAATCTTCTATGACGCTGCCTCGGACATTTTAATCGGCATGTCGGATGGAGCGGTCTGGGAGAGGATGATCTTTGTCGGGTTTTTTTTGACTGTGTCTAGGAAAACTCCACTTCTCTCTCCACTCACATCAACAACTTACAGCCATGCCAGTCCCATTCGAGGCCTTGATTCCCCTTGGGTAAACCATCCCTACCCGTCTTCCCTCCCTCCTCCCTCAGCCGGCAATACCGACCTCCTACCCCGACTCCTTTCATCACACATTCTGCGCGTTCTGATCTGTCCAACATACTGAATTCCAAACAAGGACTCGCTTAAGAAGACATCACGCTCCGCTCATCTGTCTTCTCCAACATCTAATCCCATCTATTGTCCCTCTTTCAATGTAGTTTGATCACCGGTTTCTTCGGTGTCTCCGGTATCCTCTTCCAGAAGCTCAAGACCAGCGTCAACGAGGGCCAGGTACCATTCAACAGCAACAACAACGCATCTGCACGACAACGGAATAGCTACCTGAAGCCGGACACGGTGGAGCATAACACTGGCGGCAGCGGAAAGGAGATCAAGTCAGTTCAGGATATCGTGCTCACCTCGCATATAAACTCGCTGAAAGTGGAGGGATGGGATTATTGGTCGCTATCAATTACACTCTTCGAGACGAGCACAGAGCAAGAACGACGTGTTGCCCAAGCTCGTGAGGACCAGGACATGCTCGCCTTTTGCGATCTGCGGAGTCAGGAGCTACAAGCGGGTTTAGCTGAGGAAAATTCAGGAACGACAACAACGGACCGCCAATTTGTTACATGGATAAATGCGCGCGCAATTTGATCCTGATCAGGATCTCACAGACGACGTCTCTTAAGCAACGACGCCAATCATGGCGGATGATTTCAGGAAACAAGCACACTTACAACATCCTTAGGCTTGACATAGACTAGCAATTGACATTTTGACATTCCTTTGTATTCTTCCTTGAATTGCGATGTTAGCCCCCAAGATACGGTCTTGACCGTTGGGACAGAGTCATGTTGGATCGCGACTACCGCCTTACAGGAACTCAGCGTGGTCAAGCAGTAAGTCGCTTGCCTACTTGGATTGATCTTACCACAGTTGATTTTCCTGTATTACTTGTTGTATATGAGTTAGAGCTGACATCTATCGTTTTCCTCGTATATAAATCAATTAGCACCAAGCGACGGCGCCTTCGGCGTTCTCGACTAACAGTGCCTGGAACTTGGAGAAGGAGCACCTGTAAAGAAGAGAAACGGAAAATAACAACAACCACAACCCACCATAACTACCTATCACCGCCCACCCACAACCACTACAACTAGCGACATCGATGACCGATAACACCACTATGATAAAAAATACAGCGTCCTAAAATCCTCATCGAAACGCGTGTTGTCTACAAAAATAAAAACGCTTTTAGAATAACCATTGCCCGTTATCTTTACGCTCTTCTTTCGAGCCGAGACTTGCAACGATAAAAAAAAATGCAATACATGTAAGAAAGACAGAGCTCACATAGCAGATCGTATGCGTATTATTGTTGTACATGATCCACAAGAAGCTATACATTGTGATTACCATTTTTTGAGTGTATTGACAGGGGAAAAAAGAGTATCTGGTGTTGTGTTTGCTTGTTGTAATCCTCCGACGTTTTGTTTAGATGACGGCCTCGTCTTCTTGGATGAAGGGGTTGGCAATCTCCAATGTACCGTCCATGGGGGAGATCAAGATGACGGAGGGTCCACGGCAGACTACCAAGCCCAAAGTTCTGGTCTGGTTCAATAAGCGGCCATCCTCTGGATCTATTTGAGAGGAACGTACATGTGGAGAGATAGTAGATAGTGACGTATGGTGAGCCATTTGCGGCCCGGTAGTCTTGTTTTTTTTTGCTTTCGTCGATCCTGTGTATATTGACGACTGTTTGTAGCTCAGCTTACCTCTCAGGCACTCCTCGGTCTCGTCAAGAACCAAGTTCAACAAGGGATCATAACCCTTCAACGTTCCAATGACTATTTTCAATTAGGGGAAAGCAAAAATGAGATTAGTTTCATCCGATAATACTGTGTCTTCGCGTCGCAACTATTCATGAATCATATTTCTCTTTTCTTTTCTTTTCTTTTCTTTTCTTTTCTTTTCTTTTCTTTTCTTTTCTGGGGTTACCTTCGCGGCCACCGCTGTATTTGACACGAATCTTTTGATCCATATACTTTCCGAGATCGAGGATCGACTCCTTCTTGGGACGCTCGGTGTGTGAAGAGTTTCCGCCTCCGCGTCCACCGCCACGTCCCCCTCCCTGGTGCCCTCCGCGTCCGCCGCCGCCGCCACCTCCGCCACCGCGTCCTCCGCCTCCACGTCCGCTATATCCGCCTCTTGGCTATTTAAAAGTTTGATGGAGAGAGCGATAAGTCGTGTGAGTCAAACTGCTTTCTGTGTCGGTTTTCTGCAGCTTCGTAGAGCAGGCAGCGATTAATTTCTTTCTGGTGATAACGCGGGTTTTGACGTGGTTAAAAGACCGGGTCCTGTCCTTCTTAAAGGCACAGAGTCTTTGGACTTTGCCAAATAAGCCCTCTTGTTCCTTCCTGCTGCTGGCTCAGCCTCCAAAACAAGACGTCGGTTTATATGTGTTGTCCTAGTTGTTTCCACGGATTGTCTGCCATTCTCTTTTGTCTGCCGGTCATCGTTATCCCTGATGCCTTCTCAATCCCCATGGGCTCTTAAAACCATGTCCTGCTCGTGTCGTCCTTTGCTCCTTGTGATGCCGTGAGTGTTCCTTACTCTGTCTGACATGTCTGCTAGTTGTGTGTGTGTGTGTGTGTGTGTGTTATTGAGAGAGGGGTTAAAAGAACTGTGATGGCGGTCCCTGGTAGTGCAAAGCGAAGCATGTCTAAGCCACGGATCGTACCCACACTTTTTTTCGTTCTCTCTCAAGTTCACTTTCAATCTTTTTGTTACTCCACACGCACAGTCTACCTAAATATCTAGCTATCTACCTACCCTTCTACGAGCTATGGATAAAGACATTCGGTTACATCAAGGTACTCCACAGCCTACCCAAGCACAGGTCCAGGGAACAGCGGCGTCATCATCCCAGTCTCCCCTTCTTACCCAAAGAGGAGGAGAAGGAGGCCATGTATCAGAGATCGATCCAGGCCTGCTGCCGATCAACTGGCCAAAACACGTCAAGTACCTCGTTGACTATGAGTATCATCCATCTATCCCTACATCAGTCCTCGACCTTGTCCAAGGTAGACGACGCAAACTGTTCGAGCGAGCCAACAACCACGCGGCCGGAGGAAGACTCAAGTTGCCAGAAGGCCCGGATGACAAGAAGGAAGAACAGGAGGAAGAGGAAGTGAGGGATGAGCTGGAGGTAGAGTATGATGATATTCCTTTGGGGCATGCGATCCCGGGGTATCTGCCGCCGGTGCCATTGTCGGGTCGTCCGAGGACTGTACCCTCCGTATCTGTATCAGCCATGGATCTGTCATCGTCCCTTTTAGCTGCTGTCAACCTAGCAGACCCACAACCGACCATCGCCTTCTCGCCGGCTGTCAGCGCTCCTAAAGCGCCGTCGTCACCCTCCTCGAACCATGACCCCTCACTTCCCTCTTTAAGCACCACCCCTCAGGATCAGTCGACAACGACCATTCAACAACAACAACAACAACAGCGACCACCATTGTACGAAATCCGATTGATCACCGGCCCAGCCACACACCCAGTCCTGGGCTCCTACGGTCTCTTCGCCACAAGAAACCTCCGCCCCGGCACGCATCTCCTCGACTACATCTCTCTTGTCGTCCCTGACGAACACGCAGACCCGGATTCAGACCACACCCTCTACCTCTCCAACGACCTCAACCTCGACGCCTCGGCCCACGGCAACCATGGTCGATTCGTCAACGATTTCCGAGGGATCCGAACTCAATCTCAAGGGCCCAATGTCGGGTGGGATTTGTATCGGGATGCGGAGACGGGACAGGTGAGGATGGGGTGTAAGGTGTTGAAGTTTATTGGAAGGGGGGAGGAGATTGTTTGTACTTATGGCAAAGCTTATTGGAAGTCGAGGGGTGTTCCAGTCCAGGGGGAGGAGTGGGAGGATGGGTGGGATACTGATCCGGAGGATGGTAAGGATGTTCCTAGTGAGATTGACGACCACGACGACGAACAATAAAATGACGACGAATAATACATAACGACCGACCTAAACAATTGAATGGAAGCGACCAGCATGGGTAATGGACAAAAAAAAAAAAAGACTGCTTTTAGGATGATTGGTTTGCGTGAAATTGAATCGAATTCATGGCCAGACAAAGACGCAAAAGAGTGGCTCTCTCCGACAAAAACATTGTACCCACAAGCAAAACATTCGCTTCCTGAACCCCTTTGACACTCCAATTGAGAGCGGACACCTGCGGCCAATAAAACCAAGTGACTTGCAATAAAGAAACAGTATGAATCCTTCTGTATTTCAGAAATATGATGAAACCCATTGCTATACATATGATAACAGTCGTCCGCAAGGATGTGCTTAGGATCTAAGTATGCGAGGCAACCTTGTTTACACATCGCGTGCCATTTGGTGTTCTGACCCTTCCCTTCCTTATTCCCATTGAACACTAAAAAAAGACGTTGAAACTGACCTGACAGATTATTTACACCGTCCTTTGATCACTTTGTATAACTGATTAATTGTTTGGTAAAGAAGTACCTGTTGCATGCCGAAGACGAACTGTTAGACAAAATGAAGACAGCCCTCTTTATTTTTTTTTATTTCGCTCTAGAATCCAAATCACGTCTGGCTCCTTCAACATTCTCCTGCCAGGACTTGGCAAGTCGATCATCAAGTAGAGCCGCACGAGCCTTCCAGTACGAATCCGTCTTCTTGTGGTGTAAGATCGCCTCATTCATCTCTCGACTCCACTTGCGACTGCTCCACGTCCAGCTACTCTCGGGGGTTCGCTTCTGGCTCTTGATCGACAAAAGGATTTGTTCAGCCATGCTGTTTCTAACACCCCTCATATCGAGCCTCCTCCCACCAGCATATTCCCATCGCCTAAGCAGATAGGTATTCAAATAGTTCGACAGGATCTTGTGTTCCGCGGCTTCCAGGGGTTCGCGACAGCCCACCGCTTGGATAAAGTCGCTGCACCTCTGGATCTTTGCATCTTCGTCATTGTCTTCACCGTCATCCTCATCCGAATCATAATCTGTCGTCTGTCCTTCATTTTCTTCCCTATCAACATCCTTGCCGTTTCGAACAATCTTCAGCATCGGCTGATCAGAGGCCAGCATGTACCGTCTGCAAACAATGTCAAACGCGGCAAGATTCTTCTCCAGAGCGTTCATTTTCCTCGCCTCGTAGATCGCTTTCCGTTTCCTCTCCAGCCTTTCCTGCTTCTTCTGTTCCTCCAGGACGGCAATCTTGCCCGTCATCGTTGAAGGACCACCTGGGTCTGTCGCATTGAGACTCTGTCCACGAGGAGGGGTTCCATTGTAGTCAGCAGCAGCAGCTAACACCTTCACGTCCTTGCCGGCCTCATTGTCGTTGTGTGGTTCTTGGTCTGACGGGGTCCCGGACTGAGCAAGATCCTGGGGTGCTGATGTGGAATTTAGCCGTGGTTGATCCGGGTGCGTGTCGCTGGACAAGATCTTCATTGAACCAGATGATAGAAAAGAAAAAGGAAACAATTAGAACGAGCTCAGACGATAGCTAACGAAGCCTTGTAGTGCAGGGAATGAGCAATAAAGCGTATATGTACCGCATGTTGGCAGGTCATCAATTGCGCATGTTGGCATTGATGACTGTACGGACAAGGAATCAAAGCCAGAGGAAGGTAATGTCCTGGTAACGCAGTCGGCAATTGAGAGGAAGGCTGCCATCCTGCAGGCTGCGCCCATTGAGCGGCGAACGACTGGTTCCCCCACGATTCGGGGCGAGGAGGGAGAGGTGCTAGATGCTGTTGCTCTTGAAGAGTGCTTTGAATACACGCCAAAGGAGTAGTGTGACTCTGAGAGGAGTGGTGGACGTAGTGAATGTAGTGATGGACTGCCATGGGGGTGCATGACATTCCTTTAGTCATGGGGTTGTGAGTGCAATGAGCATGTGGTGAATGGCAGTTGTTGCAAGGTGCCATTCCTTGTGGTGATGGTGCAGGTGTCGATGTGTCCATGGCTGTGAATGAGTGTGTGAATAGTGTGTTGAAGGAAAGAGAAAAGCAAAAAGGCTGCAAATCGAGGACGCGTCGAGGGAAATAAATAGGAAGGATGTCTATGAATTAGCACCATAAGTGAACCAGTATACCCAAAGCTCATGTGGGCATGCTCCACCTCTTTTGCATTTCACCGCTTCTTTCTCGTCCCTTCCTTCGTCCATTCAACCCCTCCTCCATATAAATGTAACATCCGCTGCACTTAGTATACCAACCATCTGGATCCTTTCTTGATACCTCTGCCTCTCCCCTTTTAAACATCCCTCAACTTCCGTTTCTTTAGGATGGCACGACGAAAGAAAAAAAAACAGGCTAAACCCTGCAAGGCTCACGCCCATCGGTGCCTTCAAATACAAAATAAATAAGAAGAAGCCTCGCCACCAACGCGTTTCGAAAATGACAAGTGTCAGGGGGTAATGTCACCAGCTATTGCTCCCTTCCAAGCCTGAAGAAGTGTTGATCCATTTTACTCACGCCTTTTTTTTTTTTACACTTGATAGGAATTTTCTTCCCTTTCAGCTAGCATCTGTCATGATAATCTTCAATCCAAAGCCAGGTTGTTTGTTTCCTTGTCTCGTTCCAAGCCGACCCTGAATGATCCATACTCTCTGGAGAATCATCGCAAGAACAAGTAGGGCGAAACATCCGCGCCTGTTGTCCTTGAGTGTTGTGATCGATTGCAATTTTTCTTGCCCGCGGTACTAAAACAACCTTTTATTCGTCATTGGGTGATAGACTCAAAGATAGCGGCGATGTCACCTACCATATTGCAGTTCACGGCTTGCTTTAAAAGGCTGTGAAGAGTTTCATATACCCTGAGTAAAAGTGTCTACTCCTCCATCCAATAAAAAAAAAAAAAAAAAAAAAAACAATACAAACATCCGGGCTCGCAACCACGCCAACAGTTAGCGACTAGCAGGATTTGAAATATCCCTACACCATTGTCAACTGGAGTCGAGTAACGGAGTCGCGTCGGCCTCAAGAAATCTACGTCGAGGGCTTGTGACAGATAGAAGAAAAGAAGACGATATGAAAATATAAACTGTTCGGGGATGTAGTTTCTGTTGCAGAACAACCGATGATAAGAGCGCACAGAGAGGATCCGACACATATGTTTTTATTGATGCTGGTGATGTATTGTGCTATTCGACAGATGCTATGTCGTAGTGCGAATGAACTGGTGTAGTGGATACGCTTATGTGGTCGGTGTAAGGCGTCACGATGAGTGGAAAGTTAAAGCGTCCTCTCAAAACCAAGGTTACCTAGATGCGCTTCTGAGAAACGGTCATCTGCTTCCGAGCACGCTCAAGTGAGATTCGTTCCTGCTCCAGCCTATCGCGTTCATTTTCGAGTCGTCGTCGTTCCTGTTCAACACGCTGCAGACAATCCTGGGTCCACTGCAACTGCTCACGAGTTTGTTGCATCCGCTGCTCGTTCTCCTTTAAACGATCCTCCCGATCCAACTGGTCAAGCTCCTTCTCTCGTTCCTGGAGTTCACGGAGTCGAGTCTGAAGAGAGGCACGCTCTTGACGGATGGTGGTTCGTTCCTGGGTTCGCTGGTGTTGTTGTTGGTCTTGTTCTTGTTTCTGGCGCTGGGTGTTGCGGTACTGCAGTTCCTGCTGGAGTTGGTGTTCCTCAGCTTCGCGCTTGTTGAAAAAGCATGGTCGATGCTGCTTCTGCCGTTGAGATGGTGCCTGGTTCTCGCCAACTTGTTCCGCCCCAGCTTGGATCGCGGGCACAAAAATCGTGTCGTCAAACCGCAAAGGTTCGGTAAAATCGCAGTCCAACATGATGCTGACTATCAGGCGAGGGTTACTATTACTGTTGTTGTCGTCTTTGTTGAAAGCAGTGGAGGTCGTTTGTGTGGTGTTCCAAGAAGGTGCTTCTCTTTTGATGAGCAGCGAGGATGAGTTGGAGGGAGAGAGAGAAAGAAAAAAAAAAGAGAAGAGAAGTAGCAACTGCGTTTTGATTACACCACAATGCACGACCACACACCATACCCTTAACATCAATGACAACTGACAACAATGATCAACTGAGGTGCAAATGTGAAGTGTGGTGTTATTGAGAAGCGAGAAAAGGATATCGTAGTTGGAGCAAGAGGGAGGGGGGAGAGCCAATCTCCGAGCGCTACCTTGGGTCAAGGCTTTTTGCTCTCCACAGCTCTATGACCTTTCCTCAATCTTGTTGAGTTTGACGCCAGTGTTGCAACTTGACGTCGCTCCACTCGAATCTTCATCAGCTGCCGGTCATACTCCTCGAGTCTCTGCAACTCCTCTGCTTCCATTTCCAGCCCCCCCCCCTAGCCTGGGCTTGAGCTTTGGGGTCATCTCGCCTGGCAAGGTTGAGAGGCGGTCTTGACGCTCATGTTCGTTCCGGATGGTCCTCGACCTCGTGTTGTTCTTGCTGCCGCTGCGACGGCTGCCAGTCAGGCCCCTTCGGCTCCTGCTTCTGATCCTGTGGTTACTGCTGCTCATTTGGCAGGAGTTGTTGCTTAATCTCCTAGAGTCATCGGCGTTTGCATTGTCCTTTTGACAGCAACGGCTGTTGCTGGTGTTGGCGGATGGTGGAGGCTTGAGTGGTTGTTGTTTTGAGTGGGTTTATGTTGTCGGTTGTGAAAAAGAGGCAAGATGTGCTGTTGTGACGAGAGGCGAGAGGAAAAGAGAGAGAGAGAGAGAGAAAGAAAGAGAGAGAGAGTGGGATGGATGTCAAGAGAAAAAAGTAAGGAAGGAGAGAGAACGAAAGTACCGCTTAATCTGTCACATCACTACATGACGATAAGTGACGCGTCGGCGTAGGCGTAGCTTATGTCTTTTTTTCCTACTCTTAACTCTAGACAACCTACCCACGATACGCAAAAACACGAGAATGCAACGACGATTGAGAACCCAACCCCTACTAACTATCTTCCTCTCCCTTGACAACGTACAGTGCCCTCCCAAAATGTATCGTACTAAGATATAGAATACGATTGAATTGGATCATATGACCAATTCAAAAAGCTACTTCAAGAAGGGTCCAAGGTGCTGGTACAGACTATCCCTTAGTGCCCGCACCATCTCTCGAGTGAATTGTTTTCCTGTTCTAAAACGATAGTTCGATACATTTTGGGAGGGCACTGAACAATGACAATTGCGAAATCGAAAAATGCGATGTCACAAGACATGATGCTCCAACTCACCTAACCAACCAACCGCCCCACAAACACACCCTCACACAGAAACAAATTGTGTCGTCGAATGCCCCGTTTGTCTGTCCTCTCTGAACCTGTTTGTCCTGTTGCGGGGGGGGATTGGCCCGGGACCTCATGTCCGATGACGATTGTCGAATCCTCTCTCTCTCTCTTCCCCCTATTTTTCAATCTAAAACAAACATGCATCAAAAGACAAACAAGTCAGACAAAACCGCTTTCGTAAGAAGAATGACCTTACAACGGTTCACATGCAAGCAAGGCAGAAAGTGCGAAGGAGGGATGGGAAGATGAGAGAGGTCCCAGGGCGTTAATAGCATCATAGTCCCAAAAAAGGAGGGACACATGCCCGTTGCGATACGTTGTTAGATTGGAGCTAAAATCGGGGACCATGCAAAAAAAAGGAGAATACAATATGTCCATTTTTGTCAAGGTCTCTCTGTCGTTCGCCAAAAAAAAGTGAATGAATGAGCGAAACGGAAAGAGAAAAGAATGATATAAAAAATAAAATAAAATTCAATAGACAACGACATTTTCCGAGCAAGGTTCATCGTTACAGATTTTCCTGTGCCATATGTTTAACGATGGTTACTACTACAACGAAAAGGAGAAGATGGAATAGAAACAACTCTCTCTGAAAAAGCACGGTCGTTGTTGAATTCAATTGAGTGAATGCTATGTTAAGAATGATATATGATATCGGGTGTCCACAATCTTCTAGACAGCTGGACCTCTACATGTAGACCCTCTCCCTCCTTCCCTGTAACTCTCTCATCACCCCCTAGACGAGATCGACGTCCCAGGGCTCTTTGCTCATAACGGGAGGCTCGCCATAAATCTCTGCAATCTCCTGCTCGGCAATCTCCTCCAGCTGAGCGATCTGGGCCTGAGCGACCGCCTCATCGTGACGCGACATCGAATGGGCATTAGCCTGGTTCTGGCGGATGAGCTTCTTGCGTTCGGCCTTGGCCTCCTCGGCGGCCTTTTTCTTTGCCACGAACTCGTCCGTTGGGGGAATGAAGGTGATTAGCATCTGGTCGCTGATGTCCTGCAGGAGTTTTGAGAATTCCTTTTGGAGGACCGATGCGCGTTCGAGCGACATGGTGGAAGCCAAGCACTTGAGCAACGCATGCACATCCGCTACAAAGGAAGTTAGAGGGGAAATTTAAGAAAAGGTAAGGGTCAAAGAAACGTCCAAAAGGTGATGATCTCACAACCGGCGCTAAGAACAGCGATCCTCAAATAATAGAATACAAACAATACTTACGTTTAGTGGCATCGACACGAACAATAAGTTTTCGGAGAGAGTTGATTAGGTACTCTTCCTCAAACGCACTACCCTTCTTTCCTCTCTGACGTTTCCTATCGTTCCTCTTCTTCAATCTAGCCGTGTATCTAACCATGGCGTCGAAAGGGTAATACAAACACGTAAACACGTAAACATAAACAAAAATAGCGTAAAAAATAGTTCCACTAATTCAGTAGAACCAAGGATAGAGCAAACAAACAAAATATAACAGGAAACTTACTGGGAGGATGACTTGGAAGAGTGAGAGGACTTGGAGAGGACAGAGTTGGCAGCAGTGTATCGACTGAATCCAGAGGCCATCGACGTCGTATCCGACATCATATCAACATTGTCCAGCGCATCATCCGGTGTCATATCCTCCGCTGCCTCCGCCATTGCCTTCTCAATCTTCAGATTCCTCACCTCCTTCAAACGCTTGGTCTGCTTGTCAAACTGCTCCTGCATTTCGCGGATCGAGTCCATCATGTCATGGTGGCCATCGGCAATCCCGGGTGTAACATGTGTCGCCATTAGGTCGAGGCGGTTATACAGGTATGTTGTCCGTATAGCCTCCGACCAAAGTCGGCCTTCGAGCAACGCCGAAACCGCTTCCTCCGAATCCTTCGCGTATTCTGCCAAAAGCACGCCTGCTTCGTTGAATCGCTTATCGACCTTCATCCGCTCAGCAAGTCCGCGAGCAAGGTACGCCATTGCAGGGGCATCATAGTTGAGCTGATGCGCCAAAACTACGGCCTCTCTCCAGAATCCTGCCTCCTGGTATGCCTCTAGTGCCTTTTCCTTGTCACCTGCCATTACGTAGGCGACTCCTGCCTGCTCGTGGTCTCCGTTGATCGACAGACTGTCTCCGTAGATCTGGAGGATCGCCTTGTGCTTGGTAGGGTTCGATCCAAAGACCTTGAGCGCGTCCTTATAGAGGTTGTGCTGGCGGATATAAGATACACAGTCGTCAAAGTACTTCTCGCCGGCCTGGCTCAGGTTTTGGAGGGCGCTTTTGTACTTCTTCAAGTGGTCGTCAATCCTGAACCGCTGGTAGTACTTTTCCAGCGTCCGAAGCTCGTTTAAGAATGGGAGATACTCACGAGGATCCTTTTGCGACCACTGGGCGACCATCAGGACCAGCGCGAAATCGTACATGCCAAGAGCAACGTCAAAGAGGCGATCTACATCGGCCAAAAAGATTGTAAACTTGAGTGCATCCTCTGCCAGAGCCTGATCCTCGTCCCTGAGTTTGGCGAGAAGCAACAGTGCCGATTCCAGATCTGGGGGCGACTTGCGGACATATGTTGTGAGTACAGAGTTGATGTATGTGTTCCTGTCCAACGTGTTGAGCTCCACACGAATGGCGTCGCAGATCTGGTTGACCTTTTGTGCGAGCTCGGGAGAGACCTGGGCACCATAGGAGCCACCCTTGGATCCATTCTTATTGGGACGAGCATAGGACTGAGGTGCCGCCGCGGCTGTCAACTGTTGCTTCAACGACGATTCAGATCCAGGTACTGGGTAGAGCGTCTGGGTGACATCCTCGTTCCTGAGGAAGGACAAGAACAGGTTCAGGTAATCGACCTCCTTGACCTGCTTGACAAACTCAGGAACGTTATCCATAAAGATCTTGGGGTCGTGGTCGTACAGCAAGTTGAGGTCGATCCTGTGCTTCCTGCAGGTCACAAACGCCGTCCTGAAATCGCACTTGCCCAATGCATCGCGGGTGACAGACAACACCAGGGCGCGAGGGGCGATCGTTTCGAGGTTTCCGCGGGGCATCTGAAGGATCAGGTTGACAGAGTAAGGAAGCGCCAGCACAATCTTGGCTCCTCTCTCTACACGACGAACAGACTCATCATAGGGCAGCATAGAGTTGTCGACAATTTTGAAATCGTACAACGAAGTCTCCAGGGGCAAGAACCGAGCAGAGTGTGTGGCGGTGGTAAAGACCAGAAAGTGGTTGTGGAGGCAGAACGACGTGGTCTCGGACGAAATGAGACGGTCGTTCACGTAGAGTCGATTGTTGCGTGCCAGACCAACGACAGCTTTCTCCCGATACTCCTCTGGTCCAGTTCCGATCCTGGTGGTTCCCATCCAGAGACATCCCTCGGGCAAGCGATGGATCTCCACCCACCTTCCGACCTGGGGCTCCTCATCCTCGCTGATAGTGATGGTCATCAAGTCTCCGTCTGCCTTTTGCAGCATAATGTCGCCATGGGTCTGGTTGAAGTAGAGTCTCTGGAACAATCCCTCCAATGGCACGTCGGTCCTTGAAACAATCATGGGTGCCTTGGTCTCCTCGTCAAAGGCCAGTTTCACCACAACAATCGAATCCGTGGCAATGTCGCTGTCGTATTGGAGTCCAATCAGGGTATCAGAGTGGGTCCAAGCAATCTGGCGGACAGAGACCGAAGGAATCTCTGCAAGCTCAATCAATCCCAGGAGCTTGGGTTCGGGCAAGGGACGTGTCGTCTTGTCTGCCATCCCATAGAAGGCTACCCGCTGGTCAGCCAACAAAACCGCCATGTCGTCTCCATGATGCAAGGTCGAGAATGAAATGTGTTGAATCGCATAAGGGACGGTGAGGGTGAAGGCGCTCATGGGTGGAGGGACGTTCATGACTCTGAAGGGAGTCACCATCAGGTTGGCGCCATCCACAACGGCTACTGTGCCGAGATTGTCGGGGCTCAACATCTCGTTGATATAATTGTCCCAGCAGTACTGGTTCCTCTGGTATGATCCCGACTCTGTCACCACATGGAGCACCAATGCAGCCTCGACATCCCACTGCAGGCTCGCCACGGATGATCCCTCGCCGTTGTAGAGAAGTTCCTGCTTCATATACCACTTGTAGTTGTTCATCGTCCAGAGCTGAATGCAAGATCCGCTGGTGCGCTGCAGCCACACCGCCAAAACGGTCGAGTCACAGTTCCAGGCGAGCTCCCTGACCACAGTGTTGGTCTCTTCTCTGAGCGTGAACTCTCCATGTCGCAGTCCGTTCCTCTCAAAGAATACAATATCATGACGGTGAGGCAACCGTTGACTAGAGGCGATCAAGTTTCCTGACGGCCGCCATGACAATCCATGTTCCAGCATATCGACCGACTCGCTCGTCGTCTGCAAAATAGCCTCACGATTGTACACACGAATCACACGACGGTCTATTAGGCATGTTGATATCCGTTAGTGTCAGTGATACATCATGCGTACTGTGCTGCCTCGCCTTGTCACACTTCCTGCCATATAAACTTACCAAGGTGAGCATCCTTGGAGGAGCAGCAGAAATATGTCCCGTCGCCTCGCCATGAAAGTCTGTGGTTGTTGTCGTCATCCGGTGAGGTGGTATGTGTAGATGTGTCGACCTTGCGCTGCGCTGCTTGCTTTCCCTCAGTTCCGTGAAATTGTGTTTCTTTCTTTCCCCATCCCACGTTTACACTAACATCTAGAATACATAAAAGAGATTTGTACTGTTAGAGCCATAGCGGTAACCTTGCTCATGAGTCATGTCGTTTGTTTTCGTTCTGAAAGCAAACAATAGCCAATATCCGCATGCTATCGTGACAACAATTCAAGGGCACTCCCTCGTACCTTCACCAGCTTCCTCAACATCGATGGGGTTCTCGGCAATCACATCAAAGTCCTTCGTCATTTCCAAAATCGAACCCTCGCCTAAGACAGAAAAAAAGTAAGCGTCAACTGGTGGTGTCCTCAAAAAATCGATTCACATTGTCAATTCCACACCATGTTTTTTCCAACGAAGGTCAGCACGTTACCCGTCACCATGATAACCAACTCTTCATCCGGACTCCACGCCATGCACGAGATTCCTGAGTCCACAGATCCCACAATCTCCATCTATCAGGCATTTCAACAAGTGTACAGAGAATAAAAGGTGTGAGCTAAAACTCAGCGCAGATCGGTTGACATGCAGTCAATTGCAATAATGATATTGCTCCCTTACAGTGTCTCCAGTCTCGGTGGCCTCGTTGTGGAAAAGAACAACATCTCCGTGGGAAAAGACGACGCAGACTGCTTGGATGTCGACCAAGAACTTGACACCAACCACATGGCCCCACTGCTCCAGATGCTCATCGTTCTCGGGAGGGAATGTGGCCAGCTCTGTGATCTCTGGAAATGGCGACTAAAACAAACACACAGTTTTCCAAACAAAGAGAAAAATGTGTCAATATTTCCGGGCGTTGGTTAAAGTGAGTCAGAACCACCGCAGTACAGTACAAGGACATTGATCAATTATACGCTACGCCCCCATTTGGCACAACTGATCAAAATATGTAAACCCATAGCCAATTGATAGTATCCATTGCAGTGTACCTGGAGATCAGTGATTTTGACAAGGACGCCCTCGGCAGGTCCGGTCGAGTAGGCGACATATACGTGGCCGCTCTCGGGATCCACACTGTGGTGAATGTCCTTTCCCGCGGGTCTCCCGAACCGCGCCAGGTGAATCTGTGAGAGAAGTGTGAGATTCTTCATTGTGAATCTGATTCAGGCAATCAACAGAATAGAGTAGGAGGAGGGAGTTTGTTGAATGCGGATGCGGAGAAGAATGAAAGAGGCGAAAAAAAAGTGAGAGGAGGTCCAAATAACCGACTTTTTTTTTAGTGGCGGCGCTTCTCTGAACGTTCTACTGTGACGTCATTAGGCAGAAAAACAACGTTTTTTCTATGCTTGTTTATTAACAATTGGACGATCTAGAAGCCATCGAGACGGCAGATAGGGAGGTAGTACTTGTCAAGGGTCCAGTAGGCACGCTTGACACCATTCCATTCCTCCTCCTTCAGTCCAATATCCATCTCCTCGTACTCGACCGTGAATCCCATCTCGCCCAACTCGAGCTCCGAGATCCGGTTATACACTGCGTGGAAGAACTGGTTCGTCGCTCCCAGACCGTTAAAATACGAGTAGATCCCTCCTTCCTCCAAATGGTTCGGCACAATCTCGTGGAACGCCCGCAAGTCCTCATAATACTCTCCAAATGTGTCGAAAAAGATGCCATCGTAGACCTCTAACTGGTCAACCACATCCTGCCACCGTCCGAAAAGAATCTTGACACCGGGTTTCTTGTCCCATCCTTGCCTGATCATATGTGCATACACGTCTGGGTGGGCTTCGATAATCGTGTGCTCCGAGGGAGAGTACTTTTGGAGCTCAGTGTCCACCAAGCCTAGACCAAATCCAACATTGAGTACCCGGAGACCCTTCTCGGGGGAGATCACTTCGGCATGGCGGATCATCAGGGGGAGTTCCCAGCCCATCATGACACCGTTCTTCTCTGCGTCCAGAAGACGGTCGCCATCCTCGGTATATTGAAGAGGTTGTGCTAGATACTCGGCATTAGGGACCTCGGGTAATGTCTCGACCTTTTGTTTCTTTGAAGCCGGTTCTTCCTCTTCTGCCGTGGTGTCGTGATCCTCCTGTTCTGATGTTGTTGTCGTGGTATCCTTGGTATCCTTCTTCTCCTCCTTCTTGTCTTCCTGATCTTCTTCCTCTTCTTCCTCGTCGTCGTCATACTGAGCCTCGAGGAGCTCCATCTTTAGTTTCCGCTGCATCAAACCCATCAACAGCTCTGTACGGACTCCCTCCTCCAACAAAAAGTCGTAGATCTCGGGCTGGTTGAACGACTTGGCATATTCTCCCACAGACTTGTAGTCATCATCGACCAGGTTCCAAGGGTGTCCATAGCTCAACAGCAACTTGACAATTGGAAGACTACCAACCATGGTCGCAAAGTGCAGCATCGTCCTGCCATGAGCCGCGCGGGCACTATCATCAACAATTGTTGGTAAAGAAAGAGTTGAGTGTTAAAAGTCTGCTCGCTTTTTTTTTTGGAATTCAATTGGTCCTTTTCGGTGCCTACGAAGACGCTTGTTCCTGTTCATTACCTGTGGTTGGCGCCGTCCTTGAGCAGCTTCTCGACAGTCTCGACTTTGCCTTCAGCAACGGCCTGCATCAAAGCCTGGCTCTTGGCGACCTCCTCGTCTGAGGCGTCGATGACTTCCTCTGTCTTGACCATGTTGCTCTCTGGCACTGGGTTCCGCTGTGTGTCGTCGGACATTGTGAATGTATGTATGCGTGCGTGAATAAAGAAAGAATGAGAATGAAGTGAAGGGTTGCCTCTTTTCTTTTTTATGTTTTGTTCTCGTTGTTTATTTTGCATTGCCGCTGTGTGACCGGCGTATTCTCTAAAGTATGGACATTGAAAAAAATGATGAAGACATGGGATAAAGTATGGACATTGCGTGGTGTTAAAAGGGCGTTCAAAAAAAATGGAAAAACAGGGGTGTGGGTTATGAATCGGCAAGGTTAAAGACCGCGCCTTTCGGTTGGCCACCAGGCAAGTCCACAAGGAGTCATTCTTCTTCCACACTGGTCGGCCGAGAGCCCTCAAAACTACCCCGCGATTTCAGCAGGTCCATCCCGGAAAAGGACGACGACGTCGCTGTAGATTGACTGTACAGTGAGCTGGCACTCGACCACCCACCAGAACTGACCCCGCTTGACGTTGTCGACGATGTTGTTGACGACGATGGCGACGATGGGGGGTTCTTGTTGACCTTGGACGGCTCCCGGATCGTGCTCAGCTCATCCACCATCCGCTCGGGAACCCAGGGCCTTGTGAGAAGGTAGTGCAGGATCAATTGTTGAGTCGATCTGACACCGCCTCCGAACGAGTTCTGACCACCACTGCCTCCTCCCGATAAATCCTCATCCTCATCATCAAACGATTGCCGGTCCCGGTCATTGTTCGACGAGTTGCGGTACTTGGTCGTCATCTGAAGTGCAGAGCTCAGAGAGGGTGCCCGGAAGTGATTTTGACCCTTGAGCGAGGCCTTGATGTAGGCCTTTGGAGGCTGGGCGGAGTACTTGGGTCCGGCCTGATAAGCAGAGAGGGTCAACAACAGATCCTGGATCCGAGGGTCGTCTTCTGGGCAGAACTGTGGCGTATGGCTATTTTTGTTGTTGGCAGGAGTAGACGTCTCGCGAAGACTGGATGTCGCTGAGACTTGGGCTGAAGGAGATGGACCCTGGAAGCTGCTCTTCTTCACAGCCGCGAGGAGATAGGTCATGTCCATAATAAACGTTCCGATGAACGGCACCATGGGCCTCCTGGCTGCTTCTTTGGCCTTGAGGTCCGAACTGGTCCAGCTGCCCAAGATATCAAACCGGCTTCCTGAGATCGATGATGTGGAGATCGAAGATGAATCTGAGAATGCCGGAGAGGTAACATCGTTTGTGGACGACGACGAAACAATGGTGCCGGCGCATAGACTGTTCATCATCTCACGGTATCGCCCATAGTTCCTGGCCTCGCTCATCAGTTCCGACAGGGTCTCCAACTTGTTGGCGCTCTTCCTGGGCAAAAAGCTCCATGTCCGCTTCAGGCGCTTGATAGGCGGCGTACCGAGCGCGCATAGGACGGCCTTGAGGGTCTGAAAGTTCTCCAGTTCATGCAACTTGACAGCTACCTTGATCCAGTGATTCATGCTCTGAGCACGACCAGAGGCATCGGGCGGGAACAGGATCGAGTATTCAATCATCCTTGTCAAATAGTTGAAAAAGTCGGTCGATGCTGTAATACTCCGGTGAGGTGTTTTGGGGGAATGTGTCAGGAAGGCCGATGATGGAATCTCCAAGAAAATCGCCGACTCTACCAATGTCAGTTGATACGCGATCAGGTGTGGCTGAAACTCGAGGATCGATGCGGTACTGGCAGATCGGTAGAGTAGCTCCCGAACCTTGGTAACGGTCGACATGACAATGCTGATCTGCATGTTGCATTTGTGCAGGTCCTCCTGAAGAATCTCGTGGGTCATCTCGTCATCTTCCTGCCGAAGCAGTAGCTGCTCCTCCGTCAGGGTCGAGTCCTGCGAGTAGTCTCGAAGATGTGCTGTCAACGTCTGGAGCTTGTGCTTGGTCTCGGCGAGCATAGCAGACCAAGACTTTTCCTTCTCGACAAGAGACCGGTGGGTAGTTCTCAATGGAGAAAGCGGGATCATGGGGATGTGATCAGAGGGTCCATAGGTCTTTTGGCCCAGCTGGTCTTCATCCTCCTTGTTGATTCGTTCAGCCTCCACCAGATTCATAGGGTCTACACAACCCTCAGGGATCACTGTCATCAGAGTGCCGACGCTACTCTGTCTCATCAAAGGATACTGAGAGAACGACCGGTTGTTGCCATGAGAGGAAGGAGAACTTGAGGGTATATTTGTGGGCGAGTGCGTCGGGGAGACTGGAACCGACACTGAGGACCCTGGCCGGCGTTTTGGATTGGGAATGGCAATGCTTGGGGACGATGACTTTCGAAGGAGTGCTTGGTGGCCGGACACCGGATCTACGAAGGCAATTGTGGAAAAAATCCATGAAATGAAAATTAGGCACGATAGTTCCATTAAATTAAACGAATGGTAGATTGTCAATATTCCCCTTGCACAATTCCACATTGCATTATCAATCATAGCCTAACTTACCACTGCCTTGCACCACATCGGACTCGCTACCATCATCATCCGAGTCATCATCGTCCAGATAAAGATCTCCCGTATTCTTCAGCTCGGCAATCTTTCTGTTCAGGTGTGCTGGTTTTGGAGGCAGTGGGGGCCTGACCAAGGGCAAGCTGTCGTCGTCGTCGTCGTCGTCATTATGATTGTGGTTGTCGTTGTCATTGTCATTGTCATTGTCATTGTCGAGGCTCCTTATTGGGAAGTCAAGGCTTCCACTTGGGATGTCGAGGCTCTCTCTCGAGATATCGAGACTCCCTCTTGGAATGTCAGGGCTCCCTCTTGGAATGTCAGGACTCCCTCTTGGAATGTCAGGGCTCCCTCTCGGGCTGTCCGCAAGAGGCGAAGGATCGGGGGGACTGCCCTGAATGCTATGGAGAGCATGCAGTTCAGCATCAATTTCACTAGATTCATTAATCTCCATGAAGGACATGTCGGAGGGCGGTGAGGGCGGGGGTCGTCGTGTTGGTTTGGGTGGGATGGAGCCATTGGAGGTAGATCGAAGGAGGGGGGAATAAATAACAGGAGACGTTGAAGCTGGCTTCAACGAGGACACGCCAGCTTGGCGAATGGAGGAAGCCAGGGGCTCGGGGATGGTTGGCAGCCTATGTCTGTGGAGAGGCTCTGCCGTTGCAATTGAAGTCACGGGTGCTGTGCTGGTTGCAGTGGCGGTCGACGATGTTGCTAGAGATGCGGAAGAAGACATATTTGTGGTCGTCCCGCCGTTCATCGCTGCTGCCGCTGCCTGGAGTTGTTTGGTGAGCATGGTGACTGATCTTGCTTGGCCCGAGTTGAGTCGAATTGTATGTCTGGAAAGGGACGCCTTCCTGAAGGACGGGCTCGACATTTTTGGCTCCGGGATAGTAGCAGCGATGGTGGCATCGTTTTTGGCGAGGATCTCCTGTGCCGAGGTGACGGACTTGCAGGCCATGGTCAGCAACGACGCTGTGGAGGGAGAAGTGATCGCCACTGAGACCGATAAAAAACAAATAAAAAATAATAATAAATCAATTGATCAACGAACAACGGGATTGGTCAGAAGACAGACACAACAACGGAGAAGTCAAAAAAGGGCAGAGGCCAGGTCCGGGAACAAGGAAGAGGGATCAGAACAGACACACACACGCTCTCACACATGTCCAAAAGCGAAGGGTACGCTAAGAAGGGTACGTTTGTTCGTCGCGGTAGTACTGTTGCTTGGATGTACACAGCGCAACTCAACTTACCATTGGCAATGAACTTGATCTTTCGTAGCTCAGTCGCAGCCGCATCCAAGATATCGAGGTATCCGAAATACGCATCCTATGCGTGGTTATATTTTATAAGAAGACACGAAATGTCGGGAATAGATGAATCAGGCACGGTGTGATGGGCAGGATAAAACGCGGTTGTTAGGAGTGAGAAGGGAGTGGCTGTGGATGTGGATGTGAGTGAATGTATGACAATGGTAGTGGTTGGCAAGGAGCGACTAGGCAACTAGGTTGTACGCGCTGGAGGTGGTTCGGTTATATTTGTGTTTGATGTTTTTTGTTTGTGCATCGATGGTGTTGTTGCTGTCGCTATTGCTGTTGGTTTTGTGCATTATTACATTTAGTGCCGTTGTTGCTATTGTTTGCCGATAAAAGGAGAGAGGAGAGAGAGAGGACAGCGAGTTGGGAGGCAACTGTATCTGTCAATATGCATGTGCTCTAAGTAACAGTGGTCGAAGACATACCTTGGCGTGGCCAGCACAAAGAGCTTCAGCCGCCTTTGTCAAAAGTCCCTGGAGCTCGTCCATTGCAGGAAGCAAGGCGGACAGCCACAGCACCGAGGAATAGGGTACGTGCGGGTTTCCAGTTAGTTAACACAGAACAAACGAGAAAACGAGAACAATAAAAAGGGTGAAAGAAGAGCGTTGAGAGCAAACAGAGATGGGAGAGTTGGTTTGTTTTTGCTGAATGAAGAGTGAGAAGGTGAGAGGGTGAGAAAGAAAGTGAGCGGATCTGTGAGCGTGAGTGTGTGTATGTGTGTGTGTGTGTATGTGTGTGTGTGTGTGTGTGTGTGTGTGTGTGTGTGTGTGTGTGTGTGTGTGTATGAGTGTAGGTAAGGAGGCGGGTCGAAGAGAAATAAGGAATAAGTGTGTGAATGAATGAGAAGGGAGTGAGTGAGAAGGGTGCCAGTGAGAAGGGTGATGAGGTGAAGTGAAGTGAAAGCTGAAGAGCAGGAGGGTGAATGACAAGGCCTTGTTCAAAGGGCGAGGGTTCGGGACAGTAAAGAAAGTCAGAAGGGCGAGAAGAAGAGAAAGAGAAGGTGAAGGAGAGCGAGAGGGAGAGAAGGGTGAGGAGTAGGAAGAGGAAGAGGAAGAGAAGGAAGGAAAAGAAGAAAGGAGAATAGGAAAATAAAACAGACGAGAAAGGAGGAGTAGGATCCAACCTTCTTCTTCTTCCTCCTGTCCGTCCTGGCCATGGGTTAGGTTATCAATGCGGTGAGAGCCCTATTTTTTTTTCTTTCCTCTCTTGTTCTTCTTGTTGTTCCAATGTCCAGGTGTTGAACCAGCAGAAAGAAGCACAGGTTGGGAAAGTGACCATGGTAGATGCCACCCTACAACCGCTTGTTGTTTGTTGTTTTATTATTGTTGCTGTTGTTATTGTTGTTCTTTTTTCTCGTTGTCCCTCCCGGCGACGAACGTGAGCAGTGTCATGGTAGGAAGGAAGCCCAGATCCATGGATGAATGGGCAGCAGCAGCCGAGCATTGGGCAGCATTGGGAAAGAAGGAGAATAAACAAAAAGCATAAACGGGAGCGCAATATTCTTCCCGAGGGGTTAAAAGGGGAAGGGGGCGCTGGGAAGTGTAGCCAAAAAGCTGAAAAGAGGGGGAAGGGAGAGAGAGAAGACAGAGGAGAAGGAAAGAAAAAGGAAAGAGGGAGAAGGAGAGAGAGAGAGAGAAAAAGGGCCACATGGGGTCGGACTCGTTATGTTCGCTTATGCCACCAATGGTACCTTGCCCTTGCTTTGTCCATCTCTTCTGTATGTATGTTCAATGCATGGCCCATGGTCCTGTCATCTATCCATCAAAATCTTTTCCTTTCCTCGCCCTGTTTATCAACAATGCATCTCTTTTTTCCCTTCTATCCTTCCATGCTTCTTGAACGTGTTGAAGAATACATCTGGTCAAAGAACCAAAACGGGGACAGAGCTTTGACTGTTTGCCAGCACAAGAGAGTTCACTATTTCTTCTTGACAACATACTTGTGTGCCGGTCGTACCTGACACAAGTACCCAAACAGAAAAGAGACCATGTTCCCACTCCAGCGACAATACCTACGCAAATGGTGCAACTGTCCTGTCCTTCGCCTGGAAGAAAAAACAGAAAAAATGCTCTCGACTCCACCTTCAAGAAGGTGACCATGTGGCCAACTTTTTGAGTTTTTTCTCCTGTGCTCTGGAGCCAAAAAAAAAAAAAAAAAAAAAAAAATGGGATCCAGTCAGAGACCTCATCTCTAGCCCAACCTTGGTCCCACCTTGGTCCAACCTTGCCCCGCTCTCAAAAAAAAGAGAGAGGAACAATCTTCTCTTTCCGTCATCTGTGAGACTGGTCCCTTATTTTCTCATTTTTTTCCGTTGGACTCACTCACTCCATGCATACATCGATCGACCTTCACCTTGCTCGTCTTGCACCTCCCGTCAGTCTCACCCCTGGAGCGATTCCTCCACAGTTTACCTACAAGGTCTCTGGACATTTGGTCCGCACCAATCAAACTCACCCGATTGCTTTGCAAGGCGTACTACACACCTCTTCTTCCAACGGTCAACTTCTCTATCATCTTTAACCTCTTCTATGCCTCTTTGCCTACCCGCTGCGCTGTTCCATGTCAGTTGGCCATTTGGCGGCTTGTATTTTATTTGTCGATTGGTGACAAGTACAGGAGCAAAAAAAAAGTGGCTTACAAAGTGCTCGCAATATCGAAATGCTCAAGACATTGGAGGTTCTGGGTGGTGATTGGAAATGGGTGGCTTCTCGCTCTGATGTCCGACCCACTCACTTGGCTGGCAGGTCCTCAGGGCCAAAGGCGTAAGGAAGGAGGTCAGCGAGAACGGCGCGCTTGTATGTCCTGTCGTCGTTGACAAAGAAGATTTCCAGGTTCTTTCCAAACTCGTTCATAAATTGCCTATCCCAATAGAAAAAAAGAGTGGGAGCCAGTCAGGAGTAGGATCAGGATTAGTCATTCCATGCCGATGCTACAGCTGACAGACAATTACAAAGCAGAGGTTGGAGTAGTTACCTGCAGATACCACAGGGAGTGATATAGTGGTTGAAATCGCTGTTTGTTGTGTAGGTATCCCGTGATTAGAGAGAGGTGCAAGTTAGTAAACGTGTGGGATAGAAGAAAGACACGCCGCGTGGCTTTTTTTCTTTCCTTTCTTTCGTTTTCATTTTTTTTTTTTTTTTTTTTTTTTTGGCATTCCATTTTACATATGCACTCATTATCAAGGAAGCAGAAAATCCACAGAAACGCAAGCAAGATGCAGGTTTAACCGGGCTGAACTATTTACCAGGAGACAGCAATGGCAACAAACCGCAGGTGACCCTCGCTCTATCACGAAAAAAGAGGCAAAAAAAAGAGGCAACACGTCAGGTTTCTCAATACATTCAACTCCACTTTTGCTCTCGATTTCGTCCTTTCCTGTTGCTGCCCCGATCTGTAACAGCAATCAAAGAGCAAAAATCACTCCCAGATCTGCTTGACAAATCGAAAGAATAAACGTTTGGTTTGAATTGTAAACTTACAACAGCTTTTACGAATGCAGTTCGTTCGGCGCAGATGGCTCCTCCTATGCACCGCGTTGGACAGGTGGTTCAAGTAAGAAAGCAAGACAGTCAACGTAGGATCATCGAGCGCGGAGGATGTTTTCGTCATAAAATAAGAAATAAAGCAAGGTAGAAGAACGTGTAGGGTAAAAACGTCAATGACGATGTCATTTGCGAGGTGTAGTGAGTGAGAGAGAAAGGGAGATATATTTCGAAGGTCATGGGTGTGAAGAGCTGTTTCGCAGCTCATTGTCAGTGGGCAGTGGTAGTTACCATACGAAGCATTCTCAACGTTGCATCCTAAGTGACAGGCATGAAAGTCAAAGAGAAGAAAGGTTAGTGACTGAGCGAATGCGAAGTGGGTGGGTGAACAACGATGCATAAATGGGGGACACAAAGAGATAGAAAGTCGACAGAAAGGAAGAAAAGGAGAAGGAAGAAAAAATAATACGCCTCACTCGTTTTGGGACCATTGGGCAGCAATGGAGGATTTACCTTGATAGATTTTGCCATCGACCGTGCGCAGAGCGGCGCCCACACGGAACTTTGAGTAGGGCGAGTAGGAAAAGTTTCTTGCTATCAATCAAATGGTCAATCGAATAGGTGAAGGCGGACGCACATCGGTCAGCAGGACATTTCTCTCTTCCTTTTCATGGGAGAAGGGGTTCAATGGATATGTGGGACATTCGTCAATGTGAGTGTGTTTGACGGCACGCGCGACGCGGGTGCGTTTGTGGTGTGTTGGGGCGATAATTTTTTTTTCCACTCCCTGTTGTTTTGTTGTCTTCATTTCTGCTGTACCTTCGAGGGACTGAGTGATGAGTTCCTCGATTTGGTCGTTTGTGAGTGCGGACATGGGGTGAGTGTGAAGAATGGAAGGGAGGAGTGAATGAGAAAGAAATGTGTGTGAGTGTAGGTGGTTTGTGATTAGAGTTGGCTGGTTGATCACGATGGGCAGGAAAGGGAAGAAAAGAAAGAAGTAAAAGAAAGAAGAAGAAGAAGGAATAACCTTTTGAAGGTGAGAGAGAGAAGGAGGAAAAAAGTGTTTGCTGCGAGGAGGAAAGCATTGTCCCACAGCAATGTATTCTGAGTGGGTGGAAAATTGAGAGAGAAAAAAACACCCACACACGGTGGACGAGAGCCGAAAAATGCGGACGGTGTCCGTGGCGCACGCTGCGGATGTCAGGTCTTCCGAAGGCTTGTACTCACTCACTCATGTCGCACTCACACACACACACTCTCTCTATCTCTTTCTCCCGAAAGAGATGATAATGTATTTCCAGGAATCAATCATCACATCCCATCAGCACTCTTCCTTCTCCTATCCGCTTCATCAAATTATCAGTACAAAATGAAGAGGTAGGAAGATAAAAGGCCCTTCTGGTCCTTTGGCCGAGCATGGCCGCAAGAGTAGACAATTTTCAACAACGAGCACCGGTCGACTCCTCCTCACAAATCTTCACATATTTCTTAATTAAACACTTCCATTCCTGGTACCGAACGCCCATCCTCACATCAACTCGGCATAGCCAGGGACCTCCAAAAGAGCCATTCTCCAGAAGAAAATCTAAAGTCGATACTCTCAACAGAATACGTTGGATGCGTGCATGGCTGTTGTCTAAAAGAGATTTTGCTGTTGTTGTCATCTTTCCCATTGTGTTTATGAGAGAGTGCAGTACATCAGTAGAGCTTTTGTTTGTGTGTATGCGTTTGTGTGGGCGTGTGTGCGTCTGTTGAGTTGAGGACGAACAAGAGGGATTATGGTTCACCTAGAGACTCAGACTCGGAAAAGCAAACGCGCGTTAAAACGATCGTAGATCCTCCCTTTTTCCTGCTCTGTGTACACAGCCGATTAGAAAGAAACCCTACGTCTTTGAATACCCTTGGATCCCTTCAAAAACTTGATTAGGAGAGCGCCTTTTTCTTCTTTTGCAGTGCCACAAGGGAACAACGTCCGAAAGGGCTGCATCGTATGAGGTCATGAGGGAAGGAAAAAGGGACACAAGGGAGACAAGGCGTGGATTATGTCCGGCGGCTTCAGGGGCCTGAATTTTGTCATAAACACATTGGTGATCAAGCATGAAGCTGGGACAAAGTGAGAAAAAGAATATGGGAATATGGCGCTAGGCATGACCTTCTTTTATCCTTTCTTTTACAACTCATTACACAAAAAAAAATGTCTTGGCAATGAGCGCCGCGAATACAGGTGCTCCTTTATTATGTATTGATGCATTATCCTCCCTTCTCTTTTGGTTGTCGAACGCGATGGGAAGTGAGGACAAGGTCTATGTTTTCTTTTTATCGACTACGATGATGGGGGATAGAGTGAGCACCACCTCGAGTGTTCTCCGCAAGTATGTCAAAACTGATAATTAATAATGGAAGAGAGCTGTCAACCGATTCTCAGCCTTCGTGAGTGTGAAGGGTAACCCGGTTCCCCAGTTTCAGATGGGCGTTTGGAATGTGCAGCCCTGCCAATGAGAACCAGTGAAGTGAGTTGTAGGACTTGCTTGTATTTTGTAGGAACGAAAAGAAACAAAAAATATGAAGTGGTGGCGTCGGCTCTGTTGTTAATTGTGCCCATAGGATGGGGAGCTTTCTTGATGGGGATAGAGGGACAAGTTGGTTGGTTGGTTGGTTGGAGAACCAAAAAGGTTTGACCAAAGAACTTTCTTTATTTCCATGTTGGATTGGTTATTTTCATCCAAGTGATAGACAGTGTGTGCACGGAAGAAAAACATGGCATGAAAAACCAATTTATCAAGTCGCACATGTCTATCCTTGTAGCCAACCGTCCACGAGATTGCAAGCGTCGCCAGCAAAGGGAGAAACGAAAGAAGGGGGAAGGAGAGCGAGAGTAGTGATAGTCTCGTATGTGCGAGAAAGGAGAATATATTTTATTTTTTTCTAGGAGGCTTGTGCAACTGAGCTGGATTGAAGAAATGAAAAGCATGGGTGATGAAGCCCTATGCCAGGAAGTTTTAAATACATGGCAATTTTCCTTGTTGTTTGTGGTTTTGTTGCCTGTTTGCCTCCTTTGCCAGTTGTGCACGAAGGCTGTAAGAGTTTACCCTTAAGAAGATTGTCAATAAATTGGCGGTCAATAAAAAGGTCGATCCTCATCCAGGCACCATCACTGTTGTCTGTCTCACTGGACAGATAACGTAGAATTTTTTTTTAAACAGTCGTCGAAGAAAAATCTATCGAAAGAGAACAATGACCCTCGTTCACAGCACTTTGCAGCTTTGCAGCTCGAATGGACAATTCTGGCCTAGGGGTAATCGCAATAAGCAAAACAAAAGGAAGGACTAAGGAAGAAAAAGAGGCAGTTGAAATGGAAGGGAAGGAAGTCAAGGGTGGATGGATTGGAACAAATACGTGCATTAGTCCTTGGGCGTTTTTTTTGCCCTTTCTTTTTCTTTTCTTTTCCTACTCTCCACCCCGTTCTCCTTTCTTCTCTCCTTCAACCGTAGTTGTCTTCGGTAGCTGTGTTGTGTTCGTCAGTCGATCGTTCCATCGAATCCCTCTCCTCCCTCTCCTCCCTCTATACCCGCACCCTGTGGGTTTGCTCCTCTTCTCCATCCCTCTTTTTCGTTCTTTTTCTCTTTTCTGCTCTCTTTCCTCTTTCTCATTCCCTTCCTTCTCATCACTCTTCCCTCTCTCTCACACTTTCGATCTCATCTTTCTTACACACCTAAAAATACAACAACATCCACACACGACACCCCCTCACCTTGTTCTTCATTGACTGATCACCCAATGCAAAACCTCAGACGTTCACTTCAGAACAAAACCTCATCAGGCGGCCTCTCTCCCAACCCCAACCGCGCCAGCCCCGCAGCCCTAGCGCCTCCCCGCAAAGTCATCAAGGCCCTCTACGACTACAACTCCCAGCAGACCGAGGAACTCTCCTTTACCAAGGGTGATTTTTTCCACGTTGTCGGCAACGAGGACGACGAGGACTGGTACGAGGCCGGCAACCCTGTCACGGGCGCCCGCGGCTATGTCCCCGTTGCATACTTCCAGATCCTCGAAAAGAACCAGAGAAACAGTAATCAGAGTCTCGAGGAAGAGCAGCAGCAGCAACAGCAACAGCAGCAACAACAGCAGCAGCAACAGCAACATCAACAACAATTCTACCAACAGCCACAACAGTCGACTCCGGCCCAATCATCGCCCACCCCTGCCGCGCAAAAACCCTTGCCAAAATGCCAGCCATTGTACGGAATCGTCCTTTACGACTTTGGAGCAGAGCGGGCCGACGAATTAGACGCCAAGGTCGGCGATGCCATCCTGGTCATTGCCCAGTCGAACGAGGAGTGGTACGTGGCCAAGCCCATTGGTCGCCTTGGAGGTCCAGGATTGATCCCCGTCAGCTTTGTTGAGATCAGGGATATGGCGACCGGGAAGGCGATCAATGTCCCGGAAATGCTCCGACAGACAGGAACCGCTATCCCTCGCGTGGAAGAGTGGAAGAAGCAGACCATGGATTACAAGGCCAACAGCATTCCTCTTGGAAAGATCGATTCGAACGAGGCACTCCAGAAGCAACAACAGGCGATTCAACAACAGCAACAGCAACAGCAGCAACAACAGCAGCATCAGCAACACCAACAGCAACAACATTTTTCAACCATGCCGCCCCAGGCCCAGTCACCTATTCACCCACAACAGTTTATACAGCAACAACAGCAGCATCTTCAGGGCTCGGGGCCCACTATTCAGCAACTCAAAAACAAGATGTCAAGAGACCTCAAACCGCTTCAGAGTCAACCTATAATGCGCCGGCTTCCATCACAGGAACTTGAACCAAGCCGACGCCAGGTACAACAGCCACCTCGTTTTATTTTTTATTTTTGTTGTTTCTCATTTTTATCGTGGGGAGGAATGTGCTCTCGCTTTATAATCTAGAGGAGGGTGCCAATTATTACTTTTCTGTGGTTGAGAGCATCTTTCAGCTAAACACTATATCTTTGGTTCAATGCTAATTAGACTGGAAGAGAAGAGACCACTAGCTCTCTTAGACCAACTGGGGCTGGATCATCTCGGAGCAACAACGGAGATTCTCACAGCAGCAACGGCGGCAGCTTTCACGACCAGGATCTGTCGAATGTCATTGTTGAGGCCTCGGTCGACTCATTCCACCTTGAGGACGACCAGTACTGGTTCTCGGTTTCTATCGACCTGGCTTCGGGCGCCACACGGAGATTGCTGCGCCTGTACGAAGACTTTTACAACTTTCACATCGCCCTTTTGGAAGAGTTCCCGGTCGAGTCTGGCCGTGTCGGAGATCAGCCCAGGATCCTTCCCTTTATGCCGATCCCATTACAGGCGGTAGATGATGCAGTGACGGCGACTCGCCAGGTCGATTTGGATGGCTATGTCCAGGACTTGTGCAAGCTTCCGACAAGGATCATTCAGCACCCCTTGGTCAACCAGCTGTTTGGACTGAGAGAGGGCGACACAGAAACACCAGCACCACCAGTAATAGGCATCAGTCCCAACATGGGATCGTCTTCGCCCTCGATGGGTCGCTTGACGCCCTCCAACGGCATGTTCAGCTCTTCTGGATCCCGCCAATCCCCCTCTGTGGCGGCACGAGCCGTCTTTTCCAACAGCAAATCGCAGCAAGGACCAGGCAGCCATCGTGGCTATAATGACGACTCTGGGTCGATGAGCGGCTCCCCCAGTCTGCGATCCGCATCCTCGTTCTCAACACCGACGATTGGCAGCACGAGCGCGGACGAGTTTATCAAGCTGAAGGTGTCATACCAGGACGACATTTCGGCGATGAGGATACCCGTCTTGGTCTCCTTCCAAAACCTCCAACAAAAGATCTTTGAGCGTCTGGATTGTGATCCCAAGCCATTGAGTTACCGTGACAGCCATGGTGACTTTGCCACCCTGCAGACCGATATCGATGTTCGTGAAGCTATCGACCATTGCGGTGGCAAGCTTGTGATCTATGTAGATTAGACGTTCGTTTTCTTTTTTCTTTCTTTGGCAATTTTACATGGATCCCTTTTGCCCTGAAAAAGAACAAGCAAACAATAACAAAAAAAAAAAAAAAATATAGACAAAACGTGTACCGTTGTTTAGGACACGAAAAATGGAGAGCTGAGGAGTGATGCGCAGATACAAATCAGAAGCAGGACGAGTCTTCTTGAGATCGTGAGAGGAAGGAGTCAAATTTGGTGGCAAAAGCAATTGGCAACAAGAAAGAAGGTCTTTGCGCTGATGTCCACCACATTGGAATTACCCCCAATGGACTCCTTGAGCATTTGATGGTGCAGGCAACAAAAATAGCTATGAAGGCACGCTTGAGTTGCCAGTCTCGACATCCTAGAGGGGCTGACACGCCTTAGCCATTGGATGAGTCTGTCAGATAGCAACGCTCCGTTCATGGCCACGAGGGTGGACAAGTAACCTAGATAACGATGAATAAGTGCGAGTTACAAGTGGGCGAAAAGCGAGTAGTGTTTATCCGTTCATCCGTAAAGTCCAGACGGAGTACAGGCCGAGAACCATCCGCCCCACAGCATTACTTTGTAACAAAAAGAGCTGTGTGGGTTCTTTCTGCACGAGTCTGCACCAATGGACAATTGTCCCGCGATGTTAATCGCAAGACAGTCTTTCCACATGAAGGGATGTCATTCTAGTTTTGTCAATACCATGGTTACGTGTTGATTATTGATCTCTTGCACCACCACTGATCATCATGCCTGTATTAGATCAAGAATAAACAACGGTCATCGTATGAGACTCCTCTTGCAGCTCGAATGCACAATTCTGGTGAAGGGCAATCACAATAAACAAGGAGGAGGTAGAAAGGATTAAAGAAGATAGAAGCAGTCGACAGAGAAAGATAGAAGAAAAGGGTGGATTGGAGCAAACATGTACTCAAATTCCTTGGTTTTTTTTTTAGTATTAGAAAACAACAGAGTAACTCTCGCGCCGGATATTCTATGCGATCAAGGCCCGGTCCGACGCACGGTTGGCCAGCGAGAGAATAGACATTTTCTCTCACACATCACACACACACTTTCTGCTCTACTAAGTTCTTTATCCTCTCCCCACTCTTTTTCCCATTCTAATTCCATTTCTTCTTCAGCCTCTCTTCTCACTCCCTTCCATCTAAACTACCACCTTCATCCATGACTTCTAACAAACGTCTCGAGCAGATCAAGGACCACATCGCCGGTAAACCCTCATCCACCAGCTCATTTCAAATCCTCTCTCCAAAATAACGTGAGCCGAAATTTCATTTCTTTAACATAACCAAATCCCCTCTTGTCAACCTTCCATACACAGGAGAAAGCCCTCGCGATCGCCTTATCAACCACAGACACCCCGACGATGTCGTTATCGTCTCGTAAGTCTTACAATTGACCAGCATCCACGTTGTTTAACAGCCTTACTCGAAACTAACCCCTGTAAATCCACTTCTCTCGCCCGTTAAAAAATCCTACTCACCCACAGGGCGGTTCGAACTCCTATTTGCCGAGCCGGAAAGGGCGGGTTCAAGGACATGTACCCCGAAGATCTATTGGCCGTCATATTGAAGGCAGCGGTCGAGCGCGCCAAGATTGACCCCAAGATCGTCGATGATATCCAGACAGGCAATGTCCTTCAGGAACTCGGTGGTATCAAAGTCGGTCGTGCCGCCATGTTCGCCGCAGGTAGGCAGACGTTTTTTTTCGTCTTTTTTTGCCACCTTCTCCATTTTGCTGTTTGAACGGCGCCATTGATACCGACAGTTTGTATGTACTTGTATTCCATAGGATTCCCATACACGACGACATATGGTGTGTTGAATCGCCAGTGCTCGTCGGGCTTGCAGGCCTGCAACTATGTTGCCAATGCCATCCGAGCCGGAGAGATCGATGTCGGTATTGGTAAATGGGAACAACAAGCGGTCAGTGCTCTTTCTCTCAAAAATAATCCCACGACGAAAACACTAACCGTGCACGAATGATTTATTACATGGACTAAATAATAGGCGCTGGTGTAGAGTCAATGACTCACGACTATGGCTCCAAATCAATGCCCTCTCGCATCTCGCCCGCGATCAAGGCTGCCCCCGGTGCCGCGGACGTGTTCTTCCCTATGGGTATTACCTCCGAGAATGTTGCCAGCCAGTTCTTGATCTCGCGTGGAGACCAGGATCAGTTCGCTGTCGAGTCACACGAGAAGGCCTTGAGGGCTCAGGAACTGGGGCTGTTCAATGCCGAGATCGTCCCTGTTAAGGTTACTCAAAAGTCCACTGTCAAGGATGAGAATGGTCAGGAGAATCAGATCGTCAAGGAAGTGATTATTTCAAAGGATGAAGGCCCTCGTGCAGGATCGACCACTGAAAAGTTGGGCAAGTTGAAACCCGTCTTCAAAAAGGATGGATCGACGACTGCTGGAAACGCTTCGCAGGTCTCGGACGGTGCTGCGGCGGTGGTGTTGATGCGTCGTAGCAAGGCGATCGAGCTTGGGTGCCCCATCTTGGCACGTTGGTGCGGCGCCAAGGTCACGGGCGAAAAGCCTTCTATTATGGGCATTGGACCCGCGACCGCCATCCCTGCTGTGCTGAAAAATGTTGGATTGCAGGTGGATGATGTTGATATCTATGAGATCAACGAGGCCTTTGCCTCTCAGGCTCTGTACTGTGCGCGCCATTTGAACATCAAGCCTGCCAAATTGAATCCCAAGGGTGGTGCCATTGCCCTCGGTCACGTAAGTCTCCCTTTCTTTTTGCCATTTACGTTTTTGGGTGTTCTGGCACAAAGATTTATATGTTAACGTTTGTCTTTCTGCTTTGTTTGTGGGATATAGCCATTGGGGATGACTGGTGCCAGGCAGATGTCGACCTTGATTACGCAGTTGCATCACACTGGCCAGAAGATTGGAGTCATTTCCATGTGCTATGGCATTGGAGGGGTAAGTCAGCACTCTGATAGTTAGCTACTCCTGTATGCTCAATGAAGCAATGTTCACTAACAAGCCTTTTTCTTAAATTCATAGGGCATGGCTGCTGTGATCGTCAGTGAGCAATAAAAAGTATCCGTCAACGCCACCAAAATCAGCGCCGAATAAAAAAGTAGAAAAATAACTTCTTTTCCTTTTCTTTGTTTGTCCATCACTTCTTTCTCCATCCGTTGTCACTTTCCATTCAGCATAACCATAACCTACCCTCCTCGCCGCTGCATTCGAACTCCTGTCAAGCGGAATCTGCATCCTTTAGCTCTTGACATCATCCATCAACTCTTACATTAACCAACCAGCAAACAAACGATCGTTTACAAAATAATACAGCGCAAAAAGGAACAGAATGTCATCCAACTCCTCCAGTCTGGACCTGGTCTCTAACTTCACCTGTCTGACGTCCAAACATAACCATGAGGAAGCCATGCGACTCCTCAAAAACGTCGCCACTATGGTAACCTGAAGAGATTATTCGTGTTCTGGTCAAGCAGGGCTGTGTTGGAGCATTCTTTTACTTTCGTATTTAATACAAGGCTTGTTGTCTTTCTTTGCGCCTACATAGCTTCCCCTTCTGACTCCCATATTCTACATGCCAACAAAAAATAATAATAATAGGTACGGCCAATAATGAAGGCGCATGGTTGGAAAATCACAACACTTGCAGAGTTCTACTCAAAGGGCCTCCTAGGAATGAACACTAACCGCGGCTGGAAGATCCAACTCTGTCTCCGATACCATAATGACGAAAACACCTTCCTCCCCTGGGAGGACATCCTTGGCACCATGCTCCACGAACTCGCACACAATATCCGTGGCCCGCATGATCAGCAGTTTTACAAGGCGCTGGATGATTTGAATGATGAGTATGATAAGGTCGTCGCGTCCGGGTATACTGGGGAAGGGTTTGATACGGCGGGGCGTCGGTTGGGGACGAAGCATGGTGGGTTTGGACCTGGTGGTGTGAGACTTGGTGGTGCGATTGGCGCTGAGTTGGTGACGAGTGGGACGAGAGCTGCTGCGGTTGTGGCGGCTGAGAGGCGGAGGCAGATGAATGAAATGATGTTGCCGGCGGGTGGACGCAGACTTGGAGAAACTGGTGGTGCCTCTACTGCTTTAGGAGAACGGGTAGGAGCGACGCCGAAGGGGTTCTGGGAGCAGTGGCATAGTCCTGGTGAGCTGGCTGCAATGGCTGCGGAGCGACGGGCTAAAGATCAAGTCTGGTGCGGATCATCACCTTCCTCTGCGAGTTCACCAAGCTCGAATCAGTCGTCGACATCATCCAGTCCAAAAACGCCACCAACTGTAATATCATCCACTGTTGGTTCAAGCTGCGGATTATCGACAACTACTTCGGCCTCCCCCACTCCACCTCAAACTAACAGCACAAGCACACAACGGACAACCATCATCATCGATGGTGATGATGCGCCAATCGTGCCTACTAAAAACTCCACGAAACGCAGAGGCTCCGATCCTTCGACAACAGTCATCACAACGACAACGGTATTGAAGAAACCCAGGAGGGAGCAGGAGGACGTGTCTCACACGACGACTGCGCAAAAACTCGCTCGGTCCAGTGCATCAAAAACGACAACCACATCCATCGCGGTTCCTGTGACAAGTCAATGGGCAGAGTGGGCCTGCCCATTGTGCACACTCGTTAACCGGCCATTGGCATTACAATGCGAGTGCTGCTTCACACATCGACCCGCTGAATAAAATCAAATTTTCAAGAACCGAAAGGGTGTTGGTGACATGCAATTTTTAATCTTTAGAGTAGATCCAAACAACTGAGGCGAATGGAGCAATCCAAAAAGCGATCTGGTGTGGTGGGTGTTTTGACTAGAGAAACGATGATGACTATGGTACAACATGCGAAATGGGTGAATAGTAACAAAATGCAAAAAGTGAAATAATGAAGAGAAGAGTAAAACAAATGAAGACACGGATTAAGGAATGAAAAAGAGAGTGCAAAAAGAAAAGAAAAACAGGGAATCATCAGTGTCTAACAAGAGAAAAGGTGAGGGCGAAGGAAACCCTTTTTAGAAGGAAACCTTGGAGCCCTGGAAAGCACCAAAGCCACCACGACCGCCACGGGCACCACCGCGACCGCCACGGCCGCCACGGTCACCGCCGAAACCACCACGTCCACCGCCACGACCACCGCGGTCACCGCCGAAACCGCCACGGCCACCACGGCCGCCGCGTCCACCACCACGACCACCGAATCCACCGCCTTCGGAGCGCTCGGGCTTCTTTCCAGCATAGTCCAAACGGCAAGGGCGACCAGCGAGCTCGGTACCGTTCCAGGCAATAGCAGCCTTGGCCTGTTCGACCGAAGAGAACTGGATGTAACCGAAACCCTTGGCCTGACCGGTCTCGCGATCGGTGGGGAGACGGACAGAGATGATCTCACCGCACTCGGTAAAGGCACCGCGGAGGTCATCCTCAGTGGCGTTAAAAGACAAGTTTCCGACGAAGAGGGTGTCGGAAGCCTCACCCTGGGGGGCGTTGTTGAAGGTCTTGGCACCAGCCTCCTTCTTGGGGCGGGCCTCGGAGAGGTCGACGCGGATGGAGCGACCGTCAATCTCCTTGCCGGCAAGGGCCAAAGCAGCGTTGGCACCCTCAGCGTTGGCGAACTCGACGTAAGCGAAACTATTTTCATAAATGAGAACCAATTGAAGTTAGCTTTCATGTAGAATGAACAGCGGTTGCACAGTTGCACATCTTCAATCAGTAGACAGTAAAACAAGTAAAACTTACCCCTTGGAGCGCTGGGAGTCACGGTCGGTGATGACACGGACATCAAGGATCTCACCGCACTCGGTGAACTCGGTGCGGAGCCAGTCGTTATCGACGTTCCAGGAGAGACCACCGACAAAGACGGTAGCAGAGGCAGCGGGGGCAGCCTCATCCTCGGTCTTGGACTTCTTAGCGGGGACCTCGGCAGCAGACTCGGTCTTGCGCTTGTTGTTGGAGGCCTCAGAGTCGGAGGAAGCAGCAGACTCGGAGGACTCTTCCTTCTTCTCCTCCTCGTTGTCAGAGTCAGAGCTGTCAGAGTCGGAGGAGTCGTCCTTCTTCTCCTCGGTCTTCTCCTCGTCGTCGGAGGAGTCGGCTGAGGAGTCGGAATCAGAGTTGGAGGAGTCGGAGGACTCGACCTTCTTCTCGACCTTGGCAGACTTCTTCTCGGCCTTGTTGGCGACCTTGGAGCTCTTGACGGCGACGGACTTGGCCATTATGTATATGTGTGTAATGGGGGGAGGGGGGGAGGAGTGAAGGAGTGAGAGAGAGAAGGAGCAAAATTATTTAGGGACAAGTGGCGCTGATAAAGACATCAAGGTGGCAAAAAAAAAAAAAAAAAAAAAGGTCAGCAGTCACAATGTAGTAAACAACTTGCTGGAAACTAGGGACGGTCGTTTGCATTCGTATATTGCAGCAACTACGACAAAAGGGACATCCTTACTACCATCATGTCATCAGTACTTTTTCTTCATTCTTTGCACACATTATCATAGACACGCCCAATCGCAACACGCTCTTCTTCTCCTCTCCTCTTTTCAAGCCGATGAGCCCTTGATTTCCTCATCCTTTTGTCGGCTGGCGATCCCTCTGCGAACTGGCCACAGGATTTCAGGTTCAAAGAGGTATTACTTTCTCTTCCACTACACACCCTTTCATGATTGCCTTTTGTCTGTGCGTATATCATTTCTCCCGTTTTCTTCATCTTTCACTGTTCAGATGATAGATATACACTGGTTGCCAAAAGTAACAGAGTAGTAGCACTTGGCAGCCAGGTCAGCGGCGAATTGACAGCGTCATGGAAACCCCGGGATCAATGGCACTCTGGCGTTTTGTCGCAGGTCGAAGGGTTCACCGCTGTAATTTAATTGAAGGACATGTTGACAGAGGGACCTATGTATTAACTTTGTCTACAGTATAGAATGCCTGTTGGGGAGAGTAACGAAAGCTCGGCCTGTGAGAAGTGCGCGAGAAAAACTCTTTTACTGTTTGCCTTCTTCTCTCAGCCTGCAGGACGGTAGAAATAAAAGTGTGCGGGATGCAACAGTAGCTGGATTGATCTTAGGCTAGTTGTGTTTTGTACGTTGGTCTGCTTTGTTTATTGCTAGTTTGAGCCGTTAGAAACGTTCCAGTTCTCCTTCTGCTCTCACCTGGCCGTCTTCTTTCTTTCAGCTTGTGTGATATCTGTTTATTTATTATTTTGCAAGCGACAGAAAAGAGAACGAATAGACACAGAGACTTCTCTCCTGATGTTGTATGTAGTGCTCTTCATGTCCTCCCTCCTTTCCTGCACCCTTATCTCACTGCTCGTTTCCCCTTTATGCGCGTTCGCGCAATGGAGCGACCTTAATTGATCGAGAGGAAAGAGAGGAGAGAGGTAAAAAAACCTTAGTTGGGTAAAGGGCTCATGAAAGCGATGATGATGACGACATCGTTTTGATGCTTGTGTGTCCTTGCCTTGCCCTGTTTGGAGTCTGGCAGATCTCTCTCTCTCGAGCCCGATCCCCTTGTTAAACTAATTCGTTATTTTTGTTCATACGGATGCATTTATTGGTTGAGTCGGGGCCTTTTTTTTTTTTTTAGCAGAGTTCACTGATTAAAATGAATAAATCCAAGAGCTTATCACTGCTCCTTATATTTTTGCGCATTACTTATGTGAAATACCATTGAGTAGGTGGTGATATTAAAAAAAAAAAAAAAAAAAAAAGTGAAGTATCATTGAGAGAGAACCATGTGTATTTGTCCATGCAGATGGATGAATGAAGAGAGTAGAGTGAAGAGTCTACAACATGAACAACAAACAAACAAACATCTATTGAAGAGACGTTGAGGAGAGAGCGAAAGAAGGAAGAAGTGCCTTTGGCTGGCCTATGTTGCTTCAGCCAATCAGATCGCATAGAGCGCGCGAATGACGTAGTGATTATTTTTTTTGCTGCTGTCTCCCTTCTCTCCCGACCTTTTCTTCTCTCTTCCTCTTTTCACACTCACTTTTGCACATTCAAACATCTCTCTCACACTTCAACATTTCCATCCTCATCAATACACCCTTCCCTCTCACTCAGTCTCTCCTCCATCAACACTCTCGACACCAACGACTTGTACATACATATACACCCGATTACTGTGTAAGGCTCCATAACACTAATAGACAGGAAAAATTCAACTTTGGGTGTTTGCTCTGTCTCTGACGCACCGCTGTCAAGGTTGGACAGAACCACTTCTTGACACACACAATGACGACGATGGCTGTGTCGGATATACTTTCACCTCTCTCCCCTCTCTCCTTTCATACTACTCAACTTACTCACATACATACTCCTTTTCCTTACTTATCCTTTTATCACTCTTATTCGCGTCTGTGTGTGTGTGCCTTTCTCTCTCTTCTTTTTTCCCTTTTCTCTTTTCCTTTTCTTTTCATACGGCATAAGAGCTTGCAGAAAAGAGTAACACGAGGTCAAAGAGGAAGAAGGATTGTCTTTTTTTTTTTCTCGGTCATCTCTTCTCTTCCTTCTTAACGCCATCAACAACATTAACAATCTCGGCCGACTTGTTTCGCCCCAAAAAAGGGCGTTCAAGTCGGGACGTTTGGGCCTCCTCTTGTTTGCGTCATTGTGCTTTTCGGTTCTCCCTTTCCCCCCCTGACCATCCATTCATATCATATCTCGCAGGGCCTCTTTGTGCCTCCTCTTCCATCTCTCATCTAGTACCATTGCTACCTTCGTTACTTTTAATAAGCTTTTTCGGTTTGTTCTGTTTTATGGGGTGTTCGATGGTGGGGTGCAAGTTAGCAGGATGGGATGGGTTGTGTACCACTCATGGTTGAGAGGGAGCACAGAGAGCAGAGAAGGAGGTGATGAATTGGGCGGTCTTGCCTTCTCTCCCTATTGCGCTGTGTATTAGTCATCCTAGCTGTAAAGACATGTAGGCATGAAATAGAAACAAGGACAACAGAGGGAGAGAGAGAGAGAGGTGGACAAAAAAAGAGTGCCGCTCCGGTCTGCTCACAAGGTTGTCTGACCTTTTTCTTTTTTCCCTCGTCCACCCATCCAACGCCCTTTCATACACTCCGCACACGCACACATGCATAACACAACACACAACCCACACACTCACACGCAAAGCTCAAAAAAAACAAAACACAAAGCACGCAAAAAGCACATCCGTCTCTCCAAGGAACAGCTCTCTCCCGCACACGCAGCCCTTTGCGGGAGAGTAGGGGTGGGAGGTGAACAGAGCAGAAGAAGGGGTGTGTTCAACGACTGGCTTCTTTCGTTCCATTCTCTTTTGACTCTTTATCTTTTTTTTCGTTAACCAACCAGCGGGGTAGCATTGGACCTCCGTAAGAACCAGGAGTTGCTATCCAATGCGCGAGTGTGAGTGTCGGATGACAACCTCGGCTGCTTGATCCCGTTGCCTGAGCCGTAGCACCGAGCACAACGACCCTTTTTTCTGTGCGTTTACTTTTTCTTACCGCGAAACAACTGGGGTCACACGCTACTACTTTTCCATTGCTTCCTGCTCTTCTCTTGTCTTCTCTCCTTCTCTCTCCTCTCTCCTCTCTCTCTCTCTCTTCCTTTTCTCTCTTCTCTCTCTTCCTCTTCTTTCCTCCGCACTTTATTCCTTGTCCCTCCTCCTCCTTCATCTTCAACTTCAACTTCTTCCCATCGAAGCCAGAAATGAAGACTAACTCAATATCGCTCTTCTCCTTTTGCCTCCTCAATAGCCAGACACATCCTTGACGACGCCCACTTGCTCTTCACTCCACAATCATACCCCTTATCCCCTTCTCTCCATCTCTATCTCTACCTCTTTCCCTCTTCTCTCTCGCATAACGTCTGTGTAAGAACAATGACAACAGTCGGAACTCTCTCTGCTGACATCGGTCCTAGCAACAACAGTATGGGTAAGTCTCCTCCCCTTTCAATCGCAACCTGCTCAAGTGACAGTGTTGTGAACTATAGTCTTAACCCTTGGTTACCTTGCAATTCTGGCTAGATCTGCCAACTGCTCCCAACAACACTGTTCCCCTTATCGTCACAACAGCTGCAGATGACGACAAGGCTGTTCTCGCTCATGCCAACAACGACAACTCCATGAATTATATGCAGCCCGTCTCCAAACTGGACATGGAACCCAACCCCTTTGAGCAGAGCTTCTCCGACCTAACCCCAGAAAAGGCTGGACCTCCCTCTGGCAACTCGGCACCAGCGCCAGAGGCACCCAAACCAACTTTGCCACCTATCGCTTCAATGTCTGGCCGTCTCGCACCTAACAACGAACAATATGGATGGGAGGCCCAATCGCTCCGTATGGGCCCTCTGTCACCCTCTATGCTGGAAGGCCCTCAGGATCCTATCCCCGTTGGATCTTATCCCGCCACAACCGCCGCCATCTCGACCATCTATACTTCTGGAGCCCCCATGGCAGAGAACGGATATGCCTATGCTGGCATGCCAGGCTCAGTTGCTCCTCCTGCAGGCCCTGTTCAGACGGCGGAACCATACCCACCAGCAATCTACAATCAGACTGCTCAGGCGCCACGACAGCCTCAGCCATTTCCCCATATGAATGGCCAGGCACCTATGAACGACCGATATATCCCTCCTCAAGGCGTACCGCATCCCGACAACGTCCATGGTTACAACAGCATGCAGAACTTGACACAGGCACAGGCCGCTGCACAGAGGGAGATGTGGGTCAAGCGCGAGAGTATCGATGCCAACGGATACTTTCCAGGACAGCCCCAACAGCAACAGCAGCACCATGCTGCACAGAACGGACAGAATGCCTCTGGAATGGTTGGCACCCAGGGTCGCGACTCTCGTCCAAGCCGTATGACTTCAGAGGACAGCGACGACTCTCAATTCTCGAGACAGTCTAGCGTCAGTGGCGAACCAGGCAACAATGGCAAGAACGGCGGCTCAAACGGAAACAAGAAGCGTCCTGCCGCTGAGGACAAGATGGACGAAGAAGAGAAGCGCAAGAACTTTTTGGAGCGCAATCGTCAAGGTGAGAACTTGAGGATTTGAGGTTGACTTTAAATGATCTCAGTGCCTTTGTGTCGCTTGATACCAGTACCTAATCGCCATTTTACAACATTTTTTTCACTTCTAGCTGCGTTGAAGTGTCGCCAGCGTAAGAAGCAGTGGCTTTCCAACTTGCAGGCCAAGGTGGAGTACCTGACAACGGACAACGAGCACCTGCAGACTCAGACAGCTTCACTCCGGGACGAGATTATTCACCTGAAGGCCTTGCTCCTGGCCCACAAGGAATGCCCTGTTGCTCAGGCCAACGGTGTTTATGCACATACGATTGGAGTTGCCAACAACCACAGCGGTGGAATGATGCCTCCCACCATGCAAGGACAGGCAAGTCAGCAGCAGCAGCAGCAGAGAGGAGTTGGACAGCGTGGAGGATCTATGCCCCAACCAGCCCAGCAGATGCAGGCTGGTGGTGCCAGGGTCGCCATCTCTTCAGCCTCTGGCGGGCCTGCAGTGTCAACGGCAACCAGTCAGGGCCAGTCCATCCGATATTAAGACTGACTAACTTGAGCGAGCATATGCCCGTTCAGCTATATGCTCACTTTGCCCCTACATCCACCTTTAGTTTTCAATTTTGTCTTTCTTTTTGTAGCCTATCTCTTCCTTCCCTTCTTTTAATGCTGACCCAATGTCCATTCGCATCATTCCTACCATAACATCCTCCTTTCGCCACCAACACCACATCCCTTCACTCCTTTGTCCATTTGTTACTCTTTCCATTGATTTTCTTGCTCGTGTACTCTATTCATCACCCACCCAACCCACCAGTCTTGCTAACTTCAACTCGTCCGTAGCTTGACTGATACTCAAAAAACAAATAAACTGAAGAAACATATGATGAGATCGTCCATAGGTCTTTTCTTACTTCATATTCAACCGTGTCTTGTTGAGTCCGCTAGTTGGTAATGATCCCGAGGTTCCTTTTATCATGGGTTTACGGACGCTCGTCCGAAAAAGCTTCCTCTTGCAGATGAGCTAGGTCTGGGTAATTATTTATCACTTCTTTTCTTACTGCAGCCACAATACGCTGAGCGCACGCCTCTTTTCACCACCAGCAGCCTCGATCCCATTTGGCTTGTTGGAACAGGCGCCTTTCTTTGTTGCGGATGGTCTGAAGAGGTGTATGGCAACTCTCGTTGGACTCATTAGTCCTACCTTCCTCAAGGGCTAGGACCTGATTTCGCTTTAGGGTTTTTTCAACCTGTTGATATTTGTGTTTGCGCTTCTCGCCTTTTCTTTTTTTTTAGTGTGGTTGGTTCGTGGGCAATATTCTAATCATTTTTACATTAGTTCTTGCTGAGGTCGTCGTCATCTGCCATACCGTGCCATCGCAAGGTCGGGACCAGGTGCTCTTTATTAGACGGGCGGGGGACACTTTGCGGACACACAGAAATTCAAGTATCAAGGTAACGGGCAGAGTTCATATTCATTTATTCAAAAACAGTTTTGAAGTTTCAAGAGCAAGAATGTATGTGCAACTGAAAATAAAAAAAATGGGCTGAAGAAGCTGGTGTTTCCCTTCGTTCTCCTCCTCTCGACATTACTAGGTTATTTTCAGTCGATGCGAACAAGTCTTACAATGCCAATGGTATTTTGCTATTTTATTCGAGGAAAGAAGGCGATTAAGAATGAAGAAAGTCTATGGGAAACAAACAAAGAAAAAAAAACATGAAAATGCAGTGGTGGGGGATATCGAGGTAAGTGTGCGTAAATAGAAACTAAAAGAACAGAGAGAACTGAAGAAAAAAAGAAAACACCATGACTATGCGAGAGGGACCTCTTCCATTGAGTCGGTCTGATTTGAATGACTGGTTGCGGCACCAGCAAAGGACTCGGGTGATGAGGAAGGAGGGCTCTTGATCGTCAACCCTTCAACTGCCATGGCCGCCTCAGAAGAACTAGCGGGAGAAGGAGGAAGGGTCGATATCGTCGAGGAGTGAGATTCTACCATTACTGTGTTGGACTCGGCGATGGCTATTGACATCTGGGCGGTTGCTGTAGTAGTTGTTGTCGCTGTCAATGTCGCTGTAATGGTGGTAGTTGAAACGAGGCCCTGTTCCATGTCATCCTCCTGACGCAGGTACGACGACGAGTCGGTTTCCATCTCCACCTCAGTTCCTGGCTCCTCCATGTACATGGTCTCGTGTTGGTGACGGTACCGTTCTAAATCGGCATGGGAGATATGGCGACCGCGGTGTCCGCTCTCGAGGTCCAGATCATGCTCACTGCTGTCCATGTTTCCGTGATGGTGCTGCCCGCTCTCGAGGTCGATATCTTCGTCATCGTCTGAACTGCTAAAGTCCATCATCATGAGCTTGCGCCTCCGAAGGCTCCGACCATGATCTTCCTCCTCCTCTTCCTCTCCGTCCTGTTCCCGCTTCGTCAACTCGTTCATCTCATCCTCATCCATCTCTGCCTCGTCGTCCTCGTCAGAACCCGAATCCGAATCCATGGGGTTATGAAGATGATGTTGCTGTTGGTGGTGGTGTGAGTATCCGTACATCTGCTGCTCTTCATCCTCCTCCATTTCCTCCTCGTCCTCCTCATCCTCTTCATCTTCCTCCTCAGACTCGGACGAGGACGACTCTGAAACTTGATCGTCCCTGCTCAGGCATTGATTCGACAATGGGGATCGAGGACGAGGAAACCAAGCCTGGACATCCTTCCAGCTCTTGACTCGAGTGACCTTATCCGGCAGCTGCTGACCCTCCTCGAGCTGGTTCCACTTATACTTTCCATGGAGATCGAACAGGAGAACCGGAATTCCGGCCTTGGAGACCTCGAGGGCATTCTCGAGCGAGTCGTCGATCAGCAATTGAGCGTGGACGTCCCGACAGATGACCGACTTGGGCTTGGAGACGAACGTCAGCTTCTCTTGCTCGGTCAGGAAGTGGTTGGCGAAATAGATCGATTCAAAGATTCCTGGGAAATGGCGATCGACAAACTTTTTCGTGAGGTCGGCTACGAACTGCTGACGGGCGGTGACGATAACAAGACTGAACCGGCGGGCCTTCAGGAGCTATTTTGTGTTATACGACGAAGAATGAGATCCGGAAGAGAGTTAAGACGATTGGTTTTCCGGAGATGATTTTTGAAGGGTCAATTAGCCATTCGTTCAATTCTGTTTATTGTTGTCTGACAAGAAAAAAAAAATATTCGGCTCACACACTCTTCCTTTCTCGCCCTTGTTTGTTGTTTTTTGTTGTTCCTTATTGTGTGAGTAAGCAGATAGCACAGCATTGCGATCGTTTCAATCGGATTGTTGAGGAGGAGAGGAAAGGGCAGAAGAGAATATCGTAATAAAAAGTGGATTGGCTCATCATATTCCATTTTGCCATGCAGAAGATAGGGTATGCAACGTATGCAAACCGACAGGTACAAACAAACAAAAATAAAAACACACGAGGGCGGAGAAAGAGGAGAACACTGTCTGACGCCCATACCACAAGGCTCACTATTTTTTTTTTGATGGATCCAAAAGCAAAACAATGGAGATCCAACTCACACTACCATTCCACACCCAAAGCAAATGTCGAATGAAAAGACAAGACTTGATCCCAGATCATAAAAAAAGGCAAGTACCTTGAGCGTTTCCAAACTGCCTTCAACGGGTTCGACTTTCAAAAAGTACGGGGAATCGAAGAAGAGTCTCCACTTTGCGATGGATTCCTCTCGGGTGCCGCCCCATATCTTTGTGTAGTCGTAGGAGATAAAGTCGTCCATGGTGAGGGTTGTGCCGTAGGTGTCGTTGTGGAAGTCGGCGATGGCGAGGGTTGTCCGGGCGAGGACCTCGTCGAGGTCGACGGCGATGACTTTCCGGGGCAAGTGACTCTGGTGGCGCATTGAGTCAGTTGAAGGATAGGAAGGGAAGGAGAGGTGGAGGAAGGGGGAGAGGGGGAGGTGGGAAGGGAGGATTGGGACAAGGGTAGGCGTAGGAGTGTGGAGAAGGACGAAGAGTGAGTGGAGAGGGTAGAAGGGTAGGCAAAAAAGAAGAAAAGGGAAAGGAGAATGAACAACCGAGGGGAGGGGAAAGTGTTGAATGAAAGAAGAAAGGAAAAGTAGAAAAGAAAAAGGGAATGAGTTGGTGAAGCCCATTCACCGATCACCTTTTGATCTCCACTCGAATGAGTGAGTCCTTTGGATTCCCACTATCGGAGACAAACAAACACACACTGCACCTCCAACTGGTCCAGGGGTAACAACAGGGACGAGTGACGGACACCAATTGGCAAAGGGAGGAATTTCATCTGAAGGAAGGACGGATCAAGAATCTCAACTCACTCACTCGCACCCAACCAGAGCACCCCCGGAAAAAAAACAACTTTGCCTGCCTGCAATGGAGTTCACACGAGCTGCAAAATTATTTCTGACACAAAGTCATCAGTGATGGTGCCTGGATGGCGACCGACCTTCTGTCGATCGTCGAGTATTCTCCTAGGAGAAAGAAAGCATAGATATCTTGTTCGTGGATGATATCGATACAAAAGCCAAGAAAAAAAAAGATCTAACATCAACCATCCTAAACAATAGTTGAACTCATCAGCCACTTCGTGAACACTTGAACAATTAGACCTTTTTGGCAGCTGATTCAAAAAAGATACTCCCAATCTTCCCAACAAATGAGTATGTATCCAATCCTAGCTACATAAAAACTACAGAAACATGAATGAAGAACAAAGAACAAGAGCCAGAAGAACAACAGTCGAATAAGAGTAAAACCAAATCGTATCAGTGTATGTATTTCTTAGTATTGATGTATGTGTATGTGCCAATGCGTAGCATGTCTGGAACCCATTTCATCTCAAATAGCTCACAAGTTGCTCTGAAAGAAACATAAGAAGGGCTGTGGCAGTTCAAGCAGTGGCCCACATGTGCTTCATCTGTGTTGGAAACAGTTCCCGCAGAACCTGCTGAAGTCCGTCCTGAACTCCCGCTGCCCACGACGACCGGTCGGCATCTCGAAGAATTCGAATCGTCTTCAACAGGTTGATCTTGGCCGGCGTCGACAACCGCGGCTCATCATCCAAGTTCGAATTCATCTGCTGGATCCCCGCCGCCGTCACCAACGAAAACTGGTGTCGCATCAACAAACACGGCTGAACCGTCGTATCCGTCTGGTTCATCAAATACTCTGCCAACGAAGTCATCGCATTCGCAGACTGTGCGCATGCCGCACTCGCTCGACTCGGCAAACACGGCGGGTGTCGCAGATTCGTTCTCAGGAACGGTCGATACAACAAAATCCGGATCGTGTGGTAACTCACTCCCAATAAGGTTGCCTGAACCACATCTCGGCTCTCATCTGCATTGATCGTGCTCGTCACCGCTCCAATGCCATCTTCACCCCCTGCAATCGATCGCCGTTGACCTTGCGACTGCTGTCGTTTCGCCAGTCCAGCACCAACAATACCCGAGATTGGGAATGTCTGCCATTCTGCCAAGGCTTGGTGCCAATCATCCAGCGACTGGCTCAGTTTCTCAAACTCGACCGAACTTACAAACAAATCGTCCGACCACGATGACAGAAACGACAAAATATCGTCCAGAAGTAACGCCTGCCGACATTGTTGGTCAAAGAACGCCTTGGCTCGATAATGTGGACTCGGGAGATAGGGCGAGGAACGCATAGCAACTCCTGAACCGATCGAAAGCGGGTCTCGATTAGAAACCTTTATCGCATGTGCCGAAACAATCTCCGGGCTGGATTGCAAGGCATCTGTAAAGTTGCTCGATGAGAACACGTTCATAGGAGTTTGAGGACAGTCGTTCTCCTTTGAATCCCATGCCTTATTCGTCTTGGGGAGCGGCAACAGCGTCTTGTCGAAAATATGGATTGGGATGTTCTACAAATTGATAGATAGGCAGGTCAAGGCAAGGAGAGGTCATGGTTAGATATATGTATGGCATTGGTCAACTGAACAATGAAGTCCAAAGGTGATTGGCGCTTGATAAACAAGAGAAACAGAAAGGGGGGGACGCGCGTGAAGGTTCATAATCAAAAAGGCACTTACCACAGGACGGCTGTAAATGGCAGACATCCACCGATCGACAATAAAGCAGTGCCACCAGCACAGCTTCTGCTCCTCGTCCGTGACCTTGAGCTCCTTCGACTCCTCTCCTTCTGCCCTTGCCTCTCCAGTCGTGTCCGAAGCATCACCAAATTCCGCGGTCGACGAAGGCTGATCCCCTTGTTCAGGCGACTTTGTGGGACCAGCATGATGCCACCCGAGACCCATCGCCATCGTAATAGCCGTGCCGCCATACATGTATGCCTGCGTGTGGTTGCCAGCCATAATGGCATACTCTCGCAGAAGCAGAAGGGACTGCACGACCGTTAAGGAAGGTTCCTCGTACTTGGCCCTCAGCAGCTCCGACGCCCACTGGAAATACTGCTCGCCTCGATCTTCCAGGCTCTCACCCGACGGGCCCTGGTACTGGTTGTCGGACTCCATGAGTTCGTATAGCCGCGCCTCTTGAGCCTTGTCGCTGTTTAGCATAAAGTCCATCGAATCTCGAAACTCGCCGCTCAGCATGGCCAGGCCGTGCTCGATTCGCTGTTGCTTGTCCGCCGCTGTGCTCTTGAAAGGACCTCGGTCGTTGATGTGACGCGAGACCAGTGCCAACATGGCCAACAACAAAAGAGGACAAACAGTCTGCATTCCTGACTTTTCTTGCTCATCCTTGCTCGATTCAGAGTCGATGGGCCCGCGCCAAATGTTGGCTGCCTTGGCGTTCTGCATGATTTGGCTCTGGAGCTCATTGGCTTCCGGGAAGGACCCGAACTGCGCCCAGAATCGAACGAGGAATCGGTTCTTATGCAGGACCATAAACTGGGGATGGATCAATGTGAAATACTGCTGAATCAGACTGTGCAGCAAGCCCGATCGACCCAATTGCAAAAGGCCCTCGAGAGGACTCAGGGTGTCCTCACCAAGGTTAGAGCTACCGTCTCGGGAACTCGATGTCGTCCGTGTATGCTTGACAAAGGTCCTTGTTTCAGCATCCACATCCATCTTGTTATAAGACATCATATCGCGTTCAGAAAGATAGGTCGGAGTGGTCTTGGGAGTAGCATCGACAACCGAGATGGACACGTCCTTGATCTTGGCGATGTAATCCGCGTAAACATGGCTCGCTCGCTGAATGTTCTCCATTTCGAGTGCATTCTTTCGGGCTCGAATACTAGCGCTGGAAAGGGAGTACAACGGGTCCTTAGGAGGCATCGCTTGCTGATACTGTTGTTGTTGCTGAGGTTGTTGGTTTTTTTGCTGCAGTTGGTTTTGTTGCTGTAGTTGCTTTTTCGAGAAGGCACGCTTGACAATGATCTCGGAATCGGTCCGATCGGTCTGTGCACGGACAGAAGACGTGCTGTGCAAGGTCAGGTTGGATTTATCATGACCCGCCTTGGTGGAAGATGCGCCTGGGCCTGATATAGAGTCGCGATCTGGTGGTCCGAGGTGAAGCCATTTGAGGACGAGAAGGAGCGGAGAAGAGAATGGTGTAAAAGGACCAGGTCAGCTGCAAAAGCGGCTACTCAAGCACATTGCACAGTTACATATACCAACACAGCCAGCATAAACAACAAGACTGTTACAACGCAACGAAAAACAAAGGTGACAAGGTAAAATAACTGAGGAGAAAAAAAAGGCGAACAGAGCAAAAAAAAAAATGCTTTACATACCGTTTGAGGACGAGGTGGATTGGGATCTTGGGGACGCTGAAAAGCCAGAGGATTTGGTCGAGGGAGGGGTTCGGGAGTTCGTCGTGGAGGAGAAGGGCGTGATGGTGGAGCCCATGGCGGAAATGGAGGGTAAAGTGACTCGGTTGTGTTGGTTGTGTTGGGATCGATCCTGGTGTACCTCCTGGAAGGGAGGGATCGAGATGAGAGATTGGTCTGAGAGCATGATAGGGGACGAGATGACGGGCGAGACGCGCGTGAAGCCCACTTCTTGGCTCTTGCGCGCATTCACTGACGCTGCTGAACCTGAACATGAACCAACAGAGCCCGACCCTGACCGGGAGCGCGATCGAGAATTTGGATTTCGCGACAAGTTTCCTATCGAAGGAGACGCAGACGAGCCTGCCAGTGTAGGGGGTGCTCGTCCATCATGATTGTCGGGATTGTCGGGATTGTCGCGGCTCCCGCTGGGGCGCTTTGACCCAGAAAGGGGCTCATCGAACTGAAGCGCTTCAATTTCGAAGAAACGGGTGTTATTGTCGCCTTCGTAATGGCACCGTACTCTGTTCTGGAGGCAGTTGCGACAAGGAGAGCCTCCGTCGCAGGCCATTCTAGACATGCTACAGGCAATGCAAGGCAGGCCAGGTATCTTGGGTCGGGCGAGGAACGTACCCGTGCTTGTGCCTGAACTTGTGGACGCCTCTGTAGCCTCCATGCCGTAGTTCCTGCTTGGATTAAAACGGACCGAGTGGCCATTGTCCAAGGGCGTACCGCGGGGCTGGGATCGAATGGGCCCTTCCTGACTGTTGTCGGGACGATACATGGGATACGAGTTGTTGGAGTTGCCGTACATATCCGATGACACGAACGATCGATAGTTGTCCGAGGGGTCATATGGGTGTTGATGCTGTTGCTGTTGTTGCTGTTGCGGCTGCTGCTGCTGCTGTTGCGGGTAAGGTTGCTGAGAGTGCTGCTGCTGTTGTTGAGCCTGCTGCTGATACTGCTGGTTCTGAGTAGGCTGGAACGGGTTGGGCTGAAACTGCTGCTGCTGCTGCTGCTGCTGCTGTTGCTGACCATAGTCAGAGGGCGAGAACATGCCCTGCTGTGGACGAAAGGTCACTCCGGCAAAACTATTGTTGTTTGCAGTGTTGTTTGCGGTGTTGTTGCTGTTATTATTGGTGTTGTTACCGTTGCCGTAGTTGTAGTTGTAGTTATTGTTGTTCCCTTCGCCGTTGTACCCGTTGTCACCGTTATTGGGATTGTAATTGGTGTTGTAGCCGCTGTTATTATTGCCGAAAGTGTTGAAGTTATTGCTGCCGCTGTTGCCATTGTTGGTATTGAAGTTGTTGTTGTTTTGGTTGCCGCTGTTATTGTTGCTGTTGTTGTTGAATCCGCTGTTGTTGCTGTTGAAGATGTTGTTGGTATTAGGATTGGGGTTGTAGTTAAAGTTATTGTTGCTGTTGGGACTGGCGTTGTTGTTGCCAAAGTTGTTGCTGTTGAAGGTGTTATTGGCGTTGTTATTGCTGTTGGTGTTGTTATTGTTGGCGTTGTTATTGTTGGCGTTGTTGTTGTTGCCAAAGTTGTAGCTGTTGGCGTTGGAGTTGGAATTGTTTTGGTTGTTGCTGTTATTAGGATTGGGGTTGGAGCTGGTGCTGTTGGAGTTGCTGCCACTCCCAACGTTACTCTGGTTGTTTTGGCTGTTGTTGGAGTTGGTATTGGTATTGGTATTGGGGTTGGTATTGGAGTTGTTGTTGTTATTGTTGTTGCCGCTGCCATCGTTGTCGATGGAGGAGAAGGAAGGGAGATTGAAGTCTGCTTTGAAGAAGTTGTTCATCCTGGTGAACCGGACACGATCAATCGCATGTAGACATTGATTGTCAGGATAAGGGGTACTTTGTGGCCCGGTGGCGGCTAACTAGTGGGCCGAACTCTGAGAAATGAAATGAAGAATATGAAGGATAGGGATAAGGATATGAACAACTATAGGAAGCGGAAGAGGAAGAGGAGGAAGGGTGAAGGAGAGAGGGATGGTAGGGCAAGGGAGGAAGGGAAGAGAGAAAGGACGAAAGGATGAGTGTGTCCTTGTGAGTTGTATTGGCAAACAGGTTGGCTGGATAATGAGAGCAATGCAAATTGTCCCAGCGAAAAAAACAACAAAGGAGCGACATACTTAATGCAAGCCAAGGCGAGCTGATAAAAATGTATACGAACGACTGCTCGGCTCATCGACCCTCAGACTCGAGGCTCGACTCCCTTTTTTTTGTAGCGATCAGTAGTCACCCCCCTCGCTCCAAAAAATGCACACGCACCCACATACGCATAAAGATTTAAGAACAAAAATAACCCTTTTCCAGGGAACAGGAGAGGGAAGGGAGAGAGGAGGAAGGGCAGGAAGGGAGGGATCACCTTTGCTTGATTGCCTGCCTGCATGGGGAGAGAGACAATAAGAGGGCGTAACCATGCCCATTCTGTTATGAGAAAGAAATACAAACAAAAAAAATAACGAAATAAGGGTAAATCGAAATTGGAAAGCAATCGTCGTCATCGTCGATTTGTCCATGAGACATCGTTGTCCTACTTGGTCAACAACATATCCACGTACTCAATGACTCAATGGCCTCGACTTAGCGTGGCTCTACAGTGGATCTTGAATGTGTCGTTTATTCGTAGCGAACGAGGACCGCTTGTGTATTGTCTCTTGTTGCTCAAACACCGCCCCTTATCGACTCGACTCAGTCCCAGATGAGCTGGCCCTTATCATTGACCTGGGCAGACATACCGCCGCTCACAGTCGAAGAAGACACGTCCGAACTCTTGGGCACATCCCATCTTGACTCGACCGGCGTGGACTTGCGCGACTGAGAACGGTAAAACTCCTTCATCTTCTCTGCCTTGACCTGGCGCATGTGCTCCTGCTTCCTCTTCTCCTGGAGAGCATCCGCCGCTGCCTTGTCCTCCTTCTTCTTTGCAGCCTTGGCAAGGTTCTCTCTCTGCTTCTTGGTAATCTCTGCAGACTGGTACGAGCTCAGTCCCGTTGATGTACCCGATCGAGCTATCGCAATTCATTGTACGAGAGCATGTTGTTAGTTTCCATAATGCGAATAAGTGTGAAGCAGAAAAAGAAAGAACGACCCCACAAGTCGTGTATGTGTGAATCAGTTGAAAGAGTTGAGACGCCGAAAGACGAGTAAATGTGAACAGAAAAAGTGTGAAGAATAAAAAATGTGTTAAAACGCCAAGGGGCCATCCACTTCAACACTATCACATCTCATGCACACTGAATTAAACCACACTTGATACCTACTCTTTTGGACAGAAAAGCCATCAGGGACCGCCTCGCGGAAACGCTCCTCCTTGGCTGCAGGCTTGATAGACAAAACGCGTGCAAACTGGGTCGTCTGCTCGCCATGAGGATCGACCGCTGCGATTTCGTCCTGAAGTTGACGCTGGCGCTGAGCGACCCAAGGATCCATGGGCCTGTTGAAGTCGATGCCTCCAGATCGAACAGGGGCCGCTCCATTTCCAGACACCGTCGTCCACTCGTCCTCTTCCTCCTCCTCCTCCTCCTCCTCTTCCTGCTCTCCTTCACCTTCGCTCCATGCCAACTGCTGTTCCTTGTCGTTGTCCTCGTCCGATTCTTCCTCAGATTCTTGGACAGGCACAGGCTCAAGTTTAGGCTCGGGAACGGGCTCAGGATTTACAGCCTCCTTGTCCTTCTTCTCCTTCTTCTGCTTGGGCTGCTTGGGTGCTGATGCTGGTGCAGGCTGGGGGCGAGAGAGGGTAGGGAACTCTGCGTGGGATAAACCGGTTCCTGCTTGACCGCGATTCTTTTTCTTGTTGTTGCCCATGGCGCCAGGTCCTGGAATGGTGGTAACGTTGGGTGATGAGAATGAAGAATTGTTCTTGGATGCTGCAGATGAGAACTGGAGGGTCTCCTGTTGTTTGACGAGAATTTCCTTTTGCTCAGCCTGTCTCTGCTTTTTCCAGTCCTCGACTGACGTAGCCTTGTTTCCTGCTACTACAGATGAGGGGGCGATGACGGTTGGTGTTGAAACAGTTGGCGACTGTTTGGTGGAGGTGGTGCTGTTGCTGTTGTGCGCCTTGGCTTTGGCGGACTCTTGATTGTTGCCACTGGTAGACTTGTTGCTGTTGTTGGTAGAAGGGATCGATGTAGAAGAGGGAGAAGAAGAAGGAACCGTTGCGTTGGAGCCTTTGGAGCTGTTGTTTTTGTTCGCCTTTTTGGCAGACGGGACTACTTGTGCAGTGGTGCTGCTCTTGGTGTTGTTCAACTTCTTGCCTTGCCGCGTCATCGATTTCTTCTCCTCGACTTCTGAATCCGACGACTCATCGTCGTTGTCATCGCCTGCTGCTGCTCCTGTTGCTGCTCCTGTTGTTATTGTGGAAGACTTGTTCTTTTTCTTGTTCTTTTTCTTTTTTGACTTTGTTGATGTGCTGTCGTTTCCGAATGCGCCAGGGAGGGATGATCTTTTTTCGTTCGAGACGTGGGCTGCTCCCGTAAGGTCGCCCTTAAAGACGCTGAAGATGCCGAGGGGCACGATGATGGCAGCGGCCAGGAGGATGTATTCGTAGCCCATCTGAGTTGAGTTGTGTTGAGTTGAGTTGAGTGAGTGGAATGGGATGAGTGAGAAGGACAAAGGGTTATGTAAAACAAGTGCGTGTGAAGTAGTATCACAGAAGCAAGTGAGTGTTCATTTTTGACAAATCGCAGTTGTGCACGACTCATTGATCCTCCCAAGCCTCCAGATCATTGATCAATGATGAAACTCTAATTTGGTTCATGTCGTGTGAAACGAAGTCGTTGTTCTTTGATAGAACAAAAAAAAATATCTCGCGGCACGCTTTACTCACATCATATCCCTTTGCATGCTCTATCCCACCTGTCTTATTATTCTCGCTGTCCCTCCTTCCCTTCCTTCTTTCTTCCGTTCCGCCATCCAGAACGAGCATATCCTAGATCATTTATTTATCGACTTGGAGTCAATGTCCTCTATACGACAGGGTGTCGATAAAGGAACAGCTGGACGGGTGGTGCTGGATTTGTTGGGAACAATGATCAGCCGGGAATGACAGAAAGTGCAAAAGTTTGTCATAGTGCCTTCTACGCGTTGACAAAGAGTCATTGCTTCCTTTTTTTTTTTTGGTAAGTGGTGTTTCCCTCCCAATGATCAAGAACGAAAAGGTGGGACAGAAGATCCATCCAAGGACCACCGACACACGCCGCACTTTATTCTCAATTGACAAATCACCTCATGATGTCATTGTCATTTCTTTGTTTGTGCCAACAGCGTAGAACAGAAAGTGCAAACGAACAAAATAAAGGCATGCAAGGCACACCTCTGTCAACTGAACACGTCCCCCGTATCCATATTGCAGCTCAGCCTGCCCCACTGCGCTGTAACTATTCTGATCCATTGGGGTTTGGAAATTGACCCTCTATGGGCAACTGTAACTGAGCCGCGCGATCAAGAGAAAAGATGGCCAACCTTGCCGATGATAACCACGACACCTCGCCGTTTCGCGGTTTTTGTTTTTTCACTTTTTTCCAATTCTAAGAGTAAACCAGCGCAGTGTACTATTTTTGACCTCAATGAGACAATAGGGACGAGGACATTATTATGACTGTACGCAACAATGATGGCTGAGCAAATACGAAGCAATGTCCTGGCAAAAAAGGAATTTCTCTTGCTGGAAAGAATGCATGCGCAGAGAGTAAGAAAAAACGAGCTGCAACAGCAACTGAGTGCAAGGCTATTCCTTTTCCCGTCCGCCACCAAATTGGTGATCTTCTTGGCTACTGCAGGAACGATCCTCATGAGGTATTGGGCAACGGTGTTTTTTTTAAGCAATGGTCTGCGCAGACCCTCCCACTACCCTACTATGAGGAAACTCAATTTGTGACAAAATTTGTCATCGCTGTCTGAATTGTTTACTTTTCCTCCTTGTGTGTCCAAGCGCACCCATGTCATAGGTTGATTTTCTTCTCTCTCGTTGCTCGGTCATACAGAGCATACCCTACCTGTGTTGATTTACACTCAGGCAGCAACGGTGGATTACAAACCTGCGCAATTGCATCCATGCGAACACTAAGAGGTAGAAAATTATAAAAGGCGACAACTCGCCTCTCTTTTTTCGATCCATCATCTTAAACAAAAACAAGCAACAACAGCACAAAACAACCTCCAACAGCTTCTTACTCTTCTCTTCTCTGTCTTTCATCTTCTACTGTATTGCATTTAATTCTTCTCCTGCACTATTCACCCCTTCTAATTCTTAATATCTGTTATTGAAAACAAAACCATTCAAGACATGGCTCAATCACCATCACCCTCAGCCCTGCCATCAAGAACATCCACAATGGTCGAAACCAACCACACACCCCAAAAATCCTTCCCCTCTAATCCAAGCAAGCTCGACACCCTCCGCGAGAAATGGCGCCCGGCCCTCTTATACGTCGTATCTTTTGCCCAATTCTTTGACATTGTCAATGGCGCCTCCGTCTCCGTCGCCATCCTGCCCATCGCCCAAGACCTCCATTTCACCGTCCCACAAGTCCTTTGGATCCTGAACGCGTATACGATCTCCTTTGCTGGTCTCTTGCTCGTCTCAGGTCGTCTTGGTGACCTCTTTGGTCATCGCCGGATGTTTATGTTTGGTCTTTTCTGGTTCGCGCTTTGGGCTCTGGTCGTCTCCTTCTCGACTTCGCCAATCATGTTTATCCTTGCCCGCGCGCTTCAGGGTATGGGTGCTGCTGCGACCGTTCCTACCGCCATGGCTCTGATCGCGACAACTTACCCTGCCGGACCGGAACGTACCAAAGCCTTCTCGATCTTTGGTGCTTTTGGTGGGCTCGGCGCCGTTGTTGGTATCCTCATGGCCGGTGGATTGATTGCTAGTATCGGATGGGTTTGGATCTTCCGCATCTCGGCCATTGCTGCCCTGATCCTGCTGGCGCTGAGTTTCATTGTAATCCCCGTCCTCCCTGCCAAGGCTGAGAAGTCCAAAGTCGACTACCTCGGTGCCATTACTGCCACCACTGGTGTCACGGGCATTGTCTACTACATCATCACTGGTGTCGAGTACGGCTGGGGCAACGCCAAAACGATCCCCATCTTTGTCGTCGCCCTCGCTCTCATCGCCCTGTTCATCTTCATCGAATCTCGCGTCCAGTCTCCATTAATGCCCCTTCGCATCTGGAAACTCAAGTCCTTCACCACCTCTGTCATCCTCGCGTTCGTCTCCATGGCCAAGTTCCAGGGCATCATTTACTACGCCAACATGACCTTCCAAGAAGTCTACGAGTGGAGCCCCCTCAAGACCGCCCTCGGCTTCCTAGTCCACGCCCTCCTTGCTGTCGTTTCCTTTACAGTCCTAGGCCGCATGCTTCCCCGCCTCTCTCTCAAGCCACTCATCCTCGTCGGCTTCCTCCTCCGCTCTGGATCCGCACTGATGTTCGCCTTTGTCAATGAAGACACTAGTTACTGGGCCCTCCCCTTCCCCGCATTCATCATCCATATCCTTGGAGTTGGTCTCTCCCTCCTCCCCATCCAGATCACAGCCGTCCGTGACGCCGAAAACAAGGACCAAGGACTCGTTGGCGCGCTCTACAACACCGGTCTTCAACTCGGCGCACCCTTTGGACTTGCAATCCTGAACGTCATTGCCATCTCGACCAACGGAAACATTGACGGTGCTGTTCGTGGTGGACCCGCTCTGGCTAAGGGATTCCATAACGCCTTCTTTGCCATGGTCGCCATGGGTCTCTTTGGATTCTTCCTCTCCCTCGTCATCCTCCCTTGGGACAAGCCCGTCCGTCCCACTGTCGCAACTGCCCATAAGAACGTCTCGACTCCCTCTCTGGCCTCGACTGCCGTCCCTGCCAACAACGTTAGCACAATCGAGCCCAAGGATCTGGAAGAGGCTGTCTTCTCCTCCGAGGTTGCTGGTCACGCTTCAGAGCGCTACGACAGCGATGCCAGAACGATCGCCAGCCAACCCGACGATCTTGAGAAGGGTCACCTTCAAGTGTAATCTACCTCATTTTTTTCTCGCTTTTTTAAGCATTGTTCATAGTTAGAACATAGATACCATTTTTTCATAGCATTTATTTCATTCACATTTGCATTCCTTCACATCATAAACGCATCGTTTCACTCTACCTTCTGTTTCCGCTTGACCGAGTTCAGCATGATGAAAAGAAACAAACAATGATCCTTAACCACCAAGGCGAGTAAAGTCAATTGCATATTGAATGACACGAAAAAAAAAAAACTTTGAAGAAAGAAAAAAAAAAGCGCGTACAAACTGAAACATATTCGAAACCAAACTCACATAACCTCAAAGGCACACACGCTCACACTAACAATTACACTTTAATAATCCAAAAACAACCAAAAAGAAAGACGGGACCTTTTCTAGTCAGTCATTTCGCAGAGTGCACAGGAGCACTGAAGACGGTACTTTGTGAACAACTCCAGACGGCGCTGCTCGGTCGAAAGCTTCCCGTTCTTGATATAACCGATTTGGAGTTCATCCCCCGCCCGGATGTTCTCGGTCGCGACAAGGGAGACGATATGGTCTCGGCTAGAGTAGACAATCTTGGTGTTGGGCTCGCACGAGTGCATCAGGTAGGAAGTTACCCTGTAGAGTCCTGCACCGGTGATAGGGCGGTCGCGCACGCTGCGGTGGCTCTCGGGCAGTGGCTGGTTACGTGATTTGAGACAACGAAGAGTGTTCAGTGCCAGAGATTCACGATAAAGTAAACATTGAGTGAACAATAACACAAACGACAGAGACATGTATCATACCTTGACGTTAAGGGAAGCGCTCAAGCCGGAGGAAATGCCATAGATGTTATGAAGGATACGTGCCTTCATGATCAAGTACCGCTCCTCGGTAATAAACTGATCAATTCCAGGAATGCTCGATCCCAAGGCCAGTTTCAACAACTCAATCTCCTTCTCCTCATCAGGACCTAAAGACTTCTCAACATAGACAAGGCGCTCGAGGTGATCAAACGAGTTGTACTCTGCCCCACTGTTCAGCGACTCATCATAGACCATCTTGGCCAAGAACTTGGCCAACATCCCAGGGACGATATTCCGACTGTCCTTGGAGTACTCGCGCAAGGCTTGAGCAGGCGCCGAACCACCCTTGAGGTTCTTTGTGCAAAGGATCTCGTGGAACTCCTGTCCAGCCGAGGTACGGCACTCCTCTGAACAGAACACGACGACCGAGCAGGAGGTGCAGGGGACCATGTACTCCTTCTTGATCATCTCCTTCAGACAGTAATGGCAAAAGTTCTTACCCTCGAGTGAGGGCTCCAAGGAGCTGATGACGGGGGTCTCGGTGTAGATGACCTCGCCCTTGGTGAATCCCTTAGTAGCCACCAATCCACGACGCACAACCTTCTGTCCATTGACATCCAGACCATCAGGCTTCTCCTCGACCTTGACGTTCATCTCCCTGGGTGGGAACACCGTGTAGTACTTCTCCTCCTTGCTCTGGACCTACAGGCGCACCATATCAAAATTCGGTATGTCAATTAATCGTTCCACTGGAGATAATGAGAGGATTGAAAGAAGGTACATAGTTCAGTAATCGCCTCCAATGGTCACAACCGACTTACATCCTTGCTGAGCATGCCCATGACAACAGTGAAAACATCGGGAGGAATAGTCTTTTGGAAAACCATCACCAACTCGGCAGGGGCAGGGTAGACCTTCAATGCCTTGTAAAAGCAGATCGCGGCCTTGCTATAGTTCTCGGGTCCTATATAATGAGAATATGAGCATGTTCAGTAGTGTGTCGGCAAAGACTCTCTCAATCTGTCCCATTACATTCCTGCGTTCTCCTCTTTGCTTGGTCACTAATACACATCCTGCCATTAGCTCCTCCTCACCTTTGACGAAGAGCTCTTCTCCGGCAGAGAGTTGGGCCATACAGAACTGCTCCCGCTCTTCCATGGAAGCAGGGAAATCCTCCTCGGTGACCGAGGCCAGGAATTCCTCAATGTCCTGCGTACTCTCCTCTGTCAACCTCTTGGCCTCTGTCTTGGCAAGCTTCTCGGCACGCTTCCTGTCCTTCTCTATTTTATGCAAGGTTAAGTCAATTTGTTCGTTAGTATTCCTTCTTCTTCCTGCTGTGCTGTTGTCCTCTCTCGATTCATCGGGAACAACTGTAGCAGCAAACAGGTGAACAGGATGCCGACATGTAAAGAGGATGCCCCCTCTCGCTCCAACGGAAAGTAACGAATGTAACTTCCTATTTGCATCAAAAACGTACTCAGCTTGCGCTTGAACTCGGGATCAGACTGTCGCTTTGAATCGAAATAGACTGCATATCCGACAGTCGCAACAGCAAGCATGCCGACAGTAGCCGCAACAATGGTCGTAGTCTTCATTGGAGTGATCTGAGGAAGAGAGGGGAGAGGGGAGAGTGGGGAAGAAAGGAAAGCTCATTCATCAGTACAACGTTTTTTTTTTCTTCCGTGAATAGTACACGTGACATGTGCCACCAATCGATCAACCTGGGGTTTCACAAAGGAGTTGGTTCTCACCCCTGGCTGGCTGGCTGGGACCTGGAACGAAAATCCAAGCTTTGGGCCGCACCCCTTCGTTCTCGAGCATCATCTCAAGTCAGATCCTCGTTCATTCCTCGCAGATCCTGGTAGCACAAACCAAAATCTGAACTACTGATAAGATCCTTGGGAGACTTAATTTAACATGGAAGGCAATCGTGAGAAGATATTGAACAAGCGCGCGTATTAAAAAAGTTGTCCACAGCGAGAGTGTCGTCTTTTTATTTTGCTTTTCAAAAGTGATCGTGGTCGAAAAACAAGCGCTTAAGCCTGCTTGCGGCGGAAAGAGCAGCCTAATAGAACGCAGGAAGAAAAGAGAGGGTTAGATCGCTGTTGCACTAAAAAAACCCACGGTGAAGCAAACGCTGTCGACCTTTGCCGATTGGAACCGAACAAGATCCTGATGACTTACCCTCGGTCAAGCGGGTGATACCACCGGTGGGCTGGGCAAGAACGTTGGCGCAGCTCGAGCACATGACAACGGTCTGGGCGTGCGAGAAGACGGTGGTGATCTGGACGCATCCCTGGAAAGACGCCACATTAAAAAACAAAGGCGGTGTGAGTAAGGCGTTCTTATTCTTTGAATGGAATAGCTGGATATCCTAACGGTTCAGTCAAGCGCTATATGTTCCTGTGTCTGCTTTGGAGAAGGGAGAGTTGACGAGAGACGCAATTGGTCCGTCCTGTGAAAAGGTGAAAAATTACTGCGGGCGGAAAGAAATAAAGGGGGTTGAAGGGATCTGTGCCGCCGCAGCTTGCTGTGAATTTGGTCGAGTGGTGCCCTGGAACGAGTGTCGCTGTTGAAAGAGTAATTGGTCCCCTCAAAAGGGTTCCTCCTGTCTGGTGAATAGTCGCTCCCTCCAAAGCTTCGAACTCCAGTAAAAGCTTTACAAGAGAGGACGCCTAATGTCGCTATTTTGAAAGGTACTGTCGATATGATGCTCCTGTTAAGTTGAGAGGGGCTTCCTTTGCTTGGGCTTGTCACTAGGGACTTACAGGGCACTTGACGTCCATGAAGTAGGAGTTGGGAGACTGCACGAGTCTCTTCAACTTGTGGGTCTTCTGCTCAAGAGCGTGGGAGGGGTTCAAGAGATCAACAGCCAACTATTGATGTAAGAATAGCCAAAACAAGGGCAAACTGATGTTAGTTTCGCCATGCTTTCGTTTCCGCTGTTTTTTTCTGGAAAGGGCTTCTTCGTGTTTTGGTTTTTGAAAGTGTGGCAGGGCGTTGTTTCGATGTCCTAATAGTTGTATGAGTGTAGTTTTGGCTTTGCTTTGTCGTTTTGCTGTCAGGCTGTCTGTTGAAGGGGTCAGATGGGAGGCAGGGCTGCGGTGAGGTAGATCATAGTTTCGCCATGAATCCTTCGTAAAAAACAGTTGCTATGCTAGCTGGTCGCTTTTTTTTGTCTATTGTCGGTCAAGAATAGGTTCCACATCGCTACTCTCTCCTGGTGCCATGGGCACACTTCCGAGATGGCCACTGAAAACAAAAACCACCCAGACCTCCATCGTCAAGAAGATGAGCGATAACCACCCAAAACCAAAAAAAACGAGGATGTCGATTGGCGATAATAACGGCGTCATGATCCCGCAAACGATGTCCTGCCATGTGCTCCCGAACGCCAGATCTGCCGATGGATGCCTTGGTTGTCATGGTATCCATGGGTAACAAGGCATGGATGTATGTATAAGATGTGTCGAGGTACGTCACGTGCCATTTTGCTTGCGATTCGAAAAGGGGAGAAACTGAGTCTGGCGCTGTTGAAGTGGAATAAATCAATTCGTTTGCAAAGCCACACTCTACTGACCACACTGTGGTACAGAAATGTAATTCACAACGAAAAAAAAGGCGCGAACTCGTGTTGTAAGGGAAGAGACAAAGCCCACCTATACTGCGGATGGACTGCGGTAGTTCGTAGAAGCGGTTTATTTTGCCTTTAAAAGTTTGCATTAGTGAGATAGATTGTTGAATGAATGGAATTGCCAATTGATGGCAATGGAAGCTGTCAGGGGACGACCTTAAAGAGCCAGCACAGACACGCCCAGAAGAACTGCCAAGGCGACCATAAAACTATCGCCCTTGACCTGATCTCCTGCATTAGGTCCGCCCGCTTTGGCCTCCGAGTTGGGGGTGTCCTTCACGTTCGAGCATCCTTGATCCGACGACTTAGTCGCGACCTGGAGCTTGGCCATGCCGTTAAAGTTGCAGGTCGCTGCTGCTTTCTTGCCAATGTTGGTGTAGTACGCGTTGTACATGTACGAGAGCTTTTGCGCAGGAGAACAGAACGAGTACTTGCCATAGACACCCGTCTTGCCGTTGGAGCTGATGTCGTCACAGGAGGTCATACCGCAGACAGTGTTGAGCAAGGTGCCGAGACTTTCTGTCGTCGCAACAGCCTGGTCAGAGGCCACACAGCTCAGGCTGGACATCATACAATCGCAGGCGGCACTTGAAGGTGTAGGGGCCAATTTCTCACTGGGCTCCCATGTGGATGTGATGGCAGGGCAGGTTGAGATGGGGAGACTCTCCTTGAAGGCATCCATCTTGACACCGGTAGGGCGGAGAGGAGAGAGGACAGTCTTGAGGTTGGTGTAGTCGGGCATTAACGAGACGGTGTTGTCGGGCTTGACCTGGACGAGGCCATAGTTGTTGTCCTCCTGCGACCATTCGTACACGATACCACCAGACCAGTTGTCTGTCATGTCGGGCCCAAAGATCGACTTGACCTCAGGAAAAGTTCGTGGAGTCACCAAGTTGCAGCCAAATTCGGACAGGAAGACAGGAATAGAGTACGAGGCAATGTCCTTTGTGCGTTCGGCGTATCCAGAGGTCTTGTAGGTTGTGCTGGCTCCACACCACTCATAGAGGTTGATACCGAAAAAGTCGATCCGCTCCTCGTCCTTGCCACAGTTGAAGTACGACTGGATCTGGAGACGAATGTCTGGGTCGTCATTGTTGGCATAACCGACTGGGATCTTGCGTGTGGATGTCGAGGCGATGTAGTTCTTGGTGTCGCGCAGCATGGCTTTGACATAGCCGCTGGCGACGGTTGTCTTGTTGTCGTTTGTGACCTCGTTTCCAACAAAGAAGCCGAGGGTGTTGGGGTATCCCTCGAAGGCATCGATGGTGCTGCGGACGTTGTTCCAGATGTTGGTGTCGTATTCGGGGTTGTTGCGGACAATGGAATGTTTTGGGACCATGAGGTCCAGGATGAGGTAGATGCCGGCGTTCTCGAGAGCCTTCATACACTCGTCGTGGTTTAGCGAGGGATCGACCTAGTAGATCGTTTGCATGGTACGTGTTTCGATTGGTCAATGTCAATCGTGCTTGCTATTTTTCATTTTCGATGATCGATACTTGCATCAACGGAGCACAGAAAAATAAATAAGAAAGAGGATTCTTACCTGATAAACGCGAACGGTGTTGAGGCCGAGATCCTTCATGAGAGGAAAGTCGCGCTTGCAGTCGGCGGGTTTGGAGAGGGGATCAGAGAAGCCGGCAGCGAGGGTCCGGGGTTGGTAAGCGACTCCTTTGATGAAGAACTGGTCCTGTGTAACGGAATCGAAAAACTTTGTTCCTTTGATTGAGACTGGATTCAGAGCCCATAGTGGACCCAGGGCGGCCAGCGATAGTGCGAGAGTAAGGATGGGACTGACCGTGAGTTTGACCATCGTAGAAAGAGAGCAGGATACGTAAATGTGGGTGAGTGTAAAACTTGTGTGTGTGGGGGAACAGAAAGGAGCGGACGGATGTTTTTAGTGTGGGCGAGTGAAGGTTTTTGGCAGCAGATCAAGATCAGAGGGAGAAATGATATGTTAAACAATGAGTGATGAAAATTAATAAAGATCGACTCGATGGAATGTGGTGCAGGGCCAACAGTCTGGTTGGTTGGCTCGTTGGTAGCTCAGAAGAGGTATTATGTGAGAAGGGACTAGTAAAAATAGGTGTCGTCGAAGTCAGGAGAATTAACAAGAATAACGCGTAGACAGGAAGAAAGTAGGGAGCGAAGGAGAGGGGTTAATCCGGTAGAAAGAACAGACAGACAAGTAGGCCATGAACGAGAGTGGGTGTTGAGCTGTGAACAAACAAAGAGGTAAAAAAGATGGAGTCGTCGCAGTCGGTCACTTTTTATAAAGAGTGCCCTTTTTTCTATTATTCATTTGTAAGCTACCGGGTACCGTGTTTGTGCATCCTTTGCAAGAAAGGTGACTGTGTGTCACTTTTCCCTCTCTCTGTTCACCGTATCATAGTGGAAAAAGAGAAAATGAGAAAAAGATCTTGCCAGGTACCAGAAGGAGCGCCATCTCGTTTGCATCTGTCAGTTGGGGCAAACAAGGAGTTGGAAGTCTTTCCTCTTCAACCCCGTAAAAAATTGTTCGCGATTCAGGATAATAAGATGTCCCTGGCACCAATGATAGTTCTCATTATCTCCAACTCTCCTTCTCTGATGTCCGTTCCATCCCAGCCGCCAAAGCAATAGCCTCGGAGCCAGCCCAGTCCATACTGGGATCAGATAAGAACCGAATTATACAATTAAAGAAGCGGTTCCTCAAACTCGCCAGGAGAAAGGAAAAAGTCAACCATGGCACACCGCCACAACGACGGAAGCAGGACAAAGAGGGAAAGAAAAGAAGGGGTCCTTGGACCTCCAACTCAAATCACGGAGCACGCCTGAACCAGAACACATTTGGACAGGGGAAAATAGGTGACACGGCGCCACACTTGGCCCTTGACTGACAAACAGGCTGAGGCGTAATGCAACAAAAAAAGGATAACCAATTTGCGCGCTCGACATGCGACTGTGGAGAGTGAGCGTGTGCCACAATGGTTTTATTGCAATCACGGGCGTAGAAGAAACGAAAAAACCCGATAGTGCACAAAGCCGGTTGGGGAAGGAGGAATGGCGCTGTTGTTGTATTTAATGTGGGTGAGTTCAAGAATCGGCGGAACTCATCTGGAGGTGAACTCAAAAGTACGACAAACAAGAACACAAAAACTGATAAAAATAACAATGGGCGCAGAGTAAGAGAAATTGATTCAGCATGCGCCAGGGTCGGAAGGAGGAATACATGAATAAAGTAGCCGCCCACGTATTTTTTCATGCAGGCAGACAGGGTAGACATGAAAAGAGCAGACATGGCAGGCATGGACAGGACAATGGACAAAATGAGGGCGATAATGAAGATGAGAACAATATGGCCAGTGACCCCGACCTGTGTTGTTGTTATCGAAGGTGTTTTTGCCATTTGAGAGCCTGAAAAAAGGAAAAGAAGGCATGGAAACGGATACAGTACTTTCGATAGGATTTGCACCATATGTTGGCCAAAAGTATCTATTCATTCCCCCCTTCGTTCTATTTCTCACAGACACAGCTCATAAACACACGTAAACAACAGGTGCAAATGGTCTTGCAACGTGCTCACATCGAGAGACGAGAGAGAACCTCCAAAATCCTAATTGGCACTTTGTTGTTTACTGGCCTGCCTGTCTTCTTCCAGCGCCCACCTCGCCAGGTGCTCTCTCAGTATAAAATTCTCATGGCTACAGCCCTCGTGTTCTTGTTTTGTTTTTTCTTGTGAAGGTGAGATACCATACGCTGATGGTTCACAGTCCATCTATCTCCTTTCTCCCCTAAAAAAAAGAGACGTTCCACCGCATCCAGTAATAATAAAAAAGAGAGAAGGACGACAGGCGAGATCAACGAGTGGTTGGTTGACAATGAAAGAGCGAACAGGTTGATAGAGAAACCGAGGCACACGACGTCTTTTTTCAAGTTCTATTTCTGTATCTTGGTTGTTGTCATCAACGGTGGAACAAGATTGTTCTCTCCATGAGGCTTTTCGTTTTGCTGTGGTGTTTTACAAGACATCATGGTGGATGCCGGGTTCTCGATGTTTAATCCGAAGATGTTTTGATCGGACTGCGATGATACCCTATTGAGATAAAGATTCAAGGAGATGACATCAACGATAAAGTAGAATATTCCGTTGATACATTTGAGATTTCGCAGATCGATTGCTGCCCACTCATTGTATGCGTGTCAGAAAAGTGTGTGCACATACACACAAAAAGGAGAAACAGAAAGGTGAGAAAGAGGATGAAGAAGCGGAGGGACGGATGAGCAACTGACTAGCTAAAAACAGCCATGTTTCATTCGCAAACACAATGTGCCCAACCGAGATAATAATAATAACAAGCAGGGTCTTGGGTTGGCTTGTAAGAGTGAAAAAAAGGGTTATAATTGTTGTTCCTGAACGACAAAAGAAGGACAGGAAAGGAGGAGAGTCAGTTGTTCCTGTTCTTCAATCTCGTACTATTTGGGAGTGGAGAATGAATATCATTTTCAAACGAGTGGAAGATGCAGATTTTCAATCGAAGAAAAAGAAAACTCAACACTGAATGAGTTGACAGGTCTACTGTACCCATAATCGACAATTGTTCCCGTCAGAAAGCAGAAGACAGATATCCGCCCGTCCTCACTTCACTTTATTCATGTTCTGTGCCCTCCCTTCAATCAAATGGCAATAATTATTGTATCTCCCTGTGCCTGAAAGGAACAAAGGGTTCCATGGGTTGAGAAAGGGACGCATGCTGGTTTGGTTACCAGGGAACGTTTTTTGTTATCTTTCAACTGTCATTCTTCTCTTCCTCCCTTCTTCTCTTCTTCCTTTGTTCGTTTGTCCGCTCCCCTCCTTCCTTCTCCTTTCCCTTTCCCTTCCCTTTCTTCGACCCCTACCTATCACGCATCATCATCGCCACCCTCGCCTCTTATTTTTCTTCTTCCTCCTCAATTATCATCAGCTTCCTTCCTCTCCTTCAGCCTCCCTTGCAAACAACCCGTTTCTATCAACGCTCCCTCCTCTCCTTTCTCCATCTTTTCCTCCTACTTTCACGCACCACTCCAACTGATCACCTCTCAACATCCTCTTTCACGCCACTACCTCTACCACCCACTCAACCTACAGTTGCTGTCCAACAATCAACCACGACCTAGGAATCCTGATCATATCCGTTTAGCACACAACGACACATTTACCCTCCCTTCCGGTGTTGTTGCTTTCCTCGGTAAGGCATTTTTCAAGAACGAACTAAATATATTTTATGTTTTTTGCCAGGAAGAGTAAAAGAACAAAGATAAAAAAGAATAGGAACAGGCCAGAGCCGATAGTTTGGTACCTTTGATGCCCTACTTTTCCTGACGACCACTAAAAACAGCTCCCGCGTTCGCATCCTACTTCAACATCGATAGATTGTCGCCTCCTCCCTTTTGGCCACCTTTTATCACCCACCAACCACCATCATCATCATTACCCATCGATAACAACCACAACCACCATCGCCCATCATCACCAACAACACTCTCACGTCAAAAAAAGAAACCTCTCTGTTCGTCGTTAAACTCTCTTCTCTCTTTTTTTTTTGTTCTCATATCCAACGGCGACAATAACGCAACAACAACAGGAACAACCATAACACAAATAAAAAGATGAATCCTCCCGGCCCAGCGGCTGCCGCACCGACCCCTAGGCAGGGGCCACCCCGTCCCCATCCTCACGCACAATCAAATCCTCATTCCCCACCACAACAGCAACACCCTCAACAACAACATCCTCAACCACGTCAGCAGCAACAACAAAGACCTTCCCAACACAACCCACAAATTCCTCCACAGACCCACCATCCTAACGCACCACAACCTGGCCAAGAACGGCGCCCTATGCCCTCCCAGGAACATCCTCCTCCTCAGGGTGGCCAACAGCATCAGCAACAACGGACATTCCAGCAGGGACCCCCCGACAGGAATCAATACCCCCCTAATTCGATCCCCCTCCGCGACCTGCAGCACCATCAACATCAGCAACACCAGCAGCCACAGTCACAGCCGATACACCTTCAGACGAACCAGTTCAACAACCACCACTATGGCGCTGGACTCGGCGGTGTTGACTCGGACGACGAAGGTACGTACGCACAGCCAGGGTTTCTCAACCAGCGGGACACGGTCTACTCGCTGTCTTCGCAACAGTCCCTCTTCCACAACCAGGAGTCGCACAACAACGATGGTAAGGAACACGAACTGATGAATTGAGGGTCAAGAATCGACGATGAGCAAAGGAATGAGACATCGCCGACAAAACACCCACAAAAGTAGATGGAGTCGACAAGTGGAGAGAGTGGGAATCGGGAGTGCAAATTTGTCGTTTTTATTGCCACTCCTACTTCACCCAGTGCAAGGTATCTCCGTTGGATGCAACGCCAACAACAAAAGAGCAAGGGGGACTGCACGAACAACACCTGTAACATTTGATTCCTGTGCCTTGCTGTTGTGTTCTATTGCACTCCTATTGGCTGGCACATGGGGGTCTGATATATTCCAGTGTTCTATTTTATGCATTTATCGTTTCTTTAATCGTCTGAGAAAAACGGGCGGCTGTCAAACCTTGTCTCTCCCCTCCTCTGTCTCTGTACGCCCTTTAGCTATTTTTCACATTCATTTATTATTGCTAATACTGTACTCTCACTCGCTTATCTCTCTCAACTCTCAACTCTCAATGGAACCAACCAGTGCGCCCCTTCGCTAACATGAGCAGGAACGCATCCAGAGACCCCGTCATTGACAAGGGCAAAGGACGACACCATGGCGGGCCCTCCGAATCTGACTCGGACAACTTCAGCGACTCGCGCTCAGAACGCGTCTTCTCCTCAGGCTCACTCCCCGGCGCAGACATCGACCTCTTTGGTCCCTTCAGAGGCCCTGACGATGGCCGCTACACCGGCTACTCCCCTTCCTCAGCCGCACTCCTCTCGCTGCTCGAACACAAGAAGAGCCCGATGGCTGGCCTCCAGTACCGTTACGACAACACCTCTTCCCCATCAGCACCTGGCAGCAACGTCTTTGTTGATCCTAAATCTCAACCCCCTGCTGACCAATACCCCTCATGGACCATCGAAAAAGGCGTGCCCCTTACCCGACAAGAGATCGATGGCATCATGCTGGACTTGACTCGAAAGTTTGGCTTCCAGATTGACAGTATGCGCAATCAGTACGACGCCTTCATGACGATGCTCGACTCGAGGGCGTCTCGCATGTCCCCAGCCCAGGCTTTGACGACCATTCACGCGGATTACATCGGAGGAGAGAACGCCAACTACCGCAAGTGGTACTTTGCAGCACAGCTGGATCTGGACGACCACATGGGATATCACTCCGCTCCCCTCAAGAACAAGAAAGTCAACCGCAACTCAATGGTACCTCAGCCTGGTGCAGTCAACATTGAGACCCACGACTCCCTCGCCATGGCGGAGCAGCACTGGAAGGCTAGGATGAACCAGATGTCCCATTTTGACCGTGCCCGCCAGGTTGCCCTTTACCTGCTCCTCTGGGGTGAAGCCTCGCAGATCCGATTCTTGCCCGAGTGTCTCTGCTTCATCTACAAGTGCGCCGAAGACTACTATCTCTCGCCCGATTGCCAGCGGATGGTCAAGCCTGTCCCTGAGGGCCAGTATCTCCGCACGGTCATCCTGCCTTTGTACCGTTTCATCCGTGATCAAGGTTATGAGGTTCAAGGCGGCAGATACGTGAAGCGAGAACGTGACCACAACTCTGTCATCGGTTACGACGATATCAACCAGTCTTTCTGGAGCCCCGAAGGTATCGAACGGATCTGTCTGCGGGACAAGGTCCGGTTAGTCGATATTCACATTGGCAGAAGATGGGGCGCTCTTGGACACGTCGACTGGGACTCGTCTTTTAGAAAGACTTACATCGAGAAGCGCACCTGGCTCCACTTGGCTGTCAACTTTACACGAATCTGGATTATCCACGTGGTCATGTACTGGTACTACACCGCCTACAACGCGCCTTTCCTCTACATGAACGACACGACTGACCAGTCAGGAGGAGTCCAGTGGTCAATTGTTGGTCTCGGAGGGGCTATTGCTACCTTGATCATGTTGCTCGGCGTCTTTTGCGAGTTCATGTTCATCCCTCTCACCTGGTCCAACTCGGCGATGCTCATCCAGAGGTTGATCCTTCTCATCATCGTCCTGCTCCTGAACGTCGCCCCCGCTATTTACGTCTGCCTCTTCAACCGCACCGGTGACACCTCCTTGTACGTCGGAATCGGTCACTTTGCCGTGTCATTGATCACCACCATCGTCTTTGCTATCGTTCCCTCGAACCAGCTTTTTGGTGGCAACTCCAAGACATCGCGCAAGAATCTCGCATCCCAGACTTTTACCGCCTCCTTCCCCAAGCTCAAGGGATCCGAGCGTGCTCTCTCCATTTTCCTTTGGGCCTTGGTGTTTGGATGCAAGTTAACCGAGTCATATTTCTTCCTGGCGGGGTCTTTCAAGGACCCGCTTATGACCCTCTATAACGAGCGTATTCCCCTCTGCCAGGACAAGTACTTGGGCGACACCATGTGCAGGATCATGCCAGTGTTGACCATTGGCATCATGTTCATTGTCGACTTGGTCCTGTTCTTCTTGGACACCTATCTCTGGTATGTCATCTGGAACACCGTCTTCTCTGTCTGCTACTCCTTCAAGCTCGGAATTTCGGTTTGGACTCCTTGGCGTAACGTCTTTTCTCGCCTTCCCAAGCGCATCTACGCTAAGCTCTTGGCAACAGCCGACATGGACGTCAGATACAAGCCCAAAGTCCTTTGCTCTCAGATCTGGAACGCCGTGGTCATTTCCATGTATCGTGAGCACATCCTATCGATCGAGCACGCTCAGCGGATGCTTTATCAGCAGGTGCCCTCAGAGAACGGAAGCAAGATCTCGCTCAAGACACCCACTTTCTTCATCGCCCAGGAGGATTCGTCCATCAAAGCCGAGTTTTACCCCCGCCGTTCCGAGGCCGAGCGTCGCGTCAACTTTTTCGCCCAGTCTCTTGCTACTCCAATCCCCGAACCACTGCCCGTCGACCAGATGCCCACATTCACTGTGTTGGTCCCTCACTATTCTGAAAAGACCCTGTTGTCGCTTCGCGAGATTATCAGGGAGGAGGACCAGAGCACCCGTGTGACCCTGTTGGAGTACTTGAAACAGCTTCACCCAGTCGAGTGGGACAACTTTGTCAGGGACACCAAGATCATGGCTGAGGAATCATCATTGTTTAACGGCGCCAGCGGATTTGGACTCTCAGCATTTGACTCGGACAAGGAGCACAGGGCTGACGACAAGAACAACGACGACCTTCCCTTCTACAGTATTGGATTCAAGACCGCTTCGCCTGAGTTCACCCTTCGCACCCGTATTTGGGCTTCACTTCGCGCCCAGACCTTGTACCGTACTGTGTCTGGATTCATGAACTACGCCAAGGCCATCAAGTTGCTCTACCGTATCGAGAACCCTGAGGTGGTTCACCAGTTTGGTGGCAACGGCGATCGTCTGGAACGGGAACTGGATCGAATCTCTCAGCAAAAGTTTAAGTTTGTGGTCTCGATGCAGCGGTACACCAAGTTCAGCAAGGAGGAGGCTGAAAACGCGGAGTTCCTGCTCCAGACTTACCCCTCGTTGCAGATCGCCTACCTGGACGAGCGACCACCTGAGGCTGAAGGCGAGGAGCCTATTGTCTACTCGGTGTTGATTGACGGCAAGTGCGAGATCCTCCCTGATGGCAAGCGTCGACCCCGGTTCAGAATCCGTCTTCCTGGTAACCCCATTCTCGGAGACGGCAAGTCTGACAACCAGAACCATGCCATCATCTTTACCCGGGGCGAGTATATCCAGCTGGTGGATGCCAACCAGGACAACTACTTGGAGGAAGCCCTCAAGATCCGCAACGTCCTTGGAGAGTTTGAGCAGCTTCACACCCCTCCCACCTCGCCTTACTCCCCTCAGATGTCGTCGGATGATGTCCCTGAGCCTGTTGCGATTGTTGGAGCCCGCGAGTACATTTTCTCGGAGAACATTGGAGTCCTTGGGGACGTTGCGGCCGGAAAGGAGCAGGTCTTTGGAACGTTGACCCAGCGCATGATGGCCAAGATTGGTGGCAAACTGCATTACGGACACCCCGATTTCCTCAACTTTATCTTCATGACCACTCGCGGAGGTAACTTTTCCTGTTCCATTTTGCCATTCTCACGGTGCCTGTGTTTGATTTTAGCAAACGACAGCTTACTGACTTGTATACTCTCTTCTAAACACAGGCGTGAGTAAGGCGCAGAAGGGTCTTCATTTGAACGAGGATATCTATGCAGGTATGACGGCGTTCAACCGTGGAGGCAGAATCAAGCACACGGAGTATTACCAGTGCGGCAAGGGTCGTGATCTAGGATTTGGCTCGATCCTCAACTTCAACACCAAGATTGGTACAGGAATGGGAGAGCAGATGTTGTCGCGCGAGTACTACTACCTCGGAACACAGCTGCCTCTGGATCGCTTCCTCACCTTTTACTACGCCCATCCCGGATTCCACATCAACAACATCTTTATTATGCTGTCGGTCCAGCTGTTCATGTTCTCGATGCTTTTTATTGGATCGATGGCGTCATCGGTCACTGTTTGCGCGGATGTTGCCGAGGAAGGGTGCATGAACCTGGTCCCTGTCTTTGACTGGATTAAGCGCTGTGTCCTCTCGATCTTTATTGTCTTCTTTATCGCCTTCCTGCCGCTTTTCCTGCAGGAGTTCATGGAGCGTGGATTCGTCCGCAGTCTGATCCGTCTTGGCAAGCAGTTTATGTCGATGTCACCCCTGTTTGAGGTCTTTGTGACTCAGATCTATGCCAACTCGATCTTGACCAACTTGTCGTTCGGAGGAGCTCGTTACATCGCTACAGGACGTGGATTTGCCACGACTCGTACCCCCTTTGCGCTGCTCTACTCCAGATTCGCCGGCCCCTCGCTGTACTTGGGTATGAGGACGCTGATCATGCTCATCTTTGCATCGATGACGATGTGGGTCCCTCACCTGATCTACTTTTGGGTCTCGGTCATTGCGCTGGTCATCTCGCCTTTCCTCTTCAATCCTCACCAGTTCTCGTTCTCAGAGTTCTTCCTCGACTACCGCGAGTTCTTGCGCTGGCTCTCTCGCGGGAACTCTCGCACACACGTCTCGTCCTGGATCTCATACTGCCGCACCCTCCGCACTCGGATTACAGGATACAAGCGCAAGCGTCTGGGTCACCCCTCGGAGAAGCTTGGAGGCGATATCCCCAAGGCCAACTTTTGGGTCATTTTCGTCTCGGAACTTGTGTTCCCGTTGATCCAGGTGTTTATGTGCGTGGTCTGCTACATGTTTGTCCGGTCCTTTGCCACGTCCGACGGCAACGGTACTGCTGTTTATACCAGTGGTCTTCTCCGAGTCGGAGTCTTTGCGCTTGCACCCCTGGCGGTCAACGCGGCAGTTCTGGCAGTTCTCTTTGCGATCTCTCTCCTGCTGGGCCCGTGCATGAACATGTGCTGCGTCAAGTTTGGATCAATCATGGCGGCGATTGCTCACGCGGTGGCGGTGTTGACGTTACTCGGATTCTTCGAGGCACTCTGGGCACTCGAGGCCTGGAACGCCTCGCACGCGGTTCTGGGAATCATTGCCGCTATCTCTGTGCAGCGATTCGTGTTCAAGATACTGATTGCTGTCTTCCTGACGAGAGAGTTCAAGCACGACGAGACCAACCGGGCCTGGTGGACGGGCAAGTGGCACGGACGTGGATTGGGCTCGCATGCGATCTCGCAGCCTCTTCGCGAGTATGTCTGTAAGATCATCGAGATGTCGATGTTTGCATGCGACTTCCTCATGGGTCATGTCATCCTGATCCTGCTGTTCCCTATCTGTTTGATCCCCTGGATTGACCGGTGGCATTCGACCATGCTGTTCTGGCTGCGTCCCAGCAAACAGATCCGGGCACCCATCTTTTCGGCCAAGCTCCGGGCCCAGCGTCGTTGGACGGTGTTGGGATATGGATTGTTGTTCATCATTGTTGCTGCGGTCTTTGTCCTCTTGATCATTGGACCCATCGTCTTCCGCGAGCGGATGCCCAACAACCTTGGAAAGATCATTCCCGTCTAGATTTCTTCAACCTTCTTTTTTCATGTTGCTTTTGTCATTTACTCCTCATATATTTTTCTTTCCTAGTTTATTGTTCAAGTCAAAACATCCCTTATCCTTTCTCTTTCTCTTCATCCTATCTCTTCTCATCCTTTCATTATTCTTTCCCATGTACCATATAAACCATTGTTAGGGTCCTCTTCTACTTCCAATAAACAAAGCATCAGCAACCTACTACAGATGAGTTGGTCTTTTTGTTTCCTTGTTTATCTTGGCCTGCCTCGCCCTCTATCCTCTCTCTCTCTCCTGCATCCTCAAGTGCTCTTGTCCCTGCCATGCAGCATGTGTCCTCGTTATCTGCGTCAACCAACCTTGTCGCTCCATAGGCTCGACAGACCAACGGTTAGCCGCCATCAACAGCAACTGCACGGACTCATCGACATAGTCACACAACATTGCGATGGTCTAGCTGTAAAAGGAGAGGATCCAGCCAATTGGGTCTGTTTCAAAATGAACCGCGCGACCGCATTCGCTCCTTTCGTCCAGTCTGTCGAAGAAGCCCGCGGTAGCAACAACCCACGACCTCAGCCAGGTCACAATCAACCTCAAGTTCTGCACCACTGCACCAGCTCCAAGGATTTCTTTTTCCCGCAGACTCGCTAGCCAGGCTCCAGTAGGATCTAACTGTTAACAAAGGGCTTTACTTGTTGTGAATGCAATGAAAGGATTTTATTCTTTGATTAAAAAGGGAAATGGGGGGGGGGGGGGGGGGTATTGTTTTTGCTATGCTTTTGTGTGTAAAATGAAGAATTAAGTATGGCAAAGGGGGAAAGTGTATGTGCAAGTGTGTATATGTGAAAGAGTAGATCAACTAATTCTCTAGTGAAGGGAAGAAAAAGGGAAATATGGACAAAAACAATATGTTGTACGATCAAAAGAACAACTTAGTTCTTCTTGACAGAAGGGGACTTGGGCCACTTCAAGTTGCTACCGGAAGAAGGGCATCTCACGAACTCATACTTGATCGAGACAACACCCTTGCTCTTGGGTGCCAATGTTGTGAACGCACTGAGGGACAGATCAACATGTCCAGCACCGCAGCTAGAGCAGTCGTCGATGATACGAGCAATGACGGAGCGAGAGCCGGCAGTGATGCGGAGACATTCGAAGCAAGCGTTCTTGACGCCGCCAGAGAACTGGGAGAGACGCATGGCGGCAATGTGCCAGCTGTCCTTGGCGTTGACGTCCTTGTTCTCGAGGATTCCGTAGCATGCGACCTATGGGTTGGAGTAGATTGGAGAGGAAAGGAAGGAATGAGAGAAAGGGGTTAGATCTGCGTGCTATGTGTATACAAAAAAGGAGAGCTTAGTTGATTAAAAAAGAAAGACTTACATCTTCAGCATCTTTGCCGTTGAACCAGGTGGCCTTTCCACTGGCCTTCTTTCCGAACTGAATTTTGGTTGCGGCCTCAGAGGTAGAGATGACAGACAGGAGGGCGATCAGGGTCATGGCGACCAGGAGAGTGAACTTTGTGAACTGCATTGTGTGTGTGTATATGTGATACGAGGTAGAGTGTAGGGGGGGCGTATGTACAAGTAGAGTAGAAGTGGGGATGAAGATGAGGATGAAGATGAGGATGAGTGAGTGAAGAGTAAGAAAAAGTGGGGATGGGTCTTGAGGTTTTATAGCCGGAGGGGGTGAAGAAGGAGAGGGGAGCAGGGGCCATGAAAATGACAGGGCAATAGAGAGCAATGAAGTGAGTGAGTGAGAGCAAGAGGAGGGGAGGGGTAAATGAATTGCTGAGTTGTGAGTATTGTTAATGCATGGTTTGGATATATTGACAGGGGCAGAAGGGTAATCTAAAAAGAAGAGGAATTATCATTTGAGATGGTTCCCCTGCTCGCTCTGTCCGCGTTTCATTTATTATCTCCCCCCTTTTCAGGAACAAGGAATATGGAAGGGGAGGAGGGAGAACAGCAACGGCAAAAAACAGGGTGGTTGTGGTTTGTCGTGTGTGCTTGCATCTCATTTTACCGCCTCTGTAATGAAAAACAACAAAGAAAAACATACAACAATCGATAATTTAACATTCGGCACCGCCGCCGCGCCCTTTGAAATGAAAATGTCTCGATTTTTGTGCGATACGATACAAATGAGATACCACGCGGCCTTTTTTTTTTCTTGCGAAGGCGTACCGAACTGGTGTGCTAAATTACCTTTTCTTCATCTCCTTATTCATTGCTTTTTGCCGATATGGACAATGGTTCTGAGACTGAAAAGAAAGTCGAAAAAGGAAATCGAAAGAAAATAGGCGGCATACATCTGATAACAGCTGAAGAGAAGGGGGGGGGGGGGGGGGGAACAAGGTGGACAATCAAAGGGTGTGCTAATTTGTGAAAATTAATGAACATAACCATGCCACTCAAACATTCAATTGCAACTAGGTGGGAATGATCCATCCATCCTTCCATCCATGAAGGGAATGAGTCAAATGAAAACGATATGTGTCAGTTAGAAACGCCGGGTCATGTGGAATGGAAGGGTGCTTCGTCCAATATATGTGCAATAATTGAACCATCTCGATAGGTACCAACAATGTTCATCTCCTCTTGCCGAGCCAGCGCCTTTTTTCCACTCCTCCGCCCGCCACCCGCCCCTGTGCCTGCTCTCCTTCCCTACCTTGCTGCTGCTCCATCTCGAACAAAGAAACATTTCTGCTGCGTGCTCGCTGCATCTTAATTTTTTGATATGTTTTTTACCACCTGCAACTTGCATCTAACTCCAAAAGAATGTAAATTGCTAAGCGGTAGAAGGGGCAGCCCCTCATTGAGACTGCAGTTCTCCCGCTCCTCCCAGATCTTTTAACAAAACGCTGATGGAGGCAGGATGACGAGGAATAGAAAAATGAAGGGTCCAAGGCGAAGAGAGAGGGAGGGAGTGAAGGGGGAGAGACGATGCAAGAAAAAGAGGGTACTGGAACATTGATCTATCCTTCTTTCCCCTCATTTTCTTCATCCTCTCCCATCTGCAGGGTATGGACGCTTTCCAGTAAACAAAGAGAGAATTAAATGTATGGGAGGTGGAATGATGACAGAAGTAGGTATGTGATGATAAACAAACACCACAAAGGAATAGGTATATGAACAGGTACCTCGACCAATGTTTTCTTCATTCCGACGGTAGGAGAGTGAAATTTGCGGCGTGTCGATATAGGCAGTAAACATGCCAGCATCGACACAGGCAGTCGGCAACATTAAAAGAAATATGACAGCAAACAGACAACATCAACTACAAAACGACAAGCAGAGAAAAAAAATCGTTGAAAACTTGTGGGCCAGGACCCGCGTCAAAAAACAAAGGCGCTGTTGTAATGCATTCCGACGTTTGCTTGTTTGTTTTGTTTATTTGTCAGTGGGAGAGAGGGAAAGGTGCCCGAGCCATGAAATGTTGGACCGTTAGATGTCCGCCCAGACCAGGGCACACTCCTTGTGTGCAACGGCCATTCTTTCGTATCTCTATCGCCTTGGTCACACAAAGCCTAGTCGATGTAGAGGAGGAAGGCAGTAGAAGGTTGGGGATGCGAGAAAAGAGAGGGTAAGTGCAAGCGCAAGCAAGAGAGCAAGAGAGCAAGAGAGCAAAAAAAGGGATAGGTAATCGCATGCGCAGATGAATCATGAAGTGACACTTCTTGCCACATGCCATAACGACGTCTATCTCTTTATCTTCAACTTCTCGCCAACGGAGACAGACGCTAGAATGTACCGCCATGATTCACACATCTTCTCCGTCCATGAAATTTTTTGTCGTCAAGAGCGATACCGCTTATGGTCTCATTCCCATAGGGACAGGAGTGAGAGTATACCTTGAAGGACACGACTGATCTCTGTTTTTTACCATCATTCCTCCCAACGGTCTGCTGTATTTTTGCTTAATGCAATTAGATCTCGTTTAACAATTTACGGGAAAGTTCAAAATGTACTCCTTTTTTTCCTCTTCCATCTCCCATTACCCCACTCCTCTTCTACTCCTGGCCCCTATTCCCTGCCCCTTTCTCGGTGGCTCTTTCTCTCATCCTGTTTCTGATCCGGTCAAAACGCACACGCAAACAGGGGTGTAACTGAGCCTGCTCACCTAAATGAAAATGAACGAAGAAAGAAGCAACACAAGCCTCCTTTGGCGCCGCCCCCAGATCTCGTCCTCAAGAGACAAAATGAAACTGGAAACGGATCCTTATTGTTTCTTTGGATCTGTGATAGAGCCCAGACCCAATAGAGAATACAGAGATATGACGGTGGTATGTAGGTGGGTGATATTTTCTACTCCAACTAAAATGAGCCCACGCTGAGGCAATTGGAGTGGCAAAAATGATAACAACACGATCCATCTCCACTTGTCGACTTTTTGAAGGACTCCAGAGTGATAGATGGCACACAGAAACATCTTTTCTCCATCGTTCATTTTTTTTGCTTGTTCTCATAGTATGGTCGTGCGAGCAGTAAAGAAAAAAAATAGGAATGTAATCGAGGGAAGTCCACGATGAAACGCGGGGATGGTGACCCGGGCTTATACCCCATTTTGATCAGTTACTCTGTCGACATTGGACGGTACGCGATTTCGTAAAACGCGTCTGTTTCTGATCTCGTCGTAAATTGTGTCTCGCCTTCGATCACAATTCGAGGAAACCAACATGTGGAAGGAACGAACGATGGATCTCTTTCCATTGATGGCCATGCAAAACACTGTCGTGCATTTTTACATCTCCTTCTATACTCTTAACCCAAGCCCTTAGCCCCTAACCTCTAGCATCTCCCAGCCCTGTTTTCCTTTCTCTCAGAAAGTCCAAAGTAGACACGAGCATAGGCAGAAATGATGGAATGCTGAACACATTCCTTTGCAAAAAATTTCTTTGTTTGTTTGTGTTGTTGGCGCATGGACTACAAACGGCGGGATTTCGATGCTAATTCTATCTCCGTCCACCCAAATATTACCATATGCAATTTTTCCAATCTTCCTCGGACCTTTTTCCCGTTGGGGAGGGTGAGGTCCCTTGTCCAAAACGAGCAAGGAGAAGATAACACAACCCCTGGACCTGGCGACGTGGTTATGAATGCCTTCCATTTGTGGGCAAGCGTTGGTATGCGCCAGTCACGTCGAATTGACTAACTACAGATCGTCTGTTAGTCTAGCGAAGTGGTTTGAGAGTTGTACTTGTCTGCACCTAAATGCAAGGTTTTCTTTTCAGAGCCGACCAGTTTTCCGCTTTTTTCTCACGGGATGGGAGAGAAAGATTGGCAGCGGGGCTCCTTTCTTTTCTTCCTGTCCGCAATGCAGAAGAGCCTGGAGATGTGAAGAGATGAACAGAAGCGACTCGGGGAATGTACCCGGACCAGATTAGAAGTGAAGGAGAGGGGACGAGAAGGAAGGAAGTGGTCGATGGAAAAAGATGTCGGTACTTGTTGGGTATGTGGGTATGTTGAGTACCTTAGGGGGACAGAGGTCAGTGCGCCAAGGAAGGATTCTTTACTTCCTGCAGGATGCAGGTTCAGAAATTAGGTGCAGCAGGGACAGATCGAAAAGAAGGTTTGGAAGTGGCAAATGGTGTGGTTGTCAATTGAGGCGCTTTGATAGGTGTGTCAGTCTAGGATCAATGCAAATCATTTACGACGCGTCACCTCATCAGTTCTTTCCCTTGATTATCCCTTTATCCTCTATTCCTGCGCCTCACGTAGTCGTAAAAAAAACGCCTTTCATGATCACCCTCTGTCTCGACATCTCTTTCGGTCATATCTCCGTAGGGGCATCAACCCTTGTTGGTTCCTCTTTCTCCTCTCGCTCGGCTGAGACCCACCCTACTTTCCTTTTTCTCCTTTTCTCTCTCCATCCTCGCTCCTCTCACACTTTACTCTCCCACCTTCCAAACCACACTGCATTAAACCAGTTCCATGAGAACACAGCACCTTCCCTTTTCTGATGCATCAGAACATATTCTTTCATTCACCGACTCCTTCCATGAAAAGAATCTACAGAATCCTGGTGGCATCGACACTCCTTCTCCACTTCCCCCGCCACCTCCAATAGAATCCAATGTCGTTATCCCCTCTCTCGAACCCCGACCGAAGGGTCGTTCTCCTAGTTGTTGCTTTTATTGCCTGCACCCACTCACCGGAAAGGAGGAGAACGAGAAGGCAGAGAAGACAAAGGCCGACAGAGAGGCAACACTAGATCTGCCGGAGACTGGCCTCCAGTACTTGATCTTGACTCCTGATACTCAAGACCACAAGAGCGCTGGAACTAAAGAGTATGAGAGTGGCCTCAAGAGTTTCGCGATGGCCAGTTCTTTCGCTCCTGCAAAAACCGAACAGGAAGACGGAGACGACGAGGTGCGACCTGATCGTATGGGTAGTCGTCCTAGGGGTCGCAGGATCCGGCTCCAAGATGTACATGTCGACGGTGACGAGGTCGGTGTCTTGGCCTCTGGAGCGTATCAAAGCCTTTACGACGATGAAATCGACATGAGCCGAGGAAGTACAACAGTTGCTCATTCTAATGGTCCGCGAGTACAAGAAAAGGCGGATTTCTCGTCAGGACAGGATGTCCTATCGGGTCGCGATGGTAGCGACATAGGAAGAGGACGAGAGGAGTCAATGGAGGGGTACCACATCTCGGGATCGGATTCGATGATGATGGCCGGAGCCATGGCTGATGATGCACCTCCGTGTCACTTGGGCGTCCTTGAGTTGGATAGCATTAGCGAGAAAGGAGAGACGATGGATGGAGACGAGTCGATGGATGTGACGGATATTGCTGCCAGGATACCCCTGGCCCAAGAAAGAGGATCCTCTCGGACTAACAAGATTCGTCGCTCCTTCTCCGAGTCCGCTGTCGAAGTTCCTAATCCGTTTCTCGTCCCTACTCGGGTAGCTTCTTCGACATCGACACTCGCTAACAACAGACAGTTGCATAGGAACAGCGATGTCACGCATACTCGTGCTACGATTGACCCGCTCACATCTCAATCGGCACCTCTTCCTCTGACTCCCACCATTCACCCGATCTCTTGCGAATGTGGACGCGTCATCGACCTTCCTCCTTCCCTTGTCACCCCAGCAGCAGCAGCTCACTTTCAGGACCCGCGCCAAAGACAGTTCAATTGCGATGAACCCATGAGCCCGTCACAGACACCAGCCCGTCCTCTTTCAATGGCTTCATCTTATTTTGTCCCCCTGTCGTCGTTCTTGCCGTCGTCCTATCAAGTCTCATTCACCTCCTGGCGCAACTCGATCATCGCGCCATCCTACGTGTCTCTTCTCTCCAGTCATATCCACATCGGCATCGATGACGACGACGAAAATGAGGAAGTGGTTGGCATCCGCCATAGTCCTGCAGCAGGAGAGGAGGCCACCCCAAATCATCTATCAAAGGACAAACGCTTCCTTGAATTTGGCCATCACAGTAACCACTGCCACGCCGGGATCCACGGAGTAACAGCTACAGCAAAGCGATTGGCGGGGCTGGTTATGTCGACCAGTCAAGCGACATTGGGCTATGTCAAAGACACGGTAGCCCCACAAGCCATCCATCTCGCTCACAGAAGTGCATCCTCAACCATCGGATTTCTGACATCCCACATCCCCGGTCCTTCAACTGTGCCGTCAATGCTACCTCGATTACTTGGAGACGTAATTACCGGTCGTCAGGGAGCCAACAACGATCATAGCGATGGAACCAAATCTCCAGGAGGAGGTGGAACATCAGAGGGACGACGATCGCGCTCAACCATGGACGGTCGAGGACTGAGCGACCGCATAAGTCGTTCTGCATCCGAACTTGTTAACACAAGGACAGGAGAGCCGTCTCTCCCAGAAGCAGTTTACCACCGCACGCGTCGCTCAACCGACCCATCGATATCCAAGACCAAAACCTCAACAACGACACCAATTACTACCTCAACAGCCATGACGACCACCAATCAACCCAGAAGAGCCCGTCGAACCACCGTACAAACCATCCCCGGTCCCGAAGGGCTGGACCCAGAGACACGTCGACGACTCGAGGCTCAAGGATTTGCCGCCCTCGGTCTCCGGGACGAGTCTGCAGGTCAAGGTTGGCGTAACTGGTGGGACCCTCGACGCTACGGTCTACCAAAGTACATCATTTGCCACCAAATTCGAACCCCTCGACCATGCACCACTATCCTGTTCCTGATCATGATTTTTTGCATCATCCGTAAGTATACTTTCTCTGTTTTCTTCCTGCAATTTGCTGCCGTTAATACAGGTCGTTGCTTTAAGAGACTCACTCATTCGTCTTTATCTCCATATCTAGTACCAATTGTGTTCCATCGCAAGTAGATAAAATACAGAGGAGCATCCTTTTACTGAGACGCTGAATAAAACAGTAGCATAGGTTGAGGCACTTTTTTGATTGTGCGCAGATACAAAGGGGGTGGAGGACGTGAGTGCGGGTGTGGGTGTGGACTGAAAGGGAATCGACATTTACTTCTTGTGAGGCTTCTTGAGTTTTTGCTGACAGTCCCTGCAGTACCACTTTCCTTTTGGTGGCGCCTTGAGTCCTGCACACGATAAATGGAACCATTCGATCTCGCACTGTTTATCGGAAGAAAGTAAGGTAACAAAAAAAAGTGAACGAGAGCAGGTTAGCGATCGGCAATTATCATTTCGATGGGTAAGAGAGACAAGTGGGGACTTACGTCTTGGTTGTCGCAGGCAACCATTTCGCCGTATGACACTTGTTGACAGTAGCAGTAAAGGGGCTCGTTCGGGTCGATTGGTAACTCGGTGAAAGAAGCACTATCAAAATTAAATGACAGATTAGTTAGTTGAGGGTGTTACGGATTCCAACGGTAACTGGGGTTTGTGGAAGGGGACGAAACATACGTCTTTTTGGTGACTTTGGATCCGGTTGTGGTGGCAGCAGCGCTTCCTGTCTTGCGCTTGTCGGAGGCTGTTGTTGCTGGGGTTGTTGCATTGGAGTTGCTTGCGCTGGCAGAGTGTGACTGTTTCTTTCCTATGAATGTCAGAAAAAAGGAACGGAGGGGCACATGGTCAGTGATGAATGTGTGTGGCCGCATTCCGTCCACTGGGTTGAGGTTGCCTAGAGACTTACTTTTTGTTGTTGGGGCACCGTCCGCGTTCGATGATGATGCTAAGCAATAGACAAGGTGCACAAGATGTACGTTGCATGTTAGTCGCTCCTTCAGTTCTTGCTCGTAATAATAATTCGCATCCGAAATAATGACGAAAAGGATTTCCGTACGTTTCTTGCTGGATGTGGTGGTAGTCGAGGCGGCAGCATTGGTGGATTCATCCTTGCGATCTGTGGCCGTTGTCCCTGAAGCTGCCGAGCCAGTGTTACCAAGCCTCCCTGGTCCAATCATCTGTTCATCCTCGTATCGCTGTAAATCGTCATCGAGTCTCCTCACGTGTCTGTCAACCTATATCAGAAAGGAGCAAGACAGGGAGAGTGAGTGGTATTTTCACACAACAACAAAACGTACCATACCATTGACCACAAAAGTCGAGTAAGTAGAGTGGGGTACCTACCACATCGTATGCTGCGGTGGCAAGCGCAACCTTTTCTTCTCCTTGTCTCAAGCTGTCGACCAGCATTTCGTTAAGTGACTGAAGCAACTTGATTCTCTCCTGAGGTGTGCAGTTTTCAACATTGTCGATGAATTCAGCTGCCTTGACTCCCACTGATGCCATGATTGCTAGAGGATGCAAAATAACAGCAGGGGTAGAGAGGTAGGTGAGTAAGGTAGATGCACGACTTGGAAAAAGTTGCCTGTCTTCAGACAACTCTGTTCCACTCAGGTCCTGGAGACTAACACTTACATTGTGCTTTGGCGTCCAAGTCCTGCATCAACGTGAACTGGCGCTGGAGCTCCAGAGGCAGTGATTCGACAGCTGAGTAGAAAGAAAGAGAGGAAAGAGAAAAGAGATTGTAAAGATCAGTCGCTGGTTCGTTTGTTGGTAGAGAGTGATGAGACGAATGTGAACTTGTGGGCGGTTGTTGGTGATTCTCTGTTGACGTGTGTGGTGTGAGGGGAATGAGAGGGATGGGTAGGGTACTCACTGTCGAGGTAGTCGTCAAGGTAAGCGAGAGACTCTGCGGTCCTGGTTGCAGTCGATCCTGAGGCTTTCATTGTGTGCTGGGTATTGGTCGTGTGGAGAGAGGATGTGGGCGGAGAGAACTGCGTTAGTTAGAGTTGGTAGGGTAAAGTCAGCGAGAACTGAGGAGGAGGAGGGGGAGTGGCTTGCTCGTGGTCAGCTGAGAAGTAGTGGACTGTCTTTGCTGGGTGTGGTTTTAGGAAGTAGAAACAACAAAAGATCGATTTAATCCCATGAGATCAAACATTGGAAATATTTGGGAATGTCATTCACAAGGAAAGAAATTGCGCTGCTGGCTACCGATCCTTCGCTGAGGGAAAAGTGCATACGAATCTCACGATATCAAATCAGACAGAGACGAAAGATCTGTCGAAACAAATCTCCACGGGGACAGTTGTGGTGGGTTGGTGCTACCAGCCTGTGCATCAAGCTTCTGTTGACCGCTTTGCAGCCATTCATCAGGCATGTGGGAGTAACCAAAGAAATGCCGAGTGTAGAAGGGCCCTTCCTCTCTCTCTTCATCTTTCAAAAACTATTTTTGTTTAGTTGTTTGTTCTGTACTGTTTTTTTCCTCTTTGTCAGTCTGCCACACTGCGAGTTTAATTTGTTTTGGTCCCCTTTTTCCTTCTTCCTTCCTTACACCGCCACCAACACAGACACACCCCTTCACCCCAACACAGCGAAACAACAAGAACACAGGTGGCGACTCAACAACAACAACAACTACAACACCTCACCGAGCAGGCAAACAGACCCAGCACAACAACTTGTTCTAAATGAGCACAAGCAGCGTGGATCTCGACATGGACGACACTGACGACGCTGTCGCCCTGGTCCGAGAACCGCCTACTAGGGTAAGCATCCCTCTTTCGACGCTTTACTCATCACAAATCGTAACAATAAGGACTTGATGAATTAGCTACGAGGGAAATACAAAAACAAGTCAGCATAATGTCGCCCAATGAAGGAAAGGATTACTGTACTGGGCGAAATGAAGTTCAGTGAAAACATAAGGGATCGCTAATGAGAACGTTCTCGATATACTCCTTCTACAGATGTCATTCCCTTCATATTCAGGACTTCTCAAGCCAAGGTACGACACAACAGCGCTTTTACTCGTTCCTTGTTAGACAACTCATTGTTGCTATGTAAACGGAGTTGTATAGTGGTTCTAGGCAGGACAGGGAAAACTCACACACACTTTTGTTTGACGATAATCTTGATAGCGCGACAGCCTCGGCCAAGAGACCGGCAAGGGGGATACCGATCAGCATGCCAACAACCCAGCGAAGAGAGAGCAATTTTTCTTTCTTTACGCCCAACGCTGCGCTGGTAACAGGATCACGGGAAGGTGGCAGCCCAAAGCGGCCTGTCTTTGGTGCTCAAATGATATCACGTCAAACCCCACGCCAACGTGCGCAGAGTAAGACGATTAAAAGACACGGGATCTTGAGTATTGGGATGGACCGTCAGGTCAGGAATTGATTCTCTAATGCGCCATCTACTTCAACATTGATAGACACCATTGAAAGCCACAGACCGGTGCACTCGCTAGGATCATTGGAAAGCCGAAAGAAACAGGTGAGGTCCTTCACAGAAAACTATCCGCCCTGGAATGTTCTTGATTGCAGGTGTTAATTATTGTGTCCTAACCAATGTACCACATTCAACACCTACTACATAGAAGCAAACAGAAGTTGTATTGCTGAGTGACGAGGACGACATGAAAGGTATTAAGGAATGCAGGACGTCACAGTGCCGCAAGTGTGTGTTGTTGTCGTCGTGCGAATTGCTTTATTGGGCGCGGCTCCTGACCACTGATTTACCGCCATCCATAGATCCCAAGACCGTCAAACGGAAAAAACATTCACGGGAAGCTGACAGCATCAGCAATGAAGCGCACAGAGCGGAAAGAAAATCGAGCTCGATTGTTTCCAGGATGAAGAAAGCTGTAAATCAAGGATGCAACAGAGATGGTTCTTTTTTTTTTTTCTTCACCTGGATCATTTAGTTTGACTGGTATTAGATAAATAACCAAATAATTAATTGTCACACATGCTTAGACCGCACCTGCAGTTATAGACGCGTTGCCTAGCTACATGGAAGTGGATTCCGCACCAGCATCAAAACCACTTTATCATACTGCGATTCCAGCGGCTTTGCCAAACTCAGAACGGAGTTCGACCTCAACAAAGCCAGGATTGCCATCGACGAATCTAGGATTGCTATCAACAAAGTCAGGATTGGTTTCAACAAGCCCAGCAACGCCTCTGACGAAACCAAGCGCAGCTTCCGTAAAGACGACGCCGACGTCAACTAAACTTACACAACCCTCAGTCAAACCTGTGACATCTTCAGCAAAACCAATTTCATCCGCCACATTGCCATCATCTTCCTCTGTCAAACCTGCGCCGCCTTCAACGCCGCCTACCTCACCGCTAACAAAGCAAATGTTTTCACTCTTTACCTCGCCCGCTTCGCCATCCTCGCCTGCCTCGCCTTCCTTACCAGAGTCATCTCCCAGCCCGACAAAGATTCACAGTCCGGTCACACCCTCGCTCTCCGAAAAGTCCGAACAGCTGGGCATTGGGTCCTTTCCACATCTCCCTCTCGAAAAGGTGCGCGTCGGGACAAAGATCGACATCAAGCGGCAAATGATGATGGTTCAGCTTGGCCCGGATCGGTTCATCATCAACATTGACAAAAACGCGACGAAGATCCCACATCACACGGTCAGGGCTGTTGGGGTACGTATGCCTATAAGGATTGCAAAATGACATACACTTATTTGTGTGCGCTGACGCTAATCGTATCTTGAATGTTGCTATTGGTCATAGTATTACATTGAAGGCGAGACGAAATTGATCGTTCTGAACACAAGCGAAAAACTTGACCCCGAGTCGATCCTCGCACCCTACTACGATCCATCCCCTCTGTCAGGCAAAGGAAGGAGGCTGGTTTTGTACACTACGTCAGAGAAACCTAACATTGAGGAATACTGCGATAGACTTGCATCGAAGGGCTGTTCCACACACAAATTGACGTAAGGATAATATATATGGTCAGCAATCTAAGGTGCATTGAATATTATGACAAGGACGAACAGTCTTTTGCATTTATATTAATGAGAAATGATTTTCTCCGCACAATAGATCCGAGAGTGCCGGAAGGTATCTGGAAGAATTGAGGTGAGTCGAAGAATCCAACCCCAATCACAAGTGTTTTTCGTATCTAGGACATATTTTTTCGGGTTGCTAACTCACCTCTCTCACGTCTTTTTCAGAAGTGTCCGGTCATCTGTGGAACCTCCTTCTGCCGGGATGAACGTGGTTGTTCCTCATATCCCAGTCAACCCAGGAGACATCGAACCACGTCAAACGTAAGTTTCGTTGTTGTAAATCTGGATGGATGATATGAGACGTTACACAGTCGAATTATTTACTTATCAAAGTTGTGTTTCGATTGCTGTGCGATAGGCTTTTTCTGTTCCCATTTAAGAATACTGCCAAGACAAGATCCATTGCGGTCCACATCGAAGATTTGGCGCGACTGTTCGAGAGCGACTTCTTGAACGATATCCTCATCGAGTTTGGTCTGAAGTATGTTCGCACGCTCGTTTCTTCAGGCAATAGTTAAACATTGAGCAGTTGCCCAATATCCAATACTGATATCTCCTTCTTCTCTTTGACAATATGCTAGATATATCTATGAAGGGCTCGAGAAACGTAACCCGGAGCTTGCAAAGAGGACGTACATCTTCAATTCTTTCTTTTATCAGAGACTGATTGACAAGCCTGCGTAAGTCACGAGCCAGGTCGATACGTAGGCGTGTCTGCCTAGCCATGACATCCCAGAAGGCATGCCATTGATGTACTAATATCCCTTCTTTTTTTGTCATTACTTTTGGTGGCCTATTAGCGTGGGAATGAGCGCTTACGATGCTGTCAAAAGTTGGACAAACAAAATTGACATCTTTGCTATGGACTCCATCGTTGTGCCAATTTGTGAAAAGTAAGTCCTGACATGGCATGGATTGGGGACTGAAAGATGTATGATATCCTAGAGTATGTGTATTTTAACGCGTTTCATTTCATTTCATTTCATTCATGTAGGGCACACTGGTATCTGGCAATCATCACCAACCCAGGCCTACTTTTGAAGGAGGACTCTGACGACCAACCCCGGACGAACAGTAATGAGAGTAGCAACGCTGCTAGTCCAATCCCCAGTCCCTCGCGTGATTCGACAAGTGGATCCCCAGACGATTCGCCTGTTTTTCCTTCAGTCACGGAGTCGATGGACAGTTTGGCAGGAAGCACCAAGGACCTACTTCGGATCAAGGGAGAGCATGGGATCGACCAAGATGCACCGGAAAGGATCGAGTCTGCGACAGGAAGGCCTAAAAGACTTCCGCGCTCCACAGTTCCAGTCGATGTGAAAGCAAAGTAGGATTTTACGAATGCTATGCGAGAGCGACGCGTATTTGTACTACTCGAAAAGTTTCCTGACCTTTGAACGCATTCTCTCTCATCCCGTCACCTATTAGCCCATATATTGTAATCCTAGACTCTCTTGGAGGGTATCATTCTGCAGTATCCAAGGCGTTACGGTCCTACCTTCAACAAGAACTTTCAGCGAGAAAGGGGATAAAAAGGACCCTGTCCGTGAATGACGTTATTGGGAAATACGCCAAGGTTAGATTTCCACTGCATGCTGCTACTATACTTTGTGCATGAAAACTATATGATACTCCGTTAGGTCGAAGACACTCACATATTCGTCTTGGGTTCTATGATCTAGCCTCCAAAACAACATAACATGAGCGACTGCGGACTGTACTTGCTCCACTTTGCTGAAGTGTTCCTCAAGAGTCCTCATAAGCTTCTCGATGCCATCGTGGTAAGTTGCCCTGTCGATTTACGCGCTTGATCTCATATAAACACGTTTGATGGAGATGAGTGCCTTTTAATCGAAGTCTTATTATTTCTTTCCCTATTACTTCGCTGATGTAGAATAACAAGCCTGAGCTCGAACAGTATTGGAAGGCAGATGAGTTGCCGAACAAGCGAGAGTACTACCGAGATGTTGTGATGCAGCTGGCGGAAGACTACAAAGTTTATCTTGCTGAACAGCAGGCTCCAAGCGTACTTTCGCCACCAAAGGCTCGTGCCGGCAAAACCGGAAAATGAAGGGTGGACGTAGATCGATCGATCGAATGATATCTTGAGACTTTCATTTCTTGGCTGACAATGGCGGACCTTACTTTTTCTTTTTCCTTTCCCTTTTCTTTCTCCTCGTTAACCCTTCAACTCTCGCTTGTTGTTCTTGTACTTTTACGCCCTATGACTCACCTAATATGCTGTTTTTTGTTGTTGCCAATTGCCTTTTCAGTCAGTTTGTTAGTTCATTCCCCTTCCAATGTATCGGACTCGTTTACCCTCCAATGTTTTCTTGAAGAATGTATATTGTTGTTGTGTATCTATGGCGATTTTGGGGTAGGAGATGTAGGTGTGGGTGTAGCTTGTTCGCCTGCTGGGGTTGAATTAGAAGTAGGGTCGGTCGACGTGCTTGTGTTTTGAGAAGGCAGATCCTCTGCGGTTGGTTCTGTGATGGGGTCGGTTGATTCTTCCATGGTGGCCTCAGATGGAGCCTCCGTTATAAGTGCAGGTTCCGTGTCGATCTCGGGCTGTTCGTCAACCTGAACGTCCATATCCTTCTCCACTAAGACAAGTCCTCCATAGATGCCCTCATCAAAGCAGTTGAAGATATAATCCTGGACAGCCCGCTTATAGACGATAACGAACCCATCCATGATCTTCTTCTCGTTCAGAATCGCCGATCCTTCCCTGCCCTGCAGCTTGAAATGGCTGTTGGTAGTAGTGGCGTCGGAGGGTGCTGGTGGTGTGGTGGTAGCGACAATGAGGCTCGACCGGAAGCCAGAGGGCCGTTCTCCAAAGATTAATTTGTCGTACTGTTCCAGAGCCATGTCTACACGCAACAAACTGTCGACCAAGATCTCGCGGAGAGGGATCGCCAGCGAGAGTGGGGCCAGCAGACGTAGGGAGTTCAATGCTGCGAGGTACGAATTGGTCAGGTAAGCCAGGGCTGGGTAGTCCATGAGGCAGGTCTGGGGCGACATGGATAAGGGTGTCATGGTATGTGAAGACGATGATCCAAGCGAACCCTCTCCTCGACCCAGCACTGGAGATGTCGCTGTAGAAGAGGAAGGAGGAGTTGAAGATGCTGAAGAAGGCGCGCGTCCTGTTCCGCCAAGCATCCATTGACTCGGCAGCAGCCAATCCGGATAGTTCCTGCCATCACCTCCAAGTCCGTCAATAAACTCGTCTGCTCCTCGCTGGAAGGTTCCCCCGACCACACGGATGACGGCCTCCTCGAACAACGACGTGACCAGGTACCGCAGGTCAAATCCGATCTTGGCCATGTTGGCTCCAAAGTACATGAGCTGTGTGAGGATCGACGACAACGCCGAGGTGTCGTTGATCTGAGGGATGTGCGCCTTGAGCAGCTGAAGCAAGGTCTGGGTCCTGTAAGTGACAAAGTCCGCCAAGAGGTTGTCTGTCGTCCACGAGTGCTGCTTCGGGTAGTTCTGCGAGGGCTTGAAGGTTGATCCTGCTGATGATGTTGTGGTGGCACTTGAGTCGGCCGATCCTGCGCCACGATAGTCTAGTGATGACGAGAAGCCCGTGAAATGGTCGACGCTGCCAAAGATGCTCTTGTAGTAGGTCATGATGTCAAAGAGACACTCGCGGGTAACATCAATGTACTTCTTGAGGTATCCAAACGAATCGCCCTTGTGGTAGACAACTTTGGACAGCTGCAAGTTCATGTACAGCCCACGAGATTTAAGGAACAGCATCCTGAGCGGCGTCTCATCCTCCACACCAGTTTCTGAAGACGACACGCTCGATACAGACGAGAACAACGACGACGATCCCTTGGGGTTTGAGGTTGTTGCCGGATGGTGATGGTGATCATCCTCCTCGACCAGGTCCAACTGTCCCTTGAAGCTCCCAATTCGTCTCAAAAACCCAATGATCCTCAACGCGACAGGCAGCTTGATAGGTTCTCTCAACTGGGCTAGGAGCTGCACCAACATCATCTCTTTGCCCTGCGCAACCTTGGTATCAATCTCCTGAATGATCCCGATCCCAGGGTACCTCAGCACCAATCTCTGGACATGACTCGCCAATTCGAGTGCCTCGTTATAGTACCCATTTCTGACACACGTCTCCATCAACAGCGGGATCTCGAGCACCTCCAACAACTGCGAATGGGTCGCCAAGATCGACGAGAACACATACTGCCTCTCCAAAATCGGTGCGACTTTGGCCGAGAATCCAGACAAGGTCTCGACAAACTCGGGGATCGTCTCCTGGAAATGGTCCAGGTGTTGCCCCAGAGTCTCAAACGTCGACTGGACTTCTTGTTTACAGTCCTTGACCAGGATAAACGCTTTGTAGTCACGGAAGGCTAGTTCTGACATGTCCCGCTCGACTTTGACTTGCTCCTCGCGGAGTTTCTCAGGCTCGTTGTGGAGTGCTCGGGCTGGGAGGGATGTGAGACGGTTGAGGTAGTCCTTGGACCAGGTCGTCGAGAGCATCTCGCGTTTGGGCGCTGGTACTTGTTGGAGGATGAGGTCGAAGAGGGCATCCTGGTCCGTATTGGTGTTGTTGCTGACTGGGTGATGAGCGCGCCCGGCAGTGTTGATGTTGCTGTGGTGGCCATGAGCCCCTGTCTCGGCCGTCATTATGGACATTTTTGGGCGAGTTAGGCGAGCAAGGACGAGAGAGAGATGGAGAGTGATGAAGTGAAGGGAGCAAAATAATGCCAGGAACAGAAAAAGAAGGAAAGAGGGAGCGAGGCGACAGTTTATTACGGCGGAAGGGAAGGAAATATGTACAAGGTAGTTAAGGGTCAGAAGGTATTTGTAAAGAGGGGAGCAACAGCTAAGAGACCCTTGAAGAGACATGCGCCATCTTCGGGTATGTTTGCGGAGAGGCTTGTAGGGGCTGCGTACTACTCCTCGTGTTACTGGAGGACTGGTCTTTGATCTCGGAGTGGCCACTCAAATGTTCAGGCACATCGATCATATCATCAATTGCCTCCTGATGGCCCTCGCTCGGCGTCGTGGGTGCCCCAACGCCATGCCCACTATCGACAGCTCCATCAGAAAGTCCGTCGTCAAACGGTGACGAGCCGTTCGGTGGAATTCCTGACATCTCATACGTGTGACCAGGGTCGCGGATACCGTGTTCTGAGGAAGTGCGTCCATCCAAAGTATGGTCGCTCCGCCGCCGCCGTGGTTGGTCGTAATCCATTTGTCGCGCCACCTGACGTGCATACTGCTGCCGAAGGTCGTCATCGAGATATCCGTCATAGTTGAAGGAGTTCGTCGAAAAGTTCTCGTGGATGACTCGCATGGATTGTTCCTCGAGTCGGGGGTTGTTGATTTCCGAGTGCCGCCTTCCGTAAAAGACGTAGATTAAAAGCCCAATCGCCATCCAGACCAACAATCGAATGATGGCATCCTGTTTGGCTCCTTGGAGCAGGAGTAACGAGCTGGCAGCACCAAGACCAGGCAATAGGAAAGGACCTATGGATACGATCATAATATAGGCGAATGCATTAGTATAATGTGATGAGGCTGTGATTCATATTCGCTCATGTTGAAAATAACAATGGACTTACCCCCAGGAACTTTGAACCTTCTTGGTACTGTTTTGCGCGTGTATCTTAGAATGATAACACCGATGTTGACGACAAAGTAGGCAAAGATGGTTCCAACGGAAGAAATTTCGCTGAGAACTTGGATTGGCAGAAGCCCTCCGCAGAAGGCACAAATAATGCCAGAGATCAATGTGCTGGTTGATGGGGTCTATGCGGGAATAAAGAATGAGTCAAGGCTCATGAGAAGCTGAAATGTGCCCGATATCAATGTTTCGCAAACGGTATGAAGTAAGGTGCGATACTGGACATACCTTGTACTTTGGGTGGACATTTGCGAAAAGGCGGGGCACCAGGCCATCGTTGGCCATGGCGTAGAGAACGCGGGGTTGGGCGATAAGGAGAACCAGGATAACGGATGTAGTCGCCGCCAAAGCTCCCAGTTCCGTGAGTAGTACAAGCCATCTCATTCCTGTTATCCTCACTGCGTCCACCATTGGAGAATCGCCATTCAGATCATGGTAATCTGCGACTCCGACAGTGACCACACTAAGAGCAGCGACAGGTGAAAAGAGTGTTGCCATCACGCGTCAGTCGAAATGTTTCATACAACAAACAGGCAAATGCAGATATCAAATAGTCACTGAACTGTACCTGATTCCGACATAGATGACTGTTGCGATGACAATGGTTGCCATAATTCCTATGGGCAGATTAACCTGTGGGTCTCTGGCTTCCTGAGCTGTAGTGCTGACGCTGTCGAATCCGATGTAGGCGAAAAATACAGTTGAGGCTCCTTCCAGCATACCCTTGACGCCGCCAAATTCTGATGGGAAGTAGGGGTGGTAGTGTTCTATCTTGACAAACGGAATCATCGAGAAAATAACGATGACCAGAACCAAGACCTTGAAGACGACAAATACATTGTTGATCCGAGCGGTCATGTGGATCCCAAAGTAGATAACAGTGGTGACTGCAAGCGATATGGCAAAGGCGGGGGCGTTGAAGTGGGCGCCTGTAAGCTGAAAGGCACCGTTTTCCCAATTAATGGGTGCCTTTGTCCATGTTTTAGGTATGGTGACATTGAAGGCGTCCTGGAGAAAGGCCACAAGATATGACGACCAGCCGACAGACACCGTTGCAGCGCCGACCATGTATTCCAGGATGAGGTCCCAGCCAATAATCCACGCTGCAAGTTCTCCAATAGACGCATATGCGTAAGTGTAAGCCGAGCCGGCGATGGGGATCATTGACGCCATCTCTGAATACGACAGGGCAGCAATTCCAGAAACGAGTCCGCCAAGCATAAACGATAGCGTCACAGAGGGGCCTGCATTGGTTGAGGCGGCTGTGCCTATAACGTGCGCAAGTAAAGTAGTAGATGAGTTCATACTTGATTCAGCAAGTTTGATTGTAAACGACTATTGTTTCAAAGGAATGACAAAACTGTCTACAAGAAGAATTAGTGGTTCTTACCCATAAGAACAAAAACGCCGGTTCCGATGACAGCGCCTACAAAACAAGAAAAAAGAAACAAGGGGTTAATTCTTTGTAAAGTATGTAGTGGTTTTCGTTCGCGAACGACTATGAATGGTGCGATTGTTTGTGTAATCCTGTTGGTAAAAGACGTGGGTATGTGTGTTTATTGACCAACAAACAAAACTGCAAGATGGTTGAGCCCACAACCGCGACTGTCCAACGCCATCGCAACCAGATGGAGACACACAGAACAGGTGAGAGAGAGGGGCAACAAAATAGAAAACAAGGAAGACGACGGGAGAGGGAAGAAAAGGGCAGGGCAAGGCAGAGCAAAGAGAGCATATGATAGTCGCTTAAGTTAATGGGGACGATTAGTAGTCAACTAGAAGTGAATGGCAAGTAATAAGTCAACCGCCGTGGACAGCTGTATGAATAGACATTATGATAAGGGTTTGTTTGCGGTGAACTGTACTGACCCACTCACACCCATCCTCAAACATGATATGCGATCGTCTCATTCATTGCAAGTAAAAATGAGGGGCCTAGGCCTCATGAGGGAACAAAGGAACGAACGAAGGAACGAAAAATGAACGAAGGGGGTTGGCTTGTGTGGTGGACCTTGACTCCTGATATTATTTTCCTTCCGGTCGAGTGGATCAGTCTTCTTCCTCTTATACCTTGTTGTGTCACCCATCTCCTTCCTTTTTCAATGGTCCATCGCAATTGTCTTTTCGATTTTACTTTTATATACTGTTCCATCGCTTCGTCTTTGTGGCTCCTTTTCTTTATCGAAACAGCGGTGCCATCAAGCAGGGTCGAAGTGAAGTAGATAAAAAAAAAAGGCGACAACGAAAGAAAAAAAAAGGTGTACAAAGATCAAAAGACAATTGCATGAATAAAAAACGAGATATGTATGCTTGTGCAAGAGTGCGTGCCTGTATCTTTTTTCCCTGTCTTCTTATTTTGCCCTGTGCGCTCCCAACCAACGGTCAATGATTTGAATGGACCATGGAGATATGTCTGGACAAACTCTTTGGACAAAGACAACAACAACAACAAAAAAAAGAAAAGAGGGGTAAGAGCAAGTGTACGAGGCGTGCAGAAAAAAGAAGAGCACTTTGTCATACAATTTTCTGTACAAACAAAACAAAAAGTCTCCGAGAAGAAGAAAGAAAGAAAGAAAGAAAAGAAAAAAAGGGAGATCGATGGAAAGACGAGAGGGGGTGGACCATTGTTTAACCTCATGCTCACCCTTTCTTCTTTTCTCGTTGGCTACCTTGTTGTCACTCCTGTCATTTCAATCATGTCAGTGTCCAAAGGACAAACAAGTCTCGTCCTTGTACTCGTTTGAAGTACATTGTTTTCATGTCCATCACAATTAACACAAAACCCCATTGATAGAGAAAGATGGTGAGCGTTTAGGAGAAAGGGAGGAGGGGAAGGAGGACAAAGCAAAGACGAACCCAAAACGTAAAATAAGAAAGCATGATTGAGTGATTGACTAGAAGGGCGCATGCAGCTGTGGCGGTGGTGTCGCCTGATATATGAAAGAGGAGAAGGAGGAGTAAGGGAGAAGGATCCCTTTTGGAGAAGAAAAGACCTAGGATGTATGTCATGCCCGTGGCCGCCAACTACGCCCAACTTACCAAGTCCGACAAACGTGAGCTCGACGGGGCCAAGCGCCCTATTAAATTTGGTCTCGGCCTCCTCGACCTGGTACTCAAGCCGACCCAGGGTCTGGATCGCGATCAGTCGCCGGGCATGGAAGTGGAAAGCTGATTCGTCTGGTTTTCGAAATGGGGTCTGGCCAGTATAGTAGTAGCCGTCGAGATGGTCGTCCATCTGCCAGTGGTCTTTGCGCCACGAGTAGGCGTCGTGTTCAGAGAACTGTTGGTGGGAGGCCGCGTGGGGAGTCAAGGCGGAAGGAAGACTGGTGCAAGTCGTTGGGAGAGAGGGGAGTGGAAGGGGTTGCGTTGAAGGAGTGAAGGTGGACCGAAAAAGGGGGGTTGGCAGTGCTTTTTACCAGTTGTGTTATATTCTTGGTTGGTTAGTAGTTAGTTGGTTGGTGTAGTGCGGTGTGGTGCGGTGTGGTATGGTTGAGTTGAGAGTGGATGACTGACAAACTAGATCGTAAAATAGGAGGGAAGGGAGGGAAGGAGCTAAGAGGATGTCGTAATGGGAGAGGGATGAAGGATGAGGGATGAGAGAGGGAGGATGGCGAGGAAGAGGAGAAGGGATAGTATAAAGAGAAGGTGGAACGTAGTGGCTGAGCGAAGAGGATGAATGAAGAAAGGAAAAGAGGAGGAGGGAGGGACAAGAGGACAGAGGAGAATCGAGAGAGCATACAATTGGGTTTCTGAACACTCCTCGCTGCAGACAAAAAATTTGCTTTTTTTTGATAATTTGCACTTCAAGGTGTTCAGCTGTCGAGGGGAGCACGGGTCGCCAGATCGGACCCAGTGTCAAATGGATCAACACTGCATGCACACCGATAACATCTTTTGATCAAAGAAGCTAGGCACTAGTGCAAAGGTACCGACCTGGCGCCCTTACAGATCGCCATCAATGACGTCACATGTGTATGTGTGCCTCGGCTCTCTGATTATTTCTTTCCTGACCTTCTTTTTGTCTGACATCGAATTCACCATCACTTCGTCTCATTCATTCAGCAACTGCGCAAACATGTCAACGGCTCCAGTTCGTCGCTCGGGATTGCAACGGGACATCCTCAACCTCTACCGCGAGTGCTTCCGTGCCGCAAGACTAAAGCCCGAGGTATAAATAAGACAACAAGGCGCCGTCTTTTTTAGACACAGAAGACAGCCATAGATGATACAGATCACGGACGGATCACTAAATCTACCTACTCCTATCCCAATATCCACAGGCGAATAGACCTCACTTCCACGCCTTCATTAGGATGCAGTTCAGGAAGCACTCGGATGTGAAGCAGCGGGACTTTTCGACCATTGAATACCTCCTCCGGACAGGAAAGAGACAGCTCAAGGTCTTCTCTGCACCCAGTATTGAGGATGTTACCGTTTAAAAAAAAAACGTAACATCTAGATCGCCATTCCTACAACCAGCCCGTCGCCATTTCCGACATTTCGACACGTCGACACCACTGGCGCCTCGCTGGCACAAGGATGCCTGTTGCCACACAGGAACCTGTCCAGTAGGTTGCCGCACAACCCCCCGCAGAAACCCGGCTCCTCTCAGGACACCGTACCCATAACCATTGTTCTTGCCTCGGAAGTGCACTTGACTTATTAGAAATAAAATTAGCACCTCGTGACTGCCAATCAGCTCGCTTGTTCAAACACAACACACACGAACACTCTTCACTTTGCATGGGATCAACCACAACCACCATGGACGACATGAGCACCACGCCAGCCGACAATATCAACGTCGACACCTCTAGCCAACCACGGAATCGTCCACGTCGGCGGAGCAAACTCCCGAAACAGAAACCAGACGCCCTACCTGGCAAGCGCGAACAGTCAAAACGTATCGTCCAAGCCGAAGTGGACAAGGGCTTGAATAGAGCGGACGCAGAGAGCCTGTCGGTGGACGGTGAGACGGATGGTGAGGGAGATAGCCAGGATAGCATAGCCAATCAGAGGCTGAGGGATTTGGCAAGTTCTTATGACGACATTTTCAATCCTGGTCAGGGCGACGACGTGGAGAGTGATCTAGAGTTGGAGCTGGAGCTCACCGCGTTCAGAAAGGAGGAGATTAAACCTCGGTTCAAGTTGGCGCAGGATGGCGTTGTTTGCTGCTTCTGCGGCGCGGTCACTCCGGACAACATGCAACATTTGACGACTTACCCAGCAATGCACGTTTGCCGCAGCTGCCTCACAAAACAGGAACGTGTAGCCCTTGCTCCGGTCCGACAAGAGGCTCCGACAGACAACAACATCAACTTCATTCGGATACACGGGGAGCAGCTGAAGAATCTGGAGAGAGATGTGCGACTCAACCTCTTTGGGTGGATCCCCAAGAAACCTATTGCATCCGAACAGATTGAAGGCCTGATGAAGAGCTCCATTATACCCAACAACACTAACGAGCAGGATCTTCAGCGGAGTAAAGCGGTGAACACGGACGAGGAGACATGGGTCGATCAGCCGTGTAGAGGACAGTCGTTAGTTGCTGGCGGAATGAGTTGGACTGCTGAGGAAAGCAACCTCTTCTTCCAGGGACTACGGAGGTTCGGAAAGCACAACGTCTGGGCGATTCAGGAGTTTATCCATTCGCGATCATTGGCGGAAGTGGTGACGATGGTTGAGACTATGGAGATGGAAGTGGGTCGGCGCAAGACTCTCGGGCTGAAGACGATTCGACTGAGCGAGATGCCCATGGCGACAGAGGTGGATGATCAGGTGATTGCACTTGAGGAGGTGTGTGCGTCTAGGCTGATAGACCTGGAGATGACGACATTCTGGAAACAACATGCCAAATCGCCTGCCGAGTCTACCCCAAAGGTCGTGGAAAAATCGCGACTTTTCAACATGCGAACGCTCTCCGATCTCTCCTCTCGTCTTTATATCCAAAACGAAGACGCCGCCATGGAGAGAGAAGTTGTCTTGAGCCTCTACGACGCTCTCAAGGAATGGCTCACTCCCGTGGTCAAGGAACTGGTCGTGTTGCAGCATGAGCGCCATCGCGTCACCGCCTTGCTTACGAAGGTATAGTGCTCTGGTCGTATTTGCTTGTGTGTTTTAATGTTCTGGGTTTGTTTCATTCTAAAATCTCCATAATCTTTTTACAATGTAGGAAGAATGTGTTGACACGCCCAGTATCACGGAGATGGATGTCATCCGTACACTTCAAGCAAGGCAGCTTCCGTTGGACGTCGATGCCTTTTTCAGCACTGCTCATAACCGGTTACAGTATATGCTCTTTGATGACAGCGCAGTGGTTCCAGAAACGATGTCAAACGGTCCACAGTACACTCCATCGGCTCTGTCGGACTACGGGAAACAGTATTATTTGAACGCGACAGCGGATTTGAAGGAGGCGGAGGAAGCGGACTCGGATCAGGACATGGACACATATGACGGTGTGCTTGCGGAGGAGGCAGAAGACGATATCATGGAGGCGCCTCTCCCAGTTCTTCGCCCTTTACTCGATCCACAGAGTATCAATTCAGGCGGCGAGCTGGCTGCCCAGATTAACAAGGAACAAGGACCGTCGCCTCAGCAGTGGAGGTCATTCAGGTCGACACGAGCGCAAGAAGCGCAAGGAAGTTCTGCAGATGTTGCGAGCGATATTGCAGAAGGACGTCTAACGGTCCAGCTCCAGTCATCTGAAAGCTTACCGACAATGTCCTACGAAACGTGGAGAGAGGATGTGGCGAGACTGGAAGATAGCAGCCTTACTTTGTTAAGCGCAGTAGGTGCTACCGATAATCGCTTGAACAAACATGCCTTGATCACGAACGTCCAGAGCATGAACAAGACTGAGCGGTCATACGAACAGCGCCTCTATCTGGAGCCACTCTCGACGATTCCTCCGTCCGCACAGCTGGAAGTGAACAAACTGAAGCGGATAGCTGCACATGTCTCCGCCCTGGATTCAGAGTGCAGAGTGCAGTCCAGGTACAAGAACTCGGAGCAGCCTGGATATGGACCGCTACCCAAGAATGCATCACTGCTACTGGACCCAACGCGTGTGGCGCCAACAACAGGATACGGAGTTGGGAAGCGAGACCGAGGCGGGCTGTGGCAGATGGACAGGTGTGTCGATGACTCGGGATATATCACCGTCTCTGATTCGGATGACGAGGAGGAGGAGGACCTTGGATGTCAGCGCCAGATGAACGCAGACGCGAACATCGAGAGGGCCTCGCAGGTGCTAGGATGGAAGGATATCTTTCCTGTTGGCACTGGCAGCAGTATTAGCAGCAAGAGGCAGAAACGAGATTCGGGTCCCATTGACCCTGTCCCTGCATATTAAAATCACGTGCCACTTCTCAATTCATTTATCATACGATCATTTTTCTTCAAAGACGTCACTAAAATGCTCGAAAACCTTGGCCAGGCAGCCTGCCTTGGTACCCGAAAAAGCGAGAGTTGATGCTTTTTTGCCAATCACCATCACACATCACCCCACCACCACACCATGTTCGCTGTTCGCTCCATCCGCGCCCCTTTGGCTCGCGTCACCCTCCGCGCTACCCCCGTCGCCCGCTTCTCTGCCCTCTCTGTCCGCTTCGGTGAGTATTCCAACTCACACCACTCTCACCCCTTCGGATCTTTTTTACCGATAAAGAATTTTGATATACAAACCCGACAGGGGAGACTCTTTTTACGCCATTGTCTCCCATCGACAACATAAACGACATTATCGACAACAACAACGACCATAGACGATCTGCCAGCGTACACCCTTTCGACTGAGCGCCATGTCCATGGAAACCCATAGGGACAGCTTATTGTGGGCATAAAAAAAAAAAAAAAAAAAAAAAAGAAGAGGAACTATATTCCGCCGGAATGGTTGGTTGAATCCGAGCGGCAGGATCCGGAGATCAGTATGCATGATCCACCAGTTGAATATCTGCCCGCTCTACGCCAGTTCACCAGCAACTTGTTCGGCCTTTGCGAAACACTCATGTCCGACGAAGAATGGGACCTTTCTGGACGTTTTGTGTTCACCAATCATTCGCCACAACAAAACCATGCAGATCGCCGGACCAGTCGCGTTCCTTTGGATGACGGGATAATTTTGTGCGCCAATTTGACGCAATTACACCGCGTTTTCTTCCGTGGAACAAACCACGCCAACTTTTAAACCTTTCAACTGACCTTTGCTATGCAATCTTCCATCCAATATCTTTATCTAGGTGGTCACCACGAGGTGAAGATCCAGCAGGGACCCGGTGCCGCTGCCGGTGCCACTCCCACTGACTTGGACCAGTCCACTGGTTTGGAGCGTGCTGAGATTTTGGGAAAGATGCAGGGCAAGGATATCTTCGATCTTGCTCCCTTGGAGGTCCACGTCCGTGGTACCAAGGCCAACCCCACCATCATCCACTCCCGTGATCCCATCCGTTATGTCGGATGCGCTGGTACGTTATTGGTGCAGTTGTCGTTGTAGTTGTTGTCAATTGCAGTGCAATGATTTTTTTGTTCGGATGTCTTTTTATATATCTCTAACTTGACATATTCTTTACGCCCGAATCTCTCCATTCGATGCATAATCCGTAAATTTTAATAGGTGTTCCCGGCGAGACCCACGAGGTTCAGTGGCTCCTCATTGACGAGACCCACGAGTTTGACCGTTGTGACCAGTGCGGCAACGTCTACAAGTGGACTGCCTATGAGCCCGATGAGAACTTCCCCGGTAACCACGGTCACCACCACTAAACGATACGACGCAGGAAAAAGAAACGAGAAAGAAACGTAGAGAGTTTTTTGTCTTCAATATCATAAGCCCATAATCATTACTATGTCACCCGCTGTCTGTGCTTGTGTTTGTTGTTCGCCCTATCGTATTGTTTATTGTGGCTATCGCTGAACAAAGCTATTGCATGGGAATGGCCTTTCTTGTTTCCTGCACCTGCAATTCTAGCTGACAGGTTGCTCCTATGCCTGCAAGAAAATCGGCATTTTCATTCAGGCGACACAATGCACGCCCAACGCTTCGATCGATGAGCAATTCACCCAGAGGCACACCCCTGGGGATTTTTATTTTCGTTCGTGTGAGAAAACCAATTGACGCGTTGCGAGTGGTGCGCCAGGAGGAAAAAGTCACACGGTCAGGCACAACTGCCATCACTCCTTCCATTCATTCACACCTTTCCTCTTTTTCTTTTACTTTTCTCCTGTTCCTCCCTTTTCTGCTCATTCACTTCTCCATTCCCATCAACCTCTTCCTGTCCTCTTTCTCGTCCATGTTGCGCGCCGTGTCGTCCAGTTCCCTCCGCAAGGTCGCACCGACCACACTCCTTGCCGGGAGACGGTTGACCCTATCCCTCCTCCCCTCCTCCTTATCCTTTCCTCGCTACCTCTCAACCCTATCGTCCACCCTCCGCTTCTCGGACGAAGTAAAAGCCGCCCTGGAGCAAAAGAAACCCCTCGTCGCCCTCGAGAGTACCATCATCTCCCATGGCATGCCCTACCCGGCCAACTTTGAAACCGCTATCGCTGTCGAGAAGGTCGTGCGGGATAATGGTGCCACCCCGGCGACGATAGCTATTCTTGACGGCCAGATCCAGATCGGTCTTTCGCAGGAGCAGATCCGACACCTTGCCAAGATGGGAAGGGAGGCTGTCAAGGCTTCTAGACGCGACCTTGCTGTTGTCATGGCCAAGGTACGAAGAAGAGGTTTTTTTTTCCTTTCTTGTGTGGGTGACGGCACGAGCTTGAAAGTGAACGCTCATGAGTGAATGTCGTACTTACATCCTTGGTGCTTTTTGCTCGCGTAAAACATCTAATAGAAGCAAACGGGAGCTACGACTGTATCTGCAACAATGCTTCTCGCACATCGCGCTGGGATCTCAGTGTTTGCGACAGGAGGAATCGGTGGTGTGCACCGCGGATACGAAGATAGTAAGCTCCACCTGTCATTGTGTGTCTAGAATGTCAATTTATCGCGTTGCTTCCAACTCTTGTAACTTTAACACACATTTGTTCGTAATTTCAACAACGCAACAGCTATGGATGCGAGTGCCGACCTCACAGAGCTGGGACGTACCCCCGTCGCCGTCGTTTGTGCAGGCGTGAAGTCGATTCTGGATATTGGCAGGACATTGGAGTTCTTGGAGACACAGGGTGTCACTGTGGCAACTTTCGGGAAGACAACGGACTTTCCTGCCTTCTTCACTCGCACTAGTGGTTTCCAGGTAAGCGTTGCCAATGGGCTCCAGCAAAGATCATCAATGTCTCCGACTGGATATATTAACTCACTGACGCCTTTATCGATTTTACTATCACTAGAGCATGCTCAACATTGAGACACCAAAGGAGGCTGCTGAACTAATTGGTATGCGAACAAGGCACAGCTTTATATGTTTTATCATAACGGGAAAAGACGACCTACGGCCTAATAACTAACAGTGCTCATTTCCATCGATTCTATCGCCTCAAGCTGCCAACCACGCCATTGATTTGCAAAGCGGGATTGTTATTAGTGTCCCAATCGCGAAAGAAGACGCCATGGATGATATTTTGGTGGGAGAAGCCATCAATGTTGCCGTCAAGGAGTCCATGTACGTTTTCTCGTGAACCAGGACGAGGTGCATACTTTGTTACGTTTTGATGCGGAACACATTCATACACAACTTGGAACCTGACCTTCTGGACCTTTTTTTTCAATTATTGGGAATAGTGAGCAAGGCATCTTGGGCAAGGAGAGCACACCCTTCTTGCTCAAGCGGGTTAACGAGCTCACAGGCGGCAACTCTTTGAAGTCAAGTATGTTCTGTTTTGCTGGGCTGGTTTGATATCTTTTTGCGTTTATGTAAAACCACAGCGACTAATTACGAGCACACGACTATCTGCTTGTCACCTTCAACTAGACATTGCCCTTGTGAAGCAGAATGCGTCCGTTGCTGCCAAGATTGCGAAGGATCTCGCTGCCTTGGTAAATATCATGACTAAATATCACTGACCCATTGGTCTGTACCTGAACCTCTTACCAGGCAGCACATTACTCACGAACATTTCTTATTTGTTATTACTCATAGAATGTTCGACCTCAGTATCGCTCATACTCTACATCGGCTCGTCGCATGAAGCATACTCAGGCTGCGTATGGACCTGTAAGTTAAATTCCTTCATGAGCTTTATGATATGGTCATGGCAACTTCTCCCGTATGTCTTTCTAAAACGAAGTACAAGGAACTGCAGGCCATGATCCAAGATTTCTCACCACAAGATAACAGGGCTTTCGAATAAATTAAGCGACCCTTTTTCTTCCTATTTCGTGTAACGCCAACAGCTTTATTTCTTCTCTTTTTCGTTGCTGTGCGTGCACTGTCAATTGGCGAATCAATCATCTGTGTAGGTCATGGTCATTGGCGGCACAGTGGTCGATATCACCTCAACAGCAGCGACGGCAACGGATGTCCTGCACAGTTCCTTCCCTGGCACCACGCGTCACACACTCGGTGGCGTTGGAAGAAACGTCGCAGAGGGGATTTCGTTGCTCAATGGTGGCGGTAACGGCAACGACCTTGTATATGTCTCGGTCGTGGGCGAGGCTTCGGAGGGAGCGAGTGAGGATATGTTTGGTCCTTGGTTGAAGAACGCGATTGCGCATCGAGGTGGTGATAATTCAGAGATCTATACTGTACCTGGAGCTAGGACGGCTACTTATACCGCGATCCATGACGCGTCGGGGAATCTTGTCTCTGCTATTGCGGATATGGAGATCTTTGATCTCGTGCCTATCGACAAGGTGGAGTCGCGTTTTTTGGAGTGACGGCAATACCAAACTGATGGTTCATTTCTTGTGCAGTTGTCTGTTAGGCTAACACTGGAAGCTGCCTTGTCTCTTTGTTTGTGCTAGGTCGAGAATGCCATCAGAAAGTATAGGCCAAGGACCGTGTGCTTCGATGGCAATTTATCGTCAGAGTGCATGAAGGCGATTCTCGAAACATGCCGCGGCCAGAATGTTCAAAGTAAGTTCATATGGCACGTCTTTCCGAGGATGTTGTTATAAAAACGTATCGCTAATTCTAACTTGCAAATTATATCGCCCTGAAAAAAAAAAGCGTTCTTTGAACCCACCTCGGTTGCCAAATGCGCACGACCACTCGACAAATCCCTCCTGGGACCCTTGAAAGACGGTCTCCTGCGCTTCTCCAGTCCTAACGAATATGAGTTGGCAGCCATGGCTAAACAAGCTCGAGAGCTGATGGGCTATAACAACTCCTTGTCCGTCCGGAGTAGTATCGGCGGATACTCTGAGTTCGTCTCGAATGACACGCGCCACGCACTAGAGGATTCTGAGTATGCGGATCTTTTAAGGGACGCGACGGATCTTTCGCAGTTCATCCCGACGCTTTTTATCAAGTTGGGAGCAAATGGTGTGTTAGTCTTTCAGCGATCTGAAAGTGGGTTTGTGGCGCAAGGTGGATCAGGAGAGGAACATCCGGAAGTGACATTAAGATGGAAGATGTTTCCTGCACACAAGGTGGAGTCGATGAGGAGTGTTACAGGAGCAGGGGACAGGTATTGTTGAAATTGTTGATGCGATTTTTGGCCATGACATTTGAAACCTTTTTCTACTCACTGACCCCTTTGCCCATCCTTCACTTTCGTCTACTATAGCTTTGTGGCGTCGGTCGTGACGAGTATCCATAATGCGGACAAGATTGTGTCTGATCCTCGCTTGTCACTGAAAGACCCTGTCGTGTTCTGGAAGCTGCTAGATGGGATTGTTCATGATGGTCAAACGGCTGCGATTCTGACAATGCAGACGCATGAGAGTATCAGTCCTGCTTTGGCACATAGCGCTCAGGCCGAGACCTTGCGGCGGCTCAAGAACCTCTTGAAGTGATAATGATGAGATCCCTATCGCGTTTCTTTGGGTTCATTTATTTTTGTATCTTATTGATTGTGTACAAAGCGAATTAAACAACCAGAAACAATATTTGGATAACTGTGTGTGTGTGTGTGTGTATGTGTGTGCAAAAGTGTCTATTGAAGGATATGAATGTATGAAGCTCTATGACGATTCTTTTTTTTTTACTTTTTAATCTATAGGCAAGTCCTTGCGATAGTCCCAGCTGAACTTTGTAAGGTCACCATGGGAAGGAAACTTCTTGCTGTTCAGACTACTCTTCGACTTGTTTGTCAATTTCCCGTTTGACCCGACATTACCTAGCGATGGTTGTTGCTGCTGCTGCTGTTTTTGTTGTTGCTTGCGAGGTGATCGATGGTTGCCGGCGCCGGTACGGGCGTTGTTCATGAACGAATTGGGAGGACCTGGCTGCTTCACACGTCCCTGTCCTTGTTCATTCGAAGTCGAGTGAGAAGAAGACCCACCACTGGATCGGGATGTCCCCACAGAGGAAACAGAGTTGGACCGTGGGCGACCCATACTGGCGATCGAGCCCGTCTCTGGATTAATGTTCTCCATATCATCCAGTTCGGCGCCTGGGAGGACGGGGTAGAGGTCTCCGTACTCTGTGCGGAGGAGGTCCTGGGCAGAGATAGTGAGGTGTTGGCGGCGGTTTCGGGAGTTGGAAGTGGAGCCGTAGAGGGAGGATTGGCCGTTGTTGTCGCTGTTGGTCGTTTCGGCGTCACTGCCGCGGCGGTAGTGTGAGGAGTAATCTGTCGAGCGAGGGGTTGTTGCCGATTCGACGGGTGAATAGTATGAGGAGGGAGAGGGCCCGTCAGAGCCGGCGGGGGAGTTGACCATCGAATTGATCATCGATGTTATGCCCAGCGACGACCGCCTCCTACCACTGCCGCCTGCAAGAGTGTTCAGGCTGGGGGACGAGCATGCGGCGCGGAACTTGCCCTCGCTACCACTACCGCCGCCGCCGATGGGTGTCGCCATCACAGAAGGCGAGTTCATCTGCGCGGATTCCAGCATTGACGCAGACCCACCAGGGCTGTTCATCACATCCGACGCAAAAGACTTCCGACGGATGATCTTCAACTGCTCGTCCATACTCTGCTCGGCCCAGGCGGCGTCTGCGGGGCTCTGGGGGAAAGCGGTCATGGACCGGCAGCTTCTGGGGGTTCCAGCAAAGCCGTTATAGCTTTCGCCAAAGTGGTTGTTGTTCGAGATGGGCGACGCGTGGGTAGAAAACAAAGGAGCGGCTGGGTTCATGTTGGCAATGGCTCCCATTGAGGATGACCGAGGAAGATTGTTGAGAGCCTTGAAGGTGTCTTTTCCCAAGTATCCAGCGCGAGCGCGAGGGGCGGTTGGGGTGGTGGCTCCGGAGACGAAAGGCGATCCTCCTCCTCCTGTGGCAAACTGTGCGGGTGAGCCGACGTTGTAGAAGACGGGTGTTCCTCTGGTACTACCACCAGCGGCGGCTTCTTGAAGACTGCTGACACTCGCACGAGCCATAGGGAAGACCTTGGCATGGTCACGTATTCTCCCAAGATTAGGTTTCTCTCTCTCAAAGATACTCTCGCGTGCGATCGAGGTGGCGCTATTGCCAGCAATAGATGCCGTTTCAGCGTCCCTCATGAACTTGGATCGTACAGGAAGGTGAGGAGTCGAGCTGTCAAAGGCTGTGTTCAATAAGGTAGATGCGCCGGTTCCTGCGCCGCTGTCTCCGTTAGTGATGGCGGTGATGTCAATTCCGAGTCCGAGTGATAAGTCGTTTACGTCTACAGCCTTTTTTTGATACTGCTGAGGAGACTTGCTGTGTGGGGTTTGGTTGTTCTGGAGGTATTCCATGCTGGTATTTTTGTTGCGTTGAGTAGGCGTGAAGGGCTTGCCATCGTCGGCAACTCGAGAAACACCATGCACTTCATCTGGCATAGCAATCACAATCTCCTCTCTATGTCCAGCACTCGACTCCTGTCCTCTATACTGCTCGCCCACCTTTTGCCCATCCTTGTAGGGACTGTACGATCGACGGAACCAAAGCCCCAACCAGACAGTCCAAAAGCAAGCCGCAACCGTCGTCGAAATCACAGCGGCCCTGGTCGTCACACAGAAGTGTCGATATTGATGTGCAACAGCAGCACAATCGATTCCATTCCGGATCTTGTACCACTGCATCAAGGCCGCCAAGAAACACGCGACCGCCAATCCGATCAGGGTACAGAGCCGAGGAAGAGGCGAGATCAGAAAGATCGAAACTCGTACGACCGCACGGGTAGCTGGCTTAGTAGTGCGGGGTAAGGTCACCGCCTCTCCATTGTTGGGCTTGGTAGTCAAGGCCGAGGTCTCCACATCGGATAAAAGTCGACCACTGCGTTGAAGGAGCAAGTGGGATCGGACATGAGCAGCCCCCTCAGCTGTACGCACCCACCACGCTAGGATCATATACCCAACGGCCATGACGAAAGAGGCAGCGGTTACGAGGAAGAGGAGCAGTGTCGTGAGAGAGGTATACCCATGCAGGTTTTGGATCCAGATGGTCGTCAGGATAGAGTAGACCGCATAAATGGACAAGAAGGCGATCGTTCCGTGGAGTCCCAGCTCAAGAGGGAGCTTTATATCGGTCGTCGTCGTTGTTGTTGGCGGTAGTGGCGCCTCATGAGGATGCTGGTGGTGGAGATGACGATCCTGCGGTTGAGAGTGAGGAGGGGTTTGTCGGTGGATGGGTATAGAGGTGTTGTTGTCGAGAGGGTGTTGCGACGACATGCCAGCTAATATGTGTTAGGCTGAGGAGTTGGTGAGGTGGGGTGGATTGCTAAAGAATGAGATCGGCCAAAAATTGTTAGCCCGGTTTATAACACCACGCGACAATATCATTGCGCCTCCATTCCATTGGAAGGACATAGACATACAGGTAGCAAAGGGCGATGGACGACGTCGTGTGAACAACCAAATTACAGGGTGTAACCGTAGAAAAGACACAGAAATGGAGATGGTTATCGTGGAGATGGTATTTGAGGATGGGGAAGGAAGTGAGAAGCAGGGGGGATGAAGGAAATAGGGAGTGAGGTGATGTGCGATGGAAGTTAGGAATAACGGGTGGTATGAGGCATGAAAAGCAGTGGGGTAGCTGAAAGAGTGGATCGGAGAGAGAAGAGAAGGAAACGAAGGAAAAGAAGGTGAGGGGAGAAGAGGGCGGAGAAAAAGATATGGATGCGAGGATCGGTTCTGAAAGGTGGCAGAGGAAAGAAGGCCAAGCCACGCACACACCCAACTTCGTGTCGAACCAGGTAGAGGGATAAGAGGATGATTGATGTTACCTCAGAAACGGATAATGAAGAACAAGAAAGATGGATATACGGGTGGAGGAGACGAAGAGAAGAAGGAAGAAAAAGAGGAGAGAAAAGGAACGAAAAAGAAAAGGGTACACCAGCAACGGTGGGTGAACAAGGTCTTCAAAAACGAAAGCAAGAAATGGGCTTGCGCATCCGACAGGCCACAGAAGGAACGGTATCAGGAAACAACAGCACAGTGGACAAGCAAGAGCAGCGCGATCAAGAAGAGCAGTTGTACCAGCAACAACGACGACAACGGTGCAAATGGGAATTACATCTGATTTTCATCTTGCCCGGACCTGTTTGCAAACAGTGCAAACAGAAAATCATCCGTTACGTTTTCTTCTCTCACACAGTACCCTCTCCCTCCTTCCTCGTCTGTTAGGGGAAGAAGGCGGGCGGGGCTATTGGAATAATAACGACAATTCGCAGTTTATTACACTTTCAAAAACAGAGCAGACATGCATTCATAAAACGATGACAGGCTTGGATCTTTCGACGTCCTTGCTTTCGCTCCTCTATTGAGGGGGGCGCTGGTATCCAGGGGGAGGAGGGCGGAAACCAGGGGGAGGTCCTTGGAATCTATGGCAGAGGTTAACAAAAGGCAGACAATCATTAGTATTCATGTCCCTGTCAGTGCAGATCAAGCAACAATCACGTCAACAGAGAAAAAAAATACATACCCTGGGGGAGGACCGGGAGGGAAGCCTGGAGGGAAACCTGGGGGAGGACCACCCTGGGGCATACCGGGACGGAAACCGGGAGGAGGGACCATACCAGGACGGAAGCCAGGAGGCGGTGCCATACCGGGCATACCGGGAGGTGCCATACCCATTGGGCGGAATCCTGGTGGGGGAATGCCTGGTGGGGGCATACCGCCTGGGGGCATACCACGGCCGTATGCCATTGGCGGTGCGGCAGCGGCAGGTCCGCGGGGCAACATCATTCCTGGGGCAGGTCCGCCAACACCGCGAACTGGTCCAGTCAATCCTGGGGCAACTCCAGGGACAACGGGCATACCACGGCCAGCAGGCGCAGCAATTCCTGATCCAGCGCTCAACTGTTATAACAGATACATAGAGGTTGTATGGGTTAGAGGTTTGTTTTCATGAACGAGGCATTGACGATAGATCGATACGCAAAGTTGCTCCGTCGAACGATTTGTGTTATAACAAAACGAGATAGCATACCTGTGAAAGACGCGACCTCTGGTCCTCGCCGCTTGGTGGGGGAGGTCCATCAACGCTCATGCTGACGATGATTTCGCCACGGAGAATGACCAATCCCAATGTCCTCTTCTGCTCTCGTGCTTGTCCTGAGGGTGCGCCATCCTTTGCCTTGATCTTTCTGAATTCCTCGCAGTCTGCAAGGACCAAGTTCATGTGTTTGTCAAAGGCCAGCATCTGGCCGGTCAACACACGCGAATCCGACAATGTGATCCTGAGTCTGAAGTTGATCAGATTCATCATTTTTGAGTTTTTTGAGATCGCCTATGAGTGTCGAGAGCAAGAGGAGGCGCCAAAGGTTAACAAGAGATATAAGAGAGAGAGCCATATATCCAGTACGTCTGTCGTGCTTGCTTGCTGTCTGTCTGTCGTTGCGACGATGAGTTCGAAGTCGCCGCATGCAAGACGATGATATGCTGCAACTGATCCGTTTGTTTATAAAAGCCTGATTTGTGGCGGCGTCGACTCGGTCCCTCTTGACAAACACGTACTAGCTTGTCGTGCACGCAATTGAGCTAACTACTTGATTGACTCTGCTGTCGCTACTCCTCTTGATAACGCTATCTCCCGTATAGTTCTGCTGCTCCTTGAAGTCAACGTTGTTGGTTGTCGTCCTGGAGATTGTGATTGTTTTTCTGCGTGCGTCTGTTGTTGTTTTTTCTTCCTTGTGCTTGTACTTAGAAGGAGCCATACCATGTTGACGCGAGTGTATATTTGTGAATAGTTGGGACTTGAAGATTCGATTCCTGGGACACCCAATCAACGGACAGACGAGGATGTGTGTTTTGGCGGCGGACTCCTGGTGATTGCGAGGGAGGCGGAGCGTGAGGATGGATGAATGCTGACCGTTCTGCGAAAGGCCACTGTCTTTTGCCCAAGAAGAAAAGGATCCCAGTGGCTTGGAAAGTGACGTCGACAAAAAACATTGACCCTGTGTGGACCATATAGTGATTCCTACCTGCTGATCGCTCTCGAACCATCCACCTTCACTTTTCCTCTTCAACGCAATACCAATGGCTCAGGCATTCAACAAACTCGGCGGTATCTTCCCCAAGGGCAGCGGAAAGGGTCTCGCTGGCGGTGCCGGCGCCTTGATCACCCTCGGCGCCCTCGGCTACGGAATCAACGCCTCCCTCTTCAACGGTAAAATACCCTTGATCCTTTCGACAACAACACAGGAACAGTAGTACTGCTCTTTCCTCCGACGGCTCAGCTCAGCCGACCACCGCTGCAAGGAGGCAGCCTGGTCAACAAGGATCAGCACCCTTCCTCCCCACCATGCCATGACCACTTCACACCAGCCGATCACAACCCAAGGGCGAACAATTCAGGAAGCAATTTTTCTTTCAACTAGCCCTCATTCTAACTTTCCGGCTCTCGCTCTCTCTTTTCTCTTTTTATTGATCTGATCTCACAACTAGTTGACGGAGGTCACCGTGCCGTCAAGTACTCCCGTGTCTTCGGTGTCCAGAAGGAGGTCTACAACGAAGGAACTCACTTTGTCATCCCCTGGTTCGAGACTCCCATTATCTACGATGTCCGTGCCAAGCCCAGAAACGTTGCATCCTTGACCGGAACCAAGGGTATGTTCAGGAAGGCCAATTGTTATGGGGTCACATCAACAGCACCGGAAAGGGAATAATTTCCGAGCAACACAACGGACGGAATGAATCGCCCTATCTTTTTTTCGCGGGCAAAGGAACGAACGAGACATACACACCACACAGCGACACGACAAAAGAAAAATCAGGCAGCAACAACCGCAGGCTGGGAGTGGCGCCGATCGGGGCACAAGTGCAAGAGAAAAAGGATTGACCTTCTAACGGCCTATATCTGTGCACTTTGTCCCCAATTAGATTTGCAGATGGTCAACATCACCGTCCGTGTCTTGTCCCGCCCCCGCGTCAACGACTTGGCCGAGATCTACCGTACATTGGGACAGGATTACGATGAGCGTGTTTTGCCTTCTATCATCAACGAGGTGTCCAAGTCGGTCGTTGCTCAGTTCAACGCCTCTCAGCTCATTACCCAGCGTGACCGCGTTTCTCGCTTGGTTCGCGAGAACTTGATCAAGCGTGCTGCTCGCTTCAACATTGTCCTTGACGATGTCTCGATCGTCCACATGGCCTTCTCGCCCGAGTTCACCCAGGCTGTTGAGGCCAAGCAGATTGCCCAGCAGGAGGCTCAGCGTGCCGCCTTCGTTGTCGACCGCGCCATTCAGGAGAAGCAGTCCATCATTGTCAAGGCTGAGGGAGAGGCTCGCTCTGCAGAGCTTATCGGTGATGGTGAGTATTTGTGTTTTCACTATGGCAGGGTCGCCTTGAATAATGCGGGATAGAGGGCTGAGCAGGATCGCCCATTTTAGACCAGAGGAGAAGACCAGTGGCTAATGCATCTTTTACCGTTTTTACTTTTTATCATTCATTTCTTTACCTCGCGCGGATCAATTACCAACAACAATAGCCATCGCGAACAAGCCCGGTTTCATTGAGCTCAGAAAGATTGAGGTCGCTCGTGAGATTGCCTCCATTATCTCCCACTCCTCTAACCGCGTCATGCTCGATGCCGACACCTTGTTGTTGAACGTCAGCGAGCAGAAGTAAGTCACCCGTAACATGATTATACATTAGCGTCTTTTTTATTGTGTTTTATGCTACCTTGCTGGCCATGGAGCACCGACTGATCCCTTTTATTATTTTTTTGGTTTGTTTTGGGTCCATCTAGGAAGGAGGAGGTCAAGAAGCAGTAAAAAGCATGGACACGACAAAAGGCATTGATGAGGCAGGGTTTCTATTTAGACATAAAACACGATTTGTACATTTTAATTATGGTGGATCGCCACTGCTGACAGCGTGTTACAAGCGCAATGGGCATATTGTATTGTTGGAGCTTTTCACCATTTTACCACTCGGTCGTCGAAACGAAACAGTCCTTCTCAGACAGGTTCTAAACGGAGAGTCAAAGTAAGAAAGAAACGGAGGGAAGGAGAACTATATGATCGTGAGAGAGCCTTGGTGAAGGAACAAGCGAGCTGGTTGGTTGGTTGGTTGGTGGATGGATGGAATGGTTGGATAAGTTGGACAATAGAGTCCAACCCCTTGGTCTCTTGCAGTCAAGTGCTGGGCGGGCACTTATTGTTTGCCGACATCTTACAAACGACTTGAAGAACTGCCGAGCGATGTTCTTATTGTTGCTGTCGCTATTGATGGGAATGTGTATACTTTATCGCAACTTAAGTTCGCTTCTCGTTTTGTTGGATGAATGGCATGTTGTGTGATGATATGTGCATTGGGTGTCATTGCTCTTGTCTTTCTTGTTCTCTGCTATCCCTTTTGCTCACCTCACTGCCCCCCTTGCGAAAACCTATCCCAGCCTGGACCGGGCAGACGGACAGGCAGGCAAGGCGCCCTGAGATCCTTTTTTCTTTTTTTCAGTCTGACTCTGACTTCTCATCCCTTACCCCTGTCATCCCTGAGGACTCAAAAGAAGGATGCACACACATAAACATACACACACAACAAAAAGTCCCTTACTTTTTGAAAGGGGGCTCGTTTTTTTATACCTGTGAAGACACACAAAAGAAAAGATGAGATCCTGCAGCCATTGTAAACCCAAGGCTACTCACCTCTTGTCCACCTGGACCACCTTTCGTCCCTCTGAGAATGGGATCTACTGGAGTTGGCAGGAAACAAGGTAGCCTGTTCTTGTTGTATACAACAAGGGCGGTGCCATTGACGAATGAATAGATTGGTCTGGTTCGGATTGGTGTCTACACCCCCTTCTTCGCCTTTTCCCTTTCTCTTCTTCCACACTTACTTACACAATTGTAAGCACTGTACAAGAGCATGTCTACTGCTCTGTGTATCCTGGGCTCACACACACACCATGGCCCTTACCTACCCTTCCTTTTGGTTTCTTCTTTTTTGCGACCCCCTTTCGCGTCTCTTACATCCGCCCACTTGCCCATCTCTCTCACTCAATATCTCTCACTCTTTCACTACTACCTATTTTTCGTCCTTCTTATCCCCCTCACTTTCATCCTCTCCTTTACCAAACTAAATCCCTGCGTCTCTCTCTCTCTGACACCTTACTTACCTTCTGACTTTTTCTCAAGGAAAGGGCGGCCTCATACGACCCTGGGGGCAGCATTGAGTATGTTACTGTTTGACGATCTCCTCATGCAGACAGCCATCCCCGCTTGGTTCAAGTCATATGTTTCTTACATTACACCTTATTTCAATATAATGATGGTGTTCATTCTTAAATACCCATGCTCTTGTCCTCGTCGTTTTTTTTTTTCTTTTTTTCATTCGCTTTCCCACTCGTCAGCCTCGGACACACTTCCTTTCTTTCCTTCCTCCATCAATACCATCTTTTAGCAACCCTTTCCTCATCACCCTTATCCACCTCGCCGCTGCTGACGTTCCCTGACCCCAGTCCACCCCCAGAACATAACCATGGCGACTCAAGCATCGACCAACCCAGAGTCGCAATCGTCCAATGCGATTGTGCGCGCCATCCATCGCCACTACAGTGACACGACATATGTCCGCTCTGAGCAGACCATCGAGCGCGAAAAGTTCTTAATCTTCAACATCCCTTTCAACCGATGGGCAATGTTCCCAACGGCCTTCATGTAATTTAACCTTCCCATTTTCGTCTCTCATATTACCATGTCCTTTGACCTCGCCCTATATTCTTGCCCTGAGAACAAACAAGAGCAACACAGCTCCATCTTGATAACAAGACATTTGAACCCCCCCCCCCCCAAAACTTTGTTCTAACCCTGTTTTGTTTTGTTTGTATCGCGTATGCGCACGGACACATCACACGATCCCTTATTTTGCGTCTTGATTAGTTTCCAGGCCATCTGCGGATCTCTTTATGCCTGTGAGTAACCGCTGCAACACATGTCCTTTCATGCATTCACAGCACAGTCACTTCTCTTAGTTCTAAACACTCATCATTCATTTTACACTTCTTTAACTACATGCAGGGTCCGTCTTCAACGATCCTATTGACAGCTTTATTTACGGTTCTGTCACCAACACCACCACCGGCAAGTCTACTCCAGCTGCTCACAATGCCGCCGTGACCTTCTATATCGCCGTCGGTAAGCTCCCACCCACATGCACCTGCATCATTGGTGAAAATATGTCTCCGTGTATTTATGTCTTGCTTAGTCATCCTCCGCCTAATACTAATAATGACCATAATGTGCCACTTGTCTATAGGATGCTTTGGGCTGTCTGCTGCCTTGAATGGACCTTGGCTCGAACGTCACGGCCCCAAGCTTGCTGCCATTGTTGGATCCATCATCTTCTTCCTCGGCAACATGATCGCCGCCATCGGCATTTACACCCGTATCATTGCCCTGCTCTATTTTGGATACGGTGTCCTTGGTGGAGCTGGTCTTGGTCTCTGTTACATCTCTCCAGTCTCTGCTCTTCAAAAATGGTTCCCTGATCGTCGTGGTTTGGCTGCGGGTTTCGCTGTCTGTGGTTTTGGTGCCGGTTCCATCATCTTGGCCAAGATTCCTCAGCCCTTGACCGCTGCCGTCGGTCTTCCTTTGACGTTTGTTGTTTTGGGATGCGCCTACTTCGCTGCGATGTTGATCTGTGCCGTCGTCTTCCGTGTACCTCCTCCCGACTTCCAGGTCAACGGTATGGACATATACCGCAACAAGGTCGACAAGAACGGCGACCCAGAGGCCAATGCTTCGGAGAAGGCCGCCCAGGATTACAAGGATCCCAGTGCCAACATGGTTCTGAGCGCAGCCATCTTTTCCACAGAGTACCGCATCATGTACATCATGATGCTTGGCAACTCGATTGCAGGATTGGTCTTCTTGTCTCGTCTCGCGAACATCATCAAAGATATTTTCGGCAAGGACGAGGCTACCGCAGCTACCATTGTCGCCATCAACGGAGGATTTAACTTGGCCGGCCGCTTGTTCTTCTCGACTGTCTCTGACCGCTTAGGTCGCAAGAACTCGTTCTTTGTCATGTTGTTGTCTCAGGTCATCATCCTTGCCTCGCTGCCAACGATCATGGAGAAGCGTGTCTACTGGGCTTTCTTGCTCGTCATCTGGATCTTGACATCTTGCTACGGTGGTGGATTCGGATGCATTCCCGCCTTCCTCTGCGACATGTTTGGCCCTTCCAACATTGGTGCTATGCACGGCATCATCCTGACTGCCTGGTCCCTGGCTGGTGTTGGTGGAGGACTCCTGTTCACGGAGGTATACAACCATCTCCTGGCCAACGGATATACCGTCAAGGATCCCATGGTTTACTCTGCCAACTTGAACTGGATCTTGGCTGTTGCGTGTGTTGGTTTCTTCTTCTTCTTATTTGTTGGCACCAACGTCCGCGATCGTCTACTTCCCAAGGCCAAGGGCGAGTTTGCGCGTCTGAGGGTCTTTGGCCGTTTGGCACGCATAGGCTCGTTCGGTGTCCGTTTTGTGAGTAAGGCTGATGAGGATGCCGAGTGGGAGGCTTATGTGGACAAGAGGCGCGCCGAGGACCATGCCGGCCGCTCTGCTGCTGCTCCTGAAGTGGGCTCCTCCTAAGTAGGCCTTTCGTCTTATCCTCATTTCACATCTATACCTAGTCTTGACCGCCATCTAATTCATTTAATAATATCAGTAACCCTTAAGCATTTCCAATGAATATTACCTTTTTGTCCTTTTGAGACCGTTTGTACCCTCCTCTTTCACATCAATTGCCAATCATGGTACGACCACAGTGTCATTAAGGAGGATGTACCATACATCCATAAGGGCGCTCGATACAACCATCCATCGATCAACACATCAACACCATAGACCTATCAACCATTGCAGCAACTGGCAATTCAGCAACCATCGCTCTCACCAATGGTCACCCAGTACTTGTGAACTTGTCCAGGATGATCCATCGCCATCAGCATCAAGTCAACATCAATTTATTTCTGTCTTCCAGCTCAGAGCTCAAAACAGTGAATTGACAAGCACCCAGGATCGAATCAGCATTCCGCAAACAGCGGCGCATCACCTCAGCAGGAACTCCTCTTTTCTTGGGTCAGGTTCAGCAATCAATCGGCCTTCAGCATCAGTCAAACGATCTGTGGGTCTTTTATTGTGATCCTGACTAGCAAAAGAAGTGCAGGATGGTGTTAGCGATCTGTTCTGCAGGGGCGTCACTATGCCCGATCAGTTTCAGCGCCGGGATCATGATCAGGTCCAGAGCCAACTCGATCCCTTCAGGAAGCAGGAGACAGGAAGAGGAGACGCCATCCCTGTTTTTTTCAACCTTTTATCATCAACCCCACACAAAGGAGAGGAGATAAAACAACGAAGAAGGAAAACAGGATGGCTCCGAGGCGGCTAATTTGAGTTGCGGTCTTAATAACTTTGGTTTATTTTGTACTCTCTATATCAATTAGTCCGCTGAAGACCAGACCCAAAAGTCCACCAACGCCATGCGCGAGTTGCGTCTTGAGAAGCTCGTTCTTAACATTTGCGTCGGAGAGTCCGGAGACAGACTCACCCGTGCCGCCAAGGTTTTGGAGCAGTTGACCGGTCAGACCCCCGTCTACTCCAAGGCCCGCTACACCGTCCGTACCTTCGGTATCCGTCGTAACGAGAAGATCGCCGTCCACGTCACCGTCCGTGGCCCCAAGGCCGAGGAGATTCTCGAGCGTGGCCTCAAGGTCAAGGAGTACGAGTTGAAGAAGGCTAACTTCTCCGAGACCGGCAACTTTGGTTTCGGTATCCAGGAGCACATCGATTTGGGTATCAAGTACGATCCCTCCATCGGTATTTACGGTATGGATTTCTTCGTCTGCATGAACCGTCCCGGTAACCGTATCACCAAGCGTCGCCGCTGTGTTGCCAAGGTCGGTGCCAACCACCGCGTCAACAAGGAGGAGACCATGAACTGGTTCAAGCAGCGTTACGATGGTATCCTTACCAACAAGAAGTAAATTATGCTTCAAACTTGGTAACAAACGGTGGACATTTTGCACCCTTGAATAAACGCTTGGATAACTCTCTTCAACAACGATTGCAATCGCGATGGTTCTTCTGTTTGTCTCTGTGCTGTGTATGCTCTATGCTCTTAAGAATAAGGGATGACCTGTTCATATGTGTGCGGGATACAAAGTCGTCATTGCACCCGTATGACGACGATTGGGCTGTGCTATGATGGTAATTAGTACCAACGTTAGATTGAGTTAACTTCATTTCTGAAGAGAAGCCAGTCGGGCAGTGCTTTCATACGTGAGGCCTGTCGACTTTGACCTAGTGAAATAAAAAGGGGAGTAGACTTTCGACTTTTACTGTTCTCATTCATTGTCACACTCTCTTACATTCCCACACTCACACACAAAGCTTCTACTTTTCTCCATTCTCACAACAACCAGAAGAACATGATGTCGGCTCCTCCAAGTTACTCCAAGCTGCCCCCTCCCCAGTACCTGCAGTCCCCCAGTGTCTGTTGCATCACCCTCAACGAAGGCGACAAGCTTCGACTCATCGGCGTCCCCAACGAACTCGTCCCTCACATTCGCGCAGGAATTATGCGCAGCTGGGGCAAGATCCAGCGGGAACAAAACTACTCGGGCGCGCACGAGTTCAAGATGGTGGGAAACCCCTGGTACGGATATGGAGACGACCATGTCCCCGCTCGCCGGTTGGTTGTCGAGGTTGTCAAGACTATGGCCATGCAGGGGTGGAATTTGGTCCAGAGTGCTGATGTGTCCAAGAAGGAATTGGATAAGGACTCGTTGTTCTTTGAGACGGTCGATCCGAACAGTATCGTGGGCACCGACTTGATGCAGGTGGATATGTTTTCTATCAGCTTTGGGTCCAGGGATAAGCTGAGGGTTATTGACCCCCCCTCACCGGATATTGTTGGTGTTGTTCGACAGGCCATCAAGGGTCAATGGACATCTGGGTAAGTTTGGAACGCCATTCATTAGTTGGTTCATTCTGTTGAAAATAACAATACACAGGAAGCAAGAGACCCAACGACAACTCACGCATTTATGTCTCCTTTTTGTGAACATAGAATAAGTCGCGAGGAGGAAATAAAGGGGGTGTCCATGTTCAAGTTGAACGGCTACCCTTGGTACCCTCATGCGGAAGAAACAGTCTACTCCCGCATGATGCTCTCTCAAGTCCTGGCGAATTTGCGTGCGTTGGGCTATAAGCTGTATACCTCTGTCGACATCAGTGCTGGTAATTCAGACGGCAACGATGCCGAGTCCTGGATCTTCCGTCGAGTCGGAAACGCCTGGTCCTAAATCGGTTTGTCTTCTGCGTTCTTGTCTTTTACTTTCTCTTCTCCCTTGAACTGAACATACCCCCAACACTTTCTCGCTATATCATGGTTTTTTTTTACAGCCCCGCGAATAAAACTTGCCTCGCATAAGCAATGATATACCCTACCAGTCAACTAACAGTCGACCAACGCATAAACAACGTGGAACACAATAATTTAATATTAAGTAATGTTTTATGGAAAATGTAATGATTATGCTGTAGGGGTAAATGGGCGAAATGCTAGAATATGAATGCCGATGAGAAAAGACGTCTACAATTAAACGCGGCCCTTCTCAAGATCATCGGCTCTGTCAATCTTCTCGGAATGGCTACCAATCGTGCTGGCATCAATGTCATTGCCTGCCGAGAAGGGCTTGCCAATAACTTCGGACGAGGACACAACCTCTTCAAGGTCCTTGGGTTCAATCGTGCTGGCACTGTGGGCTGGAACAGCGGTCGAGGCCAGGGAAGGAGTCGAGACGTTCTTGTGGACAGTAGCAGGACGGACGGGCTTGTCCCAAGGGAGGATGACGAGGGAGAGGAAGAATCCAAAGAGACCCATGGCGACCATGGCAAAGAAGGCGTTATGGAATCCCTTAGCCAGAGCGGGTCCACCACGAACAGCACCGTCAATGTTTCCGTTGGTCGAGATGGCAATGACGTTCAGGATTGCAAGTCCAAAGGGTGCGCCGAGTTGAAGACCGGTGTTGTAGAGCGCGCCAACGAGTCCTTGGTCCTTGTTTTCGGCGTCACGGACGGCTGTGATCTGGATGGGGAGGAGGGAGAGACCAACTCCAAGGATATGGATGATGAATGCGGGGAAGGGGAGGGCCCAGTAACTAGTGTCTTCATTGACAAAGGCGAACATCAGTGCGGATCCAGAGCGGAGGAGGAAGCCGACGAGGATGAGTGGCTTGAGAGAGAGGCGGGGAAGCATGCGGCCTAGGACTGTAAAGGAAACGACAGCAAGGAGGGCGTGGACTAGGAAGCCGAGGGCGGTCTTGAGGGGGCTCCACTCGTAGACTTCTTGGAAGGTCATGTTGGCGTAGTAAATGATGCCCTGGAACTTGGCCATGGAGACGAACGCGAGGATGACAGAGGTGGTGAAGGACTTGAGCTTCCAGATGCGAAGGGGCATTAATGGAGACTGGACGCGAGATTCGATGAAGATGAACAGGGCGATGAGAGCGAGGGCGACGACAAAGATGGGGATAGTTTTGGCGTTGCCCCAGCCGTACTCGACACCAGTGATGATGTAGTAGACAATGCCCGTGACACCAGTGGTGGCAGTAATGGCACCGAGGTAGTCGACTTTGGGCTTCTCAGTCTTGGCAGGGAGAACGGGGATTACAATGAAACTCAACGCCAGCAGGATCAGGGCAGCAATAGCCGAGATGCGGAAGATCCAGACCCATCCGATACTAGCAATCAATCCACCGGCCATGAGGATACCAACAACGGCGCCGAGTCCACCAAAAGCACCAAAGATCGAGAAGGCTTTGGTACGTTCCGGTCCGGCAGGGTAAGTTGTCGCGATCAGAGCCATGGCGGTAGGAACGGTCGCAGCAGCACCCATACCCTGAAGCGCGCGGGCAAGGATAAACATGATTGGCGAAGTCGAGAAGGAGACGACCAGAGCCCAAAGCGCGAACCAGAAAAGACCAAACATAAACATCCGGCGATGACCAAAGAGATCACCAAGACGACCTGAGACGAGCAAGAGACCAGCAAAGGAGATCGTATACGCGTTCAGGATCCAAAGGACTTGTGGGACGGTGAAATGGAGGTCTTGGGCGATGGGCAGGATGGCGACGGAGACGGAGGCGCCATTGACAATGTCAAAGAATTGGGCAAAAGATACAACGTAGAGGAGGGCGGGACGGAGTTTTTGGCGCAGACGGTCAAGGCCTTTGAGGTCGTCTTGGAAAGGGTTTTGACTGATTTCGGCCATCGTTAATGTTCTTTGAACGGGAGACTTGACAATTGAAAAGGATATGTTATAGGAAGTTTGTGTGTGTAGGTAGAAATAATTAGAGGATACGCAGGGGAATCAGTAGAAGAAGGAGGAGAGGAGAAGACCGTTATTGTTATTGCTGAAGATGATGGATAGGAAAAAAGTGGACAATTGGCCACTCTTTATAATTTTTTTGCGTTGGGTTGAAGCTGTCGATTGCGTAGGTTTGTCATCCAGCCATTTTCTTTTTTGTTTGTGCCTTTCTTACCCCACTCTCTCCCTCTCCTCTCTCTGACTGGGCGAACAAAAAAGAGAAAAGAGAGAGCGTGTGCTGGAAAAATAAACATTTGAGAGACCGCGATGACAAATTTTGTTATGGATAGAGTTCACCTGGCAAAGAAACTACGTCTGCGCATTCAAAGCAAATACTTCATCGCAACAACAACTTCTCCCCCTCCTCCTATTTGTTCATTGATTGCTAATTGACCTCTTTTTTTTTTGGTGGCGAGCGGCAAAAGGTATTACCCCTCCTATCAGTCATATCGATGGTCGAATGTTCCTTCTTTTATTCTCCTCTGCGCATCCGATTTTTATTTACTCTTCCAGTGCAAACCTTTCCCTTCTCTTCCATGATGCCATTTGTTCCGTACCAAGTACTTTTTTTTTCACCTTTGAAATGTCGTGATCTCGCCATGGCTAGCTCCCGTTCTCCCGGAGGTCCAATAGGAGAGGACGAACGTTTCTTTTTTTTTTTTTTTTTTCCTTTTTTTGCCTTTTCTTGCCTTTGACGCCCAGCTGCGAGTTTCCATGCCTCCCAGAAAAAGAATATTACTTTTATTGACTTTTGCGAACAGCAAGAATAGCAACCGAAGCGAGCGTGCTGAGATACATCGCCATGCTTTTGCTGAAAGGGTTCGTGGCAATAAACCTTCCTATCGAGGAAAAAAGGCATGCGCTCAATTAATACTTCAAAATGAAGCTTAACAATTCTTTTGTTGTTTGTATCTCCTGCACGTTTTTTTTTAAGCTTGGGACATTCTCTTCCGTTTGTCGTGCCAGTACATACCTGGGTCGTGTATGAGTGTACAAGAGTTATTTTGAGCACAGACGACATAGAAGAGAGAGGGGGCTTAACCATTCAAGTAAGAAAAAAGTGCGGCGTGTGGGACCTCTATTTCCATTTCCCTCTCGTCCTTGCTTTCATGATGGGATGGATGAGAACGCCATTTTCTCCAGGACGGCGCCAATGGTTCCTAGAAGTACCAGCCGTGGATATGTTAGAGACTTGGTAAGTAATTCGAACACTGGATCTTGTAGCCTCTTCCTGATACCTTTTTCACGCCGCCCACTTTGTTCTCTAGGCGTCTTCACATTGAAATAAAGAAAAGGGGAACGCGTTTGTTTTGATAGTAAGGACTTACGCATCATTTTTTCTCTTGGTGATGTCTGTCTACGTTTTGAATGCTGCTTTTTTGAAGAAAGCAGTCCAGTCCTTGTCTTTTACGAACGAAACCCAGACTCCCGTTTCCAATTCCTGACGCTACCCCCCCATGAACTCAGACCGGTGCTCAAACACCGCCTTACCTCAATTCCATTCCAGAAACCAGTCCCACTCCACCTCTCCCTTCCAAAAATTTTAAAGGCTGAAAAAACACTTTTTTTTTTCTAATCTCTTAAGCACACTTGTGTGTTTTTTCGGGTGGACTGCTTGCACAGTTTTTGTGCTTGTGGTCTGCCTATCGGGTAGACAACACTTTGCCTCACGCGACCGTTTTGGTTTATGTGAAGTCGGACTTTCTATCTGCTCGAGAGCAAAGACCTACTCTTAATCGCTTGCTGAGTGCAAATCAATGCCTCAGTGAGTTTCATATGTAAGGCATATCCCCCTTCTATTCTTATTCAAACAACATAAAGAACAAAAAAGAAAAAAAAAAGAAAGGAAGTAGAAAAGTAGAGATGAGAAGAAGAGGTTTTTTTATTTCATGGATACATGTCGTCATGATCGTTCTTCTTTCAGCTGAGCATTACAGACTTGTTCATCCTGGACCGTCAGAAAAAGGGCAGCCAGAAACGCATCCATCGTAGAAACAGACACCTGGACATCCATGAGAAAAAGTAAACGCAGCCTGGAGTCAATACAAAAGTATTCACAAAGAAAAACAAACAAAGAAGAAAAGGCGTCAAGAGGTTGAGATAATGACCATACCTGCAGGTGATTGGCATGGGCAAGGAAGGGCAACTTGCGAATGGCACGGCCACTCATCCCTTGGGCTAATTCTGATATCCGCTGCAAGTCCATCGCCTGCGATATGAGATGGGCGTTTTCTGGATTGTTGTATGTGCTGATATTCCAGATGTCTTTACGCTCCGGGAGTGGGTGCTATGTATTATCATTTGCGTGTCGTTAGTTTAGGTGAGACGCATAGGAATATCTTTGAGCACTTGAGGTAAGAAAGAAGTTACTTACCTTGGCGTGGATAATCCCTGCTCGTCCAAGCTCATTGAGACTAGAGCACAGAATAGTGTAAATAGCCTTGGATGGGGGGAGTCCAATATACATCTTGATGTCCGCGCGGTCAATAAAGGCGATATCTGAAAGATCAACCAAAAAATATATGCGATGGCGTTAGCTTTACTTTCATCCTCATTCTGATCTGTCAAGTTCATTACATTGCGACTGTCAAAGAGTAACTGCTTACCAATAGCTTCGGTGATATTTGAAGTGGTCAGTACCAATACATTCTTCCTTCTCTTTAGTCGATCGATTTGTGTGAGGAGAGCATTGACGACCTATAGACAAGCAAGAAATGAGTTGGTTCGCGGCCTTCAACAACACCCACACTTCTTCTCACTAATAAGCACATCCTTCAAATGCATGATCATAGTTACCCTTATCGAGTCCGATGGTTCATTTCCTGAAAGGGCAGCTTTTCTTGCCGCTGCCAAACTCTCCACCTCATCTATCATAGTCCATTGACAAGTTAGTGTCACGTTCCACTTGCTTCATTGTCATGTTTCCAGTTGGTATGGCATAACTATGCTTACCGATGAGGACACAGACAAAGGTATCGTCGTCGTCGACCATCCTCCAGATCTGATCAAACATGCGATGAACCAGCTTTCCGCTCTCCGAGAACCACTTGCTAAACAGACTGTGGCAGTTGATCTCCAGCAACTTTGTGAAGTGGAATCTGTTTACACCAAGAGCGACACCTGCAGTTAATAATGCTCCACCCTACCTCCAAAAAAGTTGCGAGGAAAGATCATAGAGCCAAGTCAATCATTGCAGAATAAAGTACCTCCGGGATAGCCGAATGCCCAATGTCTGGGCTAATCCGCGACAAAGAGACGTCTTTCCAGTACCAGGAGGTCCGTGAAGCAGCACGACTCTACGCGAAAAAATGAAGGGAGAATAAGATAACCATAATTAATTTCCGCATTCATTTCCTTGTCTAAAACAAGACGATGGTGTGCATTCGCCTAAGCCTTACCTGTTCCATGATACAAGATGTGGATTGACGTTCCTGTCTGAGAACAAGATTGTCGTGTATACATATTCCAGCAATTTGACCTCCAACCGATCCTCAAAGACCAAGCTATATGTTTTCGCGAATATCAGGAGGAGACGTTAGTCAGGGTAATACGCAGAAGAAAAACGACGTCGTGCATTTCAGTTGAGCATGACGACTGGGACTTACCTGTCCCAGACACCTTCCAGCTCCTCACATGGCAACGTCCAATGATGCGCCATCATCACCGGTTCGTCCATATCTCCCGATCCAAAGTCGCCGTACTCCTCGACAGCGCCCTGCCTCTGAAGCTGATACACATGGATCGACAGTTCCACATCCCTTGTTACAAAACTCTGAGCATTTTCTTCGTCGTCCCATAATTGTCCTCGTACATTATTTGTAGACTCCTGCCCTGCTTTTTGTTCCGGATCGACATCGTCATCATCGTGGTGCTGTTGGCTGGACGAGGACATGGTTGCATCGGTTGCTGCGTTGTACGAGCTCGTCCTCCTCTTGTCCCGATCGTCTCTCCTATCAATTCCCGATTTCCTCACGTCTCCCTCTCTCCTTGCCTCTCTGATCCCTGCACGGCTGATGGTATTGGTGGGTCTGTCGCGAAGAATAGATCCGTATCCTGAACACTCGCCGATCCGGACGTGTTCCACAAATGTCCTGACCAGCTCATCCTCGCTTTGGCGCATTGTATCAACCGTTTGGAAGCAGGTGATGGAGGTCATTGTCGAGATAAGGAATGCGCGGATATGGTCTCGCATGATTTCGTAGCGTACTGAGCATTGTGGCGCGAGCCTTGCCTCAACTATGTGCGTAACGAGAAGAAACAACAGTGTGTGTTTATGAGTGATCCATTTCGAAAGGGTGACTGAATGAACAGTGAGGGATGTGCTTTTTTTTTATTGCGTTGTACCATGGAGGACTGGTGGTCGTGGCCCTGATTGAGGAAAAGGTGATGTCATGCGAGAAAGTGTATGTGTGCGCAATGCCAATGCAGAGCCAAGGGAGTTAGAAGAAGTAATGAAAAAGAAAATGAAAAAAAAAGTGATCAAAACGCGAGCCTCTTTTCAGGTACAAAAATTTAACATAATCACTTAAAAAATCCATCCTTCCAAGCTTCACTTGTCAATTGCTTCTTTCGCCTCTCTACTTTCCTACCTCTATCTACATCTCAGAGCATAAGGTTGACCACCGCCTCCCAGTTTGTTCCTTCACCACTTCTTTTTTGTTTTAATGCCAATTGCCTCTTCCCACAGAATCATGAGAGGAATGAAATAATGGTTTGTTGCCCATGAGGTTTCCTTGCACGCCACCGTTTTTTTCTGTTTGAATCAAAAAAAAAAAAAAAAATCCGATCCCTTACTGACCAATTGATCATTTTTATGATGCCATGAAAAAATGGTGGCAATTTCCAGAGATTTTTTATTTCGGATTTACAGCTTGGGCTTGGAGGACATGGAGGCATCCCCCTGGAGCTCAACGGCTGCGTTGGAGATGACAATAGCATCACGTTCAATAGCACGGACCTGGAACAGGACCTTATTACCCTCGCGCCACATCGACGTCTCGAGTGTCTCACCCGGGTTGACAGTCTTTGCAAAACGGACCTTGATGTTCTTGAAGCTGTTGGGATCATTGTTGCAGTAGGCGTTGAAGATATGCTTGCCGGCAATACCGAACGAGCACAAACCATGGAGGATAGGAATATCAAAGCCTCCGACGGCTGCCATCTCGGGGTCAATGTGAAGCGGGTTCCAGTCTCCTGAGAGACGGTAGAGCGCAGCCTGGTCCTCGCCTGTCTTTTCGATAACGACGTGGTCGGGCTTGCGGTTGGGGGTCTTGTTGGCGGCTGTGGCTGCACCACGGTCGGCGCCCTCCTTCTTGCCGCCAAAGTTTCCGGCCCCGCGGATGAACATGGTGAACTCGTTGATGCAGATGTCGTTGCCCTCCTCGTCCGTGGTCTTGACGCCGATGGTGGCGACACATCCCTTGCCCTTGTCTAGGATGTCGACAACGTAAGGGGTGGAGGTCAACTGGGCGTTGGGGGGGAAGGGCCGGATGATCTCGAGGTACTGTTCGCCGTGAAGGAGCATCATGGGGTTGAACGAGGGGAGGATCTCGCCAAATGGAACGCCGTTCATGGCTGCAAACGAGGGGACGACACCGAACGTAGGGACGGCGGTGAAGGCTTCGCTGTTCTCGTAGACGAGATGGAGATCGGTACGCTTGGCGCCGATACCGAGGTTGTAAAGGATGACATCACGCTCGGTGTAGGAGAAGGACTCAGACGGGAAGGTCAACGCCTTTGCGGCCTCGACATCGACCTTGCCATCTTCAGAAATGACCTTGGGGCGGACAGCCTCGGTATCAGCCTTGGAAGTGTTCTCAAAGTTGGAAAGAATGCTCTCCATCGACTCGGCAGTCGTGTCCGGATGAGTGGCGCGACCGTCCTCAAAGTCAGTGATCTTGCCCCACTTCTCAGAGATGTGCTCAGGCAACAGCTTCTGGTCAATGGGGAACCCGTGGCCTCCGGTACGTTCCCAGCGGAGCTTTCCGACATAACCAGCACCGACCTCGAAGAGGGATCCGTTTTCGGCGGTCTCTTCGTGGCAGAGGTAGGCGACCAGGGGTGTGACCATCTCGGGCTTGAGGGAGGCGAGCATGTCTGGGGGAAGGACGGTCTCGGTCATGCGCGAGGCGGCGATGGGGGCAATGACGTTGCAGTGGATGTTGTCCTTCTTGCCCTCGAGAGCAAGCGTTCTGGTGAATGCGACCAGTGCGAGCTTGGCAGCCGAGTAGTTGGCCTGACCTGTTAACGTTCAGAAAAATGTGTGGGGAGGATAAGTTGTGGTGAGCAATTGCATGAAAGGTTCAAAATGGGGTAAGTGAATTTTCGTTTGACTTGGATCGCACAAAAGGGGGTAGCAGCGTTGTTTATCCATGAATCGGTTCCTCACCAAAGTTTCCATAGATACCAGCAGCAGAGGCTAATATGACATTGAGAATAAAAAACATCAAACACGAATCAGTCTCAATGCTTCCAAACTCGTGCATGACAACGACCGGCCAAAAAATGAATCCTAGACTGCAAACGTACTGGTGTTAATGACACGGCCAAACTTTTGCTTGCGGAAGATAGGCCAGGCGGCCCTGGTGACCTTGTAGGCGCCATCGACGTGGACCGAGAAGATGGCATCCCACTGCTGATCGGTCATACGAGCAAAGGAGACATCTTTGAGGATACCGGCGTTGTTGATGACAATGTCGACACGGCCAAAGGCCTTCATGGCAGTCTCGATAATCTTGTCTCCGTCAAGGACAGAGTCGTAGTTGGCAACAGCTTTACCGCCAGCGGCGCGGATCTCATCGACAACAAGATCGGCAGCGCGGCTCGAGGCTCCCTCACCTGTGTGGGAACCACCGAGATCGTTGACGACAACCGAGGCACCGCGAGATCCAAAGAAGAGGGAGTGGGACTTGCCGAGTCCACCGCCGGCACCAGTCACGATAACAACGCGACCATCGAATCGAAGGTTGTCAGCCATATTGCAGTTGTATGTGTTGGAGTTTGAGAATGAAGGGGGAGTGAAGGGTGAGAAATAAAAGAGTGGAGAGGTGTTGACGGTGGGAAAGAAGACAAGAGGTGTGAATAAAAAGAAAGAAAAAGAAAGAAAGGGAAACGAGGACAATGCGGCTGTCTCTTTAGAGATGTTCGCTTCACTGTCCCCGCGCATTAAACCCCTTTCTGAACGCAATTCGACTATGGACAGAAGAAGAAGGGCAGCCGACAAAAAGTGCGCACACACATCAACACATAGCGACACATGCGCTGGGCGTGTCCAACGGCAGAGAATAGAAGACATCATGAGCCGCAACAGCAAACAAGGATTGTAAACAACACAAACAAAAGAATTGTTTCCCGAGGCCGCCACAGTGTTTGAATTCTATTTTTTTTGTCGGCCCCTGCCGCTGTAGCATTATAGGTGGGGAAAGGATGAAGAGGGAGTGAACAGCGAGCCTTGTTTTGTTCCCGCTGCTGATGTTGTTGATGCAGTGAGTGCACGCAAACAACAACCAGCACCGCTCGGCACCATCTCGAACAAGTTACAATGAACGGTTGACTGTATTTGGCACCTACTATCTAACATTTCGCCACAAAAATCGGCTCAGAGACCGGCACTCAACCTTTACGCTTGTTTTTGTTATGTGTTTGACCCCACAAACAAAAAAAACCGTGCTACGCCCGTGTCTTTCGACGCTCAACACAACTTCCTCTTCTATCTCGTCATAGGTACACACAAGCAGTTTATCCTATTTCTCCGTCTTTGTCACACGGTTTCTCAACCTTTTTTTTTTGTTCTTACCGCTTCACTTCCTTCATTCTTCTCACCTTTTCTTTGTAGCTAACCACATACACTCTTACGCAGCTTTCTCTCAAAGACATTGACGATCAAACAACAACACAGTAGCGAGCAAAAAAAAAGTCAACACAATGGAGCCGAACGTCCTGCACACTACACGAATAACCACAGGCAACTCTCACGAGCAGGTGTCTAGGAAAAATGTTAGAAAATGCAAGTCGTTCTTTTGGTGGATTTATTATCTTGTTTTCGGTGAGATTTTTTGCTTGTGTTATTTTTTGTGCTTTACATTGGTAGGTACAAGGGAGATACAAGTAATAATAGTATGTGTGTGTGTGGTTGCTAGCTAGTGACTATGGTAGTTTTTTTTTTTTTTTTTTGACTATGGACAAGAAAAAGATATGATCGATGGGATAGAAAGATGTAGGAAGGAAGAAACAGTCGCCCAAGGGGGCAAAAAGAATAATAATAGCGCCGTGTCGTTTTCCTTTTACTTTCAATCATCGTCAAAGCTGCCGCGGCGCCATCCTGGAGATGAGTTGCGGTTCACTTCGAAGCTCCCCTGGCTCTGGTGCTGTGGAGGACGTGTAGGGGCTGCTCCACCGGCCTCGTCATCGCTGTCAGGGTTCATGACACGCAAGTTTCTATATACACAAAACGTAGGAAAAAAAGAAGAGAGGGGGGGGGTCAATTAAAACGTGAAACAAGTGCCATTCTCATCATCTTTTCTGCAACGAGCGTTATGAATGAATGTGAGAGCCCAAGGGATAAAAAGGCGATAGGAGAAACACCTTAAAACACTTACGAGATCTTGGAAATGGGAGGCAAGACAGACTGAATCTGACCGGTGTACTGAGGGAGAGAGCCGTCCATGTACGAGTCGCGTGAGTTGGTGTTATATTTGTACTCGTCCAGGTCGTCAACTGCCGCGACATGTTCCCGCCGCCGCCTCGAGTAGACATAGCCTGCAACCGACAAGGCGACGATCAAGGCGATCACAGAGACCACAATTCCGGCAATGGCACCGTTGGAGAGACTTGGTGACGACCCAGTGGGGGGTCCATCCAGGCCTGAGGGGGAGATGGTGGTGATTGTGGATGAAGCGGTTGTGGAGGTGGGTGCGGTTGTTGTTGTGGTGGTGACGGTTCCATTGGGGTTGTTGATGTCCTTCCAGACCTGATTTTGCGACGAGCAGATGGCCTTGTATAGATCTATTGCCGCAACGGTGTAATTGGCCGATGACGAGGTCTCGCATGTCAGGCAATTAGTGATCTAATGATAACCAAACGGAACGAGGAGAATAAATTAGCACAACATTCATTATTGGTTGACTTGTCATGTAATTTGGACGTTCTCTGAGTGACGAGTGGCAAATTGATTCATTTCGAGAATATGTACCATGCTGTAGTAGTTTTGGTTGCAGGCGCAGGGGGCTTGCAGATCCGTAGGCCTATAGAATGAATTAAATGGAGTGGTGGTGCAGCAAAGTGGTCAGTGAACCAATGGAGACATTCTTCACAAAGAACACACCGGCCCCAATTGATCCAATTGGTCAGGGCAGAGAGGAGACTTACTGGTAAACCATGAATCCGGGCCATGTGAGAATATCGAGCTTAGCTTTGCATGGCTTTAGCAAGTCATCGACATATTGGCAGGTCGGACAAGTTGCATCGACGGTTGAAGGCGAGAGACCAAGCAGCAGTAGGGGAGTGGCGAGGAAGAAGGCGGATCCAACCTTGGAGTAGAAGCTTGCTACCCAACGTGGCTTGACCATGATGTATTGTGTGTAGGTGTGTGTTGATTGTCGATTGAAAGTAGAGTAGGAGGAAGGACGAGAAAGAGAAGGGAAGAAAATTGCCCAGGGAAAGCTGAACAAGGAATAAAACAAGGAGGACAGCCGATTTGGATCTCGCTTTGTATGAAACGACAAGGAAAGGGGAAAAAAGGGTCGTTGTAAGGGGGTCAAGGGGAGACAAGGATCTGGGAGGGATAGACAACGAAATGGATTCGCTTTTCTCCTGAATGAAAAAAGGCCGGCTAACAAAGAGAGAGAAAAAAGGAACAATGTCGATTGATTGTTAATACCAGAATACTTTCTTTCTTGCTTTCTTCTCCTTTGTCTTGTTGAGATTCGAATGGATATCCCAAAAATACGTCTCGGACAGTCGGGAAGGAAAAAGCTGCCCAATTGTTCATATTGTGAATGATGGTGCTAATAGTCGGTCTTTTTGTTCAATTTGAGTCAATGAGGACAAGGGAACCCAAAAGTGCACGTATCCACACTAAAAAAAAAAGAAGCAAAAGGACCGGGTGCGTATTCACAGCTCGTAGGAGGGCGGCCAATTTTTTTTCTTTGTAGGTGTAAATGAACGGACCATGCGGCTGAAGGAAAAAGGAACGGGTTTCGACAAAGAGAAAGAAAACGAGAGTAGATAGAACAGAGTGAGGGAAGGGCAGTGGAGGGAGGATAAGATGTGATAGGATAGGATGGCGTAACATGGGACAGACATGTTGTTGACAAAGCCAAAAGTGGGCGTAAAAAAAACAAAAAATAGAGAGGGGGTATGTTGTACACAGTGCGATAGAGATGGATTGTCAAAAAGGAGTGGGTATGGTGGGTAAGATGGGAGCACGTTGATTAGCGATATATGGGTGCTGTGAACAGTCGAGAAAAAGAGGGTTGGGATAGGTTGAGGAACAACCTTTGAATGAGCCTGTTCATTGTAGTCATTCTGGGTTGGAGGCGAAGGAAGTGGGAGTGGTTGTGGTGCTGTGTATGAATGTGAGAGGCCAAAGAGAGTAAGAATGTCTGGAATGAATGAGAGCACAGAATGAGCATTGAGAAAGAGGGGGGTGGTGAGATCGAGTATGGGTTGAACACATACTTGTGATCGGTGTCGGGTGAAGTGGAGGAGTTGGCTGTGTTGGCGGTGTTGGCTGTGTTGTTGCTGTTGGAAAGGAGAGGAGAGAGAGAGAGAGAAAGGGAGTTGGATTTGGAGCTGTGCAAGGAGCTGTAGTTGGGCGGAGGGGAGGAAGGGTGAGGAGAGGAGAGAAAGAAAGAAGGAGAGTGGACGAAGGAAGAAGAAAAAGACCCGGTGGACAGGGAGGAAGACTTATTTGATATTATCGATCGATGCGATATACACGTACGCACAGAAAGTGGGAGGGAGAGAGAGCGAAAGAATGAAGGACCAAGAAGAAGAAGAAAGAAAGAAAGGAGACAAAAGCGCGCGCTAAGTGCGAATTAGTTTGTTCCTGAAAAACGGTGGAGAAACCTGCCAAATGGGTTTGGATGGGGGAAAGAAGGGGTGATCAGTGATAGATTTATTTTTACCGAAACAATTCAACCAGGGGTTATGATGTGTCAGGAAGGGAAAAGTGGAAAGGAAAGTGGAAAGGAAAGTGGAAAGGAAAGCAGAAAGGAAAATGGAAAGGAAAGGAAAGGAAAAGGGAATAGGGAAATATGAGAGGGAGGGATGGATGAACGAGGATGAAGAAGAGTAGGAAGAGGGAGTAAAGAGGAAAGGAAGAGAGGAAGAGAGGAAGGGAGGAAGAGAGGAAGAGAGGAAGAGAGGAAGAGAGGAAGAGAGGAAGAGAGGAAGAGAGGAAGAGAGGAAGTGAGGAAGAGAGGAAGAGAGGAAGTGAGGAAGTGAGGAAGTGAGGAAGTGAGGAAGTGAGGAAGTGAGGAAGTAAGGAAGTGAGGAGGTGAAGAAATGAGGAAGTGAGGAAGAGAGGAAGAGAGAGAGAGGCGAGAGTGATATGGATGTGTGGTTGGAGATGACAGGCAAAAAAGAAAAAGGAAAAGACAAGAAAAACAAGAAAGTGTGAAAGAAAAGAAGAGTTATGCCACAAACAGACTTGCCGCATGGCCAGAATTGTGATCACGATATCATGGACTGCAATGAAAGGAAACCCTTACAAAGACAGCCATGATTTCTCACTTGGATGGATCTCTGGCGCCTTTCCCCCTCCCCCTTCTCTTCTTCTTTCTTTCTTTCAAGCTATCATCTATTTTTATCGCCTCTTTGGATCCCCTTCCTTCCTTCTTAGCCATTCACTCCCAGCCTTTTTTTTTTCTTTCTCTTTCTCAGTTTGTTGTTCCGTTGCTTAACTCCTTTCTTGTTTTTAAGATTGGCTGCCATACTTTGTCCATGGGTTCCTGACATTACGTTCTCATTATCTTTCGTTCATTCCTTCTCTCCTTCAACCTGCAAGAGCAATTATCCAACGAGAAAAAAAAGGGCAAAGGGTAACAACAGCGTGCTTACGATGCAACACCACCCTCCATCCCTGGTTTCTTCATTTCCATCTTGGCATACCGAGCGGGTGAGGTTGTGAGTTGAGATGTAAACAACAACTCTGACTGTCCTGTTATCGCATATTTTTTTTGTTGTGTGTGTTTGATCGCCAACTGCATTGTCGAAAAGGAAAAACCTTACGTGCGAAATAACAAAAAGAGGGTGCGCAAAAATATGCTTGTGTCAAAGGTTTGTCTGGAATCTCTGACCAGACCAAAACCTCCCCCCCACCCTCCCTACTGCACCCCAAACAGGCGTCGACTCGACGGGGGGTTTGTCCAGTAGAGGAAGGGGGCATGTTGACCGTTTATTTGATCTGACGCATCCCATGCAGAAAACCCGACCAGTAGTTCATTGCTCGTGTCTGAGAATAACAAAAAGAAGGCAACAACTAAACCGTTCCTCTTGATTGTCATTTGCCAGTCTGATTATGCACCTGTGTCCTTTCCTTCGTTCACGATCATGCCACGCCTCTTTTCTTTCCTTTCCTTTCGTTTCCTTTCTTTTTTGCGCTTGACATCCCGTTGACCTCATTCTCCTTCACGTTCATTGCCCCAACTTCAAGTGGCATAGGCCAAATGCCTTACTGTCAAACCCTTATTTTTCTTTTTGTTCAGGGTCCCTCCCTCCCCCTCATTTTTACCTCATTGCCCCCCTCCCCCCTCTGCCTCAGGGAAAATCTCGATCCGGGAGCACGATCTATTTTTCTCGAGGCAAGAGGTGTGGTAATTAGGTCCTCATTAACCCCATATATATATCTCTGTTCCCCCCTTTCCTTGATTCCCGGACCTTGACTAATAGAATACGAAATGCAAGGTTACTATATTATCCATATCATTCTCTTAATCCCAATCGTTTTTTTTTTTGTTTGGCTGATAGAAACGGGATTGTTCTCCTACTGTTCGCCTCCCCTGTCGTTACTTTCTCAATTCCGAAACAGCACCCAGTCGGACACCATGGTCGCGTGAGCACGAACGGAAAGAAAAAAAAAAGGACAATGCACGCCCAAGTAAAACAACCGTGCTAACCATTACCGTGACATGTACATGTACTGTACCATGGACAATACAAACAACCAAAAAAAGAATTTCTCGACTCCCATCCCTGTATGACATTAAAAAAGAGTGCATAGTGTATTTATACGGGGTTTATTTTCATCGTAAAGTACTTGTTTGTTTGCTATTCATCCCGCGCAGTCGTCTAGATCTTCTCATAGTCGAGCTTGCCCTCGAGCTTCTTGGCATCCGCTACTTTACGGACGGCCTTCATAAAGTCCTCCTGGACAACATAGTCGCGATCCTCACGGATAGCAAACATGCCGGCCTCTGTGCAGATGTTACGGATATCGGCTCCGTTGAAACCATCCGACAGCTTGACCACAGCCTCGTAGTCTATTTTTGTATGGAAAATATAACAAAAGAAAAAGACGACCGTTAATTGCCATTCGTTTTTATACACATGATATTACATGCACGAAGCACAATCCCTTTCACTGGGGCTAACAACAAAAAACAAATACAAAAGAGAAACATACCAATCTCGCCTTGCTTGGTGATGCCGAGGGCATGAATCTTCAAGATCTCCATGCGTCCTTGCTCGTTGGGGAGAGGAATCTCGATCTTACGATCCAAACGACCGGGTCTCATCAAGGCAGGGTCCAATGTATCTGGTCGGTTAGTGGCCATGATCAACTTTGTCTGGCCCAAGTGGTCGAAACCATCCATCTGGTTCAGCAACTCCATCAATGTACGCTGAATCTCACGATCCGCAGAGCTTCCTTCCGAGAAACGACGACCTCCAATAGCATCAATCTCGTCCATGAAGATAATGCATGGCTCGTGCTCCCTTGCGTACGCTATTTAATTTTCAATTAGGACATTGCCAGAATAAGAACGAGGGGGCGTTAGCTATTACAGTTCATACATTCATGCAGTAACCGTAGTTCGATTCATATCACTTTGTGTCGCTTGTGCTGATTCCCGTAAGAAAAAAACGTACCGAACATCTCTCTGATGACTCGGGCAGACTCTCCGATATACTTGTCGACAATGGCAGACGAGACAACCTTCAAGAAGTTGGTCTCGAGTGTGCTAGCAACAGCACGGGCCAACAAAGTCTTGCCCGTTCCTGGTGGTCCGTACAGCAACACTCCCTTGGGTGGCTTGATACCAACACGCACAAACAGCTCAGGGTTCATCAATGGCAACTCAATGACCTATTGACCGGCACAATATCATAATGAGGACGATCGTTAGTCTCTCCTTCCTTCGTCACATGTCCTAGTGTAATCCGACAACTTTGTAAAGTTCTCCGTACGACAGCGACGACTAGACATCGTAGCCTTTACCTCACGCAATTCTCTGATCTGGTCGCTAAGTCCGCCAATACCGGCAAATGAGATCGAACCGGGGTCCTCCATGCCCATGCTGTACACCATTGGGTCGACCTCTCGTGGAAGCATACGCATGATTGTGAATGTGGTCATGTCCAGAGCCACACGAGTTCCGAGCTTGAGCTTTGACTTGTCCAGCTTATTGCGGCATCCAACAACATAACGGGGTCCACTGGCGGCCTTGATAATAACTATTCAAGCACGGGAAAAAGGTCAAGGAGTTGAAACGTCAATCCACTGCTCAAGTGCCTGTGTCTGTGCCCGGATAATAGTCAAAATCCGTGGCGGAAAAAGCACTTACAGCGATCCTCGTCCAACTGCTTAAGGACAGATCCAATGATCTGGCCAACACTCTGAAGGGCCTTGATATCGTCCTCGGACTTGTTGAACTGACGATCCAAATCGCGAAGACCCATGCGCACTAAAAGAAAAAAAAAAAAAAAAAGAAAACGGGGAATCATGACAAAACGATAAGTTTCCAGAAGCACCATCCAGAATGTAAACAGCAAAGAACACCCTTCCTAATGCCAAAAAGGGGCAGGAGGGCAAGCTTTGAGGGTGTTTTGTTTCCTTACAGTCTTTGACCTTAGTCTCCATTTCGCGATGTTCCAACAGCTTTTTGCGGTAGTTGGTGAGGGCTCCCGCCCTGGGGTCAGCGGGAGCTGGTACAGAGGTGGATGCCATTACTTTCTTTGTTTAGTGTTTTGTTGGTTTGAGTTGGTTGTTTGCTGTTGTCGTTTAATGACTTGCTGGTGGTTGGTACTGGTGGAAGTAGTTGTAGCTTTTGTTGTTGGTTGTCGTTTGTTGGTGGTCTGTGATGTGAAAGAAGAAGAAGCGGCAGAGGGGTTACGCAGCTCCAGGTCAAAAAAAGAACACTCTGAGGTTGGCCCACACGAAACGCACGCGTCTCCCAACTCGCCCACAGGCAGAGGTGCCTGCTACGTCACCCACTTGCATTGACAGTCACATTTCATATTGAATCTTTCATATTTAAGACTTTCGAGGACGTTGAAGCTGATCACAGCGACCTCCACAAGACGCCACCAGAAAACTAGGAGCCATGCAGCATCAACTCACACATCTACTGGAAAAGGTCAGCCAAGGGGCAACGACTCAAGCCTATGCAGGACTAAACAAACACTGACACAACTGGAAACACACGTTACCCTTCTCAACCATTTCAGCATCACTCAACTTTCATGTTTTTCATTCCCCCCCCCCCCCCCTTCGTTCCCTGCGCGCCTTGTCTTTTCGGTTGTCGGAACTGATAGACAATCTCAGGGTTCCCATCCTTGAAGACACGTGAATACAAGGCCCACAAGTCCAATGTCCACACAGTAGGATGGAACTGCGACGGCAGGAGATTGGCGTCTGGATCTGTCGACAAGACCGCTCGCGTTTGGGCACCCGAAAGAACTGTAGGCAAACAACTATTTTTTTTTTGAAATCTGGAATGTTTTTAAATTCTGAGGAAAGCTCATGACCCCACAAGTCTGTTTTCGTGGATTGGAGTCTAACTTGGCAGCCCTGCCTCCTTTTTGCAATGATATAGTCAGATCCAAGGAGTTCGATTGAGTTGCGTGGACATACCGATAGCGTGGATCAGCTTCGTTGGGACCCTACTCACCCGGACCACCTCGCCACCGCAAGTTGTGACAAGACTGTCCGCATTTGGGACGCACGCTGTAAGCATTCAGGGCAGGATCCCATGTAATGGACCAAATGGGAATATCTCTAGAGAATCCATGATCGCGTCTAAACAGCCTCTCTATTGGATCATTCTCCGTTCACCTGAAACAATAGCTGGAAAGAGTATCCACAAGGTCGATACCAGTGGACAGAACATCAACATCAGCTGGAGCCCTGACGGTCAATGTATTGCTGTCGGAAACAAGGAGGACATGGTCAGCTTTATTGACACCAGGACCTTCAAAGTCGAACACACCTACCAGTCCAAGGTCGAAGTCAACGAGATTAGCTGGAATCACGCAGGAGACTTGTTTTTGTTGACGACTGGACAAGGAACTGTCAAGATCATGTCTTACCCATCGATGAAGGAATTACGTGTCCTGGACGGTCATACTGCCAACTGCTACTGTCTGGAACTGGATCCTCGCGGAAGGTACTTACTCTGTCTATGTGGTTATAGGTGATTGTCGACGATACGTAACGCTCAATGGACTGACCTTCTAATCTTTTATGGCCGTTCCTAGATATCTGGCAACGGGTAGTGCAGATGCTTTGGTGAACCTCTGGGAAATGAACGATTTCAGCTGTGTGCGCACCTTTGGAAAGCTCGAGTAAGTCATCAATTGCAATTAGAGGCAGAAACCAACATCAAAATGGAGCAGGTCACCCCACAACGCGTTTTCTCTCAGATATCGTCTCTAACGTTCTTACCTCATTCTCTTTTTTCGCTTCTAGTTGGCCCATCCGCACAATCAGTTTCAGTTTCGATGGCGAGTTCATTGCCTCGGCTTCAGAAGATTTGGCCATCGACATTGTAAGTTTCATTCCATCCTCACCGCCAATTGATAAATTTCCTCCGCTTCACCAAGGTTACTCAACCGTATTCGAAAACTAACGCAATTTTTTTTTTTTTTTTTTTTTTCCGTCAATTCAACCGATTCATTCATATAGTCGTCGGTGGACTCGGGAGAGACGGTACACAAGATCGAGTGCTATGCGGCCATGAATACGGTTGCATGGCATCCTAGCAAATACCTGCTCGCCTATGCCGGAGACGAACAGGAATCCCGTCCAGGTGGAGGTGGCTCAGTTATGGCTGGCAACCTTCGTGTCTTTGGCTTCAGTGGATAATATTGATCTGCCAGCAGCCGGCGCGCTCTTTTTCCTCAACACACTCAAGACAGGGAGGGTTCAACTAGCTAGCCAACACTTCAAATCTTGAATAACACCATTGTACAACAGCAAAACAACATCATAATAGCAAAGGAAAAGGTTTCTATATGATATATATATAAGAGTGTAACTATACTTTTTTGGGGGGGTTTTCTAGGTTCTATGAATCCAGGCGACGACGTTCTTGACAGCCGCCCGATGCAGGGTAATATTCTTGCTCTCCAGAGCCGCATCCAACTTTCTATAAGCCGAAGTAAGGCGTCGGTCGACCTTGGCCAACAGAGCCTTGTAGACAATCGCGTCGCGGTCGTCTTCTTCTTTTGTTGGTGCTTTGATGGGGGATGATGGCTTTGTTGTCTGTTCAGCAGTCGTGTCGACGTTGCCGTTGCCGCTGGCTTCCTCTTCCTCGCGCAGACGTTGTTGGTACATAACTCCGAATCTCTCGATGGCGGATACACTCTCCGAGAGGCGATTGAATGTGTTCAAAAGCGCGACAATTTCGGGTCGTGACAGGACGCCGTTCGCCCTGTGTCCTCTATAGCAGTGAAAAACAAGTGGATGTCAGGAAGCATTAGTCAGAAATGAGAGTAATAGCGGGACATGTGTTGAAACAGGCGGAGCAAAATAACTGAAGCTGATTGTAGAACATACTTCAGGGAGGCGTCGTCATAAGAGAAGAGGATCTTGAGTGCAGTTCCCAGACCTATATATATGCCACCGATCCAAGCATATAAAGTTAGCTTCCAACTCATGTAGCTAGCAAAACAAAAAGGAGCCTCAAAAGCCGCCACGTTTTAACTTACCAGTGGTCTGAACCTTGCCCCAGAGACGACACTTTTCACACCCAACACAGTCCATAATCCTGGTGACGTTTCTGAAATGGTCCCTGAACTGATTCTTGAGCTTCTTGCCCTGACCGCCATCCTGGAAGAGTAGCTTCTCGTCAAATGTGGGTGGACACTGCTTGACCAGATCAACCAGCTCCGTCACGACCGACATGATGTTCTTGTCGACCGATTCGTCTCCCGTACAGAATTCATATCCTGCAAGGTAGTCCGAGATCTTGGTCACTGCGCGGAGGACGACAACATAGTCAAAGTAGATGTTCTCGAGACGCTCTGGGTGCATGCCTACACGAGAGACGAAGCAGTCCAGGTTTGGTCCCCATTCGCCTGTCGTCTGGTTGAACCACTCGTCACAGATATGGATTGAAATCGACGCATGGAGTCCTATTATACGGGGAATTGAACATAGGTAAAGGTAAGTCAACCGTTATCTCCTAACGCATACCATCCAAAAAAAAGGAACAGGAAGGAATCACTCAACTCACCAGAGATCAAGCGGTAGTAGACACGCTTCTCCAGACAGGACTCTTCAGGGCCATCTTCCTTGGCGATCCCCTGCATCAGCTGCTGAAGATCGCCCTTGCCCTTGGGCACTCTCGAAAAGATTTCGTCCATCTGTGCCTTTGAGGGCTTCTTGGCATCGATGGGTGCAGGCTCAGGTGGGACCAAGATGTTGCTCTCCCTGAGGAGGTCGTGTTCTTCTGGGTGGGCTTGCTGCTCCCTCAACTTGTTCCTCTCCGATTCACAATACTGACATCCGGCGGTCATCTCCTTGGAGACGTCGAAGCAATTTTCCTCGTAGATTGCCTTCCAGACCATGCCTGCGGAGGGGCCCGAGTAACCGGTGAAGCGCTCGGGGTTGTCCCTCAGATCGACATAGACCTCGTCCGTTGCGATGTCTGGTGCACAAAACTCTTGATCCTTGATCTTTGCAGGCTTGATGGGAATCGCTCCAAACAACTATAACGATCCATAAAATGCGCCAGTTAGCTTCAGTGACAAGGTGCAGGTGCCAAACGGGTATCACCATAAGGAGTGAACAAGGAAACAACGTACCTGATTCGAGGTGGGCATGGAGACTTTTCCAAGGGCTTCGCTCCTCCACTGCTCAGGAATTTTCTGCTTATCCATCGTCTCGACAGAACAATCCCTGTTCATGCAGAGACCAGCATTGTCCCAGAAGGGACACTCCTTGTACAGATTGACCTAGCAACCAACAAAAAAAATGAACCCGTCAGACGACATGAATTGAAGAGCACCGGATAGGCTAATTGGCACCCTGATCAAAAGCAGAGTTGAGGCACAGTGTAGATAATACATCCTCCTCCTTTTGATGAGGTGATGACGATGAGCAAGAACTGCATCGCTGCTGTTTTGTCTATCATACCTTGAAGTACCGGAAGAAGGGCATGCTGACAATTTCTTGCAACTTTGCCGAAAAGTCGACATTGAGCTTTCCAACCGTCTCATAGTCACAGCACGACGAGTCGCCGATCAATCCTGAGGGCTATTCTCGTCCATCAAAAGCACAAGGTTGTAACCCAAAAAAAAAAAGAGAGAACAATATGGTTACGAAATGATGATCTACAGTTCATTTTTCCTACTCCACAAAACGAGAGAGCAATAGACCAGAACAATTGTATAGTCGTATGAACAAACAGAAAGCGAGTGAACTTACGTTGCTGCACTGTGGCGATTTGTCCCAGACTTGGTTATTGTTATTGTTGTTGTTGTTCTTGATTGTATCCCAGACTGCGCCGGGGTTAGGGTTGGTGGAGAGGTGGTCCGTGTCGTCGTTGCCGTAGAGCAGTCCTGCGGCGAGGATAGCAATGAGGGCTGCGAGGACCGAGAAGAGTACATTCGACATTCGCGACATTGTGTGAGAATGAGCAAAAGTCGTCGGGTGCTTTTGTGTTGTTGTCGTTCGTTTGTGTTGGGCGAAGAGGAGTGGGTGAGAGAAAGAAGGAAGAAAAGAAGGAAGGAGTAAGGAACAAAGCACAACGGACGTCTTTAGATTACATATTAATGAAAAAAAAAAAAGTGACTGCCACAGTGCCCATTCGTTTGCCACGTCGCGATGGCTACCTGAGACACTCGCCGGCCAAATCAGGTTTCCGGCTCTCGTTGTTGAGACCGGCGCAAGATGATAGGATTCATTTTCCCATGCATCTTATGCATTGGGTTGACAACATCCGATAAAAACTCGTCAAAAGGTCAAGTACCGGTAAATTGTTGTTGTCTTCATTATGCATTTACGTTGTTATTCAAAAATATTGTACTGTGCTAATTCTTTAAAATCCAAAGCTGTTCTGGCCGTATCCCATGTTCATGCCGGTCTGCTGGGGTGGGATCATCCCTGGTCCAGCAGTGATCATCATAGTGTTGCCCAGACCGCCAGGTCCGAGAATGGGCGTCTCCGAAGAACGCTCCTTGCTCTCCTTGGCCGTCCGCTCCTCATGCGCCTTCTCCAACTTGTCGACCTTGTCAACATACTCTCGCGTGAACTGGACCATGTAGGGCATAGCAAAGTCTGTCAATTGGTGTCTCCATGCCAGCTCCATAACTCTGTCAGGACGGACAAGGTCGTAGCAGATATACAGACAGGCGGCAAAGCACTCCTTGTGGCCAGACTCGACAAAGTACTGCAACAACTCCTCAGCGACAGATGTATCCTGAGACTCGGCAGCAGTCTCCATGGCATCCTTGTACAGACGATCCTGCTTCGAAAGAGTCATCGACTGGCGCCACTTCTTGTTGCGCTTGAACAGGTGGGCGGCAATGCGGCGGAACTCGAGGAGCTCGTGGCTCTCCAGACGGTTGGCCAGGGCAATGTTGTCAAAGTTGCTGTTGGTGTCAACAGATTTGCGGAGACGGGCATAGTCCTCCTCCTCAATCAACAGGTCGTGGTAGGCAGTGTTGATGGCGAGGTTGTTGACCGACTGGACAGAGACGAGGTAGTTCTTGATCAGGGGCAAGTTGTCCGACTTCTGGAACATCTGGATGACGCGGTTGTGGTCAATTCTGGGCACAAGGACAACCAAAAGGTCGTTCAAGAGCATAGGCTGCTCATCCAGGTAGAAGCGGAGGGCCTTGTAGTAAATCTCGAGGTTCGACACCTTGACCACCACATCCTTGAACGCACTGTGCTCCCAGGCGTCGGCAGAATGCTTCATCATGGTGATCGCAGCATTGTCGTATTCGTCGTAGTGGACATACAAGAAGACGAGCTCGGTCCAGAGGTGAGCCTCCTCGCAAGAGGCAATGACCTTGGGAATGTTGATGCGCGACCAGAAAATCTTGAGGTGCTCCATCATGCGCTCAGGGCGGTAACGAGCATAGAGGATGGCCAACTCGGTGAACATGCCCATGTGAGCACGCTCCAAGCCCAAACCGGACTCGAGCAAGGCCATCAACTCATCAAAGAAGCCCTGGTTCTCGTAAACGTGGATCAACTCAGTCAACTCCTCGGGGTGAACAACCAACGACAGACCGCACACCTGTGCCAAACGGAACTCCTTGCGCTCCATACAGGCGGCATGAACATCCTTCCAGACCTGGGTGCTGTTAGCCTTGCGGGCACCATCGACGGCCGCCTGGTACTCTCCCAAGTGGACCAAGGTGGTCGAGAGGCGAGACCAGTTCGAGATGCTCGAGTAGAGGAGTTTGGCGGGGGCGTACATCTTCTCCTCGAAACAGCGGTCTCCGATGACCTGGACCTGGGCAGCGTTGGGAGAACCGTTGAGAATCTCCTCCATATCGATCAGGCGATCAGTCTTGGCATAGGCAAAGAGAAGCTCCGACTCGATTGAAGGCTCACGCGAAATCTTGCGAGCCATTTGCAAGTACCGGACTACATCCTCGTGCTTGTCGGCACGCGAGGCAAGGGCGACCACTTCGGCGTGGTTGGTGGGATCATTGGCACGGATGTACGAGTCGATGGCCTCCTTGATGCGCATACCGTCCAACTGGGCCTTACCGAGACGGCTCCAGACCTCGGGGGTGTCGGTCTTCTCAGCGTACTCGTAGGCGCGGTCGATACTGCCAATGTGCTCAATGAGAACGTTGATGGCGCTGGCATGGACGTCATGGCGCTGGTAGATGACAAAGGCTTCCTCGTACAATCCGTTGCGGATGGCGTGGTCGGCAATATCGGGGGCGTCAAAGTTATCCAGACGGTTGATGTAGTCCATGACCTTGGACTTGTCAGCCTGAATAGCGGTCAAGATCAAAAGGTTCTGGAGGTTGCGGTTGTCGCTGAAGGCAGAGCTCTCGAGGATGATCTTCTCCAAAAGCTCAATCAGTTCGTTGGGCAAGTAGGCAGCCATGAAAGCCTTGACGGTGATAGAGACATCCTCGGGATCCTGGGTCTCGGGTAAGGCGGTGGCGACGACCTGATCGATCAATGCACGACGGCTGGGGTTGTCGTTGCTCAAGACGTGCGCCCAAAGGTTGGCATCGCGACGCTTGACCAAGTAGCGGGCCTGGTGCTTGAACATCGAGTTGTTGTTGGTGATCTCAACCAACTCGACATCGCACTGGCCACGCTCGTAGGCAATGAAGGCAAGGTAGGGATCGCGCTTCTCGCAGTACTTTCCGATGGTCATAGAGTCGTAGAAGGTGTTGTTCCTGAGGAAGGGCTCGGGGTTGTTGTTGCTGTCGATGTAAATCTTGGCAATGGCGTTGTAAACCTCGGGGTCCTGGCTGCTCTCGTTGACCTTCACCTCCAACCAAGGTAAGAGAAGCTTCAAGCGGTTGCGCTTCTCGGTTTGGTCGACCAACTCTCCAACGGGCATGTCACCACGAACGGTCATCAACAAGCTCTTGATGACAGACTCGTCGCAACCAACGTCCAAGAGCGCACCGATGACGGCAGGGGTCCTGGAGGGGTTGACCTTTTGAACGTAGGTCTCGATGTATTTGGACAAGTTGTTCTGGTACAAGTAGAGGACCAAGTCGTGGACAAAGTCGAAACGGTCGCAGACAATGATCAAAGGAAGCTGGTCGGCCAACTTGGCGTCCTTGAGGAAGTTCTTGACCTTTTCGGGGTTGTAGTAGTTGGACTCGCGACAGATGCGCTCGACCTCCTTGATCTGGCCGGTCTTGCAGGCTGCCTCGATGTACTTGTAGATGACCTCGGGATCCTGGCTCAGGTTGACAATGGAACCCAAGTAGTGGTAAAGACCCTCAAAAGTGTTAAACGACTCAAAGAGTTCAATCAACTTGGAGGCACCCAACTGTTCAGAGTACTTGGTGGCGACCTGGACAACGATCTGCAAGTTCTGGCGCATGTTGGAGCTCAACATCTCACGCAAGCAAGAGACCGACTGCTCGACTGAGAGGCGGCCAAAGTAGGCAACAACCCAGTCGGGCTGCAAGAGATGGGTATGGACCAAGACGCGCTTAATATCGGCATCCTCGGTGTAATGCTCCAATGCGCGCTGGTAGAGTCCGGCCTTCTCGCACATGGAGGCGACCGAAGCGCGGTCGTAGTGGGTGAACATTTCGTTGCCGAGGATGGCGTCGGCGACCTGGGGGGCGTGCATCAAGTTCATCTCCAGCAAGCGGGTCTGGAGGTGAGCATGCTGAGGCAAGTTGTCCTTCAATGCCTCCAACAAGAAAGCGGTGGCCTGCTGGATCATGTTCTGGGACAGGAACACATCGACGACCTGCATTGATCAAATCAAATATGAAAAAAGGGGACCATTGTTAGAGGGATTGCCACCAATTTCGCTGATCAATCGCACAAACAGAAATTAAACCAAATCAATGAGTGATCTTTCTTACCTTCTCCAGGTCAACCAGGGGTCCGCCCTCGTTATTGGCGAGAAGGGTGGCAAATTCGGCACCGTTGTCGGGATCCATGCGCATGATGTGCTGAAGGAGCGTGGCATAGTCAGGGGAGTATCCGACCTTGTTGGCGTACAGGATAATCTTGGGGTACTGCTTGGTCTCAGCAAAGCATGCAATGACCTTGTTAGGGACATTGGCACGGAGGTAGACAGACAACGCAAGGTTCAAATCCTGCTGCTTGACAATGTCTCCCAGCTCCTCACTGCACTCCAGCTTGTCCTCCTTGAGCCACTTCTCGAGCAACTGCTTGCGACCCTGGGCAAGAACTGGTCTGGCAAGCTCCAATGATTCGTGCTTGTTAAGCTCCCCCTTCTCCAAGAGGAGGCCAAAGTACTGCAGAATAGGGGAGAGCTGACCAGGGGCCACGGGGGCCTGCTTGAAGCGCTCAATGGTCTGGGGAGTACGAAGAATACCCTAATATCGCAAATATGTACAAGAAACATGCAAATGTTGGTTGCTAGATTCATCTTCATTTGGTATGGGGAGCAGTACGTGATTTAATAGATCGTTTCTTACCTTGGGCGAAGAAGCTGCGACCTTGGCAGCCTCGGCAAAGTCACCGCTCTGGAAGAGTTGTTGGAAACGCTGGACATAAAGATCATCGGCGCCGGCGAGACCGCTGCGCGATGCCACCTTGAGGGCGAGCTCAGTGTTGCCGAGGGTGTTGACAATATAAGGAACCAAGTTGTCCTCGTCCACACTGACGGAGAGGACTTGACCCTTGCGGTTGACTCCAATGACACCGCTGGTTGCTTCGTGCTCTGCAGTCACAAAGATGGTCTCGCCACTGATACGGTTCATGTAGATGCAGGTGCCGGTCTCGAGGTCGTAGAGGTGGATGAAGCCGAACTTTGTGATCAAGAAGATGATGCTGTACTTTTGACTGATCTGCATGGCGACAGGGAAGTCACCGCTGGCCTCTGGGGGGAAGTAAACATCAACAGCCTTCTTGGGGTAGACAGGGTTTCCTTCCTTGTGATCAACCTCGACAATGTGAAGCTAATGGTGAAGTTTTTGAACGTAAGTTTTGACTGATCTGTCACCATAAAACATCGCACAGTTACCAAGTAGAGGGAGCATGCTCATCCGCGTTATACCTTGGCTCCTACGGCAGTACGGACGGCAAAGGCAAACAGTTTTGTGGGTGAGCTTCCTCCGTCCAACTTGAGCTGGGCGAAAGCAGCAGCATGACCTTCTATTGGCTGACTGACTCCACGATCCTTGGAGTAGAGCTGCATGGCACCGGCAACACGGCCACCCTATTATGAACGAAGAAACGAATGAGATCCATTATCTGTGATCAGTATCTACAAACATGCGCCATTCACTTGTTCTCCCTTGTGTATGTGTGTTGGTTGGTTGGTTACCTGTGATGAGATACCGACGAGGAGCATCCACTTTTCATCAGAGTTGACGCGGTAGTTGATAATCTGGTTTCCGCTCAGACTCGCGTGGCGATCAAAGACCTTGATGGGTTGAGAATCGCCCTCCATCGACCAATGGTAAACCGAGGTGCTGGTGACAAGCGCCAACGATTTTAACGAGATCCACTTCCAGAATTCAACGTCGTCGTGCATAAGGTGCGACTTTACTTTGGTCTTCATCTCCAAATTGAAAATCTGCAACTGTCGGCCGGCTAAGTTATTGAAAGAATAAAAAAAACCCCGTTGTTACAAGAGTTAGCATCAAGGCTTTCCAGATCGGATATGCTTCAAACAACCAGCAGAACTCTTTCCTCCGCTACTGCCACTGTGGTGCGAAACCATCATCTACCTTTCAGAGCAATGACCTTGGAGGCAGGGTTCATAATAGCCGAGTCGGCTGTAATGGGACGACGAATGACATTGTTGGGATCTGTCAAGTCGATGATGACGACCAAGTTTTGCTCGCCGGTTGTCTCACGAACACAGATGAAACGGTCTGATTCAAGTGTGAGGGTGTTGAAGGAGATGGCGGCGGCGCTGATGCCCAAGTTTTGAAGCTGAGGGAAATATATTCAGAAAGGGAAACAGGTTGAATGATCTTTGTTCTTTTGCGAGATGATGAAGCCTGGCAGGGAAGAGATTGTTTTTTTTTCAAGAGTTGTACCTGCACATGCTCCTGGAAGCGGATGGGGAGTGCTTCAGCCATTTACAGTCTGGTTATGAGCGAAAGGAAAAAGGGAGAATGAGGGTAAGGAAAGGAAACTGACCCCAGACGTGGGAGGCGGAAGAGCGCGACTGGGTATTCGGAGGGTGAAGGAGAAGATGCAAGCAGGGCAAGAGGGAGAGAGAAGGGGAATCAGCGTCAGAAAAGAAGGGGAAAGATAAAAGAAACCAAGTAAAAAAAAAGGGCGGATAGGGAAGTAGGGAAGGGGAGGGAGAGGGAAGGATGATGAGCAGAAACAGAAGAAGAACGCGATTAAGCAACGAGAGGTGTGAGATGGGAAACGGTGGACCCAGGGGGGAGATTTTCAGCTCGCAAATGCAACACTCCCCTACAGATCCCGTGACGTTGGGTTGTCTGCGTGACTGGCAACTCCAGAAGCAAGCAAGCGCCGGAAGACTGATCAACACAAAAATACACCTCAGGACAATCCTTCACTCACCAGACACCGCCAAACGCTCATCCTAACAACATCAACCATGCCTCGCCATTACGATCTCTGTGCTCGCGTCCAGAACGGATTTGCTGCCCGTCTCCGCAGGATCGCCGTCCCCGACACCAAAATGAACCTCGCCATCTCCAACGTCCTCTACAAGGAGGGCTTTATCGCCGGTGTCAGCAGGGGTGACCATGTCCAGCCCGATAGTGAATATGTCGTCACCACCCCCGACAACATTGCCACCCGCCGTCTCTGGCTGGAATTGAAGTATAACAACGACGAGCCCGTCCTCAAGAAGATGTCTGCCGTCAGCAAGCCTTCGAAAAAAATTGTCATGAAGGTCGAGGAGCTCCAGAACTTGGCTGCAGGAAACCGTGCACAGTTTATCAAGGGACTCCAGCCCGGAGAGATTGCCATCCTTACAACCAACTATGGCGTTCTTGAGCTCAGAGATGCCCTTGAGAAGGGTGCTGGTGGAGAGTTGCTTTGCCGGGCAATTTAAAGAACAGGACAAGCTGGATCGAATAACCGACATCCCAACCAGTTCCAGGATCACGGCGCGGCGCCATGTCAACCACTTTCCTTCACCATATCTATTCCGACGTTTGTTCCTTTTGACCCGAAGATCGTTGGACGCCAGAACGAGACCCTTAGCATTTTCACCTCATAGAGAAAAAACATCAATAATTGTACCATATCATCCTTTTCTTTCTTTCTCTTTTCTCTCGGTCATCTGGGATGCGGATCAAAATGAAGGGTTACAAATGCTATTGGGGTCATGTCGAGATATCGGCATTTTGCTTTATGATTCTGATTCTATGGATAGTGTGAATGTGTTATGAAGGTCATGTTCTGGATATAAAGGAGTGTATGAGATGAGTGCTTAAACAGCATCGGAGAAGCGGTTTTCGGTAGTTTCCTCCATGACGGCGGCATGACCGAGGATGCCGACAGTGCTGGCACCTATTTTGTTTATGAATTGAGAATCGGGAACATGTTAGTTGAAAGGAGCTAAGCTAAAGTGAAGCGTGAAGGAGTCAAGTCATTAGAAGTTGACATCGTACCAATGATGTAGAAAATAGTGCCTATCGTGGAGCTGAAAAAGAAGAGAGGAACGGATACGCAGACAAGACCGGTTTGCAGCTGGCGAGCGTTGTAGGTGTTTTGCCCAATGACAACTCCTTCTGCGGGAACACAAGAAATGAGGTGGGTTCCCCCGACCGCAAAGGCAACGCTGAACATGAGCATGCCGTTCGAGACACTGAGAAGGAGAAAAATAATAGTAGGTCAATGCTCATTGAAGTTGTAGCGCGCGTATTCATGGACGAGATAGGTGGGTTTTCACTTACACGCTGTAGGCAGTGATACCGAGGAACATGAGCGTGTAGTTGCCCTGGAAGTAGGGCAGGTTGCGGGTCAAGCGGGATGTGATTTCTAATCGCGGCCACAATGATATGGGATGGTTAGCTACACTTGTTCGTTTGTTCAGAATGATACGAGGAAAAGTGATATAAAGAAGTAACAAAGAAAACTCTCGTACGGGCAACTCCTGTGGGCTTGGACATGCGAGAGGTATCAAAGAACTCTGCGATGGGTCTGAGGGAGGAGAGGCGCTCCTTGCGGAACTTTTCAATCAGACCCAGGCCAAGGGAGGCAGGGGACTGGTTGGTGGTTGGCTGGGGGGTTGAGTCTGCAAAGGGGTTGGTTGGCAGGGAGTAATTGAGTTTTGGGTTTGACATTGTGAAGTGAAGGGTGAATGAAAAGAAGTAGGATGGGGGGAAGAGGCGGGTAAGTGAGGAAGAGGAAGAGGGGGAGAGAAGAGAGAAGAGGAGGAAGAGGAAGAGAGGAGAGAGAAGGGAGAAGAGGAGGAAGAGTGAGGAAAATAGAAAATAGAAGAAGGTGCCTCTTGTGTTTTTTTCCCTGTTTGGGATTGTTGTTCCTTGGCCTTGGCAGTAGACGCACACCACATCGATACACGATGCAGTGAGGACCAACAGCGGGAGAGACGGAGGAGTGTTCTGAGTGTGTGTGTGTGTGTGTGTGTGTGCGCTGCCTCGCTCACTTGTTCCCTTCCCCCTGTGTGTCCTTGTGTCCTTGTGTCTCTAGTCCCCTTTGTTATTATTATTATTATTTTTTTTATTTTTCCCGCCAACTCTCCACTCTCCTTTGCCCTTTGCCCTTTGCTGCTGCTGCTGCTTTCTGTCTCTTTGTGTTGTTGTTCTTGTTGTTCTCTCACCCTGTCCGCTTGACCCCTGCTCCCTTCTTTTTGGTTGGTTCCGGGCAGCTCCTTTTCTTTGTCCTTTTGTCCTTGTCCTTGTCTTTGTCTTTGTCAGACTGATTCCCTGTTATCCCTCTCCCTCTCGCTCTGTCCCACTTTTTGCTCTCTTCTTTTTCTTCTTCCTCCTTTCCTCTTCCTTTCCTCTTCCTTTCCTCTTCCTTCCTTCTTTTATTCCTCTCACTGTCCTCCCCTCCCCTTCCTCCCCTCCCCTCCCTTGCTCTCGCATCTGTAAATAATAATAACAATCAACAACACACTCACTCTCACACTCCCTCATATTATTCTCTTGTCATCGCTTTGCACTTCTCGTCATCGTTGACGCTCTCTACATCACACCTCACTCCCCTTCACTCCAATCTTGATCAAGGTAACAACACCAAACACAACTCGCTTTCATCTAATATCAACCTGCACAATCTAATCAACCCCCCTCCCCTGATGCTACTTTCTGACAATAATAACGCGTGTCTGTCATTCAATATGTCTGCTTGTTCACCATCAACAGCACTCCAACACCCCCCCTCCACTCATCAATCTGGACTTGTTTCCACCATCGACCCTCCTGCTTCTCGAAATCACCTTCTCTCTTAAAAAAAAGTGCGCACGCGTCCACTCATAGAAACGATCGCCGAGCCGATTCACTAACCTATCGCCCTTCTTTCGCTCTCTCGCTCTCTCTCACTCTCTCGGTGTATACCATACCTACTTTATAACGATGACTTAGTGCCCGCGACAAAGACAAAGAATATACTCACTCCTCCGCCACCCCTCTCCTACCATTGCCAAGCATCATCTTTGAACTTATGAATCCACCATGAGCCTGCTTGATTCGACTTCTTCTCTTCCGTCGAACAGTAGCAATAACAACACCAGCACGAACCAGACCAACACCGACAACCCACATAACGATACCAACACCCTTTCAACCTCGCTCTCTGACCCGACCCCACCAGTGAGCAAGGATGCCGACCTCTCGACAACTCTGAGCCTGCGTCTATCCGACTCCGAGCCAGCAGCCACAACGACTACAACAGCCCCACTAGGATCTGGACTGGAGACTTCCCATCTTGCCAGCAGTAACAGTTCGACCAGCAACAGCAGTGCCATTAATATGACTGGTTTGCTGATCTCCAACCAGTCAAACTCGTCCACCACAGCAACCAGCGATGTACGTCCCCTCCAGGGCATCGCAGAGTCATCCTCCAGCGTCCGCAACTTCAAGGTCCTTTACGACCCCTTCCTGGATGCCAGTAAAACAAAGAACACTGGGATAATGTGCCGCTATCAGGATGATTTGACAGAGGAGGTAAGATGTCCATCCAGTTTTATTGTGATTATTGTGATTTTGCATTTGTTTCCAATGCTGATTACGTTAATATCGACGATCCTTTCACTGCAGACCCTTGCAGGAGCAACCAACATAATAAATACGGTGGACCTTTTTTTTTTTTTTTTTTTTTTTGGCGTTTTGTGGCGCCTTCTAGGACAGGAGCGACCCTGTAGATCCAAGGCAAATGGCTGCCAACTACAGCTACCTCATCTCCAAAACCAGGAGAGCATTCAAAGGCACACTCACTCCCGTCCGTCTTGAGGTAATCCAATTAACCTTGGAACGCCATGTGTACTTGCAAATAATAAGAGCTACAGTTGCCCGATCAACGCTCACACAAGATTCTCTTATCTCAAATGTCAACGCAGCGCGATAGCAACTCAATCGTTCATCATGGAGTTTTAATCTCCCACTTGGCCTTTTCCACAACAGCTCTGGACCTGGAGATCTTGTTTGCAGGATGCGGCAACATTTTGGACATCATCATTGAGCGACATCCTGCAACAGGGACAGGACTGGGATTCGGACGTGTAGTGTTTGCAGAACCAGACGCAGAGGCTGCTGTCAAGAAGGCCGTCGAAACCTTACATGGCAAACAAATGGAGCGCGGACCTTTGAAGGTGATCTCGGATGGCGGCGGCACAAAGTTCAGGAAGGCAAAGGCCAACGTCGCTGCCAGGATTGAGGCCGCCAAAGCGAAAGCAGTCCTTGCCGAATCCAACCACGACCAAGACAACTACACCAACGACGATGACATGGAAATTGACGACGCATCGACCCCTCCACCCAGTGGAATTCTCTCTCCAACGGCGACGTTGCCGTATGCAGGTTCTACAGGATCACAACCCGTCTTCGCCTCTACGGCTCCTGGAGCGCATGCAAGCCAAACAGCTGCATCATCACCTTCTATACCCTCATCCTCATCAGCATCCAAACCTAATCAGTCGTCCAGCAGTGGAACCCCAGCATCGTCCACTCGGCGGATACCCCACCCACTTCCACCCACACCTCGCACTCGCATTCCATTGCCGCCCATCCCTCCACCAGAACTGCATCAAGTGAGAGGCAACAAGCCCCTCCATAAGGAAGATGGAGAGGTTGAGGATGCTGCTGGAAGAGCAAAACCGTCTGGAACAACTGCCACCCCAGCTGCTACCACAACCACAACAAGGACGGCGCCACCTGCATCTCGACGGGAATGGGAAATAGGAGCTGATCCTCATGGTCCGCCCAACGATGGTTACAGGACTCTACCAAAAGCACGCGACATCGATTCTTATCGACCTGGCATGGCGCCTCCCATGCTCCTTTCTGCAGTATCTCTGAGCCGATCGGATTGGATGGGCCCTGGAAGTCTGGCATCTGGAGCCCTTCCCAGAGACGAGTTCTACGATCGATACTTTGACGACATGCCTTTTCCACTCGACCGGTACGATCGGTATCCTGGCAGGAGGCGTTCGAGTCGTAGTCGGAGCAGGAGCTGGTCAAGAAGCAGAAGTAGAGACCGGAGTCCAAGTCCCCCTATGTGGGGAATGGACCCTGGTCATCATTCCAGGCGAGGTCGGATGCACAATGAGAAGCGCGGATCGGCCTTTGAAGACGACAACTCTGGATGGCAGCGTGACCTGGCCTGTCTCATCATTAACAGAGACTGCCTTCCTTTCCACAGAATCTCGATCGAGGACATGAAGCGGGAGTTTGACAAGTTTGGCCCTGAACGGGTAAGTTACTATGTACATTCTGCTTAGAACGTATGAATATCCATACACAATATTACGATTTGATTCATCTAACTAAAAGAATCCCTTTTCAATCTTTAGGTTGTGCGACATGGAGAGAACTGGTACATCCGTTTCGTTTCGTTGGCGCAAGCAAGGAGATGTCATGTTGTCCTGGACCAGAAGCCTTTGCTGGGCCAAAAGATTACCATTCTGCTTCACGAGCCAGGCGACGATAAGCTACCCTCGGAGCTCCTTCCAAGGAGGGACAGCATGAAGGAGCAGGGTCATCGCCGCTCGTCGGATATGGGAAGAAAGTCGAGCGTGTCTTCAAGCGGCAACTCTCGTGCAAAGGCGCCTTCCAAGGAGGACTCCCTTGTTCGCTGGGCTTCGGATATGATCACTCGGGAACTGTTCCAAGTGTTCCTGAAGGATCTCGGCAATCGAGTTATCGGACCAACGATCTATGACTTTCTGGATCCTGTAACCCGCAAAGCGAGGGAGGCTGAGCGAGCATTGACCCGTGCTCAGGATCTGATTCAGGACAAGGAAGCAAAAGAATTGCCGTCAGAGGAAACGTCATTTGGCACCCATGGCACTTCCGCAGAGTTTGGAATGGATGTCGCTGTCAATGGCGAGGCGACAGCAACAGTAGCAGTGTCAGGATCAGCAGATAAACCATCTGGGTCGTCTAAGGCTGGGTCGTCAGGACCCACCAAGCCTAAATCGGATTCAGTTCGTCCACCTGTCAAGGCATTGGACCGAGACTCGCAACAACTTCCTCGCTCTGACGCCATCCCAAAGCTGCCTAGTTTCAAGAAGAGGACCCAAACCGACTCACCAGTGGCCCGCAAACCACGATCTGACAAGGATAAAAAACGGCCCAGCAAGCTCAAGCAGAAGCGACGCACTGGATCCAGGAATCACTCCTACTCCCGATCACGGTCTCGTTCTCGATCGCGATCTCGCTCTGGAACTCGCAATCGTCATCGCTCACGGTCAGTTTCAGGATCTCCATCAAGACAGCGCCATGCTTTCAAGTCCCAGGGTCGGATTCCCCGTTCAATGTCCCGTTCGCGGTCTAGGAGTTACTCTCCCACAGGAAGTCCTTCTCGGGGCCGCACCGCTTTTCGGTACAGGGAATCAGAGTCTGATGCAGACCGGATCAAGGCCGGTGCGTGGAAGCCAAGAGGCGCCCGCAGCTCCTCTAGCCAGGACGATGATCGTGGACCCAACCAGCGTCGACATCCAAAGAAGCAGGACCGACATGCACGACCAGACCACAAAAAGACGTCTCACAACGGCAACAAGAAGCGCTCTCCTCGACTTCGGGATTATCTCAGCAGCAGTGATGATGGTCAGGTTGCGGACGACTTTTTGACAGAGTTTCACCAGCGCCAGCCTCAGGGTGAGAGCAGCGATGAGGGTGATGAGGATGAGGACAATGAGTTCGTTGTGGACGATGAGGCGGAAGTGGAGAGAATGGAGGATGATGATGACGGTGAGGTGACCGAAAACGATGAGATGGCAGTCGCTGCTGGAAGGGAGAGTGGTGCTGACCAGGACGATGACGAGACCGGACCCTCTAGATCCTTGCTTAAACGCAAGCGTGCTCATGAGCGTGCATTGGTCAAGGAGGCAGAGCTCAAGAAGTCCAACGATATCCTAGCGATCCCTGAGGCGGATTCGGGCTCAGACTATGGGGAAAATGGAAACAAGTCGCGCAAGAAGAAGGTCAAGAAGCTTTCTACGGCTGTGTCCAAGAAGCCGTCGATTGAGAAAGTCAGCAAGACCCCACGTCTGGAAGAAATCCGTTCGGATGCAGAGTTCCAGGATGTTGCCGTTGAGGGTGCAAATCGCTCTTCTACACCGACCAGACGCCATCTCAAGGATCCCACCCCCGAATACTCGGATTCTTACCTTGTCAGTGGCTCGTCAGACTCAGACTCGGACTCGGACTCGTCCTACTTTGACCTCTACGAGCCTTACGAGTCTGGGAAGACAGAAGGTGGCTTGGTGGTATCTCAAAAGGATGCACTACCTTTGGACTTCAACCACGGAGACGAGGAGGATTTCCAGTTCATGCGAGCCGCATTGGAGTTGGAGCGCAAGAGAGCTGCCGAGGAGGAGTCGAGCCGACGCCACGGAGGTATATCTTACAACGGCACTGGCGATATGGGCGACAGGACGAGTCAACTTCGGAACTTTGAGGCGGCATTGGCGTTTCAGGAAAGCTCCCGCCTGGATACGGAACCGTCTGCCCATCGAACTGGATCTGCGCGTACCGAAGGCTTTTACAAGATTTCGGAGATGGCCAAGGCGATTTACTTGCCCCATCGCAATACGGCACAGGTCAACACGGCGTCCGCCAGGATCTCGTCCCGTATGAACCGAGTCAACAACCGACGCATGTTGGTCGGAATGGCGACGGACTCGGATATCATGAAGTTCAACCAGCTCAAGGTTCGTAAGAAGCAGCTCCGGTTCGCAAAGTCACCTATTCACGACTGGGGTCTGTTTGCGATGGAGAAGGTGGATGCGAACGACATGGTGATTGAGTACATTGGCGAGGTGATTCGACAGAAGGTGGCAGACCACCGTGAGAAGCGATATGAGCGCATGGGCATCGGTTCCAGTTATCTCTTCCGTGTGGACGACGACACTGTCATTGACGCCACCAAGATGGGCAACATTGCTCGCTTTATCAACCATTGTTGCACAGTAAGTCCTCTTTCTTTCCGTCAGCACATTAATGGTATTGCCTACTCTAGCTGTGTGTTCTGATATGAAATCAGTGACTAACGCGTCTGTCTTTGTTATCTTTCAATGTTGTTGTTGTTTTTTTAGCCCAACTGCAACGCCAAGATTATTACTGTCGACGGGCAGAAGAAGATTGTCATTTACGCCAAGCGAGACATCGAGGAGGGCGAAGAGATCACGTACGACTACAAGTTTCCTATCGAAGCCGACAAGATTCCTTGCCTCTGCGGTTCTCGTGGATGCCGCGGTACTCTGAACTAATTTGGATTGAGCGTTCGAACACGGAAGCCTCTTTCCCTCACTCATCATCACCCCCGCACCTCATATCCCATCATTTACTACCCTCCAAAAAAAAATTCATGAAAACACGAAACGATTTTTTTTCTCCCCTCCCTCGCCCCTCCAGGACGGCAGCAATGAACGAGCCTGTCCTTTGTACCCTTTGCTCTCCTTTTTTTCTTTAAACGAAAGATATAAACCCCCCCCCCCCTCTCTCTAAAAATGCGTAGGCGCATATTCTTCCTGTTCTTTTTTTTTTCATCTTGACCCCCCATGGCATTTTGTTTACATAAAAAACAATTGTATTGACAAAAGAAACTGAAAAAGATTTAGATACGAGAATAATTTTTTTGTCTATGCGAAAAAGGAAGGAGGGAATGATGATCAAAAAAAGTAGCAAAATAAGGGGACGAGCCAGGAGCACACACGTAAAAAAAAAAAGAAAGTATGATTTCTATGCGCGTGGGCTTCTAGCCTTCATGCGATCCATACGGCCCTCGATCCTTTGTCTGGACTGGACCTTGGAAGCCTCTGCTGCAAGGACGTTGCCCTCCTTGGCAGCTTCAGCCAAGACCTTGGCGACCAACTCGACACCGCGGACAGAGTCGTCGTTGGCAGGGATAGGGTAAGAAACGATGCGGGGGTCGACATCGGTATCTGTGATGGCGATGGTGGGGATGTTGAACCGGGTAGCCTCCTTGATGGCGATCATGTTCTCAAGGGGGTTGAGGACAATGACCAAGTCGGGGCGGAAGGGCTTGGCGAGGTCTCCGGCACGGGCGTCAGGGAGACGGGGGGTGTGGGGGCCAACAATTTCCTGGGCGTTGGTGATGGTGCCGGGGCACCACTTGGAGGCAACATAGTAGGCGCTGCAAGACTTTGCAGCGTCGATGGTGACATGATCGACGCCCTCACGGGTACCGATGAAGAGGATGATTCCTCCCTGACGGGCGACGGCCTTGGTGACGGTGCAGGCGCGACGGAGGTGGGTCAAGGTGTGCTCGAGGTTGATGATACTGATCCCCTCACGGATACCAAAGACAAAGGGCATCGAGGCCACGTTCCAGAGCGACGTGCTGTGTCCCAAATGCAATCCTGCGGCCAAAAGCTGAGCGATCGTCAAGGAGTTCGAAGAAGGGTTGCTCTTCAATGCCGACTTTGGCTTTGGTGCCAACTGACCGCCCATTGACATGTATTCTGGCACTTTTGAGTGAAAGTGGGTTTTGCGTAGGATGATAATGGTTAGCATAGACTTTCTTTCTTTTCATGCCTCTTTCCGTTCCTCTTTCAACTCCACTCTCAATTCTTCATTTAATTCTTCTTTCACTCTTCTTTCTATTCCACTTTCAACTCCTCTTTCAATTCCTCTTTCAAGCCCCATCACAAAAAAAAAAAACAAGAAAAGGAGACTTACTGAGAGCCTTAAGACGCTTCTCGAGATCAACAGGTGTGGCGACAAAGGTAGGCTCAGGATCAACAGATCCTTCTGAAGAAGCAGATGTTGTTTCTGTAGTGGTGGAGGTGGTTTCTGAAGTAGATGTTGGCACAGCGAAATCCGACTCCATACCAGCCATCATAGCATCCAGCATATCGTCATCTCCAGCTCCTGCTCCTGATCCTTTGCCAGTCGAGTACATTCCAGCCTGACCGGCGCGCATCCAGGTGCGGCTCATCTGTGATGGAGTGGTGGTGCGGAGAGCGACTATTTTTTTTTCAGGTAGATATTTGGGGCGGGGGGGTACCATATGTGTTAGTATGAGAGGGTGGGTATGTTCAGAGACATGTGTTGACCGGTCTCCAGAGATGTCCTCTGGTTCCAATTGATCTCGGTAGAGATGTGTCCGTGTCCGATAGCCCTAGTGTCCAATAGTCCGAGTTTCCAATTGACCACACAAACGTCCGGGATGTAAGTCTACCCCGTTCTACAGAACGAGTAAAAAAGCCTCTCGGAGAGGGAGGGAGGAGGGGGGGCAACTGGCTTGAAAAGCCTTTCAATAGCACAGTATCCTGAACAGCCCGATATGCTTAAGTGCCCTTCCCTGTCCACTTCGCGGAGAGTAGTATGTTTTGGCTCCTGAAATCTCCATGGTCTCGTGTCCAAAACAAAAAAAAAAAGTGACCAAGGCTCGTGCATTTGGTTCCTCCCCCACCACCGTCCTGGTAGCGTGACCATGTGTGCTTCTCCTGTATGCAAGAAAGAAACGCCCGAATAAAAAATAAAAAAAAAAGGGAGAGGGTAAGAGGGTGCGTTACCTCGTGGGCTGCTGGCCATGGCCTGCTGGACAACACGGAAGGAGCTGCGAAGAAGTGAAGGAGCCATTGTGTCGATGATGTGTAAATGTGCGTATAGAAAGGTCCTTGTTGTCCTGAGTGAAAGAGAAAAGTCGTCAAAAGTCCGAGGTCGAGAGAGCGAGAGAGGAGAAGTGTTGTCGGAGGGACGAGCAGAGGGCTGATGGGCGAGGTGAAATGAAATGTGAATGGGTAGACCCTCCGGGTGGGGAAAAAAAAGGGCAGTGACAAAACAACAGGGACGAAGGGGGAGAGTGTTTAAGAAACGAGGACTCGATAAAAAACAAGGTACACGAACAGAGCGACCTGCACTCCAGTTGTTGTATGGCTGGGGGTCCTCCCCCCGATGTTGTTGCACCTTGGACGAAATGTAAACAATATTATGCGGCTTAGACTCTTTCGATCTATCCCTTTGTATTTGCAAAAAAAAACAATTAACGACCTCTCTATCTGCAACAACATCTATGCTTTCTACAGGCACAGGCGACGGAGCATAGCTGTTACAACCCAATCTTGGGCACCGGGCCGGGTGGCCTTCCCTTCAATGGTCCAAACTTATCGATGGCCTCCTTCGAGCCTGGGTCAGGGCAATCCGTAAAAGAAAAGAACCCATCCATTTGTCCATACCCATCCCCCAAATACTCATACGCCGCCGGCGACAACCGTAACTCGTTCGCCACGCAGCCTGGACAGTCTCCCATCAGTCGCACCATGATCGATTTGGTGCCTTCGAGGTCCGTCACCATCAGGCACTGGTTGCAAAGCGCTTCCCGGCCACCTGCATAGTCGTCCAGATGCAAGAGAGCGACCTGTACCTGACGGTTTATGCGCAGGGAAGAAAACAGGACGTTCGGATTCTCGCCGTTGTAGGTGGAGTCGCAGCCACTGATGTCGTACGGTCCGTACTTGAGAGCCAATGTCACCGGATAGTTTGAAAAGGCAATTTTGACTGCCTCGGTAGAGTCGAGGACGGAACAGAGAAGGACGGCGACGGCGGCGGCAACGGCCATGGCTACGGCTGGCGCGGTGTAAATAAAAGGTCTTAGGATGCCCTTCTTCATGGCTGTGGATTTGGAAGGTTATTTATGGCGGTGTGTTCGTGTGTGAGTGGAGGTCTGGAGGATGGTTGTTGATGAAGTGAGAGAGTGTTTTTAGTTGTGTGAAGTGCGTTGTGAAATGGATAGACCACCATTTTATATCGGTTCTTGAGAGGCTGGGCAGGTTGTTCTGCATGCACATGCATGATGCCTTTTTCTTTTGGACCCACTTCTGCAAATTTATCTTCTGTGTATTATCAAAAAGAGAGAGAAAGAGGCACAGCTTGTCGCGTCCCTATTGTTAGCTAACTTGCCCCTTTTGTACTCAGCCTCTTTTCAAATCAAAAGACCTATTGTTTCTGTCGGCGCGTGTCTTCAGTGTGCTATTGTGATGTCAACAAGAATTGCTTCGCGTCAAACAATTCTCCCTCCTCTTGCAAACACTTTACCTCCTTGCGAACAGCAAACAATAGCACACTCAATGGTCAACAATATTCCTCGCGACTACATTAGCTTCTTCTCTCGTCAATGATGTTCCTTTTTTTTTCTTTTTTTTTTTTTTCTCTCTCTCTATTCCCTCTCTATCTTTGCAACAACCCAGGAGGATATCAAGTACTCGGCGATGATGGCCAACCCCTCGGGACAGCAACCCCATTTTTTTTGATCCCCTCTCAACAATAGACGCCTCTCTCTTGTCAACGGTGTTCCTGCCTCTCGCCTTCTCTCTTTTTCTCGCTCTTTCTGTCTACAACATTTTAGCCTCTCGATAACCACCTTCAGCCTCTCGATAAGCACAAGCCTCCCATTTACCTTCTCGCCACCGATATAATGCCGATGCGCTTTTATTATTATGAAACAACAGGAAAACCCCATGGAGGCGCGACCCTCCACGTGAACCCAAAACACACCTCCATCTTCGCCGCAACATCTAATTACCACCAATTCTAGAAGTCTAGAATTGTCGATCCGGAATCCACGGCCAATTAACACCATCCACCCCCTCACAATGTTCCTCTACTGTCACTGGAGGCATGCCTCTCAAAAACAATTAATGAGGCGGGAATGCATGTCTTACCCTTCAATTGTTCCATGCTTCTCACAAGGTTGGTACATCATGCGTAAATGCCATTTGTTTTATTTCATAGAAAAGAAGGACGAGAATTGTGACAGGAAAAAATAAAAGAGGCGGGTTTTAGAGAAAGCGCAGGTCGACATAGTCACCTTCGCGTCCAACAACCCTCAGTCCCTTCCGAGACGAGCAGCACTCAGTCAACCGATGGTCTCCCCACACAGTCACCTTGGCCAGTCTCGGTGCCGCGTCCACCAGCTGCTCCATAGTATCATCATCCATAGCTCGGACCCAGCTCGCGTCCAGTTCTATCAAGTTGACACATCGCGTCAAGGTTCGCAGAGCGTCCTTGGTGAGCTCATCCATACCACTCAAGTTCAGCTCCTCCAACCTATCACCCGAGTGCTCAGTGACCGCCATCAATGCTTCATCCTTCAACATCACACAATTCTCGAGATTGACATAGGCCAATCCAGGGTTGACACTCCATTCCTTAAACAGCGCCTCCACTCCATCAGTCGTCAACTCCTCGCAGCCAGACAGGTTGAGCCTCTCAACGCGGACACAGCACGGTCGGATAGCATCCACCAAGACTTCATCCGTAAGGCCATTGCAGCCCTTCAGCTCCAACTCCTCAAGACCCGATCCAACCACCTGGATCAGCTTCACAACAGCTGGTGTTGTCAACTTGTCCGGCTCAGGGTTGCGGATACGCAGCGACTTGAGCTTGGTCAGACCGGCGATAGGCTCCAACCACTCGTCATCCATCAAGTTGCAGTCGCCGAGTCGGAGATGGGTTATGTTGGGACAACTGTCGCAAAGGGCCTTGATCGCCTTGAGAGAGAACCGGGATGAACCCTTGAGCTCAAACTTCTCGAACCGCTCGCCAATAGTCTCAAACAGTGTGATGTAGGTGTGTTCGAGGATGAGGATAGGTCCGATGAGCATCAAAGACGTCAGCTTGGTGAGATGCTCGATGTAGTAGTCCATGACCTCGTTCGTGATTCTACCGCACAGCTTGAGCTTGAGAGAACGCAGGTTGGGACAAAACTGTGCAATATTCTGCAGTCCGACCGCCGTAATATCGGTGCAGTCGTAGAGGGTGAGCTCGTTGTGGCGCGAATCGAGGAAGAGCTGGAGAGTGTCCGCGTTCAACGACCGGTTGCGACTGATAATCTTGCAAATCTTGTCCAAGCTGAGGTCGCTAATGTCACCAAAGGCTTCCACATCCTCAATGCTGTTTGCAATTTTCTGTGTGTATATGAGATAACGTGGTTAGTCTCAAGTAAGATATTCCTAGTAAGGACCCACAGTTGGACACACATATGCAAGCAGCAAAAAACCATTACCTGAATGCACAGATCTTGTAGACTTGGAATTTGACACTCGATCTCAGCCTTTTGAGCCTTTCGACGAGCTCGCTTGACAGGCTTGGCTTTGGGCAGGGCATTCTTGGAGGGACCTGGCGATTCTGTACCAGCACAAGTAGGACAAAGGAGTCCCCCATCATCCTCATCCACCGCGGGGGTAGTGCCGGCCTTGATGGTGAACCTGGCTCGGCATCGGGAACAAAACACTATCTTGTTGGACCCTTGAGGCATCCTCCCCTTGTGACTGAAGTTCGAGCGGGTGATATGTCCAGTGATGTCGTGAAAGTCCTCATCGTCAGAGTCATCTGAGGCGTCCTTCTTTCGTGGCCGTTTCTTGGAGGCGGCTGCCTTAGCCTTGGCAGTCGAAGATGAGGCTACAGCGTTCGAAGACGAGGACGAGGCCACAACCACAGCAACTCGACTGCGTGTGGTGCGGACAGCTCGGGTAGTGGAAGCAGAGATAGCAATAGGGATGAGGTTCTTATTATCGCTATCAGAGTCGTCATCCTCATCAGAATCACTAGAGTCCGAACCATCGTCGACACCGTCAGCTTCGTTAGACTGGGATACTCCTGTGGACCGGGCAGGCAAGTTCCTGCCACGAGTGAGGCGAGCAGTCCGAGTAGGCCGAGACGAAGTAGCAGGTGCTGGTGTAGAGGAGGAGGAAGACGAAGCCGTATGATTCGGAGGTGATGCAGGCTCGTCATCATCATTATCTTCGTTGTCGTCTTGGTTCTCGGGTGGGGTTGCGACAGGAGGAGCAGGGGCAGGGTTGGCTCGACGGATGCCTCGCTCATTGAGGAAGCTGGTCAATGCACTTGTGGGTCCGCGGACATTGTTGACGAAGGTCGTTCCTGCAGCACCTCGATTGCGTCTGGACATGGAGTGAATGGATGACTTTTGTTTTTGAACAAGTGTGAGGATGGGAGCAGAGCGTCGAATGAGAAAAGAAAAGAAAAGAAAAAAAGAAGGAAGAGAAAAAGGGAAAGGAAAAGAGTGTACAAGGCGGGGTCTGCGACAGGGAAGGAAGAGTGAACCTTTGACAGTTGTTGCCACCAAATGTCATTTTCATAGTCAGATCGGTTCTTTTATTTTTTTGCTGGGCGATCACATAATAGACATCTACATGATGCTGCAGGAGCCACAGTTAGAGTCCGACTCGGGCTTGTTGCCAGGTACAGGTCCAGTCGATTGTGACCCCTCAATCGCCTTGCTGGAGACTCCACCAGCAAGCATGCTCCGCGGCTTGATTCGAATCGTGTGCACTGCTCCTGGCTCCATGTCCTTGTGTCGGTAATACAAAGTCTGTCGTTCCTTCACAAACCGCCAGTCGCCATCACTTACAAGAATCTCTAAACCAGTATCATCATAATGGTACGATGGAATAAACACCTCCGTCTCAAACGCCAGCACAGTGCCCTCAGGTGGGTGACCAAACAAGTTCGAGCTCTGCTCCAGAGACGTGGTGGGTGACGAACCGCCATCCTTGTTGTTTTCGCTCGAGGAGGAGCCCAATGAATCGGAGGAGCCGCCAAAGGATCTGCTGGACTGCTCGGGGTTCGACACATGAACAAGTGGGACTGGCGTCTCTATGTAGTTGCAGTACCGGAATGTGTACTGGAGCGTGTTGAAATCAAAGTTGCTTGAGAGAGGCTCGCCTGCAACCTTGGCAGCATATGGCCGCTATTAGTCAGAAAGGAGTAAAAGGACGAGTTAATAATCATGGCGTCAATTATTATAAGGTGTCAGTTCTTCACCGATCATGTAGTAGAAACTTACAACAACGGCATCCAAGGCACGACCTCCAATGTGTTCAATATGGTCAGGACCGTCGTCATGGGTTGATTCGTGGTCAAAGCAAAAATAGGACCGATCGAATAGAGAACCGTCGTTCATGATTGTCGCCGCCTCTTCATCGTCGTTATCTCCTCGCGTTGCATCGCTGGCAGAGTCATCCTTGAGGATCGAATCTCCTCCAGTTTGTTGGGCAGCTGCTCTTTTCATGACTTCCTTCGCAAAGTTGGGCGCTTCCTGTCTCAAGCTGGGCTTCACACCGCCAACTGGGAAGCCTCCCTCGCCAATACGAGATGGCTGAGGCGAGTCCAGCGAAAAGATCGAAAAGTCCTCGCCGTTCCAGTGATCGCCATATGTGTTGTCGTTTGTCGTGTTGTAGTTCCACAGGCTAGTGGTACAAGAAAACAGATCAACGTGAGTTACTATGTTATCATAGACGGTTCCTCGTAAAACATGAAGGCAGGAAAGCGCCACTTACGTGAAACTAAGGAGGTTGGATTCCATTGCCGACAAAACGGCATCCAAGAACTTGGCATGATATCCATAGTCCCCGCTTATGAAGGCTGCCCTCTGATTAATATCCATAGGAATGCCGCACTCTCCGACCAAGCAAGGCTTTGAGCCAACATTTTGCAATCCGAGTCTGAGGACGTTCGCCAGTTGTCCATGGTAGTTCTTCTTGGCACCCTTCAATCCAAAGTAAGTCGCCGAGAACACATTTTGGCCCTACCAATTGAGTATGAACAAAAAACACGTAGGTCAGCAATTGCCGTCTACATATGCTAAATCAAACCACCATCGAATAGGCACTTTGGCCTTACCTTGCTGAGACCCTGAACATCATGGGTAATACGGCCATCGAAGGATTTGTTGAAAATCGAGTGCAGATCGTACCAATGAGGAGCATAGACTATGTTTTCTTCGTGATCTCCAGGAGCCCAGACAGGTGCAGGTTCATTGGGGATTGGTCCGACAAAGATGAAAGCAGAGGGAAGCACGCTCTGGATCGCTTGCGAGTATCTGTTGACAAAATCCAGGTAGAAGCGGTTGAAATCCAGTTTTTCTCCAGTGTTGGGATCTGTAGTAAAGTAGTCAGGGCGGTCCAAGCGAGGCTTTCCTGTCTTTTCGTTAACACTCCAGACGCCATGCTGTTTCCAAAGACACTCCCCATCAAGCCAGGCGGATTCGTTCCCGGCATTGATGATTCTGGTCCGCTCCTTCTTGGTTGGGAAGGGCCATGACTTGACCCACACCTCGATTGGCAGCGCCATTCCATCACCGAGCGCAAAAGATTCCAGGGCTGAAGGCGAATCTCCAAAGAACAGGTTCGTGTTGAAGTCATAACGCTTGAGGTCCTTGAGGCCAACATATCCAGGACTAATAAGTGTATGAAGTAATATATGCATTAGGTTCAATTCCTTGGAGAGGGCAACAAATGACAGGCCTGATCAAAGTGCGAGAAACTTACTGAGGCTCGTTCATAACTTCGAATCCCACCAATGCGTCGAGATGGCTCAATCGTCTAAGAGGGTATGAGATAGGCAACGTTAGAGGGATGATCTCACCACTGTGATCGGCTCCTTTTTTGTATTCTGCAGCATTGGATGAAACAGCTCCTTACTTGGCAAGGTGACGGTAGCACTCAAGATACCGGTTCTGCAGGAACTGTTGGATGGGTTCACCCTGGTACATCTTGTTGGGTGCAAAGGTGTCTCCAGCCCAGAAGAGAGTGAACATGGTGCTGGCGGCGAGTTTGGTGTAGTTGGTGGGCCAGACCATGGGTGGCGAGTCTCCTGCGTCTTGGTTGGTGTTGTGAACATAGGCGGCACCTGTCGTTTTGAACTTTCTGAGGTCGAGACCAGCGGCCTCGAAGGTCCATCCTGGTGCTCCTGATCCACCAGAGAATCGTGACCAGCAGTCCTGATGGGGATCGATAAAGCACTTGATGCCGTACTTTGGCATAAGTCCGATCAGCTCGATCAACGAGTCGATGAACTTGTCGTCGTAGATACCTCTAAATACATTGAAACGGGAGGAAGAGGAAGGGGAAAGGGAAAGAGAAGCGATGGGAGAAAATCAAGGGGTGTGTGAGTAATCTCTTGGACCATGGGGTGCTAAAGACATGTCGAATCCTTTTCATCCTCCATCCCTTGTCCTCTCAGCAGCATTCCCCGTGTGTCCTCGCACAGCACGCGAGCCCTTTTTCTTAATTTATACCAATTGCTTTTGCGCACAGATGAGTGGGAACACAGAGAGAAAAAAATCGATCTGCGAAGGGATATCAACAAGGCGACAACAGAACAGCAAAACCCCTGCTGGCGGGAGAATAGCAAAAAACAGAACCATAATAACAACATAAACAAAAAGCAGGGTCACCCCACAACCACAGTAAATGAATCATCCCGACTTACGGTCCAGAATGCTCAAGTGCCTCCCATGGGACGAGCAGGCGAACAAAGGTCAGCCCCCATCGCTTGAGCCTTGAAAAGTGCTCGTCAGCCTGATCGCGAGGGAAGGGTCGGCCGAGGAAGCACACGTTCCGGTGATCAAAAAAGCCCTCGTTCAGGTGAGTACTGCCATTGGGAGTGGTAGGGAGCTTGGAGTTGCCGCAGAGGTTGACACCTCTCATCAACAGCGTCCTGTTCTGTGAGTCGCGAAACCAACGACCGTGAGAGGTGACTCTTCCCCCGGCGTACCAGTCGTGGGCCTTTCCTGCAGGTCGAAGTAGAGTTCCACCACCTGGTCGCTGCTCCTGCGGCCTTGTGTGCGATTTTGCCAATGGTGATGAGGCTGAAGGGGCAAATGTCTTTGAGTTGGCTTGGTGAAGAGTCGAAGGAGAGGAGGGATCGGATGAGGAGTTATCTCGGTCGGCCTCGTCTTCGTCCTCGTCGACCTCAGAGTTTTCATAGGAGGAGACTGAGGAGAATGAATCTGCATGTTTGAGGTCCTGGGGTCGTAGGTGGTGAGGACGGAAGTTCAAGACAGAGTCCTCGAGGTCTTCGGTGGGCGGCGTGGCGGGTGAGCTCATCCCACTTGTTTGGTCTTTTGTTGAGCTGTTGGGGATCACTGTTGACTGATCAGGCATTGTGAATGAGCGAAGAAATGTAAGGATTCTAAATGAGAATGAATAGAAAGTAAAGAGAAAGGAGACTGAGGAGAAGGGAGAAAAGGGACGAGTGAGGAGGGGGGGTTGGGTGATAGGGGGGAGAAGAGAAACACAGCAAAAGGGTGAGGGAGGAAGGGAGAGGTTGGGGTTGAAGGAAAAGGGAGAAGACGAAGAGAAAGAGAAAGGAGAAGAGAAAGGAGAAGAGAAAGGAAAGAAGAGAAAGAGAGAGAGACAGAGAGAGAGAGAGAGAGGAGAAACAGGTACGGTCTGAAAGAGAGCAAAGTTAAATAAGGTAGACAACAACCACAGGGCTTAAACAACAAATATTATGCGATCCAGATGGAGACGCCATTATTCATCGACTCGTCTGCCCTCGTTCTTTCCTCTTTCTTCTTCGATCGCGCCGGATTGACTGGGTCCATGCCCATTCCTCCCTTCCTCCTCCAATCCCATTTGTGTTACTAGTTTCTACTCTTCCCTGTGGACAGTTGTGCACTACGTAGTCCTAGTCTGGCTGGAGAGCAATGAATATTAATGGGAAAGGGAAGAAACCAAGTGCAGGCTCTCATCCTCGGCTGTTCTTTGATCCATGTGGGATCATTTCCAAAAGGGCACGCCACCTTCTCTGTCCCACCCTTGCAGAAACCTATTTGACCCTGCAACTTCCCGAAAGAATAGTTCCTGCGACTGACAGCCCTTCCCTTTGCTTGGCCACAACAATAACAATAATAGAAGTGAAAAGAGGGGCATGAAAAAAAAAAGTTTTTCTCGTCGTATTCACAGTTGCTATCATCACTTTGTTGTTTGACCCATGGGCCACAATGTCTAAGCCAACCTGTGCCTCCTTCAGCCTCGACTAAAGGCGTAGGCTTCCAACCAAGACAGTCACAGCCGCTTCTTTTTATACACTTGGTTGTTTCATCTTTCCTTTTCTCAACATCTCGCTCAGCACTCTCCTCGCCAAATTCAATCGTCAATTCAACCGCCAATCACTTCCCGACTACCAGTCTCGTCATCAACCAGCACACAAGCACAGCAACAGCAACGGCAACGATGGACCATGCGCAATATACCATCCTCAGGTAGCAAACGTACACACACCCTTTTGCTTCTTTTTCTCCATCTCGGTCTTGGCGCTCTCTACTTCGCCTTTCAGTCCTGCGCTTTCCCTTGTCAAGCCTATTCCAGCCCAGCGTGGCCCATGACCCATTTCTCCTCGTCCCTCCTTCCCTCCCCGATCGCTCTATCCTCTACTGAACAGCCCAAGACAACAATATCAATCATCATCCGGATACTCTCTCTCCCACTCGCTGTATTAACCATCGGATTTTTCCTTTGCACCCAAATTAGCGACCAGCCAGGGTCCATTCCAGCCATGCGGAGCCAGCACAGCTTGTCAAGACGTGAAGTGTTCCAAAACCTCGCCAACAGGATCATCTATTCAAAGTTCTACATGATCCTTTACTTTATCATGGCGGTTCTCAGTATCTGGTCCATCATTCTCTCCCTCCATCAAGGCTGTTCCAGTTCATCCCTCTTTATCGTGCTGGAGTCCATTATCAACGGGACCATGATTGCTGAAGTCGTACTGCGATTGACAGCCCTTGGAAAGGTACATACACCATCAGCTTGCACAAACTGATAAAGTTCCTCGGGTCGCACTTCTTTGACCATGACTAATCTCTCATCTCATCTTACTATTTTTTTTTACCAATGCTTGCACGGACTACTAAATTAGAACTACTGGAGATCTACGGCCAACATTCTCGATGTTATTCTCGTGATGTTTTGCATTATCACACTGATTTTGGTCCTTCAAGGATGTGGTTCGGGACATGAGACAGAGAAAGTTGTGGACACTATTCTCCTCATCCTCAGAAACGCCGTTCAATGCTGGAGACTCTACACCATGATCAAGAAGTACGCCATTTTTTCTTTGAACTGCTGTTTCTAATTAGATACCCTGGAGAGAGAGCAATTGGCATCTGGAATTGATTGTAGAAAGCATGGATGACTAACTACTTCACCTTGCGATTTACAACTGAATAGGAATTCTCTGATTGTCAACCCAAGAGTTGGGGCAATTGACTTCAGCAATGTGAGACAGGAATCGCTCGACATTGAGGGCTTTGGCGTGGAAAGCTATGCGGACGACGACATGTTTGTGGCCGAAGAGTCTGACGATGGTCTGTGAAAATAAACCATTATTTACCCCGTCTTTTTTTTTTCTTGTGCTGCTCCGCCCAAAGTTGAGATGCAATGCATCACAGAAACAGTCACTTTTTTTTTTTCTCTTTTATTTTCCCCAGCGCGCAGAGTGAACGAGATCTTCACTCCTCTCTTCCTTGCTCTCTTTTTTTTTTTTTTCATTCTCATGTCATGCTGCAAACAACTGAACTCATCCAAGCAGGAGCCGCCTCCACGATGTCAACAACAAGAAGGAAACGGGAATCAAGTTTCAACAACGACGACACATCAAACAAATCTCACGCTGATGCGAGACGTGCAATGCAACTTTGGCTGTCTTCGGTGAAGAGCTCATCCGAGAACAACAGCACCATCAGCAACAACAGCAGTAGGGCCAGCAGTCAACCTTCACAAGCTAGCGGAATAAAAAGCACCGTTGCTTCTACTCCATCACCGCCACAGAAAACACTTCTGCATACACAGGACGAGGCTTCGACCGATAGCCAAGCTTCTTCGAAACCCTTAGAGGGGGCCATGAAGCGACGGAAACTTGATCTCGACGAAACCACGACAGGTGATCGTTCAAGTGATCAAGACGGATCTGGCGCTAGCGACTATCAGGCTGAAGCAATATACCACACTTCTAGCGCATCACCCAAAAGCCGTGCTGGCCCCAGCCGTTTACCTGCCACCAAGGGACCACCTTCGTCAAGAACAAAGTCATTTGTCTGTCAGAACCCAGGATGCGAAAAAGCTTACACCAAACCATCACGACTTGCCGAACACGAACTCGTTCATTCAGGAGAGGTAGGCTATACTTTTCTCGATGAGAAGATGCAACCATTGACTTTCCCCGGACTACTATCCTAACTCTGGGGTGTATCTCTCATTTGCACGTAGCGCCCATTCAAGTGCCTGGAACTAGGATGTGAGGCCAGCTTCCGCCGAGAAGCCCATCTCGTAACCCATTATAAGAGTCGACACGGCGGCGCTCGAGACTTTGTCTGTCCACAACCAGGATGCACCGGTGCCTTCCACACACAGGACAAGCTTGCTCGTCATTTCAAGACACATCCAGAATTTGCTGATCCGATATTGGCTACGAATGCGCTCCCCAGTAGTGCCCCGCCTTCTCCAACCTCTTCCTCTAATGGGCGACACTCCAGGACACGATCTGGCTCATTATCAGGATTTCTCTCGGGTGACTCGTCAGACGATTCGTATGATACACCAGGATCACGACGTGCAATGTCAGTTTGCTCAGAGGGAGGAGAACGACTTGCGGAGGAAATTAAGACGATCCGACCGTACGCTTGTACTTGGGAGGGTTGTTTGAAGCGGTTTACGAAACATCAAAAGCTGAAGGCGCATATTTGCATGGCTCATGAGGGACGGAAACCGTACCCTTGTCCTGTAGAAGGATGCGACAAGAGCTTTCAGACGCCCAGCAAACTCCGGAAACACTCTCTTCAGCACACACGTAAGGCCATCAATTGCGATGTTGTGCAGCCTTTGATGTCTCTCCAGTTGAATGCGAATAAGGGTTATTTCTGACATGTTTTTGGTATTGGGTCAATTAGAAGCGAAACGGTATGCTTGTGCGTATCTTGGATGTGGAGAGTACTTTACCAAGTGGTCTTTGCTCCAGAAGCATACTAAGATCAACCACAAGATGACTCAATGTGATGCCTGCGGCAAGGCGGTCCTGAAGAGGAACCTGAGTGCCCATACCAAGATCCATGATGCCTCTCGACCAGAAGTCCCCTGCACAGCTGAAGGATGTCAGAAAGTCTTCTCCACTGTAAGTGAACAATATTTCGCATGACTGATCCATAAGGTGCAATGTGAGTAATGATGGCTTGGAAATAATTGACATTCCTTCGCTTTTAACATGAATAGGAGCGGTCGTTGGCGACACATATGAAAGCTTCTCATCCGTCAGGACTACCCCAATTCACATGCGAGTACGACGGCTGTGGCCAGGCCTTCTCCTTCAAACACGTTCTGGAACGACACATCCGCAATCGCCACACAAACCCAAAGACGAAACGCAAAAAAAGGAGCGATGCACTCGAGTTTGATGTCATTGACGCCTTGGCTGGCTTTGATGACGAGGACGCGATAACAAAGATGCCCTTTGCGTGTCAAGTCCCTGGTTCTGGTTGCAATCGACGGTTTACGACAGAGGCGTTGTTGAAGAGACACTTGAAGAGCCGAGCCCACTTGACGGGTGAGGTGACAGGACTTGAGGTGTTGCGGGCAATGGAGCAAGATGAGAACCGGACCATTCAAGATATAATTGCCCTACACCTCGACGCAGGCAACAGCAGTCGCGACAGCCCCAACCATGGCGTGTAGATTTTTTTTTTGGCTCTTCTTTCTATCCTGTATGATAAAATATTAACGTAAACATGTTGGCTGGGCAGCGAAATGATCAATTGCTTATTTTTTATTTAGCAGATGCCTTCACAAAGGGTCTTGGACGATGCTTCTTCATCTCCCAGTCGGCCTCTGGTCCGATATGACTCTCCCGGAAACACTCTTCGCAGTAGTGGTCGTTGTCGCATCCTGGACATGTCCACGTGGCATCCTCATTGCACATACCTAATAAACAATGGAGAAATCTTCAATGAGAGACACGGACTACGTGGCAAAAAATCCTCATGCAAAAAAGTCGACAGAGTCACACAGGAAGAGTACTTACAGCACCAGTTGTCTGGGTTCTCATTATCATCAATGCCTCCAGACCGCAACTCGTCCAGTCCAACCGCGGCAGGTGGAGGCCCCAGTCCATCAGTATCCGTTGACGATGCCTTGGAGGCATTAGACCTAACAGACGACAAGCCCTGACTACCCTTCTGGAGGTTCTCGTTCCTCGAATGCAAGTCCTTCATCTGTGTCTCGTCCAGGTTCCCATACTTGGACTCCAACTGAGCCTCCTCCCTCAACTGCGTGATCAACCGAGACGCTTCATCATCATCATCGCCCCCTCCGAAACCGCCTCTGTCCGTCGAAAGTGACACTCCCGCCATTCGATCCAACTGGTCACCAAAAGCGCGTTCCTGATTTGATTCTTGACCCTCATCACCATACTGAGAACTATTATGACTGTGGTGGTCGTTGAAAGCTGATGCGGGTGGTTGATGGTTCTGCAAGAACTTTGAGAGAGTCTTTTCCAGATCCTTAGTCACATTTTCAAGTTCCTGTTCATCTCCCACTTTCCTATTGCTGTTGTTGTTGGACAGTGTCGTTTTAAGTTCTTGCTTTTGACCGGCACTGAGTGTATCCAGGTCGTCCAGAAAGTCCAAGTTGTCCTGGTCGTTCCCGTCCACCAGCAAGTCTTCCGAATCTGCCAAAATCTTGTCAATCTATAATACGTCATTCACACAGAAAAATAAAACGAAACGAGGTTTAAGCACCACTAGATTTGGAATGTTCAGGGGGGGGTGAATATACTGTGTAGAAAAGAAAAAACACAAACGCACCTCGTCTTGGTCGAGCATAGAGTCCTTTGGGATAAAATATGACGACATGGTCTTTTGAGAGGTTGCAGATCCCAAGACATCCGTAGGCATAGACCCACTAGGGTTGAGATTCTTCTCATTGTTGCTATTGTGGTAGGTGTTCCCGTCTTGACCCCATTGGTACTGTGACCCTTCCTGAGGTAGTGGACTGAGGTGGGTTGCGGCGGGCGAGTGGCCAAAGACCTTTGAGAAGTGCAAGGCAAGATCCTGGTCACTATTTTGTGTGTAAAAGGAAAAAAATAAAATGAGAAAAGAGTTATTTGAGCAAAAGTTCTGTGGGAGGGGGAGAGACAAGTTGTATCGTTGATAGAAGTGGTAGTGAGGAGAAGAAAAGGGCGGCAGCGACGGGTGTATCCATTAAAACCACTCCCTTGCAAAGGATAGCACATATCAAACAATACCAAGACGAAGAGGAAGATTATTATTTTCTTTCCCTTGGCACGCGTGAGAACGTAGTTGACACTGGAGCTGCAATGAGAATGAGCCATTCGTCTTTACCTGCATGGCATTGCAGCAGCGCCTGTTTCTTTGAGCTTTGCGAGTCGCTCTGCAAGGGCGTGGTCGGAGACGGCGCCCTCTCCTTCTCCTGGAGTGTTGTTGTTGTTGTTGTTGGTCGACATGAGTGTGTGTGGTGTAATAGAGAGAGAATGACTGAATGAGGGCGGTGAGAATGAAAGTTGAGCACCTTGCGCCCCTTTTTTTCATTCGAAAGTAAAAAAAAAAAGGGAGACTGTCATTTTTCTTTCCAAGGTCTGCATAGACCAAATTCACCAGGCTGCAAGCAGTCCAAATGCGGTATCACGAACGCCTGCTGCAAACGAATAGACGAACCTAGCAAGGGCCATGTCAAGTATCATGTGTATGCCTCATGAGAGAGCGAGCGTTAAATTATCGACAGAATGCTATGACGGCTTGATAAACATGTTTTGCAAGGATGAGAACAACTCTGAGTGTTTCCTTCCATCAATGGTCGTGTACTTTTTGGTAGTAGACGCGATTGATGTGTGGTAAGTCATATCCAGGGATAATGTTGGTAGACGACTCGGTAATACTTTAGGCACACTGTCACTACGTACGCCGTCCCCTGGTACATGAATGAAACAAACGCTCAATTCCATGGGTGTACTCTCATTTATTTTCAAGTTACTGTAAGTCCAAGATCGATATGCATGCGTGACAAATCTCAAAAGCGAAAAAAAAACAAACGACAACGTCCATCCACGTACTGTACTCCACATATTCATTGACCCATTGTCCATCTGACTCGATATTTCCTTTCTTCTAAACTGGACGACGGCCGGATGAACTTGTACTCAAGTTTATTAGTCTACTCTTATGTTTTCATGATTGCGCTAACCTCTTTCTATGCATTTGTTTGGTAGGGAAAAACAAGCACTTTGAGAGCATCAAAGGGAAGAACTTCGTAGCACCATACATTATTGTTCGGGGGGTTCGGAAAATGGTTGTTTTGTTCATGAAGTGGGATTGTGCGAGGCCTGCCTCACGACACAATTGGTTTTTTTTTATTTTAATTGTTATTTTTACTGCGTTTTTAATATTTTTTGAGAAGAGAAACTGCGGGTTTTTGGTATGGGTACACCGGAGAGGAAAGATATGCGGGAGAGAAGGAGAGAAGTCTAGATGAGAGGGAGGAGGAGAAAAAAGGGGAGAGGACGAAGAGAAGAGAGGGGAACGATGATCGACTACCGGCAAGATTTAGTTGTCCTCGGCGAGATCAGCAAAGACGGTGGTCGAGTTACCGAGGCCAGCAACGACGGGGGTCGCAGTCGCGCTACCACCAGTGGCCTTGACCTGGAGATCCCAGCACGAGGTGTAGTACTCATCGTTGTTCAACATCCAGCGCCACTGGATGACATAGGTACCCGAAACAAGAGCTGCGGGGACTTTGAAGCAGCCTCCACAGGGGGTGTGGTCAGTATCGCCAGCGATCTGGTTGCAGTTCTTGTAGTCCAACTTTGCAATGTTGGCGGCAGTGAAGCCAGACTGGCTGGGGTCCTTGGTGAGGATGGTCTGGGGCATGTTGATCATAACGCGGTTGTTGGGCTCGTCCTTCTTGGCGTGGTTCTTGGCAGGCCAGCGGACGCAAATCTCTTGGCCGGCGGTGGCGGCGGCCATGGCGCCGAAACGGCCTCCGTAGGCCTTGGAGATGGGGCTCTGGCGGGTCTCGTCTGCGCCGGGCTCGATACCGTGGTTGTGGTCGGAGCAGGGGACAAAGTCCTTGGGGTTCTGCTGGTAGTGTCTGCTGGGGGAGGAGCTGTCGAGGCCACCGAACTGGACACCCGAGTTGACGGGGTACTGGCGGGCCCAGCCGAAGCACTTGCCATCGCTAGCGCGCCAGCCTATTGGGAATAGGATTATAAAGATGATGGAGCAATGGGTTAGATAAACTGATGGAGGTAATGGGTTATGAAGGCGATATTAAATGGCCCTCAAAGTGTTCAGAAACAAAGCCGTAGAGAAAATAGATGAACAAGTGGGCGGAGCCAAAAGGTGAGAAACCGCAAGTTGGCAGTTTGTTGGTCCAAGCCTTTCTCTCTCTCTCTCTCTCTTTGCCTTTCTCAAATCACCACTCGACCCTGAGTCTCAACTCTTATCTGTCTCTCTTCTCCTCTTCAGCTTTTGTTTGGTGCTGTCGATTTTTGTTTGTTTGGTTGTTTGTCTGCTGTTCTTGCCATTGATATCTGCTGTTTTGCCGCTTGTACTTGTTGCATTGTTCCTGAGTTGGACTCAGTGAGGATACACAAAGTGGGGCAACAGAACAAACAGGGCAACGGTCTAGCCTGTGAGGCAATCGACAGGTCCAACGACCACTTTGCCAAAAAGAACGACACAACCTTCCTCTATTTTGAGCCCACTTTAATTGTATCCTCAGAAAGCGCCGGAAAAAATCAATGGACAGTGGTCGACCAACAGAAGGGGCGAGGAGGCGAAAGAAAGTGTAAAAAAAGTAAAATGACAAGGCTTGAGAGCACCAGGAATTTGCACTAAGGACGAAAAGAAAAGTGGGAGGGAGGAATTTGCCGGGGGGAGAGAGAAGAGAGGGGAGTGGTGTGAAGGTGGTGGTTGGGGGGGGATTGTATTTTTACCTGGCTTGGCAGGGTCGTTGAAGCGCCAGTCGACACAGTCGGCCCAAGAGTGGGCCTCGACCATGGTAGCGACAAGGGCAAGGGCAGCAGAGGCAATGACGGAGGTACGGAAGATCATTGTGAAAGTTGGGGTGTGTGAAGGGCTGAAGGAGTAAGGGTTGTTGGGAGGGAGGAGGTAGAGGTTTATGGACGTCGAGTATCGTAGGGTGTCGTGAGAGTGCCCGTATGGGAGTGTGGATGGGGGTAGGGAGAGGAGAAGAGAAGAGAGGGGTGAAGGTGAGGAAAGAAGAGGATTATACAACGGACTTGGGCCTTTTTATACCTGAAAGCACTCACAGCCACCGGCCAAAAAAAATTATTCCAGAAGATGTGAGGTAGGGCTGGGTTTCGATAGGCCCAGGTGAATAAAAAACCCCGCCTTCCCCAGGACACAAAAAATAAAAGGAGCAAAGTGGCACTTCAATCAACTCAAGCCCGGATAACTGAGTCCCAACACATTAAATATCAACTTAACCTCGGGTTGGTGATCATACCAGAAATCCGAACTCTGGCACCGACCCCTGTCCCACTTCTTCTTGGTCTTGGCCAAACAGGATCCCAACCAAGGACAGCTGTTCGTGGAGTGTATGACCCTATCCCATTGCCGGTGACCCAGTCAAGAAAACAAACCAACCGGAACAACTCACCGACCAACCGCAGCCTCCCCAAGGTCAAACTCAGGTTTAGAAATACTCTGACTGGCTGACTTTCAGGTACAAATCACAAACCGACCAGGGGCTGGTGCCAAGCACGATTCGACTCAAGGACAGAGACAGACGGCTACTGTCATCCAGATCGTGCTCTTGGGCTCTTCTCATTGGTACTGGCAATCTCTTTTTTTTTTGTTGGTCACCCCGGAAAAGTTGCGTAACCTCTGCAAGAACACTTCCTCCTTTTTCTCACTCTCAAAAATAAAAACCTCCGGCTGTTGTATGCTTTATGACAAAGCGGATCGAAGTCATGTACTGTGCATTCCTTCTCTGGCAAATACGTAGAGCAGTTCAGCGCGCAAAAATCCAAGGACCTAGATCGACCCATTTCGCCCACACCATTTAGCCATTCTCTCTCTCGCCACCTCCGCTCCATAGTTATGAAATTGAGCAGCTCTTTTCTCTCTTCCCCCTCTTTCATGCATACCTCTTTTGTCACTGTTTTCACGCTTTGTTGGTTATGGAGCGGGATGAATAAAAGATGCAAGGAGCCCAATGCACATGTAAGGACTGACCTCTGTCGTCTATTACATTATAAGTGCTCTTCTCCATCTTTGTTTTTTGTCAGTAAATGTTCCTTAGTCGGCTCTTTCTTTCTCTTTCATTTGATTAGGTACAATTGTGAACCTTTTTAAGTTGTAAACCTTTACACAATATCTACGGGATGAGTGGATTGGTACTCTCTGCATGGTTGTTCCTTTTTACGGGTGCCTGGAGATGTTCTTGATACTTCTTTCCTCAGGGGGTTGCAGTAGAAGAGTAGACCCCGGAGAAGTTGCAACGGGTGCTAGGAGCGGAGGGTGTTCCCGGAGGGATAAATGGGGTTAATCGGGCAAGGCATGCGCCCGCTAGGCATCTATTGCCCTCCTTCACCAGTATTTCTCCGCCTGCTGTCTTTGCCGAAAAGCCCTTGGGTCCACTGAATGAAAAAAAAATGCCTGAAACCAAGAAAAGGGCAGAAACAAGAGCCCTTGATCCCTTTCATTTTTAACCAATCATCTTCTGGATCTTGAATTAACCACGTTGTTTTGAGACTCCAGCTTTGCAACTCCTCTCTGGACGTCATTAACCTGCCAAAACGATGAGGGTCCATTTCTCCTCGCTTCGGAGTGGATGAAATGCCAAGCGACGTAACTTTACTATGAGACTTTTTTACTAGGGAGGACGGATGGACTTCAATGCCGATAAGAATCAGGTAGTTTTGTGTTGCCATGCAGAACAATCGGAGAATGGGCGAATGCCCTTTAAAGGGAAAGCCTGGGTATCCCGGAGGACGCCATTTTGTGTCCTTGTTTTTTTCAAGAACCATTTTCCTGTTGCATGGAGAAGGAGTGAATTAGTGTGGCCGTGCACGTTTTTTTCCCCGCCTTGGCCCTTTTGTTCATTTGTTCATTGTTGGAGATGCAGGAGGACGGAGATACAAAGTCTTTTTCATTTTTCGTCATCTGTTGAGTGTGTGTACAGTCACCTCCAACAATGTATTCAACTCTTGGATTTAGAACAGGAAAACAATTCATTCGAGATATGGTAACCGAGCGGGCACTAAGGGATTATAGTACCAGCACCTTGAACCTGTGCTTTTGAAGTAGCTCTTTTGAACTGGTCATATGATCCAATTCAAATGTATTCTATTCTTTAGTGGCTAACATTGTTTTCAATGTCCATGTCCATTGGAGCAGAGAGAAAATGTCCTTTTCCAGCCCTTGTCAGAATGTGTGACCTTTTTTTCCATTTTCCCATAGAAAAAGCGAAGGAGGTTAGCTTCACCAACCGACATTCACGTACGAGCACACAACAAGCACACACTCCACCAGGCACGACTGCATCCAACACCCCCACAAGTCATTCTACAGCACTACATACGGACTAGCAGGACCCTACCATAATGTCGTTTGTGTTCGAATGGGACAAGCTCGATGACGAAGTCGCCCTGCAGATCGAGGGAATGATCCACGCCCACTTTCAACGCATCCCAAAACCAGCCTTCATGGGCAACATCGCCGTCTCAAAGTTCCGCTTCGGGTCAACACCACCCAATATCACTGTCCTAGACGTAACGGATCCCTTGGAGGAGTGGTACGTCCACATGGACCAGGAAGAGGCCCGGCTCGCTCAGGAGGCAGCTGAGGGCGGGGGAGGCGAGAGCATGGACGAGGACGAGCTTGCGAGTGGGGAGGAGTATGATGACAAGTACTCGTATTCGGAAGATGGGAGCATTGTCATGGTTGGCGAAGGGGATGACATTGAGTACTTGCGGTCTGGATCTTATGAAGAGGACGAGCAGCTCGAGACGGAGGCGTGGATGCGTCGGTCGCAGCGCCAGGAGGGATCGGGATCTGATCACGAGTACTATACATCGACACGGGATCACAACCAGCACTTCAAGTCTGCACTGGCGAGTCCGACTAGGATATCACCTTCGTCTTCAGCGTCGTCATCGGGTTCTGGTCAGTCGCGCCGTCCTTCAGCTGCTCGTGACCATCCACCATTGGCGGGGAATCGGTATCACGGCGACAACAAGGAAATCAATGCCCCATCAACGACGACCAATCGCAGCAATCGCAACCCAAAGCTGGGCATCGACACCAGTCTCGGTTCGCCAGGACACGCTCGCTACTCTTCTTCAACACAACATAACCCCATCTCGACCAAGAAGCCAGCGACAACCCACAGCTTGAGCTCTCATGCATCGGATGACGAAATCGAGAGCGAGGCATTTCATACCCAGGGCGAGTCGACCATCTACCAGCGCATGAAGAATCTGGTCCTTGAGCCCTCTAGTTTCTTGTCTTCAAGACCTGCCTCGGTTGAAGGAGAATCGTCGGACGACCAACCTCAGCCAAAACCAGCAATCACGCAACAGACAACATTTGGCGCTCCATTGTTCCCAACAACTCCGGGAGGGCCTAACGGGAATACCAACAACGGACTTGGATTCGGATTCAATGCAGGCATAGGATCGAGTCCGGGGTCTGTCATATCCTCTGTCATGCAGACTCGTTCAAATACTCGACCACTGTCATCTGCTTCATTTTATAGCACACCTCCCGCGGCAGCAACAGCAGCTGGAGCAGCTACTTCTCACGCCTCTACAGCTCAACACCCTCAACTTTACTTTCCTGATCTCTCAGGAATGTTTGTCTCTGGAAACTCATTGTTGGGATTACGGGCAGGAACTCCTTCAAGGACGATACCCAGCACTCCCCGAGGGTTCGAGTCACCCACATTGGCGTTCTCGCGACGACAGAGTTTCTCGGACAATGGCAGCGATGATCCTGCAGTGAATTCGACAAGTAGTCGGTACTCGGCGCCTATCCCAATACCATCTCAGAATGGACTTGACCACCACCACCAACAAACAACCGAGTACATGTCACCAGTGGAAGCGCTGAGCTTTGACGCGTTTTCTCGGCAACCCAAGGTGGTCGAGCGGTTGAAGGATGAAAATGGCGCCCATCCTCCTCGTTCTCGGTCGGCGCAATCGTACAATGGAAACCATCAGTCACAGCGCCAGGCCAATCCTCGTAGTCGACCTGACCGAGGAGAACAACAACGCCAGGCTGACGGAAGGAGGCGAAGGAAGCGGGATCAGGATGATGGTTATCGCCGAGCAGGACCTAGAAATCAACCTTCATACCCTCCTTCACCCATCCCAGTGTCCAAGCGTCACGAGAACGACATTCAAATGTTACTCTCTGTTCATTACCAAGGCCAGATGGGGTTCACTGTGGAAACAGAGCTACTTCTCAACTATCCGACCTACGCCTTTTTGACATTGCCAGTCAAACTGGTTATCACCGGATTCTCACTCAAGAGTACGTTTGGTGTGAACACTGGCCATGGTTCGACGATGGACGGCGTTGAGGCTGAAATATTAACAGCGCATTTTGCATTTCATGCACTGAATAGCCAAGATGCTGATGGGATACCTTCGGGACCATGTCAATGTTAGTTTCTTGGAGCCAGAGGACCCTAATGAAAGGTACAAAGAATAGCCCTTGGTTGGTAGCTATTTGTCTTCGGGCATTGTCACCTTTGAGTCCAGCGTCTAACCCGCTAATTTTTGTCGTCCTTCTAGCATCCTGTCCAATGTCAGGATCGAGTCTCAAGTTGGCGATGAACAAAAGCAAGGTAGGCCGTTGTACTCTCAATCGCGTTTTTGCCTTCCACAAATAAACAATGATGACATGCAAAACAACAATGTAGAGCACGAGACTGACCCTGTTGTGCTCTTTTTTCAGCCGTATTGAAGAATGTAGGCAAGGTTGAACGATTTGTGGTGGAGCAACTCCGAAAGTTCATCACGGAGGATTTTGTCTACCCAAGCTACCACTCTGTCGAACTAGTACGTGCCCCTGCACCGGCGCCGCCACCAACAGCAGCAGCCGCAGCACAGCCTACAGACGCCGCCGCAAGGTCGGCACAGACTTTGAATACAGTTGGGTCTGCTGGCCATGATCGATCGTCGTCATCAAATGGTGTTTCGCCGGCTGCATCTAGTACTGCTGAATCCGTTATTCATGAGCCGTATAGACAAGGCTCAGAGCGAGGAATTGGAGGACGGAGAGAAGGAGGAAGAGGAAGAGGAGGAGTTGTCGGTTCTCGCGGCTCTGCAGGGTCAACAACCACAACTGCTAGTCTACATGAGGCTTCGTCGCTTCGAACTCGACCACGAGCCGCTTCAACTTACAGTCGTCATTAGTTTCTTGAAAAAAGGAAAACAAAAAAATAACAGTGGTAGGTTTGTGTAACCAATGACATCTTTAACGACTTTAGTGTTGAATTTTGTTGTTTTTTTTTTGTTGTGGGCTCAAGCCCTTTTGACATGACATCAGCCATTAATGCAGTGTGGTGGTGTTGCTTTTTTCCTTGGTCAGGGCCAGGGCCAAGGTTTGAGAGGAAGGGCCAGGGTCAGGGGTAGGCGTAATGAGTATCTGCTTTCATAGACAGCATTCTGGCGATGATGCGTGAATGATGTAAGACGATGACCGTTGGCCGGCCTCAACGAATATAAACATTTGGCGACGACTCGTTGGGTGTATATAAGCACCATCTTTGCCCATCATTTTTTATTCTGCACAACATTCCTCTTTCTCATTCTTCATCCTCATTTTTTCATTCTTTCCTCCAAAACAAAATATGTCTCTCTCCACGGCATCCTCCTTCTGGACATCAAGCTCCCTCCCGCGTCGGACCCGTCCCCGTCCCAGTCTCCTAAAATGCGGCCCCATCTACTTAATGATGCTCCTCTCCCTCCTCCTCTCCCTTATGAACTCCGCCTTTACCCTCGCCGCCCCCATCGACAACGACAAGGACGACAACAATAACATCCTGGACAGCGCCCGCGATGGGCCCTTCAACGTCACCATCCAAGCCGGGATCGCAGGCGCGATCCTCATCCTGGCCGGCTTCATCCTCTGCTTCTTTGGATACCGCGTCTTCCATGTCACCATGTTCCTCATTGGATTCTATTTCTTTGGGAACTTGACCTATATCGGCATGGCGAACGGAGGCATCACGAATTCGACACTCTTGTTGGCAGTTGCAGTTGGTGTTGGTGTCGTTGGTGGGTTGCTCCTGGTTTGCTGCTCCAAGCTGGGGGTTGCGGTCCTAGGTGCGTTGGCACTTTATGCGTTGGGGCTTTGGATCTTGGGCTGGAAGTCTGGCGGGGTCATTACCTCATCCACCGGCCGGATCATCCTCCTCGTCGCTTTGGCAGTCGTCGGATTCATCTTGGGACTCTTCCGCGAACGCGAAATGGTCATAATCGGCTCGGCCCTCGTCGGAGCCTATTCATTCGTGATTGGTGTCGACATGTTTGCCCATACCGGGTTCAAGGAACAGGCAGACCAGTTTATCAACTCCAAGAATACGATTGAGGAAGATTTCAAGAACCAATCGACGGGGTCGTATGCGCTGTTGGCGACTTTTATTGCCATGGCGGTTTTGGGGTTCTTGATCCAGTTTTGGGCTTTTGGAAGGAGGAGGGCGTTTAGGCCGGTGGCTGTTGCTCCTGCGCCTGCGACAAATGTTGTTTATACGGAGAAGCCTAGTCGGTTTGGGTTCTTTAGACGTCGCCATTAAGCAACCATTATCCTCTTTTTTTTTGTCATGTCCAGTCTCCCTTCCTTTATACCTTTTTCTTTCACACTATTTCATCTTCTTAATCCTTGTGTATATCAATATATAACAACAACTCCTTCCCCAGTAATGTAATAAACACCCACCCTCTTCTATCTTTCACGAAATAAAAATCAGCGCATTCAGTAAACATTTCTCGCTCTTCTCACTTCTCGTCAACGAAAAATTTAATACGTAAACTGTTCTTCTCATTCTACGACTTCAATCCTATTAATAAGGGCGGTAAAAGACCTTATCCCAAAGCCCAGCATCCTTAAAGGTTCCACGACGATCAACAAAGAACGCCATCCTTTCCTTCTTGGATCCAAGCATAATATGCGCACTGCTACCCTCCTTGACTGGCGAGGTACCTTGGGGTCCGACATTTGTCACGAGCTGCTGACGGCACTGCATGTCCTGGATCGGGTAACTTCTGTGGTAGCCATGAGGGAATTTCCGGCCAGTGTCGATCCTGATCTGAGTGCCTCCCCTCAAAAACGTCAGCCTTGTCACGTATCTAATTGTCAAGATGTCATATCATTGTTAGCAAAACTAAAAAAAAAAATTCACTTTGCATATAAAGGCCCATTCTGTACGCGAAAAAAGAAAGTCCCGAATCGATAGTTACCTCCATGGAATGGCACAGATTCCAAAGGCAATAACCAGCCCTGTACCAACCAAGCCCGCCGAGATAATAATCCTGGTCCTCAACGGCGCCAACGGCACCTCTGTCGATTCAATCCCCTCAGTTCCGGGAAGGGGCAATGGTGGAGGTGGAGGTTGGGTGGCCGAGAACATGGGGTTGTCGGTGTAGTGTGTAAAGGCGTACTGGGCAATGTTTCCCCAAAAGATCAATTGGAGTCCTGCAGTCGCGTAGGCTAGCCAGAAGGTCTTGCGGAGTGTCTCTGGCGGCTCATAGAAGATGACGTCTCTATTTTGTCAGAGGTAGTAAAAATGTTTGTAAGAACCTTGTAATTTTTGTTTGATTCGAGTAGCATTTGAACCTCGGGCATCTCCAATTGAATCCACGATGGTCTTTGCATTGAACGCTGTTCCTCTGTTCTTATCCCGACAGCAACAAAATAAAGACGTAACAAGGCGAGGATGATGGGAACGTACTGTTTGGCGCACATCTCGGCCAAAGTACGCGAGAAATTAGTAGCAGATCCAGCTGTCTTCCTGATCTTGGACGCTGATTCCCTTGCAGCAACAGTCGCAGTATTCGCAGAAGAGGTAGTCCCTGTGGCGAGGGATGAGGGCGAGAGGACGGCACTCTTGCTCTTGGAATCCGGGTGTGAGTACTTGAAGGGCGACGATTTTTTACTACTGTTGCTACCCTTTGCTGCTGCTGAGGCGTAGAAGCGGAGTGTCGTGGTGTATGTTGGCGGTGTTGAGTTGACATGGCACCATAGTGATGTAGGTGTCCTCCTGAAGCAGTGGGCTGTTGGAATGAGGCGTTGGATCCTTTGCATGGTCGAAAAAGTTGGAAATGAATAAATGGAGAAGAAGCTGATCGGGAACGAGCGCGACTTTTTTTTCTACTCCGAGAAATGCAGCAAAGGCAACTTGCACGTGATGTGTAGCTCCAATAAAACCAACCGTAGAAATTTGCATATCCACCTGGGCAATCTTTAGAGGGAAAGGGTCTGTGTTTCAAGATGATCCCACCTACGGCGGATATGGCCTCGAGACGCGGTCATACTCGGGGGTGTGCGGCGTAAGGATAGGCCACTCCTCATTACTTGTCACCTTAGGCTGCTGTAGCCAATTCGCTCCTGTTGATTTTCTCTTCTCCATCCGCTTTAAAAAATAAAACCCTCAGCAATAACATCGATGACAACAGCATGCACTGACCACCCTAACAAGAAAAAAAAGATCCCTACCATTTCCGTCATGTAAGCATCTTTTCCATCTCCATTTCTCCCACGCCAACTCTCTCGGCTGCCCTTCCCGCCCTTCCCGCCCTCGCTTCCCTTCTATGATCTCCACAATACAGGTGATATGAAGTGATAACCTTAAGCGAAAAAGGTAAACACACTTATCTCGATAATCGCGCTTCTTTGCTCTTCTTCTCTCTTTGAACCGTCAAGGTTCAAGAACAAACAAAACCTTTTTTGAAGCAAAACAAAAAACTGGGGAAGGAGGAAGATAATGGGATTCGAGTCCTACTAACTCATCATTACACCTACGACGGCTAACCCGGGTGCAATGTTCCATGTTGTTCAGCTGTCCGTCTCGGGTGGACTGGACACCTCTATCCTCCACATTTGGACCAGTCTTTTCACAATTGAACTCGGAGAAAACCTGTTTGGGCAGTTCTCCTTGTGTCTTTTCTGTCTAGCGTCATGAAGGATAGAGTTACTATTCGGCGGATAAATTGAAAGCCTTTCGTTCATTGGCAGACGATACCATATCTCCTAAACCTTTTGTTTGTTTTTGTTAGGAAGATGAAAGATGGTGGTCACTTGTGTTTATGGGGAAAGGGTCGGTTGCTCGTCTACGAGTTATGTTTACCAATGCCAACAATTCGTCGCGGTAAGTTATAGGAGAGCATGTTGGACAATGATCCCTGTCCTCTTATTCCTCGATACTCACCCCTATTGATTCAATAAACACACTAAGGCAGAAAGTGGAAACAGGCAGACCGACAGCATCAAAAAAAAATGCCGCCCTACTTCTCCTTTGTTCCCTTGTTTGCAAATGACACGAACTGGGGAGCATGGTTTTACGACAGCAAGAGACAGAAAGACAAGAGACATCAATAAACAATTATGGGAGAAGAGAGGGAGAAAGAGAGAGCGCGGCGTCACTGTTTCTACGTGAGGTGGCCCGGATGACAGCGCACACAAAAACACGACGCACATACACGAGCACAAGCGCACTTTTTTCTCTTTTTAGTCCCCTTCTTTTCCTACTTTCTCCTCTTCTCTTTCTTCTCTTCTCTTTTATGTTTTATGTTTTATGTGTTGTGTTGTTACTCAAAACTACCACTACTCCTACCACAATTATCCCTTCGCCCCTACCTCGCCTCAAATAGCCAATTAAAGCTTCTCCTCACCTTCAACCTCACTTGCAACAAAGAACTACAGCAAGTAAAAGTACAGCCATGCCTATGACTCCCCTCTACAACCCTAAGCCAGGTTAGCAATTGTTGTTCCTCCCTTTCTCCTTTTTGATACTTATTTCTGTTCAGAGACTCCGTTCCTCATGTTGTGTTCCTCGTTGAGTGTGTTCCAGGATATTGGTCATGCAGGCCCACTCAGCAACCAGCCTTGAATCTCCAAAAGAATATTTTTTTCAGTGTATTTGGGTGGTTGAAGAGAGCAGAGAAAGGAAAAAAAAGGCGTTGAACACGAATGAAAGTGAAGGGAGCAAACCCACATTTTTTTTGTTTGTTGTTGTGCTTGAACAAGAATGGGAATGAGTAATAATGCCGCATAGGGATAGGGAAGGGAGCGGAATGAAGGAGCGCAGAGGGGGCGCATTATTGGGTTTGATGGTTGCACAAAGAGACGGAGAGCATTTCAGCCAACATCATCGTTATGGTCGTTGTTGTTGCCGTCATCGTCATTCGCATATGTGCACACACCCGAGCACAAAGCAATGGAAAAGAACACACAGACATCCGCATTCCCTTGAAATAATTTTGGAGAAAGAAGCAGCGAAGGGCATAACCCCCGGTAATATTAATAAGAACAACGTGGAAGTAGCCGGAAGGAAGGAAGGAGAGAGAGAGAGAGGACTGAGTGTCTGTGTGTCTGAATGTATGGACACAAAGGACGAGTGCGGAGCGAACTCTTCGATATTCATTCTCCACTGAGCCCTGCATTAACGCCCAATCCAATCGAACACTCTTACATCATTTCTTCCCTCTTCTTCTTGCTCACCCACTCTTATTCTTGTCTTTCTTCTTTTCTCTTTTCTTTTTCATTCGTCACTCACCCATTTTTCTCATTCATTCTTCTCATTCATTCACTCTCTTCACTCATTCATTTCACTCTCACTACCACCACCGCTTTAACCACTACCACCCACTACTGCCGCCACTTCTTTACCCTCTCCTTTCGTTCCCGCCAATTTTTCCTTTCTACAGGAACCCTCAGTACTCACAACGAAGAACAGACACCGATGACTGTCTCCCACCGCACCCAACAAAACAACACTTACAACCAACAGGAAACCATTCTGGTGACAGGAGGCGCCGGCTTCATCGGCTCGCACACCGTCGTTCAGCTCCTCAACCTCGGCAAACATCTCGTCATCGTCGACAACCTCTGCAACTCCTTCGAGGAATCCCTTCATAGAGCCCAGGCGCTCGCAGACAACCCGACCGGCTCTCTCGTCTTCCACAAGGTCGATCTCCTCGACGGTATCGCCCTCGAAGCCGTCTTCAAGCTCTATAACTTCTCGGCCTGTATTCATTTCGCTGGCCTCAAGGCCGTCGGGGAGTCGTCCCAGATCCCTCTCGGCTACTACCAGACCAACATCACCGGTACCCTCAACCTCGTCCAGCTCCTCCAAAAATACAACTGCCGGAACCTGATCTTTTCTTCCTCAGCGACTGTCTATGGACTCCCAACCTCGGATGCTCCGCTCAAAGAGGATGCCCCCACAGGAGCCATGAACCCTTACGGTCGGACCAAGTTGTATATCGAGCAGATCCTGGGGGACACAGCTGAGAGCGAAGCAGGACAATGGAACATCATCCTGCTCCGATATTTTAACCCTGTCGGCGCACACGAGTCTGGCAGGATTGGTGAAGATCCTAACGGTACTCCCAACAACCTCATGCCATATGTTGCGCAGGTCGCTATCGGGCGCAGACCTATCATCAATGTCTATGGCAACGATTACAACACCAGGGACGGCACCGGCGTTCGGGACTATATTCACATCCAGGATCTCGCACGAGGCCATGTTGCAGCTTTGGCCAAGATCGAGACGGTTCTGCGGTCTGATACATCCCTGGGGTGTGTCCCATACAACCTCGGCACAGGATCAGGATACTCGGTCAAGGAGATGATTCACAGTATGGGCAAGGCTGTAGGCCACGATCTGCCATTCAGAGTCATTGGACGGCGGCCGGGCGATGTGGCTAGTGTGATTGCAGACCCAGGACTAGCAGCCAAGGAGTTGGGATGGAAGGCAGAAAAGTCGTTGGAGGATATGTGTCAGGATCTCTGGAGGTGGCAAACACTGAACCCAGAGGGCTACGCAACTTCCTCAACGACCACATCTACCACCACACATACACCACAAGTCATCACATTACCTACCATTCCTGGAAAGCACACCAGCGTCGATGGCCGTTCGACCCCACCTTTTCAACTCTCGTCGGCATTCTCACCAGTTAATTCGCCAGCACCTGAACCTGCTTTAAGAAAAACAGGGCGTACCGCCATCTAAGTCCCTCCACTCTTTTAGCTTGCTTTTAGTTCTCTTTACGCCATCTAATAAAACACCAAGTTAGCATTAGTTTCCCCCCCTCTTTCTCTCCTGTGCTAGTGATGGCTGTTGACGCCGCCTTTTTTTTCACTCCAACTAGGAATGTCTTTTTGGATGTTCAAGATAAGCTGAAGGGAAAAAGAACGGTCGCGCTCCCTTCCACCTCCCTCCTCATGCACCTCTCCTTCCCTTTGTTCCTCATTCATTCCAGAAAAAGTTTCAATGTCACATACCTCCTAGACCCTTGCAGTTCCCACTTTCCAATATCCATTCTTTCTGTGAGCTTCCTCAACCGCTTCCAAAGGCCTTTTGATGGTGGTGGTGGTGGCGGCACTTCCTAAAGATCATTGATAGCAATGGAGGAGAGGCTACAGAGTATGACTCGAACGAGGACTCTGGAGCCTGAGCATATGACATGCGCCGATTTTGTCGGGGGAGGGGTGCGCAGAGCCTCTAAATGGACCCGGCAAAAGAAGATCCTGGCGGGGGTACTGGAAAAGCTCACCAACTCGGCCGAATGCAAAGGTCACTGCTGATCGGAAAAGGGATGTAGAGCTTTGCGCGGTGAGACGCGGCAGGGGGGGAGGGGGGGCGGCGACAGCCAAATATCAGAATCGAGGCCCTCAAAGACGGAGTACGCTTCTGCATTACAAAAAAGACGACCAGAATCTGGAAGTGGACAGTTCTGACGAGGTATCAAAAGCAATGTTATCAAGTCTTGGTTCTGCTGGCGAGAGAAAGACTTTCACGTCGCACAATAAAAAAGTATCTCGGACTTTTTTTTTTTTCTTGCGTCTGTTTTACTCCCAAGAATGAAAGAGATGCTGGGTGTAGGTTTTTTCAGAGACTGCACTGATGCATGTGTTTTCGTTCTCGACGTATGATTTGTGTCTTTTATTACGAAAAAAAACCCCCCGTTACGACGCCGTAAAGAACTGGTGGACCATATCCTTGATCATCGACACATCGTACCGAATGTACTTTTGCGCATTCTTGGTAAACTCCATCGTGCCATGCCCACCCGAGGACGAGGCATACTTTGTCAAGAACTTGTCGTACATCGGGATCATGATCTGGTTGACATCCTTCAGAACCATGGTCCGGAGATCCATATCCGGGATAGAGTACTGCTTCTGTGCCTTCCAGAGTTCATCAAAGTCGTGGTTGAAGTTCTTGAACTTGTCCTTGACCATCTGACGCTGACTCGAGTTCAGAACCTGTTGGAGACCTCCGTCCTGGACATAGGTCACATCCATTAGGTGCTCGACACAGCCCTTCCAGTTGTCCTGGTACAGATCAACGTTCTGTTTCAGGGGTCGCTCGTACACTGCAGAGGTGAGGCTGTTGGGTGGTGCGTTTCCGGCGTCCGGTCCATTAATGACTTCCAAGAGTCCTGGCGTCGTGCGAACTGATTTAGAGATGTAGAAGTAGTTGTTGAGCAGGAACAGCTGGGTCAAAGACTGACCCTTCTTGTAGAACCTCGATTTCGCGTCAATGTTCTGCACTAATGCCTCTAACACGTCCGCTATTATGGTGGGTCAAACAAAAACAAAAAACCTCGTGGGTTAGCCTCGGGGATGAACAAGGTCGCCCTCACACAATGCCAATATATCGCCTCACTGAACAAAATGGTAGCCTACCAAAGTAGTGCTGCAAGACAACGCTCCGTCCAGATCGTCCAGCAGCCTGGGAGCGGCGGTTCTGCGATGCTCCGCTTTCAGGGTTGTTCCAGTTGCCATCGCCCATCTGATTAAGAATCGGCTCGACCGTTTGTTGATATGCCATCAAGCGCTTCATGTAGTTGAGGGTCTATGTCAAAATATACGCGATTCATGGTTAGTTTCTCTACTACACGTAATGAACAAATGTGCCCTTCGTCCATCCACTGCGCTCCACATATCCTTACATCTGAAGTGAGTTGATGAACTGTTCCGTCCAATGGCATGGCTTGGTACTTGGGGTTATTATGGTTCTAAGAATATGACGTAATAATAACATTAGTGTCAGTCCCATGGTCGTTCCTCTGTTAGTCTCAGTCTGTTAGTCTTGTGCTGCGGAGCCGCCGAACGTACCTTTAGTTCCCCGAGAAAGTCGATAAATGTCTTCATGGCTGCCGCCTTGAACACCTTGAGCAGCTCTACTGCATCGTTCTCTTTCTGTCTTCTCGCCAACTATTGGAGACGGTCATAAATAAAAGGTTAGGCATTAGTTGGAGCACAGCGTGTGTAGTGATAGCCAAGGTATATCCCAATTCCGTCCAAGTGTACGTACTCCAAAGACGCTCTCAAAGGTAGTCATGCTGGTCTCCAGGGTCTCGATCACGTCAAACAGAATGCCAACCTCGGATGTATAGGTCTTTCGGACTCTGCGCGTGATTGTCCGTCCTGTCTCGACCCATTGCTCAATTGGAGGCATAATTGATCCCATGAAAGCCAAACTTAACAGCTTGGGGTCCAATAATGTGTCGGCCAAATCAGCTTCGTTCTGGATGTATTGCAGACAAATAAGAGATCATAGGTGAGTCAAAGAGCTTCGATTTCCAGATGCATTCACAGATCGATACCGTCAAGACTCCAATCAATCAATTACCCTGCAAAGCTTGAGAAGGGAGGCGGTATAGGGGATGAAAGGTGAGGAGCCCTTGTCGTAAACGCCTCTGAGCTCAACCAGGGATGACTGGTTGAGTGGCGTCAGAGACTTGATCATGCTGTTAGCTCTGATCTCGCAATAGGACTTCAAATATCCTGTTGGTGTCGCATTGGGATCCAGGTCGATATCAGCAAGACTCTTGGCGATGGTCACCAAGGTCTGAACGGCGCCTTGGGGGAAGGGCGGGATATCCTTGCGGTCTGACGATGTAACAATTTTGAGGTCCAGGGGCTGGCTATTTTGCAACAGCAGCTTCTTGAAGAGATCATCCAGTTGTCCAGCTGCGATTTTGAGGCTCCGTTTCTGTTTAGCGATTTGAGCAATGCAGTGAGCGATGAAAAAAAAAATGTTAGTCGCGGTTCAATTCTAACCCCTTTGTCTAGCATGTACTCTGTCAATTTTTACTTTATGCGTGCATCCAACCAAGAGGATCATGGTAGCAGTCTACAAACTCAAAACGAGTGGAGGAGATCCAATGTTTCATCACTAACTTACCAGCTGCTGTACCACTCGATCGCCAGCCTTGAGATTGACAGAGCTCATGGCTCGAAGAGACTCCCGTATCCGCCCAATTGACTGGAGGTACGATTGCAAGTCCTGATCGGACAAGGGTCGGGTCACTATGGCTTCCTCCCTCGAAGCCAGGTCAAAGTAAGAAAGGATCGCTTCTAATGCCGCCACCGTCTGGTTCATGTCTACAACAAGTGGAATAAAATGGAATTATGAATACCTATCACACGCATTTGAAAGGTACCTCTGCCAAGGTACGTTTCCGTTCATTCCTGCAGCTGTCATTTTGAAACGTACTTCCTGCGAGCCGTGTAAGGCTCTGGGTTGACTTGTGGATGGGCATAACTGATGTCTCCAGACTTGCCAGCCGAGTGTCGAATGAGTTGAGAATATTCACCTGTTTGTCGAAAGGAAAACGGGGGCAGAGTATGTTAAATGAAAGCTCATCCGAGTGTTGTGTCCTGAGTGCCTCATCACTTTCAGCTTATGAATAAAAACAAGATCTCCCATTTGCTTGCCATTTTTGTGGAGACGGTATTGGTCTTGTCCAGGTTTGTCACCAGTCCATCGAGCTCCGCGACTTCCTCATCGAGGAACGTCTTGTTGTCCCGGGTACTATCATTGTTCAAACAACGAGCAAGGAGTAAGAGGACGAATGAGTATGACAGCAACATGAGACCATCTATGAGACCACCGAGACCATCGACAAGTTGTGTTGCTTGGTTGTTTTGTCGGCTTGAACCCACCCCTCGGACGCGATAGCCATGTTGTTGTTGTGCGAGTTTCCTGTATATGTTGTTCTTGGACGGGTGTTTGAGTATTCGTGAGTGGACCGTGGGTGGGCTTGAGTTTATCCTTTCCAAGGCCTTTATTCCTGTTCAACGTGGAGTTGGAGCGGAGTTGTGAGTCGAGTCCAGGTGTTGTTGGTTGTGTTGTCGGGTGTCCGAGATGACTTGGTTGTTAACGGAAGATGGAAGATGGCCGAGTGAATGAAGGAAAAGGAGAAAGAAGAAAGAACACGGAAGGAGGTAAGAAGTGAGGGAAAGACGGAAAAGAAAAGGAAGCGGGAAGTGGAAGGAGAAGAGAGAAGAGAGCGTGAAAACCTAATATAAAAGACGAAATTAAGCGTACAAGGTAATTGAACTGAATGGTCCCGCAGGACCACTCATACCTCCCAGTCGTGTGTGTGTGTGTGTGTGTGTGTGTGTGTGTGTGAACAAGGGGGTTCAGAATGAATGGGGCCCTGTCCCTTTGACTCCATCGTATCGTGTCTGTTTTACTGCTCACACTGACCCAACTGAACGCTATCTTCTTAGGCGCGTTATATTGTACGAATATCGACCAGAGAAAACAAAAAGGTATCTGCAGCCAAGGTGGCATGCACCATTGGATGCAAGGAGGCAGACTTGATCCCAGACATTAGGGATCCCGGGATCCATCACTGATCACTTTGTTTGTGTCACACTGAGGGATCACGCATAATACTTGATCAGAAACAAAAATCCCCCCTCCACAATCTCGGGCAACAACCACTCCCTTTTTCACTCCTCCTGCGGTTCGAATGGATACTGGCTAACACAATCGCACATGAGCTAAAGAAAAGGAAAGAAAGGGCCCCGTCGTCAGTCCCTCCCGCCAGCATTTTCTTGTCGTCACCTGCATCTTACTTATCACTTCTTCCCACACCTTCCCTCTTTCCCTTTTCTCTCAGCGCCTGTGCCCCCCTCTTTGTTCAGTCCTGCCCCTTTGACTCGCCCCTCCCTTACACTTCCCCTCTACCTTTGGTGTTCTCCTTTTCACAACTTTCCTTCCTTTTATTTCCTTCTCTTTGTTCTTTTCTTTCTCCTTCACTCTTCACTCTTCACGCAACCTTCTCCACCCGGCACAACTACAGCTTCACACGCTCGCACGACTTCAGGACACAACTACACATTGCAACAATGAGCATCGTCTACAAATCCCAAACGCAAATCATTCGCGACGACTGCGAGTTCCTCAAGCCAATACCCAGAGTCCATCAGCAACGTCTAACCATCCAGCACTGGCAGCTCAGAGACCTAATCACTTGTCCCAAGACAAGCGAAGAGTTTATTTATGTCAACCAGAACGCCGTCAACGCCTACAACACCAGGACAAAGGCCACCACCCAGCTCATGAAGGACCTCACCTTCCACCCCACCTCTTTGACAGCTTCGTAAGTGTGTCCTTCGTTCTTTTTTTTTCGAAGAGAAACTGAGCTGGCCAATTTGTGTGGCTACGATTGGTGCAATCAAAGGACGACAACCAACGAGAGGAAGGAAAGGGTGTTGCGTGCGTGTGTGTCTCCCCCTTCAGGGGCATGTGAAGAACATAAAAAAAAGGGCGGCGCAAAGGTGCTTTTGCCATGGGTCAAAGAAAAAAAAAGAACCTTGAATAGGGCCAAGCAGCTGGAGAATCATCAGCCCATTTAGCGAGGGGACTGTTGAATCTAACCAATAACCGTCCCATGGGAACCTGCTCACGTCTGGATCAGCGATATTGTTCACATCGGCTCACAATGTGCGTTTCTTTGTCTTATGTTCGGCTTTGTTTAGATGCGGGTACCTGGCAGCGGGAGGACAACGAAGCCAACTCATGGTCCGTCAGATGAACAGTAATTGGTAAGAGCAAAAACATGTCGTCCAACACCCAACAGGACACGACTCCGGCCGATGCTATCCTTCATGCGGTGCGCAAAATACGCTAACGCCCTTTTATTATTTTCTGTGAATAATTGTGTACTTATTCCTTAGGTTTGCACATACCTCTGTCGGCGGATCGATCAACAATGCCCTCTGTATCTCTGAGCACCTTGGAGGCACTCGGCTCCTGATCAGCAACAACGACGAAACAATTAAGGTCTACTCGTTGCCAGGACTGCAGCGACTCGCCAACATTCAACTTCCCACGGCAGTCAACTATGGTAAAGCGACAATTGAACACTGCCTGTTCACCTTGAATGCATATCCGGTGTCTCACACAAGAATAAGACCCCGGAGAATAACAACAAATCTGATATTCCCGCTTCCCCCTTTTTTTCTTCAATCGACTGTTGTAGCTTCTGTGAGTCCGGATGGGCGCAAAATGGTCGCTGTGGGGGACTCAAACCAGGTGTTTCTCTATGACATATCCGTTGCAGGAGGATACCAAAAGATTGGCACATATACAGGTATAACAACATGGATATCTCCTCCGGATGTCTGAATGCAACCACTGTGCCATTGAAATAACATCACATTTTGTTGTGTGTGTATATTTTCGATCTTAGCGACAACGGAGGCAAGCTTCTCGTGTGCATGGAATCAATCGTCTGAGAAGTTTGCTGTGGCGAGTCAGGATGGGTTTGTGAGTGTGTGGGATATCCGCCACAGCGAGAAAATATGCAAACTGGGCTCAAAGCAGGTAAACCCTTGGCCCTTCAATGACGTGCTGGATGCTCAGAGTGGTGACGATGGCGTCCTTTTCTTGTATACGAAAATACTATCTTTTACTGACTCTATTATTTGCGATCATGTGTTCCCATGATATCAACAGCAACCCCAAGTCAAAGGGGCCACGCGATGCGTCAAGTTTTCATCGTCTGGATCGATTGACCTGCTCCTTTATAGTGAACATGTCTCCTATGTGAACCTGGTCGATGCAAGGACATTTCACGATCGACAGGTCATCCGTGTCGCACCACCTGGCAACGACGAACATATCTCTGGCATTGCTATGAGTCCAGACAGCAAAGTTTGCTTCGTTGGTATGTACACTTTAACGTAGAGGCAATTGGTACAACGCCGACTTTGAAGTGGTGATGACAAAACCTAACATATTCACGTCCTTCATTTGACGTCGTCCTAGGTCTTGAGAATAGTGTGCTAGAGTTTGATGTGGATACGATTACTCGGCGGAGCTTCCCTTCAGGTAGTCTGATCTAGAGATTGTAGACCCCATCCCTACCCTATACCCTCTCCTTTTTACAACCACTCCTTTGACATAGGCCAGTCAGCCTCACAGTTACCATACCAAACAATGCCATAGTCCAGCGTTCGTAACTTACAAATAGACGACGTGCAAGACGCGTTCTGATTTCTTTGAATGCTCCGTGTGGGATGACTGTCTTATTGAACTCAGCCACCAAACAGCGCCTTCCTCTTAACCTTGCCTCAAAGCCCTCTTGTCACTCTCAATTGCATCTCTTTCATTCCTCCAACCAAAAAGACCACCGCCAACAACGACATCCGACAAACCCGCGTTTCAGGAACAGTAGAGCCTCTTCTTTAAAGGCATCGGCTTCCTTATTTTTTACATCAACCATGGAATCCAACTACATCCGGTTCACGGCCCTGTCTGGCGCAAAGTCGGAATCAGCCCTCTGCTACCTGCTCGAAATCGACGAGGCAAAGATCCTGCTCGACTGTGGATGGAACGATGCCTTTGACGTCGAAGACCTAAAGCAGCTCAAGAGGTACTTCATCACACATCAGCCTCTTGCCTTTTTATTTTGCAGGACTTTTTTGTTCTTATGCTCGTCCATTGTTTCGTATCGTCAATAACGCATTATTTCTATCTGTTTTCCCATCACCTTCCTCTTCTGGATCGGAATTTCACCTATCAACAAAACCCTCACCAAACATCAGAGTGGCGAAGGACGTTGACGCGTGTCTACTCTCCCATGCAACACTCCACCACCTCGGAGCATTCGCATATGCGAAATCATACCTGGGCCTCCGTGCCCAGACCTACGCGACCTTCCCCGTCATGGACATGGGTCGTCTCTCCCTCTACGACAGCTGGCAATCCAAACGGGCGACCGAGGACTTTGCGACATTCAACCTCGAGGATATTGACCAGGCGTTTGAGTCCATTACATGTCTGAGATACCAACAGCCCACAGAATTGGTCGGCAAGTGTAAAGGGATTACGATTACAGCTTCCTCTGCGGGACATACTGTTGGAGGTACTATTTGGAAGATCTCGAAGGATACAGAGTCGATCCTTTATGCCGTCGATTACAACCACCGAAAAGACAAGTATGCATTCGATTTTTGGCGCATGGAGTCGATGAACTACTGAACAGCGACCATAATTACTAATAATGCAAACATTTTGTGGCGCGATCGAACTATTAGACATTTGGATGGAACGATTCTACTTCAAACAGACGGAAGCGCACCTCAGGAATTTCAACGTCCATCGCTCATGATCACTGATGCCTTCAATGCCCAACAGACTCAACCCTCTCGACTTTCTCGCGACAAAGCACTCTTAGGTAACTAACTACATACAACATAGGAATCATTGCCAAATACTTGTTCAGTATATCTTACACGCTTTTATTGACCACGTCTTATGTTCACATCTAAAATACTACTTATTAGAATCAACGATAGCAACACTGAACAGCAATGGGTCGGTGCTTCTCCCAACAGATTCTTCGACACGTGTGCTGGAACTTGCGTACATGCTGGACTCTTACTGGATGGCGTGCAGGATCCGGTACCCACTCATCCTGCTCACCAACTTTTCCTACCGTACCGCACATTTCGCAACCTCGATGATGGAATGGATGGGCGACACCGTCTCTTCTCAACTCACCGAGACCCGCGAGAATCCCTTCCAGTTCAAGTACCTGCGACTTTGTCAGCGACTCAGCGATCTCGACAAATACCCGGGCCCCAAAGTTGTTCTGGCTTCCAACCTTTCGATGGAGACTGGGTTTGCAAGGGAGGTCTTTTTGAAGATGGATTGGTCTAATAACCCGCAGAACACTCTTATCTTGACGGAACGCGCTCTTCCTGGAGAATTGGCCCGGTACCTCTATGACGAATGGAAGCAAGGGGTGGGGGAATTGTCGTCCAAGGAGGTTGGAGGCGAAGTTCAGCTTGACAGTGTGCTCCGGTTAAAGGTCGACAAGAAGGTGTTGTTGGAGGGTCAGGAGCTGGCGGATTTCATGGCGGCACAGGAGGCAAGACTGGAACGAGAGCGTGCGGATGCAGCGCTGTTGGAGCGGAATCGGAGGACGCTCTTGGAGGAGGAGAGTGACAGTGATGAGGATGAAGGGTCGATCGACGGCGACTCGAACCTGGCTGAGATTGATATGCTGTTGACGAAATCAGGAAGCCACGACGTGTACATGAAAGATGCGACCAAATCTGGAGGCTTCTTCAAGCAGACGCAGAGTTACCGGATGTTCCCTCATGTTGAGCGCAGGAAAAAGATTGATGACTATGGAGAGTCGATTGTGGTGGAACACTTCTTGAGCGCCTCGTCGACTGCTCCTCAGGAGGGCGGTCGTGTACCGAATGGCAAGGATGTGGATGCGAATGGCGACTCGCGGATGCGTGGTGGGGATGATCAGGACGATGTGACGATGATGGGTGATGACAATGGTGATGTCAAGGATACGTTGATGGATCCTGATATGATCCATCCTGAGGACAGCTTGCCCTCAAAGTATGTCAGTTCGCAGGAGGATTTTGCTGTTCGGTGCAAGGTCCGATATGTCGATCTGGAGGGTCGTGCTGATGAGAGTGCCATGAAGACTATTCTTCAAGCCATTGCACCCCGCAAGCTGGTAAGCTACCTTGTGCTTTTTTTTGGTTTTATTCTGTACTTTTGGAATGAGCTGTGAGAAGTTGAAGTATTGACACATTCTATTTCATCAAAAAAAAAAAAAAAAAAAAAGATTCTTGTTCACGGAACGGAACAAGGAACGAAGGCGTTGTGCGATACATACTTGGAGGTATCAGATCTGACACGAGAGATCTACACACCAGGAGTGGGCGAGATCCTGAACGTCTCGGAGGTAACCAACATGTACAAGATCAACCTGACGGACGCTCTGTTGAGTTCGCTGACCTTCTCGAGGTTGGGCGAGTACGATCTGGCGTACTTGGTGGGTCAAGTCCAGATCCCTGCTGGGTCTACAGCCCCTGTGTTGAGCATGCCTGCAGTTGTTGGTAACCAGGAGGTTCCTGGAGCAAAGAGATTGACAGCCGGAACTGGAGACGCTATGGCTGTCGAGGACCAGACACCTGAATCTGCGCCACAACAACAACAGCAACAACAACAACAACAACAGCAGCAGCAGCAGCAGGGACTTCTGGAACACGGCGCTGCCGCCGCCCCCTCCACAGAAATCACGTCGACGACCGCATCAACTTCTGTAGCCACCAGCGCACTTGTCACACAACAACAACAACTCCAACAACAACAACTGGAGATGCTGGCTCGCGAACACCAACCGGTGTTTGTGGGTGACATTCGTCTGACAGAGTTTAAGAACCGGGTCTTGAAACAGGCCGGGATCGAAGCTGAGTTTATGGAGGGAGTCTTGGTCTGCAATGGCGTGGTTGCTGTCCGCAAAGTCGAGGAGACGGGCCAGATATTGTTGGAGGGATCGCCCATGTCCAATGATTATTATGAGGTCCGGCGGTTGTTGTATTCGCAGTTTGCTCTCCTGTAATAAAAACAAAAAACGTACCACATATACACAAGATCCATTTCAGGCGGCAACATTTGTAAGGTTGGAGGAGGAGGGAGGCGAAGAATTCTTTATGCAGTTGATGGTTTGAAGGGTGGAGGAGAAGAGGTAGATGATAGATAGATAGATAGCTCATGAAAATGAGAGGGAAGGGAGGGAACTAAAAACGTTCCCAAGGTATATTAACTAGTGAAAAATGCCAGAGTAAAAAAAAAAGATAACATGATTTGGAAAGTGCGTGAGAGTAAGGACGTGAATATGTGAAAAAAAAATGAGGGTTGTTATTATGTTCAAGGAGAATGAGGGAAGGAGCCGACAAGGTCAGAATTTGACCTATCCATCGTAGGAACGCGTAGTGATGGTTCTGGCGAAGGTGTACACCGACGCGAGTCGGCAAAGGGATCCTCTGAATGATGCAGATGCTGTTCCTGATCCCGGTCCTGATCGAGGACAATCTCGTTCGAGTCAAAGGTCTTGAAGGGATCGTTGGTCGACGTCAAAGAGGGCACAGAGCTCGTTCTCCGACTCATCATCGACTCTGTCTCATTATGATGATGGTACTGCTGGTGATGTTCCCGTTGTTCTCGAGCATAGTACTCGTGTTGGAGTTGAGTCTGCAGCTGCTCAAAATGCATCCGTTCTAGGAACTCTTCCTCGCTGAACGGATAACTACTCTGCGCGCTCGATAGACTCAGCGTCATGGTCCTGGTCGAGGTGCCGTCTCCAAACGACGTGTTCAGCGTATCCCGACGGTATGATTCCTGCTGTTGGTATTGCTCATAGAGACGGTGACGTGTTGTGTCCATGGTACCGCCCGCAGTTCCTTCCACGCTCCCTGTGGTCCGTAGGCTGAGGATATCGGCCATCCTCGAATCCGAATCCCGACTCTGGTCACCAAAGATCGACCCCTCGTCATATCCGTACGAGTCACTACCATCCTCCAATCCACGTGTGGGTGAATGACCCTCCAGACGACGCTCGGTTCTTGCGGCCATGGAAGCAGCCCAGTACTTGCGCACGACCGATGAATCATCCCCATTGATGCTTGACCCGTCACCCAATGAAGACATGGTATAGTGGGATGTGACCATGTATGACAAGGACGATCGGCGCTTGTGAGACGAGGCGGCGGTGGTCGTGTCACCAAGGAGTGCCATCTGCGGCACAGTCACTGCATCCAACTGTCCAACTCCAGCTCCGACGGCCATCGATCTGTCCTGGGTCTCAGTAGTGCCGTCGTCCGATGCAGTTGCAGCTGCAGATGCAGGTGCAGTCATGGCCAATGCTGCATATCGCTTCTCCAAGTCTCCACTGCTCTGCTGCATGTCGTCGTTATCAAAATCACCCTCCTCCTCATCCTCCATCTTGTAAAAGTACCCCTCCTTGGGCTTATGACCCAAACGGCGCTTCTTCTCCTTCATAACAGCACCGGCACCACCACCAGTCCCCGGCGCTGCGCCTCCAGAGATCAGTTCCTCAGATCGAGAGGCCAGCTTCCGGTTCCTCCTCATTCGTCGCCGTTTCATCACCAGCAACGGTACCACAACTGCAGCCAAGCACGCAAAAACTCCGACAGAAAGTAGCGTGGCCTTCAGAGCCTGGCTGCTATCATGCTTCTCAGCTGTAGGTCCGACAGGTGGTGATATTCCTCCTCCATTGGGGAAGGTCGGGAGTGGAGGCAAAGGAGGGAAAGAAGTTTGGACCGCTGGTGAATAAGCTGACCCTGCGTCGCCTGTACCACCCGACGAAGAAGTCTCGGTACCAGAACCGACCTTGGGACTGGGCGCGGTGGAGGCTGTGTTCGTGCTCGGAGTCACGATAGGAGACATGGTGATTCCCTCCGTAGGAAGACTGGTTGGGGCGATAGGAAGAGGTGCAGTGTTGGTCGGAGGAGGAGGCAGAGTGTTTGTCGTCGGTTGGAGAAGTGGATTGCCGAGAGTAGTCGTGGGTGGAGGCATCTTGAAAGAGTTTGGGGTCGTGCTGGTTGGAGTGGCTTCTGGTTCGATTGGATCGACAGAAAAGACGCAGGCGTCTTCACCATAGAAGACCCCACCCCAGCCCTGAGCAACCATCCGGACAGCCGTGGCACCAACTCTGGGTCCACATTCGGGTAGCTTGAACGTGAAGTCGCTCGTAGGCCAGATGGCAGCATCACTGAAGAGAGTCCCCATCTCACGCCAGATATTGAGTTCGGGTCCAGAGTAGTCCATACAGTAGACCAGGGCGGAGAGGGAGTCATACATGTACGATTCCGTGGTTGTGAGAGACCAACCTAGGGTCATGGGTGTCCCCGAGGAGACCATGATCGCCGGGTTGGTGGTGGACGTACATTCGAAAGCATGGGTGAATAAGGAAGAGGAGGAAAAAGAGGATGAATAAGATGAGATCTTGCTGTTGCGGTGGATCGGTGGCGGGCTGAGGAGGAGGATTGAGATTGAAAAGAGTGATTGACGGAGCCGTCTGTGGCGGGTGGACGGACGTCTGTGTTGATTTGAACGTGAAGTGTTGGATGTAGGTGCGAAGGAAGGAGGAGAATGGAAGGGTATAGAGAAGGGAGTCATTGCTGGTAAGTGAAAAGGCAGGGGGTCGGTAAAGAATAGAAAAAAGGGAAGGGAAACAAAGGCTGTTGTTTCGCAGGGGGGATGATGAGTGGACGCCTAAATTGTTATTTGCAGCGACTGAGATATGGGGAAAAGGGGGAATTAAAAATAAATTAACGGCAACCGAAAATGAGGGCAGTTGCTGCACATGCGTGTGTGTGAAGGGAGGAAATGGAAGGGGATGGATAAAAAAAAGGGGGGAAGGAAATTCGACCGTGAGGAGTGAGTGAGAGTGAGAGTGTGAGAGAGAGAGCGAGGGGCGAGGGGGCGTGAACAATAAGTAAAGGGAAAAGAGGAATGAGAAGAGGGTGATGGGAAAAGAGGGAGAGATGAGGGTGCGATGAGGGGAGGGTGGAATTGAAGGTGAAGGTGGAGGAAGGGGTTGCAAGCACACCAGGGCACTCCGAAGAGGCAGGCAGGATGAAGCTGAAGTGGAAGGAAGAAGTGGAAGAGAAGAGGAACGAGGAACGACGAAGAGAAGAGGAGAGGGTTGTGGAAGAGTAGGTTGTTGGGCGGTGAAGACGAAGAGAGGAGGAGGAGTGAAGGGAAAGAGAAAGAAAGAGGAGGGAGAAAGAAAGAGGAGGGAGAAAGAAAGAGAAGGAGAATAGAGAAAGAAGAAGGAAGAGCGAGAGAGAGATTGACGGGAGAGTAAAGACAGGACAGTGTAGTCCAGTGAACGTCAGAGAATGAGAAGGAGGAGTTCAATTGGCCGGTCAAGGAAAAGAGAAAGTGTGTCCATGGATGTTGGATGGCAGAGCATTGAGTTCATTCATGATTGACACTCGTAATCATTTCAGATACCACACATGTCCCCACTCCGCTTGGACCGTGTTCTGGACCATTTGTTTATCGTGTACAGACATGGGCCACCTCGCCCTCTGAACACACTGCCTGTCAAGTGTCTTTGGTAATTGACACGGGGGTGTTACTGAACGAGGGGGAACCCGAGAGAATTCAAAGCCAAGACGGACATGGGGGCACAGACAACAACAAACATTTGAGTTTCTCTCTTGATGCACTCTCTCCCCCCAACTCTTTCTCTCACTCTCTACCTTTGACACACACACACACGCGCGCACAATTTCACACACTCACATTTGGGTTGACGCATGCGCTCCGCCGTTTTGTTGGTGTTGTGAGAACTTATTCTCGTCGGCCAATCCTCATTCGATCTTTATGTTTGAACAGACTCTATCCATGGACATGACAATCGAATGTAAACAAAGCATCAACAAACGACAACATACTGTACAACATATTCGTGTGGACAAAGGAAAGAGAAAGTAAAAAAAATAAAAAAAAATAAGAGCCTTTACCCCCAGCCAGAGCAACGAAAACATGAAAGTGAAAGTAAAAGTAGGGTGAGAGTGAAGAGAAATGGCGAACACAAGAAAACAAAGAAAAAAGAGAGCCGTTGTAGTCGTTGTTGTTGTTTGTTGAGAGCACTTGCCGTCCTTCTTTATTTGACCTTCTCTTCTTTTGTTCACAACAGCAACAACGACGCTGTTAATGAAGATCGGCTGAAAGATGAGTACATGGTAATTTCGACAAGTTCTCCATCCATTCCTCACTCAAACACTTTCAGGCTAACAAAAAATCACTAATTGAAAAAGACATCTCCAAAAAAAACATGAAAACAAGGATGAAAGCTTGAATGCTAAAATTTGAGGTGCATGAGTGCACACCGAACGGCTAAAGGACTCAATTAGCCTGCCGCAAGAAGATGTTGCTGTCAGCGAAACAGAGAACTAACATCTCCTAGCCATTTCCCAAAAGGCAAAACCCGAGGGCTCTTTGTTTTGGTTTTTGTTTGTTTTTTGTTTTCTGTTTTCTGTCTGTCTGTCTGTCTGTCTGCATCAACTCTGTTTTCTGACATATTATTTTCTTGTCTATTCTATTTTCGTTCGTTCATCGCTTTCTTCTTGTCCAGTGCTACGGTAGACATATCTCCCACTTCCAGCAGACACCTGTCATGTCCACATGCTCACTTTCCTGTGAAATTGGCCACCTCCAACGCTGAATCTCGATTTTGATTGTCATTTTTTTCTTTGGTGCTAATTGCCAATTGATGCAAGGACGCCGCCCCGCAGTCATCCTTCAACATATTACTCACCCCGCCCCGTGTCTTCTGTAGAGACTAGTGAATAATTGTACTCCTCTCTAGTTGCCACTTCATTTCTAAATGCCAATTGCATCTCCTCTGTTCTTAATTACTTTTTCCTTTCACGATCCGATCTCGACTACAAACATTACCGAGATACAAAAGAGAATCCCAAAGAGTCATCGTTTATTTACATCCACAGCTAGAGGGTAACTAACGCAGCCGCGCTCATGCCGAGCCAGGAACCAAACACAAGATGTCAAACAACACGTCCACCCAAAAACAACAACAAATATGCATCCCGCTCATTATGGCTTTGGTGGGGCATGAGGCCAATGGGCATTTCTGGTCTTTGACAAGTATGGAGTGTGCATGGTGTGAAGGAAGGGGAGAGATGCAATGCATGGCAGTATGAATGTAGAAAAGGAAGAAGACTCCAAAAGCCGACATTTCTTTCGCGCTCACTTTCTTGGGTCCTTTCTTTTTTCGTGCATCTGTGAAGACTTTCAGTCCTGCTTTTTTTTCTTCTCTCGTTCTTTTCATGCCCGATCGCTTCAACAAGATTGAGTCACAAAGAAAGTCAAAAGATAAAGCCCATGGGTCTTTGGTTGCACACATATAGATGCAAAGAGAAATGGAAAGAAGAATGCCTGGGAACCCAACTCAATATCCTCTTTCGACTTCTTCAGAAAGTCGAGGTCATTCGTCGGTTAGTCGGGGATGCAAAAAAAGATAGAGAAAAACAGCGGGCATGCAAGCAATAGGTAAACCATAGCCTGCAGCTCATAGATAGGTAGCGTGAGTTTGGTCATCACTTCTTTACTTTTTCACCTGGCTCCTCTCGAGATTCGATGCATGCCTCCCTTCCGAAAATGCTCGCAGGCCATGTCCCCCAACCTCGTTGATTTTTATTTGCCCGCTCCATTCTATCCAAGTCCGCAAATGTTCAGAAGGGAAGGATATCCTCCCATTCATCAATGGAGAAGGGAATGGTATACCCCTTCACCTTGAACTGTCCACGGGTAGTTTCTTATTGTTTGTGTGAATAAAGGTGAGTGCGTTGTGGTTTTTTCTTCTGTTTGTTGTCTCTTCATTCCTCCCCCGCCGCTCCTGGTGCTGCCGTTGTTTACCTTGCTGACTAGCATTGCTTATTTGTTTATTTGTTTGCTCGAATGCTTCCTTCTAGAGCACCCGAGAGTCGGAATAGCAGGGAGCGAGTGTGCAAGAAGAGCTTGTTGGCGTATGTATCTCTGGCCTCATACCTCCCTCCCTCTTCTCTCAACAAGCGCTTTTCAAGATGACACCTTCTCGCCTCTCGCTCCTATAAGGGCGTCAGACTACCCACCATGGATCCAGCTCCTTGAAAGTCGAGACCCTTATTCTTTACCTCTCTGTCTTTTCCTTGAGCTCTCCAATGGGAGCGAAAGATAGACTAGGCATGCTTTATGATGGGTAAGGGTATATACATATGGAAGAATCCTCGGATCTTTAACTTTATGACACGCGCTTCCCTCGATTCCTCATCTTCCCTCATGGCTTTCCCATTTTTTTGAGCACTTTTGTAATTGCGTTATCTCGATGGGTAGGTGTACCCACCGTGTCTGGGTGGCGGCATGGGAAAGAAGTACAGTACTTATAGAAAGAGACGGAAACTAGAGTGGAGATACCTCCAAGGCATACCATAAAAAATATAAACCAGCCAAAGGGCGATTTATTTTAATGGTTTGTCATTCCTCCTGCAATGCCGCGTAAGAGAGATCTGCGGATTCCAAATGGCTCTGCAACAGAAGCAGTAGCCAAAAACGACTGCATTGATAGGGGAACATTGGACCAATGGACATAGGCCCCCCACTTCCTTCCGTCGCTTCTCCTCTCCCGTTTTTTCATCTTTATGTTTCTCGGGCCTCACCCATGCCACATGTTGATACATATATATAATGCGCACAAAGAATGTTGTGCGCTACTTTGCACAAATAGGAATGGGGGGGTTGGTTTGACAAACCACTAAATCTGTTTGGTTGGCGATGTATGAACGACGAACCACAGCTATATCGCGACTATCCCACCTTTTTCCAAGCCCTCTTGTGAATTAATGTCGAGTCTTCGCGTCGAGACACGACAAGACGTGTTTTGTTCAATTTGATTCGAGGCTTTGTTGAGGGGCTGACTCTTCATCTCTGATGTGGTCATGTTGGGTTGTGTATTTCCCACTGTTTTTTATGCCTTTAAATCTTCCATCAAGCCGTTTCTCTTCACCCTTCCCCCCCTCCTCATATTATTCCCATCCTCTACAGCAACCCACCCACCAAGCTCAATAGTGTTTGTTGTTGTCCTACTCGTTTGTTTATTTGTTTGTTGACTGGTCACATCGTCAGTCCTTGATTTTTTTCTCACTCTCCTGTCCGTCGTCCTCGGAAGAAGATCCGAGCAAATCAAATTGTGGCCAATGTGTCCCAAAATCACGCCTCTTTTGTCTGCCTACCCACCATGGATGACAAGAGAGACAAGAGACAAGAGTGGTTGTAAACAAGGCACTCGTGCGTGTGTCTGTTGTGTTGCCCAGGGAGACAAATCAATTAGCTATTGGCTGGCTCATTTTTTTTTATTTGGGCGCAAGGTGTAAGTGTGTGCGAGGTAATGCAATGGATGTCTGGTGCGTGTGAGAAGTAAGGGGGGTGAATGTTGTGTTTGCGTTTGTGTTGGATGCAAGAGAGGACGAGAGAGTCAAGAGTGCATCCCTCCATTCATCTCCCTCCATCATTACGTTCTCTTCCCCCCCTACTTTATATTCACATCAAGCATCAATGTCCACTTTTTTTTTCTGAACACATGTCGAGAATGGGTATCTTTGCACATCTTATCGAGTCTCGACTATCCGTCCGCCTTTCAACCTTCTTGTTATCCCCTTTTTTAAACCTGCCGGTTGGATTCTTCCCATGAGCAGGTTAGTCTTGTGTGAACAGCAACCCCCCACCCCCATCCTCCCTCCTCTCCCACTAAAAGAAACCCAAAACTGCGAAGTCGAGTGAGGAATAATTAAAAAAAAGTGGAGGCAATAATGTTCGATGATGTCGTTGTTAGCGAGGAAGGAGTGCGAAGAAACGAACGGACGAATGAACGAAGGAGGTGGGAGCGAGGGAAGAATGAATGTAGTGGAAAGGAGGGTGAAGGAAGCCGAGATTCCTGAGATGCAAAGCAAAAAGAGGTAGACTATGCTTGACATGCATCTTTGAGTCGATCGCAAGATTACAAAGGGTCCACAGTCGAGGAGTGTGTGTGTGCGTGTCGATGCTGTGTGCTTCTTTTTTCTCTGGACAGGGAGGAGAGGCAAGGTCCAACAGATCAAAGCGCAAAAGGAGGAAGGGATAAGGAAAGGCAGAAACAAAGGAAAAGAGGCGTTGCAGAAAGAGGGGTGGAGACAAGGTACCGATGGTACCGATCGGTCATTCATGAAACAGGTTCGATGTTAGTTAGCACACGAGACTGAAAGTGGGTGATCCGGATCCGAGGGAAAGGGATATGAGGAGGAGAGCTACTTGACTTCAGACATAAGAAAAGACGTCAGAGGACAGAAAGTCGACTGGTGATGGTATTGATAATGATAATGGTGATAATGATGATGACGATGACGATGATGCCTGCTCACGCCTGTGTCTGTGTGTGCGCCTCAGCCAGGCTGTTTTTTGATCCGACCGAGCAGAAAGAGTGATTGGCTGTTGATAGCAAGTCCCTCCATCCCTCCATCCCACCATCCCGGAATGAGGGGCCGAAGAACGAAGAGCGAAGCAAAGAGCAAAGTGGAAGAGGAAGAACCGAAGAAGGCGTTGCTTCTCCAGGAGTGGGCCACGTCGCTCTCTCTCTCTCTCTTCATCGATTGTTCATTTTCTCTCTCTATTTCTTTGTTCTTCGACTCTCTCTCTCTCTCTTTCCTTCTTTTTCCCACAACTATCATCCTTTGCCCTTCTCTTCATTTTTTCATTTCTCATCCTCCATTCTTCTTTCCTTCTACTACACGCCCTTACCCCTCATACCTTTCCCTCCATATCCCCTCGGCTTTCCCCTTTCCTTCGCTCTCATCCACCAAGAGGTAATTATCTTCGTCTTCATCATCATTGCAATTGACGCTTATTTGTATTGTTGTCACAAGAGCACTCTCTCCTTTCCTCTCATCCTCCACCCTCTTTCCCTTCCCCTCTAATCCCTCCATACACATCCAACCAACCATATCCTTCACCTTCCACCTCTGCCTTCTTCCCCGTTTCAGCCCATTGGCCTCAACGCCCTATTTCCATCTCTCTCTCTCTCTCTCTCTCTCTCTCTCATCCCTTTTTTTCCCTTGAACACCTGTCTATCTCTCTCTCTATTATTCTCTCAACTTCCTTCTCCTCCTTTGCTTTCCCTATATAACTAATGGAATCTCCATCTTCCCTCATCACTCCTCATTAACAACATCCTCTTCCCTCCTCTCTCTTCGCTTTTCTCATTCTCCTCTCTTTACATCCCTTTGTTCCATCCCAGTCTCACCTGTCTCACTCTCTTACAGGAACAACACATATACCCCTCCCAAAGATGCCCTCTCGTATATCCGTCGAGCTGTCTCCGTCGTCCGAGACAAGCTCAGTCTCCGCTCTGGCTTCGCCTACTTCTACTACTGTCCACCCTACGCTTGTCACGAATCAAAAGGCGATCGTTCGCCCATCGATATCGACCTCCCCACCTGGAGGTGGCATGGATGATGCCACCATGGGTCGTCCCCACGCCTCTCCCTCCTCAACTGCCTCGTCCTTTTCTTCCTCTGCCTCGCCTTCGTCCTCCCCTTCATCCTCTACGTTTTCCCTCCCTTCTACAGCCATCTCCATGTCCAGCAGCGACAATAACTATAGCAGTAGTATCCTTCGCAGTAAGGGCAAGGGCAGAGTACCAAGGGATGAGAACGACAACAACCTTGAGGACGAGGGAGTGCACAGGGACAGAGCGTTAGCCGACATCAGCACAGTGTCTCCAACCAATCACAGCGCCACATTGTCGTCGGGTCGTACAACCCACTCGGCGGATATCCTTCTTCCCACGAGCGACTCCCTCAGTCATGGTCTGGACACACCCTTTTATTATTCTCACCAAAACCAACAACAACCACATTCACTTCCATCCGCTGCACCCCTGCAACCACACTCACATTCGCACTCCCACCTACACTCCCAGGAACAGGAGGACCAACCACCATCCTACTCTGGAAAGGGTGTCATCTACAACCACAACACCACCGACAACCACAGCCACGACTCGGACGAAACTGACTCTGAGGACAACCCTTCCACCCTCACATCCAACAACAAGGGCAAAGGCTCGTCCAGCAGCAGCGGCAAGGGCGAGAGCGCTATTACTGACGACAGCATTGACCAGGAGCGCCCCAGGACACTCGCTAGTCACGGTCGATATGCTACCGACAGCGGTGTTACTTTGGACAAGACAGCATTCTACACCACCGCCAATACGCCGTCTCTATCCTCGCTGTCATCTGTCGAAGAAGAGGAAGATGAGGATTACCCCAGAACGGCAGTTATCACCAACGGTACTTCCTCTTCCTCCAGCAAGGCGCGACCAGTAACCATCCCTGCCAAGTCGGGTAGGTCCGCCTCTGGTTATACCTCCGGATCTGAGGTTGGCAGCGGGTCATCCTCACAACCCCATGCTGCCTCTTCCTACACCCACCATTCCTACATGGTCGCAGGTGGCTCGGGATCCGGTTCCGGTTCTGGCTCTGGTTCAGGTTCTGGTTCCAGTTCTGGCTCCAAGCCCGCTCTTCAGCGCGCAGCAACTGGACCTGCGACGTTCTTGACATCGATTTCGTCGTCCGCAGCAGTCCCTCCGGTCCCCACAGAGAAGGATCTTACCGAGTACCAAGACTTGAGCAAGTTTAGCTACGACAATATCCCTGACGATTTTGATTTCGGTGACGTCCCCTTCTACGACACCGACCCCCGTACAGGAACCATCTATGGCGACCCTCACGCCTACACTCGTCCCCATCTTGTCCCCGAGGCTTTCTTTGACCTCTACCGCTTCACCCATGACGAGGAGGATCCACGTAGGACCAACATTTTCAACAAGCACGGTGCGCTCTTGTACTATCACCCTGGACGACATATTGGACAGGAGCAAGACTCGTTGAGGATGCATCATAGTAACAACCCCATCTGGGTCCTCGCTGGACGCACATCGACCTGGGGCACTCTGACGGCGACGGATATGGCCTCCAAGCGGCAGCTCAAGGTTGTCCAGGAATATGTCTCTACCAAGAAACGGACCGCCAATTCGAACGAGCCCCTGACGCGGTTCTTGTTCCGGTGGAAGGATGAGGACTTTGTGGTCGAGTACCGTAAACACAAGGACCAGTACCGCGTCACGACCTCGCAGATGTGTGGAGGAGAGTCCAAGTGGAGGCCGCCTCAGCTCCGACCTGCACAGACTATGTTCCATGGTATGGGTATGGAGGTCGGAAACCCTGTTGTTCCCTCGACCCTTGCCACGCCTTCTCCCTATGATCCCAACCGGTACCTCCAGCTGATCTCCGAGTACAAGCTCAATTCGGGACCGGTCCTGAAGCGGGGCGACTTTGAGTTGTATAACCCAGACACCTTCCCACTCGAGTTCCGAACTTTCTTGATGACGCTGTCGATTGCTGTCCTCGATATCATGCGGCCCGTCAACGACAAGCAGTACTACGCCACCTTCCCCCAGGCTGCCAACAAGAAATCTAAAGTCGCCGCCACGGGCGGACTCCATGCGACCAAGATCTCGGGCGCCAAGCAGCAGATCGTCCAGGCCACCTTCAAGAGCACTATTGAAACCTCAGGTTCTGGTAACGCTTCTGCGGTTTCTTTGCACGGAAACGGTAGCAGTGGTCGGACCAGCTTTAGCTCTGGGAGTAGGGATGCTGCACCAGGAGGAGTGTCGGCGCCGCCTTTGGTCTTGGCTTCTGCGCCCGCAACGCCTGCCGTGTCTAGACAAACGACGGTCGCGCCTGAGAAGCCTGTCTCGGCACCCGCTGCCAAGACTGCCACCCCTGCGCCGGTCAAGAAGTTTAAGTGGGGCAGTTTCTTTAAGAAGTGAGCGACGTCCCATTCTTACTTTGTTTATACCCCCAGCCAATTAATTAAAATCCTATGACAAATTTTATTACGAGTGCGTGTCCATGATCGGAGGGGGTGGCGGTGCCGGGTAAAAAAAAGAGAAATATGAAAAACTGTACAAAGAGCATGATATTTAATGCGCGTCTGATTAGTTGTCGACGAGCTGTTCGCTAAAAGAAGAATACACAATCGCCGAGAAAGCCTGCAGTTCCTTGACCATCGCCAGACTCTCGACATATTCGTTGGGAACACCGTTGATAACCTTGTGGGCCTGTCTTGTGACCAATGGCAACAACGTCACCAGGGACACCGCACGGTCAATATCCTCATCATCCTCAATCTCTGCAATCACTGCACTGTTTCCAGATTGAGGTGGCGAGAGGAGGAAGGGGTTAAAGGTGGGTTGGAGGGCGAGGTTGAAGCGGGCGAAAGTCGCGGTCAAGGTTGAGCTGAGGACGGTAGTAAAATCGGCGCTATCAATGAAATCGCGGGTCTCATCCAACAAGTTCCGAAGCACTGGGTCTACCACCAGATCGAATTCGTCCACGCCGCCTGCACGCAGCACCTCACGCTCGTCTGATGCCTCATCAGGCAGCATGTACTCACGCATGCTGCAAAAGAAAAGTTGGGCAAGGGAAAGAAAGAGTGTGGTTAGAACTACTGTGGGAAGAATAAAACATGTACTGAAGAAAACAGTCAGTGAGGAGAGGAAGCAATGAGGATCCATGCTTACTTGACTGGGACACGCTCGCCTTCCATATCCTCGGTGTACTCGAGACGAGAACGGATCTCTTCAAGGAGATCTGAAAAGTCATTGGACGTAAAAGTCTTCTTCAGCGAGATACTATTACACATGTCAATTCACAAGAGCTCATTTGTTAGCAACTATGATTTTCACGTAGGACCGCAATATAGGTCATAAACAGATAATAAAAATACGAAACATTCAACTTACCCCCCGACAACATCCTCAACTACGTCGCGGACCTTCTCGCTCCAGCGGCGCCAGCCCTCATGCAGAAGCCAGTAGCTGAAGGTCAGATACTTCTTTTCAGTCTGAAAGTCCAATTGACCTGCGGTTGATGACAAGGATCCCTTGACTGCAGGCGCATCGACACGGTAGGAAGCGTCGGTGGTGTTGGAGAGAGCGATCACCGAAGAAACATAGGTGAAGCGACCAAGAAGGTTGAGCTGCACCTGCGTCAACAGCGTCAAGAAAGTCAGCGAGTAGAGCGCCGTGACTGTACGGGTGAAGCTCATGATCTTGATCTCTTGCCAGAGCTCTAACTTGGTTTTGCGATCAATGGTTACAGCAGCCTCATCCTTGACAATGGTCTCAGGTGCAGCGGCGATGGGGGTGGTCTCGGTAGTTGCAGCAGCAGCATCCTGTGATTCCGGCTTGGCAGCCTCCGCGTCCTGAGTTGCCGTCGTCGTCTCGTCCTTGTCAGCCTCGGACGCCGTGCTGCTTGGTTGTGTAGACTGGTTGCTGTCGCCATTGGTGTCCGAAGTAGCCGTAGAATCCGTGCTGTCATCCTTGGTGTGTTCCTCCGTACCATCAACAGCAACAGCAGCCTCCTGACCATCCTTGACCAACTCGGACTCCTTCTGCTCCTCCTTCTGCTCCTCCTTCTGCTCCTCCTTGTTCTCTGCAGAGCCTTCCTGCTCCTGTTTGTTCTCGTCTTCTTCTGATTTAGGCGGGAGGATCATGGAACTATCAGGAGTGGGTGCGGGAGTCGATCGCTGGGACCGGGTCTGCTGCAGCCTGGCAGTGATCAATTCGACGTTAAGTTCGTGCAGGAGCTGGTCGCCGAGGGTCGGGAGGAGTGACAGTACCGTGAATACACAATCCTGCTGGTTCTGCTCAAACCGACGCTTTATGCTATTTCGTTCAATTGGATGCGCACGCGTGGTTAGTTTCTGAATGGGCCATAGATGTCCAATTGAAGGTGTATCGATCGGAAGCCCTTTTTTGCGCTCAGGAACAAACTGCTCAACCGGGAAATGACAATTCTTCCAGACTTGAAATGGCAAACAGGAATGTGTGAAAAAGAGACTTACTTCTCTTTGGCAGTACGTTCGGAGGCACTCTTTTCGTGGAACTCGATCAGCTTGCTCTTGGCGTACTTGCCCATCATGTAGATGCCTCCGGTGAGTCCGGCGGTGATGACCAGACCCTTGCGGTGCCGGTTAGCAAATCCTTGTACGGCTGAGAGCATGGTTGATCCTTTTGTGTAGAGTAGTTTGTCGAGGTTGGTGTTGGGTGAGGGAGGAGAACGGAGGGAGGAGAGAGAGAGAGAGGGAAAGAGAGAAGAGGAGAGGAGAGGAGTAAGAGACTAAAGGGTCAAGAGAAAGGAGGAAAGGAGTGGAAGGATAAAGAAGAAGAAGGAGAAGAACAAAGAACAAGGTTATGTGTCTCTTTCGTTCTCTGTGCTCCTTGGTCGCTGCTCTTTCCTTCTCTTTGCCGTCTGTCGGTTGGGGCGATCATTTTCCAGCCGTGTGTGGTGGTGTGGGTGGAAGAAAGATGCACGTGAGAATAATAGGGTGTGAATGGTCAACCCTCTCTAATTGGTCGCACTCTCTTCATACGCAATTACAGAGGGGATTTTTTATCTTTTTGTCAAAGGGTGACACCATGGCTGCAAAAGAAACATCTTCTCCTCCCCTCCTCTTCATTCACGCAAAGTCATCTCTCTTTCTCGCTTTCCTTTTTGCCACCAATACTCCAAATCTTCCTGCCTACTCACCTTACAACAACAACCATACAATGGTAAACAGCCTCACTCCTGAATCACACACCCTACATTCATCTTTCTCACCTCCACATGCAATAACAGAATACTCACCCGTGCCTCCTCTGCTGCTGTAGGAAAGTCGCCACGGAAGAAAGAAGGAACAGGCAGAGTCGCCAGAGGCACTCAAGACCAGAGAGGAGAAAGAAACTGTCCTCGTACGCGAATATCTCGCCCTCAAGGACACCCTCAAGGAAATTGTAACGTTTGTAACTGTTACGTAGTCCTTCCTGCCAACGGAAACTGTTGCGAGACGCACGACTGACCCATTGCTCTTACTTCTTTGCTCAATTCTACGATGGGTTCAGGTCGAATCGAACAAACGCGACAATGACGCGCTTAAAGTTACAACGGCACTGCTCCGCAAGAGCCCCGACTACTATACCATCTGGAACGTGAGGCGAACCATCCTCAAGGAAGGGTTCCTCGACAACGCGTACGTTCATACAGCTGTATTTGGATTTGCTACTTGGACTCACGCCAGCTCATCATCGTTGGCTGACTGTTATCTCTCTCTCTCTCTCTCTCTCTCTCTCTCAACTAACTCGAGTAGCGATGACGAGACGGCCAACAAGATCTACACCGGTGAGCTCGAGTTTGTGCAGGAGAACTTGAAGTTGAACCCAAAGTCATACTGGATGTGGAACCACCGCCGCTGGTGCCTCGAAAGCATGAGCCAGCCCCGCTGGGACAAGGAGCTCGCCATGGTTGGCAAGTTCCTCGAGATGGACGCTCGCAACTGTAAGTTGTTGTTGTTGTTTCATCATTGCCGGTTCCTTATCGTGGGAGCTTCATGTGTTGTGCCTTGGGGTGATGCACTGGCCTAGTCTGGAACGAGTGATGTCATTTTAATATGGGCCACTTTTTGGTTTACCAGTGCGTTTGGCGCTAACGAATCGCCCCCTTTGCATTGCAATACTCGATCCTTATCTCTTCCTTACTCTACTTTTACATGTCATTCTAGTTCACGGATGGGACTACAGGAGATACATCATCCGACAGCTCGACTTGAAGGACAAGGAAGCAAAGGACAAGGTGCTCGAGCGAGCACAGTCCGAGTTTGACTTTACAATCACAAAGATCCACCAAAACTTTTCCAACTACTCTGCATGGCACAACAGGAGCACTCTGCTCGGCAAGCTGGCAGAGGACATGTCGACAGAAGAAAGGGAGGCTATTGTAGACAACGAGTTTGATCTTGTCAAGAACGCGATCTATACCGATCCCGAGGACCAAAGCGCATGGCTCTATGAACTCTGGCTCATCGGTCGAGGTATGACAATTTCTGCGAATGATCACGAGCTACGTGGCAAACTCACAAGGCACAATGGACTAACACCACCTTTTCTCATGGATAATAGAGGAGAGGAGTATCTCGATTCTAGGCGCACATGTCATCTCGTTCCACCCTCTAGAGATTGTTGTCGCATTTGATGAGACGGTCAAGATGCGCAACCCTTTTACAGTGTCAACCCGCGTCGACCATGTTGCTATCCCACTCGAGGGAGAATGGAAGGCTACAGGATCAGATTCGGCGCTCGGCAGTGTGTGGATCTTCCAGCAGGCGCCAGGTGCTGTGTATGGCCCCACAGTCGAGATTGTCATTTTCTCAGACGATGTTTGTGCGGTGCGAGCAGGATCAAAGCTCCCTGCAGCCGTGTGCTACGAACTGGAGACATTGAACCAGAACTTGGACGAAATCTCGGGACGCTTGGGCAGATTGGTGATTGGACAGAACCTGATGTACGATGTCACCAAGCGCATTGGACCCATCACTGGCCCTGACGGCACTCTGGAGACACAGGCGGTACATCCCAAGCACCGTGTGACATCGTTGACGGAATCGGGCTCGCTTGACGACAGAATTGCGCTTCTGGAGCGAGAGATCTCAGCTGTCCGCGAACTAGTTGAACTGGAACCCGACTGTAAATGTAAGATACCCTTTCGTCTTCAATGCGTGAATGAGTTGGTTGTAATACTTCATGCCTGTGGTAAATGTTGAAATGTGCATACTATTTATTTCATGACTAGTGTGTGTTAATACCATGTGCCATGACATATCTGAATCATATAGGGCCGATCCAGATCCTGTCGACATTGCTATCCGAGTTGCGCAAGACAGTCAGCATCCACTCGACACAGGCCAAGGTCATTGACGACGAATGCATTGAACTGCAGGAGAAGCTCATCACTATCGACCCTTTGCGCCAGGAGCGATACGAGGACCGCCGTAAGTCGTACTTTCACACTTTGGAGAACTGGCTAACGACACGGCATTCAGAATCTAATGTTTCCGTTAATGTTCACTCGTATAATGTAGGCACACAGCTAGTGTTTGACCGTGAGACGTTGTCGATTATTCAGGACTCGAAGCGGTTCCCAGAGATTGAATACTCGGCCAAACAACCAACCAACCTGGATCTTTCGATGCGTGGATTGACCCACATCCCCATCTCATCTTACCTTCTCCACCTCCACACGCTTAACTTGGACTCCAACTCAATCACATCAACCCGCTTTCTCCGCAACCTGCTGAACGTTCGCCGTGTCAACTTGTCCAACAACCTAATTGAGCACCTCGAAGGAATGCAGCATGCACCCAGCCTCGAGTTCTTGACACTCGAGAACAACATGCTTGCGAAATGGGAAGATGTGGTTGCAGGATTTGTGTTCTGGGGTGAAGGCAAGCTCGCTCGTACAGGCGGACATGTCAAGGTACTGCTGGGCAACAATCCTGTGGTCGTGAACGAAGGTGGTGAATATGTCCTTGAGAAGCGGTGGGAGGATGTTGGGAAGGCTGGTGTTGAGATCCAATGGCAGTCTGAAGAGCTTCGTTTGGCCGAGGAAGCGCTCTTGGCGACGGAAGGCGAAACTGGTGCTGTTGGAAGCATGGTTGTGGATGGCACTCGGCGTGTCAGCACGACGGTTGTTGAGTTTGATGCCGGAATTGCCCATTAAGCTATGCTCGACGTTCCGACTTCTTTTCAGTTGTACATAGGTAATAAAATAAAAGATATGAATGAAATAAACTTATTTTTTTTTCGCATGCAGGTTTTATTGTGTTGACGAAGGGTGAAGAGTGAAGAGTGAAGAGAGGGCGCATGGGACTGACAATAAACGGCGCATGAAGTCTCGTGTGTGTTCGGATGCCCCAAGCCCAGTCAGGCAGACCAGACAGACAGACAGACAAACAGACAAACAGACAAACAGACAGACAGACAGACAGACAGACAGACAGACAGACAGACAGACAGATGGACAGAGAGAGACAGCTGTCCTGTCCGTTTCAAAGGAAGAAGAGATGAAAATGGGGTTTGCGAGATTGCGCAGTGGTCGCATTTCAGTCGTTTGTAGTTTATCGCAAATAAAGTGGGAGTACAGAACTCCTAAGCAAGGACCGCCTTTCCTTCTTGCCTTCTTCCCTTGACCATGTGGTCAAATGTAAATGTTTGCTTTTTAAGTTGGCATTCTGAGGTCATGCCACACTCACTTTTTGACGAACGAAGGGACTCTCGCCCTTGTCTTTCACCGCTTTCCACACTTTGCCCTAGCCCCAAGTCTACCATTGATAACAGCAACCGTCTCCGTCCCCAACAAGGCGTTAGTTAATGTCGCTTTTCGGCGTCATGGATCTATCGTGGTCGACATATTTTCATTTGCCCCTCCGACAGCTTATAATTGTTAATGTTGCATTCAGTGGATGATCCAGATTGCGCAGGTCTTGTTGATATGATTCGATCGCCATCAAGACCAAGAGATTCCAGGAACCAGTTTGGCAGGACTCCACCAGCTGTTAGGCACCCAATGGAAGAGAGCTTCGTTGTTTGCCCAATACGTCAATAAGCAGCATTCATTCACGGCAAAACTATAGTCCCTCACCCTCATCCACCGTCTCTCACTTTTTTTTCCCTTTCTTGGGGTCCATGTGTGAATAAAAGTAAAATGAATGCTCAACACAGGCCATTTGCCCAAAAAGCAGCTCCGCAGGCTGACGGATGAATGGACCGGACGAACAGGACAGGTGAAATCGACGATGATATCAGACTCTCTTGGAGCCCACTCGGATGTGTTTGTTTGTCTGTCGATGTAAACGGCCGAGAGAGGCATGCAAGAACGTAAAGCCTGTTGGGCTTGCCAAAAAAAAAAAAAAAAAAAAAAAAAGCCTTGGCCCTTCCTGGCCTTCCAGCCTCTTTACCAGAATATCCAGTTGCTCGTTACCCTTCGTATTGAATGAGTGAATGAATGCATTGGACTATAAGGTCGACTTTGCCCGTTCATATATATTACACCACCCCCTTTCGGGGGGGGGTTTTTTTTTCACTTTTATCTCCATTCACTAATTGTTTATTATCATCAACACCATCCTTCTCCCCTTCGCCTCGCGTATTGTTCCTCCTTCCTTCCGTCCTTGTCTTCTTCACTCACAATACCTCGCCTCCTTCTTCATTCCACACCTTGAACCATTCCTTTCATTGCTCATTGTCGCTCCATTCCGACCCTCTCCTCCTCGCTTGCATTCCTCCTTCTTCCCCCTTGACTGTCTCACTTCTTTCCCCCACAGAACATAAACCTCCGAAAATACAAAGCCGTCGTCCCTCCCACTTAATACCACAATGTCTACCAACTCGTCGCCACCACCGACACCAACAACGCCCTCCTTCTCCCCCTCCTCGCACCTGCAGCAACGAACCCGCTCGAAGTTACCTGCAGAATGCCTAGTCATGATCTTCAGCCACCTGGATCAGGACCGGTCAACCCTTCACGCCCTCCTCAGGGTCAACCACCAATTCTTCCAACTGACCATCCCCATCCTCTATCGATCGCCTTTCCGTCTGTTGGAATCGAGGGCGGAGGCGTGGTCATGGTCAGAGCGGACCCAGCGACAGGTCCACCTCCTCCAGTTGTTTATGCATGTCGTCCAGATCAAACAAATCGGCCGACACGAGGCCACCACTGCCGCGATAAAGTCAAACAGAAGGACAGGGACACAGAGAAAGTGGCGCCATACACAATCGCACGATCCTCACTCAGACTATGTCACTGCCAATCCTATAACCATTACCGCTAGCACCTCAGCCTTATCCTCTCCAACAAGCAGCAGCAGCGACAGCAACGGTATTGAGATGGAGAGAGGGCAGCCCGATGGTGATGCACAACAACTGCAGGCGCGACAACAACAGCATCTACAGACTGTCCGGCGCCAAAGGAAGATCTTGCGGTTCAAATCGGGAACGCAACCATGGTGGGCCAGGAGGCGTCCTTCCTTCTCTGCTTCTTCTTCTTCCTCAACCACCGCCGCCGCCGCCTCTTCTTCCCTCTCCTCCTCCTCCACTTCTTCCTCCTTTTCTTTTTCGTCCAATTGGGCTTTTTCTTCTCCTTCATCTTCCTATTCGTCCTCATCGTCTGCCTTCGCGTTTTTTGGTTCAAAAAAGGAAAGCAATGTTCCTCTTGTCCCTGGGAACATTCAGGAGGCAGCGGCGTGCTTGCAACAGGACGAACAGAGCGCCTTCTCGACTACGACAGACAACCAGCAACACCTCTTACATGATCACCTTACTTTAACACCACCGTCCGCTGTAGCTGTAACAGACAACAACGACAACAAGGACAAGTACAACAATCCTGTTCCTCATACCACCTACTTTAATAACCCGATCGCGCGCAGCAGGGATATTATTACCAACAATAGCAACGTCAATAATAACAACAACGACGGTGTCATCAATTACAGTCAACATCGCTCACATCGTTGGAGTGAGCCTCCTCAGCAGACCGACCTCTGCCTCCGGTACTACTTCGATCCGGATGACTCTCAACACAACAACAACAATATCAACAACAACAAACACATCAGCTTTGGGGACAGCAGCGGTCATTCATCTGGGAACCCATTTGCGGACACGGACCACCACAATCATCACAGCCAACTTTATTCCCACACATACATGGACTCTGACGATGATAGCCTGGAGGGAAACGACAGCTATGACGACGATGGCGATGACGATGAGCATGGGACCAACAGGACACTAGTCAACACCACGACCACTTTCTCTCCCTGGTGTGGTTCGTCTTTGGAGCCGGACCTTGGACCTTTCAACGTCCAGCCTGACAAGTCGACCTCCAATAACTGGACCAAAGCATTGCAACAGAAGCTGAGGTGCATGGCAGGATTGGGTGCGAAGGAAACAACATCCCAAGAACAACACCACAGCGACTCTTCTCTATCTGAGGGCGTGATGACGGACTACCTACAGCATTATGTTGATCAGAGTCATCCGGGACTCGTCAGAATCCTGCCTTTTGTCTTTCCCTCCCTCCCTGCTGAAGCCTTTGACCAACTCTCATACTCGAGGGCTATGATACCGACAGTGACACCACTACCAGGACACAGGGGGTCGATCTCTCCTTCAACAAGCCACTCTGTCCTCAACATATTCAATACTCTACAGCCGTCGCATGGATCCAATCTTGAGAGGGCACAGTCTATCCGGGTGGGTGTCGAGCGGGATCTACTCAACCACTCTCCTCAAAGGATCAATACCATTACCGTCTCTGTCTCACGGCTTCCTGCGATCATGTCCCTGCCCCAACGCCAGCCCGCTCCTTCGCCTCCTTCTCCACGACGAGGATCTTCAACGCAGTTGACAACAGCAGCAACGGGAGGGCTTCATTCGACTGCTGTCTCTTCTCTCACCTCCCTCTTCTCCTTCCTCTCTTCATCACCCTTCTCGACCTCACCACTTTCAAACATTCTCACTGCAACATCATCCTCCTCCTCACTATCTTCACTGCAGTCAACACAATCATCACGCTCTACAACCTCGTCGTCGTCGTCGGCATCTTCAATACACGCAGACTCATGGACGAGCACGAACCGGTTCAGTCGACTTCGACACCTTACACGGATCGAGTTCCACGATATCCATCACAAGTTCGACGAAGAGGCCGTGGTCGATTTTTTGACCTCTCACAGCCAAACATATGACACGATCCGCGAGGTCAAGATTGGTGGACCCAACGATATTGGCAAGTCGACCGCCCCACGAGTCGTCAGGATTCTGTCGTGTCTGAAAAAGGTCAAAGTGCTGGATATGATAGAGTGGAGGGAGGCCGTCAAGTACCTTGACATGATCCCCACGCAGCACTTGGAGACGCTCTTGCTAGGCAACGTCAGGATGACCAACAACCCGACTGAGATATCGGAGATGGAACAACAACAACAGCAACAGCAGCAGCAACAACAACAGAGCGAGGCGGTGGACGATGAGCAACAGCACAAGGAGGATCCACAGATATTGGCACTACAGCAGTGTCGACGACTTCGAGAGCTACGGATGCCAGTGTTGGTCGACGGTCTCTTTGAGTGGGCAGTCCAAGAACGTCAGATCAGACTCGGTTCCTTCTCGCGGCCTTCTCTGTCTTGGGCTTCTTCCTCTGGACTGCCCTGTTGGGTTGACGGTCCATCCCCAGTGCAGCTCGAGAATGTTCATTTGTCCGGGTCAAGCACCGGCCCGTTGATCTCGACGCTTCTGCATGTGGTTGATGCCTTCCGAGATTCGCTTCAGGTCCTCCAGAGCAACTCCTGGATCGACTCGACAGAGACGGGGTCGTGCAGTCAGAGTCTAGCCTGGACGTGGTGTTTACCGAACCTGCAAGTACTTGACCTGCAGGGGGAGATTGCCTATCGGTTCAAGATCCAGTCGTTAGAGTCGTGTCCGCAGCTCCGTGTCTTGCGATTGACGCTGCTCCATTCTTTCCTGCCTTCGTCGTCGTCTATGACTGGCAGTGGTCCCGCTGGTTTGACGGCGTTGACAACAGAGCCTGAGGTGTCAGCAGGACAACTTTCGTCGCCAAGTGGTCCCTCAAGTCTGCCCTCGAGTCGCCTTTGCACCTGTCATCGTCGAGACCTACGCCAACGACAGCCACGAGAGCAGCGACATATTTCGTTGGCTGATGTTCTTGGCGATGATGACTCTGACGACTCCGACTGCACCTGTCATACCCCCGACAACAGTATTAGCACTAACTGCAGTCCCTCTCCATCCTATATCGGCCAAGATCGTCTCCGACGCCGTCATGAGCTTTTCCCTCGACTGGAGGAGCTGAAGCTGGTCGGGGATTGGGGTCTGACGAACGAGTCGCTTTTGGGGATCGCCAAGAAGATGCCACGCCTTGAGCGGCTGTCGCTGCTGCGGTGTGAGGGCGACAAATTGACAGCCCTTGGGCTCATTCGAGCCATGCCAAGTCTTCGAGGCGACGCCATCAATGGTGACAACGTTGGTGGTGGTGGTGGTGGATATGAGAGCTGCCGAGTGCGTTGGATGGAGGTTTGCAAGTCTTGGCAGTGCGAGATTGGGGCTGCAATCGAGTATGACGATGGCTGCTCTGAGGGTGAGAGCGATAGTGATAGGCGTAGGAAGAGTGAGATGTATATGGCTTTTGCGGCTGCAGTCAAGGGAGGGGCTTGTCCACTTCATATCGAGTATCAATACTAGCAGGCGTTTAAGGAAGGAGATTAAATCTGCCGTTATTGTTATGAAACATTGGCTGTTTGCTGTTGTTGTTGTTGTTGGGGGGGGTTTTTTTTGCAACGCCCCTAACGAGATGATGAAAAAGTCGACGCCCTATTTGCCTGACATGACGGAATAACAACAATGGATGCTATTTGTGCAAAATTGCCTCAGAGGGGGGGGAGAACAGAAAAGATGTTCCTTGCTTTAACAGTTGAGTAAGGCATGCCAACAGCCCTCGTGATATTTATTTCCTTGTCTGGAGGATTTGTCACTCGTAGATGTATGTCGAGCAAAAAAAAACGCTGCTTTGTGTGCTACGCAGAAGAGCCAAGAAACAAACGGAAAAGAAAGGCGAGAGAGAGAGAGAGAGAGAGAGAGAGAGAGAGAGAGAGAGAGAGAAAGTGTGTGTGTGTGTGTGTGCTGTTGGCATGTGCTGGAGAAGACAAAGTGCAGTACCAGTAAAGAGCAGGTGCACAAGTTGCTTTTCTACCATTCTTCTGTTCTGTGATTGTGTTTTCGAAAAAGAAATCCGGCTCGTGTGAAAAATGACCAAAAGAGAAATAGTGTGCTATTCAATCAGTTGGGCGCATTCAATTGGCCAATCTAAAGCCAAATAAACTAACCAGAGACATCACAAATGAACATATATTTCACACTCACACATTTTTTCGCTTTTCTAGAAACAAAAGAAAAAAGGCATACTCTGACGAGCAAATGGATGCTGTTGTTCAAGCAAACCGCTTTTTTAAAACCTTTCTTTTTGGCAAGATCATGGCTTTCCTCCTCTAGTGAGTCAGCCAAACCGAAACCTTTTTTTTTTTTTTTTTTTTTTCGTTTATTTCTCTAACAAACAGCATAGAGAAGTTATTTGGAAGTAAAAGGGGACTACAGACCAAACTCTTCAGTGCACCATCCACCAGTCGCAGTCCGGCCCAGAACCTGGCTCTGCGCAACAATTGTCGCTGCTCTTCACAGCTTAAACGGAAGAAAATAAAACTAGATACGAATGAAGGCGATTCTTCCCATCCTCTCCATCATTAACAACCTCCTCCTTCCTAACAAACTCTCCAACAACCGGCCAAACCGAAACCAAAACGACAAAGAAAAAAATAATAATAATAGGTGGTCTGGCTGTGGGCTGGAGCGCCAATTAATCAAGTCTGGACCATAGGTCGTTTAATTGGTCCCTGCTCCACAGAGGGGATTTTTTTTTTCTTTTCTTCCTTCTCCTTCCTGCTGCTCTCACCCTTGGATCTGTTTGGCTGAGAGGCTCGACTTGGCGCACACTGGCTGTTCTTTTCTTTCTAATTTGCTGTTGTGTGCTTGAGTGATGATGGATGTGGTGTGGTTCACACACGCACTTCATACAGAGAGAACACACCTCTTCACCCATTTTTCTTCTTTTTTTGCTCGCCTGGTATTATCCCTGGACAGACACACAAACAAATAGATAGAATAGGGGAGACAGCGCGACATACATCGTTCGATCGTCTCCTTCTCCTTGCCAAAGTGTCAGCTTTTTTTTTCTTTCTTGTAACCCCCTCCTCCCCCTTTGTCTCCTTGCCCTGCAACACCCTTATTTTTCTTCAAGCCAGGTCGTTTACCTCCTCTTTTCCTGGCACTTGCGCAAACTTGAGATTATCTTGCCCTGGGATCCCTTTCTTCTTTTGCAGCCCCTCCATTCCTTGTGCCCTTGCCCTGTCTTGTCTTGCGAAGGGTTTTTTTTGTTCTGGTCAATCACGCTACATTGCTGCACTCCAGGGAGTACCCTTACGAGTGGTACTCGTTGACTTGCATGTCTCTTGTTCTTTCAACCTTGGTCCTTCCTCCTCCTGGAAGAGCTCTCTCTCTCTCCTTCGCTTTTCTTGTTTCTTCTCTCCAGAGATGTTTCTTCTCTCCATACTTGTTTCTTTCCAGTCGTATACCTTCTCTTTCCGCTTTTCTGTGCGCCATTCGCAGCTAACAACAGCAGTGACAAAAAGGAGGAAACCCCAGCGGTGTAGCGCTGCTCTCGGCCGTTTCTGTTCTTCTCGTTTACTCGTCCAATCAATTGAAATGAATAAAAGAAATGCCTAGCCCCTGTGCTCTTCCTTTATTAGTGTTTGCCCCATCCTCACTCACTCGTCGACCTTTTCTTTTCCTTTCCCTTCACCTTCTCTTCCTTCTTTCTTTTCTTCTTCTTCTTCTTGCTCTCTCACTTCTTTCCTTCTTTCCCTCTTTCCCTCTTACCCTCTTTCCCTGGTTCCCACTTCTCCATCGACTCTCCCTCATCTCATCTCTTCTTCATCCCTTTCCCCTTCTTCCTCATTCGCCATCATCTCCCTCTCTCCTTGCTCTAGCTCTGTCTATTTATTCTCCACTTTGAAACCACCTTAATCCTCGATAGGCTATTTTAATTAGACACTCTCACTCATATATCCGATATCCGACACCAAACGTTGAACTCGCTCTCTTTCTCTCTCTCTTTCTTTCTCTCTTCCTCGCACTCTTCTGCCTCCACCACTCAACATTTATACATTTACCCCTGTGGACATTAATTCGCTCCCCCTCCCCTTTTCATTTATTCTTTACGACCAGCACACTACCCCCAACTCTCACAACTTACTCACACCACCCCTGAACCAAACTACCAACCAACCAGCAAGGACAACACACGACTAGATAGTCATTCATTTATCTTGTTCATTTCAATATCTTTCAAGTCTAAAAACCATGGAACCGCACCATATTCAAATCGAACACCTTCATGACGACCCCACCCATTCGCCCTGCGGGTCCTACAGCTCCAGCGAGACCCTCGAAGACGAGCTCGACCAGGACCGCTTCAACCGCCTGAGCAACACCAGCACCTCGACCCTCGTCGGCGCAAACGGAACCAGCGGCAATAACTCGCGGTCATCCTCCCCCTTTGACCAAGAGGTCAAAATCAACCCTACTTCTCGGTCCTCTTCTCCCGCTTCCTCAGCTTCTCACAAACGGGGGCTCTGGTACCGCTTCACACACTCCGAGGTCGGTCGAGTCTTCTCGGCTTTTTGCTACTTCACTTTTGTCTGTATCGGCATGGCCTTCTGTAACCAACTCTCGGACCACCGCTGGGTCGAGACTGGATACACCCAGGTCCTGTTGCGCGACCGAGGCTTTGATGTGATTGCCCCGCAATCCGATATCGGGCCCGCCAATTTTTTTGTCATGACCTCGGTGGTGTTGACGGTCCTCGGCATTGGCTTCATCTGCCCCAACTGGACCATGCGAGCTGTAGTGCTTCGTCGCTGTCTCTGGGTGATTGGATCCCTCTCAGTCTACAGGGCCTTGACCATCTCTGTCACTACTTTGCCTTCGCCCAAGGAGGAGTGCCGGCCGAGCCTCAAGTATGGTTTCTGGGACATGCTGGTCATTGCCATCCAGATGATCCCTGGAAATGTCGAGGCTTGCACCGACGATATCTTTTCTGGACACACCGTCTTTATGTAAGTCTTAATTGTGTTAACAGCCGCGCTCACATATCTATCTATGGCTATCCAGGAAGAGAAGAGTAGAAAAGGAGGAGGAGAGGCGGGAGGCAGATGTTTCCAACGGGGAGGGGGAAAGGAGGAATAAGTAGGGAGGCGAGATTGACTTAATTGAGGTACATTGTTGGAATTGCAAAGGAAGGGGGTCTATAAGATGAAATATGCGTGAGATTGTTTTAGAGAAGCCAGAGACACAGGGGTCTTTTTCCCATGGAGAGGATCAAAAGCAAGGAGGTAACTGTGTTGTAAGAGAGAGAGACATGAATGTGTGGGAGATGGATGTGGGCGCCCTTCAAAATGAGAAGCATCGTTCTAGGCGCCCAACCTACAGCCTTGATCCATTTATGCTGTATTTCAAGAGCCGACATTCTCGCCCTCTCTCATGTTTCTTTCTCCAACGTGGCCCTGCCTGGGTTCAATTACCTCCTCTCTTGTTGTTCACACTTCACCCCTATCCGCATTCACAAGAAATGGGACACAGTGGCGATAGGCAGACAAGGCTTTTTGCAGTGGCCCTTTGCATTCCTGCCAGCTGTTTGTTGTTGACGCACTCCACGTAGACACACATACAAGACGCAGGGGGGCCAAGCAGAGGATGCAAAGAAAAAGAGGGGTATAAACGAAGTGAGATAGGGGTGGTGTTTTCGTTCACCTGAACGTTCTCTTTGTTGTTGCTGTACACCACCTTCTGTTTTTCGACAGTTTGTCCCTGTGGACAGGGAGTAGGTTAAAAGGGATAAGAGTACGCTACAACGACAACTTCTGCTTAGTGCGCAACTTTCTCTGTTTTCATCAACGTTGTTCCTCTTTGACATGCACCACATACCATACACACCCCTAACCTGTTGCTCCTGGCGGGGAGTCCAAGCAAGAGTGAGTGTGATTCGTTCAAATGGAGGGTGTCGAGACGGGCGCGTGGGTTGCACAGACTTGGCAGACGATATATGGAAGAGGAGAGAGGGGTGGGTATGTGTCTATGGACCAGTTGAATCGAACAGCGTCCTTCTGAAGTGGTTACAAGCCCGCCCTCTTCTGTCGACATATCTACATCGTGTGGATGTCTGTAGATTTGGAGCAACAACAGCAACAACCAACAACAACGCCCACAAGTGCTCACCCGATGCATTATTTGTTTATCTTTGCTCTCGCTCTCATTTTACACACGTATTTTACTCACTCTCATCCATTATATCTCACTTTCCGATCGGCTCAATTATAGGGTATCTTGCGCCATGCAGTGGCGTCTGTACTGTAAGAACAAGTGGGTCACCTACTTTTCATACCTCTACATCAGCGTCGGTCTCTATTTTGTCGTCGCGACCCGTCTCCACTATACAGTCGATGTCGTCCTCGCCATCTTCCTCACCTATGGCTTCTGGTCCGTCTACATCGCCATGATCGACGTCGTCATGGAGCAGGAATACTTTGGCATCCAGTCCCACAACGAGAAATACAGCGCCTATGACTCGACTTCGACCGACTTTGAATTCCCATCCTACGACAATGACGATCTTTCCACTCGCCACCAGTCCGACTTCCACATCCGTCGCCGTCGCCTCGCACACCAGATGAACCGGATTCGTGGACCTGGTATCGGATATGGACGTGGAGAGTACGACCGTGTTGCTTTTGTTCCCATGCAGCTCAACGTCTGGTTGATCAACATTGTGCGCTGGTGCGACGGACTGGACCTTCGTATGCGTCAGGATATGCCCACGGCTTCAAAGAGCTCGACTCGATGGGAGGATTTGGTGGTTCGCTACCGGTTTGGACGTTCGACCCCTGCTTTGGATTCGACTGCTGTGACTCCTTGCTCATCTGCCAACTGCTGCCATCGCAAGTCTGAGGCTGACATCTATGACCGACAGAACGAGAATGGAAGCGAGATGGTTCAGCTGTACCACCCCAACGACGTCAACGCACCCCTCACTGGCGACTTGGATGATGTTTGCAACTGTGCCGATGATGATTACAACAACAACGACAGCAATCAGCAGCAGCAGTTTGGACGCTGGCGTTCGCTCCCCCTGCGCTCTGACACGTCTCGTCAGCGCTCTTCGAACTACAAAGAAGACAAGTACGAATGCAAGGACCGCGACAGGTAAAAACAACATACGCGTTCATAGGCGAACGACTTCTTTTTTTTCAGCGTCCACTGCCATCATCTTGGACTTTAATGGCTAACCTCAACTCTATCTTTTTTTCTTTACTCGAACCCACAGGAAATTGCACATTGTCAAGGTCGCTTTGATTGTCTTTGTCAACACAATCTTGCTGGTCAAGATTGTAGAGGCTTATCAGGGCAGGTCAATTCCACCTCCTCCACCCGCTCATCAGGACATCAATGCCGTCAACAACTCCTTCCAACCCGACACTCCTACTGTTGCCTACCACCCACCTCAAGCCCAGGACATGGATGCCACTGCCACAACCGCCGACTCGATGTATAAAGCCATTGCCAGCGATGAAGTCAACAGCAGCGACAGATTTTATAACCCACAAACCATCCGCCGGCGTCAGAACCGCCATACCGAGCCTGAGGGAGCCATTTAAACTAGCACAGGACATACACACACACACACACACACACACCCCTTTCCCGCCACATTTACATTTTCTGCACTTCTTTTTGCTCCTGTACATATACCCTCCAGAGACTTTACCTTCCAACTAAGCAAAGCAACAAAAAACAAGCAAACGACATTTCTTCACCTTTGTCTTTCCTCTTTCCTTTTTTCTTTCCCCCCACCCTCCCCCCCCCAGCTTATTCGCTCCATCTACTTCATTTGATCCATAACATAACGCAGGGCTCCTTCTCCATGTACTTCTAAAACCTTCCTCTCCCTCCACATCATTTAATTAATTAACATAAAACCCATGAACCCAAGAGCCATGAAACCCCCCATGCTATGAGCCATGGTATTGAATATTTTATATGGGTTTATGAATGATGCAAAATTAGCTTTTCTTTTTTACTTGCGTTCTTTAAGCCGCAAAGAAACCAGCATCCAAAAAGTAGCAACAAACAACAAAATGAATCCGACCAACACAATTACATTCCTCCAATAGCTCCCCAAGTCAAACCCAAACAGCTTTTGAAGAATCAACGATCCAGGGACAGTAAAGGCAACACCTTGGATGTTATCAATCAACTTTGTAGTCGCGACCTCGTTGACGGCCAGGGCTTCAAAGCCATACTTGAACATGGAGAGGTATTGGATCCAGGTGAGGGCTTTGGGGATTTGTTGGGAGTTGATGAGGAAGCCGCCAAAGAGCATCATGAAGAGCATGACGATGGAGGACGCGAGGGATGCGACGCCCGTGGTGCGGACTCCTGCGGCGATGACGAGACAGAACATTGCCGTGGAGACGTTGAAGAGGACCATGACAAGGAGGAACTTGAAGAATGTTTGGGCGTCCGCCGTTAGACCGATCATAAAGTAGGAGACAGACCCCATCAAGATGGCGGGGATGATACGGAGAGGGATGAGATCGAACAGGAGCGTCGAGATGATGAAGGGCATGGGCGGGTAGTATCCGTTGGAACGCTCCTTGACAAAGAGGGTGCGGGTATCGGTGAAGGCTCCTAGGGCAGAGATGCTGCTGAAGCCGAGGAGGGCGAGCATGAAGAATATGGATCCAGCACGGTTCTGGAATCCGGCCAGGCTCATGGCCACGTCAAAGTAGAGACCTCCGACAAAGATCCCCAGAACCAGAGATACTGCCAGATGGAGGACCAGTAGGGACCGGTTACGGATTAGGGTTTGGAAGCTGCGTTTCATGATCACTTGGAGTTGGGTCAGGAAGCTAGTCGGGTAGATGGTGTTCTGTTTCCTTAGCTGGGCCGTGCTGTCGTCAGAGAAGGACGCTGTTGAAGTGCTGCTGGCCGGTCTTGTCTCCTCCACACGGACCATGGTCTCAAGTTGTTGATCCTCGGTGTGGTCCTGAGTAGTGGCAGCGGCGTTGTTACGCCGCGACACCGTGTTCCCGTTTTCATGCAGCTGATGTGACGACGAAACGCCCAGCTTCTCGACACCCGACTCCTCAAACTCCATCGCCTGCTTCAGCAACTTCTCGTCCATCGCAATATCCAATAGGTAATCTGCAATATTGTAAGTCGAAGGGCATGCCAGACCTCGGCGACGGAAGTAATCGGCAGCAGAATCCGTTGGTCCAAAGTACAGGCAGGCTCCCTTGCTGACCACCAGAGCCTGGTCAAACATGTAGAAAATATCCGAGCGGGGCTGGTGAATGGTCATGATAACAGTGGTGGTCTTGCTGGCAGCCAGTTTGCAGAGCTGCTGGACAACCATGTGGGCGCTGTAAGAGTCGAGTCCAGAGGTGGGTTCGTCCAGGATCAGGATTGGAGGACGGGTAATCAACTCCAGGGCAATCGAGACACGGCGCTTCTCTCCTCCAGAGATCCCACGGGACGTAACATCCCCAATGATACTGTCCTTGCAATGCGTCAACCCCAACATCTCAATGACTTCAGAAACGCGTTCTTGGATACGGTGGATGGGCATGGCCTCGGGAAGACGGAGCATGGCAGAGAAGAGAACGGCTTCCCAGACAGTCTGGGAGGCGGGCAGGATATCTTCCTGGTCAACAAATCCAACAGCATGACGGATCTCGCACTCGCGCACCTGCTTGCCGTTCAACAGAATATGGCCAGAAACTTTGCCGTCCTTGCGCTTGCCGGCCAAAATATCCACCAGAGTCGATTTACCAGCTCCTGAGGGACCCATGACAGCCAAGACAACACCAGCGGGAGCCGATCCTGAAATGCCCTTGAGAATCTCGAGTCCATCTTTGTTGAGGGTATAGCCGACATTGCGGAACTCGAGTGAGGCAGCCTCATTGTCGAGAGTGTAAGGAGTACGGCTGAGAACAATCTGGTCTCTCTTGGCGATCGAGCAGACAACGATAAGGAAGAGGATCAAGGCACCCAGAATAGCCAGGCCTACAATCACGCCAGTAGCCATAGTTGGCTGCAAGGCTGTGAGGGATGAGACCATCTCGGATGGGAAGACACATTCTCCCATGTTGCAGTCGTTCAACGGCAATCCCTTCGGGAAGAATCCAGCCAATCCAGAAAAGAAGGCATTACAATTCGTGCTGTTGTGAGGGCAGGTCAGACTAAAGGGTCCCATGAGTGGCTCTAGAATCCCTTTGAAGGGGATCATAGGCGGGTTGGGACCACCCCCGCACATTGTTGAAGGTATAATGCATTTGCACTGGAGGTCGGGGCAGCTCCACTTTGTCTGGACCTTGCCCTCGAGGTCTGTGGTGGCGAGGGAACAATTGCCAAACTCGCAATAAAACTGTTGGGTGTTGTTGATCCACAGCTGGGCATGGATGGTCTTGTTGACCACATTCATATCGAACGTGAGAGCATTTTCTCCGGGGAAGAGCGAAGTCAGCTCTTCGGAGGCGACACCGCAGGTCATGTAGCTGTTGTAAAAGACCTCGGGCTGCTTGTTGCAGACCATCTTTTCGTCGCCCAATAGCGACGTGCGTGAAGGTGTCCTTGACTGGCATCCCTCATCAGTTTGGCACACTGTAGTTGAATAAGAGAGTCCGAATATGCAAATGTTCTCGTTAGTTTCTGCTTCGCCTCGTTTTTCGAGTATGATTTTGTGCGACATTTGAGATAACCCCTTCATTTTTTTTTACCATTGCAGTTGAATGCTCCGAATCCAGGGTCGCAGGCTGGACAGGCAGAACCGGCAGCAACCGTAGTACGCTGAGAGGGTTCCTGAAGTGAAGAGCCGCAGGCAAGGAGACCACAGTCGTTGCCTCCGAATCCAGGGTCGCACTTGCAAACATTGCTATTACAGACGCCGTTGTTTAAACAGCCCTAGAACATCAAAGAGAGTACAAGCGTCACCCAAAAAAGTACGGTTAGCAATTTAGTGACAAAACACACGGAATGCGCAGAAGTATTTGCAGTTATGGCTTTTTTTCGTTTGCCAAGGGTTTACCTTGGGTGATGTCGAGCAGTCAAAGGCGGGCTGACATGTTGCTGGAGGGGTGGCTACAGGTGTTGCTGGAGGGGTGGCTACAGGTGTGGCTGTCGGGGTGGCTGTCACTGTGATTGTAGTCGTGGTCGCGGCGTTCGCAATGCCAGTAGTGGTAGTGGTGGACAAGGACTGAGGAGAGACAAAACCAACGATTGTTGCGAGGACGAAGAAGGGTGTAAGGCGTGCCAGGGGTTTAAGTCGCGGTGAGTTGAGGCGCATTTTGTTGGGAGATATGCGAATGGATATTGGCGCCGGGAAAAAGATAGTATTATGATTCGTGAAACGACCACGACTAGGTTTGACTAACGAAGGCGGAGTAAGAAATGTAAAAATTAAGGTGGGACAATGGCAATGGTCGTAATGAAATGGCGAAGAGAAGGTGAATGAGAAGAGTGAATGGAAGGAAAGGAGAAGGAATGAGTTGAAGAAGGCAAAAGGGAAAGAACAAAAGGGCAAAGAGTCTAGAACAACGGTGCAGAAAGAATGTCAAAGAGAAAGCGGGGCCAGGCCTTACTATATTCGAAAGGAAAAAATAAAATAGAATAAAAAGAGGCCGATCCAACCTGGATAGCAGAGCTTAACAATGTTGCAACAGTCATTGTCTGTTCCTAAAGATGTGGCTCGACACCACCGTCAACTTGGTCTCCGATCAGAAAGGGAGTACAGAAAGAAAGAAAGAAAATAAGGTGTCCAGCCCAGCAGCAAGCCCTGTCATTACCGCTACTCCTTCTCCTCCACCTTTACTCCGTGCGTTTTTTTCTTTTTTCTTTTTTCTTTCCTTCTCCTTCTCCTTCTCCTTACCTACACACCTAACACCTTACCTCCCTCTCCTATTTCTTTCCTCATCCTACCCCCTCTCCTCTTTGCATTGTCTTGCCGATCTCATCCCCTTCTTTCACTTTGGTTTTCATCTGCAAAGAAACGATATCCTTCGAGTATCCATTGGTCGTTATACTCTAAACCGCGAACGTACCTCTACAAAGTCTAAACGCGTCGGCTTCCCTGCATCTGTGGTCTCGGGTGAATTCGATCTCCATTGAAGCACCACCACTTTTCTCCTTTCTCTTTTTCTCTTTCTCTTTTTTCTTTGGACTCTCTCAACCAACCTTACTCCCCCCATTCACACTTAGCAAAGACCTTCCTTCTGTCGGATAATTCGTCAGTAACGACAACAACTAGCATCGTCAGTACATTGGGAGAGGACGATAGTGCAATGTGGATGGTAGAGTTAGGCCACAAGGCACTAAAGTCTGTATTCGGTCGCTAGCGGTAAGCGGCTATGGAAATCTACACAACCAAAGTCTCAACCTTATTAGTCAACTGTTGTATCGAATCGATGGGAGGAGCCACAACAGGCCGACTTGCCAAGATCCTCTGACGCAAAGTCGGATCGAGCTCCAGTCCCAGTTTGGATAGTCCGCCCGAGACTTGAAGTAGGTGATCTAGGCACCGAAGTAGCTTTGTCTCGAGTTGACCTCGGTACTGGAACTCGCCAAACTCGTGCTGGCCTTGCTCATTGTCCAGGTTCTGTACTGCATTCATCAGGACTTGAACAATGTTGCGGAAAAGTGCCTGGTCGCCAAACTTGGCTCGCGTCTTGGGGACTGTAAGAGCAGCGCATGCATTGATCCGGACCTTGAAGTTCTTGCTCTGTTGGATGGCTTGTAGAAGCGCACAGTAGACGTCCTTTGTCCAAGAGACCATGTCTGAATCCAGCGCATAGCTCGTCCCGGCAGTCGATCCAATGGGAAAGTCAGGATTCAACAAAGCATTTTGCATAGCATAACAAGCATTCCAACGACCCTATTGAGAATAGTAAACAAATGCGTGCGTGAGTAAAAGACGTAATAACGACTCCGATGCTGACAACACTATACTTCAAACGCGCATGATCCAACTGCCGCTTACCTTCAACGAACCCTGCTCCATATGCTTTATCAGCGCGTAAACGGCCTCCTTCACCAAACTATGCCTCTCGCGCTCAAGAATGCCCTCGAAAGTCACTCGGAGAAGTCCTCCAACTGCACGAATACCATTCGACTTGAGCTTCTCGTTGTCCTGACAAACAGCCAAGGCAGTTCTCATGATTTTGGTCCAGAGCGAGAGTGTCAGAGCCTCCTCCAGAACAGCATCCTGTCCGTTTGACTTTAGAAGCACTAGTGAGTCACTGAGGTTACCTACTGCCCAGCTTGCTCGGACCCTCACATTGAGATTAGGATCCCCACACAAGTCAAGTACTGTGTTTGCCATATCGACGATCAGAGTACAGTCTTCTCGGAGAGATGGGAACAAAATGAACACACCGATCGCACGACACGCCGCTGCTCTGGCAGTTGCGTTCTCATCCATGGCCGTCCCGAGAATCAACGACATAATAAGGACTTCGAGCCGATTCTATGATATAGATAAAGGTGAAGTGATATCGTTAGGAGACACTATAGTTTTGTTTGAATACGCGGCTGCAACATTATGTTTGGCACTTACAGGCAGGCCGTTGAATGCATCGGCCGAGATATGAGAGATGCAGTCGCACCCTAAAGCCTTGAATGATGGACTATCCTCTGAGAACAAGTTGAGGATGTGCCGCTCCAAGGTATCTTTCCACCAATCGGATGTCTATCGATTATATATTAGATCCACGATAAGTATAGCTGCACATGGATAAGCACGATATATCCGTGGAGACAGAGACGCACGAAAACATACCGAAGGAGAGGAAGCACCGGACCCTGACTTGGCAAACTCTCCTAGAAACAGCAATCCAGCGGTTCGAACGCGAGAGTCGTCGGCATCCTGTTCAATTGCCAGCGCCGTATCAAATCTCGGCCATGAAGACTGGATCACCACAAAGTGATGTCGCGCGATAGCACTCAAAGTGTTCCATGCTTCCACACGGACAGGTATAGGGATGTCTACGCCGTAGATCAGGTCCATAAGTTGCGACAAAAGATTGGGCGCAGTAGTCTCATTTTGAGATGGTAAAAGAATCGTCTCCCGTAAGTCGGTCTGAGCAATAGTATTGCTCAGGAGCGCCGTCATAAACAAGAGTGTCGCTGCTTGAAGCCCTGGTTCTACATCAGGCAAAAAGGTGTGTTCACAGCCTGTCAGCCCTCATCCTTCAACTTGTGAATATCATACCCAGCGAACTCGGTTAAAGAGTATACGTACCGTCAGAGTCCAAGAATCGCCTGATAGAGCTGAATATCGTAAGGGCTAGTCCGCGTCTCATCTTCTCGTATGTGCAGTTCGCGACAACCGAGGTGGCACACTTGATCATCTGGATAACGACTGTTGGCTCTATGGTGCTGTCGACGTTGTTCATGGCGGCCGCGACTCCAACGTGCAACTCCCTTGTCATTAATCCGACCTTCTCCGACAGCGTTAGGATACCGGCATGCGACTTCATTCCTGACAGTTGCGACTTCTCCTCAGCCATGGCCAAATATTGCTTCGAGCTCTCCAGGATGTTGCCAAGAACGATGCACGCTGCTGTGCGCACAGTGGGTATAGGGTCCGACCCCATCAAACTCAACAATGAAGGCGTCTTGTATGTTGCGAGGGCAGTAGGTGAAGATGCAGAGGTTGTCAAGAACTTTGGCCAGTGCGGTTGCAGTTGCTTTGGAACAGCCCTTGCTATAGCCTGCAGGCAGAGCAAGGCGTTCAGGCGGACCTTGCCATCATGTTGCATCCTCTGCGCCTGGTGGACTCCCGACTCTGAGTCCGAGTATTCCGAGTCCGAAGATTGTATACTGCGACGAATTGACAGTGATGGATCGCCATAGATATCTGAAACATGTGGCAGGCCGCTCAAAGGTCCTGTAGAGGTTGAGGTTGCAATGGAGCTTGTTGGAGTGGCGTAAGAGGAGCGCTTGATGACTCCAATGCTGAATGCACTTGACGAGGGTGTTGCTGCAAGGTGTCCAGTTGTGTCGGATGTGAAGAACATGAATCGACAAATGACATCTACGAGTGGCGGCATAGAACGCGTCGAAAGTGCCTTGTCTTCCTGCAGCAAAAAATGGAGCGCTCGAAGCGCGGAGCTAATAAGCTGTGAACGAGACTGGTGTCAGTTCACTATTCTAACGGACCCAATTCTGGAGGGTATGGGATGAAAGCCTATGTGCTTATTCGCTGGTGAGTTACCTTGCGTTCTGAAGCGCGATCTTTCCGTCGTACGGTGCTCGAGAGGCTGACCATCGTGCCCACTTCATAATATGATGTAGTCGTCAGGTTCGATAGTAGGAGATCGTAGATCCGGTTGTGGTAAGTCGAATATAACGATCCTGTCTTGTGCACCAAGTTTGCTAGACAGTTCAGTGCCATACGCCGCAGTTCAGACTGCTCCTGTCCCCTCGGACTTGAACATGCTCCGAGTAGGATGTCAATAAGGTCTGGGAATGCCTATGACGCCAAAGCAATTATTATTAGTATCGCCGCAGTACGCTATTAATGATCTTGCATAGCAGCGCATAGTTGAGTCACGATGTGGACACTTACATCATTGACCATCGCACCATTCTCGAACAATACCGCACTCAATGCTCGGAGGATGTCCACTTGGCTGCGTTGAATAGTCTCCGCTTGAGTACTGGTAGTATTAGGGATACCAAGATTCGAATTGGGGGTAGCCTTGGGTTGCGGATCAAATGACTTGAATGCCTTCGTGAAGTAAACGCATATCGCTTCGACCAAGCTGAAGTTTGATGAACTAGCAGGAGGCAACTGCCACGTGAGGGTTGGTTAATACCTTTCCCCGTGCATTTCTGTATCAAATGTTTATGTGGTCTAATGTGAGACTCACCTTGACCAGTTCATTGTTGAAGAGTGCGAAGACAACTTTGGACATCAATTCGACATCTTCCTGTGTACTACTTGACATTCCTATGCAGGCAAGGGCCAGCTTCTCCTGGGCAGACTGTACAAATAAAGATCAATTGGAGAACGATGGATTGATGGAGGTATATTGTATTTTGCCACGTAAACAAGTCGCCTCCTTATACCTTGGAGAACTCTTGCGAGACTGCAGCATCCTTTGCAAGGTCAGCACGCCCTCCTTTTGCTCGGTCGAGAAGCTTGACAAGGTCCTCTCGAAGCTCCTGCCTGCCCTGCGACAATAAGCAGTCACCAAGTACTGGAGGGACAGACTCCTTCTGCCTTGGGCCTGGCGCCCGCGCAGAATTATCTTCGCCGTCTGTCCTCCGTGGTTGTCCCGATCCTCTGTGGTGTCTGTAGTGGCGTTGTCGCGAAGCATTAGCCATGGTTTGCGAATGACAAGTGACGGAAGAGGTGACAGGGGTGTGAACAAAAAGAACAAAAAACGAAAAGAGCATTGACTGAAGGGAGTCGAACACAAAATGATTCCACCGGCATCAGACCCAGTTTTTTGCACCCACAAGCCACTCTAGTCACTTTTTTTGCACCATGCGGACCCTGGGAGAAGAAGGACGACCTCTTGCCCTCCAATGTACTCGCCCAGCCGCCCAACCTCGACCAGCCCAAGCACGCCCTCCTCAGGGAGATCCCACACAGGAACCGCCGCCGCCTCTCGCCATCAAAGCTTGCTCCACTCAACTCACTCCCATCAACAGCAACAACAAAAACAACAGCAGCAACAGCAACAGCAACAACAGTTAGCCATGCCAGGAGAACTTCGCCAGGCGCACCATCTCCCCCTGGAGCAACTACAACAACCACTTCCTCCACCACCACCAGTGCCACAATTTCAAACCCTGCCCGTGCTAAACTCCATCAACCGCGTTTCAAGGACATATTACAGCAAGCATGACCAGGGAGTCGTCTACATGGCAAGGACACCTGGTGTCAGTCTCCACCGACAGACAGATATGCGGAGAGAATCTTGCGAGATCATCGCCGCCATCGGGAAGCGCATTGGATTGTAAGGCGATTTTCTCCTAATTGCTTGCTTTACTATTCGCCAGAATGAAGCACCATACTAGTATTCATGCGCTGACTCGTCTTTGCTTTCTCTGTATAGCCCTCAACACACTATCAGCACCGCTCAGCTACTACTTCATCGGTTTTTCATGTTTAACTCGGTACAGGACACAGGAAATGAGGTACAGGAACTGGGAGGAACTCAAAACGTCACTTGTCGCCTTTGCTGAGAGAATGCATGATATCGGTGTACTTGATAATAACAAGTTGAATTTCGGATCTAGGTGGTTATGGCATGCCTCTTTGTATCGTCCAAGGTCGAGGATACGATCAAGAAGCTCAAGGACATCATGATCGCCACGTATATCTTTCGACATCCTAACGCGACAGACTGGGATACTGAGAGCAAGGTAGGACAGCAGCACGTTTTGGCTACTCGATCAGGATGTAGCTACAATGCAGATATAGAACTTTGAGTTTCTAAATCCCCCATATTGACACACTTCGATTTTTTTTGCTATATTTAGGAGGGAGAGGAGCAACGGAAACGGGTCCTATTGTACGAGAAAATGGTTCTGGAGTCCATTTGCTTCGACTTCAGGATCATCCACCCCTACGACTACATCATCAAGTTTGTCAGGATCATGCAAGGTAACAGACGACTCGATTTGGATCATTTGCTACACCTACTGTAAACGGCACTGATGGCGGACTAATCGTTTCTTTTACACGAACTTCATACATTGTCAGGCTCGAAGCAACTGGCGCGTCAAGCGTGGGATATTGCTCAGGATAGGTGAGTGGCGATCATGTTGAGACCCATGTACATTGCGCCATAAGTTTCTCCTCGATGCTCCTGTGGAACACATTCGACTGACAAGGAATTATTGTCTACAGCTACAAGATAGGAGTATGTCTTGAATATCCACCCCACACGATTGCTGCAGGATCGATCTATCTCGCATCGAAGCTCCTTGGCGAGTCATTTCCAGATCTTATCAAAGGAAAGCCGTGGATGAAAGCTTTGCGGACACGGTCAATAGATGTTGAAGGTAACAAATTGCTTGAATTGTTGCTACAGATATGGAGCCCGTATGGATCGTATGTGTATGTCAATCTGATGCGTGTTCCGCTTCACATGCAAAATACATGTCCCTAGACTTTAGCCACCAGATGCTAGACCTTCTTTCAATAGGACGGTCGGATGAACAGAGACAGTTGTACGACAAGATCCACATCACACTGCATGACGCCAGACAGTTGGACATACAACATCAGCAACCACCGCTCAAAAAAGCTCGCACAGAATACTCAAGGACCATTGGAGTTCATGCTGGTACGATCTCTTTTTCTTGTCTGATAAATGCCGTCGCAGGTCGAAGAAAACTCTATTTGCCACGTTCTAATGTGCCTGATTTTTTTTCTTTCGTTCATGCGTTTTCTGTGTGTACTTTAGAATTGGAGCGGATACAAGATGGAGGTGCTTCGAATCCGACTGTCCGGTACAGTCAATCGTAGGCAACTCCTAATAAAGTTGTCATCGAAGCCATGTGAAGAGAGAGAGAAGAGAGCATGCGAAACGACGCACGGTGAATTTTGTGCCTGCTTGGGCCAGATTTTCTATTTTGCCCGCGGCGGTGAACAGGAAAATATATCTCCATTCACTTTATGTCGTACCTGTTGTTGTTGTAGCGACTGACACTCTTTTCGTTTTTGAAGTCCATTCCTTTTTGCAAGCGCGGTCGAAGAAGAAGACGAGGAGAAACCAGGGTTGGGCGATGAGTTCATAAAGGCGGTGGTCTCCTGACAGAGAAACCGTATTTGTCAAGGCACAAATCATTATCTGATGTGCTGTTGTCGCGAAAAGATGGTCCGGGAGAAGAAGGGAAAGCACGATCCTGGGGCTACGTGTGTCGGGGGGTGTCGATCCGAAGGCAGACCAGCCGAGGAGGGCTGAGTGTTATAAGGAGTATGAGTTCAGAGTGATGTTTGCAGTGTGCAATGTGCAGTGTGCAGTGTGTGCAGTGTGCAGGTGCATGGGAAGAGTGTCCACGAGTGACATCTCAGCAACGTCAAGCACCCAACGACTGCCGGTTTGTCCTCCCCCCCCTTTTGTGTCTTTTTTCCCCCATATCTCGTCCCTTTTCCCTCCCTCCTCCTCCTCCTCTTCTTCCCTCCCTTCCTTCCCCTTGACCTTTTACCTTTCACTCCTTCCTCTCCGCTAATCATCCATCCTCCCCCTCTCCCCTCGTCCACCTCATTCTTCCTTCCTTCCTTCCATCCTTCCTTCCCCTCCCTCCCTTGTCTGTGTCTTTTCTCTCAGCCAACGACACGCACAATTATATACTCACACACTCACACTCACACTCCCACACTCACCCATCATCACCCACCACCATCCATAACATCATCCCGGCTCTTCTTCTTGTCTCTCTGCATTCCAACTTCTGCACTTTGTTTCTTCTTTGTTTTTTCCTTTTCTTTGTTGTCCTCTCTCACTCCTCCAAGCATACCATACCACTACTCTTAATCCCTCGGCACACTCCCTCCTTTCCAACCATGGCCTACTACGACCCTCTCGCCTTCCAGCAGCAACAGCAACAGCAACAACTGCAGCAGCAGCAACCACAGTTTGGCTTCGGTGGCGATATGCGCTCCCCCTCTTCCCTTTGGTGAGTACTTGCGCAATATATACTGCAGTGTCATACAAAAGGCGTGCGAAACGCACAACAAAAAAAACCACCCACGTCTCTCTTGACTTACCCCTTCACCCCCTGTTATCTTAACTCTGCTGACATATGCTTTGCTTCTCCCATTGCTCGTGTTAGGATGGGCGAACTCGAGCCTTGGATGGACGAGAACTGGATTCGCGGCGCATGGTACAGCGCGGGTGAGCAGGTCTCCGTCAAGATGATTCGCGACAAATTCACAGGGTATGTTCGAATGCGAAACCACACCAGCACTCCCATCTTGCACCGCCCATCACTGCTACAACTTTAGCAAAGGCTTCTTTAACGCGGTGAGAGTAGGATGAACTCACAAGACACCTTCTCTCTCTTTCACTTTCTCTCTTCATTCTATTTGACTCTGCCTCGCCGAATATAGAGTGAGCGCTGGCTACTGCTTTGTTGAACTCTCGAGTCCTGCGGCTGCGTCCAAGGCCATCAACACCCTCAACGGGGTCTTGATTCCAGGCACCAACAAGATCTTCAAGCTCAACTGGGCGTCGGGCGGCAACGTAGCCTTGCCGTAAGTTGCCCTATATTACACCCTTGTTGTTATGAGATGTCTATGCACTCCAAAGGCACGACTATTAATTGTTGTCATCTTTCTTTGGACCGTTGTCAAATCAACCATGTAGTGGCGCAGGAGGCGCTCAGGAATACTCTGTGTTTGTTGGGGATCTCTCACCCGAAGTAACCGAATACATGCTCGTGGTATGTGTCATTGCCGCCAATTTACATGCATTGTGTGAGGAAGTCGCAACTAAGACTGAAAAAAAAAAAAAAAAGCAAACTGCGGAGTTGAAGGAGCAGCCAACAACCGAAACAGCCCTAAGATTGATTACTTATGGCGTTAACACATACGTTGATCACTCATCTAGGCCACGTTCCAAGAACGGTACATGTCCTGCAGATCGGCAAAGATCATGACTGACCCTACCACAGGGCTCTCGCGAGGTAAGAAGGACGAGGAACAAAAAAAGCGTCGGAGAGCTTCATTAAGAACTTGTTCTCGTCATTGCTCCCGCAATACTCTGTTAACATTGCTCATCTCCGCTTCAATATAGGTTACGGCTTTGTTCGATTTGGTGACGAGAGCGAGCAGTTACGCGCCCTTCACGAGATGCAAGGCGTCTACTGTGGTAGTCGCCCTATTAGAATCTCGATGGCTACCCCAAAGAACAAGGTGCCTGCAGGCGGAATGGGGGGCGCTGGCCCGGTCGGCATGGGAGGAGGCATGAACGTGGCCCCAGCTGGCTATGGATACCTGCCCCCAGCCCAACCCACAAGCCCTCAGCACACCTTGAACCAGTTCACCGACCCCAACAACACCACTGTCTTTGTCGGAGGCCTCTCGGGAGTCAACCATGAGGATGAGCTCAGAAACGTCTTTGCGGCGTTTGGAGAGATCACCTATGTCAAGATCCCCCCAGGAAAGGGCTGTGGCTTTGTCCAGTTTGTTCATCGCCAGAGCGCCGAGATGGCCATCAACCAATTGAATGGCTACCAGATCGGTATGATAAAGGGAGGGCTGGATACAGGTTGGATTCCACATGACGCTGCAAGTTGGAAGCAATAGTTTTCTGACATGTTCCCGTGTTATTTCTTCATACAATTTTTAGGCAGCTCTCGCGTTCGTCTCTCATGGGGACGCGCTCAGAATGAGCCCAAGCCTATGTCGCCCCTCAACTCTTCCATGATGGGTGCCTCGGGATTCCGGTAAGGGCATCAAACATGCAATTGTGTCGTTTGTTAGAACTTGGATACCTACTATTTCCCTTACCTCCTGAGTACATGACACTTATGAAATACTATTCAATTTTTATATAAGTCAAAACAACTTTGGCTTTGGACAAAACAGACACTCTGCACCTTATGGCTCGTATCCTGGACTCATGGCGGGATCCATGCCCGGAATGATGCAAACCCAGTCGCCAAGGGATCCCCTGGAACGGATGCCCGTTGAGCACCAAAACCGTGCTTACATGGAGCGTAAGGAGGCTGTTATGGACCAATTGGATGGTGGTGCTAGCTGGAGAGGATCCGGAGCCATCTACGCCTAAGCGAGATATCGTCATGGCGGACAAAACTCTCTTTGATTCTCAAAGCAGCGCAAGTCTCCACACTCTATGAGCAGGTCTTTTCTTCACTCTCCTTTACTGTATTTCATTTTCGTTGCATCTTTTTCTGTTTTTCTTTGTGGTTGTTCTTTTCTTTTACTTCTTTCCCTGTTTGCACCCTGTTTCTTTAGGCTGTTTTTTTTTATACTCGTTTGATTCATTACCACGACCCAAAAGCAATGTCCCATTACCCTCATTTGTCTGTCTTTCTTTCTTCATGTATTGTTCCCTCGCAGTTGAAGTTTATCTTGCTCCCTTCATTTTGTTCTCCTGCATCATCTGTCCTTTGATATTTATCTTTCTTGTTCAACTCTAATGCTCCTTCGCTTTCCTGCTCAAAGTTATGCCTGCCTCCCGTAAAAAGACTTTTAATATCGCCATTATCTTTCTGCTATTCTCGCACTCCAAACACGCATCTTGATACCTTCCGCCGTTTGTACGTTTCTTCTCTTTACTTTTCTTAACTTCTCTTTTCTTTTCTTTTCTTTCTTACCCTTGCCTTTTCTTGCTCTTCAGACGCGCATCTTACGCGCTTGTGCTCACTCAGCATAGCATGAAATAAACTCACCACGTGACTATTCCCTGTGACTACCTCCATATGAGTGGCTTGCCACACAAACAACTCTCAAAAAAAAAAAAAAACTGGACTGCCGTATTGGCGCAAAGGCAGGACAGAAAAGAAAAGAAGACCCAAGCTCCATTGTGTCGAAATCACCCATTCCATCCTTGCACACCCACACCATGTCCCCCAAGACCAAGAACATCGAGGAGGCTCAGAGGAGCGGCGACTTTGCCATCAAGCCCGAGGCTGATACCCCCACCCTCAACACCTCCGACTGGCCCTTGTTGTTGAAGGTACGCCTTGTTGTTTCTATTGCCTGTACTGTCTCTCTCTCTCTCTCTCTCTTCTCTCTTTCTGCCTGTCTGAACGTATCCCTAACCGTGTCCTTCTTCTCTCTTCCTCTTACCATATCAATATATACATCACCTCTGGATATCCGATCACTCTACTAACAACGAACTACAACCACCTTCTCCACACCAATCCAAACGACATACATATCCACAACACCACCAAACAACAACAATCCCTCGACATAACAGAACTACGACAAGCTCAACGTCCGCACTGGTCACTACACCCCCATCCCCAGCGGATGCTCGCCCTTGAGACGTGAGCTCGCCGAATACGTCAGGTAATAGTCTACCCCAGGATCCGCACGGGAACACTACAATGATAGTTACAATTGGATACGAAAAGTGTTGACTGCGATCGATTGGCGCGGTGTGTTGGACTAGTTTTGCTGATCATGGATCGTGAGAGTTTTTGCCTCTTGTTCAGGAGATCGACAGCATATACAACGACACAAATACCAACTGACACGACACAAATACCAACTGACACGACACAAATACCAACTGACAAACTGAACCACGCCAACCTAACACCCCTCCTTCACCTTTACCTTTGCCGCAAACAAAATAGATACGGTGTCATCAACTTGGACAAGCCTGCCAACCCCTCGTCCCACGAGGTCGTCGCCTGGGTCCGTCGCATTCTCCGTGTCGAGAAGACTGGTCACAGTGGAACTCTTGATCCCAAGGTCACTGGATGCTTGATTGTCTGCATTGACCGTGCCACTCGTTTGGTCAAGTCGCAGCAGGGAGCCGGTAAGGAGTACGTCTGCGTCCTCCGCCTCCACGAGGCCATCGAGTCGGAGAAGAAGCTCGCCCAGACCCTCGAGACCTTGACTGGTGCTCTCTTCCAGCGCCCTCCTCTGATTTCAGCCGTCAAGCGTCAGCTCCGTATCCGTACGATCCACGAGTCCAAGTTGCTCGAGTTTGACAACGACCGCCACTTGGCTGTCTTCTGGGTGGCCTGCGAGGCTGGTACCTATATGCGTACTATGTGCGTCCACATGGGACTGTTGCTCGGCGTTGGAGGACACATGCAAGAGCTCCGTCGTGTCCGTTCGGGACACATGGGCGAGGAAGACGATATTGTGACGATGCACGATGTTTTGGATGCTCAGTGGATGTACGACAACACCAAGGACGAGTCGTACCTCCGCAGGGTTGTCCGCCCTCTCGAGACCTTGTTGACGACCTACAAGCGTATTGTTGTCAAGGACAGCGCTGTCAACGCCATCTGCTACGGAGCCAAGCTGATGATCCCCGGTCTCCTCCGCTACGAGTCTGGCATTGAGGTCGACGAGGAGATTGTGTTGATGACCACCAAGGGAGAGGCCATTGCTCTCGGAATTGCGCAGATGACCACTGCTGTCATGGCTACCTGTGATCACGGTGTTGTTGCCAAGATCAAGCGTGTCATTATGGAGCGTGACACCTACCCCCGCCGCTGGGGATTGGGACCCAAGGCGCAGGAGAAGAAGAAGCTGATCAAGGATGGTAAGCTCGACAAGTTTGGACGCACCACTGAGGAGACCCCTGAGGGCTGGAAGAAGGACTATGTCGACTACAACCGCGAGGACGCCGCAGCACCCGTTGCTGTTGCGGCACCCGTTGTTGCTGCCACCCCCGCTCCTGCTGCTGTCAAGGAGGAGGAGAAGAAGCGCAAGGCACCCGAGTCTTCGGACGAGTCTGACTCTGGCAAGAAGAAGGAGAAGAAGGAGAAGAAGGTCAAGAAGGAGAAGAAGGAGAAGAAGGACAAGAAGGAGAAGAAGGAGAAGAAGAGCAAGAAGGCCGACTCTGATTCCGAATAAGCGTCTTGACCTTCCTCCCATATCCCTTCTACTCTTGTATTCTACCGAAATCTTTCTTTCACTCAACCATCACCCGCTTTTCATCGCTACTTTCGTTCTCTTATTTAAAGGTGTTCTGTTGCGTTTACATTTCTTTGTTGTTCTATCTTTTTTTCTCATCGCATTTGCAAATAAACCCTTTCAGTCTTGTAATCAAAAGCTTGTTGTTCGTCTCGCTGACTCTAAAGATAAATATGGCGAGGTATGACGCGTAAAATGAAAAATAATGAACTCCTCTTAGACGCGAGAAAAGAAAGCGGATGTCTGCGCTGCAAAAAAAAGGCCAAATGCTCATACATTGAAATCTCCCATTCACGCAAGCATGAAGATATTCTGACACCATGCTTTTGGAGACATGTCAGAATATCTTTTTGTATAGTCAGATTAGCTGCTGTGTTCACATACAATTCGATATGTTAAGAGCTTCCCAATAGTCGCCGATCAAAGAAGAGTACAAAATAAGGACCATTGGCTTCGACAAGACCGTCACGACCGTGTTAATACTTTTTCTCCTTCGACCGACACGACCGTCCACTTGTCCCCGGCACTCTTGCCTCTTCTGTCTCTGACTTGTCCCCTTTCCCTTATTTACACTCCCTTTATCAAGATACCGCAAATGGAACTCTTGTTCTTGGCGGCATTATATCGGCGCGTTTCCTGAGTGCCCCTTTCGTTAAAGAATTTATTACACGTTTAGATCCACCCCACCTCGTACGACCAGTTTTACCATATCAGTATTCCATGTCAGCGTAGTTACCCTGACACAAAAAAAACACCCCGACACTCAACGCCACACTAACCTATTCCTCCACCCCACGCCACGCGGGCATGCCCAGTGGGCAATGTTTAATATACGTTTCCCGCCCATTTTTGGCGCCTTACACGGTGCCTCCATAGTATTTCTCTCGTTGCCGTCGATTTAGAGCTTAGGCGTTGCCACAGGTTGATATTCATGTTGCCCTCTACTAACCGTTGCCCACCTCTCCTTCCGGGGGCCGCGGCAACACTGTCAACGCGGCTCATTTTCAGTTATTTGTTATTTTATTCCCAAATAGCCATGGGAACAAGGAGTCATGTGATACGTAAACTAACTGTCCACGTGATATATCATTTAGATTTCGCGGCTACACTGACATCAAACGCGGGGAAAGATGAGGGACAAAAAAAAAAAAAAAAACAAGAGCGATTGAAGAAAAAAGTTGCACTAAACCTAGGACAAGCAAGGTTGCGTTGCGACAAAAAAAAAAAAAAAAAAACGTTAATCAATAAGCTGTTTGTTGCATCCCGCTGGTTGGTTGGGGCCACTTGTGGAGAGAGAAGGAAACATAAAAAAAACAAGAGAGCACCCTATCTAGATACCGAGGTTTCTCCACAACACCTTGAGTGGTTGGCTAACTGGTCACCCTGACCCGATGACACCCCCCACCCACCCACCCTCCCCTCCTCCTCCCGAAACACCATCGCTCTTTCTTCGCGTGCGTTTGCATGCAGCAAGAACATTCAAGGTTCTGCCGTTTTGTCAGATTCTTAGGAGGATTGTTTTGTGTGTTATCTTGGTGTTTGGGGTGCATGATTATTCTTTTCGGCTGTTGTTTTTTCCAAGCGAATGGTTAATAAGACCTTTTGTTTGTTTTGTTCGCACTCGCGACGAATCATAGAACATGGGGACAGAGCGTGTGTATATTTTTTTATATCTTTTCTTTACTAGCATTGAGGGTGCAAAGTATTAGTCGCTACATGTACAAAATGAAAGGGTTTTTTTTGCTTTTGAAGTAAGGAAAAAAAAGGGTGGGCGCTAGATAGAAGAGATAGGGTAAGTTATGATACAGTTCTCCTTTTGTCCTCGGCCCCGATCGCTTAAAGCTCCATCTTGCCGGGGATATCCTTGTTATCGAGGGCAACAGGCTGGGCACCCTTGACCTCGTGCATGTTGGAAGGGGTGGTCTGAGAGGCAGACTCGACATACTCATCCCACTCCCTGTCCTCCTCATCCTTGCTGAGAGGCTTGATACCAAAGGAGCCAATGCGGATGAACTTGCCAAAGATACGAATACGGGTGAACTCGCCATCGGCCTTGGGCAAGAGACGGTCGCGGATGTTGGTGCGGACAAACATGATGAAGATGAAGCCGATGGATGCGACTCCGAGAATCCAGTACAAGTTCTTGGAGTAGATCCACGAATCATTGACGGTGTATCCGTTGGCGATCAAGTTGTTGTAGACGGCGGTGAAGAGAAGACCACCACCGACACCGGCAATAGCCCAGGCAGTGAGAATGATTCCGTGAAGGGCTCCAATGTTGGTGGGTCCGAACATGTCGCAGAGGAAGGCAGGGATAGCTCCAAAACCACCTCCGTAGCAAGCAGTCAAAATCCAGATGACGGCCAAGAAGGCGGGATAGTTCTTGACGGCCATGATGGTGGGGAGCGAGGCGAGAATGATGACCTGGCAGGTCAACATGACAATGTAGCAGTTCTTGCGGCCCAAGATATCCGAGGCAGTAGAGAAGAAGAGACGACCGGCCAAGTTAAAGCCACCGTTGATGGAGACGATGGTGGTAGCGGTGTTGGTGTCCTTGCCAAAGATATCGGTGACAATGTTCGCGAGACGAGAGAGAAAGACGAGACCGGCAATGGAGTTACCAAAGAACATGAGGTAAATAAGGCGGTACTCGCTCGAGAAAATAGAGTCGATCAAGGGAAGCGAGGCGGCAGGGTTGCGGACGTTGTTGGCGGTCTTGTCGGTGTTGAAGGCCTCGATGTCTCCGTTGGCGTCGACCTTGTTGCGGTACATGTCCATGCCGTTGACCTGAAAGCCGGGAGGGGGGACACGGAAAACCATGCAGCAGATGAACATGACAGCAAAGTAGGCGAATCCCAAGGTCATAAAGGTCTTTGTCAATCCAATTTCGCTGGCGAGAGGGAGAGGGACCTTGGCGAAGACAATCGAGCCAGCACCAAATCCACAGACGGCAAAACCGGCAGCGACACCACGGCGATCAGGGAACCACTTTTGAAGAGCAGAGACGGGAGAGATATAGCAAAGACCGAGTCCAGAGCCTCCAATAACACCATATCCAAAGTAGATAAGACCAATAATCTACGTGGGAGAAAGAGGGAGAGGATAGGGATACACAGAAAAAAAAAGGCGGTTAGCATGATTGTTAAGTATGGATATCAGGAGATTTGGATTGGTCAGTGACTAAGGGAAACAATAAAAAAAGTGCGCGTTTCATGAATGTACCTTGAAGTGAATACCGATGGTGGCAATCATGTTACCGATCAAGAAGAGAGTAGTTCCGACCAAGGAAGCCTTGCGAGGACCAGCACGCTCCAACCAGGGACCATTGATGGCAGCAGAGAGACCGAAGAAACCGACCGCGATGTAGAAGGTGATGGACGCGTTGTGCTTGTTGGCGACCTCCTTTTGCTTGGCGTTGAGGGTGAATCCGTAGAGCTCCTTGTCGATGGGGTCATTGAAGACGGACCAGGCATAGAGGGAACCGCAGATGGCCTGGAAGATGAAGGCGGCGGGGAACATGAGCCAGCGATTGTAGGGCATGCTCAGGGGACCAAGGCCGATGGTCTTCTCCTTCAGGATTTGAGCATCTGTGCGGTGGAGGGTGGTGTTATTGTAGTGGTGCGCAATGTGTGCGAGGGGGCCACTGGTGGGCACCTTGATAGCCATTCTATATGTGATGCGTTAGTCCTGTGCGAGCGGGTATATATGTGGATTTGGTTTTTTTGTACAAAGGAAGTAGTGAAGAGTGGGGAGTGAAGAGTAGGGAGTGAAGAGTGGGGAGTGAAGAGTGGGGAGTGAAGAGAGGAGGAGGAGGGGGAGAGGAGGAGGAGAGGAGGAGGAGTAAAAGAGAGACGAGAGGAGAGGAGAGGGTTGAGGGTGAAGAGAAGAAGAAAAAAGTGGGAAAGAGGCAGCAAGCGAGAATGATTTATACCCGGGAGACAAGGGAGACGGCTGTGCAACCATCGTTTGATACCCGGGGAACATGAATGCGAACGAAATGAGTGTAAATGGACGGAAAAAGAATACAATAAAATAATAAGAATACCAAGGATGCATAGGCAGGGAGCGAGTGAAGTGGGGGTGACAAAATAAAATACGAGAGCAGGCCAAGCAAACCAACGAGCGAGAACCATCAAATGGAAGGGCTCACTTCTCATTCATTCATTCTCTGACAATTCAATGGGGGTCAAGAGGGGCGAACAATACAATACAATCTTATTTTAAACTAAAATGCTAAAATAAAAACCGGGATATTTCACTCACTCTTGAAGCGTTGCAGCCCATCAATCCTCTTCACTCGTGCTTGCTTACTTGCACTTCTTCCACAACGATACAAACGGGAATAAAAATAAAAAAGTGGTTTAGAAAAGCGAATTTATCATTTTGGTTGAGATGCCAATACCCTTGGTAAGAACGAGAGCTATTTCTCGGTGTTAAGCACATTTACTATACATTTTTCCTCGCTCTCTTGCCTTTGGGGTTGCCAACCATAACAGAGTTAGTCTTATTATTCTTTTTCGTGTTATGTCCATGTACCTCTTCCTCACCCGCCTCCATTTCCCTTCCTCGAAGAGCCCCCCAACAAAGTTAACGACAACTTAATTCAACCCACATTCATTTACACTTTTTCTGTTTTGCCCACAGACAAACTCAGGCAGGGATATCGGATAAGCGGACGCCTTCGTCTCCAACCAACCTCTCAGTATCCCGAGTAGGTCCTCATTCGCTCTCTTTTTTTTCTAGTGCTTTGTACCCGCTTCTTTTTTTTCTGTGCGTGAAAATACAGCATGAATGCATTTGACATCGCCACAGGAGCCAGTAGTAGGTAGCCATGAAGAAAAAAAAGTGTGAATGGTTACACTTTGCACTTTAAATTCCAGACTTGTAAGAGAGGAGGCGCACACCTGCCAATGTATCGTCGACATATAAAACACCAAAAAAAAAAAAAAAAAAAAAAAAAAAAAAACCTAACCCTTTCTTCATGGTCTTCCTTTTGTCGTCTGCTCTCCTCGCCCTTTGAGCGGCATTGAACAAAAGAACAGGCCGATCATCCCTTTTTGGATATACAACCTCTGTCATGGCCACATCACTGTCAAGGAAAAGGGCTTCCTTTCCCTTCTAGCTCACCCTGGCTCACTTTGTCTCTGTCCAGTTTAGCGGCCTTTTGTCTTGTCTTGTGCAATATGCATCAAAAGATGTGCGAGGGGAGCGAGACAGGAGGGTATGAGTATGCGTATGCGTATGTGTTGGGCCGAGTCGGGGGTAGGGTGTGAGAGAATAGATATGACGGCGGATTCGCTGTCCGATAAAAAATATAGCAGCAAGCAAGCAGCAACAGGCAGAGCATTCGGCTTTCATGCATTGTTCTGTTGAAGTTTAGGCGAGCAAGGTGGTACAGATCACAGACTGCAGAAATGGACACATCAACAACAGCGGTCGTTGTTGTTGGACGATGTTCATAGGTGCAGCCGTTTTTTTTTCTTATTCGACGCATGCTAATAAACTCATCGCATCGCATCCCATTCACTACCATCTGTCTATCCCCTGTCCCCGTCCCACATACCGTTCGATCGCTCTCGTATTATCTGTTGTTTTTTATTTGTGTGGGCTAGTCCATTCACTCATTGGCTCTCATTCCCTTCGCGTCGATGGCTCATTCATTTTCTTGTGTAGAAAAACAATTATAACAAAAGACACAAAAGGGTGAACACAAAAGGGTGAACACAAAAGAAAGAACGAAAAAAAAGCACACAAAGTTACAAAAGCAGGAGTTTTCGTATGATTGGACACATGGCTTTCATATCTGTGTTGGAAACTAGGCCACATACTTTTGCTTTTCACTCGCTTTCCTTTTTATCGCGGGAAGAAGATAAAGAGGATTGGGTTGGATAAGCGGCAACAAGGAGGGAAGAAGGGTTCCTGGCACCCCATACCTGCGTACGACCATTGTAAAATCTACTTTTTTCCCCTTTTGATTCCTTCACCGATTACCTACATGACATACATGCTCACTCCATCTGCATGTTCTTCTTTTGCAAGGGTATGCGAGATGTCGAACCAGTTTTTTATTGTCTTTCACAAAATAAGCTATTTCGGGTTTTTTGGGGGCAAAGTATGCTCGGTTTTACGTGGGCGGATTTATAATTTATCTTCTGGCGACCGAACGGGGGCCCGAGGGTGTCAACTGCTGGGTTCCGAATTTATACTCCTCTCGCATATGCCCACGGGCAACGTAGATGGAAAACAAGTGATGAGAAAAAGAAAAAAAAAAAGAGCTACCCAACTATTGTACTGGGGAAACAAGATTACCCTGCTTTCTCCTTTCTTCTCTTTTTCTCTATCTCTATCTCTCCTTCCCCACCCCCAGCATGTCTCATCTTGTTGACAAGATGAGGAGTGACCAGCTTGAATTATCGTTGCGGGATGGAAAGGAAGGGTCCGCAGGCGAAGAAGGAGAAGAGAGGGGCGGATGAATTGTGGGTGGCGAAAGTTTATTATCATCAAAATCAGAAGACCTTCGCTGCTCTCCAGAGGTGTCTTACAGGTACCAATGATGCACATGGACAAAAACAAGGTTATGATTCACCTTCGCTCATCCACACATCCCACATCCATTCATCCATTCATCCATTCACCATCGAGAAGGAAGCAACGATCGAAAGATCGAAACAAACAAAAGACACCGAAGAACAGCGAGACCGGTTTGTCGGACAAATAGACAAACAACTAGAGACTAACCGAGCTATCTCATCGTATTCTCGTCTCGGTAAAATTGTCCGGTTCACCATCCACCCCTTTCTTAGCATTCCCGCGTCTATCTCTAATCTTCAATCGGGAACAGACAACAAAACAACAACCAGCAACAACAACAAACAAACAAACAAGCGAGTAAGCACCCTACTTCTATCGGCTTCCTTGTTTTGTCCTGGCAGCTTAGTGTCCATTTTCACCTTGTAATAAACAGCAAGGAAACACGAATGAAGGTGCTCACCGTTCATCGCAAAACAAAAGCCAACCGTTGTTTTCTTCGCATTCATTTCCTCAACCCCTTTTGCCTGGACTTTTTTTACCCTGTCCCAATCTGGTCTGGCCTCCACATGTCCCCTTGTACTCGCCTTTGCCTTTCTTGCTCTGTTTGTTTTTAGTTGGTGTTCACAAAAGAAATGAGCATGACTAAAACGTTTCTTTTTCCACACACCTCGATTTTCATTCAATGAACAATGGTATCTCCAACCCCTTATTGCCCGCTGTAAAACACCAGTTCGAGGCTCTGTTTCTTCTACTTGTTACAAAGGAAGGCAAATAGGGGGAAAGAGAGAGAAGGCTCCGGAATGGGCTCCTTGAACACGGAGGCAGTGGACAATTGTCTCGCCTTCAAGTGTCCCAAACCCACTCTAATACTTAGTGACAACAAAAACACAAAATAATCTTCAGATTCTTCATTGATGTCCTCCAAACCGCAGTGGAAATAGGAGTTACGATGAATTGATGAGTGGGATATGGTTCTTCGCCCTAGGAAAGGAGAGATGGGTAACCCTGTTTCTCTTGCCAACTCTTGAAGCCTGGAGTGTTGCGCCATGTAAAAAATAAAAGATTCCTTCTTTGCATTCTGCATTTCATTTACTCGAAATGTATGTGCAATGCAGTCTGGTGCAACAAACTGCACCTCACTCCAAAACATGGTTGATAGGGTCGCATTACCGATCATAAGTCAGAACCGAGCAATGTTGTTCCCGGTATCAACAAATGATACGACACTACAAAATACAAAAACCGGACTAACGAAGAGTTAGCGAAAACTATAATGAGGATCGTTCGCCTTTACGCCGTGGACACGTCCCTTTCTCCCACTCTTTCTCTTGCTCAGGGTCTCTTCTTGTTTTTCTTTTTTTTCGGTGGCATCAGCTGAGTACAGAGCGGGCTTCGCTTTGTTTTCGACAGCCTCCACCTCCACCCCACTCCAACACTTTTTGCGTTGTGTTCACTATTTCTTCGATCGTTCTATATCCCCTAGTGTTTGTCACTTCTTTCTCTTTTTCTATAGCGTACCGGTACTACCTTTTTTTTTCTTGTCCGTTTCGCTTGTTCAACAAGCAACCCCCTTTCTTTCTTTCTTTTTCTTGTCCACTCTATGTTTAGAGCGAGCACAAGAAAGATCTGTTCACAAGCCTCCAAAAAATTGTCCAATGATATGTCTAGGGGGTTGGACAAGGGAACGTACGTACCATCGCTGCTTTTCAAAAAAGAAAGAGAGCAAATCACACTCACTCGCCAAATGGACGTCCCGCGGTGTTTTCTCAATTGTTTGCATTTTCGAGCGGACTTTTCTTCGTTGTCCAAGATCCAAGATCTAATTGGTGTGTCAGTGGTCATCTTTTCCCATTTTTATCGAATAATGAGGGATTGCTCCTCAAACCTCACCCCCTGGCAATTAGGGTATGTTAGTTTGAAGAGAGAGTGCCTCAGCCTTGTTAAAGTCCGACTGACGAATGGACTCGACTCGCTCGACTGAACTGGTGAAGAAGGGAGCATATAATTTCGTTGCTAGTGCGTCCAGTCTTTCCTCTCCTTGTCATGCTTTGTGTCCTCCACTCCGTTGACATATGGGAGAGCAAAAAAGCATAGTTGTATTCTGCAATCTGGACCACTATTGTTACTGCTCTACCTCGGAAGATATCGACCCCAGAAGCAAACAAACAATAACAAATTGATCATCTTTCACCACTTATCCTCCCTCCTCCCCCTCTCTTTATATCAGAGTCCTTCTTGGGCATTGCCCATCGCGCTATCCGGGCAGGCGGTTATCCAAAATGCTCCTCTTCTCCTTGCCCCTCCTTTTGGGTGCTAGAGCCCGTTCTTGCAGGAACTCAGAACACACACCAATCCGTCTCTCGTCTCGGGAGATCCTCCCCTACCTCTCTCTCTCTCTCCTTTCCCCCTTCCCCTTTCTCTCTGTCTCTCCAATTCCCCTGCAGAGTTGACGTCCATCTTACATGCGTTTCATGCACGCCAAAAAAAAGAAGTAAGACATGCGCAGAATCAAAGGCCCAGAGCTGCTCTCACTGCCTCTCACTTGCTCTCTTTGATGCTGATGCTTGCCAATTATCCTGCGATGAGAAAAACATGATGCGTGGGTGCATGGCTTTTTTCCTGGTTCCACACCACACATGTCTACTCTCTTGTGGTTTTTTCTTTATTTTTGTTTAGCTTTTATTTTTTCTACCATCCGTTCATAGCTTGTTAGCCTAGATTTCCATTATCCCCTCCTCCTACCTTGCCGTCTGAGCCCCATCCGTCGATTTTTTTGTTTTTCATATCGACACTGCCACATATCACAATAACCACCTCATTGTCATCCATCGTGTCAGGGCCCCCTTTTGCCTTTTTCCTTTGAAATTTTCCTTCTTCCCGTGGACATCTCATTAACCTAAATTGGGCGGGTTGACGCCGTGCTTTTTTTTTTTTTGCGATTCGCGATTCGCATTACTCCCGACAAACATACTGTACTTCTTCGACGTCTCTCTATTTTTGGGCTTATTTTCTGTTGGCATAGCAATAACAATGAACAAAAACAAGGGTACACGTCAACGCAAAGGAAAGCAAAGGTAAAGTAAAGTAAAGTACAGTGGAGCATGCAGGCAGGACAACGCAGGGCAGGGCAGGGGTTGTGGAACTGAGTCTGAGTCAAAGTCTGGGTCTCCAAGTAATATGCTGGTTCGCTTGGTTGGTACATGCACTGCCAATCCTTAATTAGACTCATCCAGGCAGTGACTGATACATACATAAATTCGTACATCATACATAACGCGTTCATGTGAGACAAAATAGAGGTAAGGGGCTGAGGGCGATAAAAACTGGTGTACATATCAGTCGAGGGATGATAGTGAAAGATCTTTCACATTATTTATTTACCTGGGCGAAGGTATTGTTGATTCGCCTAGTGATGTGAAAAGGCTAGGCAGGAGGTGATGTACTGGACACTGAGTGCAGAGTGCTTCGAGCGTAAGGGTATGTTCTTACTTGGTACCCTGTTTTTCTACTTCCTACACTCCCTGAGAGACTGGTAGTGAAAGACAACGAACGTGGGCATATTTACTCTTGCTTTTCTTGCTTTGCGGACAATTGACATGCCTGTGGGTCGTTTGATGGAGTAAAGTTTCTGTTATGGGTTCCTCGCTTCGAAGAAATAGCGTTGCCTACGTTGCTTTACCCGACCCAAGGTATCCAAGATATGAACACGCCTACTATTGGAAAGGCTGGTAAGGAAATGAAGAAAACTGGGGTCTGGAACGTTCAAGAGAGCTAGCTATACCTTTCATCCAGTACTCCTTTATCCATCTGCCATGTGCCACGTTGGTGATATTGATACAAAAATAGGCGTTGAGTTGTGTTAGTTTCCTATGGATATGCAGTGAGAGGAAAACGAGAGGTAGGTTTTGCTAGGAAGAATGAAAGACGCGTACTGTGGATTGGGACTGTTTGGGGTAATTATGTCGAATATGAGAGGCTGTGCATGTTTCATATATTTGAGAGAAGGGTATGTAAGAAAAAAAATTGCGCGTTTTGTTTGTTTGTTTGTTTGTTTGTTTGTACAGCCGTCTACGTCTCCATAGTAAACGCGCAAAGAAGTGCTGGAGTGCTGGATCCAAACGTGCGGGCATAGGTGGTCTTGGACATTCAAGTCGTGACTGACTGCCCAAGAATAAATGAAAGAAGGGAAGAAAGAATACAAGCCTGTTTGCCCTGCCCACAGGGCTAGTTTACGTGACATGGCACTCACAATCAACAGCCATTAGTGTAGTAGTACAATCTTTGAATGTAGTTGATGCCCAACAGCTGTTTCGTGAATATCAACGGCCATAGAGTTGATCGGGGTAGAATTAGAGAAGAAAGATACTTCTTGAAAAAGGAAAGTGTTGCTGAGTCAAGCCGAATAGCTTCGGTGTCACCTTGGCAGTGATTTTTTTCCGATGAGAGATGGAAATGGAGTAAAAAACCGGTTAGTCGACATGTGTCCACGCAATGCATTTTATAATCCAAGAGCGCACAACGGGTCAAAGGGAGAATACTGCTTTTTTTCTCAGGGTGGATGGTCCGATCGCAACGAACTGCCTGAACCATCCCTTTTTTTCTTCCGAGTACGAAGGAGAGAGAGAACCGAAAAAGGAATAGGAAGTACGAGCAAGGCCGACATCGTTGGTCCTTTTATAGTCATTGGGTCGTCCGGTCGCTTGAGTCAATGCGGCTGAACACAAAGTAGGGGCTGGTTGTAATTGTCGTTCGTTCTGACTTTGGGCAGTCCAGTTAGCCTTGAATCAGATAAAAGACCGAGCCGCCGAACTTCTTCTTTGTGGTGAGGATGTGAATGAAGGTGAAAATGTACCACGAGCAAGTGTTGTCACTTTGGAGTATTTTTGCTGAGCAAAATGAAATTGTTGTTCATAGGGTCCATTGTTAGCTATAGCCAGTTATCTTTTTTTTCGATCGTTTGGTTTTATTCGTATGTGCACCACATTCGCGGTGCAGACATGGAATGAGATTGTGGCAATGCGAGTAATGAAGGAACTTCCTGCCATTGTCTTCTTTTATTTTGATGTGAAAGTGCAAGGGAAGTAGAGGTTTGATCATTACATGACGCAAAGAGGCCTATTGATATGATATGACCTGATTTTTGGACCGGCAGTTTAAAATCAGTTCCCGACGACGAAATCTTTTCTCTCCACAAATTGCTCTCTTTTTCTCATCCCAAAGGGCATCTTCCGTCTGGGCACACATCATCGGAGCGAGCCGAGGGAAGGAAAAGCAACCATCGCATTGATGTGAAGGCAAGAGTCCGTGCCGACCACCTTGTTCGGTTCAGGTAGACCAACTGCGTGACCCTCCCACTCTACGCGGCGTGTCTGGTATCAAAATCACACTGGTGTAATACCTGTGAGCTGGAGACCTTGTCTCTCTTACTCTGTCGGGGTCACCAGCATTCATTAATCTTCAGGCATAACACACAATTATATAAAAGGTCTGTTTCGCCCTGACTTTCTTTTTCACTGTTCCTTGATTCGCCGACATCAACACTACGCCCGCTCATTCATACACCGTCGACCACTTCTTACACTCATCACTCCCCACTCACCACTCGTCAACACCTCCACACAATGGGACTTACAAAGACTTACAGGGACGGAAGCACCCCCGTCGTCGCCATCATCGGTGCGGGGTAGGTCAACCTTGCCATTCATTCACTTCCCTCATGTACAACTCATTCAGATCGGCCTTTCCTCATTTTTTCAGAGCCACCAATGAATAACCCAAAATAACTAACCCGTTGTTCTTTCTCTCTCCTAAATAGATTCTCGGGCATGTGCGCTGCGATTCGTCTTCAGACGGAATTAAACTTGCAGACCTACGAGGTCTTTGAGCTCGAGCCCGACCTGGGAGGAACCTGGTGGTCCAACACCTACCCCGGTGCCGCTTGCGACGTCGCCTCTATCAACTGTAAGAAATGATCAGTCGTGTTTACCGAATGTGTGCATCGTAGAATCATGGTCCTCTTCGACTCAGCCCACTCACTTGTGCCCTGCATGTTTTTTCCACTCTCACAGATCAATTCTCATTCGAGCCTAACTACGATTGGTCCCACCGTTTCTCACCCCAGCCCGAAATCTGGGCCTACCAACGTCGCGTCGCTAAAAAGTACAACCTGTATGAGAAGATCCGCTTCAGGACAGAGGTCACCCATGTCGAGTGGCATCAGGATCGCCAAAAATGGACTCTCGACTATATGAACTTGGCTACAGGAGAGAAGAGCGTCATGGAGGCCGACATTGTCTTTTCGGGAATGGGACCCCTTCGCATCCCTCAGATCCCTGAGCAGTTCGAGGCCTTTGAGGGTCCCAAGTGGCACACTGCCCAGTGGAATCATTCCTTTGACCTCACCAACAAGCGTGTCGCCATTGTCGGCAGTGGAGCCAGGTAAGGAGCCAAGGAAAGATGTATACATGATAGTGTATATGTGCTTCTTGTATATTTTTGTTTTGTTTTGTACTTCAATGGCTCCTAACATTTTTTTGTTTATTTCTTATTTATGTGAATGAAAATGACCTTTGATAGTGCCATTCAGGTTGTTCCTTCAATTGTGGACAAGGTCAAGACGATGGAGTTTTACCAGCGCACCCCCAGTTATATTATCCCTCGCCGCAACGGAGCATACAGCAAACTCTGGAAGTTCATGTTCCGGCACGTGCCCTTCTTCCACTTTATCACCTACAAGCTCAACTACTGGGGCTCGGAAGCAACCATCAACATCTTCAGCAGTAAGACGATCCACCTCCTCCCCCGCTTCGCTGCCACCTGCTTGGCATGGCTATACCGCATTTGGCAGATCCGTAACAAGCAATTGCGCGAGAAGTTGACACCAAAATACGAGATGGGCTGCCGTCGTGTTGTTGTCTCGTCCAACTACTTCCCTGCCCTGGCCAAGAAGAATGTCAATGTCCACACCGAGGCTATCGCAGGCGTCAAGGGCAACACTTTGATATTGAAGGATGGATCTGTTCAGGAGGTTGATGCTTTGATTCTCGCTACTGGTTTTAAGGTCCAGGAGATGATCCCACCAAAGTTTATCACAGGAAAAAACGGAATCGATCTGCTGGCTAAGTGGGGCAAGAACCCCTCGTCTTACTATGGAATCACCACCCCCGATACCCCTAACCTCTTCTTCTTGCTCGGACCATACACTGGACTCGGGTATGCTTGTTATAATTTTTTTATGCGAGGACTAATTGCTTTAGGAGGATATGGAGAGGTGGACACTGACATGTACTGTACTTTATTTTTCATCCTTTCAAATAATAGACATAACAGTGTGTTGTTCATGGTCGAGACTCAAGTCGACTACGCGATCAAGGCCATTTCACACATGATGGAGAAGAACCTGTCGTCGCTCGAGGTCACCCAGGGCGCCTGCGACGAGTTCATCACCGAGCTGGACGAGAAGATGAAGGGTATGGTCTGGTCCTCAAACTGCAAGTCCTGGTACCAGAACGATGAGGGTCGTGTCACTGCCCTCTGGTGGGGATCTGTCTCCCAGTACTGGTGGAGATTGAGGAACTTCCATCCCAAGCGCTTCGTTGGCGTTCAGAGAATTTAAAGCCCCCTCCCTTTCATTCCTTCTTCTTCACGTAAAGCCGTATACACAAAATAAAATGATGATAGCCTTGCATCAAAGCATTACTCTTTTCTATGAACGAAGACGTTCAAGGTGGCTTGCATGGCTCTAGTCGATGAAGATCTCCATGCAAAACGCTTCGCCTGCCAAATCGTCACGTGTTTGATCGCTTGGTTAATGGAGATAATTGACATGCTTCTTCACTATGATATTGCACGTGTTTTAGTGACATGGCACTTGCCTGTTTGACTGGAGCACTTCTTTTTGCTCTTCTATTACTTTGACTTCAGCCCTAAGTCAATCCAACACAACCCAACCTTTCTCCCCTTTCTTTTACTTCACCCATGGACTCATGAACCAAGATACACGACCTTCAGAAGCAACGCGACTTTCATCTACTTTTTAACGACCACACCTCCCCTTCGCAGTTTTCCATCAACCACTACAGACACGGATCCAATCGCCCACCTCTTGTAACACCACAACCTTCACTCCCAACATGGGTCACATCTCGGCACTGACGGCCTGGCTCATCCTGGCAGCGGAGGTCGGTGCAGTGTTCATCATCCTCACAACAGCACATGACCCTCTCACGGTCAACGTCGGGTTTTCTATTCTCGCAGGAATTACCACCTGGTCGGCCATCCCTGCGCTTTCGGAGATCTTTGTCAAGGCTGGACTCAAGGGTATGGACCTCAGCAAAAGGACCAAGCATATCATGTAAGTTGTTTGGTTGCCGACTCAGTAACGAGGTATAGATGTGATACCGAGAGGCGCAGTTGCTACCGAGCTGTTGGGAAATGAAAGTAGCTGTTGGGAGAAAGTAGTAGTTGAATTGATCAATCGGATGCTTCTTTGATAAGTGATCTATCTAACACGGTACCTGAATAATTTGTTACGAAATATCTATCTAGTCCCGAGAGTATGGGAATGGTGGCGGGTCTGATCTATCTGGTCACCATGTTTATGTTCATCCCCTTTCCTTTCATGAAGTGGTTCACTGCTTCGAACGACGGCGATCTCCAAGAACTCAAGCTACTCACCTTCCCCAACCTCAAGGTAAGGCAAAACTTCTGTTTATCGTCACATCCTTCGGTATCACCGTGCTTTATTGCAACATTGGAACTGACAGTATATATATCTTTCTACGCTGGCACTGATGATAGCTCGCGGAACTGCTGTCGGCACTACTTTCAATTCAGTCGATGGTATTCCTAGGATTCGCGGACGATGTGCTTGATATTCGCTGGAGGTTCAAGATGCCTTTACCGGCAATCGCGTCGATCCCACTCTTGATGGTCTATTGGGTCCACCTCGGTGTCACACATATCGTCGTTCCTATTCCATTGCGTCCTATCCTCGGCCAACTGATCGATCTCGGTAAGTTTTGAGGGTCGTCTTCGAAGTAGAACTGAAATACAGTGTCTAAAATCATATATTAACCTTTGCATTTTTTCGCAATCCAAATGTAGGCGCACTGTACTACGTATACATGGGAATGGTGGCGATCTTTTGCACTCACTCAATCAACATCATGGCAGGAATCAACGGCGTCGAAGTCGGACAATCCCTCGTTATCGCCTGCTCAATCGCCATCAACGACATGATCTTTCTCCAATCAGCCTCCAGCGGCGCCCCAGCCATCGAAACCCACCTCTTCTCCCTCTACTTCATCCTCCCCTTTATTGGCGTCAGTCTGGGCCTCATGATCCACAACTGGTACCCATCCAAGGTCTTTATCGGAGACACGTATTGCTACTTTGCGGGGATGACGTTTGCGGTTGTGGGTATCTTGGCTCATTACAGCAAGACTCTGCTGCTGTTCTTTATCCCGCAGATCTTTAATTTCCTGCTCTCGGCACCACAGCTGTTTCGACTGGTCCCCTGTCCACGCCATCGTGTGCCTCGTTATAACCGACATACGAATCTCATGGAACCGAGTCGTGTCGTTCTTGATGAGGAGGATGATCTTGAAGTTGAGTTTTCCAATACGAAGCAGGAGTCAAAACGTGCCCCCTCTTCCGTCTCCTTGTCCTCAGCAGGAGCAGCAGGAGCCTCGACACAGGATACCGACGAGCCCCATACAGAGAGCACTAACCCTCCAACAGCAACACTCCTCCAAAGCCTTCGTCCACTCAAGAATTCCAACCTCAAGCGATCAGGCTGGTACTGCGTCAAGATTCTGGAGGCTCTCGGGTTGACTCATGTGCGGTACGATTCCAAGACGGGAAAGCGACCCCTAGAGATGACTAACTTGACGATCTTGAACTTGATCCTGCTCAAGGCTGGACCCATGTCTGAGAGAAACCTGACCATCTCCGTCATGGTCGTCCAGTCCTGCTGCAGTTTGGTAGCCTTCTTCATCAGGCACCACCTCGTCGCGTTCGTGTATGATGTCGTATAGTCTCGTATTCACTCCTTCGCCAACCATTCGTTCCACCACAAAATAAAGTACATAGAGAAACGCCGGTGTTTTGCGATAATGTCTGTATTTATGATGCAAAGTAGTGAATGTGTGAAAGGTAATAAAAAAAAACTAATGTAACAAAGTGTGCGCGCTTATTCGGAATCAGAGTCGGCCTTCTTGCTCTTCTTCTCCTTCTTCTCCTTCTTGTCCTTCTTCTCCTTCTTCTCCTTCTTGACCTTCTTCTCCTTCTTCTCCTTCTTCTTGCCAGAGTCAGACTCGTCCGAAGACTCGGGTGCCTTGCGCTTCTTCTCCTCCTCCTTGACAGCAGCAGGAGCGGGGGTGGCAGCAACAACGGGTGCCGCAACAGCAACGGGTGCTGCGGCGTCCTCGCGGTTGTAGTCGACATAGTCCTTCTTCCAGCCCTCAGGGGTCTCCTCAGTGGTGCGTCCAAACTTGTCGAGCTTACCATCCTTGATCAGCTTCTTCTTCTCCTGCGCCTTGGGTCCCAATCCCCAGCGGCGGGGGTAGGTGTCACGCTCCATAATGACACGCTTGATCTTGGCAACAACACCGTGATCACAGGTAGCCATGACAGCAGTGGTCATCTGCGCAATTCCGAGAGCAATGGCCTCTCCCTTGGTGGTCATCAACACAATCTCCTCGTCGACCTCAATGCCAGACTCGTAGCGGAGGAGACCGGGGATCATCAGCTTGGCTCCGTAGCAGATGGCGTTGACAGCGCTGTCCTTGACAACAATACGCTTGTAGGTCGTCAACAAGGTCTCGAGAGGGCGGACAACCCTGCGGAGGTACGACTCGTCCTTGGTGTTGTCGTACATCCACTGAGCATCCAAAACATCGTGCATCGTCACAATATCGTCTTCCTCGCCCATGTGTCCCGAACGGACACGACGGAGCTCTTGCATGTGTCCTCCAACGCCGAGCAACAGTCCCATGTGGACGCACATAGTACGCATATAGGTACCAGCCTCGCAGGCCACCCAGAAGACAGCCAAGTGGCGGTCGTTGTCAAACTCGAGCAACTTGGACTCGTGGATCGTACGGATACGGAGCTGACGCTTGACGGCTGAAATCAGAGGAGGGCGCTGGAAGAGAGCACCAGTCAAGGTCTCGAGGGTCTGGGCGAGCTTCTTCTCCGACTCGATGGCCTCGTGGAGGCGGAGGACGCAGACGTACTCCTTACCGGCTCCCTGCTGCGACTTGACCAAACGAGTGGCACGGTCAATGCAGACAATCAAGCATCCAGTGACCTTGGGATCAAGAGTTCCACTGTGACCAGTCTTCTCGACACGGAGAATGCGACGGACCCAGGCGACGACCTCGTGGGACGAGGGGTTGGCAGGCTTGTCCAAGTTGATGACACCGTATCTATTTTGTTTGCGGCAAAGGTAAAGGTGAAGGAGGGGTGTTAGGTTGGCGTGGTTCAGTTTGTCAGTTGGTATTTGTGTCGTGTCAGTTGGTATTTGTGTCGTGTCAGTTGGTATTTGTGTCGTTGTATATGCTGTCGATCTCCTGAACAAGAGGCAAAAACTCTCACGATCCATGATCAGCAAAACTAGTCCAACACACCGCGCCAATCGATCGCAGTCAACACTTTTCGTATCCAATTGTAACTATCATTGTAGTGTTCCCGTGCGGATCCTGGGGTAGACTATTACCTGACGTATTCGGCGAGCTCACGTCTCAAGGGCGAGCATCCGCTGGGGATGGGGGTGTAGTGACCAGTGCGGACGTTGAGCTTGTCGTAGTTCTGTTATGTCGAGGGATTGTTGTTGTTTGGTGGTGTTGTGGATATGTATGTCGTTTGGATTGGTGTGGAGAAGGTGGTTGTAGTTCGTTGTTAGTAGAGTGATCGGATATCCAGAGGTGATGTATATATTGATATGGTAAGAGGAAGAGAGAAGAAGGACACGGTTAGGGATACGTTCAGACAGGCAGAAAGAGAGAAGAGAGAGAGAGAGAGAGAGACAGTACAGGCAATAGAAACAACAAGGCGTACCTTCAACAACAAGGGCCAGTCGGAGGTGTTGAGGGTGGGGGTATCAGCCTCGGGCTTGATGGCAAAGTCGCCGCTCCTCTGAGCCTCCTCGATGTTCTTGGTCTTGGGGGACATGGTTGCAGTATGTATGTAAGTATAGGATGAGTTGAGTATGTGTCGCTTCTTTGTTGAATTCTCTGCCCTTAGGTACTGTGTCACACTTTTTATGTTCAAAAAGCCGAGTACAGTTTCTGAGGGATGTGATGGTGGATGGGTGAATTGGCGGAAAAGAAGGTGAGGGAGAAGGAAGAAAAGAAAAAAAAAAACAGACGCCTTTGGTAAAGGTTTGTTTACAGCAGGAAAAAAAAAGAATCGAAAAACGGTCACCATCACTTTGATCAAGGATATGTCACGTGTAGTGGCATTGATCAGATCATCATATCAGAACGCGTCCATTGTAGGCACGGGCGTATCAAGGCGCGAAGGATACGATAGCTCAAGCTATCGCGCTGAAATGTCAATACTCAGAGGTCCAGCTCTCCGTAGAGTGGTGAGTTCTTCTAAGAATATCTTTGCAAGTCAGGACCATCGCCATTCATGGCTCGGCGAGAGTAGGCGACGGCGTGGTTGAGGCGTCCGGAGTGTACGTGCATCCTGAAGGCGTCAAAAGACAGCCTTTGAGTCTGGATCCAAAAATCCCAAAGCTCCTTTTGCCATGAATGTGGTTGGCCATGCCCTGCCAACTACAACAACAGCAACAACAACCATGACCAATTTGCTGCCTGTCGTTGAAGAAACAGATGGTGCGCATCGTGTATTGTTTGTCTATTTTGAGATGACTTGAACACATCCTCAACAACCTCAGAACTATGGTGCACCAGTTTAGAAAGTAAAAACGCGTTCACGACAGCCACCAGATTGGATCCTAGAACAACGGAATGACTGCATGTTGAGGACCCATGTGCCAATGGCGATGGCGGACGTGCATTTTTCAACCCACAAATAATAAACTATGCTTTTCTGAAATAAGCTATTTTTGGGAGACCCAGGTAAAGATGCGTTAAACAACAGCCTTTCAGAAATGTGGATCCCAGGACCCATACCCTCGAAGAGAAAAGTGAAAGAGAGTGTGGCTATGCATACCCACCTGCAAAGGTTTCTGAGTTTGCATTTACGCCCTTGCGGATATCGACAAGACAAAAAAGTGCAGAGGATGTTGCCGGTTATTTTGGGGGGCGTGAGGATGACATGAAAGACACACGCGTATAACAAATAACAAATAACAATCGAAAACTGACTCTGCCCCCTGGAATGTTGACAACTGAGAGAGGGAGAGGAATAAAGTGTGTGTAGTTGCTTTTCAGAACAAACAAAGCATGCTTTGGCGAGAGAAGTGGGTGTGAACTTAGTCAGATAGACACAACGCCCATCCTCGTCTTCTCACAATGAACAAAACAAGTTATGCAAGGTGTATTATTATTTTTGGCTCTTTTGGGATTTTTTGGCCATGTGGGAGTAAAGCCCAAGAGATAATTCAACCTCTCTCTGGACTGCAAAAACTTACACGTAAGCAAGCAATTTGTCAAACCAAAATCAACAAAAGAATAACAAAGAAATGCCCAAGGACATTTGCATTGACTAGATGACCATGCATCATAACTAACAACAAAAGGGTGCATCTATTTCCTTTTTCGCCGCCCTTCATTCCACTAGATAATCACACTGCAACCCGAGCGAGGATGTCGAACTGCAACAAAGGATCGTAAACAAAAAACAACAAGAAACAGGCAAAGAGCAAACACCCACACGTTCCATGCCATGTATCCGTGAAAACAAAATGCAAATGCAAATGCTGCTCACTTGCGTATATGATATCTTGTTTATCATTCGGTGGAACAGGAAAAGGGAAAAATGAAGGTTTTGAGGTCGAGGTTCCTTTCGAGGGTGTGTTGACGCATTGAACTAGGTTCCTGGTTTTGGCGAAGGGGCAACGCAGCAAGTGAATGTCGAGAGAAAGAGAGGGAGAGTAAATTGCAATAAGCGACATGCGCTGTTGTTGTTGCCGTTGTTGCTGCTGTTGTTGTGGTGAATAAAGTGAAAGAAAAGTCTTTTGGGTGCTTCTAGTCCCGAAGAGCCTCTGTTTGTGTTTGCTAAGGAAATCGGCGCAGCGGACGGAAGAGGGGAGTGTGAGCTAAAATAATCATGAGAAAGTAAAGGCGAGATAATCTCATGAAGGGACCAAGCCGCCTAGTCATTCAACAAGAAAAACATAAAGAACATGGAGTCAACATTTTGGACCTCAGTAACAATGGATGAATAGACGAGATGCTCTAATGACAGTGAGATAGACAGCACGCGATCGGCCATCCCTTCAGCCCAGAGGTAAAAAAGAGACGGGGAGAAACAAAGAGGATGAAGGGTATGGGTCTCAATGTTTTCCTCGGAGTAGGTTCTTTTTGTCAACACGACCAGAATGAATGAAAGACATAACAGAGGTGGGCTGTAGGGGAGCGAAGAAAAAACCGGAAAGCTGGCGAGTGAAAATTAGAGTTTGAGGATGAAGAGGATTAGAAATGGGGACATCCGTGAATTACCCACTCATGTGTTGCATACGAGCGAAAAGGGGATACTTTTTTATCTGAATGGGGGAGAACGAGAAGGAGAAAGTAGGGTTGCTTCGCCATCTGCTCATATCCCTTATTTCTTTCGCACACATGTGGAATGAGAAGAGCGAACAGTGTGTGAGAGGCAGTGCATCACGATTGAACGACAAGAACGCATATATGCCTGAGAGATACGAAGGATGTGGCTCATGGCTAAACATGTAATGAATGCGTGAGTGCATTCTGCCGTGTTTTTCTTTGTTTTTGTTTACGCCGATTTTTGTTTCTTGAGTTTGTGCCAGCGACTTTGCCACCATTTTGCCACAATGTCTATTTTCGTCAGCAATTCAACATCAACAAAAAAAATGGGGCAGCGATGGCTTTACTTTCGTGCATTTTTCGGTTCCCCAGGGAACGGGATACTGTAATACACTTCTCTTAATTGTTCAACAAGATGCTGCAAGGCACCGTATCTTCAAGCCCTGGCCCATATGCATGGCTTTTTTTTTTGTTGTTCGTGATTGTGTTTTAATTTCGAGTTTAGAGGCGTTGTGGTGGGTGAAAAGGAGGGCTGCAGAGCGCAGAATGCAGGAGACAAGTTGATGCGTCGTAAGAGAAGCACGGCCCACTCTCCTTGAATATACATCGGCTGTCCATGGTGGATCTTGTTTTTCGATATCAAGAAAAACAATGCAACAAAAACTAAAGCCCGAGTATGAGCGTGTGTGTGAGCGTTAATGTCGATGTGAGAGCTATTCGAGGCAGGCGCGCACCTCATTGTTTTTTTGCTGCTGTTATTTTTGTTTAAGCTTTGTTGAATGGCAATAATGATTTGGCACTCGCCTCAAAAATGGTTTCTTTACGTTTCTTTACTTTTCTTTCCAATCCAACTTGGTATCCACATTAGGCTGCCCACAGCCAACTATTCGGAGTCCTTTGCGATCGCACTCCAACTCTCACTACTCACTACTCGTTCAGTTCACTCACGCTCTCTCCCTCTCTTTTGATTGTTTTTTTTTGTATTTCTTGTTGATGGTCATTCACTCTCATTGCGGTCCATTATTCATTTGTTCTCGTCCTCGTTCCTCTCCTTCTTTTCTCTCCTTCTTTTCTCTCCTTTTGTCTCTTCTCTTCTTTCTCTCTCTGTTTTCATTCCCACTCTCAATCCTGCCTTAAGTCGATTATCAAAACACCATCAAAAAGAATAATCTATAATAGCAACGCTGGCCGCTGCTCATCCCCTTCAATCTCACAACACAATCAACCTTTATGGTTCTTTATTCCTTTAACGACATCAACACCTGCTATCCACTCTTTTTATTTTCAGTCAGCTAACACGAACCAACAGCACCGGCCTTTTCTTCCATTCGCCCTTCCACACCTGCCGAAACCACATTCAAGCTGGGCGAGCATTTCATTGCACAATCCAAAATCGATCGACCACCAACCACAATCATGTCCACATCTCCATCCCTCCTACCTGTGCCGCAGCAACAGCTTCACCACCATCATTCCAGGCAACTGGCGGAACAACAAGAGCAGCAAAACCTCCATCTCCAGCGATTGGAACAATATCGACAGCATCCAATTCTCCCCTCCCAACCCCATCCTTATGCCCAACATCCGCACCCTTACCACCCTTACCACTCTTACCACGGTGTACATATTCCTCGACATGAACAACAGTCACCGTCTTCCTCCTCACCTTTGCCACCTCTTCCGATCGAGCACCAAATGCCATCGCCAACCATAGACCTCCTTTCTTCCCAGCAGAACTCTACATTCTATTCGCCCACCCCTTTTTGGCAGCAGGAACTTTCTTCTTCATCGATCCAATCAAACCTTCAACAACTCCTTTTTGACGAAAACTCTGTTCCATTCGAGGGATTCTCCGTTCCCCCCGAGTATGCTTGGGACCCTCTGACCGACAGCGGATCAAGACTTCTTGCAACCTTCGCCGGCGCAGATATATTGCCCGCAAGCTTGGATACTCCTGAGTACCTTCTCAGCACCTCTGATCTGTCAATTACTCAGGAGGAGAATACAACAGCAGCAGAATCAGTCAATCAATCGAATATCTTGTCTTCCAGGAGGGCAGCTTCCAGACCCCAACGACAGAGGTCGTTCAAGCTCCGGGTCGACAGACGGATCGATATGTACAGGGAACCAGAGAATCGGGATGCCGACCAGCCTAACAACAACAAACTTCAAACCAGAATGCCGCTACACCTCAACGAGTGGTATGGGTCCTCTTCCCCCCCTCCGCCACCTCTGAGCCCACTCGGGGTCGTCGACACCAATAGATTCCAATCCTCCCTGGTTCAGTCCCTGGCCAACCTGACCACCTCCAGCCCCAACCTCGTTTGTCTTTCTCCTCCCGCCTTTTCTACCGCGTTCGGGCAAAGCCCTTTTGCCTTCTCTGACAGCAAACGATCTGTCTCGATTTCATCTGATCACCTTTCAGGACTATACACCCAGAGCGACGAGGATATTAATAACAGTAACAACAACAAAGATAAGGACAACAACGACCACGACAACAACAAGGTCACTGCCACCGCCGTCGAGGAGGAAGATGACGAGAGCGACCGCCGGTTCCAATGTCCCATCTGCCCAAAACGTTTCCTCCGCCAATATAATCTCAACGCCCACCTCAATACCCACTCGCAGGTGCGGGCTCATGCCTGCACTCAGTGCGACAAATCTTTCCTCCGACCTTACGACCTCGCTCGCCACCAACGGATCCACTCCAACAGCAAGCCCTACACCTGTAACATCTGTCAGTTGATCTTTATCCGGAACGACGCCATCTGGAGGCACTACCGACGCGCCCATCCTGGGCATCCTGATGTCCCACCCGCCCGGCGCCAAAGAAGACCACAGCGCATCAGTATTAGCCCTTGAACGACTACCGCTACCACCACCGCCTCCACCATCATTGGGGAGAACAACAATATTCCATCCTTGTACAGCTCCATCACATCCCCCATCCACTCAACCTCTACCAAATCAATAGCCTCTCCAACGTTTATTCCGCAGGACACGACCTCCCACGGACCTTTTTCCTCGGACACATCACCTTACCCATCACCCTCCACCTTGGTGACATTCACGTCTATGGAACTCCTCCCCTTGGAATGAGCTCGATCGCGCCACATCGTCCTTTTTCAAAATCTCTGTATTTAGTAATGATATTTTCTTTTGTTGATGGCTACCTTCTTCCCCGCCTCATTTTTCTGCCACCTAATAAATTTCTCTTTCCGCATGTGCCATATTTTACCGGACACACTCGCCATTGGGACAGATAGACCAGACAAGACCTGCATGCAGGGAGTGAGCAAAGCGAATGAGTGGGAACAAAAAGGGAACAACAGACAAGATGTATACATTGAGAAATAACGATGTGTATTTGACCAAAGTAGTTTCTCAAAGAAAAAGAAAGAAAAGAAAAAAACGGCAAAAAAAGAAAAAGAAAAAAAGGGACTACAATTAGACGAAAGAGAAACGGAAGGGAAAAAAAAAGTGCAAGTGTCTGTTTTGTGGATACTACATAGGATTTGAAAAAAAAACGAGAAAAGAAAAAAGATGACTACTGCAAAAATGGTATAAAGCTGTGTGGGGGGCATAAATGAAAGGAAGGAAGGAAGCAAAGGTGTGTGCAACGAAAGGAAGACTCATAAGAAATGTGGAGATTAAAAGGGTTGACAGGCCGCAATGAAAACATTATGATAATAAGACAAAAAAGAGAGAGAAAGGACTAACAAAAAAGCGCGCATCGAGCAAGAGGCAGAACGATGAAGGAGAGGGAATAGAAACAATGAGTAGAGAAATAAGAAAAAGACAACAACATAAGCTTTTGTAGATTAGGTACTGAAAGAGGAAGAAGCAAAGAAGAAAGAAAAGTTGAGAAGCAAAATAAAGAATCAAAGTGGAAGTGGAAGTGAAAGAAGGATGAAAGAAAGAGTGTGAGAAAGCAAGAAAAAAAAAGGGAGCTGATAGCGCTGATAGTGCAGGTTAAAAGGAACAAAGCGCGCCTTCCACCGCTTTGGCCAGAACACACCACACGGTAGCTTTGACTTGCCTGTATTTAGGCGTAGATCGCACCTCTCCAACCAGCGCCGTCATCCATACGGTCCACCATCAAACCATCCTTGCGCTCGTTAAAGGCCCGGTTCTGGTGCTCGGCTGGAATGCGATCCATGCTCTCGCGGGGAGGTGGTGTCTGCATCATGCCAAGCATAGGGGGTGGAGTACCGGCCATCATCCCGGGGAAGGTACCGTAGGGTGCGGAGGCACGGTTGTTGTTGGGCATTCCTGGGTATTGGTTCGGCATTGGTGAGCGGAAAACGGGTGCGCCGACCATCGACTGCCCATGTGGCGACAACGGCTGTTTGTTCTCGCTCTGAGCACGACCCCATGAAAGGCGGACACGGGAGTTGCCGATTTGGTAGCCGTTCATCTGAGAGATGGCCATCTCAGCACTCTGGCGGTGAACAAACTGGACAAAGCCACAGCCCTTTCCTGGAGGGATTTTGACATAAGTGATCTCCCCAAAGACTGCAAAGACATTCCTGAGTTCATCCTCGTGGCTGACTCCTGAGAGGCCTCCGACAAAGACGGTTGTGTTGTTGGGGTCGTTAAACTGGTTGGCGGGTTGCTGGGGACTTGTCGCCTGCAGGGGAGAGGTGAATCCAAAGTTGCCCTGAGCCATGCCCATGTTAACGTTCATGCCACTCATACCGCCCATGCCGGCAATGGGTCCGGGACCAGGACCGACACCAGCCATTCCGCCAGAGGGCGTCTTGTTTTTGGGAGTCGCCATCGAGATCCTGATAGGACGGCTTCCACAATAGACACCTTGCATCTCATGAAGAGCACGCAGCTGCTCACTCTCGTCGCCAAACCGAACAAAGCCATAGCCTATGATAAGAAAAAAGCAGCGGCGTTAGTGTTGGGTATCGCGGTTGGGCGGCCAATTTATCAGAACATCCAATGCGAGCTTATTCCATACCTCGCGAGATTCCGGTGGTGGCGTCGGTCATGATCTTTGCGGACCTGCATGACATGTATCTCTCTTGGAACTTTGTCTATTAGCGAGAAAAGAAGACCGGACGATAGAACAAATGCGGGTACATGAGTAAACAATGAGGAAAACAGAGTGAACATGGCTGAACTGCTCCACAGCCAGGCTTTGGGTTGTTGCAAACAAAAGACATCAGTAACAAAAAAATGAAAGATTGCTTACCACTAGCATGAACTCTGTGACCTCAGGGGACAAGTCTCCAACGAAGACGGAGAACTCTTGAGTGGCACCAGGTCCTCTATGAAGACAAAATAACAACGAAGACGAGCGCACAGTTAGTCCATTGTAGAAAGCAGGACTTTGTCCGCTCCAAGGTAATCGCCACAGTTGTTGTTGTTGATATCGACATCGACTTCGACTTACGCGACCGAGGCCATGCCTCCGCCAGAAGCCCAGTTCAGCTTGAAAACCTTGTTTGTTCCGGGAATCAGCATGCCGTTGAGTGTGGTAATAGCCTTGACTGCGGCTGCAGGACTGGACAACTCGACAAAACAGTAGCCAGCGCTTGCACTAAAAAATGTTGATGGAAGTAAATGAGGAAGGCGCATGAGCATTGCAAACCACAGAGTCTGCTGTTTTTGTTTTTGTTTCTGTTTGTTGTTGTTTGCATGGTCATAGTGACAGCATGATGCAGTTTAGTGTCGTTACCCTGTGTACTTGTCGCGAATCATCTTGACGGAGACCTGTTCGCCCGCGCTATACCAAGTGCCTCGAATCCAGTTTTCGTCCATCCAAGGCTCGAGTTCTCCCATCCTATAACGGAAAAACAACGATCAGAGTGTTAATTACTTGCATCCATGTTTTTGGTGCTTAGCCTCCTTGGGACAAGGAAAAGGAGAGCGGTTAGGGATAACCGGACTAGCCCATCCTGTTGAAGGATAGCGCAAGGGAAAGACAACGCAATATGCTGTGGGCTTACCAAAGCGATGTACGCATATCAGCATTGCTATATCCAGGCTGCTGCTGGGGGTGCTGCTGCTGGACTTGATGTTGCTGAAGGTGCTGCTGCTGCTGCTGTTGCTGAAGGTGTTGGTGGAGGTTGGGCTGCTGTGGATGCTGAAGGGGTTGATGGAGCTGCTGCTGCTGTTGATGCTGCTGCTGCTGGTGCTGCTGCTGGTGCTGAACAGCGAGCTGGTCGTAAAATGCCATTGTTGACTTAAAAGAAGTGTGAAGGATATGTGTGTAGGAAGAAAGAACAGAGAAGTGGCCGAGGTATTAAGGAAAAAGGCGAATGAAGGGTACTGATAAGCGTGGTATTGTTGGTGTGCTATTAAGTGAGAGAAAAGTATGCAGTGAAGACAAAAAAAAAGTACAAGGAGAGAAGTAGATGAAGAGAAGATGGACACAGTGGATGATGAGAGTGTGAGAAAAAGGGGAAAGAGAGAGAGAGAGAGAAAGGGGAGAAATGGAAGAAGGTGGGAGAGGAGGAGATGATGAGAATGATGGCGGGAAAGGATGATGATGATGAGAGCAAAGACTAAAGGAGGAAAGGAAGGAGGGGATATGGATATGTGATATTGATGTGGATGGATGAGGGAGGGAGTGAGAGAAAAGGGCTTGGCTTAATGAATAACGTGCTGCGGGCATACATAAAAAATTGATAGGCACTAATACACACACACACAACGCACTCTTTTGTCAGTCTGCACTGCACACTCTTGCACACATGCACATGTATTACATGGAGAGAGGATCGATGTCGTCTATCCGTCCCATGTTTTGTTCAAGCCATCTGTTCGCAGCCATTGAAGGATGGAAAAGGGCGTGTTTACCATGGGAGTGGTTGGTCCTCTGCCCGCAAAAGGTAAAGGGAGAGAGGGGAAGAGGGAGAGAAAAGAGAGAGAGCGCTGTGCCTGAGCCTGTTGATTCGATTGATCAAAATGAATGCCAGTGTTCTTGGTGGCGTCATTTTGAAGGGAAGAAAAAAAGATCTCTTGTTGGCTCCAACTCACAGGAACAGTAGCAAACAACAGATCTCGATTCGCTGAATCTGAATTGACAGCCTCCCTACTCTCTCACACCCACACCATAATTCACTACGTACGCTTCATCCTCTTCTCCTCGAACAATTATATCGTCCATCCATCATCCCCCATCCCTCCCTCCCCCCCATCTACTCCCTTCTTCCTCTCTTCTTTGGACTAGTTTTCTTTTTCTTCGGAGAAAAGTTGAGACGACGGCAACATAAAACCAAGCTTGGAGGCAATAACTCTCTATGTCTCGAACACCGATTATTAGTATTGTTCTGTTGTCCTTTGGTTTTCACTTCCTGTTGCCAGAACAGATGCGACCATCTCTTAGCCTTATGTATTTGTAGGCGAAGAATAAAGATTGCGGTGCGATCATTTGTCCATAAGAAGTCTACCTGGTCAGCTTGTCTGAATCTAATCTACCTATTCCGAAACAATCGTGTGCCACAAGTCCATCTTCAATTGCCAACTTGCATTATGGCTCAAGAAGTGAATCAACGGTTACATGTCATCCTGAAACTGAAGGTGACATCGAACGGTTACCAATTGAGTATGCATGAGCCAGCTATGTATCCATGACTTCTTTCAACAAAGCAGCTATGCCATGTTCTACAATTTGACAGTTCTGTTTTTTTGACCAATTCCCTGTCGAGTAAAAAGTTGGTGGCGTTATCAAGGGCCATCGCAATCATTTAGCCACCAAGTCTTTTGTTGTGCTTATTTTCCGGTGGTGCGATCTACCTGTGGAGGAGACTTGCAAGGAAGACTGGTTGGAGCACAGTAGCCGATACAAAACACATCAACAAACTCAGAGCAGTCAAAAAAAAAAAAAACGACATCGATAGGGCACCGGTTTGTGCTCAGTGTAGTTGTTACTCCAACTCGCAAGGTATGAAAAATATGAATGAGAGTGCACGCGCGCATATCAACAACAGGAACTGCAACAAAAAACAAAAAAAAAAAAAGTTACGAAAATATCCCATCACATAGGCCCGCCCGTGGTCCTGTCAATAGTAAGGAAAATGCCCGTGGGTCGTATTACGAGGAGATGGGAATTGATGTTGCTCAGCAATTATCCAGTTGTCGTACAAGAAAACAAAACTCCATCAGGGTGGATAAAAGACGGCCTTATTTTTCTTCAGGGCGCCGAAAGAAATGAAAGCCCGAACACACCTCGAGAAACGGCAAGGGCTGAAATGAGGACCCAGCGGCTTGTCAACGATGGTTCTTATGGCCATGAACCACAATGAGAGTTGGTGGGGGGAGGCCAGAAATGGACAGCAAATTTCGCACAAGGTTGAAGCGCAAGAGTAATGCAAAAAGACGGTTGGATATGTCGCGCGTAAAGTGAAGGGGACTTCGCCGGCCAGGATGAGTGAAGACGACGAAAAAATAATCATCCCACTTCTCGCCAGCCAATGGAGTTCGCTCGATGAAGCAGGGCCATTTCAATCGTGTGTAACGTTCGTATGGTGTTGTTGGACATGTATGTAAAGTAAATAAATACACAAGGCAGGATTGTTTGAACGAATTGTTGCTCACTTCTGATTGGGTTCGAACGACGTGTGGCATTTTTCTGACTTTATTTTTCTGACATGGTGCCTGAGTTGAACGACATAGTGTGAAAAGAGAGGCGAGAAAGGCGGCAGGCTGCTGATCGGCCTAACCTGACCCCCTCATTAGTTCTCGTAAGCGGCTGCATTGGTTTCCCATCGAGATGAGAATGCGCTTTCACTTGAAAGCTCTTAATGGCCTAATAATCAAACTAAAAAGGGCCCACCTTACTCTTTCAGAAGTGATCGGATGATCGATGCGGATGGAGCTTGACGGTTGAGTTCAGGAAAGGAGTTGTCGATTGCGAAAGACTGGAGAAAAGAGTTAATGAAGTGGAATGTTTAAAAGAAAAAAATAGTGCAGTGCAGCAGACATAAAGAGCAAGAAGTAAGAAGGAGCAAACAGGCCACTTCACCCTCCACAAATCGGCTCCTCTTTCTACGGACAAATACATTGTCGCGTGTATTGAGAATGTATTGAATAAGACATATCTGAGTGGATCCAAGAAAGAAGACTGGCTTTGAAATGAGACATTGACCAGCGCGTGTCAATACTGCGGTGGTCGCGTCGACATGTATATTTGGCTGTTGGTGGTTTGTTGAGCTGGCCGTCATTCAAAGTGAGCAGCCGAGAAAAGTCCAAGTCCGCCCCGCATGCTCGCAAAGGCGGGAAGAGAGAAAAGGAATTGGACTCATGATGGCAAAGAAGTACATACTACATACCCATTCTTGTACCATTCATTCATACCATACCACTGAATGAGGGTATCCTGTATCTCAGTCGCACCCTCTTCATTTCGATGCTCAATCATCATTCACAGTTGCATCCATCTGCCTTCCTTTCAGCAGCAAGACAGACAGACAGACAAAAACAGACAATCCTCGCTGTTGTCGTTGTATCGCACTCCCAACGAGCCAATCCAATGAACATGACGACAGCGCAGGGGCTGACCGAGCAAAGAAGAAGCGAAGCAAAGCATCGACCATCTGACAAAGAACAAGTCTACTTGTCCTGTGTTTTTTTTGGCTGTTGTTGTTGGGCAAATGAGTGGACACAATAGAAAGAAGAAAAACAGATGGGCGGGTAGATAGACAGCCCTGCATTGCTGTTGCTGTTGACTTCTTCCGCTCCACCACTTATTCCTGCCGCTGTCTCTGTCATCGCAAACCTTTGTTTTTTCCTGCTTTGCACTTTTCTCACACCCTTCATCGTTCATTGATTTTTTTTCTCGGCACGACCATCACCCGTGTCCTTCCTTCAGCCTCGTTATCTTTCGCGCTAGTTCCCTCTTGTTAGTTTACCCATTGCCAACCCCCTGACGAAACTCAGGGATCAACCATGCTGGTCGAATGTTGTCCCCTATGGCTTTTGTTAGTGGGATAAAGACTAGTTTGCTCTCGCTGAATGCCGTTCTACATGTCCGCCATTGAACTCTCTTTGTCAGTTCAGTTGGAAGCTGTCGGTTCCGTCAGATGCCCTTTCACACTGCTCTCAACTCGAAAAAAGACAAAATGTAAAAAAGGGCTCGCAACACCTTGCACCTTGCAGCTTTGCCTTCACGCTTTTCACCTTATTCTTCTTTGCTCTGTGGACTTTGTCTATCCGTTTCTAACCAACAGCAAACCACCCATTGCTCTCTCTCCTTCACTCCTTCCCCCATTCCCTCTCCACTTACTCGTGCCAGCCTTACCTGCCCGCCTCCTCTTTCCTCCTGTCTTGACACTCATTATTTATACACCTCTCTCCTTCTTTTCTCTCTTTCGTTTTTCTTCAGATACCCTCAGTTTCTCTTCCCCGAGTCTCCTCATTCCTTCATTGTCCCCTTCCCTTCCTTCCTTTCATTCATCTCCTCACCTCTCCTCGACTCATCTCATCTCTTCCTTCTTCCTTTTCTTTAATTATCTCCGACACTCCCCTTTCGTGTGACTGACACTCTATCCTCTCCACCAACCGCCACTCCTTACTACTTCTTTTCTCCACGAACCTGAGGAACTCCGCATCCACCACCACCCACTCCACCTTTCGAGACTCCTCCTCTTCGCTCCTTCCCTCCACACCCGCTCCTTTCTTCTCCCCTTTTCTTTACACAAATACACCAGAATGCGGTTTCACTTATCTGTGGCCGCTGTTTTGGCCGTGGCTAGCCTGATCTCTGCCCAGTCAACAGGCGTACAACCCACGGTTACTACCACCGTAACCGCCACAGTCACAGCTCCAACCACGCCAACAGGCACACCATCAACATGTCAGCCCGCCTTCGACTGCTCAAAAGAGGTATGCATCATATCAACAACAACAACAATAGCAACAGCAACAACAGCAATGCTCTTTTTCTTTTCGTTTCAAACGACGGCATATTGTGTTGCATTTGAACGAATGGATTTTGCTGACCAGAGGGTTTCTATTGAATACTTTATTCTACTTTAGCCATGTGTGAACAGCGGTGTGTGTGGTCCTAATAAGCAATGCAAGTGTCTGCCGGGTTTTGGTGGACCTGACTGCAGTCTTATGTCGTGTGGTTCGCCACTCCAGGAGATCTCGCAACGTCCCACAGTTGTAGCTGGTTCAAGCTGTGCAACCTGTGACGAGGGATTCGGCGGAGCCAACTGCAACGGTAAGTAACGGAATAGGCACTATTGTTTACAACTCAACAAAAAAAAAAAAAGAACCACCACCACAACGACAACAGACATGACAATGAAGTAGGGTGTGTATTGCGCTAAGGAATGTTGTTGAAAGGACTCAACGGCTAAGAACAGCACACCTCCCGTTTTTTGCGACCGTGCTTGAATACGATAGTATGCGAGACAGATGCCGCCTGTGCAGCAGATACTTCGCGCCCGCCAATGTTTGGCGACGAAAAGATGGTCTGCAACAAGAATCCCGAGATCTTTTACAACGCCTTCATGACTTGCGACGTCAACACCCCACAGCTGGCAGCACTCTTCCCAGGAGGCTACTCGCTGTCCCTTGACCTGGATGTCATAAACAAGACCATCAAGGCTCAGCTGTGGATGGACAACAACGAACAGTTTTTCTGTGACATTGGGTCCTGTAATGTCGCCACGACGGACCTCGAAGGGAAGATCTCGACATCATGGGATTGCCCCGACCTCAAGTGCACCTGCATCACCACCCCCACAAAGCTGTGCGGTGGTATCCCCACCCCCGCCAAAATCGACCTTAAATCAACCATCGCCCAACTGACAGGACCATTCGCTCTGAACTGCCCTCACAACAGCACGACTTGCACGTTCAGAATTGCAGCGCTTGATGGACTCCTCCCCAATGGTCTTGAGATGGTCAACTGCAAGTCAGGAGAGTGTGTCTACCCCTTGGAGATGACATCTTCGATCACCGCCCTCAAGAAGACCATGCCCGTTGGTGTCATTGTCTGCCTCTGTATCCTTGGTGCTTTGGTCCTCTTCCTCATCGTTGTCTGCTCGATCGCCAAGAGAAACCAGATTATTCTCAGTCGTACTCCTTACACTCTCGACAATGAGGCTGCCTCACTCGAGTTCCGCAATGTCGGCTATACCCTCAACAAAGATGGACTCGAGATTCTCAAGGGCATTTCAGGATCGGCTCCCGCTGGTGTTGTCTTGGCTGTCATGGGTCCCTCAGGAGCTGGTAAATCGACTTTGGTGGATATTTTGGCCGGCAAGCGTAAGGACGGCAAGGTTTCTGGCCATATTCTGTTGAACGGCAAGCAGGTGCACGAGAGCGAGATCCGTCGTGCTGTTGGATTTGTTGACCAGGAAGATACCCTGCCCGCCTCCCAGACTGTCTGGGAAGCCGTTCTCTTTTCTGCCATGCTCCGTCTTCCTGAGGCCATGCCCATCCATCGTGTCCACGAGCGTGTTGCCGAGGTTATTGAAATGCTGGGATTGACACACTGCAAGGACCGCCGAATCGGAAACGTTACTGCCCGTGGGATCTCTGGAGGAGAGAAGCGCCGTGTCTCGATTGCCCTTGAGTTGATTACCCGTCCTCCAATCCTGATCCTAGACGAACCCACCTCTGGACTCGACTCTTACAGCGCCCACATGGTTGTCCAGCAGCTCTGCAAACTGGCTGCCAGCAAGACCACCACTGTTATCATGACCATTCACCAGCCCCGCTCGGATATTTTCTACATGTTTGACCAGACTTTGGTTGTCAGCAAGGGAACTTGCCTTTACTTTGGACCTACGGACACTGCTGCCGACTATTTCCAACGCCGTGGATTGATCTGCCCTCCCAACTACAACATTGCCGATTACTTGCTGGATATCGCCATGGACCAGGAGCTTGTTGCGGAGGCCGAGAAGGCCGGTGGACTGGCCTCGGGACATCAGGCTCACCTGGGCGGCGGAAACGTAGTCTCTCGCCGCGGCGGCGCCAACACCAACGGCAACACCAGCGAGATTACGCGCACTTCGGATGACCGTTCGTACGAGACCTCTGTCCGGATGGAGGGGATGGGTTCCACGGGTTCGTCCACTGCCTCGCTCTCGGATTCGACCACGCAGAAGAAACAAAAGACCGTCTACCCTACCAGTTTCTTGACCCAGCTCCGTGTCATCATGCTTCGCAGCTTCCAAACCTTGATCCGCAACAAGTCGCTCTTGGTCCTTCATTTCGCAGTCGCCATTGTCCTGGGAGTGTTTGTCGGAGGATTATATTTTAACGTGCCCATGGACTTGGCTGGTTTCCAGAACCGTGCCGGATCCCTTTTCTTCATGCTCGCCCTCCTCGGCTTCAGCAGCATCTCTGCCCTAGGAGCCTTCACCGATACCCGCACCCTCTTTGTCAAGGAGCGTTCCAACGGATACTACCCACCCCTGCCCTTCATCATCTCGACGCTACTGTTCGATCTCATCCCTCTCCGTATCGTCCCCGCTATCCTGATGGGTTCTGTCTCCTACTTTATGATAGGTCTCTACGCCGATGTTGAGACGTTCTTCAAGTTCCTGTTGATCCTCGTCCTCTTCAACGTCGCCACCGCCATGTTCTGCCTCGTTATTGCTGCTGGAGTCCGCGCTACAGGAGTCGCATCCCTCGCCTCTTCCATCGTCATGTTGTTCATGATGTTGTTCGGAGGCTTCTTGATCAACACGAAACAAATTCCCAAGGCCCTCACCTGGATCCAGTACCTTTCCATGTTCAAGTACGGTTTCGAGGCTCTGGCCGTCAACGAGGTCGCCAAGACTCAACTGATCGACAACATCCAGGGCGTTGCCTTCAACGTGCCCGGTTCGTTGATTCTCCAGAAACTCTTTGGTTTCGATCTGACTGGCTTCTGGAAGAACATGATCTTTTTGATCGGCTACAATGTCCTCTTCATCGCTGCCTTCTGGGCCATCGTCAGCTTTCGTCTCAAGGAGCGCAAGTAATTTAAAACTTGTGGGTAGTGTACAAAAATCGCGCGCACGGGAAGTAGTAATAGTGGATAGAAGGGTTTCTTCATTACAGCATCTGTATGATAATAATAATAATAATAATAATAACTCTACTAAAGGCATCAGGAATTACGTGTACAATACTTCTTTGTCCAGTGATCCGGACAATATCATTCCTTGATGGGGTATTAGTCGAAACTTGAGCGTTGATGGCGGAGAAAGGCCCTGGCGCCTTCCAACATTGACAGACTTTTAACACAAGCTAGGTCGTGTTGGTTGAGGAAGGGTGCAGCTTTTTTCCTGAACATCCACCGAAATTGCTTGGACAAAGTCGCCTCCTTGCTCATCTGTCTTGATGGGTGCGAGCTGAGAAGGCGGCGCGTGTCGATCGTAACTAGGGGTCACGAGGACGCGTTGAACGGACAGACGCGTTTCGATTGAGACAAGAGGGGACTGCATGTGATTCCTTAGACGTTGCACCGAGACAAACGCGTCTTTATCAGCTATCAATGACCAATGATATGACGGCAACGCGTTGTCACTTGCCACAATAGACACGTAAACATAGGGTCCCTCTTTCCCCACCTTTCTTCTATCCTTTCGTATTTTCTTTCTCCTTTCTTTCCTTTCTTTCTTTCCTTCCTCCCTTCCCACCCTCTCTCTTTCCTTCCTTCCTTTCTTTATACTCCCGTCCGCCTTTTGTTCTTTACTGTGCCACATGTATTTTTCTGTCTATCTTACTATCTTGGTTCTCCTACCCTCTCACGCCTCGATCCCCGTGCGACCCAAGACCCTCCACTCCCACCCACCCACACATCCAACACTCGAGTCGTCATGCAAGAAGGCCTCTTCACCAATCAACCAAGTCACCCCGCCGTCTGCAACGAGTTCGGAACAAGGACGATAAAGAGAAAAAAAGAACGAAGAGACAAGTAGTCGTTCACCAACAAGGGCATGTAATAAATGCTAGAGAAAATGTCGTTTAATAAAGAAGAGAAGAGTAACTTGTGAAGAAAGAACCTTCGCCATTTTTGCGTGCACGTGCCCCATGGGCCATAAAAGACGCGAAAACTGTCTTTCTTCTTCACTCTTCTTCAGCCTCCTTCCATGGCACCTGCTTCTACCGTTTGAATACCACTCGCTGCTTCAGCCGACACCCGGTACAAAAAAAATGTTCCCTTCAAGAAACTGGGAAAGCAAGAGGGTGCTTGTGCTTGGCGCTGTTCCCTTTTCATGATTTCTCGCGTCTGTTCCCTCTCTTCTTTTTTTTTTCTTGAGGGTGCACGCATTGTTTTGTGTACTTTCCTTCCTTGCGTTTTCTGTGGGATACGCGTTTACGTTCGCCTTTTTTTTTTGTTTCTTTTTTCTTCTTCCACATTCTCTTCCTACGTTCTCCTAGTCGCCACGATTACATCATATCACACGCGACAAAACAAGGGAGAACAGCTAGAGACTTAGTGGCGCAAACTTCATACTAACCAGAAAACTTTTTTTTTCGTCTACGTATCACCGTATCACTTTAGTGACAAGAGGGTGTCGAGAGGGGACCTAAAGGAGTCAAGGCCCCCCTCCCCCTCATACCTAAGTGTCCATAATCCCGACTTGGCGTCGGTGGCCCTTTGGCCATGTCAAAGGTGTGGGTGCGCCGCATGCTGGTCAGCTTGAGGCCTCTGGACCTCCCAGCACTGGAATATGCTGTTGGAGGAAGACGCAATAAGGGTGATAATCCTAACCTTCGTTTTTTAGGATGAGGTCGCAGACATAACGGGATTCTGAGGGCTCAGTAAGGCATCGCGGTAATCGTAGGGTCGCGGGCTACTAACGAGTCGCGGGAATCAAATGGGTCGCGAGATCATGGGCTTGAGGGATAATTATGTGCCCGCCAATACTAATGGCGCACTGATAGGGACGCGGGCTCACTTAACTTATGATGGCGCCACAATTTTTCTTTAACAACATTGGCATTGGGACAACCGAGGGCAAACATTCGCCTATGATGCCACTTGTTCTGAGTCACTTCGTTCCCTTGCGAACTGTACGCGCTTTTTTGATGCTTGGAAAAATTTGCGCTTGTTTTCTTTTGTGGCATATCTGGTGGACATGCACAGAATTACCGTGAGCGTGTTTGAAAAATCGACAGACGTTTTCACTAACCAACCAACCAATCAACACGAAACAAAACGAAACGAAAACGAACAAAAAAAAAGTCCCTCAACTGAACCAAGTGCCAAATGATCAAGCAGGAAAGGGCGGTATCTGTAAAAGTGTATTAATGAGCAAGTCCAGCATCAAACTCAACAACTGTCGCGCTAACACGCCGAGTGCCATCCACAACCATGTTTCCAACAGCACCAGTTTCGTCTTCAGCAGCCAAGAGCGCTTCCTCGGCCAGACGAAGCTCTTCAGACTGCCATTGGATCTCAACACCAACCTTCCCAACATCCTCCCACCGCTTCTCAAGGACATATTCACCACCTTCGTTCACGACCACAGGATTGTTGCCCAGCAGTACCTTGACATGTCCGCCTGTACGAGCGAGCTTGCCTTCACCCCAGAACACAAATCCTGCAACCACATCTTCCCATTTCGCAATCATGTTGTTCTCGAGTGTCAAGAACTCGAGGCTGGGTGCATGCTGCATTCCTTCGAGGTGCTCAATTAGGTTGTTGGACAAGTTGACTCGGCGAACGTTCAGCAGGTTGCGGAGAAAGCGGGTTGATGTGATTGAGTTGGAGTCCAAGTTAAGCGTGTGGAGGTGGAGAAGGTAAGATGAGATGGGGATGTGGGTCAATCCACGCATCGAAAGATCCAGGTTGGTTGGTTGTTTGGCCGAGTATTCAATCTCTGGGAACCGCTTCGAGTCCTGAATAATCGACAACGTCTCACGGTCAAACACTAGCTGTGTGCCTACATTATACGAGTGAACATTAACGGAAACATTAGATTCTGAACGCCGTGTCGTTAGCCAGTTCTCCAAAGTGTGAAAGTACGACTTACGGCGGTCCTCGTATCGCTCCTGGCGCAAAGGGTCGATAGTGATGAGCTTCTCCTGCAGTTCAATGCATTCGTCGTCAATGACCTTGGCCTGTGTCGAGTGGATGCTGACTGTCTTGCGCAACTCGGATAGCAATGTCGACAGGATCTGGATTGGCCCTATATGATTCAGATATGTCATGGCACATGGTATTAACACACAATAGTCATGAAATAAATAGCATGCGCATTTCAACATTTACCACAGGCATGAAGTATTACAACCAACTCATTCACGCATTGAAGACGAAAGGGTATCTTACATTTACAGTCGGGTTCCAGTTCAACTAGTTCGCGGACAGCTGAGATCTCTCGCTCCAGAAGCGCAATTCTGTCGTCAAGCGAGCCCGATTCCGTCAACGATGTCACACGGTGCTTGGGATGTACCGCCTGTGTCTCCAGAGTGCCGTCAGGGCCAGTGACGGGTCCAATGCGCTTGGTGACATCGTACATCAGGTTCTGTCCAATCACCAGTCTGCCCAAGCGTCCCGAGATTTCGTCCAAGTTCTGGTTCAATGTCTCCAGTTCGTAGCACACGGCTGCAGGGAGCTTTGATCCTGCTCGCACCGCACAAACATCGTCTGAGAAAATGACAATCTCGACTGTGGGGCCATACACAGCACCTGGCGCCTGCTGGAAGATCCACACACTGCCGAGCGCCGAATCTGATCCTGTAGCCTTCCATTCTCCCTCGAGTGGGATAGCAACATGGTCGACGCGGGTTGACACTGTAAAAGGGTTGCGCATCTTGACCGTCTCATCAAATGCGACAACAATCTCTAGAGGGTGGAACGAGATGACATGTGCGCCTAGAATCGAAATACTCCTCTCCTCTATTATCCATGAGAAAAGGTGGTGTTAGTCCATTGTGCCTTGTGAGTTTGCCACGTAGCTCGTGATCATTCGCAGAAATTGTCATACCTCGACCGATGAGCCAGAGTTCATAGAGCCATGCGCTTTGGTCTTCGGGATCGGTATAGATCGCGTTCTTGACAAGATCAAACTCGTTGTCTACAATAGCCTCCCTTTCTTCTGTCGACATGTCCTCTGCCAGCTTGCCGAGCAGAGTGCTCCTGTTGTGCCATGCAGAGTAGTTGGAAAAGTTTTGGTGGATCTTTGTGATTGTAAAGTCAAACTCGGACTGTGCTCGCTCGAGCACCTTGTCCTTTGCTTCCTTGTCCTTCAAGTCGAGCTGTCGGATGATGTATCTCCTGTAGTCCCATCCGTGAACTAGAATGACATGTAAAAGTAGAGTAAGGAAGAGATAAGGGTCGAGTATTGCAATGCAAAGGGGGCGATTCGTTAGCGCCAAACGCACTGGTAAACCAAAAAGTGGCCCATATTAAAATGACATCACTCGTTCCAGACTAGGCCAGTGCATCACCCCAAGGCACAACACATGAAGCTCCCACGATAAGGAACCGGCAATGATGAAACAACAACAACAACTTACAGTTGCGAGCGTCCATCTCGAGGAACTTGCCAACCATGGCGAGCTCCTTGTCCCAGCGGGGCTGGCTCATGCTTTCGAGGCACCAGCGGCGGTGGTTCCACATCCAGTATGACTTTGGGTTCAACTTCAAGTTCTCCTGCACAAACTCGAGCTCACCGGTGTAGATCTTGTTGGCCGTCTCGTCATCGCTACTCGAGTTAGTTGAGAGAGAGAGAGAGAGAGAGAGAGAGAGAGAGAGAGAGAGAGATAACAGTCAGCCAACGATGATGAGCTGGCGTGAGTCCAAGTAGCAAATCCAAATACAGCTGTATGAACGTACGCGTTGTCGAGGAACCCTTCCTTGAGGATGGTTCGCCTCACGTTCCAGATGGTATAGTAGTCGGGGCTCTTGCGGAGCAGTGCCGTTGTAACTTTAAGCGCGTCATTGTCGCGTTTGTTCGATTCGACCTGAACCCATCGTAGAATTGAGCAAAGAAGTAAGAGCAATGGGTCAGTCGTGCGTCTCGCAACAGTTTCCGTTGGCAGGAAGGACTACGTAACAGTTACAAACGTTACAATTTCCTTGAGGGTGTCCTTGAGGGCGAGATATTCGCGTACGAGGACAGTTTCTTTCTCCTCTCTGGTCTTGAGTGCCTCTGGCGACTCTGCCTGTTCCTTCTTTCTTCCGTGGCGACTTTCCTACAGCAGCAGAGGAGGCACGGGTGAGTATTCTGTTATTGCATGTGGAGGTGAGAAAGATGAATGTAGGGTGTGTGATTCAGGAGTGAGGCTGTTTACCATTGTATGGTTGTTGTTGTAAGGTGAGTAGGCAGGAAGATTTGGAGTATTGGTGGCAAAAAGGAAAGCGAGAAAGAGAGATGACTTTGCGTGAATGAAGAGGAGGGGAGGAGAATGGTGTCACCCTTTGACAAAAAGATAAAAAATCCCCTCTGTAATTGCGTATGAAGAGAGTGCGACCAATTAGAGAGGGTTGACCATTCACACCCTATTATTCTCACGTGCATCTTTCTTCCACCCACACCACCACACACGGCTGGAAAATGATCGCCCCAACCGACAGACGGCAAAGAGAAGGAAAGAGCAGCGACCAAGGAGCACAGAGAACGAAAGAGACACATAACCTTGTTCTTTGTTCTTCTCCTTCTTCTTCTTTATCCTTCCACTCCTTTCCTCCTTTCTCTTGACCCTTTAGTCTCTTACTCCTCTCCTCTCCTCTCCTCTTCTCTCTTTCCCTCTCTCTCTCTCTCCTCCCTCCGTTCTCCTCCCTCACCCAACACCAACCTCGACAAACTACTCTACACAAAAGGATCAACCATGCTCTCAGCCGTACAAGGATTTGCTAACCGGCACCGCAAGGGTCTGGTCATCACCGCCGGACTCACCGGAGGCATCTACATGATGGGCAAGTACGCCAAGAGCAAGCTGATCGAGTTCCACGAAAAGAGTGCCTCCGAACGTACTGCCAAAGAGAAGTAAGTCTCTTTTTCACACATTCCTGTTTGCCATTTCAAGTCTGGAAGAATTGTCATTTCCCGGTTGAGCAGTTTGTTCCTGAGCGCAAAAAAGGGCTTCCGATCGATACACCTTCAATTGGATATCTATGGCCCATTCAGAAACTAACCACGCGTGCGCATCCAATTGAACGAAATAGCATAAAGCGTCGGTTTGAGCAGAACCAGCAGGATTGTGTATTCACGGTACTGTCACTCCTCCCGACCCTCGGCGACCAGCTCCTGCACGAACTTAACGTCGAATTGATCACTGCCAGGCTGCAGCAGACCCGGTCCCAGCGATCGACTCCCGCACCCACTCCTGATAGTTCCATGATCCTCCCGCCTAAATCAGAAGAAGACGAGAACAAACAGGAGCAGGAAGGCTCTGCAGAGAACAAGGAGGAGCAGAAGGAGGAGCAGAAGGAGGAGCAGAAGGAGTCCGAGTTGGTCAAGGATGGTCAGGAGGCTGCTGTTGCTGTTGATGGTACGGAGGAACACACCAAGGATGACAGCACGGATTCTACGGCTACTTCGGACACCAATGGCGACAGCAACCAGTCTACACAACCAAGCAGCACGGCGTCCGAGGCTGACAAGGACGAGACGACGACGGCAACTCAGGACGCGGAGGCTGCCAAGCCGGAATCACAGGATGCTGCTGCTGCAACTACCGAGACCACCCCCATCGCAGCTGCACCTGAGACCATTGTCAAGGATGAGGCTGCTGCTACCATTGATCGCAAAACCAAGTTAGAGCTCTGGCAAGAGATCAAGATCATGAGCTTCACCCGTACAGTCACGGCGCTCTACTCGCTGACTTTCTTGACGCTGTTGACGCAGGTGCAGCTCAATCTTCTTGGTCGCTTCACCTATGTTTCTTCGGTGATCGCTCTCTCCAACACCACCGACGCTTCCTACCGTGTCGATGCGCCTGCAGTCAAGGGATCCTTGTCATCAACCGCAGGTCAATTGGACTTTCAGACTGAAAAGAAGTATCTGACCTTCAGCTACTGGCTTCTGCATGAGGGCTGGCGCCGCTGGAGCGAGAAGGTCCGCGACGTAGTTGAGGATGTTGTCGGGGGGTAAGTTGAATGTTTCGTATTTTTATTATCTGTTTATGACCTATATTGCGGTCCTACGTGAAAATCATAGTTGCTAACGAATGAGCTCTTGTGAATTGACATGTGTAATAGTATCTCGCTGAAGAAGACTTTTACGTCCAATGACTTTTCTGATCTCCTTGAAGAGATCCGTTCTCGTCTCGAGTACACCAAGGATATGGAAGGCGAGCGTGTCCCAGTCAAGTAAGCATGGATCCTCATTGCTTCCTCTCCTCACTGGCTGTTTTCTTCAGTACATGTTTTATTCTTCCCACAGTAGTTCTAACCACACTCTTTCTTTCCCTTGCCCAACTTTTCTTTTGCAGCATGCGTGAGTACATGCTGCCTGATGAGGCATCAGACGAGCGTGAGGTGCTGCGTGCAGGCGGCGTGGACGAATTCGATCTGGTGGTAGACCCAGTGCTTCGGAACTTGTTGGATGAGACCCGCGATTTCATTGATAGCGCCGATTTTACTACCGTCCTCAGCTCAACCTTGACCGCGACTTTCGCCCGCTTCAACCTCGCCCTCCAACCCACCTTCAACCCCTTCCTCCTCTCGCCACCTCAATCTGGAAACAGTGCAGTGATTGCAGAGATTGAGGATGATGAGGATATTGACCGTGCGGTGTCCCTGGTGACGTTGTTGCCATTGGTCACAAGACAGGTCCATTTGGTTATCAACGGTGTTCCCAACGAGTATGTCGAGAGTCTGGCGATGGTCAAGGAATTGCAGGCTTTCTCTGCCATTGTGTATTCATCTTTTAGCGAACAGCTTACCAATCCCTAGATACTGTGAACAAATACTAATCAAATGCGCACAGCAGACAGACGAACAATTGCACAGTTGATGTACTCGCGTGTTTGTGAATTGAGATGGGCTAAGAGTCTCTTGCTCGGTCGCGCATATTTGTAGAAGAGAAGAGAGAGGAAGACGCAGTGTGCTGAGAAAGCGAAAGAGCGAGAGAAGCACACACTCTGGCCAATAATCGTCGCCATAGTTTACGTCCCTGGCACCTGCGTGCTGTTCTATCTTGCAAAGATGAGAGGGAATATGTCGTGTTTGAAAGCTCCGCTCATGGTTAAATCCATGGCCACTAGGATTCTGTGTTAGTGACTGTTCCTCGATGGCGCCATCAGGAGTTGATCTGGCATATATAGCCTGTGGAATTTGCCCATACCGTCTTCTAAGTTGCTCACCTTTTCTCTTTTGTTTGTTTGTTTCCACACACACACACACTCTCTTGTACACACACACACACTTCCATTCAATTGCTTCCATCCTTTCCATCCCTTCTCATCTCTCCTTCCATCCTTTATAAAGAACAACGCGCACCTCCACGAACAAAGATGCCTTCTTTCACTTCTCTCGCTATCCCCGCTCTTTACCAGACCTCACGCCAGTTCGTCCCTCGCTCCATGGCCGCCACTATCCGTCAAGCCCAGTTCGCGTCCAAGGCCTCCAAGCCCGACCTCGTCACCTACGAGGAGATCGATACCCTCATCCACCAGGGCAACAAGGTACCTTTGTCGCTTCCTTTGCCACCCTTCTCTTCTTGACATTCAAAATCTCTCGAGAAAAGACAGAACAACGACCGAACTATCTCGACCCCTGAGAAGCAAGCAAAGTGAACCTGCATACTTACGCACATTTTTTTCTCATTTACTGCACTAATGGCGTAATAATTTAGAATGTGTTGTTGATCGATGTTCGTGAACCTGGCGAGGTTGCTCAGGGTGTCATCCCCACCTCGCACCACGTCCCCTTGGCCAACATCCAGGAGGCTCTTGCTTTGCCCGACAAGGAGTTCGAGGCTCGCTTTGGTGAGTGTCCCCTCTTTCCCTCTCTCTCTCTCTCTTTTCACCTTTGATCAATTCATCAAGACATCCCAAACCGATCACTTCCCGGAACAAACAATCTTTGACACACATCACAACACAACAACAACACTCATGAGAGGGTCGACTTCTCTGATATACACACACTCTGGCCTGAAGCATCCCACGCGAATTGCACTTGCAAGGTCAATGACCATTCCAGATACTTGCCCGTGCTCAGTCAATACCTTTGCTTCGTGGGAGAACAATTGACAAATTGAGTTCCATAAGCAACAAAAAAAAAGTGAGGGGCATGACCAAAAAGGAAGTGCCGTCAATGTGGGGTGAACCAGGCGAGCAAGCGGACTACCAAAAGGTGCAAAAGACAACCTAGCCTTTGTGACTTTGTGTACTGTTGCAAGGACGAGAAGGGGGGGGGGGGATACGGAGGACTTACGAGTGAGTCACTGTCGGAAGAAGAAAGAGGAGACTCAACTGATGACGCCAGATGAGGACATATGTCCTTCCTTCTCTGAGAAGGATGGATGTAGTCCATTCCTACGGACTTGACGGGGTGGAATTAAATGGCCAACATTACCTTTCGGACATTTCCTCGTTTCTACTCTCAGCCTCTTCTCCTATCTCCTATCTTTATACCATCGACACAAACAATATTTGGATAACAACTATCGGAACCTGACAACTAACCCCCTCGTCTTATTCAATTACAACTACATAGGATTCAAGAAGTTCGGGAAGGACGATGAGGTGATCTTCTACTGCAGATCAGGAAGACGCTCAGGATTGGCCTTTGACCTGGCCAGACAGCTCGGATACAGCGGCGCTCGCAACTACTCTGGAAGCTGGCTCGACTACGAGGCCAAGGCCAAGAAGTAAATTTCTCGTCTTTACCACGCGTCTCACTTTCTAGCATAGTAGCACGTTTTGCTACTACTACACCCTACACGTTACATCTCCCCTTTTACCTTCTAGCTATTTTGTGCATATTATCCTTTTTCCTTTTCTCTCTCTCTCTTGCTAGTTTCTCACCCCACATTTCCCTACTCTTCTTACACAACCTTTTTTTTGAACCCCTGTACCATAATAAACCCAAATAATACCATCAAAAAAACTGTTGTTTTCATGCATGCAATTGAATGCTCCCATGGGCATCCCTCAACTCTATGTGTGACATTGACTTTGCTTTCGCACAAACACAAGCACACACACACGCCATCACTCCCTCATATTACACACAACGCACACAGCTGCAGGAGGTGCAGACGGCGCACAGGACAGTCCATGGGTTTATTACGAGCAAGCAAGTGCCTGAATTGGGCGCGAAACAACCATAGGCCATTCTTCCCTCTCTCCCCTTGCATCATTGCTTACCTTCCCTGCCTGTGGGCAAAGCGAGAGAGAGCAAGAGTGGCTTGTTCAACCCCAACCATTGCTTATGAATCCATCGTTGCATCGCGTTGCAAGCCACACATCTCGATGTGACAGGTCGGATCTCTTGATGCGATCCACTCTCTTCTCTCTCTCGTCTCTCGCTCACTTTGCGTATGCACTGTATGTTGACTGTTTATGGCAGGAGAGGGTATGTTCTGGCTTCCCCTTTCATTCTGTAAGTCAATCAATGGGCGCTCGTTGATTGACCTTGCATCATGATATGTGATGCTCTCGAATCCAGTCCAGAAACTTTCATGGGCGCTGATGATGTGCTGGCTGCTCTCCCCAACTTCTTCATTATGTTCTCGATCGGTCCCTAGAAAAAACCGTATGTCTGAGTGAGCACAAACAAGTGAGTAAGAAGAGGTGCTAGTTTGACAACCGGACTCCGATCCAAAAAAAACAGCCCCTCCCCAATTGTCCATTCCCCATTGTTCTACAACGCTCATCCCCCCCTCCTTTTCTTCCCTTGCCGAAGGCTATGCATGCTATGCCTCCCTGCTGGACACATGTACATGTACACGGGTACAAGTAAAGTGTTCCATCCAGGAACAAAGGGGGGGGGGGACCATAGGGTTTAACGGTATTTGAAAAAGAGGGTAAATAGAGGGTAAACTTTTCTCGTTTTGCTCATTTTCGTGGCTCCCTTTGGTTCCTTCTCTTGTTCGGATTGCCGAGCAAAAGCGGAAAACACGAAAAAAAAGGAAAGGTACCGGGGGTTGGCGCGGACCCCTATTTGATAATTAGGCGCGCGCATATTTTTGTCTTGACTTGGATGGGACCGGCGCCTATAAAAAAAAGGGGGGAGGGGGGAATGGACCAGAGGGCATGAAGACGAAACATAACGGCGCCAAAGGAGGGGTATGGAAGCGGGACAAAAAAGGTTTCGATAGGTAACGACTGACCAGTGGCCATGCTAACTTGAGACCTTGCATTAGACAGAGACACCTGAGAATAAAAATCCATGGGCAATGGGTGAAAGGTTGCCGCTTCATTCGACTTTGGTTTTCCTTTAGACTCATGGTCATAATGCATAGTTGAGGATTTAAGTTGGGAGTCTATGTATGTGTTTGTGAAGAAGAGAGTTTTGTGGACAGATGAAGGGGAAGGAGGAGGATGCCGTAAAGTGTGTGAGAAAGTGGACTGAACTAGAAAACACAGTTGCGATTGAGTTGATTCCTTCTGGCTGCTGCTGCATGTCGTATCCATGAATTGAGGGTTGAGATACCTTGGTAAAAAACGGCAGCACCATTGATGCATTGCCCTACAACGAGGAAAAGAAAAAGAGCGACAAATGGAGATGCTGAGTGAGGAATGTGAGCATTTGGGGCGTAAAATCGACCCCTCTTCTCACCATCATCATCATCGTGACCATCGGCATACCTACCCATGCCCCAGACCGTTTTCCTTTGGAATGTAATGTAATAATCCGGAACAGCTCCCAATGGTGGGTGCGCGCGTAATAATAATAAAAAAAACGCGCCCTTATCACCATCCCCTTCTATCCGAAGGGTCGATCGCCCTTTTTTTCTTGATGGATAGAGAGATTGGGGCTATGACTCTTTCGCGATTTCATTTCTTTTCTCGCACTCACCATGTCTATCTGTCCTCTCTATCCATTTTCTTGGAGAGAAGGTGCAAAAGGAAAGGCATTTCCGCTTCATTTCAATTGCGCAACGAGAGAGAACAGACAGGCAGAGAGAGAATGAGAAGAGAGAGAGATGGGCTCATCTAATAAGAACGAATGAATGAATGAATTGTATGTGGTTGTGCCTTGGGCAACGTAACATTACCCAACCTCTTCTCTTGTTCTGTGTTTCGCCCTAATGTCTTCCGTCCCAGTGACTCCGATCGAGATTCCCTCCCTCCTATCCCTTCCCCTGCCGTGTCCGTGGTTCACAGTCAGCCAGCCAAGGCAAGACATGAAAAAAAGACGCCTGAGTGCCGCGCATGGTCCACAATCCTTGCCTGTCTCTACTATCTGGGACGCACTCTTCTCTTCATCCTCATCCAATTTCCCACTCCAATCATCTGCCTTATACCTGTTTGTTGTTTTGGCTCACTATTCCGCTGATAAATTGCAGTCTAGAATCATGTAACAAACAAGATGTTCACTTTGTTGTTGTTTGTTGCTGTCTGTTCTGGTATGTTTTCCTCTTTAACCCTTCTTCCACTTGACCTTTCCATTTACGCCAACATGACCTTGACTTCAGTCCGATCCAATTGATAGCTCACCCCCTCGACCCCCTTGTCTCGTCACACAAATGCTCACTTTCTTGTTTTTTGATCGCTTATCGGACAGAGGATGTGAAAACTTTAACCTTGCGAGTCCATAGATGAGGAGGTTGAAGCGTTCCATTTAATTTTGTTTGTTGAATATCTCCACTCTCGCTCTTTCTCTTTGAAGTTTGATCATGAACACCAAACATCACACAGAGCGTGTTTGTTCTGGAAGGAAAGTGCGATGGAAAGGATGGGGAACGAACGAGTAAACCGATAGGCCAAAAAGTAAAAGTCAAAGTTTTGGCTGGCCGACCGGCTGCTGTCTGGGCTTTCTCATATCCGTTTTTTATCTGTCAAGCGACTGAGAATGGTGTACGATTGAATTGAAGGGCAAAGTGGACATGGGGGATGTGATGTATGTCTCTGTCTCCGAGTGTGTGTGTGTATATATGTGTGAGTCTGGTCTGGATGTGAAAAAAGTAAAGTATGCAGCAAACAAAAAACCAAAGGCATGTCAGGCCCCAATGCAGAAAGTGCTCTCTACTTCATATTCAAATCCATATTCATTCATTCATTCATTCTCTGATACTCCTTTCCCTTCCTTTTCTTCCATTCCCTTCTCACTCTTCCACTTCCTATGCTCTCCCACTTCCGTTACTTTATTTTCCGCCCCTCTTTCTTCCTCGGGCGATTGTCATTCCTTTCTCTTTACTCTTCTTGTCCTTTACGGTCTGTTTTTTATTTCCACACTCTCTATCCACGCCCACTTTTCCTTCCCTTTCTTGTCTTCTTTCTTTTATCTGCTCTCTTCCTCTTCCTTCTTCTCTCTTCTTTCTTCGTCTCATTCGTTCGTTCGCTCCCCTCGAATCCAACTCCTCGGTCTCGTCCTCTTTCAACCGATAACATCCAGCAAACCAGCAAAACTGTCCTTCCCCCTTTCTTCCGTTTGTTCGTTCACTCCCTACACTCCTCACTCTACCTTATACTCCTCCTCCATATGACTCCTCATGGCGTCATATAGATCCCTATATATGTCAGCCTCTCCTCTCCCACCAACATATACACCCCCACCAAAGTCCCGGACGTCCATCCCAGGTCGTCTGGACTATCGTCGCCTCCTCTTCACCCTTCTCAGTCTCCACTCATTACACTCCTTCTCCTCCATATCAAAACCATCATCATCACTCTTCGCCGATGCGGCGATATCATGCACATATCCAAACTACTTGACCGAGGTCAAGGCCGGAGACACCTCAGTCCTCTCCTGGCAGGTTTCGAACGTGGACATCGCTAGCTACGACAGTCTATCGGCTACCCTCTACTGCATGGATCTCAACGGTCCACAGGGTGGGATGTGGAGAACCATCAAGACCATCTTCTCGAACAAGGGTCTCGTCAGCACCCAAGGCGAAGTCAAGTTCTCGGTCCCCAACTGCGGTGCCCTGGCTAACAACGCCGCTATTCGAATCGTCGCACTCGGTCAAGGGTCTGCTACCCAAAACGATGCCTGCTATTTCCAGATGGATACCAAGGCTGCCGTCAATCCTCTTCCTACCACTACTACTACCACCACACAAGCAGTCGTTCAACCCACTACGACAGCCACTAAAGATCCTCCCGTAGTCACTACTAATAATCCCACAGGAACTCTTCTCCCACCAATGACCCCTCCCGGCACTATTTCCACCATCTCGGGCCAACCCCCTACGACAGCAACGACACTCACAAACGGTTCTCCTTCAGTAATGCCCACCATCGTCACGACCATCTCCGGCACTGTTATCAGCATCCCTTACCCTCCTACCAAGCCCTATCCACCACTCCCACCGTTACCTCCTGTCGAGGTGCCACCGTCTTCAAGTGGCGGCGGCAATGGTCAGACCAAAACGCTCCTGGCGAGTATCTGCTCGGCCGCTGCACTCGTGATCATTGTCTCGCTCTTGGTCCTGAGAAGGCGGAGGTCAATGCGACAAGGTGGACGCGGTATCAATGGAAGCCACGGAGTCAAGCTGCCCCATCTCAAGCTCCTTCGCAACCGCAGCAAGTCCGATCAGAAGGAGGGCCGCTTCCACCTCATGGACGACGATGATGACTATAATAACCCTGAGATCGATCGACAGGTCGCCACCGCCGCCGCGTCGAAATATCTTCAGCGGTCCCCGTCCCAAGTCCAGCCTCCTCCTGAGCCTGTCCTCATCGACCTCTCCGAACCGGCTGAGAAGAGTGATCCACAGTCCGCGAGTCATCGGGACTCGAGTCTTTCCTATCCTCCCACGGCCCATCTGGACCCTACCTGGCGCCGGTCAACCTCTTTCCCCTATGACTGTGTTGACGATGAGTACACCATGTCATCAATGCGGTCAAGTTGTGAGACCTCCTCAGTAGTCCGCGAGTACTGGGCGGCCTCCATGGCTGCCCGAACCGAACGTCGTCTTGAAGGCTACCCACCAACAATCGACTTTTACGACGAGGGATCAGTCTTTGGAGACCAACAGCGCCGGACGCCGTCCTTCTCGTCCATGTCGCGTAAGGCCGAGATCTTGACACTCGATTCTGCGTCTATTGCCGAGTCGAATGTCCTCCCAGCAGAAGACGGATTTCTAAAGCGCCACTACCGCGACACCATGAACTCTGTCCAGAGCTACCTCCAGCGTTCCATGACCATGAGTCTCTCGAGTCTCCATTCGACCTTTACATCCTCATCTGAAGAAGAGAACTCGAGTGTCGGTGGTGGTGGTGGGGTTGGTTACGCGCCAAGATCGCGGGGCACCGGGTTCCGTCCTCCTATCGATAGCGAATTCTTGAGCCACCTCAATATCAAGTCCCTCCGGAGTGAAGAACGCCAACTCGAATACTACACTCACCTCTACCGCCAGAACCCGACCATGACCATGAGCACCGTCAACTATGATGATGGCTACGATGCCCCCGTAGCATCAATCGTGACGGGCACGGATAATGATAGTTGGAGGACTAGTTCTGTCCCCTCGCTGACGTCGACCAACGACCCGTTCAAGACCTTTGATTCGAACGAGATCTTGCTGGATATGGATCCTTTTGCCGACCAGCACGCCATTTCCTTCCCTCCTCTTCCTTCTTCCTCTTCTTCTGGAAGACGTCCTTTGTCGAGCGGTTTTTCGTCCACTAAACGGAATCCAGCGACCGTGGCAGGAAGTGGCAGTGGATCGACAGATACGACACCGACAAACAGCAGAGCGCTGATGGTCGTTAACATTTCCAGTCCTAGTCTAGTTGTGAATGCTGAAGAAGATGGGCGGTCCAACTCTACTCTCCTGGGCTCGTTCCCGATCCCTCCTCCTATCACATCTGAATCTGTGCTTGTCCGGTCGTCCTCTGGACATTCTTCGTCTACTACCCGCAGCTCATAGCCCCCCAACTGGTTCCTTCCAACACATACTTTGTCCTCTCTTTTTGATATCCCAATCTTGACATGACCTGTAGTGTGCCTCTCCTCTCCCACAAAGAAAAATAAGAAAAAATAAAAAGACAACCAAAACAAAAATACAACAACTTGCCTTTCCCCTTCCTTTTCTTCTTACAACTTGAGGTCTACACGTGGAGTACACTGACTCGCGTCGATGGGAATAAAATTTTGCTATTCTTTTTCCTTTTACCTTTTGCCAGGATGAAGTCGACACACATTGCCAGTCCCGTAGTTTGTGTTTTCAAGTCGTGTAAGTAAACCACCTGCAAAAACAATTCCCGCCACCCCACCATCCTTTATTTATGCGAACTGGAGGGCGTGTGACATGCCACATGCCCAGGTAGCTGCTGCAAGGTACACAACAAGATCAACAACCAACAACTAAAAAAGGAGAACAGCTGTCGCAATGGTAACAAAAACATATACGATTGGATATCAGTCGTGTCGACGCCCTCCCTACATGACCGTGCACATACTTTCGGTATCACCAAGAGATAAAAGATAAAGCACCGCACAGACGGGAATAAAAGATGATGAACCTGGATGAGATAGCACAAATACATCCCCTGCTCCTCCACGGAATCTTTTTTTATTTTTTTTTGGCAACAGCCCAAAAAGCAAAGCATGCTTGAGAACCCTTTTCTTTTATGTTTTTATTCTAGTTTCTCGGCCTAAAAGTCAAAGAGAGGAAGTTTAATTACGATACGAGTTGGAACCTGCTTTGATTTAATCACATACATCCCCATATATACTTTTCTCATGCTTATGTTTGCGTCATTCACCAAGCAACGTCGTTAATCAGAAGCGGGGGGGAAAAAAAGATTACCAGAATCAAGAAAGAGTGTGCGATGTAGTTTTGTGTTGGATTTTACGTGAGAAGACTTCACAGTTCAGTCTGAACTTCGACCAGGAATGTTTTTTTATTCTTATGTTCTTCTCGGCTCTGTCACTCTGCATGAACATGTATGTGTCTGTAGGCATCAGTCAGGGTGATGGGATAAAAATAACCTCATTGTCGCTGGAAAATGGTCAACATCTTTTCAGGGAGGAGGGCTGCCTGTGTGTGTATGCGCAAGGACAAAGAACAGTAAGGAAAAGAGGATGAGGAAGAGGGGGATTTCGCCCTTGTACAAAGAAACGCGGGGGTCTATGGTAAACGCTAGCCAAGGAACCAGTCGGGAACAAGACAAAAATCAGGGAGAGAGTAGCACTTAGCCGAGCAGGAAGAAGAGACAAAAGAGAGTTGGTATCAGGGGAAGGACAGGAGTGGGACGATGATGAAGGGATCAGAGACAAGAGACGGAGGAATGTGATGACCCTTATTTTGTTACCAGCGGTGGTTTCCTTCTTCTTCCTCCTCCGTCACTCTAGGCTCTCGCTTAACATATGAACATGACAAACATTCAGCAAATGACGAACAGAGCAGTCTTTGAAGAAGGATATGTTATTATTAATCGAGAGTTATTGTACTGGTATGAGGATGTGTAAATGTAAATATGACTTGTAAAGGTGACCATGGATTGAAGGAGGTGGAGAAGAGTGAAGAGAGAAAAGATAACAAAACAAGGCGAATGCGCCACTCAGGGTGTAAGATAGAAATGATTAATCAGAGAATTAAGGTGAAACAAGATAATGCCTTCTGATTGGTGCTACACAGTGAAGAGATGCAACAGCCAAGGGTCCAGTGGTGTGGGTGTGCCTGAATTGAACGATGGCACGACCACCAAAATAAACACACGGCACTGTGGCACTGTACCTTTCGTGTGCCCATAGACAACACTCAGGATTCAATCTTTGCCGTCAGTCGCATCGCATGGCAGGCACCCTTGGCTTGTTCCTTCCTCTCCATCGAGACCAGAACCAAACGTCCCCCTCCTCCCCTCCCACTTCCCCTGGTTGCGAATGTCTTGATGTTGATGTTATTTCTCAGTCCAATCTCCGTCCTCCGCTCGTTGGTCCTGTCCATTGTCTTTTTTTTAGGGTTTAGAACAAATGGTTGGTGTTGATTCCTGGTGCAGGGGAACTGGCGGGTGATCGAGTCGAAGCCAGGGATGTTGATGGTACAGATGCATCAGTGTCGACCGAGATCGACTTGAGTGGCACCTTGGGCACAGAGGTGACAATGGGCAAGAGTGTGGTAGGAAGGGCAAAGGCCGAGTGAGGTGCTGGTGTGGGTGTGGTGGGGGCCGAGGTCTCGTCTGCGGTGGTGTATCCATCGGGGTTCTGGGTCTGCCAACGCCAGAGATCGTCGCACATGTCCTGCATGGTCTTTTCTGCCTTCCAGCCAAGTTCCTTGAACGACCGCGAAGGATCTGCAATCACGGTACCAACATCGCCTGCCCTCCGGCCAACGACCTTGTATGGCAACGATCTTCCGACAGCCTTGGACATCGTGTGGATCATGTCCATGACGGAGTATCCAATACCCGATCCCAAGTTATAGGCGACACAACCTAACAATCTACCGGTGTTCTTTGCTGTCTCGAGCTTGTTCAGCGCAGCAACGTGTCCACGGGCAAGGTCAACAATGTGAATGAAGTCGCGGACTCCGGTGCCGTCTGGGGAGTCGTAGTCGTCACCAAAGACGCTGATGACTGGGCGACGGCCAATTGCGACCTGAGCGACAAAGGGCATCAGGTTGTTGGGGATACCGTTGGGGTCCTCGCCAATCTTGCCAGACTCGTGTGCGCCGACGGGGTTGAAGTACCGGAGGAGGATAATGTTCCACTGGTCGGGCTCGCTGATGGCAATGTCGGCAAGAATCTCTTCGATGTACTGCTTGGTGCGACCATAGGGGTTCAAGGCTCCGATGGGGGCATCCTCATTGATGGGGTCCTTGGAGGTGGGGAGGCCGTAGACGGTGGCGGACGAGGAAAAGATCAAGTTCTTGCAGTTGTACTTTTGGAGGAGCTGGATGAGGTTGAGGGAGCCGGTGACATTGGTCTGATAGTAGCCAAGAGGGATTTGGGCAGACTCGCCGACGGCCTTGAGGCCGGCAAAGTGGATGCAGGCAGAGAAGGTGTAGAGTTGGAAGACATGCTCCATGGCAGCAGCGTCGAGGAGGTCGACCTTGTGGAAGACCAGGGAGCCCCTGTTATCCGCCAGGACCTTGGCACGGTGGAGGGCCTCCTCGGACGAGTTGCAGAGGTTGTCAATGATGACCAGGCGCTTGCCCAGGGAGAGGAGCTGGACAACAGTGTGAGAGCCAATGAAACCGGCGCCCCCGGTGACAAGGATGACCTCCTGGTCGTTGTTAGTGTTTTGAGTGGCGAGACTCATTGGCTCTTGCAGGCCGGAGAAGGTGTTGTGTGGAATGGTGGAAGGGATATGAGATGGTGAGTACCCCGGCCAGCAGGACAATCGAAAACTAGGGAAGAGATATTAGTGTTGAGAGAGGGATAGGGGAAGAGATGAGAAAGTTTCTCTGTTGATGATGAGGGAGGAGTGGATGATGGCGTGAAAAGAAATGAAGGAGTTGATGAGGGCTGAGATGGAGCAGCGGTGGTGGGTGATTAGCGGAGGGAGGTGAGGAGATGTGGGTTGAGGAAGAGAAGGAAACGGTGAGGAGAGAGAGGGTGAAAAGAGGAGGGAAGATGGAAGGAATGGTGTAGGAAAGACAAAGGAGAGAAGGAGAAAGGAAAGAAGAAGAAGAGAAAGAGAAGGAAGGTGGAGGAGAAAAGAAAAGAAAAGAAAAGAGAAAAAAGAACGACGGAAGAAGGGACAACAGACAGACCGGCGGATGGACAGGAAGGAGATAACACATGGAGCAGGGAGGGCCAGGGCCAGGCAACTGGTTGGCAACCACAATTTATTCTTGTAAGCGTAGTGTAAAAAGAGTAATAATAACAATAATACCTGTTCAAACAAATAAAGAACAGGCGGGGTTAGGAGAGAGCGAATGGCGACTATTCAACGAGAACCACTACATAACCCTTTTTGCTGCTGCTTACTTCTAGGGCACACTCCCTTCGTGGCAACTGCTGTATCCAGTTCCTTTTTCCATCATAAGAGAATGTAAATGCACAGGCAAAAGGAGGTAGAGATGACATACCAGGCCATCCTATGCCTTGCCATGCTAACAACAACCGCGACAGAACATCGGTCGGGCAAGAAAGCAAAAAGAATGGCAAAGGCGACGATGCCTGTCATTGTAGTTCTTCCAATATTGGTTCTTGATAACCAATCTCTCTTTTCTACTTTCCTTTTTTCACGTTTCCCTCATCCTCTCTCTTCTCTCCTCTCCCGTTGCCTCCTTCTCTCACCTCTTTTGTCTCTTCTCTCTCGCTTCCGCCTTTTCTCTCCCGGGTCGGGTAACCGGCATGGCCATGATCCCCGATGCACATCCACACACAAACGCTGAAAAAATGTCAATCCAGGGGAGAAGGCAACAGAGAGGAAGGGCCTTGGACGTCCGAAATGGAGCTAAGAGGGGATAGTAAGACACTAGGAAGAAGGCAGGACGCTAAAATGGAGGTACCCGTGAACGAGAAAGGAGGTATGTACATTTTAGATGGCTAATGACTAAAAAAAGGGATTGGCCACAAAGAAATGAAGAACGGGCAAAGAGAACGATAAACCGGTCATTGACAATGGAATAGATAGACGTGCATGGACTCGGAAGGAGAGATGGAGACAGAAACGAAGGACAAAAAATGACGGACAAAAAAAGGCGAACTAGTCAGAGCGTGAGAGAGACGGACAGAAAAAGATCCAGTGAGGTGGGTTTTGGCTGCCACATGGACCTGCAGATGCCGCTGCAACTTTCTCAACTGGGCAGCCAACGAACACAACAAAGAGAAAACCTGTGCAGATGAACTCAACTTTCTTACATCCACCGACTTTCTCACCGACCTGCAGCATTCATTCGATTTTACCCAGACGAGCAGCAAAAAGAAAACATGCCATAAATACGATAGCCTTGCGCCAAGTTCTTTTGAAGAGGCCGAGCAACAACAACAACGGTTGGTTCAAGTGTTGCCTTTCTTTCATGAAAAGTTGGTGTGATTGTTGCTCCTCCCACTACTTTACTCTCGTGCTCACTCTTTTTTTTACTTTTTTTTGCTTCTGTCGGAGTAAGGCCGATCAAGCAAGTGGGGGGGGGGGGGATGCTCAAGTGTGCAGTAGACAACAGAAGACACATAAAAGTGTAAAAAAGATTGCCCATTGGTGAAGCAAGGTAAATTAATGCGCGCAGCGTGGGTCCCCCGTCCACCATGACAACAAAACATGAACTCTAACAAAAAATTCAACAGTGCTCTCTTGTTTGTTGTTGCTACAATCGAACCGTTGCGTCCGTCCCAACCGTCGACTGATACGAATGAGATAAGAATGGGCAGACGATAAAATGTGGTATGTGTGGATGGGCGCGTATTGTGGTCGCTGGATGCTTGTGCACACTTTTTTAATTGAACGTCTATGTGTGTTGAAGTAACTTGTTTCTATCAGTCTAAATGAGGTAAGGGTATTATTATTTGTGTGAAAAAGGAAGAGAAAAAAAAGCGTCGGTTGAACTATCAAACGCAGGTTCACTCGATGTAGAGTCCATTCTTCTCGATAAGCTCCCGGACCGAGGGAAGGACGCACCGGTCGACCAGGGTCCAGTCCTGACTCTTGATCGCATTCCTCACCACCGTCGACGACATCTCTTTGACCTGAATGCCACGTGCACTCGTCTTCGTCGTAGTGGTCTCAGCTCTTCCTCCTCCTCCTCCTCCTCCACTGCCAATTTCGCCTTCGATGGCTAGAGCGCCAACCTTCTGTTCTTCTTCATCATCGTCATCAGGGATATCGACCAGGGTGACCTTCTTGCTGTGCCCACTCGCCTCCACAAACTTCATCATCTCATCTCGGGTACCGTACCCGGGCCTGGACGAGCAAATCACATCGCATTGTTCGAAGAATGGGGCCATGTCCGCATGGACATCATTGTAGTACTTGGGGTCAAAGAGTCGAGTCATGGTGTCGTGACCCATAATCCATGAGAGCTGGACAGTGTTGGGTGGGTAGTTGTCCAAGATCGGTTGTGCCTTGTCCATAAATCTCGCATGTATCTAGTGCGATAGATAGATAGAAGTAGATTAACGGTTATTTGGCTATTCTTATTTTACCATGTTGTATACGTATGTGCGCACCGAGTCACACTTAGGCACACAAACATATACAAAAGAGACGACAGAACGTCGCAAACCTCCACTCTCACTCTTGCCTCTACAGAAACTTACAGTGAGTCCAACGGCCGTATGACGAAGAGTAGGGTCCTCTTTCTCATTGCGAATGGAGTCCATAGCCATAGCCTCCATCATCTCCAGTCGCTCAACAGCTCCTGCACCTGTCTGGCCCTTGTCGACGTTGTTGGTCGCAAGCAACAGCAACACAGCATCACACCCGACTCGAGCGGCAGCCTTGAGGAGCTGATAGTGTGCCTTAGTTGGAGGGTTGAATGACGAGTCGAGGACTGCTATCCTGGTTGGGCGAGTGGTGGATGCAGGGCGATCGATTGTGAATGGCCATGAGCTTGTTGCGGTGAGTGTGGTCTGGAAGGGTTTTGGGGGCAAGTCCTTTGCCTTTGCGAGGGCGAGTTGGAGGAACGGCTTGCGCATTGATAAGAACGAGTGGTGGGTTGTGGTCGTTGTGGGGTGAGGGGGTGAGGAGGATGATCCTCATTCAACTGCGAGATCTTTTTCTTGAACTCTCTTTCTCCCATGCAGGTCAGCCAGACCAGGGAGTCAAGTGTTCATCAAGCAGTCACCACATCTAATTCAATATTTCAGTCCATGCGTCATGCCATCCTCATTAGCAAAACCTTACTCAGGATGCTGCTTTTTACCCTCCATCATGATTACTGTAGCAACAACCTGGCCTTTACCTTAAAATGAACCCCAGCCAGCTTGCCAACTACAGCAGTCAGCATTGGCTTAGATCATCTATGAGCGCAAGAGCAAGAGATGTTCCTTCCTCATTCCTTTCTTTCTCGAAAATCTAGAGTTTCCATCGGGAGTTAGGAAAATAAACGAAACGAAACGATAGAAGTCAAGCTCTCGTGAAAGGAAGGGAAGGGACCGGTTCCTGAGAAGGGCTACCCAGGGCATCCATCAGCTCTGGTTCCCTAGGCTCCAAGTGGAGTGATCCTATCCAATTCATTTTACACACTCATCCGGATCTACATGGGAACAAACGCAGGAATAAAAAAAAAACAATGAACAGTTCCTGATTGCATTTGAAAGGTGTGCGACCCAGTCGAAAAAGAACTTCGGGAAACATGTGTCTCAATATTTTGACTTTAACCATGTTTCACTTCACTTGGGCAGGGGTGGAAACTCTTTTTGCACGACTGTTATTCCTTCGTTCCTTCTGCCCCGCATACACACGCATACTTCACAGACTCACAAGCACGCACACACTTTTCACACACAGACAATCGTTTTTTTTGGCCTTCCTCGGTAAAAAAAGTTATAAAACGAAAGAAACGCCCACTTTTTTGCTCCTTGCCCCATTTCACGCCTTCCCACTTTCACGCTCCCTTCCCTCCATCCCCCATCCCCCATCCCCTTCCACTCCCTCGTCTACCTCCACTCTCTCTCTCTCTCTCTCTCTCTCTCTCTCTCTCTCTCTCTCTCTCTCTCAACGCTACTTCCTTCACCTCCTCCTTCCTCTCATCACTACATACCGATTGCCTTTTTCACACTCCTCTCTTTTCGATAATCAACCCTCCTTCCCATCCCATCCCATCCTCCTCATACACAGCCATAACTCCCTCACCATCACCATAATGGCACTCAAGTCCCTCTTCACTTTGGCAACAGCCTTTGCTCTTCTGGCCGTCTTGGCCGAGGCCCATTCCTGGGCTGACTGCGTCGACTGGCGCTTCAACGACCCAGCCAAGCCTGGTATGTCCATCCATTCTCCCCTTCTCTTATCTGTGCAATATCACCTTCCTCTCTTTTTACCCCTGTCTTCCTTCCCTTCCCTCCCTTTGAATTAATGGTGCCTGAAAACACAAAAAGGGTAGAGATAAAGTATCATCCGAAACGCAGCCAACCATACACCCAAACCCAGTTGGTGTTATCATCAACGCACACTAGTGTTCCTTGTCTTACCCAGCCAACCTTTTTTTTTATGGTGACGGTGGTACTCATTTCTTTTATATTTTTTACGCCTTCACTGCCGACACGGACAGAGAATTACAACCCGACAATCCACGCATCCTCCTCTCCCTCGCCGCCCGTCCTCTACCTTTCTTTTTGTTGGGATTGTTTGTCACTCTTTCCCACTTGCGCACTCGAGACACTCTTGTTCACACCCTCGCAAACAATGACAAAGATACATACGAACAAAAAACAACTAGACATCCGCAATATCACTAGCGTCCAAAACAAACATCCAATTCACAACATCAGCAACAACATAAGCAACACTTAGACGCGTTAGGTCATTGTCATTCACTGCTCTCATTTTCACACCTACCCTCTTTCTCTCTTCTTCCTTGGCTCTCATAACATACGCGCCCACCCTCCCTCCTCATCTTCCTATCCCTCAGCCATATTGTTGTACCACAACAAACAAAGGCCAACCTTTCGAGACTATCCACGTAATTAATCTAACTCGTCGTCCATTCTTATTCATCTTCTTTCCCCCGGTAAAACTCACAACCATCAAAATATAGGGTGGACGGATAAGCACGGCAAATGCCACGGATGGGCGCGCCAATACCCCGTCAACTCTGGCGTCCGCTTCGGCGGCCTAGACTCCTCATCCCCCAACCGACACTATCAACAGGATACCAAAGATTTCATCCCCTGCTCCGACAAGTACCACGGCAACGAACCCGGTGCCGACGAAACCCGCCAGAACCCCATCTCTCGCGCTTACGGAGGCCGCTTCGGCTCCATGGCCTCCGTAAAGGCCGGAGACAGTATCTGTGTCCGTTGGCCGGCCAAGAACCACGCCGTCAAGAATGAGCGGGATCGTGGGGTGTTCATCAACATGCCTCCTGCCCCAACCGCCCGCGACCCAAACCAGTCCCAGTTAATGAAGATGACAATTGCGACCTTGAAGTATAAGAACTGTAACCAAATCTCTGGGGATTCCGATCATACTCCCTGTGGTGGATGTTTCAAGATCCCCGATAACCGGGTTGCAGGAACTTATTTGGTCCAGTGGCGGTGGGAGTTGAACAACGACGAGTGGTATACCTCTTGCTGGGATTTGCAGGTCACTGCAAAGAATCCCCCCGTTCAGCCTGGTCAGCCTGGCGAGTCTGTTGCCCGACCCCTTGGTGGCTCGACCTCCATTTTTGCCGAGTTGGCCGAGGACTAAACGTCCTGTCTTTTGAGCTCGTGCAGAATACACACAAATCAAGACTTCCCTCCATTCACCTTTCCTTGAATCACACAAACAAGACAAAAATAAAAATAAATAAAAAAAGCCAAAAAGCTTTGGTTGAGGGCTGGACCTTTCTTCCATACACGACCCATCCTGACACACTGTGCATTGTTCAGTTAGTTCAAATAGTCGAAAGAGACGCGATTATTATTTAGCAAAAGTAGGGTGATGCGTAGGGTAGCAAACAAGAACAAAGCAAAAGAAATGAATAAGAGAAAAAGGGTAATAAAAACTAGGATTAAGGGAAGTTCTCTTGGTGGTAGCTCGCGGCTTTAAATAAAGAGTCGGTTCTTTTTTTTGGTTTGTAGCGAAATGGTACTGTTACTTGGCTGAAGCGCCAGAAGTAGCCGACGCGGCGCCGACAGCGGCAGCGGCAGCAACAGCAGCAGCATTCCGGCTCCAGAGCTGCATCTGTTGTTGATGATGCATCTGAGCCTGCTGCTGATGCCTCAACGAACTGGGTCCGTTCCCAGACGACCCATTAAGACTTGCTCCTCCAAACGGTCCTCCAGCACCTGCACTCACTCCTCCGCCCACCCCACCAGCGTTTCCTTTACTTAGCGTCAGCAACGGGTTGTTGACCACCGCCATGGCCGTCAAGGTTGTGATAGGTCCTGGTGGCGGACCGGACGCCTCTCGAGAGTTGTTCCAGAATTTGGGCCATTCGACCACCAGACCAGGGAACCGGAGAATCATCATTTGGGCCATCCCGGCAGAGATCCATTCGTCGTGGTGGTGACCCGAAACAGTGCTCGCATCCACAACCTTGCCGAGACTGAGACTGAACACACTAAAGTCGCCCGAGACCACGCCACATCCTCCACTCATGCCTCCTGCTGCTGCCGGGTTGGTACCCAAACCAAGACCAGGAACTCCTCCAGGCTGACCTGCTCCTTGTCCTGCGGCTCCTCCACCGTTGCCGTTGCCCTGCTGGGCATATCCTATTTTGGACTTGATGCCATAGGCATGGCATTGCGCCAACCAGTCGACATACTCGTTCAACACGGCAGAGTGCTCAGGAAGAGCGCGTCCGGCATAGGTCGTGAGGTGATCAGGGTACTTGCGAGACTGCATCTCGTACTTCAAGAACGATCCCGTAGGGGGACGTGGGTACGAGGTACCATATCCATCGCCACGGTGTCGGTACACATCTCCAGCCTGCTCATTGTAGCTGGTCGTCAGTGTCAACGAACTCAGCGACGAAGTTGATGACTGACTTGCCAGCGACTGGTTGGAGTACGGTGACCGATCTCCATTGCTAGATCCACTACCACCAGATACAAGTGCCGACAACTTGTTACTGCTACCGGAACTCTGGCCACCCATAAACATCCACCGGAACAAACTTCCTGCAGTGAGGGGGGTGGATCCTGTGCTGGCACGTTTGCTGCCCCCATTAGGATTGCCCTGACCGCCACCCACCAGGTTACCGAGAGTAGGGTCGTATGGTCCTGCATCACCATCTTGGAACGAATGTCGCTGCTGCTGGCCATCCGACCCAGCAGAGCTGTCGGGTCGACTGAGCCGTCTAAACTTGCGTGAAAGCAAGCTGGACCGACTGGACGACTTCTTGGCACGATCCTTCTCCTTGTCCTTGACGCTGTTGTCAGATGCGGCCAGCTTCTGGTGGGTCAAATAGATCTGCTGTGCCTGAAGTTGGTAGAAGGACCGTGCCCTCTCCTGGCTGTCGTCGTCGCCACCGTTGTGCATCATCATCCCGTCCGACAGGGATCGTTGCCGGGAAGGCGACGATTCTGCGGGTGAGCCTCCTGCGGTCGAGATGGAGGGGACATTCTCCAGACCAGGTGACGAGGGTGCTGATTCACATGTAAGGGATTCTGACTCCTTGTCGCTGATGCGTGTCGACATGACATCGGAGAGCTCGCCAGTGTATTGACGCTTCACCATGTCGATCCTGCTCTCCATCACCTCGAAAATATTCCTATTGAACAGAAAAAGGTCGTGGTTAGTAAACGCCACCAAATTGTTACAAAAAGCTGTAGCATCCGATTCAAAACAAAAGAGACATACCTCACGATCAGGCTGAGCGACGATTCTTCTGCCACAGAACCCCGCGAGGTAGGAGACGAGTCTTTCACCTTCTTCTTGATCGACGAGTCAGAGGTCGTCCCGGCATTCGACGACGCTGCCATCATTCCTCCCATCGGCACAGATCCATCCTGCATAGAACTCCGCGCAGAGGGTACCCACGCCCTGAATCCTGGCAACACGCCGACGCCGCCACCAATCCTCGCCACCCGCCAGACCAAGCATCGCATGTAGTACAGCCGGACGTTCCGTGCCCAGTGGAGAAAGCACTTTTCAAACACGTCTGGCGAAAGCAACGTGCCCAATGTGAGTTGCTCTAGTGTCTGGACAGTTCCTGTGAGAAGCGAAAAGTTTTGGTATATAAACGAGATGGTGCGCATCAAGGTCACAGTGTGATCCGAAGTTGTCAGAAGGAGGTGGAGAGTCGAAAGGATGAACTGGACGTGAATAGGGACAAAGATTATGTTGTGTCCTGTGTTGAGTGGTACTGTCGAGAGCTCGCTGTCGTAAAGTCGAATACATTCTCTAAAAATGTTATTGAGAAAAGTGCTCTTTATGTTAGCTCGGATACAATTAATTCCATCTGCAATTACAATATAGTCATGCGCAACGTACCTTGACTCCAGTTCAGCGATGAGCATGTCTAGAAAATCCAGTAGACAAAACACACTCTCCACATCATACACGCTTGTCCTTGTCACAACAGCCTTAATCCAAATGTCCAGCATGGCCCCATAAATATTGCCATGATCCTCCATGACCGCGACAATTGTCTCCACAAATCTCCTGGATGCCATGTCAAGCACCTTTGGCTTGCCATTCGTAGATCCACCGTTCGAATCCTTGCCATCTCCATTGGCCTTAACAGCCGGTGGGGCCGCTGTTCCCGGGAACTCTCCTGTCGCAACAGAAGCCATTGCACGATCCCTCTCGGCAGCACCATTCCCATTGGCAGCGTTGGGCTCAAACTGTACAATGGTGGTGACAGGGTGAATCTCGCGGTGAACCAGTCCCTCAATTTTGGTTAAAAAGAACGCCGACAGGTAAAGATACCCAGGTGCGCCTGCATAGACCTTGGGTGTGATCGCCGAGGTCGCCCAGCCACCAGCCTGAATCCGCTGCAGTGGCGCCTCCAAATACTGAGAGAGGCAGTGGTGGTAATGGCGGTAGAATGCAAAAAAGAGCTCGCTATCGTCACTCTGCCACCGACGAACCCAGTTTCCAAACATTTCCATGGGAGGTACAGAGTCGCCTGTTGCTGTCCTGCGCTTTTGATTCTCGAATTCCCTCCACCAGGATCCAGTTCCAGTGAAACAGACGGGTGCCAAATGTTCTGGGAAGAATGTCATGATCTGAGGCATCCCACAGTTCTCTCTAAATAGGTAAAATGTATCAAGCAGAGCAAGCGTGTGCAATTGGTTAGCAAGTTAAAGAAACAAGTTACCAGACCGTGAAATGCGCGTGTGATATGTTCCGGGCGCTGTATGATGACGATACATACCCGATAAGATCCATTGCTTTGGCCATGCGGCTAATGTAGGATCGGCTCGCAGGGAGTGCGTGGAGCAAACCAAACGCAACACCGGGCAACTTGAAGAAGCAAAGCGCCAGGATCTTTGCGCAAAAGGTGATCACATTCGAGTAAACGCCCTTCTGGTTCAGACGCTCGATTGCATACTGAAGCGACTGAGTCAACATCTTGCGGTATTGGTGAAATGAGGACCAGAATGCCCCAGAGTCCGAGAAGGGGTATCCTGATCCAAGGGTGGTGCTGGACGAGACCGAGGTCGAGGAAGAGTTGTGTTCTGTCACTGAGCCGTCCAAGAAGGTCCTGGCTGTTGATGGTGTTGTTGGTTTTGAAATGACATCCTCCAGACGATCTAGTGTGGGTGGGTGGTAACAAAACGGAAGAGCGCATCAGACGACTAGACTTGACGATGTCTATGTTCACGGTGGGAATATTCCATCCGGTCCTTACCAAACTCGTCGAACTCCTTCCTATGAACCAAACGAAAGAGAACGACAGGACGTTAATATCAGGCTGTTCAATAGATTCATTGATCCTTTTGGCAGTACGAATGTCTATCGTATCTCATCTTGGCCTTGACTGTACCTTGTCATGAGGGCAATGATACACTCAAAGTAATGACACCGATCCGTGTAGAGGGCATCTGGGAGCACTGCAAGAAGCGTCGTCCACCTAAAAGGTTGTGCACACAATGTAACAACGAATAAACCCGATGGTTAGTTGCACAGCATTCTCTCGTACTCGTGTAATTCGTTCATGAGTTTTTTATATTTTGCCACGGTCAATCCATTTTGAATGCGCTTGATCTCCATCCTCTTCTTTTGGCAAAGCAAAAAGGGTATATTTTTAGCCATTCCTATCCCCTCCATCCCCTTGCCTCCTCTTTCTCATGTCGTCAATGCGTCCTTCTTACCACTGCATAATAAGTTGCCTTCCTGTCTTAAGCGATGTCTCTGACAGCGAATCTATCACGGCAGCAAAGAAAAAAGCGAACGAGATAAAGATGAGTTTTCTATCCTTTCAGCCAAGGACAATCCTTACCCGTTTCAGTCAACACTAAGGGTGCCAATAGCGCAATATCCGCGAAAGGTGTAAAGAGATCATCCTTTTTACTGATTCGCTTCTTTTTTGTTTTACGCCTTTGAAAGTATCAAGAATCGGCTCTGTTTGTAACAGAGTGTGCCAAACACATCCTTCCAGTGACGGGATCATCAATGCAAACGACAGTCATTCCCAATTCGACCTTTGTCGTCAATTTCTTTACTTTTATCCAAGTTGCACTTTGCCTTTTCATCCATTCTTCCTTGTTGTGCTGTTCGTATGCATACCTAGACTGGGCTGGTCCTTCCTGAGCCATGGCAAGAGGCTAGTCTTAAGGACATCAATCCGGTATCGGTCCTTTTGGTGGAATCTACACGACATCAAAGAGATAGAAAGTCAAGTGGAAATTAGCTTTTTGTGCCTGTCCCGTACGCCTCTGCGCACTCCTTATTTTGGCTTATTGTTGTTGTTTTGGCTGGTGCATAGTGATGACATGCTTGACCAGACCAGATGTCGGTCAAGCGATCGAATAATAGGAGCTCTCAATCCCTCTGTCCCAGCCCACCTGCAATGCAAAACAAAAAAGAAAGAAAGAATAAAAAGAAGGAAAAAGGAAAGGAAAGGAAAGGAAAGGAAAAAGGAAAGGGGAACTTGGCATGAAGGCATTGACTGAATGGGCATTGACTGAAATAGATAAGTGCGTACCTTGCCAGTGAGCGCTCGAGGACCTTGTATTCCTGCTGGCCATTCTGTCCGATCCAGTTGCGCAAGAGTCGACTCTTGACCGATGGCCGCATATCTGTGCTGGCCGATCTTGAGTGTGAGCTGACCTTGGAGACAAAGGGCGGGGAGGAAGTGCGCGAGTAAGGTGGGATGATGATAGAGGTGGGAGGAAGATCGCTGCATGACTGTCGTCGGGCCATATTGATGTCAAGGTCTGGTAAACTGATCGTCCGTGTCTGTGTCAGTTGGAGAGGAGGTATCGTCGCTCTTGTTCCTGAATCAGAAAGGGCAACTGTCGTTGGTATTGGTAGCCCTGTCAAAGATGAAGATGACGTTGCTTCAAGGGACGACTGAGAAGAGGGAGAGAGAAGGGAGGAGATCGACGAGTGACGAGAGGCGATGGGAAAGGCGTTTGAGTCCACAGATGCTGGAGTCGCAAAGGGTGCGGGCACCAGAGAAGAAGCTGTGGTACTGTCCTGACTACCCGCTCTCGTTTGTGTTACAGAGTCGCTTGTTGGGTCAAAGAATGTGATGCTTGAGGGTGAAGAGGGCGAGTAAACGGTAGGGGAGTTAGGGTATAGAGAGAGAGGAGAGGTGGAGGGCAAAGGAGAGAGTGTGTGAGTTGGAGACAACAAGGATGCTGAAGTGTCGAACGAGGGGAGAGAAGAGGAGAAGGGTGCAGAGAAGGAGAGTGAGAGTGACAATGGAGGTGAAGTTAGGAGTGGGAGTGAGGGTGGCGGATCCTTGCTGCTGTTGTTGTTGTAGAGTCGACCAGGATTGGAGGGCGAGGGTGAAGGTGAGAGTGAAGGACGAGTGGGGGCACGATCCGAAGTGGGTGGGTAAGGAGATGCAGCGATAGAGGGTGAGGGATTGGAGGTAGGAGTGGTAGGTGAAGAAGAATTGGAGGAGGAAGAAGAGGAGGAGGAAGAGGAAGAGGCAGAAGGAGAGGGAAGGGATAAGGGTTTGGGAGGAAGAATGGTGGGAGATGTGGGAGAGAGAGTTGGCGCAGAGAGAATTAAAGGAGAGGCAGAGGGTATCGGGTAGAAAGACATGGCTTGATGGGCTGTGAGTGTGAAAGGTGATAAATGTGCGCTGGAGGGGACGAGGAGGGCGAGGAAGTCGAGGCGATGATGATGCGGTTCTCGTTGAAGGGGCGACAGGAGTTGGAGTTGGCTGGAGACACGGAGAACACTATTGGCGATGATGATGAATGGTGGTGGTGGCGATGGTGATGATGATGGCGACAGACAGATACGAGTGAAGGGAAAGGGAACGGGGGACGAGTGCCAGAAAGGATTACAAAAGGCAAAGGGGGCAAAATTACAAAGAGAGACGGAGACAGATCCGCGTTAATACCAACAGAAACGAAATACCACACACATACACAACACATTGACAAAAAAACGGATGGTCTTTTGTTAAAGAAGACGATAAATATTGATAAATCTTCATGTCGGTAATTATTATCGCCTCTGGCATTGCTCCCGATGCTGGCACTTCTGGCGCCGTTCGCTTTGCTTTGTTGCTGCATCGCCAATGTCCAATGGTTTTTTGCTGTTTTGTCGTTGACTCTTAATATTGCGATATTGCTTTGATGTGTTAGCAGAAGGAGAGAGAGAGATGGAGATGGGAAACGGGGTCGGGCGAAATGCGCCTTGTGAGCGTCCGAAGCAATTAGGCCGTAAATAGTCTTAAGGCGTCGTTTGTTGCAGTCCCTCGATATTTGTTGAAAAGGTAGCTGTTCCCCTCCTGGTAGTCATGTAATACCTGCAATAATGCTGCTGCTCTCCGATGCAAGAGCGGTTGACACTGCAGCAGACTTGTCGTCGTTGTCGTCCTTGTTTTTTTTGTCGCTATTCTCGGCTTGGGTCGAGAAGCTGGTTGGAGAGCGAGCGGGAAGAGTAACAGGAGGGAAAAGGAGGAAAGAGAGTAAAGTTCCTAGGTGCTGTGATGAAAAGGGTGATGATAATGGTAGGCGAGGGGAAGTGGAAGAGGAAGAGGAAGTAGAGGAAGGGGTGTGACAAGAGAAACCAATGCTGATGTGTGTTGTGCGGTCGCCGTCGACTCGGCTCTGGGGATGGTGACTCTAAAGGGATTGAAGGAGACGAAGAGAAGGAGGAGGATGAGCGAGGATGAGAGCGAGGAGAAGAAGAAGAAAAAAAGGAAAAGGAAAAGGAAAAGGAAATGATAATGTAGGAGGGATCAGAGAGGGAAAAAAAAAGGAAGAATGGATACAGGGACCAAAGGCGAAATGAGTAAGTGGGGTAACTGCTATGAAGTGAGCAGCATACTCAACTGCATGTACCCAATTACTCGTTTGCTGTTATTGTCTGTCTGCGTCTGAACGGATATAAGGTAATACAATATTGTATAGTAATAAGAAAACAAACAATTGGAATGGGCAATACAATGGGACAGACGACAACAAATATCGCTCAAAATCAACATCTGGAAGGAAGCGGATGCGAATGCGGAGAAGAGAGGGGTTCAAGAAAGTCAGAAAGAGAGTAAGAGAGAGAGAAAAGGATAAAGAGACATCCAAACAAACAAAGGAGAAGGAGAAGGAGGAGAAAGAGGAGGAGGAGGAGGATGAGGATGAAGAGAAAAAAGGAGGGAAAGGAGGTGGGAGGAGAAGACCACACAGGGATCCAGGAGACAGTATGGGTGTGCGTCTTTGTCTTGTCTGTTGTTATTGTTGTTGCTGTTGTCAACAACAATGACAGATACTACACTCTATCTTACAACACACGACACAATCATCCACAGACTCCATGGACGAACACGCAAGGAAGGAACAGCCGTGTTATCATCTCTCTTCTTAAAGAAGAGATGCCTTAGTCTGGTTTGGACCACCCTTACTCTTCTTCTTCTTCTTCGCAGCTGGTGCTGGTGTGAACATCTTTAATGGGGGATGGGAACACAGGAGAAGGGGAATCAGAAACGCATCAGCACACATACACACACACTCCTGTTCATCAATTCTTCCAATTCGTAAGTTCATTCACATCTCTTGTATCTCTCTAGTCGTCGCATCTTGCAATCTAAACAAGTAGCGTGTCCAACCAATGCCAGGCCGTCTTGCCTGTATGTTGTCTTTTGGAGTCCACACATCAATCGTATATAAAAAGGAGCCATGTCTCAACACACACACATATATTTCGCCATGCTAAAAGCATTGAGAAGGAGACACAACCATCCTGGGTCTAAAACATCCAGAGATCTGAACACGACATCCCTTCAACTCCTGGTTCACTTTCCTTTATTCTTTTTTTAAACAAGCGCTGTTGACATGCTCTGAGACATGCAGCTTCTTGTGCCACTGTCCCACGGAAAAAGAACAAACAAACAAAATATCCCTGGAATTGTCGTTAATGCTGCCGCTCTCAGTGTTCCTTGTCAGAGAATCGCATTGCCCTTTGTCGTCCCTACATTAAACATACTCCATATTCCGTCCGTCTGGAAACTCAACGACACTCCTTGCTTCATTTTATTTCCTTTACTTCCTTTCCTTGTTTCCCTTGCTTAGCTGTGTGTTCTCTTTGTTCCATGTACCATTTCAATCCACCCCTCATTGTCCCCACAGCTTGCTCATTCCTTTCTTCCCTCGCTTCTATTTCTATGATGTCTATTTTTTCAGGTTCCGCTCGGAGCAATGTACGTCGTTTGGTTTCAGGGTACAATTCTCCGTTTTCTTTTTCTTGTCTTGTCAGGCATTATTCTCTCACGCGATGGTGTGATGTACGGTTGCTGAACCCAAATACAAATAATGTCACCACTTTAGACTCTCCCTCTCAATACCATCCAGACAGTAGCACCGAACTACGCAAGACCAATAACCCCTCCTTCCTTACCAGGCTGCAGTGTTCGGGATTCGAGCGTTCACAGGAGTCGCAATTGACGACAGCACTGCGGCTGTACTGAAGGTGATCTTGTTGCTGATGCAGCGCTGAGGCACAGCTTTCCGTTAATCTATTACAGGCACAGGGGGAGACGTGGAGCAAGATTCGACGGTCAACAACTGCAGTCCTCCTGGGCGGAATGTTGTGGAGTTGTCCAATTGTCCTGCTCGCACAGGATTGTAAAATGATCTTGAAGAAATGTGGGGATGATGAAGACCACGTTGATGTTGCACACGAATCGAGAGTCGCTGGGGATGATCGGTGTATGGTTGTTGATCTTGGCTTCAGTGGTGAATAGAATGGCGTCGGTGTTATTGTTGTGACAAGGGGGACTTCTGGCTGCTAAAGGGGACATTGCCGAGGTGGCGGTGGCCGGGAATGGATACTCCTTCTGCCTTCCGGATTACCTCTGCACTGATGTCGTTCCTGTTTGTTGGATTCGCGGACGCCAACGAAGAAGCGACGGTGAAGGGTAAGGAAAGAAGGATGCAGTAGTGAAGAGAAAAAGAAAGATCAAAGAAATCGTTCCAGAACAGGCGCAGGATGGAGAATAAAGATAAGAGAAATGAGGATGGATGGCGAACCATATAATGGGGTGCATGGTTGGATATGAGACCTTGGGGCGGGGGAGTGTACCTGTCTGCTTGTGGCACTGTCTCAATGGGAAAGAGAACTGATACCTTGTTCAAAACTTGTCATGTCTCAGCCAATGAAACGAAACAAACGGAATGAAGGATGTCTGGTTGACATGATGCAATGAAAACGAATGGCGACAACGCGAGGAATGCCAGGAGGAAAAAGAACGCGCTTAATGACCGAGGAAGCGAATCGATGCCAACGCAACGCAAAGGTAACGAATTAGTTGTTAAAGTAAGAGAAAGGCAGAAAGTAGAAGTACGTAAGGATGAAGCAAAACATAAACATAAACAAAAACAAGCAATGCAAATGAAATAAAAAAATACCACCGCGGCGTAACGATTACCCTGGGAAATCCGCGTACTCCATCGATATTCTTCCAACATGAATACAAAAAAATGACAACAGGTCGCCAGGAGGCCCCATGCCTCCTTTGCAAAGCAAAACTTCAGCTCAGAGTACCCAGGAACAAAAGCAAAAGAGCAAAAGAGAATGGGCCGAACCGGGAATTGAACCCGGGACCTCTCGCACCCTAAGCGAGAATTATACCACTAAACCATCCGGCCAATCTTCTTGTTGGAAGCATCTATTTCTCTGTCATAGTAATTCCCGTGACCGATTTACGCCACCAATATAATGACGCCACCAAATTTGAGACCAATCGG